TACACTGGAGTACTCCTTCGCGACCAATGACCAGGTTGCAGTGACGATTCCATTCCTCTTTCGATGCTTTCCCCCGCCTCTTTCCCCTTAGGACTGGAGCGCGTTAGGTTCTCGGCCAACCGCTAGTCCGGAAGTATGTACCTACCGATGCTGATAGTCAGCGGGATTTCGTAAGTCGGAGGGCGATTTTATGATCATTACATGCGCCCAAATCCGGTCCGGCAGAGAGGCGCCAATTGTACCCAAATTTCCCATTCCTTTGCCCTTCCGCCTGCTTGAACTAGAATTGGCGATCAACCAGACAACCACACACAAAGTGCACAAACCCCCCCTTCAATCCACCTCTCTCTCTTTCCCGTGCCTCCCGGGGCTGCTGAGCAATGGACCCCTTTGCCTTTTTTTTTTTTTCCTTTTTGTTGCCCTCCCTACGCGGGTAATTTTGGATTTTTTTTGGGACTTTTTGATTTCTTTCTTTCTTTCTTTCTTTCTTTCTTTCTTGTTATTTTTATTTCTATTTATTTTTTCTCCTTTTTCCATTACCCTCCCCTTCCTTTTCTCCATCTGTCTTTACACACGACGCAAACCCTAAGTCATAATCATAATGAAAAATTCTAAAAAAAATAATAAGTAACCATTAAATATTAAATCATCAGAAAGAAATATTCACCACAAAAAAGTCCAGTGGCACACCACAGCGACGGTTGCAATGCGACGCTAAACCCGACTTATTATTGGATCTGATATGGGTCCTTACGAAGTCAGTAGATTGCATTCAATCAATCAGCACTGCGAGCGAGGCCTTGTTCGACCGGAGCTCCACCCCTCTCTTTCGCTCTTCTGCCTTTCTTTTCCCCCTCTCTTTCTCCTCTCTTTCTCTAATCCCCTTCCTTTTCGTGGATCGCAGTGTCTGATTGGCTCGCGACCGGTAGAACTGACCGTCCCCCGTGCTAAACGGCAGCTAGGTTTCTTTACTGGGCCGGGTCTAGCTAGGGCTTTGTCCTTTTTTATTTTTGCTTTTCTTTTTTTTTTCTTGCTGCTGACCTTGTTAGATAGTTGTTACCCTTCCACTATTCCGTAGCGTGCATCCACTTGTTCCTCCCCGTGGCTCTGACATCAACCGGTATTTTCCCAATTTACTCCAAGACAAAGCATGAGACAATCAAACTTGGATGACCAAACCGGAACCGACCCAAACGAGTCCAGAAAGGAGGATCAACCCTTTGGACCTGCGTCCGGGTCAAACTCTGTCTATCCTGGATGGACACTGCATTTTCTCCGGACAAGAACTAACCTACCCTGGCTCTTCTAGCGGAGTTGTATGAGCTTTAGTTATTTGCTGGATGAGGCATGATGTCTTGACCTCATCCTTCATTACCCTTTCCTTTTTTTCTTTTTTTTTCTTTTCTTTTTTTTTTTTTCCTTTTCCTTTTTATTTTATTTTATTGCACCTAACTCTTTTTCATTCAAGAATCTCGATTTTATTTATTTTATTTGATTTCATTTTTTCTTCTCGTCTTATTCAATTTTAAATTCAATCTTCTTATGTGGTTTGATTCCCGGAGGGTCTTAGACTATTAGCATCTTTTTTTATTCCTTCTGAATTTCCGTCATTATTATTGGGCCTCCATCTCGCATTACCATTCTTGGATATATCCTTTTTCAACTTCTATAACTGGATCTACTTGCGACTTCTCCGCGAAGTTGCAAAGCCCTACCTACTACCTTTCCAAACTCTCTCCTTCCTTTCTTTCAATTCTTCACTTCGTTACCACCTACTTAATATTATGTGATATTGCCCCGTCCTGGGTTCTGGCCTTTCATTTTAATTTCGTTGCTCCTACCCCCTTTAGTGCCTTCATTCCATCGGACAAGGCACGTTCAACATTCACCGGATCTGCAGTGGTTGCTATCCTACCGCAATCTTCCCTCAACTCCTGTGATATTAACTGCCTCCCCGTCGAACATCGACTTTCCCTGTGCTTTCGACTTCACTCTGGACAGCCTTTTGCTCTTTCACTTGGCGGTTTCTTGTTGCAGATACTGGCCGGTACATTGAATTGCGACGTCTACACAGAACTTTGAGTGGTCATATTCGAATTGTACACAAGTTACGCCTTCAGAGTGATCGAATCCAATGGGAATTCAGTGACAATTTTATCGACCCTACAATTAGATCTCGCATTTGGAAGGATAGCTCCTGGAGTTCTTTCACATCCTGCCATATGTCTCTCCCGGTCCTCACCTCGCAACCATTTCCTTCTGCCCCCCACCCGATCTCCCCCACCATCCCTCTTTACTCGCGGACGGAGGGTTCGACCTGTGCAAGGAAATCACATCGGCAGGCCATTTCGGAGGTCCCTGATCGCAGCTGGACCGCGCCTCTGAGGGACGGTCTGCCAACCCCTCCCAGCGACATGAACGGGGTAGCTTCTTACAACAGCATCCCCTCGACCAACTATGGAATCACACTTCCCCCATACGCAAAACAACCCGCATACCCCCGTATGAGCACTTCGAACTCCATGGTACCTTCAGTCTCGGTAGCTCAGACCAAGAGCCAACCTTCGATTCACGATGCTCCGGCTTCCGAGCCCAACAACCAGAAAAAAGGATCGACCTCGGTGGCTTCCTATCTGAAGGTTCCGCCCTCCATCAGCAACAGCAAAGGAAGTCTGACCGAATTCGCCGCTCAGGTAAGAGCAACATCTTCTCTGATCGCGTGCGGGCATGTATTCTTAACGTATCGAACAGATGACTTGTCTTTTTTGGTTTGAAAGCACTGCTAAGCTGAGGGCCATTGAAGAGCGCTTGAACCCGGTCTATTCTCTCGTCCCCGAAGCAATCCCCTCCGCCGGTTTCCAGAAATGGGTGACGAACATCCTCTCCACGACGCAAGTGAGCCAAAACGTCATCTTGCTGGCATTGCTTTTCATTTATCGCCTGAAGAAGTTCAACTCCGGCGTGCGGGGAAAGAAGGGCAGCGAATACCGGCTGATGACCATTGCGCTTATGCTGGGTAATAAATGTTAGTGTTCGAAGTATCTCTCCAAATGGCACTCAGGAACGTTGAGCTGACCGGTTGATAGTTTTGGACGACAACACCTACACCAACAAGACCTGGGCTGAAGTATCCGGAATCTCCGTGCAAGAAATCCACATCATGGAAGTTGAATTCCTTAGCAACGTCCGATACAACCTTTTTGTTTCCGAGAAGGAATGGAGCCAGTGGCACGCTAAACTTGGTCTGTTTGCCGACTTCTTCCACAATGCGCCTTTGGTCCCCGAGAAGAACGAGCTGGGACCTACTCCTCCGGTGCTTCACATCTCCCCCAACCTCGGCCCGTCGCCCCAGAAGCAACCATCACCTTGCTCGAAATTGCCATCCCCGCCTGCCCTGGACTCTCTGCGTGCTCCGAACTGGAATATGCCAGCCAACACCCCTGCATACCCCAATGGACCCCAGCTCAGCAGCCACATCCCTCCGCCGATTTCTCGGAAACGAACCCGCGAGGAGCCAGTTGAAGAGACCCCGTCAAAGAAGATGGCAATGCCAAACGTCAACCCTACATCTTCATCGACACTTCCGCCGTCGTCCGCGCTGACTGGAATGTCGACCTTGCCCCCAGTGATGACGCCAACTTCCGCACCCACCGCGGGCGCATCGACTGGAGCCGTTTCTCGCCTTCCTCGTCCCAACTTCCCCCCTTTCTCTCATTCCTTCAACCCGAGCGTACCGACCTCGATGCCTCAGGTCCCTTCGACCACCGGACGAGCGATGCCACCGATTTACAACACCACCACCAACTGGGTTCCGCAGATGGCCCCTACAACCGGAGTCCCTCCCGTCACCAGCGGCATGTACAACTCGTCACTGGCACTCCCAGACCCCGCAAGGCAACACAACAGTCCGTTTGGCGTCTCTTCTGCCACCGTCTCGCCAGCAGTGTCAGCCTATTCGGTTCATACGCCCCAGACCAACCTGTCTCCATCATTTTTCTTGGCAAACCGTAACTCCCCGTACCGGCCTGTTAGAAATGTCAACACTCTTCTCATTCCGCCACCGTCGACTTCTCTTCAACAGCAGCGCAATATTCCATTTGAGCACATGCACTATCAGCCCCTCGGCAAAACTGCGGCGGAGCGCAAGACGGGCCTATTGCCTTATCTCCATCAGGATGCCTGGGCCCAGGGACCGTTTTTCCCTCCTACCTTTCACTCGAACCCGAACTACTCGACCTAGGAAAGTTGTCAACATTTCCAATTCTTACGATCTTGTCTTATGACCGTCTACACGAGCTCGATGTCCATTTGTATCTTCTTCATCCTATTGTTTTACCACCATTGTATTATGTACATTTCTTTCCCTTTCTGTTCTTTTTTTACTCAACCATTTTACGACATGGCATTCATATGGCGTTTATTATCATAGACATGTTCACCCGAAGGACTACTGTTATCTTTCCGGACATTGGGTGGGAATTTCCTGTGATTCGCTCTTTGTGGGGCATAGCTAAGGCGTTTTCTGTTTTCATATACTTCTGTCCATCTTATACTTGCATTGGCATGTTTAGGTGTTGAGTGCCGCTTCTAGGAGCGTGGATGGCACTGGCATAAACAATGAGATTTGCATGACCTGAGAGTCTGCGCTGGAATGGCGTTTTCTGATGACATTAAATCCTGTAGGAGTAGCATTTCAAATTGTCACGATGCTAGAGACTTGTCAAGCACGAAGGTCATGCCTCTAAGTTGGCTCACCGCTTTTACGAGTTTGCCCCATTTGCAACTATCGCAAACAGCGCAAACTTTCTGCCAGACATTAAAGCGGTGAGACTTGGGCGTTATGCGCCTCAGGCATCGAAACTGCTCCTCCGGCCCGACATTCCTCCGCCCGAGCATCCAGCGCCAAACAACCCGAAAAGATCCTGTCCCCGTAACTCGAGCCCGTCCAGCGCAGTCCGCCGTCTCCCCGACCCTTTTCCACACAGGACTCGCCCACCAACATGCCTCCCAGGCCTCAGATCCTGTCCCTGCTGCAATGGCAGGGGGCAGCAGCTCTTTCGAAGCCCACCGCGGCGGCGGCGGCCTCTCCGCTGTCGTTCCTCCTCCCTCAATTCCAGCAGCAACAAAGCCGCAACGCTCACATCCTGGCCTCGCTCTCCGATAACCCGGGCGCCTATAACAAGAGGATTAGAAGAGGTCGTGGCCCTGCTTCCGGTAAGGGTAAGACCTCCGGACGTGGTCATAAGGGTCAGAAGCAGCATGGTAAAGTGCCCGCCGGGTTTGCGGGTGGTCAGACGCCTGAGATCGTGGTGCATGGTGAACGGGGGTTTAATAATGTGTATGTTTCCTATGCCCATATCTGCTGGTTTTTTTTTGGTTGGAATTGGTCGATTGGATTGCAATTGGGTTGTGGTTGGTGGTCTGAATGAAGAGACCATAACCGACAGACCAATTAATTCCAATTCCTGGGAGAACAACATCTTGCTGACATTGACTTTTCATGACAACAGCCACTCCCTCGACCTCGCAACTGTCAACCTCGAGCGTATCCAGCAATGGATCGACCAAGGCCGAATCGATCCCGCGCGGCCCATCACGATCCGCGAACTGGCTCAATCGCGGTGCATCCACCAGCCCAAGGAAGGCGTGAAAGTGCTCAGCAGCGGCACCATCACCCCCGCGACCGAGTCTACCACCGCCTCCTCCGCCAACACCAACACCCCGAACCCGACCTCCACCTCGTCCTCCCCCTCCGCCCCCGTCCTCAAACAACCCATCCACCTCGTCGTCTCGCGCGCCTCCGCGTCCGCCATCTCCGCCGTCGAAGCCGCCGGCGGCTCCGTGACAGCCCGGTTCTACACCCGCACCGCGATCGCCCGCATCATGCGCCGCGAAATGCACCCGTTCGTGTCGATGGCGTGGACGGCCGAGTCCGGCGCCGAGGGACTCAACGAGGCCGAGGGCCTCGCGGCCGAAGACAAGCTGACCGAGTCGAAGATCATGAAGGAGATGGGCTTCCGGTACCGACTGCCTGACCCGACCAAGCGTCGCGATATCGAGTATTACCGTGACCCCGCGCACCGGGGGTATCTGAGCCATTTGCTGAAGCCGATGGAGGGACCCAGTTTGTTCTTCCGGTCGCCTGCGGAGCGGAAGTCTTCGGCGGGTGTTAAGAAGGAGAAGGTGCTGCCTGCTAATCGGGTTTGGTAATTGTAGCAGGGGACTTGGGAGAGAGAGAGAGAGATTTTGTTGGGATTCTCGTCTTCCGGCGCCTGCCCATCTACCGAATTTCCCTTCTTCTTGCTTGTCTGATAGAGAGGGGGTTGTTTCCGCTGTGGGAAAGAACTACGTGTATAAATATTGTTTTGTTTAGGTTTCTAGTACATGAATGAGTGATTTTTTGCGATATCATATAAGCCTTCTTTCTGTATCTGTCCTCTTCAGCAGTATTTTGTTACTACAGCAAGACTTTGGGATTCTCTGATGTTTGCTATATTATGTCCGGATAATCAAGGAAACGATAAGTAGTTGCATTTTAGTGAATTATCTTTTGCAACTTCGTAGATCACAGGAATGAATGGAACCAACCTACTTTGAGAACAGCTGATGGAAACTGCCAGGCTCACAAGTAGACAGAAGTAATAGAAGTGATAGATATAGAAGGTCGCCTACATAGCTAGACCCTCAAAGTCGGACTCGAACTGATTCAGAGAGCATTGATAAATAAGCAAATAAATAGCTAGGTAGATAGACTGCTTGGTATAATATGAACGTATCCGCTGGTCTACACAGAAATGTATAGATACAGCCAGCCCGGAAACGCCATATAGCCCTTGAGGGCTTAGAAGTATATAGATACATGTAGTAAGAAGAAAAGAAAGAAAGAAAAAAAAAAAGTAATAGCAAAACACCTAAAGACCCCAAAATAAACGCCACGCTGTAGTAATAGTCGTATAAAGCAGGTCGTTTCACGCAAATTCGCTCGTTATCCTTGCAAAACAAAACAAAACAAACATCGAAAACCCCGAAATGAAAAACGAAACGCCCAAATCTTTATCAAACCCATGTCCATAATAATGAAAAGCAATGGACCAGCAATAAAGCAAAGAAAAACAAGGACAAAAGAAAGGGTATCATAGATGACCAATAATTCCGAACACCGGGCGCTGATCCATATCGTAGTAATAGCGCCAGTCGTGATCACCGTTGGACCAGTTTTTGGGTCTCAAAAATTCACCCGTAAGAGGTAGTTATACCGTGAGTCAATATAACACGAACAAACCAAAAAAGAAAAGAAAAGAGAAGCATTTTAGGTGCAATCGTTTATAACTTCCAAGCTGCTTCGGCCGCAGCGTCGTTCATAGGATCCGCAAAGTCCCGCATCCAGCGTGAACATAGGACATCCCGGACTGTCCAGCGCTTCTCGACGTCCATTTCTAAGCAGCCGGTGATCAGCTCAAGAGCGGCTTCTCTATCTTGACGACTTTGAGGGTCCTTTTCGGCATTTAACACACTCTCTTTATCCCAAGTGCCATTGATGATGCGTGTTTGGACTCGAGGCATGAAGGGATCTTGGAAAGGCCGAGAGCCGACGATGGTAGCGTAAACAATCACGCCGAACGCCCAGATATCTACCGAGGGTTCCATGACACCATCAGTGGAGAGAAGCAGCTCGGGAGAAGCGTATTCCAAGCTACCAGCAACGCTAGTGCTGGAGCCGGCGGGACCTATTGTTTTGGGAGGCGGTCGGTCTGCCACGTTGTCGTAGGGATCGGGAGATTCGCCCCCGTTGTCCGTTGTCATCCACTCTGCCATTCCAAAGTCACAAAGAACGAGGTTGGATGCCTTTGTGCCATCCGGCAACTCGATGGGGTCCAATAGGCAATTCTCGAGCTTGATATCTCGATGGACTACCCGAGCGTCCTCATGTAAATACCGAAGAGCACATGCAAGCTGGTAGGTATACTTCTTTGCGAGGTTCAAGTTCAGACCTTGCCGATTCTGACGAACGAGGTCAAAAAGTGTGCCGCCGATAGCTAGCTTGGTGAAGCAGAAGGTAGCATAGTCGGTTTCGTAGACGGCATCCAGCGTCAGGACGTTTGGGTGGCTGAGATATCGCCATACTCGAACTTCGTGGTCGAACTCTGCTTGCACTTCGTCGTTTTCCTTCTCGGATTTGCCAGAGATCTGTTTCCGAACAACTTTCACAGCTAGTCGCTTAGTTCCGCCACTCTCATCAACTTTGTAGGCCTCTTTCACGGTGCTAAACCCTCCAAACCCAATCTGTTTTCCGAGTACATAGTCGGTTCCGACCATCTGACCCTCGTCGTCTGGTTGAGGTGCGGGCTCTTCAGTATTTCCCCACATGGAAAGGAACATACTAGCCGGGGATTTGCCACTGGAGGCAGTAGACCGGCGAGAGCTATGGCGAGCACGGGGTCCCCTGACCTTGCTTCCAAAGGGGGTTATGACACTGCCTGACCAGGAATTGCGATCGTCGGGGGACGTAAACGCCTGCATGGGCGATGTCATGCAAATGGGTGATGGCAATGCCCCTCGCGAGCCTTCGGGAGGAGTGCGTAGCTCTTCGGTGACGGGTGACGCAGTCGAAACGGACGTTAAGGAGGTCGGATGGTCAATCTCTGAGGTCATACGTAGGTCGTCCTCGGGACTAGTTGGTAGACTGTCTCGAGCACCAAAGCCTCGCTGATTCTGGTACCGTCGAAGAGAAGCATTGATTCCCATCGGTCTGGGACCGTGAATTTCATGATCGTCGGGAGACAGTGCGTTTTTCAGGCTCGAGCCCTTCGCCTGGAATCGTTGAGCGCGAGTCCTTGAATCCGATCTTGCCAGGGGCTCCTCTAGCGCCCGCGGCCGGCCAGAGTCAAGCGTAACGGTAGGGTCAAAACTGACCGAGGGGCGGCGATTTTGAATGAAACTGTCAAGAGGTGACGCGGGGATATCGTCAGGTTTATGTGGAAAGTCGCAATCGTCTTCCTCCTCCGGACGCTCCACATCTTGTCGGGGTACCGAGATGGGGGGTGTCGCTGAATGTAGACCCTTCATTTCACTGTTGTCTTCATCAGTACCGCAACGGGGTGCGTGATAATCGTGAAAGATGCTTGTACGGTCGCCCTCGATGCCATCTCTATCGCCCGACGCTCTCCTGCCTCCATTTTCGTTTAACCATCGATGTCGATTCTCAAACGACGTCTCAATCTTCAACCCTGCCAAGGCGCTGTTCCTCTCTGGACGAGCCATGCCCTCACAAAGAGCACACGAAGTACTCAGTGAAAGGTGGCAAAGAGAAGTTTACGATCTCAATGTGAGGTCGCTAGGCTGACGCATAAACATGGATGAAGCGGGGGTTGAAGGGGGGTGGTATGATGAGGTTGATGATGGTGGTAGCAGTGGTGTGGTGGTAAGAGGGTGGTAGTGACTAGGAGTGATGAGAGGGCCGTTTGACGGCCGTAAGAGGCGGATAGAGGACAAAGATAATGATGAAGGTCAAGAGAACAGAATTATTTAGGGTGAACGTTGGGTGGTAAGCAAAAAGAGTTTGGTTCACGGTGGATCAGAGGCGATGTGGATAGAGGAAGAAAAGAAAAATCGTCTGAGGAAATGGGCAGAGGAGGGCATATCGGGAGAATCCGGAGGCAGCCAAAGGTAAAGGATCGGAAGACCAGCGGGCGGGGAAGAGCAGATCGGCGTCACCACTGACTAATGGACAATTAGGCACATGCAGAATGGAGTCACCATGATGCCGCCTTGCCACTCCGGGTATCGCGCGGCGGCGAATGACGGAGCCGACCCACCGCGTCACCTGATCCACGGGCCCTCAACCCTCTACCCTGAGCCCTAAGTGACTAGACACGTGGCGCTAGTCCCTTGTGGGGTTAGCGGCACCGGGGACAGTTACCCGCCGGCTCAGGCACGAGTCGTTTTAGGAATGGCCTGCACAGACGCGCGCAAGGGGCGCTTGTTTTGGAGACTCTCTGGAGACCTCCTTTTTTTGGATGTCTCAGAAGTCTGGGGAACTCGTTCTCGCTGTGTTATGGTCGTCGAGCTCTACCCTTCTCCTTTCCCCTCTGGACTCTTTGTTTTTCTTTCCGTTCTAATTTTGTGAAATTGCTCTGGCAGTATTTCTCCTTCGTCTGGTGGCCTTGCCCTGGCCAATCCACCTATCTTTTTCCCCCCTAACACGATCATTGGATGTGCCCCCCGCCGTCGCCGCCCGTGGCTTTACCTTCCTTTGTTTGGTGTCTCCGTACCAATCGCGCTTGAGAGCCCGCGCGATATTCCGCTCGTTTTATTTTCTTGACGCCGTTTGTCTGCTCCCTGTACGATCTGATTATCTGTCGCGGCATTCCACACCCTTTTGAACAGTCCGACCGGAGCCGATAATCCGGTACCTTCAACATGACTCGGCCCGGGATGATACGAGCTGGTACGTATACACTTTGGGGATTGATATGGATTCTCTGGCGCTAATGTGCACCCGATAGATACGATGGACCTCCAAGACCAAAACGCTCCCTCGGCGAAAGACCATTCTAAGCACCCTGACACCCAGGCCGGCTTAGCTCCCCACCAGGAACAAACCCTTCGTCATGCCGACCAGGATGCGCAATCAGAGATGAGGCACGGCCCTGGCGCTGATGGAAGACCGCTTGACGACCATCCCGACGGCATCGACATATACGATGATGATGACGACGACGAGGACGATCTAGACGGACATCGGGGTGATATGGAAGATGATTTAGCAGATGGGGAGAGCGATGATCTTATGGATGATGATATGATGGACAAGATCTCGAGCTCCCCGTCAATTGACGATGGTGCGTAACACCTTGATTTCGCCCCTGCTCGTTAGGTTCTGGTTTCTCGACTCCATGCGTGTCTAGCGACACGGGAAACCTTGCGGTGGTTCACGAGCTCTTGAATAGCCAAAGCTAATCCATTGCAGAGGATATCAACTTCGAGTTCGTTTATGCGCTCCATAATTTCGTCGCAACGGTGGATGGCCAAGCCAACGCGGCAAAGGGGGACACAATGGTTCTGCTGGATGACAGTAATAGCTACTGGTGGCTGGTCCGAATCGTTAAAGATGGCAGCATTGGTAAGAGGAATCCTCTCACTAAAAGCAAATTGAGGTCACTGACGACCAAAAGGATATCTACCTGCCGAGCATATCGAAACCCCAACCGAACGACTCGCCAGATTGAATAAGCATCGAAACGTTGATGTATGTCTCTCTTCCTTTTTTATCCAATTCATAGGTCTAATTGGAACAGCTTTCCGCTACAATGCTAGGAGACAATTCGGAAAAATCGAAGAATCCGCTTAAAAAAGCCATGCGCCGCAGAAACGCTAAGACCGTTACTTTCACCAGCCCGACCTACATCGAAGCATCTGATATTGAATTCTCCACCGACGATGAACTAGACGATGGTGCATCATTCAACGACGAGGATCTGGCGCGTGAGGACGGGGAGGACTTGCAAGACGGTCACACCGAAGATATTGTGGTTGAGCCTCTTAGGACCAAGTCGCAACGGGACAAAGAATCGGACGACACCGAAGATGACCATGAGATACAAGACCCCGAACGAGTCAGCCCGGAGAAACAACGTCCTAGTCAGGAGTTACTCGATGTTGAACGTAAGGATTATCCTTTTGTTTCTGCTGCGCTTTGCGAAATATCTAACCGCTTTCAGATGACAATAATGTCAGTCGATCAAGGAACGGAACCGTACGGAACACCGATTCATTCTTCAAAGACGACTCCGTCGAGACAAAGAAGATATCGCTTACGCCCAATCTCCTGCGCGACGAGGTTAACAACAACGCTGGATCGCCGACTGAGGCAAAGGAGGTAAGAACAGTCTGTGTCTCAACGAACTGGGGACCTCGTGTGCTGATATTTGTCCTCAATCAAAGAGCCGTGGAAGCATGGAAGCCATCGACAAAGCGCTCAGCGCATACGACAAAGCCAAAGACGACAAAAAACGCAAAGACAAGAAGCCCGGGATGCTTAGCGGTTTATTCAAACGAAAAGATAAGAAGACCAGGACAGGCGAGGATGACGGTGAAGAGGCCGAAAAGACTTCTAGCGAGCTGTCTCGGACCTCGCCCCAGCCGAAGACATCGTCGGAGTCCGTGTCCTCGCCAGAGTCTCGAACTCCCAAACCTCTAGTCGTCCAAAGACAGTCGAGTAAGCTTCAGAAACAACCACCAGCGGTTACCTCGCCCACAAAACAGGATTCACCCCAAAATTCGGTGGCGCAAGAGCCCGTTGAAAGCCTAAAAGGAGCACCGCTCATACAAAAACCCAAAGCAGATCAAACAATTCGACAAGTTGCGCCCGAAGAAGACTCCCCGCAATCTCCCGTCTCGAAGGCTTTTCAACCAGACGTTCGCAGCCTTTCTTCACCCATCGGCTCGTCCAGTCCTATCAAGAAGCCTAGCCCTACTCAAATTAGCACGAACGATGTCGTGGAGTCACCGATTGAGCCCTACGGAGGGCGACAAGAGGTGACCCATTCCGTGGCCTCTCCGCCGCAGAGATTCCCGCCCACTCAGAGTATGGCTTATCGAGACCAGCGAATGGAATCTCCAGTGGCTGTCTCGCCATTGGATGCTCAAGCCTCGCCTCACGCCCCCGGATTGACGACGGATCTTTCTTCTCCTGGTGGGCAATCTTTCTCCCCAGTATCCCCGCCATTATCTCCCACCTCCAACCTCCGCAGCAGTAAATCGATCGATGCACCTTCGTCGCCAGCTTTTGAGACGGTGTCTGTCGGAACCCCAACCTGGAGTGACGCCAGCTTGCGCTCATACTTGGATGACGACAACGATATCCGCGATCTGTTTTATATTGTCCATGATAACACGAATGTTCCCCCCGCCGGCCCCGACCACCCAATTACCGGTAGTCTATTCAAAGACGAGAGCAAGAGACTGAAGGAAATGGGTGCCCAGTTGGACTCGCTGCTTTCTGAATGGGTGGGTCGGAGAGGGCAAATCCCGGCCAGCAAGTGAAACAGCGCCTCTTGGGGGCCTGACTCCTTCGGTATATAGCAGACTCTTCCCCCTCGACATCGTACAATAGCGGTTGGAATTGACTCAGAAATTTTATATTGGCCAGGAGCTAACGATGTGCTGGACGCATGACATTGGATGGACCAAAGGATAAACCCTTTTGGCTCTTATCCTCTGTGCTTATGATTTCATACATGACACCATTTGATTCATTCGCTTTTCTTGCCTGCATTATTTTTTCTTTCCTTTTCTTTTTCTTTTCTTTCATTCTGCCCGAGTTGCAACCGCAGTTCTCAAGTCTCGCATATGTTTCTGCAAGTCAAAACTGTCTTGGTGGGCTCCTGAAAGTCTCTTGTTTCAGGTCTCGCGCAACGGTTCGCATCGAGGCATTGCGAACAGTTTTCTGCTCTCTTGTTTCAGTTCATATCTCCCGGTCAGATATACACTCCTGTATACCCCCCTTGTCACATATACTTGCAGTCGTGTTCAATAGTTTCTCTTCTCTTTTTCACCCCTTTCTATTGGATTCTTTTCTTTCTTCATACCATGGAGACATCTTGAGTTCGTGTGAATTTTATCTGTTTCTCACATAGTATCTTAACCTGAAAGAAACCTACCAAGAAATCCATGATTCAATCAAATTCGTGCCAATACCAGAAGGACAAGAAGATGAAAGTCTGATGTAATCGAGGGGTTGTCGTGCGGGCTGGTCAGCTGCTGCTCCCTGGCAAGTCATGCAGCGAGTCATTAGACAAGTCGATCAACCGCTTCATCTCCCGACTATAAAACCCACTCTCTCTTCTCTTCACCCCTCCCCACATCCTCACCCCTCGTTCACCTTCACCATGTCCGACCCATACCTCCAACAGCCTCCATACCCGGCAGCTCCAGCCCCAGGAGTCCCCGCCGGCGGAACCGCCGCATACTACGCACCCCCGGACAGCGTCTACCAGAACCCGCCGTACGACTACGATCCCCAGCAGCAGCCCTACGCGCAGCACGAGGGTCCCGGGTACCCACCCTACGAGTACAATAATCACCAACAGTACGGCTCGCAGTACGATCTGTCGCAGAACAGCGCCGTCCCTAGGTCCTTTCCTCCGCCGGTCGTCCCGCCTCCCCCGATGCCTCAGCCAACGGAGTATCTGAGCCCCGTGTCGGCGGAGTTCCCGCCGCCGCCGGGGGGTCTTCTTCAGAGGGGAAGTAATGCGGATTATTAGTATGTTTTCACCTTTCCCTCGTTCTCGCTCTATGTAGTATTGTTTGTCAGTATTGTCTAGCGTTAGCTTCGACAGGCGCCCAATCGACGCATTACTTCTCCAACTAACTCCAAAACACAATCAATAGCGACCAGCACCCCTCCGACCCCAACTCGACAACCCCAGATCCCAACAACAAGTCCGAAGACGCAGACCGCAGCGCCGCCCCCAACGAGGCCGATGAAAGCGAACGCAACCTCCCCGGCGCATTACTCGGCGGCGCAACGGGCTACTACCTCGGTCACAAGAAAAGCCACGGATTTCTAGGCGCCGTGGGCGGGGCCTTATTAGGCAATTACCTCGGCGATAAAATGAGCGAGAGTGGTGGTGATGGTGATGGTGACGACGATGCGCACTCGTCGCATCATTCGCATGATGGTCGACGCAGGAGACGGAGACATCGGCATTCTCATTCGCATGGCAGTCACAGCCATAGTAGCCATAGTAGCCATAGCCATAGCGGGAGCCATGGACATGGACATCATCATCATCACCACCATCATCACCATCATGGTGATGGGTATCATGGACATCGGAGACATCGGAGTCGGTCGAGACATAGTAGTCATAGTCATGGGGGGAGTGATGGGTGGTGAGGGATGTTGGGTTCGGGTTGACAGGGTGGGGACTAATTTGAATGATGGTGGATGGGTTATGATAATGACTTGATGACTGACTGACTTGTTTTCACACTTATGATTTTACGATTTAGATGGTTTTTGATTTTTGCTTTCAATTGTTTTTGATTTGGGCTTTGTTGTGACTTTCGAGTTCACCGTTCAGATATGCCTGCGTTTATATGACGATGTCCGCTTGCGTCTTGTTTAATACCAGAATACATGCAAGACTACCTATATCCAGATTACTGCTATCTTGTGCTTCGCGTACTCATGATAGCAGTTATACCATAAACTGCATTCTATTTCTATCTGAGATAAACTTCAAACCAGTAAGTCAATTAACCTTGAGTCACGGTTGAACAAAACAACAACTCTTTACTCCTTCAACATATCCTCCAACACCTCAGCAGGAGTACGCTTTGGCGCAGCAAGCTCCAGTACTTCCTTACTAGTAGTAGAAGCCGAGCACTGTCCCTCCCAGGCCGGCTTCACAGAGTGTCTGATAGAGGACACCACGTTCTTGGACTCCTTGGTTCCAGCGAGCCGGAATTCAACGTACGGATCGATAATCGACATGTCCCTGAAAATAACATCCTCGACCCGTGTTCCGATGTGCTTCTCAACCAACTCCACAATTTGAAGCCCAGTGAGATCTTCCGGCCCGTTCAGCACGTATCTGGCCTTGTTGTGCGCAGCAGTATCATCCTGGACCAGGAGATGAGCCGCAAAGATGCCGATATCCGCGGGATCAATTATTCCGGTGGGAGCATCTTCCGCGGCCAATAACTTCAACGTGTCCTGCTTTCCGGTATTGCGGAACTGTTTGATCAGCCCAGCAGCGGAGGAGAGCCAAATTTGGGAGAAGACGTTGGGCTGAAGGGAGGTCCACTGCAAGGCGCTGAATTGCGGCGAGTCCAGAAGAGCCTCGATGGCCCAGTGGGAACGGGGATAGTAGGCGTCGCAGTCCGGGCGGACGTTCGCGGCGGTGGTCGAGATGCGCACGACGTACTTGACGCCGGCTTTCAGGGCGGCTTGATGGAAGGTGGATTCTTCTGCGAATTGGTTTGGATTGTTGTGTGGTGCGATGAACGCTCTGGTGACGTTGTGCTCGCGCAGCCAGTCAGCGGTGATTTCAACCCAGTTCTGCTCAATCACCTCCACGCCGGGCAATTTGGTAAATTCGCGCGCTACTGGACCATCCAGAGAACGGGTGAGAGCAATGACCCGGTGGTCAGATAAAGTGTTGCTGGATTCGAGCAGCTTTGGTAGCGTTTCCACGACGCTTCGGCCGGTGTTGCCGGTTGCGCCGACGATGAGGATTGTGGGAGCCATGATTGAATTGAAGAGGCAAGGATGTTGTTCTAGCAAAATATTGTATGAGAAGACAATGTCTGTATCCCCATCAAGTACTGCTGCGACTTCTGGTTATTTATACCCTTGCGCTGCCTGCATCACACCTTAGGGCTCTGATTAATATTAACAAGGAGCAATAAGCATTATTAGTAAGGTTAGTGGATATCCCAGATGTCGTGATCTGTATCAACGAACTAATCAACAATTCATAATCAGTGATCCATAGGATTCCAATCCAATTCATGGTTCCATTTTACTCACCATCGGAACATCCCACCGGACCCTCCCACTGGATCCACCCGCCGCGATCTCCCACCGCAGTCTCCCACCGCTGCACTACTTGCATACGGTGTAGTAGTTCATGTTGATGTTATGGATACCAGAAGTCGCCGTATCACATCGACAGAGACATTCAATTGTTCCTTCCCGGGATGCAACGCAAGTTATCGTCGCAAGGAACATCTCATACGTCATCGGACGCAACACAATCAGTCCCAGTCTTTCGAATGTCCAGTCTGCAATCGGACATTTGGGCGCAAGTAATTGTTGACTACCCCTATCTGCCGTTGAACTGAGTTTCTAACGTCGAGTTCCTGCATCAAGTGATACCCTTCGCCGACACATGAGGCGGGCTCATGAGGCCGACAAACTGCCTTCTCAGATAAGGCGTGCCTGTTCGCAATGCCGGGGCCTGAAGTCTCGCTGTGAAGGTGGGCAGCCATGTCGCGAGTGCATTCGCCGTAAAACTCTCTGTTCCTTTGACGACCCACAGAGAACGAATTTCCAAGAATCGCTCCGCCACTTGACTGACAGAGTACCGGAGCCGTCGCACGCCACATCTCTCCGGCCCGAGAGGAGGGATCGACACTTCGTCGATCTCTATTTTGAAAGGTTCCATCCCCATTGGCCATTTGTTCATCGTGTGTCTTTCAGTGTATCCAAAGAGATGCCTTTACTCACGCAGTCAATGATGGTCATCGGCCTGTGGGCGAGCGGAGAGCAGAGTGCCCAGCGCGCCGCGCTCGACCTCCACAGGACGCTGGACTTGGCCATCCACCAACAAAGAGTAAGTGGGTGCTATTCATGCCAGTTGAGGTGCGCGTTCACTAACAACCTGGGATGTAGGAAGTATGGGATGCTTCCATTGCAGAAGACGCCGGCAGCACCTGTTCCTGGCCAATCCCCACGTACCAGGCGATCCTATTGCACGTTATGTTCGCCATAATGCATCAAGGCGGTTCCTCCGTGGGGTTTGACCTAAAGATTGCTCTCCCCCCTGCTGATAGCCAACTCCTAGACTCCCTTGTAAGGAGTTGCAAGCGACTAGGCATGTTCTACTATCCAAACATCCTTGCTCAGCATCTTCCAGGGTCGATGGTTGAAATTGCCTGGGTTGACATCGAGGAGACAAAAAGATTTAACCTGACCCTTTACAAAGTCCACAAGATGCTGAGCAGGCGAGAAACAGGGCTTTGTCTTGCAGGTGACACAGTGGCCGAAACATCAAGCGGAGGCCTCGCTGCGATCGATCTACAGTTCCCAATACCCGCGAATGACCAATTATGGAACGCCACGAACAAAGAAGAATGGATGTCTGCGCCCCAAAAGGCGGTCTATTTCACGTTGGATGACGCCAGGGAAGACGAATGGATCTCCAAGTCGGCAGAACTTGTTGGACTATTGGCCTAGTGGAATCATGTCGAATTGCAGATGTGACAGAATCTGGACAGGGATCAGGGGGCTCAAATCTGCTGGATTGCTGTTTATGAGGTTGATCAGATTGGACAATCAACCAACTATGTAAGGTGCGAAGTGCCTCACCACTAGCAAGGCAAACTGGTTTTCTATCGAGCATGAACTGGGCTAGTGGGATACATCCCGGCTGTGATCGAGTGGCCGTAGTTGCAAACAGGGACTTAATGTGACATCACGATGTATTGGTAGTCATCATAGTCCGTACTCCGTATCGTGTGATTAGATTTTCTGGCAAACACAGCTTACTCTCTGACCTGTTTGGCCCGCCTAAGTTTGGCAAAGTGCCAATAGCAATTGTGCCACAAAGCCACGATCCCTATTATTTGAGTAACCACGCGTTCCTCGGAAATGCCACTCTGGTGTCGCCGCCTGATGCAGGGAGTGAAAAGGGGGAATGCCTGGCAAAACCCCCTAGATGATTGGCTACCCATACTAACCAGGAAAGTGGTATGTGATAGGTAGTAAGATATCCATCAAAGACTGGTTCCGCAACATGGACCCAAGGATTCTTGATACTGGACACAATCTAGGATGATGAAAGTGGACCTAGATTCAATGATCAAGAATTGAAGGGCATGACGGATGACAAGGAGGGATGCAGGTACGTCCAAATCGATGTGAAACTCGAGTCTTTCAGGCAGGACCTGGTGCACGTGACCGATAGACGTCGATCCGCCGGCAATCGGAGCGGGGAACGCCTCGGAGCCAATCAGACGGGGCGGATAGGGAGGAACTGCTTATCAGCCCCAGATGACTTATCGGGCGATCCTGAGGATGGCTCTCGTGACCCGATTTCATGGGGTGTGACTCCTTCCTCCCTCCCTCCCTCTCTCTTCCTGGCTCGCTCTTCGTCTTCTTATTTCCTTGATTTCGTTCTTATAGTCCGCGTTTTCTCCTTCCTTGCTCTGATTTCTTTTAGACTTTCTTCTTATAGCCTTCCTTCCTCGCCATTCTCTAGAGAGTTTCCCTCGGCGTTGTATGGAGTAGACTTCCGTCTAAGTATCACCAATCAGCCGCTCCCCGACGTGTTCGTCCTGCTTTCTATAACCATATAAACACCCTCCGCTTGCCTCCTCCTATCGAAGACTGCCATTCAAACAATATCCCGAGAAAGATGCCGCCTCCTTTGTTAGACCAGATCGTTCAGACCGCTCTTCCGCAACATTGTGAGCCGTCATCGCCATTCCTGGCCGCCCTTTCTTCGCACCTGCATATATGCCTTCCGACGCCCTTGGCGCTTATATCGTCGATCCTTGGGACATTGAGTATTATCTCGTGGCTATTTGCCCAGCTGCCTCAGATCTACAAGAATTTCCAATTGCAATCAACGTCCGGCCTGTCTTTGTTCTTCCTCGTGGAATGGTGTCTCGGTGATGCCAGCAACCTCGTGGGCGCCTTGCTTACTCGCCAAGCGGGCTGGCAAGTCATCGTTGCCGGGTACTACGTGCTGGTCGACGTGACTCTGGTGTTCCAGTACTTCTGGTATACACATTATAAACAGCGGGGAGATGATTACGGTGAGCTGTCATACTCGCATCATGATGACGGATCCGGCAGTGTCTTAGATGGGGTCTCCTTCTCCGAAGACAGTACGAATGCCAGTGCACTTCCATCAGCGCCAGCACGCCCGACAGACATTAAAGATCTGAAGGACTTGAAGGCATCTGGGTTGACGGGCGGCCAGTCACCTTCCTACTCCAACGAGAAAATGAGCTCTTCCCGTCGATCGGTGACTCGTGCTGGTAGTGGCCGTAGTCTCCCAACGAGCTCAACTCGCACCATATTACTGGCATCTATGCTATGTGCTGTGCTAGCAAATGCAGCTCCGACGGAACCGGCAACCGAGCCGTCATCCAATCAGATTGACCTTGAACTCATCGGACGCATCGTTTCCTGGATGTCGACGGTCCTTTATCTCGGTTCCCGGCCGCCCCAGCTATACAAGAACTACTGCCGGAAGAGCACGTCCGGCCTGTCTCCTCTCCTCTTCATGGCCGCCTTTGGCGGAAACCTCTTTTACTCCGCTTCTCTCCTGACCAACCCGAACGCCTGGTATGACTTTCCTGCTTATGGAGGTGGCGGATGGGCGGACGCCGACGGCAATGACCGCCTCGAATGGGTAGGCCGAGCCATTCCCTTCTTCCTTGGAGCGTTCGGGGTTCTTGGTCTTGATGGGTTCATGGGAGTACAATTTCTCATGTACGGCTCCAATGACGGAGAATCCATCATGGAAGTTGAAGACCCCAAGCGCGGCCGCAGTCACTGGACACGCGTCCGTGGATGGATGAGGGGCTGGATCCCCTCCGTCTCCCCTTCGCGCGAGATCCATCATGGCAACGGCGCCACTCCTCACGAAAGACGAGCTCTTCTAGACGAAGACCGTGAAAGATACGGCACTGTTTAACCTGCTTTATGCATTTGTTTTTGCCTCTGTCTCTGCACTTAGCAGAGGAATGACTATCTCATGACGTAATGACTCTCACCCACTGAGGCCTCATTCTAAGCCTCTGACGTTTTCGGTTTACTATACATATACTGTTCTCTTTTCTGTTTTATGATTGGTTTTGGTTATTCCTACTTGTTTGGAAGAGAGTGGCATCTCTTTACTTAGAGATCGAGATAAACCATCTCAAATCCACCAGACAAGTGGCAATTTGCATCAAGGTTTTCGTGTCTCGATACATACATATACTATACCTCATGCGCACACATACATAGCTCGGCGTTCGCTGTAATCTCACTGGCTGTGACTTTCTGTCTTCGGCTTTTTGGTTTTTCATACTCGTTTTCATGTGTTTCTATCTTTCGGCCCGTTACATGAATACATAGGCCGTGCGGTTTCATCTCAGTTTAGGGGAGAAATGGTTTCTTCTGAGTCGTGGGTGTCGGTCGAACCGGGATGTTTTATTCATACTTATAGATTCATATCTCCTTAAATAGATTCATGCATTTAGCAGACAAATTAAGCTTGTCGTCATGGTTGAATATTAGAAAATACACCCAACTTCATCATTGGATAATGACACTAACTGAATGGGAAAGGAAAATCAAAGGTCAATATTAACAAATCATCTAAATTAATTATAAACGCTTGAATGCAGCTCTGACAACCCTATGTGCCATCAGATGTCGAGTCCCGTTCCATTTCCACACTTTCATCAGACTCATTCATTAGGATACAATATCAAAAAGAGAAAGAGAAACAAGAAAAAAAAAATAAACACAGCCCCGAGACTTTTGGTTTAAACAATAAGAGACTGGCTCTAATCGCAGCCCTCCAGCACTTGGTGGGGTAGAATAGCCAGCAATATGTGTCTATAAAGTAACAGTGAAGGGCAGGGGCTGAATATGAAGAAAAGAAAGGGTAAAGACGGAGCACGACTGAAATCTAGTGGTAAAAGACCAAGAGAGATCGGCGAGCTTCGGGATGAGAAGGAAAGCCAACCAAGTCAAAGTTCGCTCGAAAGGCATGTATTGCATGTTCAATGGTTCATGATTGTTTGAACCCTGGGAAACCCTCTCACTGCACCGGTGAAATGGAATAGAAACAAAGGCAGTAAAGGGACCCACAGAACAATCAGAATCTGATCGTCAAAAAGATACATAAATGGCGAAGATATGGAATGAATATGCGACGCGGCATGACCAGCATCAACCGAGTCCTTTGGGGGGTGATGTAAATGCGAATGTCCTTCCAAACACAGGTACATACAAGCACCAGATGAAGTAGGCCCTAATACAGTGGAGCCTTGACATCCTGCACACCGCGCCGGATGACATCCTCAATCTGCCATCGGGGAGGGTGCACAGTCGCAATCTGTTGGCGATGCCATTCTTTCTCCATCTCTGGCGGCGGTGCCGAGCCCTCACTGGAGGGCAAAGCGCCACCAGCGACGCCCGTTGAGAACTTCAGCTGCAGAACATTTCCGATTTCGTCACATGCCGTGAGAATGCGATCCAGATCTTCCTTGGTGTGTGCTGCTGAAACGCAGAAACGGGCGCGAGACGAGACCAAAGGCGTGGCAGGATAACCCACCACGACGACAGAGATCTTCCGCTTCAGCATCTCGTGGGAGAAAGCGGGCATCTTGGCAGGGTTGAAAAGCAGAACCGGAATGATGGGAGAATCGTCGTGCCCGTAAACAATGAATCCGAGACGTTTCAACCCAAGACGAAGATACCGAGAGTTGAAAGCCAAACGCTGCAGACGCTCCTCACCCTGACCTGGCACGATCTCTCCATTGATGATGCGAAGTGCGGACGAAATTTGGGCCAGAACCGCAGGGGAGGGGGACTCGCCATACACAACTCCGGAGTTGGTTGAACGGAGAGTATCAATCATCGCCTTGTCGGCTGCAATGTAGCCTCCGTTGGCACCAAAAGATTTGGTGAGGGTGCCCATGAGAATATCAACTTCGCTGGTGTCGATGCCAAAATAGTCACAGACGCCGCGTCCACGGGGTCCAATGGCTCCGATAGAGTGCGCCTCGTCGACAAACAGGTGGAATTTGTAACGCCGTTTCAAGGCAATCAAGCCAGGCAAGTTGCACATGGACCCTTCCATAGAGTAGAGACCCTCAACAACGACCAAGATATTCTTCCAGGGGCGGTGGGTACGCGGCTGTCCTTGACTGATGGCCTCCCGAAGCTTGTTCTCCAGGTCTTTCATGTCATTGTGCTTGAACATGCCGATGGATGCTCCGGAAAGACGAGCCCCAAATCGAATAGATGCGTGGTTCAGCTCATCGGAAATGATGAGACAGCCCTTGCTCACCAAGGCCGGGAAGACATTGGCATTGGTACCGAAACCCATGGAGAACACCATGGAAGCTTCTTTGCCGACAAATCTAGCGATCAAATCCTCGAGCTCGTTGTGAAGATCTTGCGTTCCGGCTTCGGCACGGGTACTGGGTGCAACGATGCCATATTTTCTAACGGCCTCTTCGGCATCGTTGGCACACGGGCCTTCCGATTGAGCAAATCCCAGGTAATTGTACGAGCTGAGGTTGAGCGTGTCGGTGGTGGTTCCGGTGAAGTGGAAATTCTTGTTATGGTCATCGGTGGCGCGATCGATCAAGGTGATGTATCTTCCGGGAACGCCGGTGACCGGGCGCTCAAAGCAATCATTGATACGTAGCTTCAGCCGGCGAACGTAGAAATTGTCAAAATCACTGTTCAGCGCACCGTATCCATTCCGAGGCTTCAGGTGACGGTAGTTTTCTTCGCGGAAGCGTTTTCCAAAGAAGTCGCGAACGTGTCCAAATGCAATTAGGATTAGATAACTGATGTAGGTGGTAAGAAGGTAGTAATAGGGAGGTTCGTCCATGATGGGCTCGGGGAAGTCCCCGCCGGGATGTTGGCTCGAGTACCGGTGGCTCGGATGTCCGATCGGACCGAACTGAGCGTGCTGCTTCGCCAGGCGGCGAGCCTCCTCCGGCGAGGGAGGCTGGAAGAGGGTGGTCGGCGGTTCGTCCATGTTGGGATTATCTGCGGTCGCAGTCGAGAGAGAAATAGTCGGCAACGAGAGAGACGCCGAGCTGATGGGAGGCGCAGCAGTATTCCCACCGGTTGTTTGCAAAGCCGCTTGGGCAGGCGTCAACTCAACTTTCGACTTGGGCGAGGTCGAGAAGAATTGGGTCAAGCGGTTTGGTTTGGAAGGCGCTTTGATGGCGATACCGCCCTTTCCAGAGACGGAAGAAAAGGACGGCGAGGTGGAGGGGTCGTTGGTAGAAGAATTGGCAGATCGACGAGGCATCGCAAGATAACCGGCCGAACAGGGAAGAAGGATCAAGGTCGCGCGACACCGACGTGATAGACAGAGCGAGGCGGCTGGATTTTCGGAAGGACAGGAATAGCAGGAACTATTCGAGAGAGCACGAAGGAGGCCTTTTTTATGTTCTCCAACACACCAAAAGAGCGAGTTCCGTTACTGTGTCGGATCTCTTCGCAATGGTGCCAGATCAACGTCAAACTGAACGAGGCGCAGACAACGGGTCAGTTCAATCAATTCCGATGAACATGTGGACCAGAAAACAAATAAGCCGAGCGATAAACACCGCGTACAGATAAATATAAAGTGAAGAAGAACAATAAAAACAAGGCGAGGGTGGGGGGGGGGGGGGAGAAAGAAAGGAGGGAAGGAAGTAGCGAAGGGGAAGGCAATAATGGGGAGACGAACGGACGAGGGAGCGAGAGCGAGAGGGAGACACAGGAGGGACTCCGAGAAAGCCGGGATTGGTCCTGGTAATTTGCCCGGCACGTGGAGGGACGTTGGGGAGGGCACTGAGCCCTGCAATGAACGAATGGGTCGCGTACCGACGAGCGAACCTCGATGGTAGAGAAGTGAAGGATACAGCCTGCGTTTGAAGCAGCAATTGAGGTGAAAGGAGAAAGGAAAAAAAAAAAAGGAAGAAAATAATGTTCGAATGAAATCGAGCCCGGATCCGGATCGTGACATGGAAGAAAAGAGAGAAAAAAAGACCAGAAAAAGAAGTGGAGCAAAGGCGACCCATGCGGTATTTTAATTTCTAATGGTATGATGTGGTATCCACCTCCCGCGTGTCCGTGGTATTTAGCGGCTGATCAGCCTTGAGATGGTTACAGAACGGTAAGATTACCACCCCTGGACCCTCCTGCAAGGTACCTTACCCCTGGGCTTGATGCCTTGATGCCTCAATGCCTCAGGCCGTGATGCCCGCCCTTGCCTCCGAGCCCAAATCCTACCAGTGTCCTACCGTTCAAGCTGATTCCCCAGTTCCCAAGTCCCAACAATCTCGGAAATTTCCGCTCCAGATTCGGAAAACTCGCTGACTACCGCGCTGACTAGTTGATAGTTCAAATCTAAAATCGCCTCGGGACCTGCAATTCGGGCCCTCATTAGTCTGGTTTGCTTCTTTTTATTCAAGTATTCTCTGAAGGTCAACCACGTTGCCTCGGCCGCGGTCACTGACAACGGAAGTATATATTTCGGGCCGTGTCCTCCCCACAATCCCTTATTTACCGGGGGCAAATTGATCGACTATCAGAAAGAAACAAACATCGCGACCATGCCATTCATTGACACTTCTCCCAGTTCAAAGGAACTGTGGCGCCACTCCGCTCCGCATACCACTCAAATCTATGACTTCATCCAAAAGTCCAACCAAACCTACGGAACGTCGCTGACCAGCTACGACGACCTGTGGCAGTGGAGCGTGTCCGAGCCTGCCAAGTTCTGGGAGCATGTGTGGCATTATACTGCTCTCAAAGCTCACAATCAGTATAATGTAGTGAGTAGTCCCGACAGAGGGGCATTCGGGTCGTGGTTGCATTATTCGGTCAAGGATTCATCTAATGTCCCTGCAGGTGCTGGATTCGGACCAACTTCTCTTTCCCAGGCCTAACTTCTTCGCCGGCAGCACCCTCAATTTCGCCGAGAATCTACTCTACCCAGCCTCATCACCCGACGAAAATGCCATCGCGATCATCGCCGCTACCGAGGCTGATCGGGAAACTATCTCGTGGAAAGAATTGCGGGATCGTGTGCAGCGATGCGCCAATTCACTAAAGGAGGCTGGTCTGCAACCCGGGGATCGAGTCGCGGGGTTCTTGGGAAATCATGCGAACACGGTCATTGCAATGCTAGCGACCACTTCCATTGGAGCTTTTTGGACAGGCGTGTCTCCTGACACGGGCGTCCATGCTGTATTGGAGCGTTTGGGCCAGATAGAGCCCAAAGTCTTGTTCGCTGACAATGCGTCTCTATATAACGGCAAAGTGCACGGGACAAATGCCAAAATCCAGCAGATCATTCCCGAGCTTCCAAAGCTGCAGATGTTGGTGATATTCGAGACCGTCAAGTCTCATGAATTCAATCTTGAGGACGTTCCTCGGACGCAGGCGACAGTGTCTACTTATGACGCTTTTCTTTCCTCGGCTCGCGATCCTTCCGCCCCTCTCGAGTTTACCAGTCTTCCTCCCGACCATCCAGTCTACATTTTATATTCGTCCGGTACCACGGGGGCACCGAAACCCATCGTGCACGGCTCTCTCGGGACGTTGTTGCAGCATAGGAAGGAGCACGTGCTTCACTGCGATATACGCCCGGGAGATCGTGTGTTCTATTTCACGACAGTCACTTGGATGATGTGGCACTGGCTGGTTTCGGCACTTGCCAGTGGCGCTACCATCGTTCTTTATGACGGCTCCCCGTTCCGACCTTTCGATGCGGAAGGGGGAAATGGAGAGATGGCTATGCCACGACTGATCGATGAGTTGCAAATCACCCACTTCGGAACGTCAGCAAAATATCTGTCTGTCCTAGAACAAGCGTCTCTCAATCCCAGGATGCACCCGCATCGCCCGGTAACCCTGAAATCCCTGAGGGCAATCTTCAGCACTGGTTCTCCTCTCGCCCCATCCACATTCGAGTATATCTACTCCTCCATCCATCCCGATATTATGCTAGGCTCGATCACCGGAGGTACCGATATCCTATCGTTGTTCTGTGGTAGTTGCCCCATTCTTCCTGTCTGCAAAGGCGAGATCCAGTGCCGTTGCCTCGCAATGGCTGTCTCCGTATATGACTACGCTGGCAATGATATAAGCGCCTCCGACGAACCCGGTGACCTTGTTTGCACGAAGCCTTTCCCTGCGCAACCGGTGATGTTCTGGCCTCCCGGTCCTGTCGGAGCCGAAAAATACCGCAAAAGCTATTTCGACGTTTTTGGACCGTCAATATGGCATCACGGAGATTTTGTGCGCCTGAATCCGCGCACCGGGGGCGTGACCATGCTGGGCCGGAGTGACGGTGTCCTGAAACCTGCCGGTGTCAGATTCGGAAGTGCAGAAATATACAACGTCCTTCTTAAGCATTTTGCGGACGAGGTTGAGGATTCCCTCTGTGTGGGAAGAAGACGTGAGGGAATTGATACAGATGAAACCGTTGTGTTGTTTGTGAAACTGGCTTCGCCTACTGAATCATCTGCTTCCATCTCTTCGGACCTAGTAGCACGGATCCAAGCAACAATCCGCAAGGAGCTTAGCCCTCGCCATGTCCCCGGAATAGTGGATGCCTGCCCGGAGATTCCGGTGACTTCCAATGGCAAAAAGGTGGAAAACGCCGTGAAGCAGATTCTGTGTGGCTTGAATATCAAGATTGGAGCCAGTGTTGCCAATGCCTCTTGTCTTGACTGGTATCGTTCCTGGGCGACGGAGCATTTGTAGAGTGCGGGGTTGAAGTTTCCTCATCTTGTTACTCCTGAACTTATACTTCGGCGTGTAGAGTCCTGACAGACTGATAGATAGGTTGGTATGGGATAAAAGTTGATTTCCAAGTGGTAGATTTGGGAGAATTAGTCAAGGGCGATTCTAGATCTCGGATTATTAAAGAATACATTACTCTCGTTGCCACCGCAGAATCATCAGAAATGATTCTGATAAGCTTTCATACCGTTGGCTTACATCTTATTACATTCAATTTTAATTGAATAGCTCCTAAAAAGTCCAGACAACACTGGCCAAAAACCAGAGCTTCCATTCATGCGTGGACACCTGATTAGATAAGCGATCTCCGAGTCTCCGGCCAAATCCTTGCGACCAAAACCTCCGAGAACCAGCTTCTTCTCACCAGACGGGGATGACCAATTTGCTTTGAATTCACCTGTACATTTCATATAGCAAACCATCATAATGCGTCGTTCTGTCTTACGGGCCGTTGAGTCCGCAAAGCCCCTTGCCCGCGTGCCTCGTTCGGCGTCGAGAGCCTTTGCTACTGAGGCCGGTTCCAAGGTAAACCAACCCGAAGACCCTGGCCATGACTTTTGGGGGGTTCTATCAATCTAACGAAATGTTTTCCTTCGGTAGGATCCCGCCGAGCTGGAACAGATCACAACGCTGCCAAACGGTATCCGTGTCGCCACAGAATCCTTGCCGGGACCCTTCTCCGGCGTCGGCGTTTACATCGATGCTGGATCTCGATATGAGGATGAGAGTTTGCGGGGTGTGAGCCACATCATGGATCGATTGGCCTTCAAATCGACAAAGACGCGCTCCAGCGATGAGATGCTCGAGACCCTCGAGAATCTGGGCGGCAACATCCAGTGCGCTTCTTCTCGCGAGTCGCTCATGTATCAGTCCGCCAGCTTTAACTCCGCCGTCCCTACAACCCTCGGCCTGTTGGCGGAAACGATCCGTGACCCGCTCATCACCGAGGAGGAGGTCCTTCAGCAGTTGGCCACCGCCGAATATGAGATCGGAGAGATTTGGTCCAAACCGGAGCTCATCCTGCCAGAGCTGGTCCACATGGCGGCTTACAAGGATAACACACTGGGCAACCCTCTGCTATGTCCGGAAGAGAGGCTGGGAGCAATCAACAAAGCCGTTGTCGAAAAGTACCGCGAGACTTTCTTCAATCCTGAGCGGATGGTCGTTGCGTTTGCCGGAGTGCCTCACCAGACGGCTGTTAGCCTCACGGAGCAGCTTTTCGGCGACATGAAGAGTCACAAAGGCCCTAGCTTGTCCGGCAGCGGCGTCGACACCACTCTGTCGGAGGGCCAGGAGCCCACTGTCCCGCAGTTTACTCCCACATCCACCATCTCGACCCCTGCTGCCTCCCAGAAGGCGCAGCCTAGTCTCTTCTCTAAGCTACCCTTCCTGAAGAATCTTTCCACATCTGGCTCCAACGAGGCCGCCACGCCATCGGAATCTGCTCTGGCGGGTTCTTCAACTCTGGACTTGACGAGTCCTTCGCGCTACACCGGTGGCTTCCTTTCTCTTCCGCCAATCCCCCCGCCGGCGAACCCCATGCTTCCTCGGTTGAGCCATATCCACCTCGCCTTCGAAGCCTTGCCTATCTCCAACCCCGATATCTATGCTCTTGCCACTCTTCAAACCCTCCTTGGAGGTGGTGGATCGTTCTCCGCTGGTGGTCCCGGCAAGGGAATGTACTCTCGTCTCTACACCAACGTGCTAAACCAGCACGGATGGGTTGAGAGCTGCATTGCATTCAACCACAGTTACACCGACAGCGGAATCTTCGGAATCTCTGCATCCTGTAGCCCGACCCGCACAACGGAGATGCTTGAGGTCATGTGTCGCGAACTCCAGTCGCTGACCATCGACTCGGGATTTGCGGCCTTGCAGCCTCAGGAGGTTAACCGGGCAAAGAACCAGCTGCGCTCCTCCCTCCTTATGAATCTGGAGTCGCGCATGGTTGAGCTGGAAGATCTCGGACGTCAGGTCCAGGTCCACGGTCGCAAGGTCAGCGTGAAGGAGATGTGCGAAAAAATCGAGGCACTGACCGTGGAAGACTTGCGCCGGGTCGCACGACAAGTCTTCGGAGGCAATGTCCAGAACAAGGGACAGGGCACCGGTAAGCCCACTGTTGTGCTGCAGGAAGGTGAACTGGAAGGCTACAAACTTCGTTCATTCCCTTGGGAGGAAATCCAGGAGCGCATTGCGCGGTGGAAGTTGGGCCGGAGGTAAATTTTGGAGATTGAGGCGTCGCAGATAGACACACGATTGTACTGTACTTGTTGGAATGTATACTATAGAAATGGGGAGGACGACTGGCGTGAGAATCTCTAATTTTCTCCTCTCCCTGTAATTAAGAGGATCTATTATGATATTAGATGGATATTATTTACTCCGTTGGTATGACCGGGGTCGGCGGTCGCAATGACGCTCTGTAGTTGGCCGAAGCTCCTTGCCGCTTTAGGCGCGTTTGGGTCGGGAAAAAAGTTGGAACGAACTTCAAATCCGCCGTCACCCATCATTCTCCGTCCTCCTCTCGACTTCCATTTCCACCACGACCCCCGATCACCCCAACCCTCTCTTCGACCCTCCACCTCCCATATAATTCACCACCGTCACAATGGTTAAGCTTACCGAAGTCGAGGATGAGCACTTTGCTCAGGAGAAGCCCCAGACCAGCAAGAACAACGTCCTTTTGGACTCGGATGACGAGGAAGACTACACTGACACCGGTTAGTATCCTGACAGTCCTGAAACGATGGAATTACCTAGGGCAATCATATCGCCTTTCATTCCTTTTCGATTCACATCCCGATTTCGCTATTCCCATCCATGACATATCGTGCTTTTCCTTTCCAACATCCGATCCACGCCTACCTATACATACCCTCAATTACCTTGACGAAACCCCCAAAAAATTTCCTTTTCTGACAATCGCTATGAACTGCAGAGTCCGAGATCTCGAACGATGAAGAGATTGACCTTGAGAGCGAGGGTCTGTACGAACGCCTGTCGGCCTTGAAAGATATCATTCCCCCCTCCGCCCGTCGCTCAGTCAACAACACCGTCTCCTCCGTCACTTCCTTCACAAAGTCCACAATCTCCTTCAGCAGTAAGGCGTTGTGGATCATCAGCACCAGCGCTTTCCTCCTCGGTGTCCCATGGGCCCTTGCCTATGCCGAGGAAGAGCAGTACATTCAGATGGAGCGTGAGCAGGGCATGATCAAGGGTGCCAACGAGGTATGTTCACAGACAAACTGTTATCTCGCGTTATTACTATTGGCGTTGCTCGGCTGTTCCGGTATCTCTGGTGGTGGCCATCATCGTGCGCCCGACGATGGGGATGACGTGAAAAACTTTTCCGTCAACAAAACCGCGCCAAGAAACCGGAAAACGCGACTTTCAGCGCTGTCAATGCTGTTTGATGCCATCTGTGCCATATCTTCGTTGAATCGATCGCGATTGGAAACTAACAATATTGCCATTGCAGATGCTCACGCCCGGCGCTCCCACGGAAGAGAAGCCGGCCCAGCCTACTTTGTAAATGAACTCCCCTATCGAAGATGAAGATCGCAACAGGTGACGAAGATCAACCTTCTTACCTCGCCATCACCTACTGTCTTTGTCCGAAGCCGCCTGTTGCTCTTGTGGTCTCGCATACGACGTCATCGTCTGCACTAAGCGGATCTGTACCAGTTGACTGGGACCAATACTCAACGAACCGAAGATTAATCATATATAAGGAATAACAAAAATTAAAAAAAGCACCAACGAGCATACATCAGCGTTGCAGGGTAGTCTGTTGGGGGAACAAAAAGTATGTACAAGACAATTCGGATGGGAAGTTCCTTCTTTCTCGGGCAATGACAGGTTGGACACGATGGTCATGAAAATGGTATCCCCTCCCGCCTGTTTCTTTCGGAGTTTTTGTTCTATTTGACTTGCTTCTTTCCTCTCATGCCTTGTGGTCTGGCTGGCGTGTTGGATCTGGGGCAATGGCTGTATTTGTATAAGTGATTTCTTATTTCTTTCAGTTCGTTTCGTTATGTCCATTGTTTACCTACTTTATATTGATCTCAAGCTCTAAATAATGGAATGTGAATGGTTCTAGAGACGATCCATGCCACCGGAAGGTCCAGTGCTGGTCGGAGCCTGTCGTTTGGCCGGAGTCTTCCGTTTGATCTTTTGGTTTGGGTGGTATTTCATTCACCGGCCCTTCCTCTCTCTTTCCCTCTGCCCCCTAGTTCCCTAACGCTCTATTTTTTCTGTATCTACTCCTCTTTTTCACCTTTCTCCGTGCTTCAAGGTATACTGAGCTCAAACCCGTCAGCATGGATCTTCCTTTCGAACTGCTCCACCAAATCGCTAGCTACCTCTCTCCTGCTGAATCTACAAACGTCGGTTTGACCTGCCGCCGCATGTATCCTGTCTTTATCAATAGCCGTTATCGCGATATTATATTCCTCACTCCTCGTGATGACGCTGCTTGGGACTTATGCCGGCGTATTTGCCTCTTGCTACGGACTCTTCTGCTGAATCCGTTGTTACGGCCGCTTGTCCACAGGTTTGAGATTCACTACAGCAACATCGAATACAAAGATTCATTTCCAGATCCTCTGTGGACCACCGAAGAATTCGCTCCAGGTGAACTGGGCTACAACCACAATTGTTGGCTCGGCGAGAAAGGCCTTAAACAGCTAAAAGCGCATATCCGAACGGAGCAGTCTCAAGCTGACGCCCTATGGTTCGATTGCCTGGACTATGGACAAAAAGGCGCTACCATTGCCGTGCTTCTATCTCTCATGCCAAATCTCGAGTTTCTCTACCTGGACGTTGGATTACACGTCTCAACCATCTCCTTCGCCCGGTTGACCCAACATGCCATCTCGCGTCTCCAATCCGAATCTCAATCCCAATCCCGATCACCTTCACAGTCCCCAATCCCCCTAGCCAATCTCAAACATGTCACCTACGCTCCCCTCCGCGGAAAATTTTTCGGAAAATATTCCGGTGAGGACGAACCGTACGACCTCGACTCCGTCATGTTCGACCCCAATCAGATCCCTCTTCTCTTCTATCTCCCTCGGATCCAGTCTATCGCCGGCCTAATGCCTCATTACCCCGACTTCAGCTGGACCGATATTTCCTGCCTACCACCCTCCCTTTCTACCCGACCAAACGCGACGACCTTGACTTCCTTACGCCTTAGAAATAGCCCCCTTGGGGCATCCGAGCTCAAGGTACTTCTTTCCGCCACCCCGAACCTACAATCACTCTTCTATGAAGTCATCCCCCCCTTCAAGACCCTCTCCATGGATGCATGGGTCCAGCCGTTTCAGAGAGGCCTTGTTTGGGAATTTGATACTTCGATGCTAGCGCCTGCATTGCACCAGGTGCCTGCCCTTCAGGAGCTCCATATCCGCTACAACCTTCCAAGCCTAGAAGATAGCGAAATACAAATAACAAGACTGTCCCTGGCGCCGTTGACGAGATTGCGGAAATTAGCCATGCAGCTCCCACTTCTGATGTGGGGAAGGCCTGAAGATGGCCCTCCTACCTTGGATTCGCTTCCCCCGAGCTTAGAATCATTAACGATTCTAGACTGGGAGGGCTCATACGTTACCGAATATCCTGAAGATTTAATAGAGGGGGTGAGACCGTTTCTAGAAAGCAGGGGAAATGGACAATCGGCACTGGAAGAGGTATCCATGGCGCCAGCGTATCTATACGAAACTGCGGAAACTACACCGGAGGAAGCTATTGAAAAGGTGTGGGAAAGGTGGGAGGATCTAGGGAGGAGAAATGGGGTTGTGTGTGTGGCGAGATGGTAATTGAAAGGCTAGACAAATCTTGGTATTACTGGTTTGGGTCTTAATGGGTATGTTAAGAGCATGTTTAGCTATATGTCCGAAGAGATACGAATTGGAATACCTGCAATCAACCAGTTCCCTGAACCCATTCCAACGCATGCCATCGGCAATTCAACCACAAAAAGAAATTTCGGTAGGGTATCACGCAGTTCAAAATAAAACACAACGAAGCCAAAATCTTTCATATTGCAAACATCTCATCCAAGAGTCTGGGTACCACAGATTGACATTAGCACATGAATGACACCAATACACACCGCACAGAAAGAAAAAATATACATACCGTAGATTCTCTCGCCGTCCTCAAATTGATATGAAAGTCCCGCCAGAGCTTCTTGACCTCGCCGCCCTCGACCATATCACGGAACGCTTCGCCGGCGTATTTGGCATTGCGTTTCTGGCTCCAGTGGCTGCGTTCGAGGACTTTTTCGTCGGAGACGTGGCCCATACGCGCGAGGTGGTCGACGACCCATTCGTTGAGGTGGAAGCGCCAGTGCGTGAGCGTGTGGGCCATTGTGGCTCGGCCTTTGCAGTGTCTGTGGGTTTAGGATGTGTGAGTAAGAATGGGATGGGAGAAGGATGGGGAATTGACAAACCTTCCGAGATAGAAGCGGGTGTTTTCGTCTGGTAGGACGTGGCCGTCTCTGTCTCGTTCTAGACCGTCGTCTTCTTCGTCGTCGTTGTCGTCGTCGTCCGATTGCTCCTCGTCGGGATCTGAGAGCGGCTCTAAAGTATCGAGGGAATACGCTTTGCCGTAGAATTTGAGATCCGCGGATGCTGGATGGCCGGATCGTTTGCATGCGTCGCAGGGATGGTCCTCGCTGATAGGGAAGGTAGTTTCTTCGAGGTGCGGCCGCGCCATGAGGGCTCGGCAGAAGTCGGCGGTCCAGACAGAAGAGATGAGTTGGGAGCCGGTACGACCCTTGACCTCGTCCTCCAATTTATCAAACGCGACTTTGTAAATGGGGCTGGAGCGAGGGAATGCGGGGAATAGTTGGTTCAGCACCATCCACTCCACCGCGTCTTGGAAGTAGTCTTTCAATTGCTTGTAAGAGTGTCGAGAGAACTCGATGGGCATTTCCTCGAGACCGGCGGGGACACCGAGTTTGTCGTCCTCATCGTCGAGAACAAAGTCTTTGTCGTACCGATCGAGGTCCTCATTGCTGGCAATCTCGGACTCGACGTCGCTGTCTTCTCGAGCGAAAGGGATTCGGGGTTGTCGAATAGCTTCCTCCTCTTCGTCTTCGGCTTCGCTCGAGTCATCTTCTGATGAGTCCGTTTCGTCTGGCTTCGATTCCGATTGCTCTTCATCTGTTTCCGTCTGACCGGCTCTACGTCGACGAAGTGTTTCCAGATGTTTTTGTCTTTGTGCCCTAGCCGAGTTTGCGAGCCTGCCTCGAGTACGAGATTGTTTGACAACTTCAACAAGTCAACTTTGAGCACAGTAGTCGCGAGAGTTTATGGTCACTCACCTGAATCCTGAAGGTCCTCCAAATCCTCCTCTAGATCAAGTTGATCTTGGTTCTTGTTGCGACGCGGGGTTTGAGGTTCTTCCACACTCATGTTGCGGCGACCCCGTTTCACCGGGGACGAAGCAATCGGCGCATCCGACTCGTCCGAGCTATCATCAAGAACGATTGTTGCGAACTGAGCTGGACCTCTTCGCAACTTCCGACGAGGCCGCGCCACCACATCTTCATCATTCTCTTCCTGTGCCGAAGGGTCTGCACGGGTCGGAGATTTAGCGTTCGATTCTTCCGGCGAAGGCGACCTTTTCCGCTTGACGGCTCTGTTTTTGCGCACGCTTGATTGTATCTCCAGGTCACTGTCGCTGCTTTCTTCGGCCGGGGGTATAACTTCGGGGGTTGCACTTGGGGGCGGAGTAGGATTGCCTGTCGAAATTTGAGAGATCAGCAAGCCGTTCTCATTTCCTGGAATAACAGATTGTACTGTAGCACACGTACGGCTCTTCTTCTCCTTCTCTTTTCTCTTCTTCTTCTTGTCTTTTTTCTTCTCCTTTTTCTCGTTCTTCTCGCTCCTGTCCTTCACCTTAATTTCATCTTTCTCCTTCCCCGCCTTCTTATCCTTCTTCTTGTCCTTCTTGCGCCGAAATTTCCGAGATCCCTCTTCCGTAGGAACCTCACCGTTCTCTGTAGACTTATCATCGACAAACGGATCAGGAGAACCCTTCCAGCCAGGACCCATATTCGGTTTCGGGCGCGTAGCCGGAACCGTAGGCCTAGACGGATGTCCATATTTCAGAGTCGCCTGGCGAGCCATTTCGTCATTCTCATCGTCATCGGTCGGTAAGGCTATCGGCGCGAAGGAAAGCCGGGTCTGTTTCGCTTTGCCATATGTGCGGGGCATCTGTGGGGTGAGAGAGATGATCACTGGGTTTGTTCAAGGCAAGGGATTTAATGAAACTGAGTATAGGTTAAGTGTGGGTTGAAGATTAAGGTGAAGGGAATTGATGGGGAATGCAGGTAGAGGGGCACGGATGAAAATCGCGGTAAGGAAGATCAGATCGCGATAAGATCGCGTTCCGGCGTCACGAAGGCACGTGATGTCATAGTATCTTGAGTGGATTGGGGGTGTCACTTCGACTTCATTGTATGTTGAGAAGGTACATGGAAATGTCTATGATAGATTGGATCTCCTGATCCTCTGGCTAGGAGGGGTGATGGTTTGATTGTGTCCTGGTTGCTGTGGAATGCGATTGCCACTCACATTGGCCTCATAGATTGGTTTGATGAACCATATGAGTGATAGCCTGGAAGAGACAACAGTTGCTTGCTCTAGTCTTCAAATGCCCTTTAATCGGCTCATATGTCTCGTTTGCTTTCCAATTATTCCTTATGAGTAAGTTGTATCATGTCAACTCCTCTAGCCCCGTGCTTCGTGGATGTTATGGATTTTGATCATGCGGTTAATGCTCATTAATATTTCTCTTAAGAACACGGTATTTTTAGCTAGATAGCTAGGTAGTCTTTTCAATTTACATTTAAAACGGCTTCATAGAGCTCATTCTAATAGAACGGTAGAGAAGGTGGCACTTGAATATCCGTATGGCTGAGCGCCATAATCTCGACACTCCCTACTCCTTGATTGCTATCTATCAGCATATCGCATGCACCAAGAAAATAGAAGCTCAGTCAGATGTGGTGCTCTCCGAAATGAGATAGCCCACCAAATCCTGTTAATTTGGAGACTTGGTGCTCATTTTGAATCGAACTTGTGATGGTGAATGATGCAGGCGGCGAAGTGTAGTATGAGTATAAGGGTCAATCGATCAAACAGTTTGTTTCCCGTGCAGAACTGCCTGAAATAGATAACACCCACGAAAAAGCTGTCGCCCTGTAGGGTTTTGTGGCGTATAGTTCTGTCGGATCTTATTTTGACCACTCGGTTGTGACAAGGAACTTGACGGAATCGAGAACTTGGGGGTGTCAACCGCAGGTTCCTGCAGCACTATCTGTCCGTTCTTGTAGACTTTGTGCAAGGGTAAGATGAACTGGGACAAGAGAGAGGATAAGGAAAGGGAAGCTTCTCGCTCCTAGTTTTTGATATCAGCTTAATTGTCTCGGTTCCTGTCCCTCTTGTTATTCCCTGGAAGAACAAGGGTAGCAACGGAGCCGTTATTGCTATGCATAGAGCCTGTCGGTTCCATGGTGATGCGGTAGATTCTAGTTCATTCAGGGACATTACATCAAGCGGACGGTACACTGAGGTCATCGCAAAAGACGGATTTATCCCGGACTCTTTCTGTTGGCCAGGTATTCGCAACATCATTGAGAGTGGTGACGAGTCTCGCAACGTGATAGAATCCTGAAACTGGGTGCGCATGGTCCTCCCGAGTCAATAATTTGGCCTGGGAGATGACCTCGCACAGATGCACTGCAGGAAGTGGCGAGACTCGCGTCGGTTAAACCGAATCATTAGCGTGCAGGTTTTTAGGCTAAAGAAAGTCTAGCCTCTTGGCCCCTTTTGAGGTTGTACAGACTCGTAGTACTCCGTAGGTGAGTGGCAAGTCCTTCGATTTTCACAGACGATAGGAACACGTTTTCTCGTTAGACCTTGGGCTTCTCTACTCCTTCATTCCTTGCTCGATATTTGGAGGGCGAGAAAGAAGATGACAAGATATGAAGTGAGGAAAGGAGGAAAAAGGAGAGAAGCGGTCAGCCAGTAATCCGCCAGGTCTCACAATCCGGAGCACTCTAACAGCCCTACCTGAAGCTGGGCGACAAAATTTCCGGCGATCTGAAAGTATCGCCTGTAATCGCTTGGAGGGCGTCCTTGGCAGCGAAGAAGCACGGAAAAGAAGAAGACACGGCGAGGCTTGTCGAGGGTCGGTGCCTTATCCGCGGACATGTGATCCCATCCCGTGACTCTCCTCGACATGTCCTAAAGTCCTGATCCTCTTTTCTCTCCCCATTCTTCCCCGGCCCCCCCAGACTTTCTCATCCCAGGAAACTAATTGGATTCTAGGCTCGACTCCACCTTCCTTTTCCATTGGTGGACTTGGCCTTATCTTTTCATCCTGTGATGTCTGCCCTTGATTCGTGGAAACCATGATGTGGGCTCCTGTCGCCGGGCCAGAATTTCCTCGAATCTCCACCCCAGATTACCCCATGGCACCACGATGCCTGCAATGGCCCCCGTAATGGAGGTCCCAATACCTGGCTTGGTTCGGTTCACCCCAGATACCCCACCAGTCAGAAATGTTGGAGCCGAGAGCTCGACCGCTATCACGAACTAGCTAGGATGTTAGTGCCACCGGGGAGGCAAGTCCTTGGTGTCTCTTGGCCTTCAGCGTGGCTGGATGACTGAACTTGTAGCTAACGCGCCTTGGATTTAATATACGGCTGCTCCCTCGTGGTGTCTCGTACTGCTCGCATTTTTGGGGGTTTGTTGATACCCATCTGTTTCTAGACATCGCAGCACTGGTGTCTCTGGCCCATTTCGTGCCCTTTCTGCCCTTTCCTTTCTCGTTGTGCTATATTCATCTTTCCCCAAAGTTATTGTTCATTTTCACCCCTCGTGCTGTTAGCCTGACTATACAGTCAAGGCACGAGTAAAGCGCACACAATGATAGGATTTCTAACATCCAAGAGAGCCTATAACTGGTTTGTACACCGTTCATCTCATATTCCCCGCTCAGGTCTGATTAGATCTTGAATAGGTTCATCTCTTTGGTTGCGGCGTCATGCATGGTGCTTTATGGGTACGATGCGTCCGTATATAACTCGGTGCAAGGGTCGGATAACTGGGTGGAGTACTTCAACAACCCCGGGCCGAACATGATCGGTGGCGTGAACACGGCCTACACCGTGGGTGCCATTTTCGGTGGTTTCTTCTTGGGAGGTCCCATCGCCGATTTTCTTGGTCGCAAGTTCGGTATGGGAGTAGGATGTGTCCTGGTGATCGCTGCCACTTTCATGCAAACCTGGTCTCCTCGTGGTAACATCGCATGCTTCCTTGCCGGGCGATGCATCATTGGTGTGGGCCAAGGAATTGCCTTGAGTAAGTCAAGTTGATCTTTGATGCTCTAGAGCCACCGGCTAACTAGGGTTGCAGCTGCGGGTCCGATTTACATCGGTGAACTGGCGCCAGCGGAAATTCGTGGAAAGATCATGACCTTCTGGCAGATGTTCTACTCTGTTGGATCTTTCATCTGCTTCTGGGTGAACTACGGATGTACTGAGCATAAGGAGAACCTAGGAGAATGGGACTGGAAGATGGTTGTGATTTTCCAACTTCTTGTCCCTTGTTTGATTCTTGCTTTGTTGCCCATCATTCCTGGCTCCCCTCGATGGTAAGAGCTAAACTGATTGAGTTGGTCGAATCAACCACTAACAGCTTCCTAGGTTTATCCAACGTGGTAACAACATTGAAAAGGCCCGTGCTGCTCTTATGAGAGTCCGAGAAACCGAAGAGGAGGTCGAGGACGAGCTTCTCAAGATCAGAGAGGCCATTGAGTACGAGAAAGAAGCCATTTCCAGCGGCTACTCCGCGCTCTGGAAGGATAAGTCTCTGCGGAAGCGTATGGCTCTGGCCCTTGTGATGAACGCCGGCCAGCAGATCACCGGACAAGGCACCTTGAACACCTACTCGACTAAGATCTACCAGAAGGTGTTCGACAGCGCCGGCCAGATCGCTCTGATCAATGCTCTCAACGCTACCTTTGGTATTATCTTCACACTCAATGCCGTTTGGATCATCGATCGATTTGGGCGCAAGTTCCTTCTCATTGTCGGTGGTATCGGCATGGGCATCTGTATGATCATCGTCGCGGCCGTCGAGACGGAAACACCTTCGCCGGATGGAGCCAAAACACAACCGGTCGGAATATCGATCGTGTTCTTACTATTCTTGTTTATTTTCTTCTGTAAGTCCGCCATACCTAACACTTCCCAGAGCAACTACTAACGGACCTCCAGACAAGCCTTCCTGGGGTGCGACCGTATGGATTTGGACGTCGGAGATCTTCTCCATGAACGTCCGAGCCCAAGCAGTGGGCATGGCCTCGCAGACGCAGAACGTCGCCAATGCCATCTTCCAGCAATTCTTCCCCATCTTCCTCGACAACGAGGGATTCTACGCCTTCTACATGTTTGCCGGTATCAACTTCCTCCTGGCGGTGTTCGTGTTCTTCTTGATCCCAGAAACCAAGCAAGTCCCTCTGGAGGAAATCGATGCCCTGTTCGGCGGTGCCAACCACGCCACGCAAGGTCAGGACTATATCATGAGCGAGAAGCAAATGGCTGTGCGTCAGCAGGAAGCGGGTGGTGAGAAACCGGATGCAGTCAACGTTGAGGATGCGTCTCAGCGGTACAAGTGAGTTGGTCGTGTGGGCTGTAAATGATACCAAACGCAAGGCACGTTGTATCAACCATTTAGTACATGCAAGTACTATACATTATGAGGTCTATCAATAATACTCTACCGGTTTACTTTTCGAATGTGTAGTGTTGATCAAATGTGGAGTCTACCCCGGATTCTAATGTTCTTGCGGAGAAATGCGGGGAACGTGGAGCCTGAGTAGAGCCATGGCAGCCATGCCATCGTCGAAGTCCAGCCTAGCAAATCAATATAACTTACCACGGCTGACTCGAATAGCTGATATGTTAGACAGACAAGGGCGTTTACACTCCTAAGACCCCAGGCAAGTGAACCAACCCAACGAACCCTACATCTCCATTCAACCACATCTCCCTCTCACAGCGAGCAACATGAACCTACACCACTATGAGGCGGAACCTCATTCCGCTCTCGCCAAGGAAAGCAGCCTGACTCGCTAGCTTCCTGCACCTTTCCACATACTAGCATACTGATCGACACCCTCAGGTATGACAGGCGTGGAATTCGTCCGCGCCGGGAGGTCCGGGACTTTTCTTCCTGTACGAGATGGAGACGGACTGATGAATCCAGACTCTCGAAACCAAGGTTGAATTTTGTTTACTGCTGGTCTGGAATTCAAAGTGTAGCCAGTTAGCAGTTTTTGTGAACGCGGTTGTGTACGTCTTCCGGGTACCTGTGTGCAGACGTACGTTCTGTGTACTACACGTAGACTTAACCGAGTCATTTTCAAGACCCCGAGCATCATATACTGAGAAACTTTGCTCTGCTCTGGACGTTCTGTGCAGAATGTATCGTGCACACAAACGCTACAGTCACTCACTCACGCAAACTCGATCAACTCTCCGCGCCGCCACAACGAAACTCAAATCCTTTATACTCGGTAACAACCACTTGGCGCCGGCCTTTCCGCGCGGAAACTCGGCTTTCAATGCGGAATGGCTGTAGATCGCGGGGAAATCCCTTGCAAGGCTTTATTTAGGGAGGGGAGGGGGTTGATCCAAGCAGAAATGTAAGGTCTGAAATGTATAAGAACCGATTGAACGAACCTGTCACTGTCACACAGGCGGGGTAGGAAAAGGTAGTACTTTAAATACTCGGCTTCTCCTCTGCCTTCCCATCTACTCTACCTATCTATATAGCCCGGACTAGCGATGCCTCCATTAACCACCACCAACTCCACCGACATCAAAGATCCCCCGGAATCCTCAACCATCGAAGACATTGCGCTCACCCTAAAGCCCTCCTCCTTCTCGCACAACAATCATGATCCCATCGACCCCGTCGCCGAAAAGCGCCTTCTCTGGAAATGCGATCTCCACGTCGTCCCGATCCTCACGTTGCTCTTCATGTTCGCCTTCCTCGACCGCATCAACATCGGGAACGCCAGGTTGATGGGCCTCGAAGCGGATCTGGGCATGTCGGGCCATCAGTACAACGTGGCGCTGTTTGTTCTCTTTATTCCGTATATCCTCTTCGAGGTGCCGAGTAATATGCTGTTGAAGAGGATGAGGCCGTCGTGGTGGTTGAGTGGGATAATCTTCGGATGGGGTGCGTTCTCACTTGTTTGTTCTCGGTCGTGCGCTTTGTTCTGGGAGGCTGCTTGCTAACTTATGGACTGATGAGGAGGGCATAGGCATCGTGACGATTTGCCAGGGCGTTACGGGGAGTTTTGCAGGGCTGGTCGTCTGTAGGGTTATTATTGGGTTGTTGGAGGCTGGGTTTATGCCTGGTATACTCCTTCTGTCTACTGACTATGTATAGCAGGTTGATTCTTGTCTGGGTTACTAACTATCTAAACTTCAGGCTGCGTCTACCTCATTAACATGTACTATCGTCGTCATGAACTCCAATGGCGTCTGAACGTCTTCTTCAGCGCAAGTATCTGTGCTGGTGCGGTTAGCGGTGTATGTCTTTTCCTGTCTGCCCTACCCTGACATCCCTCCTAACACACTATCACTGTCTGCCAATCCCACGAGCTAGAACATATCTATGGAGTACATCCTCTCTCCAATGCCAACCGCAAACCCAGAAACACAAATCCCTAAGTTAGCTAACCTCCACCCCCCAAAACAAAACAGCTCCTCGCCTACGCCATCAACAATATGGACGGCCTAGCCGGATACAGCGGCTGGCGCTGGATCTTCATAATCGAAGGCCTAGCGACCGTCGTCCTCGCCGTCATCGCCAAATTCATCATCGTCGATTGGCCCGAGTCTGCCACGTTCTTGACAGAGACTGAGCGCGCACTTCTCATTCGACGGTTGGCGGAGGACCAGGGCGCTGCGAGGATGAATCGGTTGGATCGAAAGTCATTAAGGAGGGTTTTCGGGGATCCGAAGGTTTATCTTGGGTATTTCCTCTCCTTTCCTTTTCTTCTTTAATTTGTATTGGTGGATTTCAGGGGGGTTAAGGTGAGGGGGGGCTAATTTGGGTTCAATCCAGTCCCATCATGTACTTCGGCATCGTCAACACCGGCTACGCAGTCTCATTCTTCGCCCCTACCATCCTCCACCAAATGGGCTGGACAGCCGTCCGCGCCCAAGTCATGAGCATCCCGATCTACGCCATCGCAATGGTAACCACCCTGACAGCCGCATGGGTCAGCGACCGCCTCCGCCACCGCTACGGCTTCACACTCGCAGGCTGTCTCGTCGCCACGACCGGCTACGTGATCCTGCTCTGCCAGGCCCGCGTACCCGTCGGGGCACGGTACTTCGCGCTGGTGGCCATCACGGGCGGCGGGTACCTGACGCAGCCGATCCTGATGGGCTGGTTGAGCAATAACATGGCGGGCCACTATAAGCAGTCGGTGGCGTCGGCGATGCAGATCGGGTTCGGGAACTGTGGGGGCCTCGTGGCGAGTAATATCTTCTATCAGGAGGAGGCGCCGGGGTATAGGACTGGGTATGGGGTGAGTTTGGGGATGACGTGGATCTGTGGGATTGCGTGTGCGGTGTTTTTGGCGTATTTGGTGCGCGAGAATCGGGTGAGGAGGAATGGGGGGAGGGATTATCGGTATGGTTTGCCGAGGGAGGAGGTGGAGAATTTGGGGGATGGGTATCCGGCGTTTCGATTTACTTATTAGATGTGGTTGGAGAGGGGGTGTTGTTCTTGTGCATTTGGTATGATATGGTTTCATGCATTATATTCATTGTCGAGTATACACGGTCGTGGTCTTGGTAGATCCGTTCGTGCCAGTCGCTGTACACGTCCAAGATGGGATAGTCACGCCGTCTAATTGGAAGGCATACTCGTATCGAGAATTCTGGCCATCTGCATCTGCGGTGGCATGCACCACAAAGTTCCCGCTGTCTTTATCCAGCTGTGCCGGTGCGAGAGAAAATCCATGGGAGAACCGAGATGCCGAGTTGGGGTCTTCAGCTAAATCGACGCCCCATATGCCGATATGCGGGGATGAGCCCTCCCTGGCTAGTCGATAAATGGACCTAGCTGTCTTATCCGAACTCTCCAGGCGTTCTTCGCAGATGTACTCCTTTTCGTACCCTTCACTCGACGGATATCGGGGATGAAAGGTCATTGTTCCCGAAACTCTATCTTCGTTGACAGAGGTCCGAGTGAATCGCCAGGCCCCATGAAGAGCTCTGAATGTCGCAGACGCCATAGCCAAGCTAGACGACCCAGGTTCGGGAAAGAGTATCTCTCGCAGTGAGTCTACCGTAGTCTGTGCCTCTCTGTTCATGCTCTCGTCCTCTTTGCAGTTCTCGTTCATATACCGAGCCGGGATCACCGGACCAGGCCATTCCCCAGTGTCCAGAGGAGATCGAGACACTCGCACGTCCCTAGCAAAGGATTCCATCAACCCGACATAGTCACCCATGGGAAATTGCAGGGTCGATCCGGCATTGCGAAACTCGCGAACAGTTTCTCTTTCCTGTCTCTTTCTCTCTATGGCCTCGGTTGAGGAAGAGAGTTCCGATCCTGACTCTGATCGGAACCAACTCTCTGCGACGTTTCGCGCTTGCATTTCCATCACGCCCCAGTAAGGTCCTCTGTAGAATCCGACAAACCCAATGTCTGGCAGTTGGGCATTCGTGCTTCCTTTTCCGTCCAGTACGATGGGGAAGAACACGTCAGTCGCCGAGTACTCCAGCGTGGTCAGCACATCAGCAGGTAGGAAATCGAGAGACGAGAACGGCGTGAACCCCGTCGCTGTTACGATGGCAGCGACATCGTCTAAGGAGGTGGTGTTCCCGTCCGCGGACATGATATCGATTCTCGCCTTGCCTGTCTCGGAGACATGGACGACACTGACTTGACCGATTGTCGTGCGGATCGATTCTGAGCGCACATATTCCGCATAGTCGTCTCCGATCCCGATCCACGATGGCTGGATCTTTTCACTGGACGCGTTGTCTAGACTGAACACCTTTTCCCCGACGTTCTTGTAGTCGCTTCCCAGCAAAGCCTGGAAGTATTGGTTGACTCTGGTCACTTGCTGCGCTGAGGCAGGACCGAATCCATACTCGACCGGCCCGGGAGGACGTCTCGACAAATCATAGAAGACTAGATCCAGGGGCAGGAACTGCAGGCTATCATCCTGCATGTCAGCCCGTGGCGTAGCGTGCGGGAGATAATATGGCACTGTCCAGAACGGCCTCGAGCAAACATGATGCACTTCATGGGCCTTCCCAGCCTGGGAAGATACCCCCGGCGTGAAGTTCCTCGATGACAGGTGGGTCGCCAGTGCAGAGGCCGTCTCGACACCTGACATGCTTCCTCCGATGACGACTAACTTGCCTCCGTGGGAACCCGCTCGCTCGAGAAGCCGCTGCATGTCGCCTTCATCATGCAGAGATGAGCTGTGGACGGTCTGCGCAGAGAAGTCGGGGAGTCCGGGAATATCAGGGACATGCGGTTTCGAGAAATAGCCGGACGCGACGAGGAGGTAGTCGAATTCTTCTGAATGCAGTTCTTGATCTGCAGCCTCGGTCGAGATACCCTTCTCTTTCCCTTCCTCCTTGCGTTCCCTAGACTCGATGGTTAGCAACACCCTCCTCCACCCCCATCGCCCAACTCAACTAAAATCAACCAACTCACCTCTCACAAACCCACTGCACAATCCACCTCGCCCTCTCCCCTTCCATCTCCCTCACCGTCCTAACAACTCTACACCCCAACCTCACCTCCCCACCCCTCATCCCGTTAACATACCGCTCCGCATAACCCCCCAGATACCTCCCGACCTGCCACGCCTGCGGAAACATCGGAACCGCCCCCTCATGAAGAACAGACTCCCACGCCCAATCCGAGAATCCCACCGTGAACCGGCTCAGATTAGTTCGCATCATTGGGTCAATAAGACCACGTGTCGCAGATGCAGACGGAACCCCATCTTGACTCGTTTGTTGAGTGCTGGTGGTGCTACTAGGGGTGGTGGTAGGCCATAACCCGCCAATCGATCTGGCCTTGTCAAAGATCGTCGCGGAGAATGTTCCCTCGGGATAGTTGTGAAGGAGGGTTTTTAGGGCGACGAGGCCGGATGGTCCCGCGCCTTTTGATTTATGAACATGAGTCTATCAGAATGGGAAAGGGGGGAAGGGGTGTAGTTTGTGTGGGATTGGGTTTGGGGATGGGGGGAGATAGTTACTAATGCTGAGTGAGGGGTACACACGTACCGATTATGGCGACTTTTTTAGGTCGGAGCATCGCATCTATCTACCTGTTTTTAGACAGATGGAAATGGAATGTAGATGGTGCTTGTTATTGAGAATTGAACCGTCAACCTGTAGTGGGATGGATCATGGATGGTTGTGAAGTGTGGGCGGCATGCAGATGAAGACAGATAGAGAGACCCCTCATTCGGTCGAGGAACATCCCTGCACTTCCAGTTCTAGACTCCGTGTCCATAGAAAATCAGGAGTATGTTATTGGATGCTGCCTAGAAAAACAAAAAGCGTGTCATAAAAAAAAAGAACGAAAAAAAGAAATCACTAGGCAGCTACTTATTATATTATCCGAGAATTCATGGTGGTGTGAATACAACTTTCCGGTGGTGCACGAAAATATAATCCATGCAGGTTAAGTGTATGGCAAACTCAAACCACCACCCAGAAAACCTTCTGTTGATCCCAGGAATATATTAATCAATCAATCAAACAAGCTTTTTACAATTGCTTAATTGATAATAAGTAATTGAGTTTTGTAAATAAGAAAATTGTGACCGAAGGAACTCCCATCCAGTTCAAACCACCCCTGAATGGCCTGCCCGCAGCACAAATTTTTCAATTCCAATTGTCACCCACCAACCGACCCAGGTAGGCAGGCAGGAACAGGAATGGAAAGAATCACTTCTCTCTCCCAGCTATTCTCCCAATCGGCCAAGACAGCATAAAAACAAAAAAGATACGGCCCGAGCCGCGGATCGAACGCGGGACCTCTCGCAGATATGCTTGGGTTGTAACCCCTGGAGTTGCTGTTAGTAAATTGTAAATGTGAATGCGGGTGATAATTATGGAGACGTACTAAGCGAGAATCATACCACTAGACCACCCGGGCGGTTGATGTTTGTGATGGTCTAATTTGGTGTCTTGAAAGGAGAGGGAGTGACGAGACCGGAGTTGGCTTGATGACTGGCATGCATGGATGCATTGATGCATGATTGGCCGCGTCGTCCTTGCAGGCCCAGCCAGCCCGCATGCGAAACAATGCATGCCAACGGCGGCTGTGTCCAGCGCGATGACGTTCCTATCAAGGATAGGAATGATTGTTCATTCTGATCTGGATCGAAGTGAGACACAGCCTTCCGGTCTTGGCTGTTTGGTCTGCACTCCGTAATCGTTATGCAGGTTGGACGTCCGATCTCGGTGCGACAGCTTGTCGAGGACTAAGGTATGTTGTCTGAGCCTGACTGTGTCGAGTATCTCGAATCTCGATGCAGATGATGCTAGCAAGGGGTTCGTTCGTCTCCCCCCCCTTCAACACCATCAACAGTACAGATCAATTCGAAACCTGTTCCAACCAAGCAGACACCGACAACTCCCTACTATGTTCATTGGGATGACAAGCATCCGTAAACTCCTGCTCCGTGACGAGGGTATCCACATTCCGCTCCGTCAGGGGGATCTTGTACCGACTCTTCTGCTTGAGGAGTTGTCGCTCGGCGCGAGCGGACGGCGACAGCTTCGACAGCGTATTGCGGATGCGACGAATGCCTCCGCCCGGGAAGTAGGAGATGCGAGGCGGGCCGAACGGCGTGTCGACTTTCCAGGGGTCTTCGGAGACGAGGGAGCGGGCGTTTTTCTTGCGTTGTTGGGAGCGGACTTTGGATGGCATGCTGGTGGTGGATTTCATTTCGTTCAGGGTATGAGGGGGGAGAAGATCATAGTTTGTTTTTAGGGGAAGAAAAGGGAGAAAGAAAACGATGGAAAGGAGAGGGTGAAAGGGGGGGATAATATATCCTACGTCAGGATACGGGCGGGTCCAAATGAACATGCAGTGCGGGGCCAGAACTGGTCTGGGTCTTATTTCATTTCCTTTCATTTCTTTTCAGAAAGCAGAGGCTCTCCCACGGAACTAACGTGCCGAGAAGGGTAAACGGCATGGGTGACTTCCCTCAACACGGTAATCGCTGCTAAAGTACGCGTTGCTTGGCGGCATCCCGGGGTAAGGCCCATGCGTAGGTCTCCGCGGAGTCTCACAATAACCCCCGTCGATTGTTTCAATGAAAAATCTGTTCCTCCGAACCAGCTGACTTGTCACCTATCAAAACAGTGTCTGTGGCTTCTCACAGGAAACCGAAAAAAAAAAGAAAAAAAAAAAAAAAAAAACGAAAAACAAAGAATTCAAAGTGAAGCGAGAGGCGGCGAGGATAAGGTGGGCGGCCATTCTACGTCATTGGCCGGTGGGACTAGTTTACTAATGACTAGTCAACCATGAGGTGTAGATCATCGAGGAAGTCAGTCGAACAAAATGATTTGGCTCGAAAGGACAGGACTGTCTACGAATGCTTGGTGGGGATATTTTGCTTGGCCGTTGATCTGGCGTATTCTGATAATAAAGCACCGTACGGAGTAGACACGGAGTCGTGATCTGATAACAGGGCGTATCCTGTATGCAGACTCCGGAGGTAGACAGTTGTCGGCTCCGGTCTCAGGTTACACGGACCGGCATGCCGCGCAGTTGGACTGGTTTCTTGTATGCTTACTTCTCGAGTCGCACCGGTGGCGCATTTTTGACTTTGTCTTTTGGCGAGGGGTTGTTCTTTCACGCAAGGCAATCGATTATCGACTGCCTGAACACATACATCCTACATGCACTCCGTACAGTTTAGTTACGCAGATCAAGGTCCATTCTTGGCGACGATGGATCGACAAACCGGACTGGACTTAGTTGCCTTAATGCCTTCTTTCCGTTTTCTTCCCATTTTCTTATGTCGCGAGTCTCAGGAATTCCACGTATGCTTCCCCGTTCTAGCTTTGCATCAACGAACCAACGTGACCAGTCATGGCGGGAACTCCCTGCTTCAACCCTAGGTAGGCAAACGTACCTCCTATACGACATCCCACCTCCGGACCTAATCAACCCCAACGCTAAACCGCCCAAGCCGGTCTGGAAGGCGGCCAGAAGAAAATGGAAGAAGACGGGACAGCGGGGTCCGCGATCGGTGCATTCCCCCTCATTGGACGTAACCCTCGACCCCTGCTCCTCCTCGCAGTGCCGATAGGGTCGAGCGTACGTCGCAGCTGACATCAGGTGGTCACACGTCGATGATGCAGCCTGCATGGGACGCTGATGGTGGGATCCGTCGGATGCCTCGGCTTGGGATGGGGTGGGTTCGGCCGGTGGTGCGCCCGTGTGTGACCTGCGGACCAGGAGATGTTACTGTAGCTGTAGGTTTTTTTGTTGTTGGGGGAAATTGCCTGTTCGTATGGAACTCTACTCGGTGGATATTACGAGGGGAGGGGAGGTAGGTACCGTGGATCTAAGCGATTTATGTTTTATTGCTTGAGCTTAATGTTGCTTGATTATGGTGTATTGAACATCAAGAGCAGAAAACAGAATCATTAATTTTGTTCGAGATAACCCCACCAAACAACCAGGCTAATTCATCAAAAGAAACAAAGAATACAAATCGTACACGCAAGAACATTTAGGTCGACGTTGCTCGTTTCGATTGTCCCCGTATGTAAGGTGACATGCGGTCGCGAAGGTGGCACAAGAATCAATGCTACGCCACGCCCCTCCAAGCATCGTATATAGCGGCACCCGTGCCTGGATATATAACGGTCGGGAGGGGCAGAAAAGAAAACTAAGAGATCAATAGGTCTCGGACACTCATGCCCATTCGTCTCTGGGGGTCGTGGACAGAATACTCCCGACTCTCGAGCGGACCGGAAATGGAACCGGACCGCTCGCCATCTACCAAGCCCGTGGTCTGACGACAGTCCCGATTCAGCATAAGCAGCGCCGCGGATGCTTCGTGATCCACGTCGGCCGACGATGGGTTGCGGTATTGTGGCTCGATCGAAGGCGAAGATTGCATGGGCCCCAATGCGGGACTGGGAAGTACGGACGAAGCAACCTCCGAGGGGATGCCCATCGACGGCACATGGCTCCGAGGAGAGAAGACCGGTGACGTTTCGGCCACCTGGGTACTAACGGGCCCTAGCTCTGGAGACACCGAAGCCGAGTATGTGCTACCAGCGTATTCCGGGAGAACTTCGGGAGACGTTGGCGAGGGGGGACCGGGCGGCATGTGCTGGAGGATGGGCGATTGCTGACCACCTGCCATTTTGAGATCCTGAATACATTGCTCTAGATAGGTGACATATTCAATGCTAGCCTGGGTGCAAGAATGGTTAGCGATGGCCGGGACTAAGCAACTAACATCCAAGATCCTACGTACCTGTAGAATTGAGAGTTTATGCATGTCCTGGCCTTTACAAGCCGGGATCATGTCTTTCAGAGTGCCAAATTCCTCGTTCATTTTCGATCGTCGTCGCCGTTCAATCAGACTGTGGGCGGTTTTTCTGGCAATCTTGCGACCGGCGGCACTGGTGGCAGTGGGCTGTTTCTTTTTGGACGCCGCAGGTGACGCATTGCCGGCATTGTTGGCGTTCTTGGTGCCCTCCTTGGCTGATGACTTGGACGCGGACGTCGTCTTGGGTGTACTTTGCGCTTTGGGCTTCATCTGGATAATCTTGCGAGTGCGAGTGGGAGGCGGGGGGAGTTCAAAATCTTCCAGGGGCCTCTTAACCCCGGCCTGACGAGTCAACGGTGCCGTGCGCCCCGGACCGAACTCGGGCGAGGTTGGAGATGCAGGCAGGTAAGCGGAGGAATTGGTCTTGGACGACCTCCGGCTGGCAGCGTTCGGTAGCTTGGACGGACTCATTGCAGCCGGAGGCAGAACGAACGGATCTGACCCGTCAACAGAGACTTGTTCCTTGATGATGAACTCCCCGGACATGGAGGGAGTGGGCGGGAGACGAGAACGTGACATGGTCTGGCAAGTGTGCGACAGTCTCTGGATTTCGATGCGTGGTCGGGACGATTTAGAGTCGAAGAGGTAGTATTGATTTCAGGCAGGTCGAGTGTTGTCATCCAATGAAGGCAGCAGGTAGCACAAATGCTTAGAAGGATGTACGTTGCACGAGTTGGCTAGGTAGTATGTAGATAAGTAGAGACGGTCTAGTGGATAAGAAAGCCGCTCAGGGCGAGACCAACGACTCTATAAAAGAGCAGGGAAATGAACAGGGTGTAGGACGACCGAGAACCTAATTAAAGGACATCCAAGAAACGGTCGAAGCATGGTGGAGGGCGAGAAAGAGTCGGGAGGTTATTATGTATGCAGGAAGGGGATGATCGACGGGGGGTGGAGATATGGAGTAGACCTGGGAGCTCCCAGTCCGGCCGACTTCCTTCCTACTTTGTCGCGTGCTGGTCGAGCCCACGCGGCGACAGGGCGGACACTGATTGGCGGACAGAAGGGGGCGTGCTCGGCCAGGCGCTTCTTACGGGCGGACCCGATCGTTGCCCTTTCAACTTCGGCACGAACATCATGTCCCCGTCTGCCGTTTCGATTGGTACGTGATATACTGCGCACTTGGACCATGGAATGAGTCCCTTCCTCTGAGGACGGCTCTTTTTCATGCACGTTCGTGTCTCTTTGCGGAATCCTCGACTTGGCTTCACATTCAGTCCTATTTTAGCCGAATTAAAATACACAAAAATAGTCAATCCAACCAGAATCACCGCTAGACAAAAACTAATCAATCAGATACAATACAATGCTCGGCCTCCGGGTCAACGCCAGGTTGCGTCCGTGGGCTTCTTTTATTTGCCGCCGTAACTTTTGTTCTTATCCCCTTTTCCCACCCCCTAGTTCTTCCGTTGGATGTCCCGTCCAGACGGGCATCCGAGCACGTGCTCCTCCTTCCCCCCGACACTGGATCCTGGCCTGTCCCTGATGGATTCCTTTTGCCACCAAGCCAGGTCTACTCCGCTTGATGCGGAAATTCACCAAGTGCCCCGTGAAACGTGCTCAGCTTTTAGCAGCGGTCGGTGCATCCGACGTAGGTGTCCCAGCTATGTCTGGTCAGCAAATGGCTCGCTCGTTGATGTCACGTGTGGACTACTTACCAAAAGTCTTCGTCATCCGGAAGAGCAACGACGCATGCTTGGGCTGCGACGGCACAGACTGAAGGGCAGCGGTCAATTCGGGGATCAAGGCTTTGGTCCTCGTTGGATCCGTGTTTGACGTTCCCGTTGCCAGTATTGGGCGACATGATCTTAGGCCAGTGTCTCATCGGTGCGTTCGTTGTTGTGTTATTCTCGGCGGCTCCGATCTGAGTCTCCCGATGAGGTCCGGCTGCGTCTCCGGTTGGCCTGGCAATGCTGACGCCCGCAAGAGCGGCGATGGTGGCGACGATGAAGGTGTTGAATTGCATGGTTGCTTTGGAGATGTATGGAGGAAGATAGAAGAGGGTATAAGGTCTGATCGGAAAGGATAGGGATGCTTTTATGAGCGACTGAGTTTCTGACTGGTCTGCTGATGAACTCTGAAGAGTGATTGTTGCTGATGAGGAACAGAACCTACTTCATTCGGCCTCCTTATATAGCCGTCATCGCGGCAGCACAATTGCAGAGGAGGTGAAGTAGATCTCAACCCCAGCCTCGCCTCTCTTACATCTAATGTCAGAAAACCACGATCATTCATGCAGCATTCCTCGTGCTCTCTTGGTTCCTCTGAACGAGAACAGAGCACGCTCATTGGACCGGGAGCATTCCATATGCGTGGCAAGGACCAATCATAATATTATAATCGTTCGGATTCCATACCTACGTCGCTCTCAAGGGCTGGCACATTTCAATTGGTGTTCAAGTCAGCATTGGCTGTGGCAAATGGCAATTGTGGTTGTGGCGGGAGGGTATCTGGTCTGGGTTTTGAGGCTGGAATCAACGTTGCGTACTTCGTTGAGTGATTGCCTTGCATTATACTCTTGCAAACATCTGCCAGCACGCGGCGGAAAGGCCGATGAGTCTACAAAGGCTTCGCGTCAAGAACATAGTGTCGACACTATACAATTACATAGACCGGTGGAACAGCTTCATTGATGTTTTACTCAACAGCCCCTGAAGTAATTCTAAGGGATTGAATGTTGCAGAATAGTTACCTCCAGGTGGGTACCTTCCCCATATTCTAAGCGTTGCAGACTAACAACTACAAAGCTGTAGCTCCGACAAACCCGCTGAAGGGATGACATACCAGGTCTTGCCAACCACTGGGGGTGGGCCCTACGATGTCGATCATCTCCGTCTTCCCCAACCCAGGACAGCCAAGGAATGAAACCCGCCCCTTATCATCATGTTCATTTCTTCAATGCAATGATCTGATACATCATATGTTATGCAATGCATAACTCTTCATACCACCCTTGAAACCATGACGATTCTATGACTGAATCTATATACGTTGACATCAAATACTCATATATATGTGCCCCTTTCTCCGAAGGGATACGTTCCGACCTCCCGGAAACCCAGCACAATCAACCCCCTTCTATGCCTAAGTAAACAGCTTCGTCAGAAGAACCTCTCCAAAGTTGTGCTCCACTGGCGATTGATCCATCCGCCAGATGCGGTTTCCATGTTTCGAGCTTAGCCAGAGTCCATGGTCACTGGGGCTTTCTTCCTCTCCTTCCATGCGGTGACGGTCCCGTCGGTCGACAACACAGAGGCCTCGCGTCCACTGTCCGGTGGTCTCAACTCGGATGTCCTCCGGCGACGTGACAGAAGGCTTCCAGCCGTCGTGGTCCGCTGTAAGAGCGTACCACACGCACACGGGGTCGTGTAGACTAAGCTCGACATCGTCTCCCACCTGTCCCTGATGCAGCCGTTCAACGGTGCTAAAGGTATGGGCCATGAAGGCGGCAGACCACTCGGCCAATGGAGAGCCCTTTTCCAAGAGAGGGGTGACGGTCTGGCGGAACTGTCCACGCTTGATTCCGTGACGGTGGGTGATGTCCAGGGGGAACATCTTCACGGTGAGCTGTCTGCTTAGAGTAGCAGGGTAGCTGGCCAGACTGGTGCTGGAGATGGGCATCGCGGTCCGGGGAGTCGGAGACGTAAGGGCGTAGACTCGGGCCGCGGCGAACGCATCGGCATATGCGTTGAACTCGGCACCAGGAGTGACCTGATCAATTGTCAGCTTTGTCGACCACGTGATTCTGTAGAAACTACCTACATTTCCAGGCTCATTGATGGCGCCTCCCATCACCACGACCTCCTTAACACGCAGAAAAGCCTCGGGGTCAGCGGCAGAGGCCAACGCCAAGTTCGTCAAAGGGCCCACAGCCACCAGCGTCACCGTGTCGGGATCATTCTCGCGCAAGACGCGAAGGATCTCCTCGTGCGCTGGGCGCTTCGATGGAACGAACGACTTGTGCGAGTTATCGCCCTCAGGAACGGGCTTTATATCCGAGTCCGTTGAAGGATCAAACATATGCTCCCACGTTTCCTTGGGAGTGAGATGCGGGTGCTACAGCCTTGTTAATCAAACCGACTCGACGAAGAAACAAATTAGACAATCAACACGCAAGGATGAAACATACGCTGGCATGAATACCTCCCAAACCATCCGTTCCGTCTACTAAGCATTAGCCCTGCGCGGGAAGAACCCTGGACAATTTGGGTTTAGTGGCAAGACTCACGAAAGTAATCCGCCAACATTTTCTGATCCTCCAAAGGATCCTCGGCACCTACCGCCACGATCGGAGGATGGGCTCGGAGAGCTCCGAAGCCCTCAGGCCGACCCTGTTCGCGACGCCACTGCATCTCGCGCTCCAGGATATGGAACATAGAGACCACATTGCGGAGACAGCTAATCGACAGCGTTAGTTCAGCGTTCAATATAGACACCAGGCAGGCTGCTATGTATAACTCCTTCTCCGCCCTCAACAGTCACTTACCTCTTCACCTCAATGTTCCCAAACGTCAACGAGATTAAGAGCACCTCGACCTCCTCAGGCGTAGCAGACAGCGCGAGTAAAAGACCCAGAATATCATCAATTCCCTGCAAGGAACGTCAGTAGTTGCATGCATAGAACACGGGGTAAATGTCAAAGCGCGGGGTGGGTTCCATGGCGGGGAAAGAAAAACACATGGGAACCAACTTACAGGGTCAGTGTCGATGATGATCTTCTTGGGTGCCATGGTCAATGATCAGATGGGAACCGGGGCTTTAAAAGATTGAGTAGGGTTCTGTACAAGCGGAGGGGAGGATAATTGGGAAGAAAGAGGAGAAGGAGATGGGTTTATGCCTTGGAAAAAAAGTGGGATGGCTTGGCGGTTGGTTATCGTGCTGATAAAGCTGCTTAGTCATGGGGGACATCGATATGAGGGTTTTTGTGGGGTTACATTGCTTTTAGTTATTTCCTGTGGTGATTTGTTTTATACAGTTGGGTACAGAGAATAAATGTAGCTTGGTCGAGTTGGGTGATTCTTCATAGATGAGGGAAAAAGTTGTGGCTATCCTTGAAAGTGAAATCAGATATCTCAAATAGACACCGAAGCACTACCTACTACCTACTATACATGTTACAAAAAGGCATAAGAGAATACCATAAAAACAAATTGAGTTCAACTAGATGCGTTCAACTTCAAATACAAGATTAATTACTGCCTTTCATCTACCCCGAGCTCCCCTAGTTGTCCTTGCCTCTCGCACGGCCGGAGCTCCAGTTACAGGCTTTCATGAAGAGGGCTATAAACACGATATTAGTAAAGCGTGACCTTCTGACCTAGTGATGAAAGGTAAGATAGAACAGAAGAAGAACATACACAGTGCCATCATGCCTAGACTATCGACATTATCCGAGACTTTGTCAATATCTTCCTTGACCAATTGAGTGGCGCCGTTGAACTTGTAGGCCTTGTTGACAGTACCGCCAATCCAGCTGACGGGTTCAGAGATCTTATGGTCGTCATCTATTCATATCTAGTTAGTAGTTTGTACAGAACGGAAAGGGGATAATGCAATTGGGGTGGAGGACACATACAACCGAGCAAGAAATGCGTCAACTCATGAAACATGCTATAGCTGAGCGGAGTAGCCCAATAATCCAGCGATTGGCGATAATCACCCTCGTATTCCTTATCGCTCCAATCCACCGACGAGTCCTCGCTCTTGTCGGAGTCGATCGTATCTCGAGGCGCTGTCATCTGTGCAAATGAGAACGCTGCCGGACAGACTTGGATGTATCCGCCTGGGTGCGTGATGGCGATGGTCCCTGGGTCATCTTCGCAGGCGGGCTCGGCGATTGCCCACCATTGTCCGGAGAAGCCGTCTATTTCGAGACATGAGTATCTAGGAAGAATAAACTGAAAGGTCAGTGGCTTACCGAAATACATATACGTGTCAAAGGCATTTCCGTCTTCATCTTGAGCCTGGATCCGCTCGCCGTTCTGATAGTGCGTGAATTTGGTCAAGTGTCCATCACCGCATAGAAACGGGGGATCCTGTGTGTTTCGATTCTCCACATAGTTCATGAGCCGTTCGAGGCTTTCTAGCGGCAATACGTGAGAACTTCCGCCATTGAAAATGTAGAGAAAACAAAAAAACACTCACTAATGGCCGTATCCCAACGTCCTTCCGAAGTCGACTCATCCCCATCCTTCTCGCCCTGAAACGCATAGAAAGATTGGACAGTCCTCGTGATATCAAAGTCGTCGCCGGTCTTGTCCGCCGCCTTCTTCATATAATCGCGTGCTGTCTCGGCGATGGCCCCGACTTCCTGGATGGCGACGGCGATGGATCCTCGCACGTCGCCGTAGTTGGTCTCCACGCCTTCGGAGTTCTTGCCCTTGAGGTCGGCGCATGAGCTGTGGAGTTTCTGCGCGGAAGCGAACGATGCGCCCAGGCCTAGGAGAAGGACAAAGGAACGGCGTATGACTTCCATGAGGTGGATTTGGTTTAGTATGAAGCAGAATATCAAAAGAGTGACAAAGTTAAAGAATAAAAGTTGATCAATAGTTACTGACCATGAAAGCAAAAGAACGAAGTGGGTTGGTTAATAGATAAAGACAAAGAACGGAATAGGGGACCCAACGGTGATCATGATTCAGGCAAACATACTCAAAGAGAAGTAATCTAGCATATATGATTCCATGTTTCAGGGCTGCCCACGGATCAACAGGGGCTGCCTGCTCAGCCTGGCCCCCAAATTGGCCGGTCAGGGTTGTGCTTCGAATCAAGCCTCTTGGTGCAGGTGTCCCTGACATGTCTAAGAAGATACTCCGTAGTGCGGGAGTCAGTTCTCGGGCTCGTATGCTTCAGCTCCACATGTGCGAGAAGGGTAACGAAAACGGTTAAAATATAGCAGGATGGTCCGTGTGGTTGGTCGCCTCGAAGGAATTGCTGTCACAGATCCTTTCATCAGGCGTTTCCGTCGTTATCTGGTTTGTTTTATCAGGCGTTCGCCGTGCCGCCATTCTGTTATATCTTCAACGGGATGAAATGAGGTCATGAGAGCAGCTTAGGCCTAGAAAGTAGAACACGATCTTCGTTTGGATGATGACGACGATGTATTTCCCGGGTATAGATCGAGGCCGACCGACTGATAGGCGCATCGAGGCATCCAGGCACAGTCAGCCCTAATCCAGATCGGGGTAAGACTCGATTGACTGAAGGGAAATCCTGCACGACTTTGGGTTCCTGATTTTCCATTATTCTCTCTGCTACAACTGCATTTCCGCTGAGTGGCACCACAATTCAGGCTGTCAATGCCACGCCCCTGACACGCAATGCACTCATGGGCCCGGTCCAAAGTCTTGGGACAACCGCCTGGACTTGCATCTGCCTTGATATGTGCCACTCCACACTCTGATGGCTGATTGCTCGCCGCTGAGGATCGACCCACCCAGTCTGACCGGCGATTTCACTGACATGCTTTTACTTTCGACCCCAAATCGATCGCTGAAATTGCCATTGTGGGCTGCGCCACTACCAGGGGTTGAAACAATCACCTAGTCAGCTATGATGATGCATCCGATTGAATCTGGTTAAAACCTGCGCTCTATGAAGGCCCCTTTATATTAATGATCGACCTGGAGAGATGGTCTTCGCGTGGGAAGCCTGATGGACTGTTGTTTTTGATTATAAGGACACTAGGTCGAACACACTCCCTACCTGGTTTTCCTCTCGCAAAGGTACTGGATACCGCCGTTCGTTAATAAACCTAATCTTGCTACTGCCCTCGTTCCCTTTCAAATTTAGTCTCTCCTTTCCCCGGTGGATATATCCCTATGAAGCATGCCGTTCTTTTGGGGGAGTCTACTGGGCCTTAGTCTTGTGGTCGGCAGCAATGCCAGCCCAGGACTGCCCCATGGCTATACTCTCGTTAAGTCCACCGATTTGGCCAAGTCTACAACTTACGAAGAAATCGGATTTTACTCAACTGCAACGACCCCTGGAGCTTCTGCTACATTCTTTCCAAAATATGTATGGACCCCTACCCCAAATGGCAATGGAGATAGTGATATAGTGATACTAATTCCGCAATGTAGGATGCTACAGTCGTTAGTGGTAAAACGCTCCCTTTCGTAACAACGACCGATGATGCCGGAGCACCTGTTACTTGGATCGGAGACTGGAATACGAATTCCGCTGGCTCTTCAATCCTAGTACCTGTCCAGGTCTGTTCAGAAGTTGCGCAACAGTTGGACAGTAGATCGAAGCTGGTGCAGAAGCGCGATTTGGTCTGCGCAGACGTGTCTGCTTCTACTTCCAGGCCCGTGCAGACTACTACACCCAAATCACCGACTTCGACGGGGTCTACTAGTACAAGCTCTGCAGTCATTCCAACAAGTCCTTCGTCGAAGCCAAGTTCTCCGACAACCAGCTCTAAGACAACTAGCTCTGTGACTACCAGCTCCGCGACTACCAGCGACTCGCAGACCACCACAGAGCAGTCGACTTCATCGAAACCGAGTCCGTCGACCCCTTCGTCGCCCACATCGCCCACAAAGAGCCCAACCTCAAGTACCTCTGTGCAGAGCTCTACTACAGAGAACAGCTCCGAAAGCACTACACAAGTTTCGACGACTGCACAGCCAACTTCGACATCTCCGGGTAGTAGTTCTCTCATAAGCAGCAATACTACACCAACTTCTCCCTCTAGCACCCCTTCGCGCACGCGGACTAGGACCTCGAGTACTAAAAGTACTGAAAGTTCTAGCTCTACTCGATCCATTACCGCATCGACGCAGAGCACTGGTGATTCAACCACTACTAGTAATCCATCCACTACCACTGGCGAGAACACAGGTACCACAGAAAGCCATTCCATAACCCAGTCGGCCTCCAAAAATGACAAGGTCACCACAACAATGACCTCCGAGCCCACCGGCTTCTCAGCTTCTACAGTAACCAACAGTGATTGGACTAAAGATTTCATCCTGACAACCACCATTGGCGGCCAAGAGACTGAAGTGCCAGTTCTTACTGATTGTGGCGACGATTGCGGCGATGACGGCGCTATCATCTTGTTCGGGGTACCGATAAAGACCGGAATACAGTACTCGTTGCCTAATCTTCCATCCTTCCACTTCCCATGTATCTTCAACTGTGGCAGTGGCGGTGGCGGCGGGAAGCCTGGACCCCCTGAACAAGGTGAGCCAGATGAAGACGATGATCACTCATCAACCAAGTCAAGCGAGAAGACTACTACTTCCGAGGCTACTACCTCCGAAGCTACAACCTCGACCTCATCATGCACATCGGTGATGACAGTGAGCGACTGCATAGTGTCATGTCCTGCCACGGAGAGTTGCAGCAAGACATGCTACAGTACTATGACGGGCTGCGATGTGACAGGCACAACCTCTACCACTACTGGAGACCCGTGCTCTTTTACAAACACCGACTACCGATGTGTCAATACCACGGCTGCCACTCAAACCCCTGGAGTCAACGAGGTAGTCACCTATACCAGTGTGAACTACGACACCGCTCGAGCCGAGAGTATCGAGAAAGCCCAAGAGACTCAACCTACCACCTTGCCCTGGGGGAATGATTCTGGGTCCACTACAACATCGGCCTCGCCCTCGCAGTCTGCGACTGTGACTACTGCGACAAGAACACCTGGGTCGACGGGCTTTACAACTCTTTCGTCTCCGACCAGATCGCCCACTTCTAGCCCAACCACCTTCAGCACAGCTTCATCCACGCGTCCTCCCATCTGCAGCGAGGGCAACAACTCATTGATGGGATTCAACAATGAGCCGTCCTCATGGTGTTTCTGTGGCGGACGAGGTCCTTTCTCAACCATCTCCGGTTCCACCTCATCGTACTGCGCCTTCACCAAACTCCCCAGCGAGACCATCTCCTTGACGTCGCACACTACATCCATCAACACTGGCTGCGTGGTAACCTCGTAAGTACTACCCATGCATACTCCACCCAACACGTACCCCCTTACCACTAACCACTCCACCCCAGAACGGTCGTAACCACCGCCTCCGCCTCCGAAACCCAAACCTACTGCAAATGCGGGCATGTAATCGCCGGACTCGGCACCACAACCATGTCCTCCGGCACGATGATGGTCGGCTGCCAACTCTCCGACTGGGTGATGATGACAACGATCCAACCAACCACGACATCACTGGACCCCAGTCCCACCGAATCCGCCAACTGCTTCCCAACGCACGGCGAGAACGACATCGACAAGATCCTTGAAATCGTGCAACCCGACGGATCAGCCTGGTGCAACAAGCCGGACACGACGCTCGTCGACGGGAGAAACCCTGCCGACCCTGCGGGGAATAACTACATTCGTGCGGGCTGGACTCTGGCGGATGACGCGCCTGAGGACTGTCAGTATTTGGATCAGGATGAGACGAGGGCGCTGTGTGCGGATCCGTTGAATGAGATCGTGAAACAGTGTCCGTGGAATGGGGGGTCGATTAAGAATGTTTGTGGAGAGTTTTGGATGCAGACTTGTACTTTGGGGAAGACTTGTGATGTTGGGAGTCCGGATTAGGGGATTTATAGTATGATTTGATTGTTTAGAGGGCTGGATATGGTTGTGTGGGAGTGCGAATGTGAATATTTGAATGTTTTGTTTTAATGCTATATTCAAGTTTAGGGCTCAACTATACAAACAAACACATGTGCCTGAATTCCGAGCTAAACCCTTTAGATACAACGAATAGGCTTCACCACCAACTAGATCAAACCTATAAACTCCCCTCTCCCTTCTTCCACATCCCCAACCTCCCATACCACATCTCCATTCCATCCGTCGCTCTCTCCTCCCACTTCTTCCTCAACAACGCTGCCTCCTCTCTCCCCGCCCACTCCTCCCGTCTCTCCTTCGCTTCCCAAATGTCCATCATAACGTACCATTCTCCTCCTCCTTCCCCTTCCCCTTCCCAACTCCCATCACCACCAAACCCCTTGGATACCATGATACCATGAACCCACCCCCCAACCGCGCCCAAACACCCATACCTCCGCTGCTGGCCCCTCGGAAACAAGCCCTGGCGCGTATACTGCCACAACGCAGGAATCTGGGCCTTCTCGGCGGGGTCCATGGTAGATGGGAATTTGGCGACGGTGAGAGCCGTCACGGGGTAGGGTGGTAATGAGGTACTCGTGGCGGAGAGGGGCGGGTGGGTGGTGAATTTGACGGAGATGGAACTGGGACCGGAGCTGGGAGGAGGTGAGAGGAGGATGGGAGAAAGGGTTTCCATGAGCGTTGAGAGAGGGGATTGGGATTGGGGTTGGGATTGATGTTGGGTATGAAGGGCGAGGTCGTCCCAGTCTGGTTATAGATTAGATAAGTTTTGCACAACAGTAGAGCTGAGAGGAGAGTAGAATGTACTATATGTGGGCACGGATAGGGGTAGGAAATAAGGAAGAAAATATCTCACCATTTACCAAAAGAACCACATCTCCATCACCGCCACCATTAATACTCCCCCTCTCAACTCTGCCCCAATACAACCTCCCAAACCCAGGTAACGGCTGAGTCCCCTGTTCCTCAGACCCGCGAATCGAATCGAGGGCTTGCGTCCAGAGTTCCCCTGCAGACGTTGACGGATCTTCAATCGGCGTGTTGGGCCGGAAGTGCAGGAAAATGATCTCCGTGATGGCGTTGCGGTCTCGAATATAGTCTTCCTGAGTGGGATGGGCTGATGGAGGGACTGGTGGGATTGGGAAGGGATGGATGGGGTATTTGTAGGGCATTATTGTTGTTGTTGGATGGTGGATATTAAATGGTGGATATTTGGGAGTTGATGACAAGGTAGGGCTGGTTTTGGGGTATTGACTTTCGGATTGATATCGAGAAAATGGATGGTTTCCTAGGATCAAATCATATGCTATGGCTGGGCTATATATGCCTGGTACAAGAATAACGTAATCACTGTCAGACGGTTTCAGATTCCTAGTTTTGGAAGTTAGCGCAAGGCTGTGATTTATTCTGGGTGAGATCGACCCTGTGGAGTGCCGCTAGGACAGTACCGGTGTGAGACGATGAACGTCTAGGTTTGTGGACAGTGGGTCGAACTCGATCTCGATATATGCAGAGGATGAAGATGGAAGAGAGAAAGAGAGCGGAGGATCATTGAGAACAAGCGTGGTCCACGTGATTGGCCCGCTCGTCTTATGGTCAGCCCACCTGCCTCCCTGATCTATCTGTGTTCGAGTTTGAGGCGTTTGTGAACCTTAGTTTGCGAGGGGGGCTCGACAGTTGATTGATGGCGAAGGCAGATTCTGTAGAGATCCTTGTGTTCTTCGTTTCTTAGCTACAGACCTACGTATACACACTACACTTGGATACATCCAATTGGATATGGCCAGCAGAATACCTCCCAAGAATGCTAGATGCCAACCAGGGAGAGTACTAATGCACGCTGTGGTTGAATGCTGGAAGATTTACAGACAAAGGCCCTTGTGTCCCATAGTCCATCGATACATAGAAAGCACCTCTTTCCGAAGGATCTGGAATTCAGGATCGCATGAGTCCGGTCTCCTGACGCGATACAAAATAGACCGGAAGGCTTTGCGGAAGGTTTTCTGCGTCATCTCCTGTGTTAGGTTCGAACCAAGACTCGTGTGCAACCCGTCAGATTGACTGACCTGAAAGTCTGTACTCAACGTCACGATAGCAACCTCATGTGCGCGAATAATCACCTCGCAGGCCTGCTCGACCGACTCGTTGGGTCCGATCTGGGGCATTCTCTCCGCGAATAACAACAGCACAAAGCTGCCGTGGAAGAGATATATGCCGAAGAGATACGGCATGAAGGAGAGCTCTGAGTCGACGCTCAGAATGTCGCTGATGCATTGGGCCGCGGCGATGGAGCTTGAAGCACACTCCGAGAAACTGGGCGAGGCGATCCAATTGCCCGTGTCTTCGAGCATGGAGATGGCGTCCCATTCACCGTGGAGAAGGACGTAAAGAACTTTGATGATGTACGTTGCGTAGGCGATTACGAGCTGCGCTCGCGTGTTGGTGGGCCCTGGAAGGGTGCTGTCTGCGTAGTCTCCTAGACTGGATTCGCAGTGGGAGAGGGTTTGTTTGATGGCGTCGAGGTAGGATGAGTTGTCGATCGGAAGGCGAGGGTGATGGTGCCGCAGTCGGAGGTCGATGATGTCTCCGAGGATGGCCATGAGTGGAAGGAAATATTCAAACAGCCCGGGCCCGGATATAGTGGTGGATGGACCGTAGGTGCGGCGTGGGAGTAAATCGAGTGGGATGGTATCGAGGTCTTGCCAGATGTCTTCGGGCAGAGGACCGAGGACTTGACATTCGGCGTCGAGAATGTGTAATGATCCGTTGAATGAAAGCGCGAGGTGCCTGTCTAGCGCGTATACTAGCCAGAAGGCTCTTCGTCGCTCTTCTTGCTCTTCAATGGTGCTGGAACAATGTTCGGAGTTATCGCTATTTCCTGCTATGCCTGGTTCCGTGTTGTATCCGAGATACTTGACCAGACCAACGGCTTTATTCCACCATTTAAGACAGTCGGCCTTGAAAATGCCACCGGAAATGACCACAGTTAGCAGCGTAAAGGTCAACACGTCGTCTACCGTCGGCTGTGGACCAGTACTAAATGTTCGTCGTGTCTTGTCCCCTTCATTGCTGCTCACACTCAACATACAGTCCTCTTCGAGTTGCCAGCCTCCTGCAACCCGATGCCAATTATCCATATCCCTTAGGCGCAAATGCGACATGGCGAGAGAATACAGATGGTTGGTGATACGCTCCCGAGCCCCGGGCACGTAGTAAATACGGCTGTCGGCAGTCTGGGCAACGCACCAGAGCATGGTTGCCAGCAATGCGGGGGAAGTAGGACGCGGCTTAGTTCTATGCAGCAGCGACTTTTTCCGCAGGACAGTTGTGAGAACGTAAGGACTGTGGGTGCTCGAGAGAGAGTTCCCGGGCTCGGCAAAGAAGGTATCCAACAAGTCGCAGGCCTCATTTGCAGACATAAATCCTTTCAGTCCTGGCAAGATCCTCTCAAGGCAAGGGTAGCGACATGAAACAGGCTGCTGTTGCCCATTCTCGTTGCTATTAGTAGCACTAGGTGAAATAGGAAACGCGACGGGCGAGAAGGAATCCGCTTGCCGGGGCCCGAATGTTGAGCGCGAGTCTGGCCCGTTGGGCAGACCAGCCCGCTCATCATGGGCTGTTCCTGGTGCTGTCGGTGACAGTTGCAGCTGCCTGAACCTGTCATCTTCAGTGGCAGCCAGATGCGATGACAGCGGTGCCATGCCCATTGAAGAGATGGACTGCGAGCGATGTCGCGCCATATGGCCATGCGCACCATAGCTATCGGAAGATATTATTGCCCCCACTGTAGATCTTTGGCTCTGTTTGGATGCATTGCTTCTGCGACCGCGCTTTTTCATTTCACGGTTGTATTGACATGACAAGCTCAAGCCTGCTAGGATTAGATATTCGCCTCTGGGTCCAGTGCAAAGAATTGTTGTAGCTCACCAACACAACGTGTACTAATGACATAAGGACAGGTTGGTCAGAACTAAGAATATACGAGAAGGATCTTATCGTACCACGGCGCATGGCCATCGCAGCGCATGCGCGAGAAATTACACTGATCACAAGCGCGCCCGATCCTCCTTCGGTTGTTTTGAGCGTTTTCTGACGAAGACAAGGCTGGGTCCATATTCCCCAAGTCGAGATCAAGCTCGTTGATTCAGCAGTATCAAGCACCTGCCGTGCGCTAGGCAGTTGTCTTAGGTAGACCCGGAGAAACAAAAAGACGGACAAATGGATGGGTTAGCGTTCAATGGAGATGGAATCAACCACGCCGGAGATGAAAATGTGGGGAGAAAGAGGAGACGAACACCAAGCATTCGATTCCGGGGAAAGCGTTCCGCCGAAGACGAGGAATCCCCAATGCAATTAGCCTGAAGAACCTCGTCTTAGCGTGATCCTCGCCTTGGCAGAGAGGGGGTTGGTGGGCTTTGGCGGATTAACGTGAAGGATCGCAAGATGCGAGAACAGAAGCAAAAACCAAAATCTAAATTCTAGGCAGGTACAATATGTACCAAAATAGCTTGAAGTATGTCCGGTGCAGTCAATCTTGAAGGGACCTGATGCATCACAGTTCCGCGCATAAACCAGCCAGAAGGTAGCAAAGCGATGCCAGATCATCTGTGCCACCAAGCAACAGGGTTGAAGCCACTGGACCAGACCAGCATAGGCAGAGAGAGTATTACAACTGCGAAAAACTCGCGACGCCGCCACAGGGGCACTTTCGACTCCTTCTTACCCGTCTCAAAGTCGTATTCCACCCATTCTCCCAACATGCCACGGACTCTGTGGCAGAGCCCAAGATCGACTCGTTCAATTTCCTCGTTGATATCTTGCAAAGCAGAAATGTCCACTTCATCTGATTCTTGTTTGGCTTGGAAAATGGTTTGCGCAGCGTGGACATTGCTTTCAATGTCACTGAGCGAGCAGATTCCCAAAATAGTGTGAACAGAAACCCCGTCCTTGGACGCTCTGTTTGCCCTGGCAAGAGAGAACCGAAGTGCAAGGCCGGCCAGAGTCGACCCTTGCTTTTCAACCCAGTTAGATGCCTGCTTCACCGCGCTGCGAAGCCCATCGGGCGCCGGGTGCCAATCTCCAAGTTTGCCAGAGGGTACATCGCCAGCTCGCAATAGACCCGATGCTAGCGGACTCGAACTGCATATCGTAGAGACTCCGGCGCCACGCAAGGCAGGAATACCGTACCGCTCCAGCCGGGTGTTCTGCAGGGTCATTTGCGCCCAATTCTGGACAATGTCGAGGGGTCGATTATATTGTTTCTGAACGGTATGCGCAATGCGCACCAGACGGTCGATGGAGTAACCGGAGATACCCACAAATCTCACTTGGCCTTTTTCAGAGAGCTCGAAAAGGGCACCAACAGCCTCGATAGCTTCCTCCATCGAGACAAATTCAACGTCGTGGCAGAAAACAACATCCAGATAGGAAGTGCCCAGTCGTTCCAACGACCTTTGAACCGACTTTTGAATCCATTCTGCGGAGTAATCAAACTGGTCGGCGGATATTCTGCCGGCCTTGGTCATCAAGATATAATCGCTGCGGGAGTATTTGTCGGTCACCTCAGGGCTGGCAAGTGCTTCACCTAGTAATTGCTCGGATGGCTCGTAGTACGGCGATGTATCAATTGCTCTCATTCCCACGTCGAACGCTCGGCGAATAATTTCGGGGATTGGGATGCTCTTTGGATCCGGATGGATCTGGTAACTGAACCCAGCACCACCGAGAATAATCGGAGGAAGCTCCAGCTGGCGGGAATGGTCTGGCGCGTCCATCGTGCGATCGGGCTGGTCGATTTCCATGATTCCTCGGCGTGTATCCCTGATCCGAAAGGTGATTTCTGGGGTGTTATAAAAGCTGCAGAAAGTTCGACCTTTGCAAATGAGCGCCGGTGCTGTTGATCACACAGCCGGACGAAAACGACCCCGCCTGCAGGGATTGCCTGGAATTGACCGATTCGTGGTGGAGCAAGATAAGTAGGTCCGAGATAGCGGTGTTTCCTGCCGCACTAGGTGTGACTGCTCAGGAGGAATGGATTAGCGTGCTCGATGTGGATGTGTGAAGGCCGGATGAATTCCAGAAGGCTGAAGAGCGCAAAAGTCGCCGAAGGAACGGGGAGATGCGCCAATCCTGCCTAAATTCCACGAGTCGAGGCAATTAACCCGAGAAATCACCCTATTGGTCCCCGCTTCCCATCCCCGCCCCGTTTGGGGTTGACGCCATCCACACTGGATGGATGTATATAAGTCCCACGATGATCACGATTCATTTACATAGGTCTCTTGGCGGAGAGTGAATTGACGAGCTAATATGAGGAACGGTCCCTTGTTTCGCGTCTGCAACTTGCCATCTCTCTTGAGCAGTGAAAAAGCCACTCGTCTTATGGACTCCCCTCATGGATGAATGCTTTCTTGGTGTTGCCCTTGAAGCTTCTATGACTCTGCCAGCCTTGCAGAGGTCTAACCACAGCCAAGGTGGCTGCAGATTGTTGAAGAGTCAAGTTCCGACCACGATTGGTGTTCTCGGATGGCTACTCCAAGTTTAGCCAGACGACAATTTGTTCGACTGATATGCAAAGCCCTATTGTTCACGAGATTGTCCGCATTCTCTGTGTGGATGATTTGCTATCACCACTCAGCCATGCGGCTTCACGAGATGCTAAAAGTGGCGGTAACAGGCTCCAGAACAATGTCCGTCGCCTTCTCGTGAGATATGCGCACAACTTGAAAGAAGAGACAGGCCCTAGCAAGTGTCGAACAATCCCCCGGTTTGTGGGTCGGCTCGCGTCACGGATCTCGACTGGGATCTGTCTGGTTGTATCTGGAGGCCAGAAAAAAACATTTGGAAAGGCTGAGGCACTCACCCAAAGACAAACTGGATCGTGTGAGGGTGGAAGAGATGCTTAAAAGAATATGAGACCAGTGCAAAGTCAATGACATCACAGTTGATGGGCATTCAGACTCCGATGACGATGTCAGCGAGCCAGCGGACGACGAATATGAAGATGACCATGACGCGAAGTTTCCTGAGATCTCTCGGGTCGAGAAGCTCCTTCTACAGAGTGTTGCATACCACTCACTTATTACAAGGCTGAACTGAACGACTGGGTCTATCCTTTGTTTCACATCCGTGTTCGAAAATTCTTGAAACTGCTTCCAAACCCTGATGGTCTCGAACTCAACAATCGCCTTCGGAATGAACTCTTCCAAGTAGTGGCCGAAATTCAGTATTTACCGCCAGGCCGAATTTCTTTCGCTTGGGGAAAGTTAGGCTGGTTTAATCGTTCCAAGGGCCCGGTCCAAGGATGGTCCGGGGGAACATGGGACTGATGGCCGTTCACACCATATATGCGACCCTTATCAGATGGCTTGTGTAAGTTTTCAAGCCGACAAGAAGACTCATGCGGTGGAAGCTGATCGGCTGTAGTGCCCTTGCCCTTTGCAAATAAGCTTTCGCGAATGATCAAGAATCCCATGCCAGCGGGTGAAATGGCTGGTAGGCATCAAAGCATGCGAAGTCATGACTCTGGCGGCTCGTCTGAAAGACGTCAAGCTATAAAACAAGCCCAAGAAGGAACACTCGATCCCAGGCTGGACAAAAACTCCCTAGACACTGCCGCTCATTCCACCGGGGGATCGGAGATAGAATCCTCCATAGCAGCTCTTCGATACGTCCTTCTACTCGTAACCACTGGCAATTCCAATCGACTTTCCCTGATTAAAGTTCATGGGGTTGACAACAATGAATTCCTTCAAACCCTTCGGTCCGAAGTACCCTCGACTGCGAGGAACCGTGGGAAAAGTTTGATGACTCTGAGTACGCCCTCGGAAAGAGAGATGAGTATCCCGACATGCACAACGGTAGAGCGGGTATCATGTCGTAGTTGGTTGAATCAAGACTGAAGGTGTCAAGCATTAGATTCATTATTATTCTTTTCTTCATCGCTGCGAAGGGAAAGACAAGAAGGGACTCGGTCTGGTCGGTCAAGTGATCTTCTCCGTCAAACACAACAAACATGGTATAATGTTTACATCCCTCGTCCTGCACGGAATACATTCCGTGCCCGATAGCTAATGTCACAGTGCATGATCCATGAGGTGATCGATGGAATCTGGAGTCTAGCTATACAGGAGCAGGATTGTACATTTAGATTTCTTCATAGTAATGTAGACATGCACAGCGTTGGAAAGATGAGTCCTTTAAAAGATATATGTTTGTCAAAGAGGGGGCAGTGACTGTAGGGAGCTAATCGATTCCCGACAACCACCGGACCAATATCGCGCGTCTATACATAGGATATAAACCACGGGCCACGGTCGGCTTCAAATCCCGCCGTGATGTAAGGATTCGAAGATAACCATCTACTCCGTACAGTTCTACAGGCTGCTCTTCGGCCGGAAGATGCCGCGATCAGGCTGAGTCAGCCGATAAGAAGGGAAAGACGTGGCCTGTTCGGGTCGTTCTGGCCCTGTACCGTAATCAATCCCCCATACCTTTACGGGTGCAGCTGCAGCCACCCACAGGGGCTTTCGGTTTCGCAAATCAGATCTTCCCCGCGCCAGTCATTCGAGGTTTGTCTTTGAACGGAACGGAGAGCAATTTGACCGTGGATTGGCATTATTCATGGAGTGGAACCTGGCGTTACTTGATGTACCTTACCTTCGTTACCTACGGGACAATACGCCCGCTCTCCTCCGACGAGACGATCTCAACTGTCAACCACGGATCCCCCGTATTTAGGAGCAGATGTCAGAGTACCTAAGTGTTGGGAAGTCCAGATGTCATCTCCTGAGGAAAAGATAAATAAATAATAATGCATAGAAAATCAACCACCTACCTTGGGAGATTACCTACTAGGTTAGCGGCAATAATATTACCGTACCGGATGGTTAATACCGATGCTGACTACTCCACGACCTCCATAATCTGTCCTTTTCGGGGCTGCTGCCTCTTCCGCTCTCAACGCTCGTTCCTCCTTTTCCTCCTCTCCTCTTTCTCCTCTTCCCCCCGTCTTTTTTTCCCTTTTCCCGCGACCGGTGTCTGTCAAACCAATTCGCTACCTGCCCAATTCCTCCCTCTCAACGTCGTCGTCGAGGTGGTTGGGTGCTTCGATGTCCCTGCGGTGATCTCGCTTTTTTCGCCTCTCAACCCGCGTTCTCGCCCTTCGAGGCGCTTCCAGACCTTTGATCTCCCTCGCCGACTCCCCCCATTGACGATCTCAGCTCTTTTCTGTCCCAATCGGTGCGACTTGCGGACACGCTGGGAATATTCTCCTATTCTCCTGCACCCTACACAAGCTAGTAGCTGCTCAATTCGTCGGCCTGCGAAAATCGCGAACGCAATCTGGCCTTTGATTGCCGCTTTTTTCTTTTCCTCCTTCCGTCTCCCTCCAACCACTTTGCTCTTTGTCGCCAGCCTTCGCCTAATGTTTTGATGCTGAATTGAATCATCGCGAGAGATCGCTTTCTAAGTTTCTCGACTTTTTTTCTTACTCTTCTCTATCCTCTTTTCATTGGGTGGTCAACGACCATTTGATCAATCTCTCTCGGCACGAATTTCGAGACGCGCGCAGTCCAGAAACTATCGCTTTTTCTTGGAATCCTTTACGACCTTTTGCTACGTCGCGTTAAGAATCAACGGTGAACGTATGTCTGCCCTGCCTCGGATACACGTCGATGATCGTAGAGCTAACCCCGGGGATTTCTAGTTTAACGATGATGAACCCGTACCTCAGTTGGGCTCTTCTGCTCGTCGTGGCAGGTGGCCTCGGCTGGTATTACAATGGCCCTACCGCTATCAAGGCCAAAGCCCCCATCAAGCCCGTCGTGGAAAAAACGGAAAGCGCGCTGGGTGTGAAGAAGCCGAAACGCAAGGCTAAGAAGTCTCCCGAGCCTTCTGCCCCGGCCGCAAAGGCCGACGAACAGCCTGCGTACGTGCCCCAGACGGAGGAGGCCGATAAGCCAGATGAGGAGATCGACCAGAAGGAAATGGCCAAGCGTTTTGCTGCCGTGCGGGACGGAACCATTGCTCAGACCAGCAAGTCCCAGAAGAAGAAGAACAACAAGAAGACTGCCACTCTCGCCCAGCCCGAGAATGGTAACAACGAGCGTTCCGCCTCGCGCGTGTCCACCCGTACTTCCTCCACTACCGGAGCGGAAGCGGATGACGATCTCTCCCCTGCCGGCTCCCCTCAGGTCAACGCCACCGTCCCTACTACTGGATATGTCTCCGATATGTTGGAAGCCCCTGCTCCTGGAGCTTCGGTTCTCCGCGTTACTGGTTCTATGGAAGATGCTCAGAAGAAGAAGCAGAAGCCCCAGTCCTTCAAGCAGGTTGAAACCAAGAAGCAGCGTCAACAGCGCCTGAAGAACGAGGCCCGTAAGCAGCAGGTCCAGGAAGCCGAGCAGGAACGCCGCAAGCTCCTTGAGAAGCAGCTTCATTCGGCCCGGGAAGCTGAGCGCCAGCAGGCCGCTCAGGCCAAGCCCGCTGCTCCTCAAACCAACGCCTGGCAGACCAAGCCCGCGAGCAACGTCTCGAACGGCACTCCCAAGGTGGCTCCCGCCGCCGCTGCCGCCACCGCTCCGAAGGTTGACCTGTTGGACACCTTCGAGCCCGAGGCCAAGCCTTCCGGCAAGTGGGACCAAGGCCTTCCTTCCGAGGAGGAGCAGATGCGCATCCTCGAGGCGGGTGATGACCAGTGGACCACTGTTCCCAGCAAGAAGACGAAGAAGAAGGCTGGAAAGGCTGATGAGAGCGAGGCCAGCGCTCCTGAGTCCCAGCCCACTCCCGCTCCCGCCGCCGCTCCCACCCCTACCCCCGTCGAGCCCAAGGCGAAGGTGACGCCCACCTACCTTCCCGACGTCCTTCGCTCCAAGCAGAAGGGTCACCCTCTTGATTCTGACTGGGCTGCTTAAATGTATTTTTTTCCCCCTCTACCCTCCTATCTCAAAAATCGTCGAAGAGCGTCATCCCTTCTGCGCTCCTATCTCTCTGTTTCAACGGAATACCTTTCCATATTGAACTGTACTTATTATTACCTTTACGGCTTGGGCGTTTGGGTCTTTTTATTATACCAAAAAGGCACCGCGCAATTGGCGAGGTGCTTTGCGTGTCGCATATTCAGCGAAAGCAACCAGAAAAAAAATCCAGAAAACCGGCGAAAAAAATCGTGAAAATGACTGGCGCCGAGAGAAATGCAGCAAAAGGCCCCCATTTCTAACAAGCAAAAAACTGCCCCAGAAAATCTTTGATCTACATAGAGTCATGTATTCTTTTTTATGTTACTTTATTTCTTCTTCATTTTCTCCCAGCTAATTGTTCGGCCTTTTTTCTTATCCATCTATCTTATTTATTGTTTCAAAACTATTTTCAAAACTATTATTATCTTTTAACACATTTGCTGTGTGATAATTAACGAGAGGATGTTTGCAATGGCCAGACTTTGCACCTTTATTTTTATCTTATTGACTTTGTTTTTGTTGATGAGGTCCTGGTGTCGCCGATGTACCTATTCTAGTGGAATGGTCAGCAAGAAGGGGCCAGAGACAGGCCGGAAGGAGGGAGTTGGGGATGGCTCCGTTTCAGCTAGAAACAAGACACCTGGCATGTGTTGTCCCCCTATTTCTTGGTTCTTGCACTGTACCTCAAACCGTCGGCGCAGCCCTTCAATTGTGTGTCTCTGGTCTCACAATTCAGGCCCCGTACCTCCGGTCGGACTCCGCGAGGAGATCTATTTTTGAATGATTTGTTGCGCGCATGGGCCGAGGGAACGGACGTGGGCGATCAATGATCCTAAAATAATAACTGGTCCCTGATTGCAGGGAAGTGGAGACGGTGGACGAGCCTTCAGGAACTGCAAGGCATTTGGCCGCTGCAGGGAGCCTGATGACAGTCCGTCAGCGATGTGGTCATCAGTTGTCCTCGAGGTACGGAGTTATAAGGTAAAACATGGAGGGAGATGCCTCCCCAGCATAGTTTCTATAGAGGAATAAATAATATTATTGTCGGACTTCCTTGGCAGAATGCCTGCCTGGAATTCCAGGACGGAATGAAGCCTTAAAAATCAGTAACGCTGCAGATGATGTCGTCATTGGCTGGAAAGGACTTGGCAGGCTAACCCAGGCCGGACTAGCGGCGCCCATCTGGGTATCGTGGCCTGAAGGAAAGTCACGGCGGGCGGCGGAGAAGCTTCGTTTGTTGTTGTCCTCTTCCTCTTCTCTCCCTCTCCCTCTCTCTCTCTTCCCCTCTCGCTCGCTCGACCTTTTTAATTGATTCCCCCCAGTCCTCTCTTTTCTTTATTCTCATTTCTACGCCCCCGGCCTTCCCTGTCCCCTCCAGTTCCTGGTTGTCTGTTTGTCCACTGTCCCCTCCCTCATCTCCCAATTGCCGAGGGATCAACCAGCTGTTTTACTGTGTCACCTTCTCTGTCCTCTCCAAGACCCTTCGCCTCCTCTCCCGCCATGGCGCAAATTCGCGGCACTGCGGGATACAATCTCGGTCACCAGAACCCTTTCCAGGGTCCCGGTCGGGCAGATGCAACCGACGACCCGAGCCCCTTGGATGCCATTCGGGAGCAAACCAGCAAAATCGAGGATTGGTTGGACACCGTGTCGGATCCCGTGAAGCCGTAGGTGGCTCCTCCCTGAGAATTTTGTTATTTTGTTTCTTTCCACGGCTTTGCCTGTCCTCTCAACGCCATGGCAGCCCTTTGATCGCGGGATCCCGGAACCACCTCGCTGACACCGTGTCTTTTTGCCTCGCAGCTACCTGCCTGCCATTGGTCGTTTCCTGATCGTGGTCACCTTCATTGAAGACAGTCTTCGCATCCTTACGCAATGGAGCGACCAGCTTCTCTATCTCCGTGATTACCGAAAAAGTAAGTCTTGTTCTTTCCGTGCTCTCTCTTCCAGGCTTCCGAGGACAGCAATTGAAGGGACGAGATGGGTTTCTAACCGTAATTTTCTTTGCGCAGTCCCTTGGGGTATTACCCACACCTTTTTGATTGTCAACGTTATTGCAATGTCGATATGCTCTTTCCTCGTTGTTACTCGCAGACACACCGAAATCGCCGTCGCCGGTCTGCTGGGCGTGGTTGTCACTCAGGGCCTCGGATACGGACTTATCTTCGACCTCAACTTCTTCCTGCGTAACCTCAGCGTTGTCGGCGGTCTTCTCATGGTGCTCTCTGACTCGTGGGTGCGCAAGAAGTTTGTGCCCGCCGGATTGCCCCAGCTCGACGAGAAGGACCGCAAGATGTATGTCCAGTTCGCCGGTCGCGTGCTCCTGATCTTCCTCTTCATCGGATTCGTCTTCTCGGGTCAGTGGACCATGTGGCGGGTGATTGTCAGTTTGACCGGTTTCGTCGCTTGCGTCATGGTCATTGTCGGATTCAAGGCCAAGTGGAGCGCGATCATGCTGGTTGTCTTGCTCAGCATCTTCAACGTTTTGGTCAACAACTTCTGGACGGTGAGTTCTGAATGACTTGTGCGGTATGCTCGGATGGTCAAGGCTAATTGAATTTCTAGCTCCACCCTCACCACCCTCACAAGGACTTTGCCAAGTACGACTTCTTCCAGATCTTGTCCATCGTGTAAGTGTTGCTCGTTCTCTGATTTTGGAAGCTGAAGCTAATGATGATTGTTGAACAGTGGCGGACTGCTCCTTTTGATTAACATGGGTCCCGGCCAACTGAGCATGGATGAGAAGAAGAAGGTTTACTAAACGGGGGGAGCGCATTTACAAACGCGCCAACGGGGAAATGAACACCAAACGATAGGTCCGAACCGAAAAGCTTGCGTTTGCAGCACAAGGAAAAATCAAACAGAGGAAAAGCAAGAAAACGGAACTCCCGCAAACTGTGTTCGCGTGACATTCATTGTTATTATGGTCTTTTTATCGGGATGGCTCCCTTTACCCATCCAAACGGAGTATTTATATGATTCATTCTTCCCCTTGAAATGCTTCCTCTTTTTCTCTTTCGTTTCTTCTGGATCTCATCTATCACATTACATTTTGGAATTGCTCAATCTTTCCGGGAGTTGTTTTCTTATTGTCCAATACATCAGTTGGTTAGGTTTTCTATTTTATCTTCCTTTTACTTCTGTATGCAAGATATGAATCATGCAGAGGGCTTCAGAGCTACAACAGTTTCAAATCAATCATCTAACGTTCTTTCTGCGCTTTACACTGGTATCTTATGTTTATGCGGAACTATGTTCTCTGGGGTTTCTTAGGTGCTGTGTATTGTGTATACAACACCCGAGGAGAGACAAACGGGACTACGTGCTAGCCCGAGCCCTTCTATACAACCCTAAACTGACCATTTGAAGTTATACAGATTCGAAAGATCTTCAAGAGTAGAAGAAGTCGGTCGTGATCAGCCCACTAGCGACCTAGCATAACGCTGTGTCTATTTCGGGTCTTTAGTTATACACCGGCTATCATAATGGAAAGGGAACAATTAATTGAACGACTCAGGTTCCCTTCCTTATCTTTCCGAGGTTCATCCGGCGACGTTCCATGTTGATTTGACCCTGAGATTGACTCTGGGAGAGTCAGCATGGAACCAGGGTGCCGACGAAAGATCTCGACGAGATAAGCGGATCCTGGCACTTAGCAGTTAGCAGTAGCGCTAGCAGTTACACACTAGGCTAGCATGACTGGCTCTAGCTTCCTCTTAATTTAAAAGGTGTTTGGTCTGCGGCAACCAGCGCGGACGCGAAACGCTCAACCCTTCGTTAGGGCCTTGGGAAAGTGGGTCGCTTGGAAGGGTCGAGTTGGAGATGTTTTCTCTCATCTCAGCTCTGGGATGTGCATCTCTGTCAATGGGAATCTCTCATTCTAGTCTGAGGATATGTGGTTTAACGCGATCGAGAGAGGAGGACCGGGCACCGGGCAATTCCTGAGCCGTGGCTATCGTGGATGAACTGTCAGTCCAGCAAGTAAGCATAAACAATAAGCATAAGGAAAGGTGGATACAAACGCGGCGACTGCAACTCTGTCCGCTGGAGCCATCGGCATGTCAGTATTGTCCATGTCAGGTCGCAGGGCTACCGACTATCCACGATTAGTGACACTAAGTCCGGAGCAAACACCATTCGGGGTTCATGAATTCTTTTTTTGGCAGGCCAGCGTCTGCACGAAGACTCTTGGGTTTTAATTAATTCCTGACTGTCACCGACCCAGACCGACAAACGCCTCCACCGCGGCGTCTCCTGCGTCTCCTTCATCTGCTTTGCCAGCTTCTATAAAGAGTCATGCAGATGTCCATCCCTTCTTGGGTTTTTTTTTTCCTGAGCCAGACTCTACATTCTTTCATTCTCATTCTTTTCCTTTCTTTATAACACTTTCTTTAATCACTATGCGTTCTTTCATTCTCTCGTCTGCCCTAGTGGCAGGCCTGGCTGAGGCTTACACCGTCACCACCTCGGATCTGTTCATGTACAAGAACATCGATCCTCTCGTGGTGCCGGGCCAGTACAAGTCCCATATGCACAGCTTCTTCGGGTCCGATGCTGTGACCGTGAACACCACCACCTCAGCTGAGCTGCAGAAGGGATGTTCGTCCACGGCCAACCCCAATGACTTTTCCACCTACTGTAAGGCCCCTCTCCTCATCCCTACTCTCTACGCGCCTCACTAATTCTCACCCTAGGGGTCCCTACCCTGTACCTCGTCAAAGACGGCACCCGCACCCCGATCACCGTCAACCGCTTCAGCGCCTACTACATCGACCTCGACAAGGCCGAGATCCCCATCCCGCAAGACTACACCGACCTCGCGGGCAACGCAGGCGCGCAGTCCCAAGCCGACGTGGACTCCAACGCGGGCATTGAATGGTTCTGCGAAGGCGACCCCGCCGAAGACAAAGACCCGGCCGCCTTCCCCTCCACCACCTGCTCCACCCACCTGCAAACCCTCCTCCTGTTCCGCGACTGCGTGAACCCGGACACCCTCGAGGCCGCGTACTCGGGCAACCCGCGCGTCCACGACGGCTACGGCGACAACTGGTGCCCGCAGGGCATGTCGCGGATCCCGCGTCTGCGCTTCTCCATCCGGTACGACCTCCGCAGCCTGCTCCCGGAGGGGTGGTCCGGGGAAGCGCCGTTCGAGCTGGCCTGTGGGTCGTCGTACTGCTCGCACGGCGACTTCATCAACGGGTGGCTTCCGGAGGCGGCGCAGAATATGGTGGGCGCGGAGTCGAACCGGAACTTTGTGGCGATTGATGGGCCCAACGGCAAGGCGGATGCTGGGTCCGTTTGTGGCGCGGAGAATGCCGAGGATGCGGACCCGGATCATGGCACGAGTGACTATGATAAGAGCCTTGAGATGATGGGCATGGCGTCGAAGAAGGTCCGGAGACATACGCCTCGTTTTGGACGTGTTCATTACTAGGTGTTGGCTTAGCTTTTGGAACATCTGCTGGGGCGGGTTCTTGCTCTATGCCATAGGGTATACCCTACATACCTACTGTGTGGTATTGGTACCAGGAAAGGTCAGGCTCTCTGCGTTGACTGTGCAGTCTTTCGTTTACATGGACGTAATTATATAATTCCTACTAGAAAAATCCATAACTACACTTCCAGGCTGTGCCTGAGAAGTATACAAACCAGATGACTATCCTTCAAGGTCCTGTAGACTTACTTGTCTTCAGTAGCATTCAAGAGGAGCCCTTCTACTATAATTAGTACTGTCACTTGTAGTGTTACGGGGCGAAGAGGCCTGAAGTTCACTGACTCGTACCACAGATGGTAGGTCGAAATGGCTTTGAAACGCCAAATCCACCAACTAGCGTATATTTCCGCACGAAGCACTTTATACAGCCGTGAATGCCGGGGAAGGGGAACATAGGCTCACCCAGATAGCAAAGCCAGCTCATCGGCGTTATTCATCGCAAGTCCAAACGTGCCACTTATGAGGGCGTTGCAGATCCATCTCGGCCAATCCTTTGGGGTGACATTGTGTTTCTGAACAGTCGCAATCGGCGGGCCATAGATTTCGGCACTCTCCAAGCACCTCCGATCCCCGGAGTATCGCAAGGCCTAATTGATTAAGAATGATAGCTTTGAAGAACCTAGGTTTCGCGACTTGTATTGTTCCGGTTTTCACACTGCGGTTGGTGCGGCGTATGACCTGACCCAGCCTGAGGTTAATGATATCCGTTGACGAACTAAGCGCGGTTTCTGCCAAAGCCTTACCAAGAACAGTCCCTGTCTCCGTGCAATTTCTTGCATCGTCCCACCACAAAGGCGCGCTTGAGGGATGGTGGAAAACTGGGCTCCGATAGCGCTGACCGTAAAGATCAGTAGCCAGTGGGTTTCTGGGGCTCGAAATGATGTTTTGTGAAGCAAGGGGAATACTGGGTGAACGTGTTCGAAGTAACGTTGCACCCAAGCATTGATTACGGGCGTGGGTGGAAGTTTCAACTTTTTGAATTGAGGAAACAATGGCTGGGTCTCTATGGTTCTGGCTAGATGCGTCACATTATCCGCTACAGTGGTAGAGACCTCGGCAACGTGAGCTAGGTTTTCTTGGTCGATGTGCTCGTGCGATACATGGTCCATGGAGGGAAGGCTCAACAACATATCCTCATTGTTGGGAGTTGGATGATACTGACGCGGTCCAGTTGTTTCTTCTTCAACTGCCGGGGAAGGATGGCGGTTGTAGGTCTCAGTGATAGCCTCTGGAGTTAGTTGAGCAGGCGAGCGGTGGCGATTGTCAAACATCAACGATGTATGCCGTGTGAACGGCCTATAGGAATTCATCAATTCATCCCCAAATAACACGGATACAGATATTTGGGCATCAAATTCCAAGCCCAGCAGGCTTATACGGTCCACAGGCTCTGCACCAAAGGGATTGGTGAGGTCCATAGCAGGTGGGATGGCGAGTGACCACCAGAAGTCGAATCCAACATCTCACCAATCCCCAAGCCCTCAGGAACCCGTGTACTTGTATCACTTACAAAAGGAAGTGGGATAAAGTGCACCCATGTGGTTTATATTAGCTGTTATTAGGTCTTTGTGCGATTTGTGTATTAGGTCATGGGGGCGGGACAGTGAGTCTCTGCCTCATCGCCTGAGCGTTATCCGGTATATCAGAACTGGGGAACATACACTCTACCAAAGCATTGACCACGATCTGCACAGGAGAAAGGCTTTTCGCTGGTGTGTGTACGGAGATGCCTTTCGTAATGTTCCCATCGCTGGAAGGAGATGTAGCAGGTCTCACAAACCACTTCTGTTGTCTGCCCTATGGAATCGCTCGTGATGTTTGGTAGGTCCATGATGAATGTGTATCTGTATGGAAGCAGCAAGGAAAAGTGACTGAATATCTGCAGGGAGTTTTATACTCAATACCTATGGCAGTACACTTATCATATGGTAAAAATACCGTTCTCACGCCCAACCAGGTCATAATATGGGCTAACCAAACATGAATATACAAGTGCGTTGAAACGAATAATCAGTAGACCTAATCAGAGCCACAAAAGATGAGATCCGACTGCCCCGAAAACATCCATATAATCTCTTCCTGCAATATATTAGCTGTTATTAGGACTTTGTGGTGGGATAGTAGCGAAGATGTCTCACGTACCCCATATGCTATATCCACAAACATAACCCCCGTTTCAACGGGAGCAGTGGCCGATCGGGCCTTGACAGAGATAAGTCGCTGTCGGTTCTCGTGGTGCGAAAAGTAGAACCGCAGAGTATCACAAGACTGTAAGGATATTTCTTGTATATCCGCCTGGACTTCTGTGTTCTCGAACCATTGACCTAGAACACATCTCTCGTCGTCGTTATAACAAAGAAGCATTCCTGTACAGCAAGAACCCGTATAGCAGGCTTTGACCGAGGCAATGTCCTTCAAATAGGCTTGCGAGGTAAAGCTAGTAAACGGGGAAGCCATCAGAAGAGACATCACTCCCAGGGTCGGGGGCATTTCTGGTATAGACTGATGCTGATTGTGTTTCTGTTCGGCCATGGAACCACATAGTCGACAAATCGCACCGAGACTCTTGATGCCAGAAATGCCCGGAGTCATATCATAGTAGAGACAATAAATCTCTCCGTCATTAGGAGTAACTATACTTCTGAAGACCGTTTTTGATGGCGGAAAATGTGGCCCAAGAAAGAACATTCGGTTCTTGATGGTCCTGATCTAGATCGTGTTAGTAAAGGAATGCACGGCATGTGCTATACATACCGCAAGATAAGGACCTGATAACGAGTCGCATTGATGCCAGTATACATAGATCACACTTATACTATCTGAGCAGCCAAGTTGGATATGGATAGGACAACCATGTTGTTGGCCGTACCAATACACGGAGCTCTGGTACGGGGCGGCTGAATGGGAACGGGAGTCAAAATGGATTCCCAGGCCAACGAACCCCCGGTTAGAGCAGAATGCAGTGAGACCATACAGACGCCCCTCTCCTCGTAGGGGTATACATGTCATGAATCGCTGACGCTGGGTCGCGAAGTCGAAATGCCGTGGCCAATCGTAGAATAGCCTTGGGTTTAGCCAATATAGTTGGTTATAGGGCACTGGTGGTACCCAATAAAAGTCACGTCCGAATGCCATATCGTGAGAATCGACGCGGGATATCTTCCAGATCTAGCTGCGTTATTAGCTTTCAGCACTTCTCTTGAGACCATAGTCAACATACATCCCAATCGATATCGACACGGAGCGGCCTGTTGGATGGACAAGGGATGAACCGAATGAGCTTATTACCATCTTGCGTCGTGTTATCCATGTCGGTAGAGTTAGCCCCGATGCTTCTCAGAAACTCTATCTTCTGGAGTCCGTACGTCCCTAAACTGAACACGCACGCAGTACTAGAAGCAGGTACCAGGATTTCCAGACATGAACTGCTTTCGTGACCATATAGTGTGCATTCTTGACGAATACCACAGATATATGTGCCTTTGATGAGATGCGTGAAATAGACAACCAAGCGTCCATATAAAGAGATAGTCGCGCTACCGGCAGCAAGAGGAATAGACGACCAAACTTTCTTTGCTGCGTTGAGCGCAAGTAGACACCGAATCGTACCAGAGGGAATACAATCCCAAATGAGTGCACTTAGTTCGACAGGAAGTCTTCCACATCGTTTTAGCAGCTCAAGTAGAATGCTCTCACCTTCGCTACCATGAGAGGTCCCAAGCAAGGGATACGTTGCCTCAGAGAGAGCATAGCTTCTATAGATATCCTGCGGAAGCCCGGTCCATACTAGCGGCGTCATCGCAAGTCCGAGATCGTAGAGGGTGCGAGGGCTTGGTAGATCTACCCCGACTACTTCACAAAGGCTATGAACAGATGGGGCATATCTGGCTTTTCTGCGCGGATATCTGTGGATCTGAATACCTTGGTCATCCAAGTAGATTGTCTGACTATCTCCTTGAAAGCTTATGTGCTTTGTTATAAAGGTGGTCGGACCAGGGCTATCGATAATGATGACTGTTGATATCAGTTTCTAGGTAGTATAGACGTGGTTGAACCGGACATACCTGCACGGAATATTGTATTCCCATCAAACTTCTGTCCGCACAGTGAACAGTGAGGAATTCTCACATATTGACCAGGAGAGTACATTTGGAGGTCCATGAGGATATTCGCTGTAGGACTAAGAATATCTTCTGGAGGTTTTGGAGCAGGATCACTGGTCATTGACTTATGATCGATCCTTGAGAGCGGTCTGCAATCGGACCCCGCAGAGGAATAGGATGTACATACCTTGCGTCTACCTAGGGCGCCAAGGTAACCTGAAGTACAATGGATATAGGCTTTGACGGAACGACAAGGTTATCAAGCTTAGACTTATGAAAGTGACCCGAACGACATCCGGAGAAATCACGAGAAGAAAAGCTGAGACTAGAGTGCAGGATGGGATGGAGCATGGAGGATTTCCAGAAGTTTTACATCCATCGTTCATGCATCAAGCTACCTGTTCTAAGCTGGCTAGCCACGGACTCGAGAGAAGCAAGCGTTTACTTCCAAGAGGAGGACGGACTTAGCAACACCAATAGGTATTAACTGGCAACTCTGGTCATTACGGGAGTGATCATTTCCTAGGACATCTAACTACAATAGACAGTTCATGTTAACCCCCCGAGGCAGACACTTATACTCACCTCAGTATTCTCAAAGATAAGCAAACAAACAAAACAGAACACGCAAAGTATGTTCATTCCAATATTGGCGCACCTGATAACTCATTTTCTTCATTGCTAACCCCAAAAACAGTCTCTCCTAACAAGCACAACAATGATACCACAATTCATTACAGATAAGGAACCAAATCTAAACATAGACTCGTCGATCTATTTATATATCAATGAAACCGGTGAACCGGGCGGGCCCTATGCTTTCCAGGAACTCAAAGTTCGCGCTACCGAAACTTAGGGCTGGAAGGGACGAAGTATGAAACGCCCGAAAAGTCAGATTCCGAGCCTTGACTAAGAAAAAGGAAAACAAACAAACCAGTCTGTTAAAGATAACATATTCATTAAAAGGTAATATACAGGAAGATGAGGAATTACAAGAAGAAAGTGAAGAGACAATGCAAATGCAACCAAAACTTTAGACTCAAAACATGAACACAGTTAGACAATCAATCAAGACAAGGAAAAAGGGAGATAGAGAGTGAAAAGAGTAAGAAAAAGTAAAGCTAGAGTAAGGATGGTAATCTGCGCTTGGTAATAACGATGCAGGAAGACAGACTGTAGACAGGACGGGATATGTATGTGTATGGACTGCTCGAGGGCAGAACACGACGGTATGAACAGGTCAAGGACGGCGATGTATTTCCCGCTTCGAGGCGATGCGTATCTTGGACCGGCCATATATACACATTCATGCATACTGTGATGATGAAACTCTTCGAACGGGGTGTCCATGCTCTTTCCAATGATGGTATAGACAGAGAGAGTGTGCGTATGTGAGTCAAAAACGAAGCACAAAAACCAATGGGGGTTATCTGGACGGAACGAAAGCTTTTGAATGCTGTCAACGCCGAGTGAAAATAAAAAATCCAAGGATAAAAATGCACCACAATGCTCTATGGACAGGAGAAAAGAAGTGAAAAAAAAAGTTTATGACCGACGATGGATGTCATAGACGATTATATCGATCAGACATCCATGCTCCATCGCCACGGCCGGATTTGTTCCAGCTGGCCTAGGCCAACTTCGTCATGAGGCTCGTTGATTTCCACATGGAGCAACTGCACTTTGTTGTTGGTCTCCCGTGGCAGAGTTGTTAGGGCTTTGGAGATGGACGGTCGGAAATGTTTTCCGGCATCCTCGGTCTCTTTTGAACCGGGCCGGGAGACAGGCGTCTGCGGAGAATGCATGGAGACCCGCGGAGATTCCATCTCGGAATCGGAGGACATCAACATGGAAGAGTCGCATCGGGAATGGAGAGACCGCGAGATGACGAAGTTGGACTCGTCGCATCCGTAGGCAGACGCTGTCGGGGATGACGAGCGAGCCAATTGGTCCTCTGTTTTCGATTTACTAGTAGTCGGGGTATGGGCATCACTGGGGGAGGTAAACGTAGGCGATGGTTTTAATGTTTTCTTCTTCACGGAAGTTTGGGTAGATATAGGAGGGAGCTGGTAGTTCCGCGCCATCCCAGGCGGAATGGGCGAGGCCTTTTTCTCGCGGGGTTTCGTCGAGGGACTGGTCCGCTCCTTCCCAGCCATCACTCTCGCACTGGGCGGCGGTTGCAACATCCATCGCGTCTCGGCTCTGCTCTTCGGTCCACTGACGATAGGCGGATGGAGGTCGTTCACGGGTGGCACTCGAGCGATGTAGTACTTGGGCTCCTTGGCTTCCGTTCGACCCTGTCCGGAAATTCCCACCGAGGAACCCTTCACCTCCACCTCCTCACCCCAAAGCGGTTCGTCCTCGCGCTGGTATCGCATACGGTTCCACCGATCGCTAACCGGCTGCATCAGACCGCCCTTATCCTTCTTGTGTGCCGAGCCTCCCGTCTGTTCCACATCTTCTGCAGGTCGTGCGTCCGACTTCCAACTATCCGTCCGCCGGTGAGCGTTGCGGTGACCACCTCGTCGGGCCGGAGGTCCTGGGCCTAGCGCGATCTCTTCCTTCCATCCTTGATTGGTGCGAAATGCGGTGGGTTGGGGGAATGGCCGAGGCTGGTCGGTGACGGTGGCGTTCAGTTTCTCTTTCTCGCGATGCGATCGGGCGGCTTCCTTCTTACGCTTCCGACGGTCGACGGACATAGCACACGGAGTGCAAGTGGCGTAGTAGAAGACGGCCGACTGGACCCCTCGATAGAGCCACATGGTGTAGGAAGATCGGATCGGAGACGGGGGGAGGGAGGGTGGCGGTGAGAATGCGGCGGGGAGAGGGAAGGTTTGATAGTAGTATGTAGGGAAAAGAAGAAAAAGAGGATAGAAAAAGGTAAACAGTTAATCAATTCAGGCGTTCACGAAGCCAAAAAGGCTCTTGGACACCGTCGAATAAAACCTGAGATCTGTAGCGACGGTGAAGGCAACATGAAGGGCGTACGGGGGTAAAGTGTGGCTTGATAAGCGGCGGAGGAGGGAGAGGAAGAGAGAGGAAGGAAGCAAGGAACGGAGGTCGCCCAGCGACCTACAACGTAAGAGGAAAGGAGGAGACTAAAGGATGATAAGAACAGGGATGTGTGATGGGAGAGGAGGGGAAGGGAGGGGTGTGGAAGAAACAAGAAGCAAAAGAAAACAGAGAGAAAGCAAGAGGGAGTAAGGCAGAAACAAAAGACGAGCAACTAAAGGGGGAAGAAGGGAAGGAAGAGATCAGGGGAAAAACGGAAATGGCCCAACTTGGCCGGGGCGGGGCGCGCGGCAGAGAAACGGCGCTACCGTCACGAGCTGGTCTTTTTGAAACGGTTATCTGCTCTCTTACCCTCCGGACGAAGTTAATTCCTTCTTAATTAGATCTCGATCCGTATACTTCGACGTTTGTTGTTTGACTTATACTCCGTCGCTTTATACTTCTCTTCCGCCGCCCCGTCGGCCGCCGAGTTGGGCACCAAACATTAACAACTCCTCCCCGGGGCCAATGCACTTGCCATGAATCCTCCGAGCGAATTAATTGATTTAATTACTCTGGCGTCGCTCTAGTCGACACCGTCGCTTATCCATCAGCCTAGACTGTTTCCGATTCCGGTGGCTGCCAAGCACGACCGGCACGCCAGATGGATCCAACCGCGTTATACTTAATCTATTGCGTCCATGCTGAGAGGTCCCATACTGAGGTCAGAATAACATGAATAATGCATAATGGATATACATGGGGCGTATGGAAACGAGGAGAAACGAAGATCGGACTGCTTTCTTTGCCTCTTCTCATCCCCATCTCTTCTCGCCGTTCCTCCATGGCACACGAGGAAGAAATTATCAAGACAAGAAACCAAGTTAGCTGCCTATACTGCCTTTCCCTTGCTTACTCTCGCCTGCCGTCATCCAGGAATAGTCCGGGGACAACGAAGAGTCGCACTGATTCCATATTTCTTTTTCTTTCCCTTTCTCTTTCCCCGTTCTTTGGCTCCTGCTGTCCCCAATCAAAGCCCAAGTGTCTCATCCCGTAGCGTCATTTGTCCGGCTCCGAGGATCGCCACGGATCGAAATCGCCGTGCACTCCCTCCCAAGGCCACGGTAACCTCGTAATGCATGCCATGATACCAGAGAGGGGAAGGAGCAGGGAGGAGAGATCGAATCCCACGCAGGCCAATGCTGCCCAGCGCGACCATGGCTCAGAAAGTACGGTCCCCCGCCGCATGGCAACATGCGCCGAGAAGCGCACTACCCGCGCGACGCCCAAAACCCTCATGCTCGTTCGACGAGGGCCATGAAACCAAGAATCCCCCCAACAAAATACCAAGGCTACCGTCGTTGCTGTCTGTCACGTCGCAATCGTCCACATCAGTCGTTTTGAGAAGGAAAGAAAAAAGCCAAAAACAAAAATAGCGTTCCGTTTTCCTCCTTACGTCCCCCACCTCTGACTGCATGTTCTTTTTCATTTTCATTTTTTCTTTTCTTTCTCCTTTGTTTCCTTTCCCCGTTCTCGCTTTCCTTTCTCGCTGTCCGCGGAATCGTCACATCGGGTATCGAAGGTCTCGTCATCAGATATAAATTGTCTCATGCATTCTTGGTACTTCGGACTACCTCGCCCTTAACCTTGGCCCAGTCGATGTCGTTGTCAATTCCTTCGTCAACCTCACCGCATAGAACCACATTATCACCTCGGATTAGGTACAAGCCGTGTTCGATCTGCGAGCTCGGCTCCTCGTCATCCGGGGTCCGAATAATCCGTTCGATCGTATCCATAAGGACCAGATTCGTCAGCTGGTCGGTGGAAAGGAGAGTTCCGAGGAGTGTGCGTCCGTCCACGGTCAGGATCAGGACTTTCTCTAAGCAGTCGAAAACATCGACGTTAGTGCATTGTGCGCTGGCGGAAGTGCCGGAAGGAAAGGGGGAAGAGGGGGAGGTAAGTCAATGAAGGACCACTTACTATTGATGTAGGAGTGGAGAGACATCGTGAGGATATGTAGGGTGACGTATAAGGGATGAGAAGAATGACAGGGGAGAGGATAAAAAAAGATCCTCGGTCAACAGATCTATCTAGAGGCACCACCGCCCAGCGCGAGGTTGGAGCCCTCGCTCGTTCAAGATGCGAATGAATCCAGGGTCACTAGATCGTTAAATTGTAAAGTAGGCAGTCGTAGCGGAAGGCAATGTATGAGCTGGCTGCAAGATGAAATCGATCACCGGGTGTGGAAAGAGCCTAATTCCTCGAAGCTGGTATCTGTTTGCGACGAAACTGGAAAACGCGGTGGATGAAATTCGCGTGAAGAGCTGATTTTCTTCCTTTTCCTTTCGCTGCGGTATTCGGAGCTGGGGAGTATTTCCCTGCCTAGAATGTGAAGCTGCAAAATGCAAGTGTCTTTTCGAAGAGCAATGCAGAGCTTCCAGATGATCGGCAGGACAGATCTTGGGGTTCAGCGGTTCAAGTTGTAGTTTACGCCGCAGTGTTGAGTCTTGCTTTCTCCGCGCCGACGGTGCTTGCGGCATCACGTGAGGGGGAGCTTGCCCCGAGCTCCATTCCTACTTCCGCTCATTCATCGAAAATTCCAAACTATGCCTACACAAGGACATCATTCCATAAATAAATACAATAGAAGTGAAAATATACAACCTTCTATTCTCTAATCTGTACATGGAACATAGAAAGAAAGACAAGAAAAAGGTAGGCTTCGTTCCTAGTGCTTACTAGCTATCACGACTATAACAATATGCAAGCGATGCGTCAGACCGACTCTCTGCACGTCCGCAGATCAAGGGACCCTGGTCTTGCATTATCGGTTTTAGCCACTCAAAGCGCTTAAATCCAAGGGCACGCTGCTGCCCCGCCCCGCCCGATACCGTCGGGTGCCTCCCGTGAACGGTCGGGGTTTGGGCAACAACCCTTCGCTTTGGAACTTGAATCGATTGTCGTCCACCGGGATCATTCCTTGCACGCCTGCGTTCCGAGGGCTTAGTCCCGGTGACGGCCCGCCGTTGCTAAGGGTATAAGCGCTCGGATCCAAGGTAGCGGCCTGAGGTTCGTACGAAGATGGACGCGAGAGTGGTTCGCTGGATGGTGCGGTGGGGGGAGCAGATGGAGGAGGGGGGGGAGGAGCGGATGGAGCGAATGCGGCCGGTGGAGGTGGTGGCGGTGCCGACGGAGTCTGCGGGCTATGTCCAAGCGCATTCCTTGCGGCTTGGACTGCAATCGAGGCAGCCCCTGCTCCGCTGGGGGGCGGCGGCGCAGATGCTGGGGGAGCGGGAGGTGGAGGAGGAGTGGATCTAGCCGGCGCTGGGGGTGGAGGTCTGGCCGTGGGCGGAGGCGGAGGAGGTGCAGCAGGGCTAGTCGAAGGAGGTGGCGGCGGCGGTGGTGCCGGAGCAGATGGCTTCCTCAGGGACACGGGAGGTGGCGGTGGTTGCTTCGCTGCGCCTGGCAATGGAGGGGGTGCGCGGGGAGGAGGTGCATCCGGGGCTGGTTTGCTAGGTGGTGCTGGGACGGTTGATGCCGGTCGCGACGCGGGTCTCGGAGGAGGCTTTCGCAGGTTGTTGACCAATGGGTTGACGGGAGGTGCGGGAGGTGATTCTGAAGATGGCGGAGGAGGAGGTGGTCGGGCTCCTGGGGGCTTCGGGGCAGACGCAACGGGAGGCCTGGGAGCTTGCGAACCATCGGATTCTGATCGATACGGCGAGTCTCGGTTCGCACCGGTGTCCACTCCGCCGCCGCGACTGCGCAGCTTTGGCATACCCCCGGCAAAGAGACCACCGAGCTGCGGGACCGCCGGGGCAGATGCTGCGCCACTATCACCACTCCCTGAGCCGGTTTCGCTATTGCTTCGGAGTCTGTTTGCGGCTCCGGTCGGAGGCACCGGCGGTGCAAGACCACCGGGAGGCTTCGCCATGGTAGGAACAGGAGGTGCTCCTCCGACAGGTGATCCAGAGGCCTTCGCGCCTCCACCTCCAACAACCGGGGCCGATCTATCATTGGTGACGGTTTTCTTCAATCGAGTGCCTTTGGTAATATCTGAGAGTAGTGCGCCCTAGCGAATCCGTTAGCAAGCCAATCGCCCTCAAGGTTCCAGAGTGATGGGCGTACTCGGTCCTTGACTTCGCCTTTTGAAGGTCGATTCGGTAACCCTCCGGGAGGCGGAGGAGGAGGAGGGCCTCCCATCGCGCCGGGCGGCGGCGGCGGCGGTGGTGGCGGAGGAGGCATTTCTTGAAGCCTGAGAGGGGTAGAGAAAAAGGAGAGGGGAAAGAGAGAGGTCTAGAGATGCCGTACTAAGAGTAGACAGACGCGATCGCGAAGGGATCAACCGCCTGAGATCGAGCAGACCATTTGACGTTTGCTTTGACGAGCGAGAAGAGAGGAGAGGAAAGATCAAGGTAGCCTTGCTGATGATATGGGGAGAAAGCGAGAGGACGTTGTTAGGTCATTACGAGGTTACCTAATCCCAGCCGGGGGGAAGAGACCCACTAAGTAGCGGCGGCAGTATCTCGCCGCCTTGTCACGCTTCTCTCGGTCTCTCAGACGGAGGTAATTTAACGCTTTGGATATCCCAGGGACATTGCCGTCACTACCATGAAAGGAGTTGTTTTGAGAGGCCGGAGGGCCGTCAAGCCTCAGGGTCTGATTTGCCAATTGTGCCAATTGACTTCCTCTCCTGCCACGCAGCCTCGCACACAATTTGCGCGATCGTATGCCTCGACTACTCCGTTAACACGCCCGTCCAAACTCGGTCAATTGCGCCCTAAAAGAGACGCTCGAAACCAATGGACACCTAGCCAGACCATTTCGAGACGATATGCCTCTAAGGAGTCTCAGCCCTCTGCGCCACTAGACCCCGAGCAGGCCCTCGAACAACTCGAGCGCGACGCCGCGCAGCTCCGCGAGTCCGACTCCGTACCGTCCGACGAATCAGTCGTCCGGCTTCTCCAAAGATGCCAGGAACTCGCCGAGACCATCGTGCACGCCGACCAGGAGAAGCCGGAGACGCCATCTAAAACCAAGGGCGACGACGTGATCACCTCGCTGCTCGACCTAGAGGAAAAGAGCGGCAGCCAAAAGCCCGCCTCCCCGAAAGCCAAGGTCGCACAACCGCATCTCCCGGGGTCGCTGAGCCAAATCGCCTACGACATCCTCACCGACGAGAAAGTCTTCATCTCCCCCGAAGCTCTGACCTACTACACCAAGACCGCCACCCTCCTCAAGCAGGCCGATCACTGCCCCGAGATCTTTCACCTGTACGCACACAAGCCGGTGCCGGAGGAGAACAGCTCGCCCATCAAATACCACAAGGCGAACCCGAAGAACATCAACAGCGCCGTCCCCACGGAATTGGCGCATATGGCACTAGATGTTGCCACCGAGCAGCGCAACCTGCCCCTGGTGCTAGCCATCATCGACACGACGTTCTCTGCGCCGGCGTTCCACCGCGCCAAGGTCTTCAAGAAGGCTGCTGTGCCTCTGGGCGCGCTGGCAACGACCCCGATCGCCTGCTACGCCATTGCTTCGTGGGCGTCGACGCTGCAGAATACAATGGATGCCAGCACGGCGACGGGGATCGCGTTTGCCGCGAGTCTGGCGTATGTCGGGGGTGTTTCGTCGATTGGCATCTTGGCCATCACCACTGCCAACGATCAGATGCAGAGGGTGACGTGGCTGGCTGGCGTGCCATTGCGCCACCGATGGCTGCGGGAAGAGGAGCGCGCAGCTTTGGATAGGGTAGCGGTTAAATGGGGATTCAAGAACATGTCTATGTGGGGTGAAGAGGAGGGCGAGGAGTGGGAGAGCCTGCGGGAGTTCATCGGTATGAGGGGTATGATCTTGGATAAGACAGAGCTGATGCCGGGCATGGAATAAGCTGTTTGTAAATGTATACTACTTGTGATATCTCGATCTGACAATAGACAATGCAAGACTACCTAAGAAAAATTGACGTATCCAGAGTGCGGGAGGTCAGGTACTACGGAGTAGCCCTGAGTACAACTACAGAGCACATCGAGAACATGTTTAGAATCAAGGTGAATCATATTTCCGTTTTAGACTATGGCATACATAATCCCACTTCTAGATCCTAAAAAAAAAAAAAGATCCCCAGCGCACACCCAAATGCGTCGAGTAATCTAGTACAGACGCTTGGGGGGAGACATGGAAGCCTTGATGACAAGGCTGCCAACGTTCTGCCAGCCCTTCTTCAGCAGGGAAACGAGGTAGTTGATGGCCAACATGGTGTTAGCGACCAGCTCATCCTCGGTCATGCTGACGTTGCCAACGGCAACACCCAGGCAGAGCACCTTCTTAAGCTGGAACTTGATGGTGGACTTGACCTCGGTGACCTTGTTGGACATATCCTCGTTGTGGGAGACGGGGGTAGGGAATTTACCAGCTGCGAGAGCGTTAGTTCTTTGCTTCCTCGGCGGGTTTCAAAATTGATGATGTTCAAACTTACCCTTGGAGAGACCGGGACCCAAGAGACGAGGAATCTGCTTGATGAGGGTGTCGGAAGCAAGGAAAGCATCGTACTTGCGAGCAAGCTTCTTGATGAGCTTCTTGTTCTTGTTGAGCTTCTTCAGGTCATCAACGGACATGGCGTCAATGCCGTGGTGCTTGGCACGATCGAGATCGTGCTGGTCACCAAGAACACTGTAAAAGTCCAACCGTCAGCACTTTCTGAACATCGCACATCGCATTCATCCAGATCGTTCCGTCGGACTCGAGACGGATCCGCAGGTGTCGTTTTGATTTCCTCGCTTCCACATACCAGAGGCTCATGTTGGGGCGGGGCACGGTGGGCAGACGGATGGTGCCAGAGAAACGCTTGTCACGCTGGGGGTCATAGTTCTTCAGACCGATCTGAAGCTCGACGGTCTCGAGGAAGTTTCTCTTCTTCTCATTCTGAGAGTAGTCGAGCAGCTGCTGGACATTCTGGCGCACTCCGGCTGAAAGACGGCAAACGGCATTAGCGACTGACAAGCGGAACAGAGGGGTGTTGATGGCGGCGAGAATAGAGCGACATACCGACTGTGATCTTGGACATGATGGCGACAGTCTTCCAAAAGAAATTCTTATGGTGAGGCTCTACGCTGAATATCGGTGCAAGGACAAGAAGAGAAGAAAAAAAAGGTCCTCGGGGCGACCGGCGCCCGCAAGTAAGAAAATCTCGTCTCCGCTTGTGGGTGTCGGGCGGCGCTAGCCCCATATGGTCTAGTCTTGCCCTAACCGCCGTGGGCTCTTACTCAGCTAGGTCTGCGGCCTTCTTTATCAGGCACCCAAGGCACCGTATACACTGGCCGTTTGCACCTGCCATTTGTACCTGGCTGGAGAGATGAGACAAATGGGCTGAGACAAAATGAGAGGCCAGATATTTCTTCTGGCTTCCTTTTTCAGGCAGCATGCGCTGGGCAGCTACATCTTAGGCGCCGTCTCCTTCCACATCTTGCCCATCCATTACATGAAAAGCTCGATGGCCTCCATCGGATCCTCCAAGCTTTGAAACGTCCAGCACTCAAAGCGAGCTTCTCAGTCAAGAAATCAACCGGATAAGGAGGTGATCGAGATTACCATTGCAAATCCTCCCACCGAGCATGCGTCAGGCCGCAATAGAAAGTATCTAAAGGCATCGATTTCCCCTCCAGTTCTGTCAAGACAGCATCAACAACGATCAACAACGATCAACACTGACTCTCTATCTATTACACGCGCTAAAGCCTCCGTCCTCCATTTATCAACGATGGCCAAATGCGTCTCGATTGCCGGCATTGACAAAGCCGATCTCACCTATGCTCTCTGGCAGCGCTCGAGTGTAGCAATGTGGTTCACCCTCAATGGTAGAACCCCGCCTACTTTGACCAGGGATGAAGCGCAAACCATGGGCCAAGATTACGACTAGAGCTTCGATTATCTGGCGGGCCGAGTCATGAAGTGCAACTTGTCTGGAGATTTGGTCGACCCATGGGGCTATGGCCGCGATAATGGCGATGGAGCGTTGGCTGCCGTTGTCGACAGCCTCAGACACAAATGACGAGGCCATACCTGGCAGCTTGTTTAGGCGCAGGGCCGACGGCTTCGTTCTAGGGAGCGTTCTAGTCTGCTTTTCTGTTGTCCTAAAGAACGCTCGAACCGATCTCGGTATTTTTCAGTCTTGATTTTCTTATGAAAGAATGATCTTATCTCCTGGGTGATATCAACCGTGCATTTACTATAGTATCTAAAACTTCAACCCCATGATTCTGAAGGAACTGTGACAGATTACATCATGTCTGTCCGTAAGAAACGTAGAATATATTGTAGTAGATCCGGGGTCCTGTGATGCCCCTGCGAGACTAACCCAAGGCGGCAATCATCAGCCTGTCGAGCCCCTCGTGTATCGTCGGCCAGTCATCTGCAGAACCCCTGTCAAATAATCTACTTTGACTCAGTAGCATCGGCGCTAATCTTCTGGATCCAGCTGCCAAGTGACTGCGGTCATTTGCCCGGCGGCAAGCACGAGGCTGACTATCCTAGAGCTGCTCTGCCTAGATTTTCACGCGCTCATGTATTTAGCAGCTCGTCTTCCTCGACTGTTCTACTTCTCTCCTCCTTACACTGTCCATCTCGACTATTTTGTATCGCATTTCCGCATCGCTTGAGCTTTCTCCGTCTATTTCATTCCTAGGAGATCAACACTGCTCTCCTTCAGCTACCTAGCAAGCTTACAGAAGCATGACTGAACCTTCGGCACCGCAACATTCCCAATCTCCCCACGCCTACTATTCTAGTTTCACAAACAGCCCCGCCATCCAGAGAGGTTTCCATGACATTGACGATGAGACCCATTTCCGAGGCTATCTAGCGCATTTGCAATCGCCGCAAACCCAGAATTTCGTCTTGGATTTCGGTAACGACGATGCTTGGTGTGCAGTGAATCTCAGCCACGATGACATCGCGTCGTTGTTGCGCAAACCTGTAAGTCACTTGGTGCTATATCGCTTGGATACAACACTGACCCAGTGTATTACTAGAAACCCAAGTGTTTTGGAACCAGATGGATGTGAGTTGCGATGGCTTGTTGCTAGGATATGATTCGAGTCCTTTGAATGCGCGCTAATAACTCCCAGCAACATTTGGAATCCGGAAGAGCAGAAAGATATTATCAAGGTGCGGAGATTGCTCGCAAATATACAGTTCGTGAATAAGTTCCGGGTTACTAACTTACCCAGGCGATCACCAGCCAATATGGTGTCTCGGAACGTTTACAAGGAATGATGTGCACCGACCCTGTAGAGCGACCGAGACCCAGTGCCTCCCAGGCAGCGGAAATTCCGAGAACAACAGCCAACGATCGATCGCCCCGTGTTCCTCGAATTGATGATCTCGAAGAAGCCCATGGTTTGAAGGACACGGTCGACCCGGAGGAATTAAGAGCGGTTGCATCCTTTAGAGGCCTTACGTTTGCGCATGTGACCAATCAGATCTGGCACTTTTGCTCCGTCGACCATGGTCAGAGGTGTAAGGCACTCTCTAAGGGATTCAATCCTTCGCTCGTTGACTTGAGATCCAGATACTTGCGTCGGGTATAACTCGCTATACGTCGTGCCGAACGTCGAATCGTCGAATGGAAAGGATTTGCCTGATGGACGACGATTATGGTCATGGCTTATTCTGTGCGATGACGGTATGTCTTCTTTCCTCAATTGAGGGGACATAGAATGATGCTGAACGCTCAAGGCACTGTGATCTCCATGCAGGAGAACCCATTCCCCAGTCTATACGGCCCGGACCCGAGCGAGCTGAAGTCCGTTCTGGGGGTAATTCGCAGAAATGTCCAATTCATCTTTTCCGGGGTGTCCAAACAGCACTCTGCCTCATCTGAGAGTGATTCGTTGGTTACCATTAGAGTGCGACCTGCTCATGGCGGCGGTCCAGAGCAAGCAACCATCAAACAGGAGGACGGTGCTAGCCTGCTCTTTTATTATATTTTTGACGACTGGATTTCGACGTACGCGCTGGTAGCAAAGCGCGAGCATGCATACGGACGGTCGCTCGATAACCTGGTAGGAACCTGCATTTCAGTTTGAACCACACCCAAGCTCTAACAGCACGATAGAGAGAGCAAATGCTATCCAAACCAGTCGTTGAACTGGTGAACGAGCTGCACTGGTTGGGCCGACGCCTGGCAGTTCTGAAACGTCTGTATCAGAGCTATGAACTTATCATGATGCGAATCCTGCAGAGACAGCGTGTGCTGCGTGACGAGCACCGCAACCCTCGCACCACATTCCCGGTCGGACACATGGTGGGCGACCATGACGTTGTGGATCTTCGACAGTCGACTTTGCAGAGCAGCCTCAGTGTAGCAAGCATGCCGGACACCCAGGTTGGCGTCCAGCTAAGCTCTGCTGCCGTCGCTCGCTTTGAGAGACTGCTCGACCGCATCAAGCTGTACTGTTTATCGGAGATCGACACCTGTTTGACCGAAAAGGAATCTCTAACATTCCTGGTAAGACCCGCAATTATATTCTCACTTCGTCATCACCGCTGACCAAAGGAATAGAACTTCAACCTCATCGCCCTCAAAGACTCGCAGGCGGTCGAGAAACTGACGCGAATCACAGTCCTGCTGGCCAAGGCAACCATCCTGTTCCTACCGGTCAGTCTGATGACCGGGTACTTCTCCACCGAACTCAAGGGGGTGAAGCACGTGTACACGACGGTCCAATACTGGGTCAGCTTCGGTGTGATCATGTTCCTGTCCATCGTGATGCTTGCGATGTTTGGATATCTTAGCGACACGATCGAAGGCAAGACTATTTACAAGTCGCTGTTCCGGACGTTCTTTCGCAGTTCGAAGGACCGGTTGGCGCAGCGGCGGGAGGGAGGTGACCCGACTGGTCGTTGACGGTCGCGGGGAATGGATATTCAGAGATTCGTTCGGTATTGCTTAGTAGTTAACGATGAATTGTGATTAGAAACGAAGATATGGGAGGATCTCAAGGACTTGTACATTAGAGATCGCATTTGAAGATCACGAGATATGATTGATGTTGGCCAATGAGACTGTCGCTATTCGTCTATCCGACGATATATAAACGGTTCACTCTCTCTATTTACAGGTAGATACTACACCCCACTGAACTCAACAACGGAATCTACATCGCACGATCTAGTCATAAATAGCCCGGAAAGACTGCGACCACAGTGATATTAACTAAGAAGATAACAAACAACCACCACCCGATCAATGGACTCTATTCCGGCTCCTAACTACTCCTCGAATACTTCGTAATCGTATGCCATGAAACTGACACTTGACTACCTAGCCCACTAGTCCCGTAGTCTATCGTCTAGCACGGATACTATTAGTTCGCTTGCCATCCGAACTAGACCAAGCCGGTCTAGGCGAGTTAGTCTAGTCTGCGAAGACTAGAAAGGAACACGTTAAATATAGCCGGGCGACAAGATTGAACAAGTCCAACAAAAGCGGTGACTCTTATCGGTGGACCCTCGACCGCCTTTGCGGCTTTGGCCCTCCTGAGCCTGAGCCTCGGGTGTAAGGAGCCAGGGCTCTCGGTGCCAGGTTACAAAAGTACAAGGTAAAAGTAGGAGGTATCCACCGGTAGGGGCGGAGTTCGAATACTGTAAGGCTAGCAGGGCAACTGACGCAGAGAACCTTCGAGAGAGACTCCGTACGGAGCCAAGATATCTTATTCTTTTTGATCTTCTAGTAGTATTATTCGAAGATATGGCTGCGTGCGGACCGCATATCGTCAGTCACAAAACGTGGCAAACTATTTTAATGTCACATGGTAGACCAAGACCAAACCACACAGACCGGCTGATCTGTCCTCCCAAGATCCATTCAAACTGGAGGCAAAAAAAGGGATGAATAGTAATCCCGTGACGCGTAGATTCAGTTGGTAGAAGGGAAAAAAGTGGTCCGGGGGGGCTGCAGCGCCCCCTTCCCTTTTCCCAGTGAAATCCAGAGTCAACAGAAACCGCCTACCCGAATCGGAGGATCATCTCTGGCCAGATATGAAGAAAAGAGATCCACTGGAACGGGGAAGATTCCAGGCTGGTCGGGAGCCTATCAGGACCTCAGGGGGTCGGGAGTCGGGACTCCGGAGGGTCTGGTGGAATCAATCTGGACTCTGCTTGTCTTTGTTCTTCTGGTGTCGAAAAGTGCAATTAATGAATCAGTATATAGATTGAATGAATTGAAAGGGGAATGACCCAAGGGTGAGTCTGGAAGACAAGATATTTGTACATGTCCAGGTACACTATCACAATAAGGCTGTGATTTGATGCCTTCGTGCCTTCTGTCGTCAGCGGACTGACTAAGGCTCCAAGGCACGGGAAACACCGTGTCCTCTTTTGGTGACAGGATCAGACGAAAGAGATGACTCGACGATGTAGATTTAGGCAGTGATCATTTGACTGAAATATTTAACACCGGAAGATATCTTTTAAAATCCTCTCTACTACTTTATTAGTTATAAGTATAACTCTGTAGGACTGGAGGTATACTCCGACGGTATCGGACAAGATCGTTAGTGACGGAGGCTACGCCGGCAGCGGAATTTCTCGACTGGCATTTCGACGCCCAAAAATTCCAACGTCGACAAAAACAGTCGCTGCTCCATACCGACTTGTCCCGGGCTCAATCTCGATCAACGACCGTCTCTCTCTACTTGAGCTTCCATCATTGTCTGTGGTAAGTCGTGTCTGCTTTCCTTCTCGCCCGTCGGTGATTCCCCTGATCCTCTCCCGTCCACGGGTTCAACCCTTTCCCACTAAACCCAACCCACCCCTGATTGTTCTTCCCCGGCGTGATCACGCTTCCCTTTCGTCCACACCTCAAATCTCCCCATTCCTCTTCCACCACCAACTTCTCTTCCACCCGCCCCGTCTCACCACCACCACCCTAGTTGCACCACTCGCAGGGTTTGTCAACCTCCCTCGGAATCGTTGGGCTTGATCGGGACGCTCGCCCGATGCTTGCTCGTCCTATCCCATCCCCCCTCCCCCTCTCCTCGCTCAGACTCGCTCCCGTTATTTATTTGATCCGTCATATCTGACATCGCATCTTTTCCTTCTAGACCTCGACTTGATCTCGCCACCGCCAAAATGGGTCTCACTTTCTCGAAGCTGTTCGACCGACTATGGGGCCGCAAGGAGATGCGTATTCTGATGGTCGGTCTCGACGCTGCCGGAAAGACCACCATTCTGTACAAGCTGAAGTTGGGTGAAATCGTCACCACCATCCCCACAATCGGTCAGTCTTTTGTCCTTTTCATCTTCTTCTCGTTCGGTTCCCGCCCGGCTTTGGTGTCCTTTGCGCGTGTTACAATTCCGACCTATATATCTGGACGAGGCTGACGATGGCATGGACGATTAGGTTTCAACGTCGAGACCGTTGAATACAAGAACATTCAGTTTACCGTGTGGGATGTCGGTGGTCAGGACAAGATCCGTCCTCTCTGGAGACACTACTTCCAGAACACTCAGGGTATTATCTTCGTTGTCGACAGCAACGATCGTGACCGTATCGTCGAGGCTCGGGAGGAGTTGCAGCGCATGCTGAACGAAGATGAGCTCCGTGATGCTCTGCTCCTTGTTTTCGCCAACAAGCAAGATTTGCCCGTACGTCTCCCTTGATCGCATCGCGTGTGGTCCCGCTGGCCGAATGAATATGTTGACGTGTCTTTAGAACGCTATGAGCCCTGCCGAAATCACCCAGCAGCTGGGTCTGCAAAGTCTCACTCGCCGTCCTTGGGTAAGTTGTCCGTCTTTTTGGTTGTCTCTGGCCGATCGGCTAACGTTGCGTCAGTACATCCAATCCACCTGCGCCACCACCGGAGATGGTCTGTACGAAGGTCTGGAGTGGCTCGCCGAAACCCTGCGGAAGGTCAACCGCGACTAAATTGTGCCCTAATATGATGAGTGGAAAGAAATACCTGGATTGTTGACTGGGAGTTGGGAGATGATGGACGGGGAACATGGGGGCCGGCAAAAGACACCTTGCGCGTAGGGATAAAAAAGGGTTGATATTGCCCCCTTTGGTGGTTGCTTGTATGTTCTAACGGCTCTTACATTCCTCTATGCTATTAGCTTTTATTTTTCTTCTTTCATCCCGGCGTCGATCCGAAACGAATTGCCTCTTGTGTGTGCCGTTTTCAAAATCCCCCCATCTCATGTGTGTGCTTGTTTTCTTGTTTCTTTTCTTTTTCTTATGTGATTTTCCTATGTGTTCACTTACAGTCAAGACTTGAATATTTATGATCCTGACGGGTTACGTTGAGTTTTGTTCAGTGTAGATTGCGTCATGCCTAGTATGATAGCAGTACCTAAGGTATGTAGTTCACGGTCATGCGCAGTCCAATGCGACATCAATTCGTCAGATATGCCATGTCTATTGAAGACATCCCTTCCCCCTTCCACCAGCCCAATCCGTCAATCCATCAAAACATCCATTCATCTCTCCCTTCTACCCAAACATTACAACCAACTAACTCTCACCACTAACCCACCACCCCGCCGCCCTCACCACCTCCATAACAACCCTCACCTCATCCTCGTCCCGGGGCGCATACACCATCACGAACCCCGCCGGCACAAACCTCGTCCCGCACAACCACCGCCGCGACGTCTCTTCCTCCCACGCCAGCGGATGGCGCTGGCCCCAGCCTCGCTCAATCAGCACCCGCACGTCCGCCGGGTGGAGTGTGAGATGCAGACTCCCGTCGATGGGGTGACTGTGGCAGATCTCGCCGTTGCAGGTATTTCGGCGGTGCTTTCCTCCCATCGAAGGGGTTGGTGGCGAGCTGGTTGAGGACGCAGAAGGGGCGGTGGTGGCGGTGGTGCAAGGCGAGGCAAAAATCCCCGTACTATGTTTCTCGAAACAGGATGTCCCGAGGACGTATTTCTTGGGGTTCGCACGGACGAGGTCCTCGATGGCTTGTGCGAGACGCGTGTAGATGAGTTTTGTGCTGCGTTGCGTGAGTTGGCGTTGCGGTGCGATTCCCGTGACTAGCGGGGGTGGACCGCGGCGGTAGGGGAGGTGGGTTTTCGTTCGTTCGGGACGGGTTTCATCCTGGTTGGGCGTGTCCCTGGCGTTGTTCTGGCTGGTCGGTGCGGAGGGGGATGTGTACGAAGGGGATGTTGGAGGGCACGGATCAAAGTATCCCGTCTTCGGCGATAATGTGCTCGGGATTGAGGGTGGAGAGAATGGATTTCGGAGGGCTATTAGGCGGAGGATGCAGATGCGGAGGTAGCCTGTCGGGGTGGATGGGGTGCCGCCGGGTCCGAGGGCTAGGAAGGCGTGGTAGTCTTTGCGGATGGTGTGGAGGAGGAAGAGCAGGGTTGGTGGGAGGAGGAGGACGAGAGGGAGGGAGATGAGGTGGGTGGGTTTGGGTGTTGGGGGGATGGTTGGGCTGTTGATGTAGATTGGGACGTGGGCTGGAGGGGAGTATGGAGTGTCCTGGGTTAATGTTAGATATGATATGAATTCTAGGGGTGGTGGAGTGGATGGTATGCATGGTGGAGAGAGGGTGTACATACCATGATGAGTAGGGTCTACTCGGAATCTCCCTGAGCGATCTTTATGTACGGAGTATATGGATAGGCAGATCGGAGGGGAGGGGTCTAGGAAGAACGGAGAAAAGGGGTATGATATGATATAAGTAGTCAATTCCTGTTGATTTGCCAGGCCGTGATTTCTACGACCGGGCTCGCATCTCACGAAGACAGATAACAACAGGAAAAAGCAAGGGTGGATATGGATGTTCTCAGGCCCCTTGAATGAAATCACATAGCCAACCACGTCTCCATCGAACAAAAGTACGACCTGCCAGCACAGTCAGTCAGCCGGATAGGCAGGCAGGCAGGCAGGAATAGAAGCCCGAAACCTACCAAGAAAACCAAAGAAGAGCCAGCTGAATTGAGAATATCTCCCGGTGCTGATGGCTGTACGGAGGAGTTAGCTATGCCGCAGATCTACAGCAAGAGCTGAAGTGGTTAAATGCAAGGTAACATTCCGATTCCGTCAGACTGATGTCAATCACCCGGATGGCTTGCTAAATCCGTCCTCCCCAGTTTCCATCGCGTGGTCAAATCCAATCCGAGCCATGGATGTTTTGGAGCCTCGTGAATAAGGTTTGCGGGGGTCCTGGGATGTCTTTGTATATCCTTTAGAGGATGACTATCGGAGGCTAGGAGTAGCTCGACCTCGTGATCAGGCTTTGGGACTAATCCGTACGCAGACAACATGTGTGATGGTCTCGGGGAATACCATCATCTGCGCCGTGATTTTGGACTGGTGTGTGGGCTATCTAGAGCAGTCATTTAGGCTCCCGACTGGTAATGAGGACTGACTCGACCAGTCTCCCTTACTCTGAGTGAATCATCCGGATCACAGGAATGTAACGATTAAGTAGTGGGGCGCGGCGAACGGCTTCCATGGCGGGACTCCACCGGGACCAATGATGTAGTTAGTTGCCGCTTTGGGGTGATGTATCCTATCCTTATTTACTCTCTCGACAGAATGGAAAAGGTGTTCATCGGGGGCGTCGCTGGAGAAGTAATAGCATCCCATAAGTTGGAGAAAACATAGGCACACTGGAAACATAGCCACACTGGAAAGCGCCCCTTTGTAGCGCAGAACAGAACAGACTTGTTTCCAGCTGATCAATGTCTCTGTGATCTAGGAAACCTAAGGTATCTATCTACCTGTAAACATGTCAAACCGATCAAACCGGTCAAACGTCATCCGAATCGGTTAGCGTCCTCTGACCTGGCGCTAATCCGCATCGGACACCCTCGAGCACGCTTGACCCGAATAGGCCATCCAGGAGAACTTCCTTCCCACGAAGTACCGACATTCGTCGTTCTTCCAATCTCTCATTTTCATCACTACGGTGTCTGCTGTTTGCTGTCTGCCACCAAATCACGCAAGCTGTTATCTTAATCCCTCTCGACCATCCTGACTCGCCATATAGTATCTCCGGCCAGTCTGCCAAGACGGCCTGGCCCGCCCTAACGCGTAGCGCAGGCTATCTCTTGGGCAACGCCTGGGGTTATATACTACCGATAGTTGCTGGGGCCACGGCTGTGTTGATTTCGCCTCCGTTATCACCATCGGCCAGTCCACTTGAGTCGCTGTTCACGGGCCAGCCTTCTTGACGGAGACTTTGGAGCATTGAACATCTTCGTGGGCACATATTGTCTTTCTTGCTCCCTTCATTCCGGATCCACCTCCCATCGTTTTCTTGCATTCCGCAGATCGATCGGAAGCACGTTTCCTGCGGAGTCTCGGGATATTGATCTTGAATTCCTCGAGCATTCCAGCAGGAGTCTACCTTCCAATACCCACCCCGAGGTGTGAACGACTATTGACCGCGCATTCTGGAACATCGATGTCGTCACGTTGAACACTTTCAACGAACCTAGTTCTGTCTACCTCTAGATGCTCACCTTCTAAACCAGAACCATGAAGGGACAGAAGAGAAGGTACTCGGCCTACGATGGCAGCGATCCCAGGGTAGATGTCGAAAAGCAGCAATCACGCTATAGTCGTCACTATCGCCAAGATAGCCGCAGTTCGTTCGACTCGGACAGTGGCGATGACTCGATCGCTTCTTCATCTGGCACCGCTTCTACAGCTGCTTCATATCGTCCCATGCTGGGAGGCGCCACACTAAGACGCACTCGAGTTGGCACCGGCTTCTATCGAGTTCCCAATCGTATCATGAGATGGCTCTGTCTGGCGTTGTTTGGAGCCCTGGTCCTATTTGTCATCACCCTTTTCCGATTTTCCCTCTCATCATCCGCCAAACAAGCCGACCTAGAAATACCCAAACCGGTTTCGAAGCCCCCTCAGTGGGAGAGCTTCCCCTTTTTGAAGCGATACCACGGGGGTCTCAAGACTCTGGTGTCTCGCAAAGACGATGTTCCCGAGTTCCCTAGCAACAATATGGAGGAATTGGCCGCAGCTGCGAGCGCTGACACGAACGGGACTGCCGTCCAAGCCCGGGATGAAACCGCTTCTCAATTTTCCAGCTTGGTCTTCAATCCTTATCCCGACTATTACTCAGCGGAATACATCGCGAAGTATGACGAGAAGCACGAATGCTTTTTGGATGCCGACAGCACAATGCGCATTCCGCTGGTTCAACACTATCCCGGCGTACCTCGCGGGTTCCCGGATGCAGCCATGGGATCGAATGAGATGCTTGGGATCCAGGACGATGTTTGCTTCGATCGCTTTGGTCGCCTCGGCCCATATGGCCTGGGCTACAGTGTCCGCAAAGGCGGCACTGGAGCTGGCTTGGAGGGTCATCGCGAAGGGTCCGAGCGTGTCTGGGATGATTTCCCGCCTGTCGACTTTCGCCGGGTAGACTGGGCTACGGCCCAAGACCGCTGTCAAGCCGTCAACAGTCATCGATTCCGAAGCCTACCGGACCCGCGTGCCGAGCGTTTCCTCTCTATGCCGGTTGGGGTGCCAAAGGAGAGCGACAGGAATACTACGGCGGCGGATAGCGAGGAACCCCAAAGCGAGAAGACAGGCTTGCCTCGAACAGCTGTTGTGATTCGAACCTGGCATGATTATCAATATACCCCCGAAGATGTGATGTACATGCGGTCTCTGATATCAGAGCTCTCCCTGCTCTCTGGCGGAGAGTATACCGTGCACTTTCTGATCCATGTCAAGGATGAAAATTTGCAGATCTGGGCCGATGATGAGATATATGAGCGCGTTCTGAAAGACGCGCTTCCGCAGGAATTTCGGGGATTAGCGACCCTCTGGTCGGAGCGCCAGATGGCCCTCATCTACCCCGGTTTGGAGGAATCGATGACCCGCGGGTTGCCTGTACATGGCGTCTACCGCAGCACCTATATGCCCCTGCAGTACTTTGCCCACCAGCATCCCGAGTATGACTTCTACTGGAATTGGGAGATGGATACTCGATACACAGGCCACTGGTATCACCTTTTCGACAAGGTCAGCAGCTGGGCGCGGGAGCAACCACGCAAAGGTCTCTGGGAGAGAAACGCCCGCTTCTATGTTCCCTCCGTACATGGCACCTGGGAGGACTTCCGGCAAATGGTTCGGGTGCAGACCGAAATTGGCACCAACAGCCCGAACAACATGTGGAGCATCGCCAAGCCCGGCCAGAGCCCCGGCGATAAGAAAGCCTCTCACCAACAGGGCGATCGACCCATCTGGGGTCCCGAGCGACCCGACGAGCGCGATATTTTCGAGATGGACGGGGACGGAATCCCCCCCACCACCGTCGACAAGGATCGATATGAGTGGGGCGTTGGGGAGGAAGCCGACTTGGTTGTGTTCAACCCGCTTTACGACCCCGAGAGTACGACCTGGCTTCTTCGGGACGATGTGACTGGATACAACCGCGAGAACGGGATGCCGCCACGTCGTACGGCCATTATCACTGCGTCTAGGCTGTCTCGCAAGTTGCTGCATACGATGCACAAGGAGACGAGCATTAAGCGTCACACCATGTTTTCGGAGATGTGGCCTGCCACGACGGCTCTGCATCATGGTTACAAGGCCGTGTTCGTCCCACACTCGGTGTATATCGACCGCCAGTGGCCCACTCAGTATCTCGAAGCCGTGTTCAACGCTGGTCGGAACGGGGCGTCGGGCGGTGCTCGCACGTCGGTTTTCGGGGACCGGGAGCATAACTTTAAAGGAACTACGTGGTTTTACTCTGCGGGGTTCTCTCCCAATCTCTGGAGGCGTTGGTTGGGCTATAAGGTCGATAATGATGGAGGCGAGCAAGAAGAACTCGCCGGGGAGGGGAGGATGTGTCTTCCACCGATGCTTCTCCATCCCGTCAAGGATGTGGAGATGATTATTGATGATGGTGCACAAGGAAACGAGCCAGCCGAGTAAGATACGAGGTTTCCAGGAAAAAAGCCCGAAGAAAAGATGAAGAGATGAAGAGAAGGATCCATTTTCTTATGTTATTTCTTACGTGATGATTGAAAGACTTTATGTATGGACCGTTTTCAAGATATCAGCGGTCTCTTTTGTACATGTGTGCCGCATACGAGGACGGGCGAACTGGCGTTGAATTACAGAGCGATTTTATTACTTGTTGATTCGACGACTGCCTGTATATGATAACTATTGCTATGAATATTATTTCCATTTGAATGACGAGACAGCAGTCATGGTCAACGTAGTATATTTGATTAAGAGGTTGAAGTTGAACTCAATGAGCTGAGATAGATGATCATTCGTAAGAACCTATAAACGCCTACAACACCCATAAACAAGCCAAGCATCAATCTTGACCAGGACAACGGAGAAACCCAAAAGACCACTCCCAACAGCCTCACACCGACCCACCATCCTTCCCTCCTCCATCCTCTTCAACCCCCTCAACCCCCGGCACCTCCAACAAATCCAAAATCCCAAGCAAACCCGGACACGGCCCCAACCTCTCCTCCAACTCCCCCACCACCCTCCTCGCCTCGCCCATCAACTCCGCCAACTTCTCCCGACAGTACCCAAACGACCCCGTCGTCTCCATATATCGCACCGCATACGCCTTCAACGCCTCGTCCTCGCTGCGCTGCTTGAGGGTGCTGACTAGCGTCGTGTTGTCGGGCCGTGCGCGGATGCTGTGGATTATCGGGAAGGAGAACTTGCCTTCGGTGAGATCTTCCATGGACCCCTTTTTTGTGGCGTAGAGCCCGCTTTGCAGGTTTAGGTAGTCATCGCGGATCTGGAAGATCGTGCCGAGCTTGTGCGTGAGGGGTGTGAAGTCTCTAGATTTTTTTTTTGTTAAGGTGTTAGCTTTTGTGGGGGTTGGTGGTATGGGCATTGGTATAGTTAGGGTTAGGTTAGGTTAGGTTAGGTAAGATGGTGAATAGATAGATAGATAGATAGATAGGGAGGGGAACATACACATCAACATCAACACCCACCTGCAACAACCCCACCGCCAACTCAAACAACCCCCCCGTCTTATACGCCACCATCTGCATGTATTCCTCCTCCGAGGGACACACGAGCGCGTCGCGCCAGTACAGGTCCATGCCCTGGCCACGGTGCAGGTTCAGGAGTTCCCGCGTGAAGATGGAGAATGCGGCGGCTGGGTCGTCCAGGTCTTTGAGTTTCTCCTGGGCGAGGAAGTACGCGTAGTTCGCTGCGTTGATCGTCTGAGGGACGCCGAAGATGTGGTGCGCTACGGGGTGGCCGCGGCGGAGACGGGAGCCGTCTTGGATGTCGTCGATTCTGGGAGGGGAGGGGTTGTGGGTTAGCTGGAGAGGTTTGTTGTATGGTTAGATGGGAGGGAGGGAAGTACAAGAGAGAAGCAGTGTGTAAGAGCTCGATGATTTCTTTGACGATGTCGAGTTTCTCGGTTGGGAGGTGAAGCCATTCGTTGAACGCGGAGATGAGACGTCCGCGAACGTCTTTGCCGGGGATGGAGAGGAGGTAGTCGAGGGGTCCTCGGATGATCTGTTCAGGTTTATATGTAGTTGGTTCGATGGTCTTTGTATATGGGATAATAAACCGGATCCTGTTGAGAGAAAGCGCACACTGACCTTTTCATATCTCGCTGTGATTTCCTCTGGCGTTTCTTTTGCCTTCTCATCTTTTCCGGCATCCCCGTTCACAGAGCATATTCCTATATCACTCTGCTCTTGACTATCCTGACGCTGGATGTGATTCTGACTTGGGATTGGAAATCCTCCTATTCCAGGATACCGATATCGAATCGTCGGAGATGTCCCTGGTCCGCTGAATATGGGCATCGGGTATTCATGAATCATGCGTAGGGCTCCTTCAGTCATGAACGTGAGCATAGCTGGGATGTACGGGCTGGTTTATTTTCAGATATGTGCTGTTCTCGTTGGCGGTTGCTCTAGAGTTCCGGGATGGTTATAGTCAAGTTAGAGAGATAGACTGGGCTGTGTTGATGTTGATTAAGATGAGCTACCTTGTTATATAATGATTATGATCCGGCCCAGTTGGTATACGATCGTACGGGACGTACGGGAAATAACTGGACAGGAGGAAATGCCTTCTATATGTATAGGACTGCACTGTCATCCTACAACATAGTAGATAGCAGACGATCGAAGGAGCTTGAAAGTAACACACAGCCAGTTCCCACATCCTCCGTATTACGCCTTCTATCTTAATCACCATCTGCCCAACGATCAAACCCTGTCTGAATTCGCTCTTATCGCTTAATCTTTCAGCTGATCGTAAATCCACCAAGAACATCACCAATCAAATATACGGATAGGACACACACCTAGCGAGCCAAAGCAACAAGAGAAACACGAATTCCGCAAGGGAACCGAGACAAGAAGAGAAAAGAAGGAAATATATCCCTCGTATACGTATGCCCATTACAGCACATTGATAGACCTGTAAAGACACGCCACAGACCTCGACGGAAAAGGCTGGGATCTTGAAAATCCAAAACCAGCCCTCCCCACAGAGCTCACGAGCTGGATATCTCACAAGACCATGCTGTCAACAGGGACAGTGACGGAGTCCGGAGAGATCCAGTAGGGCGATTGGAATTAGGTCTGTGAACTCGTGTCCGAGCACGGTTGGTTGTTGATGAGTATGTATTTCCTGACTGGGAGAAGGGAAAGTCAACCTCAGCTATTACCTATACGGTATGTTATGTCTCGTCATTCAGCAAGCGAGATAGGAGAATGAAGAGAGAAATATATGCTTGCAAGGATCGATAAACGTTGCTGACCTGACCTGACCTGACCTGACCTGTTACGGCTCGTGGTGTGGCGTTCGAAGTCATGTTAGGGCTGTCTTAGACAGCCCTGAGATAGATGTATGACGGGTCAGGAGTTGGTTGTTGCTCCATAGTTGACTGAGATGGCATGGCTGGTGAGCTCTCTTGACAAGGGGACCGTGGTAGATTATACTGATTAGCATTTTCGGCATTACTGAACAACGAAAAAATTCCCAACTTTGTCACCTTCAAAGTCCACCTGAGACAAACATACCTGGTTCTTCCTGGCCCAGGTATATTATGGAATACTATGATATCAGGACGAGATAGGACAAGAACCGTAAAGTCATCTATTTTCCGGACACGATCACGACCTACATTCTATTCCGTCATACCAGAAGAAAGCGACACGGGGACCTCCGTACAACACACCACAGTTGAAGACAACAAATCAAATATGAACCCGAGTCTGACTTGCATATCCGCGCTGTCTTTGATCCGTGCCGATTCTCGGATCTGCGATTTGTAAATCGACCGGCAACTCACCTAAGACCGATCCCTGCTGACAGAGTTGTTTGGGTCTGACAGGTGCTTGGATCTTGAGTTTATCGGAACTGGTAAGGAAGTGTGGGTCGCGTGTTAGTACGTATATGTCCCGCTGAATCTGTAGGAATGAGGTCATAACGATGGGCTTTTTCACGGACCCAAATGCACCTCTTTCCATGATACTACTTTTTAAGGGGAAATGTATCTCTAGAGATAAATCTATTGATTCTTGTAATCTGACCAATATAATTCAACAGCCACCGCTATCTCTAAAAGTTAAACAATCAAATAGATTTCAGTATTGTATGTCTTCAAGTAACGCCCAAACCCGGGACCAAAATTTCTAATGCTACGTTTGTTCTATCTTCCTATGCTTCTTCCACGCTTGTTTATGCTGCTGAGGCACAGATAAAACTCAAAGCACATGTAGCGAGTATCAGCCAGGAACTGGCCCTGATCTGTTCGCTGGATGGTAGCTGGGAGAGATTACTGTCTAAAAGTTACTTGAGAATATCGCTAAGACCTGCAGCCTCTTTGATAACCATATTAGCTCCATACAAAGGTTTCAGTGTTATAGATACTGGAAAGCTACTGATTGTATTCTTTATAAGAGAGAAACTAGGAAGTAATAAAGGAACAAGAAAAAAGCAAAAGAAGGATAAGAGGGGAATAGGAGGGAAACGTATAGAAACTATCCCGACTAACGTCATCCATTCATCATACCAGCTGTCAAGAACATGCTGTTCCAGCATTACCATGATGGGCCTTTCGCGCACTATCAGGTCTGTCTAGATGTGAAGCCTTAATAGAGGCACTGGTATAGCAAGCCCTCCGCCGCCCTCGAGGTTTCTGCGGCCGGGCCGTATAGGAACATGGCCTTTCGATTTCATGCATGAAAGCTTGTAGGTACTGCCTATTCTGCTATTTATTGTGACGATGGCGAGCTCGTCGAACATGGCGCGGATGTTTCCGCCCACATTCAGCCTTTCATGGCAGAAGACATGCGGAAGATATAGCGGTTTTTGACTATTGTGTCCGGAGAAGCGATAGAGGTTCAGATATAGTTCCTGCCTAGCTCACTGTTTTTCTGGGCACCGCGACCATCCCCGGACTATTTCTGTTCGCGGCTCAACGGTACTTTCAACGAACTCGTCCATGGATTCTATCGGCTATGACAACCAGATGGCCATGGGATATCTCTTCATCCTCAAGTGTTCTCAACGGCAATCATTCGATCGAAGAAACGGACTCTGTTAGGTCGGAAGAATCTCGGAAGAAGATTTCGAGCACTGTCTAGGAACGCTACCGGGAATCTAAATCGACTTCAAAGGCCCCGAGAAGTGACCCCGGGGAGACCAAGTAAAAAGTGCATTGAAGCTATCGCCCAAGCGGGAATCTCATCTTTTCTTAATTTGTCTCGGATACGCAGTTCCCTTTGAATATGGGCCGAGAGAGTGGATGTTGGTCGTCTCCAGCTGTTCTGCACGATCGTAAACGGTTTATTGATACGGCCTACGTTGAGAAGAATCCCCATAGAAGTATTGATATGGAGCCCTAGATCGCAGAACTGCTCTAAAACGATGTGTGTGGTCTTCGCTCGCTCGAGACAATGGGCTAGCGTCAGAACAGCAACGAACGCGCTCACAAAGATCACCGCGGACTACTTCGATATGGTTCATTTCCTGGATATAATGGGGCTGGGGAGTCGTATGGAGATGTGTCTAAAGCCTGGGAGATAGGACAACACTCACGGCGAGTTGTTTACTTACTGGTTTACCCGCGCATATTGAATCCCTGTCGTGAATGAAGTTCAAGAGCTTCAAGGCAGCTGATGACACCATCGCTCCTTCAACCTGTACCCCAGCCGCCATCTCGTCTCATACGAGACAAGCTGGGCCTCTGAAACTGGCCAGAATGTGTGTCTCACTATGTTCGGCTGAATTACGAATCTCATTTATACGAGGAAATACGAGGAAATCAACCTGACCGTTCACTTGAGTCACAACCTAGTTTGAAAACGAGTGGCGGGTGAGAGTTCTCAGCCCAGACAACATCTTCCCAGAGCTTTTGTACCATTAATCCAGAGAAATGTATGAGTTGTCAGCTACTTGTCTAGTGAGGATGTAGAGGCATGCGTTACCACTGACAAGGGTTATCCCTGACCCCGGACTTATCGGGCTATTGTCCACGATGACCTTGTTCAAGCCATCAAGGATAACTTGATATGTCTTTGTTCACGCGAGCGCAATCCCAGTAGAAAGATGTTCCAGGATCGAATGATGAATGTCAAGAGTAATTGAGTTCGAAATTAAGAAACGGCCCTGGAAGCCGAGGAACAGTACGATTCTAGAATCTGTAGAGTGCATATTCCCATTCCTCAGGAATCCAGTAGTGTTGGTTCTGATACGTGACATCTGGAACCTCTCGGAACCGAGCCTAGCCTTTCCCATGTTCGCTAAACGACCCTTCTGTTGATCACGCTCGTATCTGATCGGCCAGCTAAGGCTCCCCCATAGGCCATGGAGGATAGTAAAAGGCTTTCTTCGACGGATAATCGTACTTTATCAGCCAGTCGAGGGGGATGGTGTCATCGATGGCATAGGATTCTCCAACAATCGGCCTCATGCCACGTATTCAACCGATCGGATCACCCACCTTTCCACATTTATCTTCGCTTTATCGGACAACGGAGCACTTCGTAGCCGATTTGAAAGTGAGCTGCAGGATGAAAAGGAAAGAACTGCGACATGGTCAATGCATCTCTCCATCAACTGATCGCTGTTTCACAAATATTGATCTCACCCACGATTCCTAAAGCTTTCTGTGCTTACGCCGAGATGAATGTCCAATATAGACCAGGGATCTAGAGCTTTTACTGAGTCGTTTTCTCAGAGAACCGATGATCGCATCAGCAGAGCTGAACCTCAGGGATGTTGCAAAGCAAGGGCTTGGTTAGCTAGCTGCCATGGCCGATTGTGGCACTTTCTGGTCTCTGTTTACGAGGTCCGGCAAACAGATCGTGGCTTCTACCGGCTCTACTGGCAAGTGATTTAATGAGTTAAAGCTCCCTGTTGGGTTCTTTTCTAGGGATTGTGTTTCTCATTCCGCCCAAGCAAGGCACGCCTCTACTGATATCGAGTGATCATCTACTACCTTGGCCATCTGAGAAACAGGATACGTACTCTTCTCTCAGAATCATGCTCGACATCGTTATCAGAATCCTCACGCCCATCCTGAGTCTAGCTCTCCCGGCTCTCCTCATAAGTGTCTTGGTCGATCGTATTCCTCCGCCGCGATGGCTGTCCAAAAAAGCCCAGTTGATCGGGCTGAAGAATCCAGAGAGCATCACCTCGCATGAATGTCCGTATGCGTATCTTCGCCAGATCTACGGGAAACATCACTGGGCTCCTTTTGTGCACAAGCTATCACCCTCGCTGAAGACCAACGACCCGGCTAAGTACACGATGGTCTTGGAGACCATGGACGCGATCCACCTGTGCCTCATGCTGGTTGATGATGTGTGTCCCTCATTCCATTTTCCCCCTCGCAGCCTTGGCACCTTGACCGGAAAACAAACATGATGCCCTAACAGAGCCACCACCGAATGTAGATCTCCGACGGCAGCGACCTCCGTAAAGGCCAACCCGCCGCACATAAGATCTACGGTCCCTCGGAGACCGCCAACCGCGCCTATTACCGTGTCACGCAGATCCTGAACAAAGTGACGCATGACTTTCCCGGCCTCGCGCCCTGGCTGATGCAGGATCTCGAAGGGATTCTCGAAGGACAGGATCTGTCGCTGGTATGGCGGCGCGACGGACTGGCCGGGTTTCCCGTCGATGCGGTGGATCGTGTGAATGCGTATCGGCACATGGCGTCGCTGAAAACGGGCTCGTTGTTTCGACTGCTTGGACATCTGGTGCTGGAGAATCAGTCGATGGACGAGACCTTGACCCTGGTTGCGTATGTTACCTTCCGTGCGGTTCCCAACCAAACCCTAACTCACGCGCTAACATCCGAGAATATCTGCCCATCCAGATGGCATTCCCAACTCCAAAACGACAGCAAGAACCTCTACTCGTCGGAGTACGCCAAACTCAAAGGCTCGCTTGCCGAGGACTTGCGGAACCGTGAACTGACTTACCCCATCGTGCTGGGCCTTGACGTCCCGGAGGGCCAGTGGGTCGTGAGAGCTCTTGAGTCCGCATCGGCGCGCAATATCCGCAACGCTTTGGGCGTTATCCGTGGGGACGCGGTTCGGTCGATGTGCATGGAGGAGATGAAGCGGTCGGGCGCGACTATCACGGACTGGCTGGACTTGTGGGGAAGAAAGGAGAAGTTGGATTTGAAGGCTTGAGGAGTAAGTGGGAATCTGCGGCGTTCGGATTTTGGGGATGGAGCGGGTTGATAGGAATGAATCAACGAAGCGGTCGCGGTCGCGGTCGCTGGTAGGTGATAGCCTCAGAAGGAAGGAAGAAGATGGCAATGGAATCTATCGCGGGGAAGGGATGTTTTGTTTGTGATACTTGTGCGGTTATTTTGTTTGACTGATGCACTGATGAACTGAGGCAAGTGGATGATGATTTGGCTGGCGCCCCACCCTCCTCCCCTAAAAAAGTGAAGAAGAAGAAGAGGCCAGCAGGCTCGTCGTAGCTTACGGATAGTCTATCAGATGCGCTCGCATATCTATTAAGTACTTATTCTAGTTCATGAGATAGCGAATCTTAATGATACTCATCTTGGGAAAGTCGCTACTCGTTTTTTTCACCTGAGAGTTGATCATCAGGACGTAGAGGCGTTGATAGCAAGATGTATCGTAAATCTACTGCGCTCCAGCTCTCTTACTGACACGGACTCTTAGGCGGCTATCTATTTCTCTCTGTTACTCTCGCTATCTTTTGTGTTTTGATCTGGACGAGTAAAAGGATGCTTAGTACACTGTCTGTACGTTGCCTGAATTAATCGAGCACCGGGGTTTCCGGATGGGTGTGTATCGCTCAAAGCCTAACACTACGCTCTAGCTAAAAGTCTACTGTAAGAGCTCTATGACTCTCTATCATGGAAATAATGAGGATTTCCAACCCCGTGAGAGGCTCTTTTCATTCATTCTATGGACAATCTTGCGCCTCCAATACAAATAGAAGAGACCCAGAAACGTACAGTACATTCGATCTAGAAACAGAAAAAATAGAACAATAAATGAAAACATTCTTTTGACAGGATCTCAAAAACTCCACCAGGTAAACGTCTAAGCAAAATTGACAGGTTCAAAACATCATGTTGAAATTTGATTATCTCTTCGATCCATCTCTGCACTGATTTGCGTTGCGAACCGCGTGAAATTACGCACAGCTCTTCTTTTAATTTCGATCTGCTCGTCGTGTCCGTCGGCTTTTGGGTAGGCATAAGGATGCCTTTGCATAAATAACTCTCTCCTATCGGCCTCACTGATTAGACAGTCAGTACATTCTTGTTTCCGAGACTCTTGAAACACTCTGGTAGGTATGACTTACTCGCTCGCTTTGATTGAAGCCTCCTGGGCGATCTTGAAACCGTCCTTCAAATCCTCGTCTGTCCATGCCGTCCAAGGTTTTCTGAGTTTTCTTTTGTTTTTTGTGTCTCTGAAAGGCCTAAATTTGGCTGCTGTTGAATTGAAATCGTTGGCAAAGTCCTTATACGCGTCATACTCCTCACAACGTTGACTGGACCAAGCCCTACGCTTTGATACGTGCTTGCCCATCTTTCAAATGACACGACAAGATATGTTCGCTTTGAAGGAAACGATGACTGAGGTGCGGTGAAATCGGTTCTGGGGTTTTCTGACGTAGCTGATATGGGGGTCGAGCACGGTTTATGGGACAGGGTGGCTTCGTGAGAGGGTAGATCTTGAGCGAGTGGTGTAAAGAGGAAGGTTTAGAGAATGAAGAGGGGAGTATTGGTGTAATTTTATATCAAAGGAGCAATAGCATTATTATTGAAACCCAGCCAAGCTTCTCGTTTGCTGGCACAGGATGTGAATACATGACAAGCAAAACAGCATGGCAAGCAGAACTGCATGGCAAGCAAACAAAGAATGTATAGCAAGAGCAACAACGTGTGAACAAGACAATAGCAGTTGAATACAGAACCTCATCCAAGCACGGTGGACTATCGGTGAGCTCTTGATAGCTCTGAAAGACATGATTGTATTGATTCTGAGTTCCCTCTTCCCAAGTGAGCTCCCTACTATTTGAGCCACCAGGCGTATCGGAAGCTCCGTGTGAACAAACAGTTCCAACAGATCTGAGATGCACTGTAGGTGGGCATGGTGGTTTGCACGATATGCAAGAATTAGTGGAAGCCAACGCGATATCCTTTGTCTTTGCTATGGTAGCGAGATGCTTTCTCAATGTGGAATGGGAAACACCACAAACCTCCGACACTAAATGGGAATTATCGTATTTTCCTGACGTGAAATGGACGATGATCAACGGCTTCTTTTAATTCAAATAGCTGAGAAATGTTATATAAAAGCCGACTTCCTGGCATGATTGCTGTGCGAATAATTGAACAACAAGCTCTGTGCACCTCGACTGTCCTCACGTTACAAGAGGATAACTATAGCCATTGCGATGTCTAGCTTGAATCCCGCCACTCACTCTCATTCTCAGAGTCAGACAAAATGTCGGCTCGAAGATGATCTTCCAGTGGAACTGCACATAGCTATCTTGCTTCGCTGCCCTGATCTGGAGACGCTTCAGGCATTAGTGCACGCTTCCCCGACTTATCACGCTGCGTATCGAATAGTCAGAAAACAGGCTCTTTTCCAACTACTCTCTGCAGAGTATTACGATATGGAAATTGTGGACGCAATCGTGGCTCTTCGCTCCAGAGGCTTGTATGCGGATATACCATCGAACAAGGAAAAGATCTATGCGCTTCTGGATCAGTGGCGCCGACACAAGGAAATTCGTCACCTGAACCTACCATCGGCGAAGAACTTTCCTGATAAGCCGGTTGATCTTGATGAGATTATCCGACTCACCAATCTACATAAGATCATGAAGTTCTGTCTTAACGATTTTTGCAGCGCTGTGCATCGCCCAGTGTGGATTGAGCCAGAAGAGTGGAAGAACGACGTCTTACCGATATGTCTGTCTCGTACTGAGAAGACCCGCTTTCTCAGGGGCCTTTATCGAGTACAGATATACGCCAATATTTTTGGCAATAGGGAGTTCTACCCGGGTCAGAAAGAGCCATCTCAGTATAAGTTTAATGACTGGGAGGAGGAGAAGACCTTTGAACCGAGTGATGTCTGGCGTTTATTCATCAGCGCGATGGCACCATGGGAGTTTCAAGAGTATGGATGTGTGTGGCAATACATCTACGAGCGATACAAGCAACCATATAAAGAGGTCGCTGACTATTTTGATCAATTCGAATCTATGCCACTTGGCTGGTTCATAGCTGCATACGATATTGATCCTCTTCCAACGAACTGCACTATTATAGAGAGCGACAATCTCTCCCAATACCAAAATCATAACTTGGCTTGCTTGGCTACCATGGGCCCAATGTTCTTTTGCAAGTTCATTCGCGAGCCGTGCTTTCTGCATCGCCGGGATCTAATTGTGATCCATTGGCGGTTCATGCCTTGGCATTTCGGCGAAATGTGGGAATCTCTAGTTGACTATGACATGTATCCCTTGCTATATCCCGGATTCGAATCTGCTGATGACTTCAAAGAGACCGAAAGCTTGTGGGCAACTCTGTCGCCTACTGACAGACCGAATATCGCATGTGAGCGGCTTTGGTTTACGGAGCCGCAGAGATACTGGTCGATCTATTCTGTGGAGGCTGGGGGAGAGGAACACTGGAAATGGGGATTTGCCATCTGGGACGATGAGAGGCTGATCGAATGGAAGCGGCAGCTGTCTACCCCATTGTCCACCCCTTATACAACAGAGTACGCGGTGGAAACGAGGAAACCGTCGCAGGATTATATCATATTTACAGGGTTACCCTCTTGAACTATCTCCGATATCAATCGATAGACTTGACCGGAAATAACTATTCTGATGTGCCAGATTCTCACCTGCCATATACCTTCATTTCTTCGCTCCCCCTGCTTTCTTTGTTACTATTGTCTCCTTCCACAGTTCCCAGGAAGCTAACGGAGCCATCCAGCAGGTGGAAAGCCATCGCACCAAGAATGTTTGCTTCTATGGGCGGCTGTGAACGGGCTTGGCCTCCAGGAGTTAGGGGGAGTTTGTTTTGAGACCAACATTTGTTAGAACGATGACTTTTGTCATTTTCCAGAAGGGTACTTTTGTTTTTTCTGTTTTTCTGTTATTGAGGCGTCGTTGGTCCTGCCTTGGCCTTTTTTTACTCGAATTTATCATTTATATTCCATTTCTTTCCTCTAAAGACCCAAAGCTCTCCGTAGATATTGGTATGATGTAACAAGACCAGTGATGAATACATTTTCTCCATCATTCCTTGTGTTGACAATAGATTAAGAGTGTACTTACAGCGACCATAAGATTCATCTACCTATACATAAATTCGATTATAAGATAAAGTGACCTGACAATGTTCCCTAAGAAATGCATATAAACTCACCAGTCAACAGGTTTCAAACATCAAGATAACGAGTGGGAGCAAGGAGCATGGCCTCTACCACGATATCCATTTATAATCCGTGGGGGGATCGATCTGCTCCTGACCACCAGCCAGGTCAGGATGAGCCAGACCAGTGGCCGCCAGGAGAAGAATCCATTCAACAAGCTGCGGAGATAAGGAAAGGGCCGTGATACATCCACACGACCATGACTCCTGCCACACCCCACGTGACTTGGACGCTTACTCAACCGCTGAAATCGGCGCGGGCTACTCCAGTCGGCCTCACCACCACGGTTGACCTTGCCATTATAGTTAGCCTTACTACTACGGTCAGTGCGCGATTAGAAAGAAGGTCTTTATATAGACTAAAATCCTACACTATATAGGCCTTCTATAGTGCCGAGGCCGCCCGTAGTAGTAAGGCCACCTGTGGTGATGAGGCCGACCGTGGTGGTGAAGTGGTAAGGCGGTTAATTTTACCGGTTTTCGGCGGTTAAGTAAGCACCCGAGTCACGTGGGGTGTGGCATCGTCCGCGACGACGCGGACAGATCAGTCATCCCAGGAAGCCACGAAAGGGGAGGCTTGTCTAAGGTACCTTGACTAACTCTGATGTATTGGTCTTCGTCTGTGGGGCCCGGCTTTCTCCGTCGTAATCTTCCCTTAGCGCCGTGATACATCCACACACTTTCGCCTTTGGCAAACCTCACGTGACCAGAATTGGCTTAGTCATGCAGCAGTCTTGGCAGCTCGGTACGGAGTACTGCGCCCGTCCCTACGGTGTAGGTAGGACACTAGAACACTCGCCACCATGGTAGGCCTGCGCAATATTTACTCTATACAAAAGCTTCATCTCGAACTGCGGTTGATCTGTAGTCCGTGGTCTAGCGCTTAAGGCGCGAGACCCGCGTACGTACTGGATTCATAGCGTTGTTCGAGGATGACAGGAAGTCGGGGCTAGAGCGTACGACTACGATATTGAGTTCCTCCATAATACGTGAATTTGATCGCTATAATTTGGACTCAGTAGGGACGGGCGCAGACGGCGCAGTATGAGCCGCCAAGACTGACAGATGACTCAGCGGCTGTGGTCACGTGGGAGGGGTGCGCTAACCGGACAGCCCTGATCAATTTACCGGGACAGCCATTACTATATTAGGAAGGCGGTATCAACCCGACAGAAGGTAAGCTATCTCAAGAAAGCGGTCTCCAAAAAGCGGTCGAGCAAGGAATGTATTGAGAAATGCTACATTCTTTCGATCAAAGATCATAACATTAAGATGTAGAAATTGCATAAATATAAGTTTCTCATAAGCGATTCGGCGAAGCAGGCAGCCAGACAATCTAATATCGAATAAAAAAACAAAATGTGATCAATTTTTATTGCATTTTCGAGCGATTCATGATGGGCGAGGCAGGCAGATGATGGTGGACGAGCGATTCGGTGAGCGATTCAGCGAGGTAGGCACTTAGGGGGGTCCCTACCACCTGCCTAGAGGGTCCCTACCACCTAGGCGGGTTCCTACCACCTAGGGGGGTTCCTACTACCTAGGAGATTCCCTGGGTGCGCAATGTGGAGTTTCAGAGGTCTACGGATCAATTCCGGCTCGGGACGGAGCACCCTTTTTCCGCTGATTACTAACCAACTGCCGGCAGAATCCAGAGGGCTGTCCCGGTAAATTGATCAGGGCTGTCCGGTTAGCGCACCCCACGTGGGACCGTGCCAGCAGCGAAGGCGGGTCTGTTTATTCCTTGATTACTCCGTACTTCCCTGGAGAATGCGACGCGAATGCCATTTCATAGTGGCACAGATCTGGTTTGATGCCCTGTATGGACTGGACAACATGGCCTGAGATTTCATTCGAGCTTACATCGACTTAGCGATTTTGAGGTTACTGGTTCGACTAACTCGTAAAATTTTGGGTATCAAGAGAACATCAATAAAGGAGAGAATCTAACACTGGATAGCATGGCAGTTCACAATCCATATCAAGTCCTACGAGCATTCCATGCGGACCCAAGAAGTTAGCCATGAGCATGTCAAGATGAAGGGCGCTCAGCCGTACCATCGAAGCAGAGCGTAGTTTGTCTTGTTTGCTCTGTTTGCTCTGTTTGCTCTGCTTGTTCCCTGCGCTGCTATCTACAGACTCTGGGACTACGTTGGGCTGAATTCTGCTTGTATTAGCAATATTGCATCTCCATCCCGCTCCCACATCGATATCTCCCACGGGTAGATCAGTGGAGAACAGCGGAGACGCTGAATCCTTATTTTGTCCACTGTTCTGCGCAAGAATGACAGGTACACCCGGCCAGAACCACGGGTGCCTAGAAGGCTGCCTGTCTAGCCAGGCACAACCACCGTCGCAGAGGTCAGGTGATCGGCCTCATTGTTATCTAGAAAACCATCCTAGTCCCCCAGTTCCTTCCTTCGTAAGTTAGCTACCCCCACCCATCACCTCACAACTGACAACTTCACCCATCAATCAAACACCAAACCACCGTCACCGATTCCATTTCATCATGAGTCAAAGCGAGCATAGCTCAGGCATGGAAGACAGCGGTTCTGAAGACGAGTATGACCACTATGGTCGTCCATCTCGGCGACGGAAGACCCCGCTAAAATTCCTCCATACTATGACAGAGCTGGAAGATGAAGCCAATAGTATTGTGATCAAGGTAAGTATAACCTCTGATCTAGACATAGACGGTACTCCGGCTGGCTTAGTCCAACTTCTCGCTGCATATCGAACACAAGACTGACTGGCTCCATCAGGACTGTAAGCTTGACGCCTGTCTCGACGTATTCCTTGCCGGTCTCCTGCAGCTTGGGATAGATCGGTCCCTAGATATGTACAGTCGTCTTCCGGACTTCAAAGAATTTAGTGGCGAAACATTGGAAGCCTTGAAAGAAGACCTACGCCGAAACCTGGATCGCTTGCTGCCTGGGTTTATCTCCAGTGATACCTCGATCCTAGAGAACAAGGTTTTCAAAAAGTCTCTGGAGAAAAGATTCACGGGGATATGGCGTGATGATTTCCGCTATGGTCATGGGAGGAGCAATGATTCCGAAAAAGATGACACTACACAGACCATTCCCGTGTCTCTTTTTGAAATACTCATGGAGAAGCAGGCCAAGGAACGCAGCACAAAAGGACAAGGAAGCCAGCCAGACTCTGTGACGGACAGCCAAGCTACTCTGACGGAGTATTGTCGCCGGCTGAAAGACTCTATAGACAGCGAAGAGGCGAATGGCTGTTTTGTTTGTGGTGGTACTATCCCTGTCGACGTGAATCCCATACACCCCAGGAACGAAGGCGACCTCTTCCCCAGTCACTATCTTCTGGTCACTCGGTCACGACGCAACTGCACGCAAGCTGGTGCTTCCCCTTGATGGCTCTGCTCCAGGATCCACCCCTCAGCTGCTTCGAGAGCTGGTCACAAGCTGTGACCCGGCCAGCTTTGGACTGGGTGAGAAGGATGTTCTTGATCCTGAGTACCGCAAAGCTGGCAAGATCGATCCGGGGCAATTCGCAACCAGCTTTCACCCAGCTGACTTTGGGCTCCTTGAGAATATCGAACAAGTTCTTCTTCCTACTATCCGTGGCGAATTCGAAAATAGACTACAATTCCGGAAGATCAAAGCCGAGCTTTACAAATTGAACGTAGGTCAAACCTTTCTACATTGGCTTGATAAGGCTAATCATGTTACGACAGACCTACTCAGGACCATCTGGTCTGTTCCAGAAGCACGTCGACACTCCGCGCTCTGAAAATCAAATCGGATCTCTAGTAGTCTGTCTGCCTTCTCCGTTCGAGGGAGGAAGCTTGATCGTTCAGCATGGTGGCCAAACAGTCGAGTTCGACTGGAGCCAGCAAAGTTCCTCAACTATCCAGTGGGCAGCATTTTATAGCGATTGCGAGCATGAAATCAAGACCATTACTGCTGGAGACCGTATCACGTTGACACACAACCTGTTTGTCTCCGAGCTCATCGGTGGTGCAATTCCTTCGCCTACCTCTATCATTGATGCAAAGACCTTTCCTCTCCACAGTTGGATGAAGAAGTTGCTCTCGGCGCCAGATTTCATGAAAGAAGGTAGCGTAACACATATCTAGTTACCAGCTTTCCTGCCCAACACCCTGTACAAAATACTAACAGCATTAGGCGGCGTTCTCGGAATGTTCTGTTCCCACGCCTACCCACATACGTCAGAGCTCGCGGGTATGCAGTTTCCTCGGATCCTGAAGGGCGTGGATTTAGTTCTCTACTCAGTTCTCAAGTCTCTTGGTATTGAGCTTGCCGTTATCCCCATCGTCGACAAAGACGGTGTCTATGGCAAGAACCCCGCGCTCGGTCTGAGAGGCACTGTCGGCAGATCTGGTCGTTACTGGTATGGATCTGGCGGATGCTATGAAATGGAGCAGTATCTTCAAAATGGCGGCTCATTGAAATTCTACACTCGCGACCATGTGCCCAAAGACGTCGACTTCACCGATGTCGACCGAAGATGGAAACTGCTGCTCATGACACGCCAAATCACCGGCATGGACGGCAGCATCGAATACGCCACTCGGCATGATCTCCCACTGAAGCCGAATAGTTTCTATGCGGCAGGATTCACGCGCGTCGGCAAGTGTTTCGCGCCGTACAAGGCACACGATCGGTCCCTTGACGATGGTGACGACGAAAATGAGGTTCGTCCGTTATTCTCCCTTTTTTACGTTTGCGTTTCAAATCTCTATCAAACATTTTCTTTTTTATATTTGTTTGTTCTTGGACTCACCTATACGTCTTCCATCTAGATGCTCAACGATTGCTTCCCCGTCTACCAAATCCCCGGAATCACCTGGATCACGGAGCCGAATCACGAAGAGATGGCCTTCAGTCACATCGCACACGGTAACGAAGCGTCCATAGAAACTCGGTACTCGTGCGTCTCCATCCTTGCGATTATCCCTCCTACAGAGAAACGGATGGACATCGAGTAGAATGAAAATGCACTCAAGAATCTATTAGCTTTGAGAAGAATGGGGGAGGTAATCAAACTGTTCTAGGGTCGACCGGTCTGGTATTTCAGTTTGTTGAAGATCAGATTAGCTTCGTTTACGGTCTTTCGGGTTTTGCTTCCTTAATTGATTGGTTTTTTTACTTGGTTGTGTTTTTGCGTCTCGGGTCTAGCTTATTTTATCCCTTGAGAGGACCTCCAGACCGAATGAAAAATCGTATTCTTTTCTTTCCCCTTCCCTTTACTGACGTAACCCTACACAAGACAGATCTTCAATAGAAGACATGCAACCCCCCCCCCCCCCCTCAATATCCTGGATCGCCTTCAACTTGCTCGAATTTTCTTCTTCTCTTTCTTTTCTTTTTAATATGATTGACCCGTGACGATCTGCGGTGCTGATCGGTTCCAATTAGATCCAGGTATTCCCCGATCCTCAAAAACGATAACTATCATCCAAGAACTTCAGCATTTGTTGATTCTCATAAAACCAGTTTCCCAACTCCGTGCCTATAGCATCCACTTCCACATTCGGTTGCATCTGCATCTGCAACTGATCGTCCTGAACAGGATCTCCCCCACCGACGAGACGGTTCTCCGTCTCCGAAACTGACATTCCGGCCCCCTCTCCTCGAGGCATGCAATCCATCGAAGACCTAGGCCCCAGAAACGGAAATTGCGTAGCCAAAGACCCAGAAATAGACGTATCCGCGGCGTCGGACATCACCCCCCTCTCAACACGCACATCCCCGCCCGGATTGAAATCAATGCGATTCATCATCCACCCACTGGGCTGAGACGCTTTCACCTCGACGTATTTTCTCGCGACGTGGTACAGGGCGCTGAAGAGGCGGAATTGCTTGCTGCAGGCGCGGTGGAATGCCGAGGGGGATGTCGACTGGAGGGTTTGTATGACCGTGCTGAGACGGTGTAGGTCGCTTGGTGAGGAGGTTTCGATGACGTGGCAGAATAGGACGATGAATGGGAGAAAGGGGGATTCGAGGAGGGAGCTGGATATATGGATTCCATCCGTGGGGTTGGTTAGTATGGTGTAAGGATAGAGAAGGGTGGTATCTGGTGATGGGTTGGGATTTAGGGGTTGAAGGAGGAAAGCGGAGGAGGAAAGCGGAGGAGGAGAGCGGAGGAGGAGAGCGGAGGAGGAGAGCGGAGAGGAAGGATAGGAGCGGAGATGGAAGGTGCGGATATGGAAGGTGCGGAGAGGGGAGGGAAGGAGAGGAGAGGAGGGAGAGAGATGGGTGTTCTGACCAGGTTATGTAGAGCTCTATAAAGTTCTGGTGGATCTTGGCGGTGGTAATGATGGAGATACACTTTTCATGTTCTTGAAGCGCTTCTCGTGCGGTCGTGATGCATTCGTTGGAGAAAGCCGCTCTGGAATGGAGAGAGGGAGGGATGCCTCGGTTGATGAGGGTGAGGAGAGATAGGCTGGCAACTCTATCGGCGTGCCATATCAGTTTGTTGATCGCGTCGCCGAGAGCCTGGCGTCTCAGATGGTTGTATCTTTGCTATAACGGCTGAGTTAGATGATTCGAGGAGATGATGTTTAGGGTAAGGATGACGGTGGAATTCCTATAGGACGGTTTGGAGTCATAAGGGGATAGGGACGCACCTCAAGGGTGTCTTCGCGATATATCACATTCTTCAACTCCGCTGCGAGAGCCCTAGCGCGGGACTCTCTGACATGAGCCGGCTCGACTAAAGCCCCCGGGCTATAAATCTCATCGTACGTTCTACCCTGCAGAACTGCGGTGTCAATCCACCTAGGTAAGATAGGATTAAGCAGTGAGTCCAGTTCCTGATCATTCAGGGTGTCCAACCGAGGGACGGTAATGTCCTGGTCACGGAATGTAGATGACCGGCCGAGTCGCAATGAAAGCATTCGTTCCGTGGTATATACAACCCAGAATAGATGGACTTTTTGCCGCCGAGCTTCAGGACTCTCTGTGTGGAGAGCATGAGCGTTGTGAAGACCGAGTGCTTGACACATGAGGGACGCATTTGTGATGAAATTCCATGCAAGTGATGACTTGGCGAATTGTCGACAATACGTAGTCTTTCGATATATCAGTGGATGTGAAGTCTTCTCCTTGGGAGAGTAAACTTACGGCAACACTCATGGCAAAAACATTATCTATAGTGGCAGGAGTATGGAATGGCAGGTTGGAGAGAACGGTCTCGAGATTACGTCGACATTTTGAGGCATATTCTCGATAATCATCTTGTGTTTGTCGACCAGCGGCCAGTTCAGCGCTCTCGCTAAAGAGCCAAAACAAGCCCGCATGACGATTATCAAGTCGGCATTGCTGGCTGGAGCAGGCGAGTACACTTTTAAGAAGTAGTCGGTGAACTGGGCTATAGAAACAAATTCGATGGACCAGTTGCAGCGAAGGAAGGGGGTTTCTAGATTGAGGTAATGGTCAGCGATGATTATCAAAGATCTTGAGCAATTATACCTTTGACCTTCCACAAGCACGAGAGAGCTACGTCGATTGGAGGCATAGGCAGATGTCGCAAGCTTAAACCACCTGGCTGGGGTATAGCATGTGGATAAAACTCTTCAAAACAATCCGGTTTCTGCTTTTGAGCGTGGATTATTTCCCGAAGTGTGTCAACTATAGATGTCATATCTTGTACGTTGTCCTTGGGGTAGTCATCGTTGTTAACAACGCTCTGAAGAAACTTGGTGGCAAAGAGTGCGTGAGCGGAAAAGGATGATTCGCCCTCATATTCAGCCCTGTTGTCTCCGGAGACATCTGAGCAGGTTTGCTTGGGACTCCCGTCTGTTCCAGTCGCCGACTGTCGAACGTTGGAGGAAAGTGTTGACGGAGAAGAAGCATTGTTCATCTGATCAATTTTTAAATGGAGTTCCTCCAACTTCCTCGTGAGATTGTCCACTTTTTCTTCACTACAGAGACTGTCAGCATCTTCGTCGACAGCTTGCAAGGCTTAATATACTATCGCGCTGAGATCATAACTCGTTGACGTTTCTCTCTCGGCCTATACCGATGGGAGTAAGAGCATTTTGATTTCACCATGGCGCATTGAGAGCATGGAATGCAACGATCACAGCGGGTCTAAATGCGTTAACGATTGGAATAGACAAGGTACCAGGAATATTGAGTACCTTTCGCTTTCGACATCGGTCGCACTGTTCTTGATCAGCTCGAAATCCTCAAGATAGGCAAATATGAATCATACAGCATATTTTTGAGAACCATGACCGCCCTCATCCTGCGCGGATAAGTCGTCCTCAGCGGCTGACTCCTCGCCGTTAGTCCCCATTCATACGCGATCGTCGAGCTTACGAGGTGACACAGAGAATGATAAGCTACAACAGACGATGTAATAGTGGATGAAGGAATCATGCAGCGGTGGAGGTGGTCGAGTCGCAGGTAACGTATGCTTGTTCGGGCCTCGGGACGCCAAGGACCCGGAGCCCGACGTACACAGATAGCAGTGACAGTCTTAGCATGACGTAGACCTTGTTCTTGGTGGCAGGAATTAGTAATGAAGCTTTCGATTACGCCAGATACAAGATTTCGAAGGCAGAATGACCATTTGAGGATCCATACCAATGTTCAGTGACTTGGAAAACTACTTAAAAATCAAAATATGTCTTACCAATTCTCTAGTCTAGTCATTAACAGTCTCGCCTTGCTTCATCTATGAGAAGCCGCTTGATTGATCGAATAGAATCAGTCACAGCTTAGGTTGAGCTTGCTACGAGACCAGCCTCTATAGCCTTTATCTGCAAGGCCACGAACTTCGAGTAGATGCGACAGAGAGCGAGGTTTCCACCCATATACCAGAAGCCCGGATGGCCGCTGGGGCGCCACATCTATAAGCACGTTAGTCTTTTCGGTCATGGTGAAAAGAGAGACAAGTCCAAAGCATACCGCGTTTACTTCACCTTCATCGTCAAGATCCCAGACATCTTTGCATCGATCGGCTACCTGATCACCCAGCGTTTTACGCACAGTGGTGCGCATGTTGTCGTACCCGGTAGCAAGAACAACAATGTCTGCATCGAGAGAGCTACCATCCTTCAGGAATAGACTCCGCTCGTTAAAGCCAGTAATTCCTTCGGGGCTGCGCTTAACCTTGATCTTGCCATCCGCGATCAACGAGCTGCATCCAACGTCGATGTAATAGCCTCCGCCGCGGGTCATGTAAGCCCGCAAAAGTCCTGCTCCATTCACGCCAAAGTCGAGTTCGAAGCCCGCTTTTCGCAGACCTTCTAGAATGTCTTTCTCCGCTTCGTACACTCTGTTGGTGAAATTGACATCCAACGCGAATTTCACGGGGTATGGTAGACTCTCGTGAATGATATCTGCTTCTTCCGTAGGGGGTCTGAAGTTCTCGTTAGCGCAATAGTACTAAATCGGGGTTTTGTTTCATACCCATTCTCTTCATGGAGGCCTTCATGCATCATGAAGACACCTTTCTCGGCGGTAACCACGTAGGTGCCACTCCGTTGAAGCATAGTGACTTCTGCCCCATTTTCATAAAAGTTCTGAGCGATATCATGTCCACTGTTTCCGGTGCCAACAACGACCACTTTCTTGCCTTTCACGTTGCTTTCGGAGGCATCTTGATGCTGGCTACCGTGGTAGACCGATCCCTTGAACTGCTCCTGGCCTGGGAATGTGGGAACCTTTGGCTCGCCGGAATGACCGGTGCACCAGATCAAATGGCGTGGATGAAGGGTTCGCTCGGATCCGTCGCCCCGACCGATAACAACAGTCCATTCCGCCTTCGCATCATCATATGTCGCAGATTTGATGCTAGTTCGGAGCCATACGTTCAGCTCCATGATACTTGCGTAGGCTTCGAACCAATCAGCAAGCTTGTCTTTAGGGGTAAACTGGGGCCAGTTCTTTGGGAACGGAAGGTAGGCCATGTGGGTGAATTCTGCCGGATCGTGGGTGACAAGCGTCTAGAAAGTCAGAGAAAATTAAACTCGGTTTCTAGAGCCTCGAATTAGATATACTCACTCGGTATCGCTTTCTCCAGTTATCCCCAATTCTTTCGTTTCGGTCAACAACCAGACAAGAGACACCTAGAGATTCAAGGCGGGCAGCTGTGTTGAGGCCAGCCTGGCCTACGGGACGTTGTGAGAAACACATTCGTTGTCAGGCATACCAGAGGATAACACATACCGGCGCCGATGACAAGTGTGGCTGGCTCGTCGTCCAGAAATTCAATCTTCCTTTGCCGTCGCTCCTGCCAGTTCCCTTGACTGAGACCCCCAGGCATCGACTCAATTGTCCCCTCGGCTCGTCTTGTACCAAGTGGCTCCTCAAAGTCCTTAAACTCTTGCAAGGCAGTATAGATCGCGTAAGCCTTCCATGTGCCCGCCTCATCCTGAGTCAGACGAAGAACACCCGCGCCGCGTCCGACACGCGTCTCGAAGAAGAACATTGAAGAAATCCACCTCAGACCCTCGGCCGGGTCTTCGAGCGCAGGTTGGAATTTGCCTTCATGTTGCAGCCGAAATCCCGAAATCTGAGACCGGGGCTGGTTTTGCTGAAGAAATGCTTGTATGGCATTGCGGTTATGGATCGTACGGAAATCCCATTCCAATGCTAACATGTCACGCCACCAAGACTCTTCATGTACGAGCTCGGTAAGTCGGGAGTATTCCCCTTTTCTCAGGAGAGCCTCCAGGTTTGTGATCCACCGCTGAGCAATTAAACGGACGTCCAATGCCCTGGGCGATAAGGGGGTGACAGGGAGTTTCACGACATAATCATTTTGTGCGAGAGACATGGTAGGATAGATGATAGCTGCATGGAGCTTGTTGTGATCAAGGTGTGTTGTGGGATCTTCGGCAGGAGAGCTTTGAGTGAGGAGCAGCAGCCCAGGTACCCGAGCAGGGCCCTCGCTTTAAACGACATGGCTGTATGAGAAGGGAGTTCGTCCGAGTCGGAGGGAATGCCGAATGACCTCACGGCGAGATGCAGAGTGCAGACTGAGGATGCCGATAGCACCGGGAGTGGAGAAGGCGTGGGGTAACCGAGGGGCTCCCCGGACTAATTCCTACCGATGGAGTAACGCGTGCCGACAGTTGCCTTGCCCATGCAGCATACCTTCTGGCAGTCATTATTGAACTTCGACTCGATTCCCTTTTGAGTAGTGTTTAGCGCGAAGGTCGGTCCCGCCTGTCGTCAAAGCGCCCTGCAGCTGCCGATCCTAGGTCTAGGTCCGAGTCTGCAGACTGGTCATTTGTTGCTCAACCCCGGGCGCTTTATACATTCCTGAAATGACAAAAACATTGTTCTGGATGTCACCCAGGTGTTGTGGAATCGGTCAAGGGAAAGAGCGTATCTAGGAATGGGGGCATGATTGTCAAGGTATTGCTAAGGCGAGAGCAGTTGAGTACGGTTCCTCACACAGACTTTCTATGGCTCATACCGTACAAGGCTATTCTAGTAGATCAAAAACCTCGACGGATCTATTTCCAGCGTCCGATGCTTACTTCGAGAGAATTATGAAGGCAATCTGTCCGCTGAGTAAGAAAGCCAGAGACTTCCAACACGTGCGACACACAGGGAGCTTGGAAATCTTAATAATGGCTGTTCTACCAATGACTTGCCTGGCGGAGAATTGGCCCGAGGTCGCCTAGGCTGAAAGAGGGTTTGTCCCTGCTCTTTCAAAGTATGACCATACAATGCGCACCAAGCCCAATGTACCCCCGACTTGCCACGGTCTGCGAGTATGACTTTGAGCCGGAGCCTTCGACTTCACAGCCGTCTTTAGTCATGTCATGGCGTCGGGCCACAGATTGGACCGGTTTCACTCCTTTGACACGAAGTAATTCTCTGTCAGCTGTGCGGTTGGGAAGATCCAGGGATATGCTCAACCAGGAGCGCAAGTAACATTTGTAATTTCCTTCGCCGGTCTAGATTTCCTCTTGGTGTTCATTTTCCGGGATTAAGAGATTGCCAAATGGGTCTGACCCCTTGCATACATGGCTCCACGACAGGTAACCTCTTTGCTTTTGATGGGTTCTGCCTTTGCCCTAGAATTCTGTCTGGCAGCCTTTATTCAATGAAGATATCTCCGAAGGCGACGGAAACATGAGACTGGGTTTCTTCCGCGTCCTTTGAAAGGCGGAGATTGGTGCCGACAGATGGCTGGTATATCCATGGCGATTCTTGGCCAACGACGACGGTTTCAAATGGAATAGGCAGGACGGAGGTAAATTGGACTGCTACAATGTCAGCTCGCAGTTGGAGACTGCGGATCAAATAATCAGCGTGGGGCTTGGGCACCTTTGGATGCAGGTCCATGGATACATTCGTAATTATAATCATTGATGAGAAATGTACTTACAAGGCGCAGTCACATGGGGAGCAGGTGACCTCTACCGACTACTCCGGAGGGCTCAACGAGAAAGACGTTCCAACTTCTGCCAAATGCCGGCAACCAGTCATCCTTGCAGCCAGCCGCCCGACGGACAAAGAAAAACGAAATGAGGAGCTTGAGCGCTGACAGCCTGACAGCGACTATTGCTATTCGTGTAACCAGCGCTGCTAACTGCTTGGGCACCCATCCCAGCCTCTCTGACTTGTCTCGGCGCCTTCCACCACTGACGCTTATTCGTCCTCAGGCCCCCGCCAAACCGAAGGAACGATGCTATTAATGGAAGGCTCCGACCTGAACGTTAAATAATATTATGATACATAATGATCTGGAGCACGACTTCCCTTAGTTCCCGGGCTTAGCTTGGCTCCTGCTCCAGCCCTGGCAGGCGCAGTCGATCCTCCCTGATCTGCGCAGGAAAGCAAACAAACATAAAGTCCTCTGGGAGACCTTTCCTCTGTTTTCTTTTCTCTTTCATCTCACATCGTGCTATCAGGCTGTCTTATCCATCGTCTCTTCTGCTGCCCATCGTCGCAAGTATCGCTTACTTCGCAGCAAATTACAACCATTCTATCTCTTTACCACTTGGGTTAAAGATTCTCTTTCAGCATCCTCACCGTCCCCCCGGAACCATGCGGTGCTTGTCTCTTCTCTCGTCTGCCCTCATGGGCTTTACGCTGGCAGCGACCGTCTCTGCTACCCCGGTCCCTCCCCAGAATGCACCCGTCATCGAGGACAACGATCCCGACTTGGTTTACCAGGTCAAGCTTCTTGACAAAGACAACACGACCGTCACTGGTCAATTCACTGCCTGGGCTACCAAGGTTGGAGTCGGCATCAAGATTCATGCTGAAGTCTCGGGCCTCCCCAACGGAGATCTTCATTACCGTATGTTGCTTTCCTCCCACCCTCTTCCGAGACCCGTGCCCATCCTGACTCAGATTGCTAACGTCTCTCGCCACAGCCTATCATATCCACGAAAAGCCCGTTCCCGAGGATGGCAATTGCTACGCGACCGGTGCCCATCTTGACCCTTACAAGCGTGGCGACGACCCTCCTTGTGACATCAAGGCGCCGCAGACCTGCCAGGTCGGCGATCTGAGCGGCAAACACGGTCCCATATTCGCTCCGGACGATGAGACTTACGAAGTCTTCTACACCGACTACTATCTCTCGAACCAGGAAGAAGACCCTGCCTTCTTCGGTAACCTGTCCATCGTCGTTCATGCACCCAACAATACCCGGCTGAACTGCGGCAACTTTGTGCCCTTGAATTCCCTCAAGAGTGAGGAATCTGAACAGCCCGAGGAGCTTCAACCCGAGGAACTTGAGCCTGAGAAATCAGAGGACTGAACAAGTCGGTGTTGGAATCTGTATCATCGGTCATGCTTTTGACTGCTTTTTCTTCTGTCTATGCTTCTGCTTCTTGTGTATGCGGCATTGCCACTGTATACTTACCGTTTGGTCTTTGATTACATATGGGTAACACCCTGTTGCTGCTGAATAGGATCGCTGGCATTATCGTTAGATACCTTTACTTTTTAATGGACAATTCATCGCTGCGCGTACAACCGCTGTAACCTTGGGCAGGCTTCATCTTCTGTAAAACATGTTCAATGTAGGTTCTGAGAGAGTCATGGCTGAAACGAAGCCCCGGTCCAGAACTTCCATTTTTACCGAGGGGTATGATTTGATGTGATCCGAGACATCTGAAATTAGAAAGCCATCAACCATTCTAGCATAGAACCGACTTGATCAGTCGGAGGGGATTCTAACTCTGTTATCCGAAACCCCCGACACTGGATGCCTGATCGATCCGGATGGGTAAGACAACGAATGGCCGAATCTAAGCCACCGCGTCACGTCTTCCCGTAATTAATCAAAGACAGACTCTGTAACCAAGAATAGCTAAAGGTGTAGGTAGGTAGGTAAGTAGGTAAATGTTGGTATCCGGAACATAAGAATAGCGTAGGTAGTATACTATATACAAAAAAAAGAGCCTTTCCCCCCAAAGTTCAAGGAGGTGTCGTGTCTATCAGGTCAACTGCGCATCCAGATTCTCCAACCGCCGTTTAATAGCGCCGGGATCGTATTGCCCCTCCTCGCCTCTGTATTCTTGGAGAATGACGGTGCGCATGAGACGGCGTGGGGCGCGACGGCCCGTGAAGAGCTCGAATTGAGCGAAGCCTTGCTCGGGGAGAACGTCGAGACCGTCGAGAGCGACCCAGCCGCGGTGCGAGAGGCTGCGGATCTGTTTCATGAGGGGCGTGTTGAGGGGTTTGTATGCTAACTGGAAGGGTTCCAAGCGGGGGTGGTGTTAGTTTGGGTTTGGGTGCATTTGAGTTTAGGGGAAGTTTGAGGGAGTGAAACTTACGTCGACTACGACACCGCCCGTCGGACTTTCTAGCCACTGCAGTGGCATTTCGGTGTTCGGGGCTGGTTGGTCGCCGATGCTGTGGGCTGGGATGCAGGAGCAGATGACGGTGGGTTGTTTGTAGCCCGCTGGCCAGGCCTCTTGGGAGGAGTGGAGGATGTGGAAGGTTGGGCGGGCGGGGGATCCGCTTTTGCCGGCAGTGTGCAGGGTTTGGCGGTTGTAGTGGTATGCGAGTCGTTCGGCGTTGGATGGGGTGCGGTTGAAGATGAAGATGTCTTGCACGCCGAGATGGATCATGGAGTAGACGGCGGCGCGGGCCATGCCGCCTGCACCGATGACCAGTCCGGTGGACGAAGGACGGATGGCGTTGGCGGGAGACAGTCCCCGGCGGAAGCAGTTGCAGATGCCGATCCAGTCGGTGTTGTCGCCGTGGAGAGCTTTGATGGGCCCGGCGCGACTTCGTTCCATGTAGAGGGTGCAGTCCTCGGAATTCAAGGCTTGTTCGCCGATGTCGCCGCGGATGGGGATTAATGTGTTCACTGCGCCAATGGCGCGGGCATGGGGTGACATTGAATGGAGAAGTGGGATCGCTTCTGTCTTATAGGGCAAGCTGACACTGGTGCCGCCGAAGTGAGGGTTTTCAATGAGATCGTTCAGACCTCGGATGGAGGATGATTGGTGAATGTTGTATCGGTGTGGGAGACCGCAGAGTTTGTATGCGGCATTGTGCATGGCTGGCGACAAACTGTACGTCGTATTGGCGCCAAAGACGAAGAACTGCATAGGATCAAGGGCGAAGGAGGAGTAGAGGGCTCCTTGCGCTTCGTGGAGCGTGATGCACGGCAGCCTTTTGGCTTGGACGTCGGGCATCAGCGATTGATGGATCACAGGTGATAAGATCGGATTGAAACAGCATGATAACCGTCCTAACGGCCCAGAGTTGTAGGCTATAAGAGGTGTTTGTTTTCCTGGCATCGACTTGACATGATGTCTAAAGCGTTGAACGGCAAAGTTGTCCTCGATCGATTCCGCCGGCTGAATCAACCGAACCATGTCGCAACCAAGCTCCTTCGCCCGTTCATATAACGCGAGGTATTTGGGATCATCCCAGCCTTCTGAGGGACGCTGAAGAGTTTCATAATGACCGATGACTTTGCTTGTCCCTTTTGAAGAAATTATTTGTGAGAGGACCCCATCGTCATAGGAAAGATCGATCGTTAGGAAGCCCGGAGCTAATCGCAGACCGTGCTGCACTAGATTTAGATACGCGGTATCCGGGCGACATGATGCTTCGTTATGCTGTGAAAAGGAGTTATTAGGATTTGTCTTGCTTTCTACATGATAGATGATAGGGACAATGATATTCCGTCGGATAGTGGCCACGGTCTGGCTGATCCTATCCGCAAGGCTCGAGTCAACTCCTAGCTGCGAGGACGACCCTTCCGTGACATCTATTCTTAATTCGAATGCGTCCGCGGCAGTCTCGAGATCCTCGTAATCAAACTTTCGTTCAAGTAGGGACGACAACGGCGCGACTGCGGCATAACTGTACATGCGGGTCTCGACCGGTCGCATTGACAGGGGGAAAGAGGTGTGTTGTTTGCGCAAATAAGTGGCATCACCGATCGCAAATGCTATGAATCGGAGAAAGTCGCGTTGTAACCTTTTAAGTGTCAGGAAAGGTGTAAATGTCTCGGACCGCTGATCAAGTTCCTGGCCCAAGTGGGGATTATGATGGCTGTCTTTGCCCACCACCGGGTCTCCCGAGCCTTTTTCGTCGACATTAAAAAACTCGAAGTTGGAGCATGCGCGATATATCGGGCCCGATAATTCGAGAAATCGGTGGACTTTGTCTTTATTCCATGCATTGAGATAGGATTGGATACTCTGCGAGTCACGAATAATGTGCACGACGGGATGGGTTTTCGCATATTCTCGTAGCAGCATTTGCCCTCTGCGCTCCATGGATCCCGGGCCACAAGCAATAACCCAACCTTCTTTGTGTTCCTCTAGCATGGTCTCCATGATCCTGACTTCTTGTTGACGATATTCCGCAAGGCCAAAGTCCCTTTTGTATTCGCCGCGCGAGCGACCGGTCGCCTGTTGAAAGTATTGACCTGCATCGATCAACCGCCTTCCAGACGTCGCGGCCAGAATGACAGCCAGGCTAGACTTTCCGGTACCACGGATACCAATCAGCACCACAGAAGCATTGGGAATGAACTTCTTCTGCGACTGGAATGGCCCGTCAAAGAAAACTGGCGACGCCCGGCCAGACTGCGGTTCACGCAGCGACGGCGCATGGCGATACAGATCCCCCGACGTATCTAATTGTTCAGACGATCGGCGAGAATCGGCACTCCCATAGCTAGCCGCTCTCCTGGCAATGGTATCCGGCGATCGCGACGGGTGAGGTTCAAAGGGTTGTGAACGGCTGCCCCGCGAGATGCGTCTCTCTTGCTGATCGAACCCGTCCAGCTCGTCTAATTTTCGTTTCGGAGGCCTCACGAGGATCGACATGGTGCGAATGGAACCGTGATAGGGGTTAAACACTGAGATGTATTACAAACATTCGGACGTTTCGGACGTAGGCATGACTTGGGGAGGTAGGAGATCGAGATCAGAGCATTGATGGTGTGAATCAATCTTGAGCTGCGACAAAGCGTTGAATGCGATCACAGGCGGGGATTCGGAAATCAAACGAGCGGGATTAGCTTCATGTGGTGTGGATAGGAGTTCCCCGGGGAATTGGGGTCGAGGGATTTGATGGCAGGGTTGAGCGACGGGACCGTATTCGGAGCAGGAGGGAGAAAAGGACCGGGAAGTGAAGGTGGAGGCACGCGCTGTGAGATCGTGGGGAAAGTGCCGATTGGGGGTTAGGCTTAGGGCCTTCGGCTCTGGCGCGGCTGCGGCCTGAGAGGGGGGAGGGGAGGCGGCGGACAAAGGCTCTGCCGTCGCGTAGCAGTGTTCACAGTTCAACGTGTTGGTAACGGATGCGCCGGAGTCTGGCCGAAGTCCGACGCAAGTTGACTTTCCGCGTTACCCCGCGGGGATTTCATGCCTGGCAGTCGTGCAGGTGCCCGTGCAAGAATTTCATTTGCGAAGGATTTTCTCTTTTTGATTTTTTTTTTCTCTCTCTCTACGGAGTTTCTTCCAAGTGTCTGCATGCCGCGCTACCTGGGGGCGCGTTCACGATCCACTTCCATAACACTACAATAATACATGATTAATCCTATGCCAATTTGCTTACGAGAGAAAAATAAAAATAAAAAAGAATGACAGAAAAAGTAAAATATCTTCTAATAAAATAACATAACAGAACACAGACGAGGTCATACTGGAAAAGCTCACCGCAGCCCCAGTTTGTTGGCAATCCAGCCAATATCATTCGCATGGCAGACTAGCCGCGGCTAAAGCTATAGGGCCCCCCTTCCCCAACTCTCCAGGCTTTTGCTCATTTTTCCTTTCTCCGCTTTTGCTCCCTCCGTCGCCTAACTACTCTTCCCTCCTCCCCTGTCACTCATCTCTCTCCGATCGTCCCTGTCAAACAATATCTGCTCGCATTGGATCACGCTATCTCCATTCATCTGATCGCTAGAGACTCGGATTATCTATTCCACCCTCTAATTTCTTCCCTCGTGCCTCTCGCCTCGTGAGGTGGGGGCGAACTCCCCAGGCGATTGTGCTCACATACTCCCGCCGCCGGCAAAGGATTCATCTCCGATTGCAGCGTCAGACGATGAACATGCGTCCAGAACAATCTAGTGGCCCGTTGTATGAACGATCATGAGCAACGACACGCGCCAAGCCTCTGGAGGCACCAGCAAAGCTAAACGACGATTGATCGATGCGGACGAAGATGGCAGGCAGAATTCGACCGCCGACGACTTCGCCTCCAACCCCAAACGGCAGCGTGTCTCCCGAGCTTGCGACAGTTGTCGATCGAAGAAGGACAAATGCGATGGCGTCCAACCGGTGTGCTCGACCTGCGCATCGCTATGCAGACCCTGCACCTACAAAGCCAATCCCAAGAAGAGGGGACTCCCAACCGGATACATTCGCACTCTCGAACTATTATGGGGTCTCGTTTTTTGCAAAATACAGGGCAGCGAGGAGGTGGTGCGCGCCCTGTTGAGGGCCGCAAATATACCTAGCCATTTGGCGACTATGGGCAAGGAAGCGGAAGGGTCCGATACGCTGCTGTCGTCGTGGAAGAACAGTATTGTGTTGAAGGAAATCGAGAGGTTGCTGGTGTCGCTGGAACAACCCGAGGATGAGCAAGATAAAGGAAGCCGACCGCCGGGGGACAACGATTCTCCTGCGGACGCCGAGGGAAGCAGCGTGCTGTCTGCGGATGCTCTCGAGTGGCAGATCCCCGAAGGACTCGCAATAGAGAGAGAGAGTTCTGGGCTATCCCCAATCAAAACACCATCGGCTGTTTCAGCCATGAGAACCCACGTAACTCGCATTACTCGGGATTCAACAACCCAAACCTCTTCCCCCAGTGTCGAGGACATCCCCAATATCTCCTTTGGGCGTACACTGCCACATTCCCTCGACTACCGTTCCGGTAGGGAGCTTCTTTCACACCATACCCCCCAACTCCCCTCCAATGCGTGGCCTCTACTTGATATTTACTTCTCCTATACGCAATGTTGGTTCCCCATACTTGAGAAGCACGACATACTTCGGACGGCCTTCCGCCATTCCGAAAATGACATACCCGTATCCCCATCTGCTGCCGGGTCTGGGGATCACGCGGCTCTGTGGTCGGTTCTTACTCTCGCATCCATTCAGGAGGCGTCAATTTCTGCCACGCGTCAACTTCCACAGGCCACCAGCGACCGTCCCGATCCTAACCTATTCTATGCCACCGCCAAGAGCTTTATCCCGGGAGAAAATGGTGTACATGAGATTGGACACGCTCAGGCGTTACTCATTTTGTCTCTTGCGAAGCTTGGCCAGCAGGACTGGACAGCGGCGTGGATACTTGTGGGACAGGCTGTACGCATCTCCCAATGCTTGGGCCTGGATCGTGTACCTGTTCCGGGGAAGGATGTTGGGGATAGTAGAGCGGCGGCGCGTTCCAAGCACGTGTTTCTGGGTTGCTTCGTGTTGGAGACTCTAGTTGCCACGCAGACCGGACAAGTGCCGTCGCTGCGCAAGAGCGACTTGACAAAAGTCGGTCCAATAAATGAAGATGGGCTAGAGGAATGGCACCCCTGGGAGGATCAGACTGGTTTGCGCCCGGTCGAAACGTCTCGTGGCTCCTTCCATCGGGGTCCCCTCCATGCGCTAAGTACATTCAATCGGCTTATATCGTTAATGTGTATCCTCAACGACACGTGTTGCATACAACAGTCTCCAACCAGTGTTATCTCCCATCTGGAATCGTCCGAGCGCCAATTGCAACTTTGGGTCTCGGCTTTGCCCAAAAGCTACCGGGTTGATTTACAGAGGAACTCCGAGCGGCCGGCATCGCCACACATCTTCGGACTTGAAATGATGTATGAGGGTGTTGTCTCACATCTGAGTCTTCAGCTAGCACTGCATGGAGGCGACGGCAATATCCAGACGTCATACAGAAAGCGTGCCACCGATAGTTCGCAGAGAATACTCATGCTGCTCCAGGCGTACATGGAAAGCTACAGTCTTTCGGCAACATGCCCCACCTTTGGAATGCTATTGACATCTGGCGTTCTTCAGACGAGCGACAGGGGCAATTCAGCCCTCGCTTTCGATCTCGAGCCTGGTCTCAAGCACAAACTGCGTTCGTTTGCGTCTCACCTCGCGACTGTATGGGCCGCAGAGGGCGGGACAGAGACGGAATATCGACCCATGGAAAAGTCTCCAAGTGCCAGCATGCCGATAATGGCGCCGACGTCGCATCCCCAGGGAGCATTGCCTGTTATCGATCCTACTGCACAGAGTACTCCCCCTCAACCATTGCCCGCCACGGCAAGTACCGCTCGCCGGGCAAGTCTCATCGATGACGCGCGTGTTGCTATGCCAGGGTCAGAGCCGTTCCTTCCAAACCAATGGATGAGGACGCCATCCAATGTGGAGGATAGCGCTGCTCTGTCCTTGCCGACTCCAACCCCTTCTCTGAGCATCAACCGAGCGACCGAATCGTCCCACCCCGCGCCCCCTTTCAAAGACACTGAAGCACATAGACACCGTGCCTCTATCTCCTCTTCCACAAGACCAACACTTAACGGGACAAGTATGATGTCCGAATTAACGTCCCCTTTCCCTCCCGCCCCGCCTCAATACCCTCCGGCATACAGCGAGCCCAATCTCAATATGGGTTCTTTCGTCGACGTTGACGGATACGGAACTCTACGACGACCGCGAATTGCACCTGATCTTGATGCCTTGTTCGATGAGCTGGCATCGCTGGATGGCACTGAAAAGTGAGTTATTTAGCCCTCTTGTCAACGGTTCCAATACTTACCGTGTGCAGAACCGACAATCTCCCCGAGTTCATGCAGAACCTAGGGTTCGTGCCCGACGCGGGAGTTCCTGAGCTTTACTCGTATTCCAACCAAGTAGAGCCATTTATGCTGGCACAAAATCAGCCACCAATACCAGGCACCGACCCTACAGGGCACTTGCGACGAGAATCGCAGTCTATGAACGAGGTGCAATCGAATGCGAAGAGATGAGCATGACTAGAATCTCGAAAATGTCGATCTCCATGGCCAATGGCTACACCATGACTGTGAGGACGAGGAAGGGAGCAATCAAGGCTCTTCAAAATCAATTGGGCTTTCATATATGACCAGCCCGACACGACTTTCTTCTGTTGTACATATTGTCACGTATATAATTTCGGACATGTCAAACTACAAGGACGGATAGACACGATGTAAAAGACATTCAATATATACCAAGAAGCCAATCAGTCTATGTAAATACACATGAATCACCTTTTCCTCCCATTCTCAGATCGAGAGCCGCTTACAAGGCCGCCTTCTCCTCCCTCCCCTTGAAGTTCAGTGCCACATGCTCCACCGCCACCTTATACCCGGCCACTCCCAACCCCACGATAATCCCCGCCGCCTTATCACTGAAATAGCTATGATGCCTCCACGGCTCGCGCGCATGCACATTACTCACATGTACCTCGATGAACGGGATCTCGACGCTGAGCAGCGCATCGCGAATCGCCACCGAGGTGTGTGTGAACGCGCCGGGGTTGATGACGATCCCGTCGACGTTGCCCCGGGCTTCTTGGATGCGGTCGATGATCGCGCCTTCGTGGTTCGATTGGAATGCGCTGAGCGTGGCGCCGAGCGCTGCGGCTTGTGCTGTGGCGGATGTTTCGACGTCCTTGAGGGTTGTGCTGCCGTAGACGTGTGGTTCGCGGGTGCCCAGGAGGTTGAGGTTCGGGCCGTTGATTAGGAGGATGGATTTGGCGGGCATTTTGGTTTTGGTGGGAGGTTGGTAGTGAGGGAGAGAGGTATAGACCGGTTTGGTGACTGCGGATATAGATAGGTAGGTAGGTATGAGGGAGTATAGATCTGCGGTGCGTCTAGTAGCAGTAGGAGTAGTTTGTATGTATGTAATGTACTACGGAAGTATCTAGGAGATGGGCAACGCGGGGCCTAAATGTCATCATAAACTCTACGACGCTTACAAGCATCGGCACCATTATTGGGTAGGAATCGGTTATTGCCTACCGAATTATGAGACATGAGGATTGTTGCGCCTGCTGGTTATGCGGAGAAGCGTTTCAATAACTTCTTTCTCGCTTTGTTCTCCCGGTACTCCATTCCTGGTAGTTAGTTAGGGTCGGCTGGGTAAGCAGAGTTCCGCGTTGCGTTGTGGGTCGGGTTGAATGCTCTGCCGATGTAGCATTGCTTGCATCTTGATCCTCCTATTATAAATGCTGTAGAGAAGCGAAAGAATTTTGTGCAGACGGTGATGTCGTGGGGACAGGTTCTATTGTATATCTGCTTTTAAGATAGTTTAATTGAGTTGCATTGGATTTGGTGCCATCCATACTTCGTAGGTCTGCCGTTGTAGATGTATGAGCCCTAATCCCCGCGGTCGATGTAGTAGATCAGGACTACAACGCCATTGCCAACAACCACTCGCACCGTTTCTATTCATCATCAAGATGAAGTCACGACACGAAACTGACAACTAACGGCCAAGTCTAGCTGGACCCGTCCAACCCGTAGATCTACAGCCTACGCAATCCGGGGTCCTCAGCTGCTCAATTTGCCACTCAGCCAACATCTTATGTCTTCAATGCTTCGTTATTGTCCAAAAAAGAAGAGATTGGCTAGGATTCTATTGGAAAGTTCATACTATTGAACGGAAATCAACAGTCTAACCCCGAAAGCACACCGCAGACACCGCGATATGAATACAGAACGGCGTCCACGTGAGGGTGGAGATCTAACTCCATCGGTTACTCGCGGGGGCCGTTGGGTCTCCGCCGTCGGAGAGATAAGTTCTGTCGGCTGCGAACTCACATCTTCCCTTCATCATCTTCCTATCCACGTCACCTTTAGAACCACACGTTCGATACCCCAAGATTATAGATCCTATATACGTCGAGATAGACTGCGCATAGTACCTACCGGCTAATACTTAGACTTGCGACGACATCGCAACCCCGCACACCGCCATCATGACGACCAATTTTAGCCAGGAGCAACTAGACGAGATCTATGCCTTCGCGATTGATCTGGGGCGCAAAGCCGGTAACCTTTTGATGGAAAGTGTCGAGAAGCGCATCGGAGGCGGTGATCAATCCGTCGAGGAAAAGGACAGTGCCGTGGATATTGTGACTCAGACAGACGAAGGTATGCGGTGCTCTTGCGATTTAACAGAACATATCTAACCTGCTCGACAGATGTGGAAGTATACATCAGGAAGGCTCTTGAGCAGAAATACCCCTCTCACAAGTAAGTTCTTTCGTCTCGACCTTTCTAGACACCGTTAATCCACGCCTCAGATTCCTCGGCGAAGAAACATACGCCAAAGGTCAATCGCGCGAATACCTTATCGATGAACACCCAACATGGTGTATTGACCCATTAGACGGTACCTGCGCTCAATCTCGGCCCTGCGCAAACCCTCACACAAGTATACTAAACCAAATCCAGGAACCGTCAACTTCACCCACATCTTCCCCATGTTCTGCGTCTCGATCGGCTTCATCGTCAACCACCTCCCCGTCATCGGCGTCATCTACGCCCCCTTCCAAGACCAACTGTTCTCTTCCTGCCTAAACCGCGGCGCATGGCTGAACGAGAAACGCCGCCTCCCACTCATCCGCAACCCCTCCATCCCGCCGCTCCCCGCCACCGCGCCCAGCAAGTGCATTCTCTCCTGCGAGTGGGGCAAAGACCGCCGCGACATCCCCGATGGCAATCTGCACCGCAAGATCGAGAGTTTCGTGAATCTGGCGGCTGAGTTGGGCAGTCGAGACGGGAAGGGCGGTATGGTGCATGGTGTGCGGAGTCTGGGCAGCGCGACGCTGGATCTGGCGTATGTGGCTATGGGGTCGTTTGATATTTGGTGGGAGGGTGGGTGTTGGGAATGGTTTGTTATCCTTTGTTCCTCACTGACTTTGTATTTGATGGAGACGGTGCTGACTTGTATTGCAGGGACGTTGCAGCCGGCATTGCCATCTTGCTGGAAGCTGGGGGGTTAGTGACGACTGCTAATCCGCCAGAGGACCCGGAGGCGGCGCCGATTGAGGACGTTCGTCTGGGGAGTCGGTTGTATCTGGCTATTCGGTATGTGTTTGATTCATTAAAAGCAGGGAACGGATATGCTGACATAGATAGACCGGCCGGGCCGTCACAGACAGAAACGGGACGAGAGTCCCAGGAGAGAACGGTCAGGGAGGTGTGGAAGCGCGTACGACAGCTCGAGTACTCTCGGCCTGGGGCTTGAGCGGCACTACGAACAATTGCAATATATACGTGATCAACAACATACTCGCATGTGCATGTAATCAGATAGAAATAAACTTATATACAGAGATCCGATTCTCTAACACAGACTATACAACTATGCTCCAGGGTATGCTCTATACAAGAATCATGAACATGAAAACGTAGACACCGCCAACATCACATCAAACCAATTAGAGATTCGACTTCGACGCAGCCCGCTCGGCAATCGACTTGGCCACCAGATCCTTCACCTTCTCCACCACCCCAGGCACCTTGACGACATCCTGTCCCGTCCAGAGCCTAGCCTGCTCCAGACCCTGCCAGATCAGTGCCTCGGAGCCCAGGATAACCTTCCATCCAGACGAGGAAGCCAACTGCGCAATCTCGGTCCACGGTGACGGATGGTAACACATCTCCAGGATCACACCCTTGGGCTTCTTCTCCTCTCCTCCCTCGGCCGTCTGCGCCTCCGTCTCCGTCTCCTCACCCAGGAAGGCCTGCAGGACCTCGCGCGCGCGGATCTCCTCCGGCGTCTTGGGCGGGTAGTTCGGGATACCCGAGACAATCGCGGCGGGGGCCTCCAGGGTCGCGGCGACCGCGGGATCCGTGACGTGGATCAACGGCGGCAGGGAGGCATCGGCGTTGACGTTCCGCTGAGCATCCTCAGCCAGGATGGCATTAACCTCCGCAGTGTCGCGATTCACGACATAGATCTTGCTCGCGCCGAGCCATTTCCGCAACACGTAGATAGCAGACCGGGCGGTACCGCCACCGCCAACAATCAGGGCCGGTTTACCACGGAACAGCTCCTCGACAGGGTTCGTAGACGGCGAGTTCTGCAGCAGAGCTTCACGGATACCGATGCAGTCGGTGTTGGTACCGACGTAGGACGTTTCTCCCGAGACGGGGTCCTTGCGCAGGAAGATGGTGTTGCAGGCGCCGGCCTGCTTGGCGTCTTCGGTCAGGTCGTCGAGATGGGGCATGATGTTGACCTTCCAGGGCATGGTGACCGAGGAGCCGACGAATTTGGGGTTGGCGCGGATGCTGGCCAGGAAGGTCGGGATGGGTGGGGACCGCGTGTACGGCGGGGGGTAGGTTGCTGAGGTGCCGGTGACGCTGGAGAGGGGGATCTGGGTCCAGTTGAGGCCGAGGGCCGTGTAGACGGTCTGGTGTAGAGGTGGGGAGAGCGAATTGAGTAGGGGGTGGCCGTATAGGTAGGCGACACCGTCGAGGTGGTCGGGGATGGTGATGGGTTCCTCAGGGGGGGGTTGCATGGTGGTTGCGGTGATTTCTTGTGGAGCAGCCATGGTGGATGGTTTGGCGAGGAATTGATGAGGAGGATTAGGAGGGAGAGGAGAAACGGGATTCAGAGGACAAAAGGATCGAGAGAAGGAATCGAAGAGGAGGAAGTCTGGAATTAAAATAAAATCAAATCAAATCAGGCAAACCGCCAGTATAGAAGGGCTGACTAAGGCGGAGAAACATTCTGTCCCGTGATGGATACGTTTAGCCTTCTCCCCTCTTTCTTTCTTCTTTCTTCTTCTCCTTCTACTTTCCCTCCCCCATCCTGTTCATGATTTCATCACTGCATAACATCCAATCCACATCGCATAATGCTAAATACCCCCCCTCCATCTCTCCCGAGATCGCAGTCTCCATAGTCCATCATTCTCTTCATCTCGGCTGAACTGTGGGTTCCCATTTCTCGGCCACTCGGCCTGACCACTGACGACCAGAAAATGTCGGCTTAGTTCCGTCGTCTCGGCTGCGGTGGATGCTTGGCTTCGGCACCGACCATAGTTGATCATCCTTCCATGACCATTTAACCGTAAAGGATTTTAGCGTCCGCCGAGATCAAAGTGCCGGGGAGAACCCTTTTCCCGAGTCTTTTTAGATCCCAAGGTTTGGCCTAAATTCGCCTATCGCGTGTTCCTCATGCGCACAATCGCCCCCGTGGGGAAATTGTCGCCTCCCTGCTAGATATCTCCGGCGAAGCCCTTTCCCCAGCCACCGATGACATCCAATATGGATTGATTGGACCAGAGAATGCGAAATGATCGTGGGGAACCTTCCCAAAATCCAACATGTTTAGCACCGCGCACCGCTGGACACCACCGGGGCGACCAGACCGCGCTGGAACACACTAAAACCCACGACCTGGAGTTTTTCCTCCTCTAGCTTCCCCACAAATGCTCGCCAATCCTACCCATCTCAGTCCCCCACTCACCGAGAGAATGAGCGGGATCGGAGCGAGGCCAACACATGGGCCGCGCAGAGATTTCTTGGGTCTGTTTGGCTGTCAGTGACTGTGAGTCAGTCTTCGATTGGTGCGGCCAGGAGAGTTTTTCGACAAGGTCCCGTGGCCGGTCAGACCTGGAGAAGGAGACGAGCGAAAGCCAAGGATGACCTTCCCCTGCACGAAAACTTTCTTTTCATCCTTCGCCTCTGAAGATTCTCTGGGCATTTGTAGTTATTTGTTTTCCCGCCTTGGTCTTTTCTCGTCTTCCAATCCTCGTCTTTCTGTCTGATATCCCTTCTTCCATCTCCTTGAATCATTTCTCCGCATCTCGGTCTCGCTTTGGACACCCCGGATTTTCGAATCCCTGGGTTTCTGCTTATTCCGGCGTAGTGCAAGCAGCAAGACCCAATATTTAAAACCCCAGCTGTCTTTTGACCCCGGCATCGTCCTTTTGCTTTTCTCTCTCACCTTCCTCCTCTCCTGTTAGGCCTTGTTTATTCTTAGGCCAGGATCCTGGCTTGTCTCGTTGCCGCAACACTCAATTTTCTCTCATAACTTCGAGCGTACAAGCACGTCCAGTGTTCGTTACCCCTTAACAAGGGCGGACACACCAACATGTCTATCCTGTCCCTTGTGGAGGATAGGCCAACTCCGAAGGAGGTCTACAACTGGAAGATCTATCTTCTGGCGGCAGTAGCCTCCTGCACGTCTTGTATGATCGGATATGACAGTGCTTTCATCGGTACTACCATTTCCTTGCAGTCCTTTAAAGATGAATTCGACTGGGAGTCCATGTCGGAAGCGTCCCAGAACCTAGTGAGCGCCAACATTGTGTCGCTGTACCAGGCGGGAGCCTTCTTCGGGGCCTTCTTCGCCTACCCCATCGGTCATTTCTGGGGTAGAAGGTGGGGTTTGATGGTGTCTGGTCTGATTTTCACTCTGGGGGCGGGTCTGATGCTGGGAGCCAACGGCGACCGGGGACTCGGATTGATCTATGGGGGTCGCGTGCTGGCCGGTCTGGGGGTGGGTGCCGGCTCCAATATTACGCCAATCTACATCTCGGAGCTGTCTCCGCCGGCCATTCGCGGTCGATTGGTCGGAGTCTACGAGCTGGGATGGCAAATCGGCGGTTTAGTCGGTTTTTGGATCTGCGTAAGTTTGTCCTCCATCTGGCAAGAAATCCGGGGTTACACTACGAACGTGGCTAATATTTTACTTTTGCGGGTTAGTATGGTGTGGATGAGACCCTTCCGCAGAGCCACAAGCAGTGGATCATTCCGTTTGCTGTGCAGCTGATCCCCTCGGGGCTTCTACTCATCGGTGCTCTGCTGATCAAGGAATCCCCGCGTTGGCTGTTCTTCCGGGGCCGTCGTGAGGAGGCTATCAAGAACCTCTGCTGGATCCGCCAGCTTCCTGAAGACCACATCTACATGATGGAGGAGATTGGTGCTATTGACCAGTCTCTGGAACACCAGCGGTCGACCATCGGACTCGGCTTTTGGAAGCCATTCAAGGCGGCCTGGACCAACAAGAAGATCCTCTACCGTCTTTTCCTGGGCAGCATGTTGTTCCTGTGGCAGAACGGCTCCGGAATCAACGCTATCAATTACTACAGCCCCACGGTATTCAAGAGTATTGGTCTCCGGGGATCCAACACCAGCTTGTTCACCACGGGTATCTTCGGCGTAGTCAAGACGGTGACCACCTTCGTTTGGCTGCTCTGGTTGATCGATCGCGTTGGTCGCCGAATGCTTCTGCTGATCGGTGCTGCGGGTGGCTCGGTCTGCCTCTGGATCGTAGGCGCGTACATCAAGATTGCGAAGCCGGGGGAGAATGACAACCAGCAGATGGATGGCGGCGGTATCATGGCGATGTTCTTCTTCTATCTGTGGACGGTCTTCTACACTCCTTCGTGGAACGGTACTCCGTGGGTGATCAACTCGGTAAGCCCAGAATTGCAAACGATGACTGCGAGATGCATGTTTCGCTAACCAACGATGCAGGAAATGTTCGACCCCAACGTGCGATCCCTAGCGCAGGCCTGTGCCGCCGGATCGAACTGGCTGTGGAACTTCTTGATCTCCCGGTTCACTCCGCAGATGTTTGCCAAAATGGATTATGGAGTGTACTTCTTCTTCGCGTCTTTGATGATTCTGTCCATCATCTTTGTGTATCTGCTGATCCCCGAGACGAAGGGTATCCCGCTCGAAAGCATGGATGCTTTGTTCGAGGAGAAGCCCATCTGGCACGCTCACGGACGGGTTCTGGCACAGATCCGCGAAGACGAGGAACGGTTCCGACGGGACCTGGAGGAGTCTGGCTTCACGAAGCGAGACACGGAACAGGTGGAAGAGGCGGATGTGTCGGTGGAGTCGAAGGTGTATGGATGATTTTTCTTGTGTCTGTTTATAATGTGTGGGATAGGGGTGATAGTCGCAATGCGAGTTTCGTGTATAGTCGTTGACTTTGCCCCGGAATCGTGTAAACCCATAGCCGACTTGACTCATTTCATGGCGATCCCCCCACAAGTCCCGAGAAAGACAGGGGAGGCGGTAAAAATCTCTACCTCGGCCGTATATCATCTGGCTCGTCCGCTCTTTTCTCTGTTCATTCCCTCAATCCACTCGTAAGTGCAAAGTAAGAAACATGCCACAACTCAACATCATCATCGTCGGTGCCGGTCTCATCGGCCCCCGTCACGCACAATCCGTGCTCAACAACCCATCCACCCATCTAGTCGGGCTCATCGACCCTGTTCCCTCAGCATCTAGTGTCGCCCAGTCGCTCGGAACAAGCTACTACCCGACCATCGAGGCCTGTCTGCAAGCGACGTCCACCACGCCTGCGTCGGCCCCCAATGCGGCCATCATCTGCACTCCCAACCACACGCACGTGGACGTCGCGCGCCAACTTCTAGAGCAAAACATCCACATTCTCCTCGAGAAGCCGGTCAGCCACGACCTCGCTAGCGGTGCCTCGCTGCTTCGATTCGCGCGCCAACCCGGCACCTCCCACCTGAAGATCCTCGCGGGTCACCACCGCCGCTTCAACCCCTACATCGCCGCCACCAAAGCCATCATCGACTCCGGGTCCCTAGGCCAAATCATCGCTGTCAATGGCCTCTGGACGCTCTTCAAACCAGACGACTACTTCGCCGACGGAGGTGCCTGGCGCCGCGATGTCTCCACCGGCGGCGTCCTAGCCATCAACCTGGTTCACGACATCGACTGTCTGCATTACCTCTTCGGACCCGTGGTTCGGATTCACGCCGAGAAGACGCCCCCTCAGCGCGCAAACCCACCACATACCGCTGACGAAGGCGCCGCTTTGACGCTGCGGTTCGCCAACGGAGTGGTCGGCACGTTCCTTGTCTGCGATGCCACGCCGTCCCCGCATAGCTTCGAGGCCGGGACGGGCGAGAACCCCACCATCCCAAGGGTAGGGGGCGACTTCTATCGCATCTTCGGGTCCGAGGCGTCGTTGAGCGTGCCGGATATGGCGCGGTGGAGTTACGACGGGCGGGCGTCGAAGAGCTGGAACGAGGAGTTGGTGGCCAAGAAACTGGATGTGGCGGATGAGGAGACCAAGCCGTTTGATCTGCAGTTACAGCATTTTGTCGACGTCGTGGAACGTGGCGTCGAGCCGAGATGTTCGTTGGAGGAAGGGCTGAGAGCGTTGGTGGTTGTGCAGGCGGCCAAGAGGGCGTTGGAGACGGGCGAGACGGTGGATGTGAATGTTAACCTTCTGGACTAGGTTGAATGAGGGTGTATAATACAATGGATATTGCTGAAATAATATGAATTGAATCGAGAGAAAATTGCCAAGGCAAAACACGCAAAAGGAGAAGTTTTTGGTGATATCTTATAACCTGAAGATTTCTTTCCCCCCTGGGCGGGTAAACGCTTCATGTCTCGGATCAGCCCACATTGGTGGGTGCTGCAAGGGGGCAAAGCACTTTGCCGCCCGACGAAGGCAGCCCTAACTTATTAACTCAGCGTGACGCGCGGATGAACGTTGCTCAGCGTCTGGGGTAAGCATTCAGGATTTGATGTGTCCAGAATTGCCAGGCACCGGGGATTAGCAAGCAGATGAAAGATAACTATTGAACTAATAAATTAATTATCTCATAAATAGCAAATTGATCGGAAGTCGATGCATCACATCCTTCCTCTTTTTCTCAAACGCCAAGCACCGCCTCCTTCTGCTCAAAGTTTGCTCGTATTCCATCTGACGACTCCTTTTTCTCGTCGGTCTTTCTAGATATCATATTTCTTTCCTTCTTCTTTCTTACCGTCCTTATTCTTCGTGTTGGCCGTTAGATCATCAGATCAGATCCGATCGGTCGAGTGCATTGCATAGCCGCTGTATCCTGATATCATCTCGCAGCCACCCGCTTCATATACATCCTGTACGTACTTAAGTACATCTTCAAAATGCCCAACCGACTCGGCATCGCCTCCATGTCCCTGGGACGACCAGGCATCCATGATCTCCCCAACAAACTCCATCAGGCCTCGCAGCACGGCTACTCCGGCATCGAGCTCTTCTTCGATGACCTGGAGCATCTCGCGCGCACCTCGCACGCCGGCGACGTCCTCGCCGCTGCCCACCACGTGCACTCGCTCTGCCTCTCCCTCAACCTCTCCATCATCTGTCTCCAGCCGTTCGGCTTCTACGAGGGTCTTCTCGACCGGACAGAACACGAGCGTCTCGTCACCGAAAAACTCCCCCTCTGGTTCACCATCGCTCACGCCCTCCACACCGACCTCATCCAGATCCCCTCCAACTTCCTCCCTAACGACCCCGTCACCGGTGCTCCCCGCACCACAGGGGACATGAGCGTCATCGTCTCGGACATGCAACGCGTCGCAGACCTCGGTCTTCAACAAACCCCGGTGATCCGATTCGTCTACGAAGCCCTCGCATGGGGCAACCACATCGACACATGGGAAGCCGCCTACGAGGTCGTCGAACGGACGAATCGGTCCAACGTCGGCATCTGTCTCGACACATTCAACCTGGCGGGTCGCGTCTACGCCGACCCATCCTGCCCGACGGGCAAGACTGCCAACGCAGACGCCGAGCTCGCGACCTCGTTAGCCCGGTTGCGCGAACGGGTCGACGTGTCTAAGATCTTCTACCTGCAGGTCGTCGACGGAGAGCGCCTCTCGGCCCCTCTAAACAAGTCCCACGAATGGCACGTCGACTCGCAGCCGTGTCGAATGAGTTGGTCTCGGAATGCGAGACTGTTCGCTTTCGAGGAAGACCGCGGCGGGTATCTCCCTGTGTTGGAGACCGCGAAGGCGTTCTTTGACACCGGCTTTGAGGGCTGGGTTTCGTTGGAACTGTTTAGTCGGACTTTGGCAGATCCGGACCCTGCTACGCCGATGAAGCATGCGCAGAGGGGGTATGAGTCATGGAGGAAGTTGGTGGGCGCGTTGGGGTTGAAGACGGCTGCGAGTGCCTTGGTGGATGGCAGTGATGGGGATTCGGTCTCGGGGAAGAGTGAGGGTAGTGAAGGGAGTGAGGGGAGCGAGGGGTTGGTGGTGCAGCATCGGCTGTAGTTGGGATGGGATTCGAGTATCGAGTATTTCGGGTTTATATATGGCATTGGAGTGGAGGATTGTATTTCTTGTATGGGTTATCCGGATTGGATGTGGACTGTGCATCTACTAGCAGGCATTTAATTGAATTTGGTATGAACGAATACAGACTGATTATGTAAGATAATTCATGAGGACTGATTATCGAGCATTATAGTTTCATCGATTCACGCCCTGCATCTTGGATGTGTATAATCGTAATAATCGTAATGATGATTATACTCGAATATCAGCTCCCTGTTGGGGATTTTCCCGAGTCATCAACGGCCAGAAGACCGCGACAGGGCTAAATGAAGCCCCAAATACACCTTTCCAGTGTCATACTCTTATGTACAACCCATGAAACCGACCACCTGTAGTCCTCACGTCAAAGATAAAGCAGCAATGTAGATTTATTGCCTGCTTTTCGACTTCAAACGCAGATTCATATACCGGGTCCGCTTAGTGCCCTACTGCAGAGTTGCTCTAGTGTCGATCGATATATATGTGTCCCTAAGCAGACTAAAATTTCTAAAACGAAGGAGTATGATTATAGTTTGTTTTAATATTAGCAGTGTTTAGCTACTACTCTTCATAAGGCATTTGTCTGTAAAAAGTGCTTTAACGTCTAGAGTTAAACTCCTCTCTCTACACAATCCTCTATCCTTTCTTTCCAGGGGGTACTGGGGACATGTCAAGCACAGGTTGTATGTACAATGATCTATATAACCTCCATACCAGTCCAGAAGACCAACTTGAGCTACAGTTTAGGCCTAGCGCCGGCTTTAATGTGAGCCTGTACCTCCGCATGGACTCGATCCAGGAGAAAGGGGTCCTACAGCACAAGGTACAGGGTGCGAATGACAGTGGCCTCAGAGGACCGGCTAGTGGGTGCGTATATCTAAGCAGCGCGTGGAAAGTAAAAGGCAGGTCGGTCAACGGGGTATAGGCCATGCTTATGAAACGAAAGCAGAGATAACCAAAGAAAAGAGAGTGGCGAGTGCCGGTGCAGCAAAGCAAAGCAGCGGTGGGGGAAGGCTGCCAGGAGATAGAGGGGGGTGGAGTAGAGAGGGTGGACAGAGACAGACAGAGCCTACCCGGGGATCATTTAAGCATTGAAGCCTGTAGTCTCAACGAGCGCCCTGAACTGAAGCGAGCTGAGGCCCAATCAATACTATGGAAGTGCGGGAAAACATGTTGGAGAAACGGAATTAGGGTCAGGTAATGGAAAGAAAGCCTTTGCAAACGGTTAGCTTCTAGAGTGAAGGCCCGGTCCAGAGACTTACCGACGAGTCAAGCGTCTGCCAATCGCTAAACAGAAAACTGTCCAACATGCTCGGCATTAATCCGTCCTGCAAAATAGCTTCGGGGCCAGCGCTGAGCATATCCGAATCCTGCATAAACGAAATGCCGAAATCTGTGTTGGCGCTGGCTTCACCACCCTGGAGACAAGTACTCCCTTGGCATACATTCCGCGTTCGGCACCTTTGAGCTTCAGACCTCAGCTCGTCGAGTATAACGCTGTAGCGCTGATTTTGAGATAAACCAGTGGACGCTTGCCTGAGATGTCCACGACATTTCTCTGCGAGGTCAAAAATCTGGTCATAAACTTCGCAGGAGGATCGTGTGCCCGTGGTGCGTTGAATCTCCCAAACGTACACCACTGCCAATGCGCAGAAGATCACATAGTGGGTCCACCAAAAGGAATGAAACAACGTCGTATCTCCCGCCATTCTGTTAACGAGTTCTAAACTAGCCTTGGTAGCGGATATACATTCATTGACATTCTCAGAGGCCGCTTCGCTCATCAGGAAAGGTCGGTTCGCGTGAATCAGGGCATGGGAGTAGGCAAGTTGCAGCGCAACGGCTTGACGCCGGAAACTGGGCACCAGTGTCGAGGGTTTGACAGTACCCAGATGGGGTGGCAAACCGGCACGCCATTCGTGTAATTCGCATCCGAGCCGATTGGCAGCTGCTAGGCGATCTTGGTTGGATAGGTCGTTGACCGAGTACACTTCTCGTGATATCTTTCCGATAATACGCGCTATTCTACGGCTCAATTAGCATGTTAAAACTGTGAAATTGACTGGGAAGTATGTACTTTGCATGGAAAATGAGGCCATCGATGTGGCAATCGGCGTCATCAGAAGCCTTGGTTCCATCCGGGGTCATGTCCTCGTCATTGACTCCCTCCGGAAAGTCCTGATCGATGTCCTCGTCCTGGTATAGTCGAGGTCGTCCAAAAACAACACTTAAATACTTGTCGATGATGTATGCAGACCAGAATGTCCGTTTATAGCATTCTGAAGTGATATAGTTCTGTCGCCTGCTCGTGAAAGGGAAGTCACGCTTCTGATCCCGTCGCCTGTGCATGCCCAAGGAGAGGGTTATATGGAATACATTCCCGAATGTATACCAGCCTTTGTTCATGCGAGCTGTTTGGAGAAGATACAGAACCTGGATCAGGCGCGCCTGGGCCGACTCGAGGCGCGGAAATCCCACTTCCATGTCCACTAACTTCATTCCCGCACAGAACAGCCGATCGCTGTGTTGCATGATAAACGACTCGTCCTCCATATAGGCCTCCCTGCGTACCTTTTCGGAGCGCAGGGTTGCGATGGCCATGATCGTTAGGAGGATCGCTGTCCGAGAATTGCCTAGCAACTGACCAAGCGGCTTTCGTTCCTGCCGTTCCCTCAGGAACAACTCCATCCATCCCTCCACAGTCTGTCGATGGAATATGCGGTAGGTTACAACACATGATTCAAAATAGAACTCCTGCAACCCCCTTGCCTTCGGAGCATCCGGTATGAAGTTATCTGCTGCGTCATCGTCGACGCCAAACGGCCGATCTCCTGCCGACGTGAGAGGCTGGTTCCGCTCTGCATCGTTCGAGTCATAAGATGTCGAGTCATCCTTTTGCATCAGCAGCTTTTTCCATGCACGGTGTAAAAAGTTCAAGCCCGAAGTAGGGTCAACGTATTGGCCCTCGGCGTCTCGTTCCGGTGAGGCACGAGGATGAGGATTCTGCTGCCAAATACAGAGCTCATTTGTATGATCCCTTGTCACTTCTTGGTGGCGTTGATCGGTCGTAGCTGAAGGTGGTGGAGTCGGCGGCCGCCCTCGGCCATACTTGGCCTCATATGCGCAATTCACTTTTCTTCTAGCGCAATTACTGCATGGAAGAGTCCCATTGCATCGGATCTTCTTTCTCTTGCAAATGTCGCACGCTCGGCTGATCTTTGGGTCTTTTCGGCGATTCTCATCGTTTGGATCCTCGTTGGTGGCGGCTCGAGGGCGCTTGCCCGAGGAAGCCCTGGATAGCCCAGACGCCGGAGAATCAGTTGCCATGATTCTACATGACGGGACTTCAGAGGTGTACGGGGTAGAGTGCTTAGATTGATGATGAAGCAGGATGACCGCTGACTAGCTAAGGTCCCCTGTGGGTCACATGTGCACTAAAGTACATTGGGACTAGGCAGGGGCCAGCCCAGGGCCATTCTATTACTACACGTTGGTCTTGTGTTGGGTGAAGGAGGTATAAATTCTGCCAGTGTCAATATCGACCACAGCAGATAAATACAATAATGCCTTTGGATACTACTTATGCATACCAAATGTACGCAATTGCTCATGCCTCTGCTAATCTAATACCTATTTTCCACCCTATATCCCTGTCCCCTTTACTACCTCCGCCTACTCTCGCAACCTACGTGACTTATTCTACTTGCGCAATTAGAGTAGATAAAGTAGGCAGAAGGGAGAAGTAGTAGACGGTAGAAGATAAGGAGTAGATAGGCAAAGTAGAAAAAATATAACCCATATGTATGTAATACATATGGATAGTGATAGTGAGGTCAAATACAGGATAAGGTAAACTAGGTTAATAGGCCACATTCAGTGGCATCTGCGGTGAAGACCGTTGCGCCTCACGCTCTAAGCGAACCTCCACCGCCGCCCTACAACTCTTCAATCTGCATTCATCGACATGCATTGGCTTTTACACAGTCGAGCTCTTCAACAGCAAATAAGGTTATCAATTGCTTCTCTATGTACAATGATTTCAGGCAATTCATGAATCTTCAACCCAACTGGACGTTTTCACAGAACCACCTTACTAAGTGACGCGGCACTGATAGCGGCGTGGATCTCCTCCTCCGCACCGGACTCGAGAGGCAAAAGGGGCGGACGAACGGTGGCGTGGCTCAGAATTCCTCGAGCAACAAGGGCATGCTTAAGTGCCACTGTACCCTCCATGTGAGACCCCCGGTGATACACGCTCTTCGTGACAGGCAGCAGCTGATCATGGATAGCCCGCGCTTTTTTATAGTCTCGGGCCTTGCCAGCTTTGATGAGCTCGATTAGGGGCTCGGGCGCAATGTTGCCGTAACCGACCAAAAAGCCATCGACATCAAATGCGGTGTGTAGAAGATATTCGTCGTGGCAACTGAGGATCTGTAGGTCGGGCCGTTGGGCACGAATGACGGGGATTTCCGTATCCCACCGGCGCATGTTCCGCACGCCGTTCTTCATCGCGAAGCAGCCGGGCTGGGCGGCGATATCCAGCATAGTCTGCAGGTTGTATGTGGCTTTTGTATTATCCGGGTACTGGAAGAGAATCAACGGCAAACCGGAGACTTCGTAAACGCGGCGGTATCGATCTTGAGGAGCTCCGGGCTGGTATCCGAAGCGCAGCCAGCCGTGAGAAGGATAGAGCAGACCAGCGGACGCGCCAGCTTCTTTGGCACGCTTGGCCTCGAGAGCGGCAACTTCGGTGCCCTCGCCGGTAATCCCGGCTATAATGGGCACCTTGTTGTCGACTGACTTGACAAAAGCCTTAATGACAGACACTTGCTCGTCGATCGTGAGGAAGGTTCCCTCGCCGGCATGACCGAGAACCACGAGACCCTTCACACCGTCGATACTGCCGAGCCAGGATCCAAGGCGCTGAATGGCTTCGTAATCCACTGCTCCGTCTTTGGTAAAAGGGGTGACCGGAGCCGGGGTCAAACCGCGCATATCAAAACCGACCATTTTGACTTGTTGAAGTGAAGCTTGAGGAACTTGTTAATGAAGATTTTTTGCTGTGATGGTGACTTACATTTGGGCGGGAGGGTCTCTTTTTATGTCTTTTTACCAAAGGTGCAGTCAATCTGATCTATGAAGAGGCCTGGGGAATGTTGATCGGACTCCCGGATTCCTGAAAATGCGGACGATGCCCGTTTCGTTTATTTTCCGAGAGCCATATCGAAACACTCCGACTGGTTAATTCAATCCCTGGCTCTTACGCTACCCTATACAGGCTAATTACCTTACCCTAGATGACCCTTGGCTCCACTTTTTCTTCCTGGAACAAGGTCGGATTTCACGGAAAAGCGGCACGAGTCCGGGGCTGCCAAGACGTCGTCAACGCACTAATTTGCTTTGCATGCCAAGTGATCTTGCTATATCTACCCCATGGGGTTGCCAAGAGATGTCTATGAGGCCGGGAATCTACAAGGCCTCCCGTTACTCTGTCTTTGTTGTCTCCACGATTTTTTCATTCCAGAGCCCCTAGCTCCGTCAACATGTCCGACAAAGAAGCTGCGGTGATGCACCTGGAGAACCAGCCAGGCGTGGGGATATCTGCCGAAGATGCAGAGTTCCTGTCGAACTTCCCGGAAGAGGCGAAGAAGAAAGTAATTAGAAAGGTGAGAATGATTCTTACAATTCATGGGGTATGGAAGTTCACTGACAGACTATCTGTACGTACATAGGTCGACGTGCGTATACATCCCGAGCTCGATCCGTCAATGGGACGACTGAGTGGCATTCTAGATGAGACTTGTTCCCATGTTCATTCTGTTATATCTGGTGGCATACATCGATAAGACCAACATTGGTATGCCGAATTCGCAGCTCCATGCAATGCATTTTCTCACTTTCAGCAGGCAACGCCAAGATCGAGGGCCTTCTTCCGAGTCTGCACATGAGCGATATGCAGTATAACATCGCTTTGTCGATTTTCTTCATACCCTATGTGATTGCTGGTGGGTCGAGATTGTGTGGAGCCTCATCAGTATACTTACCGCACTGCAGAGGTACCGAGCAATATGTTGTTGAACCGACTCAAGAGACCGTCGCGATACCTGGGGTTTCTGATTTTCTGCTGGGGTGTGATCATGCTTTGCACCGGGTTTGTACAGAACTTTGCAGGTCTGGTGGTGATCCGCTTTCTATTGGGTCTCTTTGAGTAATTCTCCCCTGTATGACAATATGTCCCCAGACTGATAGGCGTCTAGAGCTGGCTTTTTACCAGGTGCTGTCCTGGTGATTTCGAAGTGGTATCTGCCAAATGAGACACAGACCCGGATCGCTATTCTCTATACATCTGCCGCTTCTGGCGGCGCTTTCTCTGGACTGTTAGCTTTTGCGATCGCCAAGATGGATGGTATAGCAGGCTACGATGGCTGGCGCTGGGTTTGTCTTACCTTTTTCTCAATCCAGTAGTTCCGACTACTGACATCCAGCTTAGATCTTTATCATCGAGGGCCTCGCTACAGTTTCAATGTCTGTCGCATGCTATTTACTCCTCTTAGACTCCCCATCTCTATCTTCCGGATGGCTCACCCCTGACGAGATCCGATATCTCGAGGTCCGCCAACTCGCCTCCAACAACCACAGCGGCCATAACCACTCGGGATTCGACAAGAAGCTCATCACCAGCGTTCTGGCAGACTGGAAAATTTACCTCCTCATCCTGGCCAACTGGTCCAACGCCGTCCCCAATTACGCTCTCAAGTTCAGCATGCCCGAAATCATCAAATCCATGGGCTACGAATCCGCCAACGCCCAGCTCCTGACCATCCCGCCTTACGCCGTCGGCGCCGCATCAGCCTTTGGCTTCTCCGTCTTCGCGGACCGTTATTCCTGGCGCATGCCTTTTATCCTGATCCCGCAGTGCGCACTGGTCGTCGCGTTCGGCATCTTATTCGCCAAGGCGGCCGACATCGACAATAACATCGCGCTCTGCTACTTCGGCATCTGTCTAGCCTGCTTCGGCATGTATCCTATCCTTCCCGGCGTCAACGCCTGGAATGTCTGCAACATCCCCAATCCGCACAAGCGCGCCGTGGCCATTGGGTACCTTATTTGTATGGGAAATGCCGGCGGCATAATTGGGAGTTACATTTACAGGGAGAAAGAAAAGCCGCGATATCCCACTGGGTATGGAACTTCGTTGGGATTCACGGTGGCTGGAATTCTGGCTGCCTGTGCGTTGGAATTCTGTCTTTGGAGTGCCAATAAGAGCAATGAGAGGTTGACGACGGAGGAGATCGAGGTAATGTATACGGAAGATCAACTTCGTGATATGGGCGAGAAGAGTCCTCTTTTCAAGTATACTCTATAGAGCTATTTACTATCCTTACATATGAATCAAATGACAGGAATGAATGTTTTGGGACGAGGAACAAGAAAGGGAAAAGGCATATGGGGTTCCTTTTTGGTCAACAGAGTGCATTCTAGATCAGATATCTTCCGGAGACTGGGTGGAAGTTGATTCGAACGTCCTTAATAGCCTCAGTTAGTTAGCGATAGAGTATATCTTCCCGTCTTACAAGCAGTGATGTACGTCCATATTATCATATTTAGCCTGTTTAGAATACTGCGATAGTGGGCATTTACTCCCATTCACCTATAAGGACTCTGTTCCTGAATGATATACCAAGGTCCGCATTTCAGGGAGTCCGCAAACCCCATAAACTGCCCCCAAGTCTCTTGAAATGTCAATATTACTACTGCAATGACATTATAGCAGAGCATTCTCAACAATCCCATGGACTCCACATAAACCTCATATGAACCATTCTAATTTGCTTTGATGTGTAACTAACTTCAATCTTCCTGTAAGGGAACTTCGATCCACTCGACATTTGGACTTCGCGGTCTTCATTCTTACTTTGCTCGAAGCTAAGCACCGCACTAAATAAGAACAGCCTTACTTAGCGTTGTTGTCGCCCGTGGGTCATAGGTGGCGTTCTACGGTTCGGCCTACTCCGTATATGATCGCCTGTCCATCCATGGCCTCCATGTCAATCTTTTAAGCTCTGTGGTGATTTTTCTCCTGACTATTTGCGCATAGCCAATTCTTCTTGCTCGTTTATTAGGAGTACCTGCGAGCGATACTTCAAACTAGCAATACCTTTATAGCATCGATGACTAAATGGGCATGCCCACCAATTCTTTCTAGAGAAAACCGTCCTCCTCCTTGCGCTGACTCTGAGGTTGGGGGCAAATTAGAAAGAATTGGGGAGTTGGGTTGAAAAGTACTCCGGTAAGAGAGGCCAAAGATTATGGATATCACTAAATAATCCGTCTAAAGTTTTATATGGTCCACTTTGCAAGTGGGTCGCTCTTCTCTAGCAAGAACTGGCCCCCAACAAGTGCAGGTCACGAAGTGTAGACAGCAGCAGATACAGGCAGCTGCTGGCAAAACGAGATGTCAGATGTAAAATGCAGGCATGGCAAACCACCGGCCTCAAAGATCCACCAGCAGAGTCAATTATCACGCATGAGTGAGGCACTTTCTTGATTCCACAGATTAGGCGGCATTAAACAGGGCACCAGTATCTTATGATCCCTGCTCTACTCATCCACTCACCGTAAGCTATCCCTTTCTTGCTTCCTACGGCTTTCCTACAGCAAAGGCTCTTGCACCACTGCCGGCCTTCTGTAGTAGTGCTCCTCGAGCTGGACTGTTAGTTCGAACTGCGGACAACCCTAGAGAAAGTAGCAAACGCTATCTGTCAGGGTGGCCACCGTTATTACGCCAATTTCGAGTGTCTCACTTCCCAGCTCTACTAGTGAAAGGGTCTACTGAATAACCTGTTAGTGGGTCTCTTTTCGAACTGGATCCGACCGACTCTAGTTATCAAATCTCAAGACGATGTCACGTCACCAACAATCTACTATGCACAGCCCGATTTGACAGTTTCTCTCTCTTGCTCTCTTGCTCTCCCCGCAATAATAATCTCCGAAGCACGCCTTGCTCATTTGTGTTGTTTTGCAGTTTGGTTCTCCTGTCTCTGCTAGCTCTATGCTGTTCATAAAGGTGTCGACGTTGACGTTAAGTTTATTCCCTGGATTTTCGTGGGCCCATTACTCTATCCAACCTTCGTCTACCGATGGCCTGCAGTTGATCGACGACCAGCGGCTGCCTGATCGGCGGTATGCCGCTGATTTCGACGATAGCGATGCCTTTACCCTCCCATCAGCCCTGGAGCTGGCCGAGGAGACGGACACAAACACTACGACTGGATTGGTTACAGAGGCCTTTGGGGGCGTTCCCCCTCGACTGTCCCAGTTTGCTTCGATCTTGACGGGTGCCTACACTGTCACGGCATCCGTCGCTGCCGCGATCTGGACCCGGTCTCATCAGAAAGACTGCAGCTACCACGCCGGCAATATCGACGGCTGGCGGTACGAGTACGACGAATCACGACTGTGAAGCCACAGCCCCGAAACAGATTGTTGAGGGTGCCATTCGCCATTACCTCAATACTGTCGAAGACAACAAGGCATGCGGTACCCAGTGCTTAACGCTAGACATCAATGCCGGCTACGTGAAATTGGGGAAAGAGGGGGTCTTTGACTCTTCGGCCTATTGTGGTCCGTCGCTGCATTGCGAGAGTTGTACGTCGGGGATGTGAACAGCTTTTGACTTTCACGACAGGAATGGGAGATAGGGGTTGGGATAGTACTACGCTCTTGATTTCGTTGTGTTTGAAGGGAAAGGGGATCTAGGTGCAACTGAGAAAATGTCATTCTGAGGATGAAGTTGGGACTTCTGAATAGGATGTTCGTATATTGTATTGTTTTTAAAATGAGTGTAAAACCTCCCTTTCCTTGTCTTTTTGTAAGGAAATTGGAAAGCTAGGATATTCTCAATCTCAGTATGAATGGATCAGCACCTTGGGTGGACTCCTGTGCTGGTAGGTTCACAGGCTTGTGGTTCTTGAAGGGTGACTTATTCGCTTTCGATCCCAGTGTCGATATAATTCTTCTTAATTCCATTTATTAATATAACCTGTTACAAAGCTTTGGTGCATGAACAACCATACGAGTGGTCCCATGACTACACCAAGCCCTAAGTCATCAACCCCTCGTTGACACCCTGGCTGGCTCTGATTCTCATCCACTTTTTCTTCCTGCTTGTCGGAGCATTAATGTCAGATAAATAGGACACTATTTGATGCAAAATTAACCTGGAAAGATAGGTCAGAGTTAACGGCAAGCCACATAATCATATGAAAGGCACTTGCTTCAAATTTAAAGACTAATTGAGTAACGAAAACACTGCCTTGATGTCCGTAGTCTTTGTCAAGTTTGATTAGTTTAAGCATTGCTGTCATTCCAAGCTGAAAACCTATGGCGTGAATGGTTACTTATGGGCACTGGGAAAGCATCAGCTGCTGGGTCGAGTTCATCTTGCGCAGGCGAAGATTCGTTTCTGTTTGGACTAGTCTCGATTTGGTCTCTTCTACGAAGAACTCAAGCAGAGAGGCAAAAACACCTGAGAAGAGGGACAAGGGATGAAATCTGTTGAGTGACAGGCGCAATACGGTTGCCTCATTCCACATGTGGGGACAAAAAATGTGGAGTAGTCTAGTTTTCTATTGTCATCAAGCCGATGCCAAATTCCAGGTGACAAATATTCACATCAAGCCGGTACGGGCATGTTCATGTGTCAAAGACATAGGGGCAGGAATAACTGCATTCAGAATATAGCAAGAGAACCACACTACCTACCCACAAATATAACGAAACATAGGCTCTTGGACACGAGCAAGATACATTTTCTCGTGTTCCTCAAAAAAATCAGAACCATCACTATCACACTCATGACGAGGAGCGTACACCCTTTGACCACGTACATTAACCATTTTTATTTCATGGGCTTCCTCGTCACATTGACATAGAAATCCATCTTCATCACAAACCAGGTGTGTTAGCCAAAACTCAGTCCTTCTTTGTGTCAGTTCCCTCTGTTTCCTCTTTAGTTCTGGCTTTCGCTTCTTTTGCCGCTTAAGCTCTTGCTCACGCATCTTATTCTGCTCATTCGATAGTCTTTTCTCTTCTATTTTGCATGGCCGTCTTAGGGCCTCGGCTGTTGGCCCTAAGTTTTCACGTGTGAGTTTGTACACCATGCGGTGTGTAATGTCTTTGAGAGTTTTTTGAATCATATCGCTGTCCTTATTTTCTGATGACGACGGCCCCGAGCACGCAAATGGACAAGCGATTGACAGCAGCTGGTTGTAATATGACCAAAAAAACCCCTTTTCGTCATTCCCGCTCTGCGGTATGTCGACATGTTGGCAGTACTCGAGGCGAAAAAGCTGAAGGGCCAGGGCTTCATGATCATAAAACATCGCGTTCTTGGGGGGGTAGCGTGGCAGATGCAGGCGTTTTTGAGCCTCTAGCCAGTTCCTTTTGCTTTGATCGAAGACAAGTCTGATACTCTTGACAGGCGGGCGATCTACTAGAAAGCTAATGAATCGGTTGAGCCTGTTCCAGAGTAACACCAGTTGACCGCGGTCTTGAGGATCTGGTGCACAGAGATGGATTCCTAAGTGGGTTTTCTGGAATGGGAAATGCTCAAACACCTGCTCAAAATTATCGCTGGCAGTTTGATAGAAGCCCCATCTAGCACGTATTTTGGGAACTTCAAGCTTGATCCAGAGCGAGGTCGGGTCCCGTGCTTTTATCCTTACTTTCACGTGGAAATCGCCATACAAGTGATATGATACCTCATCGTGGAGGCGTTGGCTGGTGCACATAATTGCCAGCCGTCTTCGTCTTAGTGTTATGTCATATGTTTTGCCCTCATTCATGAAGCAGTGTTTCTTCAATGGGACTAGCAGATCCCATATGCAGAGACGTATCTCTGGCGGGAGCTTGCCGAACACTCCAAGATCCGATGGCATAGTCATACTCGCGTGGATACCATTGCAGAACGAGGAGTTGTTTGAAGGAAGGAACGATTCGTCCGGGACCTGGTATAAGTCACTCGGAACTGGGAGATGTGACTCATCGAACGGAAATATGTCATTTCTGCGTAGGTAACCCAAAGTCAATCATGATGCGGAAGGCACCAACCTCAGGGAGTATCGGCAAGCCCTCCTCCGCCACCGAATCTACACTTCGGATGTCTGTGATAGCTATATGCCATGTTTTTGTTTCATTATCCTATCAAACACTATCAACAAGCGGACTCTGATACTCACAACACATGGGTGAAATCCATTGCCTGTCGGTAATGGAGAGAATGACGATGTGTGCCTTCCAAGTTGATTATCCGCCTGTAGTTTCCAAGTCTACCGTTCCTTCTTCAACATTGCACCTTCCTGCATGAGAGCCCTGTAGCCTGTAGCCTGTAGAAAGTTGTTTGTTCAACGGACTCAGCTTGTAGATGTATCATGCATCCATATGCTCACTTTTTACCACACACACATTCGCTATTTCCGCTATTTTCATAATGGCACATACCCATTCGTTGTAAGTTGGACATCTAGATCTGCAGGAATCTTCTTCTAACCTCGTTCTGCCGCTACCAGTTTTCACTCGGCGGCCGAATCGTCGAGCGAGTCCGGGGACGAGGGGGGCTCGGGATCCGGGAGTATAGAGGAAGATGGAAAAAACTTAGCAGTGAGTTCACCGGCATCCGACAAGCTGATCGAGGAAGAACGGCAGGCCTCGAACGATGCCAAAAATGAGGAGACCGATCGCTACCTGGAGAAATTGCAAGAGCCAGCTGTTCCGGAAGCCGTCGCATCTAATCCAGCGCCAACCTCATCGGAGGCAGCCGACAAAATCGCCGACGAACTAAAAGAATTCCGATTCCTAGCGCTCATGGGGGATTACGCGGGCCGATTCTGGAACATCCTGAAGAGCGCTGCCGCCGCCACCAACCGGGACGTGCCAGACAGCGTGGAGACTATGCGTGACTCTCTTCGCCTCGAGGATGTCATCGGCGCAGGTTATCATACTGAAACCCTTGGCATTTGTCTCAAACATCTAGAAGAAGAGGGAAAAACAGCAACTCCCGACATGGCACGTTTGGCAATTGAGATCTACACGGATAGGAACCTGAGTTGTCATTCGAAAATTGGGAAGCGCGGTGTCGCTCGCGACCTGCCCGCACTGGGTAGGGCTATCGCCAAGGACATTGTGACGCTCGACCGATTTTTACCGGATAACCAGCGACCGAACCGTCAGACATTGGAGGACTTGATGCGATTCTACAGCGTTAGTGCAGCCTGGTTTTACGCCACGGGCGGGGACCAGACGACGACAGCGCCCCCATCACCACCCACTCCCGAGGATCACAGCGATGCCTTCAAGTTTAGCGGTCTCAGAGATGTGTCGCCCGTCAAGTCAAGGTCAGTATCGCCGAGCGAGAGGACGGTTTCCGGGTCCTCTCAGCTTTCTTCGAATCGACCTTCGGCAAATCCTGATTCCGCGACGGTTGAAGAGGGGCCTCGTGCCGATTACGGCATTCTGGAGGTCATAGCAAAGCTTCAATCCACAGGGTCTGAGAAGGCAAGTATAGCGATTGAGGATTCGCGTAAGAGACTTCTGGCTACCCTGGATTCCCTTGAGCATGAGGAGGAGCCCCGGCGGAAGAGGGGGCGTTATAACTAACCTACTAACATTCGTTCAACTACTATTTACTAACTACTAACCGTTCATTGACCGTTCAACTCTTATCGTCTATATTTTAGCCCTGCACCTACTATCTGTCTTTCCTTTCCTGGTCCTTCGTGGCCGACCATTCTTTTGTTTCTCCTATCACTATTTGGTCGGTCCTTTCCCTACTATTCTTTTGCATTTCTTAATTCCCCGTATTATTATCCCCCCAGCGATAAGCTCGCACCTCATTGTGGTGCTGGGGTCTAGTAGCTCGCAAGAGTGAAGCCAAGACGAGCTTACTTCTGTTTACCAGTCACTTTACACCCTGTTGTATGCAGATGTTGTTGTTTCGCTGTGTGATGTGATTGCCACATGGACCGGGTTTGGTACTTGTACATAGATCCAACGAAGCGTTTTTTTTTTTTTTTCCATTGCCTTCCCAGAGGACCAAAGGGTGCTTGCTGATGCTCCACGACTTGATTTGGAGAAGCCATGCTAGTGCGCATGATCAGGGGGCTTGCTGTGGGCTTGGATTGGAGAAGGAGAATGGTGAAACATGTTTGACTGTTCATTGCAAGAAGGGAGTTCTTATTCTCATTAGTTCTACAGCACGAGCGGTGTCCAGGTGCAGGTCCTTGAAGTTGAATTGTTTCAACTGCAATAGAGTATCTCGTTTCTTTTCAGGCATGATATCGCAGTCCCGACTCATCTCACCTGAAATCTTCTGGTCAAGGTCAAGACCAATCTGTCATTGTATTCTCATCGTTAGCCTGAACACTTCAGTGACGACTAGTCGTTGCTTCCAGCTTGGCGATGAGACTGAGATCCCGCATGCTCCCATTTCTAGCATCCAGTCTCCTACCACGGACGGTCAATTCAGTGAACACGCCAGCGACTACGACTCACTGAGCATGTCGGGAACCAAAGCAATTGAACACGAGACAATACCGGTGTTCGTTAACCAAACCACACTTCCTCAAGGTATCTCAGGGGGGGATGAAGCAACCGAACCCCTACGTCGCCTTTGGCACACCAACTTGGCAGGTCGTCTTCGCCGTGTGTCAGTTCTAGTGATTAAGCTAGAACCATGTACCCTAGTGATATCCGTAGTGTTGGGATTGTAATTGATAGCCCTAAGAAGTAAGAAAATAGTGCAGGGCTGTGTTCTGGGCAGTGCTTAGCTCCCGCTTCCCCCAACCCCGAATATAAAACAACTTACCCGACCACCCCATGATCCCCACTCCTTAGGTACATATACATAGTCACAAACTCCATATCCAAAACCAACATCCAAAATGCCTAGCTTTAGAACAATTCGCGACTCTATCAACCAGGCGGCCCCCTTCCTTTTCATATCCTTGTTACTCGCCACCAACGGCCTCCACTACTATGTCATTCGCAATGGAGGCATGGGCCGCGACCACATCTTATTGCATAATTTCAGCCTAACTATAGCCCTTGCTGGCACTTATCTTAGGGATCTGTCTCCTAGGTACGTACCCCATTGATATATAAACTCCGCCCCGCATTATGAATATATCAAAGCAAATATCATACTGCATAACTAACCTTCTACAATACTAGAAACACCAAACTCGCAACATGCAGCGCCATCACAACAACGCTGGCATTTATCCTCATGCCTAAAGCCATATCCTTCTCAGCCGGAAGGTTCACAGTCTCGTCTACAGCCTCAAACTTCGATAACCACCATCACCACCATCCTCATTTAGATTCTTGCTCTCCCACCAGCGGCACCCACCGCAGCATCAAATGGGACTATTATCCGTCTCGGTGCGATGATGACGCTGATTTGGAAATCCCCGGGGCGGTTTATTCGTATCTGGATCGGTTGAGGCGGGGAGATGTTTGTGCTACGTGGTGTGTACGGTTAGGTGCCCATACTGAGGCTGATGGTGATGGTAAGGTTGATGGTGGGTCTGGGTGGCTGCGCATAGGGCATGCCAGTGCGTATGATCAGAGGGCTTATTGTGGACCTGGGTTGGAGGGGAGGAGTTGTGTTTCTTTTTCTGGGTGATAGGAGATGTTGAACTGAAGCGTGGGGTGTTTGTTTGGGTGTTCACTGTAGGTGAGGGCTCCGGTGATTGTAGAGCTCGATTTGGATAGACAAGAATCCACTACCTCATATAGCATAAAACAAAAATAATTCAATTTAGTCGTTGAAGACTTTAGCATAACTTATCCTAATTCAACGCTTGCAAAAATAAATAACCAATTCAATCAAACAAAGTCTACCGTCTTGCCATGTCACCTCCTTGTCTGTTTCAGCTGCTTTAGTTTCTTCGTCATAAACCGTCGTCCTTTCAACTCATCCGTCCGTCCTTTTCCTGCTGCTTCTGGTCTGGTTCTGGTCGCGTTCGGCTTCTCGCTCGTCCTTTACATCTCAAAGAGTAGTGTTGAAATCCTTGAGACGATAAATAGATACATCAAGAGATAGTTTGGTGCGTAGGGTAGTGTGTCAAGATCAAGTCGCGTGTGGGAAGTGAGGCGCTCAAGGTTATGAGTAGGTACTGTGAACAAGTAGGTAAGTAGCAGTAATAGTATGCATGCACGCTTGCTTGGTCTGTTGTCGCTTGCTCGCTCGCTTGCTGTTGAATTATCAGGGGATATTAATCACGCGGTCTATATACACGGTAGGGTGTGTGTTTTTTGTCTGTATGGGGGTGTAGAGTAGTGTAGGTAGGTAGGGTAGGGTAGAGTGTATGTATGGTATTATGTGTAGGGAGGATATGGGGGAGGAGGATTAGGCTTCTTGAGCCCAGCGTCGCTCGCGAAGAGGCATCTCCTCACCCGCCTGGGCGCGAGTCCCCTCCACTTCGCGACGCCAGGCATAGTATTCTCCTAGACGGAGTTCGGCGTACGAGGCGTAGTCGAAGTCGATTTGTGAGATTTGAGCCTGGATTAGAGCCCAGGTGCCCCTGTTCTCGAGTTAGTTGATGTGGAAGACAGGAGGATGGCGACACAAACCAGTAGAGACCGGGGATACCACGGTATCGATCAACGTCTCGGCATAGCTGATCGACAATGTCCGGTTGAGAGGATTCCGGCAGTCCTCGATGGTGGCTGTAGCTTTTCACGTATTCGGTCAGGAATTGGCGGCGCACCGAGCGCGTCGGCACCATGTTATAGTCGCAATCGTAACCGGCCCATTCGGCGAAGTGGTTGGCAATGTCGAAGCTCGCCGGCGATGGCGTCGCATACTCGTAATCGATAAAGTGTACTGTTGTCGCCTCGTCCGATGATGACTCCTCTTTCGACGGTGCGGCGATGACGTTGGCGCAGAGAAGATCGCAGTGAGCAAATACCAGCTAATCCGGAATTGTCAGTCCAGTCCTCGGAATACGATGAAAACCTCTACGTACCCCGTTTTCACCAAGACCCTTGCCGTCGTCGAACTCCTTGACGACCCGTTGAAGCTCCTTCTGTAAGTCGAGCCTCCGCTGCCGCTGCTCATCCGTCGTGGTGGGAAGAGCCCGGATCCATTTCTGAAGAACCGTCCACGTGTTGGGGGCTGGCTGTCTCGGAGTGACTGGGACCAGGTCGTCCTTCTCCGACTGCTGCTCCACATCTACATGGTGCATGATGGGCTTTTCGTCCTCCGCAGACCCGTTCGAAGTGACAGCAGCAGCTTCAGAAATGGGGAGCACAGCATGCCATTGTGCCAACCTCCGAGCAACGCCTCGCCAAATCGAAGGCTTCACCAGGTCCTCGTGAGTCGCGGGACGACCCCGAATGAACCGATACAGCAGACCGTTCTGGAAGCGAGCGAGCAGACGAGGGGCGAGGCCGTAGCTAGCGAGGAGCGCGTGGGACTTCGTTTCTCCTATAGAACACAACAAAGAACTACTCAGCAAAGTTGTCGCAATGGGCAAAGGAGAGAGGGAGAGAGATCCCGGCGGTAGTAGGCATACTTTCACGGTCTATGATAATCTCTGTGTGGTTACCATACGCTCTCATCAGTACTGCTTCGTGGTCTATTTGTTCCTCGGTCAAGCCAGGCTTGCGATTGATGATTTTAAGAAGCTGTCGTTGTTAGTCGGCGGGTTAGCGCACTGGATTGTCTCTCCTTTGTCTCCAGGAATGCGACTAGACGCACTGTGTTGGTGATACCGTCCGTGAATCGCACGAACTCGATCTGATTCTCCGGGCCTCCCCAGTGCGGGTTCAGCGTGAGGATGAGCCTCAAGGCGGAGGCTTGCGAATCGGCATGGTTGTAGGATTGCGCAATGTAGCGCAACGAGTCGGGCGATCCGTTTATCGAACCCATAGCGACGGTGTAATCGAACGAGGGAGTCGTCAGGAGGGGAGACGGCAAGAAAGAAGGGAGGAAACCAAGGGAAATAAATTTCCGCAACAGCTAGCGCGGCCAAACCATCAGTTAATGCCGCCGAGAATGAAAGGGGGAAGGGAAGTGGGTAAACATTTCTCGTACCTTGAGAGGACAGGCTCTAGACTTCTGAGACCCAGATTTGTAGACTTTTCGCAAACAGACAATCGAGACAAATTGGCCGGCAATGAATTCTCTGCAAAGGTCACCGCATGGAAGCAGGAAGTGAGGGAGAAAAAGAGAAAGATGGAGGAGAAGAAGGCGAGGGCGAGCGATGGTCGAGACGGTCTCGTGCGCTGCAGGGCCCTGATTGGCCGAAAGCTAAAATAATCGCCCCGCTGACGCCTTCCCCTCCTTGGCTGTGAAAAGGCCTGAGGCACCGCCGTTGCCACCTCGGAATCCAGGTCAGGCACTTATCGGTTCCCTATCTCTGTCCGTAGGGCAGGCTCACGTGGATACCAGTTACGCCAGTCAGAACTCAATTGTGCCTGCATTAGGATATAATATGAGATGATATTGACCGAGTATATTAGAGACTATCTATGAGAACATAACTATGTGTAGCATCTACCACGGGACTTTGCATGGGTGGCCTCCTACGCAATAATGCGCATACATCCACCATCGGGATCGACAGAACAGCGGCAAAGCGAAAAACGACCGGATGCCGCTAACCCGATGTAGCCACCCCTCTCAACCATTCACATGTGATTCTCAACCATGTGACCTGTTGCCTATTTGTCTTGGCACAGCCACCTGAGTCTGACAGCCCTAGCCCTAAGAACAACCGTCCTCGGCAACTCACTAGTCCCGAACCCCACTAGCCGGCCCACCCCTTCTCCCCTACATAAGCCTTCCACCGCCGCCCTCTCTTTTCCTTCTCTTTTTTCTCTTTTCTTTCTCCATCATCAGTAGCGGTTTACTCTACCATAAGTAAATCTTACCGGAGCTCCGTCAAAGTACGGCTCGCTGAGGGTTATCTTGTTTGGGATTTTTCTCTATGGGTTTCCTTCCGTTCCCAGCTTCGCAGAGCGACCTTGCGTCTTCCTTTTTCCCTTACAAACTATGGCTATGCTAGGGTTTCATCTCGCAAGAGAAGATCCCCATGCGCGTTAGCTGTGGAGGAGGCGTGACATTCCCTTTTTTTATGTTGGCAATTTTCTTGTCGCTGCATTTATGTGTGCGGTGGTTTTGATTATTGTTGGCATTCTTTGCTCAAATTTTCTCGATATTATTTATCATTTAGTGGTGCTGTCTGTAGATCTCGATTTTCTGGTCTGGTCTGTCTGGTATATATCACACTTTTCGCATGCAGAATGAATCGTCAAACAATGTCAATATCATATATTTCTCGTCTCTATTCGTATTCCAATCGTACTTTCTCATTGCCTTCGACCTACTCCCTCCGTAGAACCAATCAAGCCCGTCCAGCATTACCAATCTGAATCCTCTCCCCAGACCACTTATCGTCGCTGCGCAGCACCGGCCAGCTAGTCCCGTCCGCCTTGACCAGGGTCAGCTCAAGCTTAGTGCCCAGCACGCGGAACTGCGACTTTTCGGCGTCGATCGGCGCGAACAGCGAGTAGGTATCGGTGTAGCGTTTGTTGTCGGTCGTCGGCAGGTCGAAGGTGATGGTGTTCGTGGAGAACTCGACCTTGGCCCGGGTCTTGTCGATTTTCTTGAGGTAGAGCGAGACGTTGACGGAGGAGGCGGTTTGGTAGAAATCGTTCCTGCGCAAGTTAGCTGGTGTTCGCCATGCCGTTGTACTGTTCGCCATAGATCTCTCATCCCGCGATCAGACGAGACAGATATGCTATCTCCAGATCGAGAGATGGAACAGAGAAAAGACTTCAAACTCACCTCACAGTATCCACCTTCTCCTCACCCGCCGGCTTGCCCCTCCCCACGAACAAATGCCTCCGTCGCTCCTTACACCCTTGAATCTTCAAAAACTCATCAAACTCCAACACCCGCTTCTTACAGCACGACCAGCCCTTGCTCCCCTCGTGAAACACCGGCTGTCCGGGATGATGAACGCAGTTCTCAGCGTCGCGCGACGCCCCAGGGCCCTCGTAGGTGACATTGCAGCCTCTCCGCCGACAGGTCGCGTTGGCCGGGATCTCGAGGCTATCGTCGTCCGAGAACTCGGTCTCGTCTTGGGCGGGCGCGGGGGAGGGCGGATTCGAGGGCGGGGCAAGCGCGGGCGAATGGATGGGCTTGACGCCGCGTTCGGGCACCGGCGCGGTCACGGGCGTCGAGGCGGCTTCTTCGGGGGCAGGCGTCTTCGAGGGCTCCGGGGCTGGGGTGTCGTCGACGGTGGAGTGTTTGGCTGTCGTGCAGGGCGGGATGGAGAGGAATTCTTCGAAGGTGAGGACGCGGGGTTTGCAGCATTTCCAGCCTGGCGGTTGTTAGTTGGGAGTCTGTCAGGAGGGACGGTTGGTCGGGGATGTAGGATTTGGAGTAGATGGCTCCCAAGGTGAGTAACTTGTACACCAAGGTCCTTGGAACTTACCCTTCTGTCCCTCGTGGAACACCGGGGGCCCGGGATGATAAACGCAGGGCTCCTCGGGGTCGGTGAACTCCTTCCCGCAACCTTTGTGCACACACTTGGACGTCATCGTGGGAAGTTGGGATCAGACGGTCGGCAGAGTGTCAGGAACAAGACCCAGGGGTGTCCAAAAAGAAAGTCAATATGAATCAATAGCGACAGAAGGCGGGGGAAGCTGATCGGCGAGAATAGAAAAGTCAAGGCAAGACGCAGAAATACTTCCGTCGAGGTCCCCCCCGATTAGGCTTAGTCCGGGGGAGCTCGAAGGTTCCATAATTCTACGGTGTTTGTCCACTGTCCACCGTCCACCATCAATTATCAACAGTCGACAGTACAGTGGCTCATCGTTCCCACTGGTCTGTTCTTTCCATATTACCATATAATATAACCCTAACAAGCTTGACTTCAATTGCTCAATATGTTTCCCACTCTCCGTCTCGCCCAGGCCGCTCGCGTCACGCTCTTCACTCGCGCCGGCTGCGGCCTCTGCGACACCGCCAAACACACTGTGACGCAGCTGCACAAGCGTCGCCCCTTCGACTATACCGAGACGGATATTCAGCTGCCGGAAAACAAACAGTGGAAGGATGTCTACGACTACGACGTGCCGGTGCTGCACGTGCAGTCCGTCAAGGGACCGCAGACCACCGACCTGTCCGATCCGAAGAAGCTGTTCCACCGGTGGACGGAGCAGGAGGTGGAGAATCTAGTGAACGAAGCTGAGAAGAGCTCTCAGTAATATAGGCTCAGACCGGGAGATCGGGACAGAAATGGAATGGACAATTAATTGGACACGCTAGAAATATGTACAGTACATGTGGGAAATCATGAGACGGCATCTAGTACGTGGGAACCGCGGCATCCGTCTTGGTGCCCTTGGCGGTCTCCAGTGCACTGAGCAGGAAGGTCGGGAGGGCGACGGCATCGGCATTCGAACAGACAAACATACCATGTGGAAGCCCTGGTCGGCATACTTCTTCGCGACCTCTCCGCCAACGCAGTAAATACACGCTCGCTTGCCATTGTCGACGGCCGCCTTACGAATGCGCTCGATAGCGGCGCTCAGGTCGTCGTGGAACGCGCCGATGACCGGACGGCCGATGTTGTTGCCTAAATCCCAGAGTCCGATAAAGAAGACATCAATACCGGGAACCTTCGCGATCTCCTCAACCTGTTCTCTCATTAGCAGAGTACCAACGAGTTATCTCGACTCAACAACCCACATTCTCAAGCGCCTCCTTGGTCTCGATCTGAACGATGGTGAGCAGGGCATCGTTCGCATGCTGCAGGTACTCGACCCCGGTGACTCCGCCGGTCGAACCAATGCGAACGGGCTGCCGAAACCTCTCCGACCAACGGGTGGGAACTTGGCCGACTCGACCAGTCTGCGGGCATCGTCCGCGGTGTTAAGTAGGGGGATGACGATGCCGTGAGCGCCGGAATCCAGAGCCCCTAGATACCGTTAGCCATACGTAGCCAGACAGTGACAATAGAAAGTCCATACCCTTCACCATCCACTCTCATTAGCCGCAATTCGCACGATCGGACTCGTTCCCGTGACCGCAATGGCGGCGACTGCCTCGTACATTTGCCAATCTACCCTCCGTTAGACCCAATCCAATCCTGATCTCGTCCAGCACTGAGTAGATATACCAGCGATATTCCCATGCTCCGTATCCACGCAAATCCAGTCGTATCCCCTCCGAGCCATGACTCAACCATGGTTAGCACCGGGCAGCATCTGCCAGGCACACAAGGTCAGGCCACGCTCGGTGCGGAGGGCGTTCTGGAGACGAATAGAGGCTTGCATGGCTCGCATGGTGAATGGTCTGTAGCGGTATAGCTATGTGAGGGACGCGTAAAACAGAAGAAAGAGGATCAGAAGAAGGTGGAGTCGGAGAAGAGAGCGGAAAAACAGACGGAAAAGAAAGGAGCGAGAGAGATGAAGCTCGTTGCAATGACAGCCCGAAGTGGATCGCGGGGTGAGCTGAAGCGTGGAGGAGAGAGATCGATTCGAATCCAAGTAGCCGGTGTTATGGACTTGGACTCATGGCATGCGACATGCGCAATGCCAAAAAACAGCAAAGAGAGAAAGAGAGAAACTAGACAGAAATCTCTACAGGGTATCATATTATTCACATTATTCCAACTCCCCAGCTAAATCATTAGGCAAACTGCTCAACCAACCAAAAAGTTTCAGTCGACTAGAGTCATCTTGCATACTCTCGCCTTGACTGTTGGGGGAGCATATATTCATGCGCTCAAGGATACGACGAGAGTTATCCTCGTCGAAAACGGCCGCCTCGTCCGACCCCTCGATTATTCCCGATACGCTTTCGAGGGTACGTCGACACCGCTGCGCTATGTCATAGATGCGGTCGCTGGACTGCATACTTTGGTATCCTTCGAGAAGCGTAAGGACACGACTCAGCGATAATTCCATCTCTTCCGGGTCGGGCTGATCGGGCGAAACATTGGTGACGAAAGGACAAGATTGGGCGGCGAGAAAAATGGTACCGCAAACGTATAGATAGTCTAGGTTCTCCCAGCAGGGAGGCATTGATTCTTGCTCGTGCTCACAGAGATTCAGAAGCTCCAGCGCCGCTGCAATGCACTTGAAAGAGGAATCTCGGACCACGGTGAGCGCGATTGGACATTCGGGAGAGGATTCCTTCAACACGAAATGAGGGTCGCTGCCGACTTGGCAGCTGCACTTCTCACAGGCTGCCTGTCCTAATATTAAAAGGGGCCGGTAGAGTCGTAGGCGGACATATAGATAGCGCGCGCGGAGGACATTGCGCTGGCGATGGATTATAGGATGGGTAGGTCGCCCAGGCTTCTGCAGTAATGGAGAAAGGGATGTCTGCCATTGGTACAACGTACCATCCAAATGAACAAACGAGCTGAAGTTTAAGCAGAGTAGCTTTTTCGCAGCACAGCTTCCCTGCCGCATTTGTGTTTCCTCCTCCCACGTCAAGATACCTTCCACATGTTCGTAGAGTCGAACACAGGCCGCCAAGAAATCAATGATGGATGCACGCTCCTCGTCGGGTGAGGGAATTTCCTTCGAAATTACATCGGCGTAGTCGGTGTCCTTGTGAGTAGGCAGCGGCACACCAGGCGATTGAGAAGTTTGTGGAGATAGTCGCAATTGGAACGCAATCATGCGCTCCAGAAGCATGGCGCTATGCCAGATCCTTCGGACCAGCTCTTGGTCTCGTCTCGGGCGGGCGTGTCGATCGCGCGTCCGATCTTCCAAGCCTTGGACCTGTGCAACTCGAATCGCAAAACTAATAGAGATCAAAGCCGCCCTTGGGCTTCCACTCGCATAGAGATACTGGCTCTGTAGGATACACGATTGGGCTCGCTCCGACGGCGTGCTGCGAGAGTCCAAATCTTGAGAGACCGACTGCCCGTAATTAAACAAGGACGCAATATCCGTCTCCCCGACGTCGTGCCAGCTCAGTCCGGAGAGACTAAAGATTGTAACCAGGAGGCCGTGGAACGGAGTAGACCCCGCGGCTATATTCCGTCCTATTCGGATCGCATTGTACGACGAGCGGAATTGCTCCAGATCGAAAATCGGCAGATTCACATACTCATTAGTCAGATAGGCGGCCACCAGACGGTCCGCGAGATCGGGGGATATTTGTTCGGAAGACTGGCGGAACTTTGGATCGTGGACGAGAGAGAGAAGGCGATTAGAGCGGTCCAAGCCGCGTCGTGCCAACGGAGAGCCTTCTCCGATTCCATCTTGTATCAGCTGTCTTATCTGCTCATGAATCTCCCCCTTCTGTCCCGCTGGCTGGAAAGATCGGGACTCTCGATTGCGAGTTGCAGAGGTGCGGGTTGCAGAGGGAGAATTTCGAGGCAGAACAGCCGTATAAAAGCTTTCATCTGAGGGTGATGAAGACAAATCGATGACGATGGGACCGTGTTGCCCATCATGTTCCGAGACTGCTTTGGCCGACCGCGAGTCATCATCGTCATCCGAATCAGCGCTACTAGAGCTACTAGAGAAGTCCTCGGTTGTATACGATCCCACATCAGATGGCGATTTGATCACAACCATAGGAGAAGGCCGCGAATGATGCGTCTTCACGCGCTTGGGATTCCTGATGAGGTTAGCGCACGGAGCGCACTCGAGTGATACAAGAGACGCACCGGGTCTGCGACGGAGTCTGCTCCTCTGTCCGGTAGGAACAGGAGTCAGACCAACCTGTGCTGATGCATCGCTGACATGCTACAGGAGCGGTTAACCATCGGGCCTTATGCGGGACCTGTGGGGTGTCAGTACCTGGTTTGACGCGATCACACCCTCTCTTCTGGATGCGGCAGCGATCGCAAGCCGGGTCGAAAGGCTTCATTTTAGAGAGCCGATATCAGTCACAGAGCCCGCCACGTGAGCCGGGATCATCATTTGCAGGCCGAAGCGCGAAGGGCGACGGGCTAATGGGGGAGCGAGGATGGGCGGACGGAGAAGCTGGCGAGGCGCGAGGGATGACGCTTTGTTGACATGTGGCCCGTGCGCGCCTTGGTGTTTGCACTTTGCAGTCGGAAACAAATGATTTTGGCTCCACGACCTGCTCTTTTAGGGTCATCTTTCATGATATGTCAATTGTCAGTACAGATCATGAGCTAAACTTCTGTGTACAAACTTGAGTATGTCAAGAATTAAGATGAAACTTATGTCTTACTCCGCTCTCAACTACCGGCAGTACAGGTACATGGGATCTTGGTTTGTATACTTCCTCATGTATACAAGGAAGAATGGAAAAGACAAGAGAGGAACAGATGAAAGATAAGCTTACCACCTTACTTTTGAGAGTATTTGATACTAGTATGAAATTGTCTCCATCAAGGTTAGTGTAATACCCAAATACTACATCTATGCGCACCTATGGCCTACTTCTTACTTCTATCTTACCTCACTATGCGCATAAGTGTCTAATATAGAGAATAGCATGTATACACTTCTTTCAGTGTCGTAGAATGATATTCAAACAAACTTGACATCTAAAATTGTAGCGATCAGATTCTGTCTTGCAACAAACATTACATTCACCTCGACCCTCATCCCTCATCCTCACTCTCATCCACTCAACTCCAGTCTCTTACAGAAGGACACTCACTCAATATCCCTCAACTTTTCAATCAAGCTATCCATCTATCCATCGCAAACGCAAACATACCCAAAAAAAAAAAAGCCATCCGTCATGTCTGACCCAAAGACCAAACCCAACAAAACCACGATCGGTACGCTAACCCCCTCCAACTCCCTCTATACACCTGTATACTAACCCACCTCCTCGGTACCAAAACCACAGACCCAATCACCACTACCACAAACAACTCATCCCTCGACTCTCACTCCCACTCCCACTCAGAATGGATACAATCCGCCCTATCCATCATCCAAGCCGGCAGAAAAGCTGAACTGGAGCACCGCCAGATGGTGGCAGAGTTGGAAGCAATGGCCAAGATGCTGGCAAAGATGGAAGCAATGGCCGAAGCAATGACCAAGGAGTGGGCCATGTATGCGCCGTTCTCGAAGACCATCAGGGAGGTGTTGGAGTTAGTACAGAGTAACGAGATCGATGCGGCAGGACAGGCTTTTGTCGATCGGGTGCTCTGGGATGTTATTGATGAGTTGACGGGATCATCTTCATGATCTTGGGGTTATTCGGAGAGGAGCGTAGGGAAGGGAGGGAGCTGGTTTGGTTTGAAATTGTTTATATTTCCCAAGGGCATGTTTCCTTTGCGATGATCATTTCATGGATATCTGCTACTTTCTTTTCGTGGAGATTCATGGGTTGGGAGAGTTGAATATTGGCATTTAGTTCCATACTTCGGACCCCTGGAGATGGAGCACTGATTCCTCAGGAGACAACTCGCTTGGCAAACATGTCTTCCATACAATTAAACCAATCCATATGTATCTACCGTAAATCACTCAGAGGATCTTCTAAATCATTAATTAATGCACCCAAAACGACCGACGAACGCCTCCGTGGCACCAAGAACCCGCGCCAGCCAATCCGACGCCGCCGAGAAGCCTGGGCATTTGAGCTTGTTAGACGATGATGTATAGGGCAGTATACACTTGATCTGTGGGGAATGTATGAGACATAGTCAGTCGAAGGAGTATTATTCAAACAAGAAGTGAAAATTGAAGGTAAAGGAAAGGTGGAGAGCAATTTAATCGTAATTTAGTAGCTTAGTTACCTCCGTTCGCTCTTAGTCGCTGTTCTTCGGATGCTTCGGCTCTCCACTCGGAATCTTCTTCCTGTCTTCCATTCTTCGCCCTCTCCGATATAACATAACCTACCTAATGAAATAACTCCCCCTTTCCAACCAGACATGGTAGTGACACATGGCTCCATGACTTTAACGACCTGACGATCTAACGGACACTTACCTACTCTCACCACCGCGAAACAAACCTCATCCTCACCCTTGTCCTCAACCCCCGCCCGAATAAAGATCACCAAGAAACAAGGGATCACAACGATGCGCCGCCGAACCCAAAAAACAGTCACCCACTTCCTCATCCTCCTCCTCATCCTCGGCCTAATCTGCTTCCTCAACCGTCCTCAATCCCCCCATAAGCTCTTCGCCTGGGATCGCATCCGGTACCGCACGCGCGCAACGACCCTCCCGGCCCCGAACGGTGTCTGTCCGGGGCTCGACGAATCGGGGCGTCCGGCGCTGGTGGTGTCGCATGTCGACAGCGACGGGGAGACGGGGTGGTTGGATGCGTTGAGGGAGAAGTTTCAGGTTTGTGTGTATCATATCGAGACCGAGACCTCGACCGAGACCTCGAACACCGTCGAGAAAGAAAACACCGATATCCACCCCCGCGCCCCCTCGCAAAACAAAGCCTCCACCTCAACCCTTCAAGTCCCAACAAACCGCGCCCACGAAGCAATCACCTACCTAACCTTCCTCATCGACAACTACGCGTCCATCCCATCGTCAGGGGCGGTGTTCATCCACGGCTCGCGCTTCGCATGGCACAACGACGACCCGAATTACGATAACCTGTCCCTGCTAAAGAGCCTGAATGTGCCCTTCGCCCTGCACGCCTCCGGATACCATAATCTGCGCTGCGATTGGAGCCTGAGTACCTGTTCCCCAGCCGCGGGGCCGCAGGGGAGTCTAGAGAATAGTGTCCAGGCGGTGTTGCAGCCGTGGAGTGCCAGGACGGTGTCGGATCGGGGGCTGCCGGGGGCGTTGGAGGAGATTTTTGGCTCGTCGGGGGATCTTGGGATGGGGAGTCGACTGAGTCGCACGGATACAGTGCGGGCGCAATGCTGTGCGCAGTTCGCGGTTAGTAGGGAGGGTGTGTGGCAGCATTCACGCGAGGAGTATGTGGCGCTAAGGCAGTGGTTGTTGGACGGGATGGATGGGAGGAGAGGCGCGGCACCAAAGGACGATCGCGTGGCGGGCAGGATCATCTCATATATCTGGCATATTTTGTTCATGAAGCAGGATGGAGCGGGGGTGGATCTGGGGGAGCTGAATCGCAAGGCGTGTCCGTCGGCCGAGGAGTGCTATTGTCGGTTGTATGGCCGGTGTGGGCTGCGGTGCTCGGCACCGGGGAGTTGTTTGGGGCAGTATGCGTTGCCGAAACATCTGCGTTTGCCTGAGGATTGGGCGGAGACGCATGCGTCGTGAAGTGAAGTCTGAGTATGAACTCCGTGTATATAGACATGCCATAGTATATATGAATAACAAACATTATATAGTATTGTAATAAGTAACTGTGCAGCCAACTGCCAGTATCCCAGACCAACCGTCCCTATGTCCTCCCAAACCGGCGATCGTAAAACATAACATGGCCTATCAAAGGCCGCATAACAGGTACGTACACGAAAAAAGAATATGTGGCAGTTCATAACCAGCCCGTCGACGACGGGAATCCTGTCTCACTGAACAGTAGAACCATATAAACCAGATAAAGATCACAAGAATCGAACGCCATCGCCAGGACCACTGAAATAGGAAGTCGTAGAAGGTTAGAATGTCCGATAAAGGTACAGTCCATACTCGCATAAAAGGCCGAGATCAAGCCTCGAGGATACGGTTAGAACCACATGACGCCAGCAACCAGGGCGATCACAATCGCCATACAGCTCCCGCGCATATGCTCCGAGTCTTGTCCGAACCCGGTGTTTTTGGACTGGCCGGCAGTAGTCACCGTGGGATTAGGCGGTTGTGTCGATAACACTCGCGACGGAATTCTCGGTGCGCCGGGGTCCACGCTGCTGCCGTTCGCAGATCCTGTTTCGGAAACAAATTCTTCGGACGGTGCGCTGGGTGGTGTCAACTGCGATTCAGAGGGTTTGTCGGCGGGCGGAACAGGTGATTGCACTGCTTTTCCCCTCAATTGATACTTGGTGAACTTTTCTAGATAGTCGTTCCCAACGCGGCAGGCCTGCTGCCAGGATTCTCGGAAACGCACTTGCCAACCAGGTTGAGGCGCCGAAATCGTATCGTCGCTCAGTATAGGGAAGGTATTTTCGTGATCAAGTGGTACAGGAGATATTGAGGAATTGGAGAACGCGGGGGTAGGGCGCGTAGGTATTGTTTCGCAGGTGTTGTCCGTGGGATCTTGCGGAGGAGCCGGGCGGCTATCCAATTGTTTGACAAGCGCTTTGAATGCTCGAACCCCTCGAGTCAAAGTCGATGGTCCGTCGACGTACGGAGTCGGATCGTCGAAAATAGTAGAGTCTTTGAAGGAACTTCGATGAGGCGTATCAAGAACGGCATGTCGCGGGGGAGGCGGTTGACAGGATCCATCATCGATCATCCACGATTGGCATCGACCGCGAGATGTGCGCAACCTCGACCAGATATCGATTGAATCATCCTTAACTCGTGGGGCTTCTATAACACACGTCATTCAGTTAGCCAACATTCCGACCGCAGTCGGACCGGAGATAAAACGTACGTCGAGCTTCGTGCCGCTGATAACCGATGTATCCCACCTGCAGGTTATACAAATCCCACTCTTTCGCCAAAGACGGAACCAAACTCAATAGCGAAAACACCAAAAGAGCAAGAAACGGGATTGCGCCAGGTTTAGGAATCCCCGACCGCATCATCCACATTCAAAGACCTTTGCCCAAGGCCAATGTCCAAGAGATCCGAGGTGATAAGTAGCTTCCGAGGACGCAACAGGCAGACAAAATTCATAGCTTCATTGCCAGAAGAGGGGCAAGGCAGCAAAGAAAAAAAAAAGTGTAGATAAGAGTCGATCAAAACAAAAGGTGGGATGGGACAATCTGCATGTATTGCGTACGTGCGCTGCAACAAGCCTCGTGCGGTTGGTTGGTTTCTGGGGCAAGGCAGCCTCCGGTGGTCGGGGGGTAGATGATTTTTTTTTCTTTTTTTTCTTCCCTTGTCTTATCGCTTTTCGCAGGCGGTCGGGATGGTCGGGAGAAGAGAAAGTGTCCGGAGTAGTAGGAACGGCCTGGAAAACTGGAAGGCTGAAGAGATGATCCCCAGCAACGAGAAGTGGAGAGAACCGATCCAGAAATAAACCTGATTTTACCTCTACCGATGAGGATATCTCAACAGTCGGACGTTGCGAGGATGGATCAGCGGCAATGACGTATAACACCAGTCGTAGCAGTGGTACTGTGGTAGCTCACAGTAACCAGTCGCAAGCGGATGTTGCCAAGTCAAGAGAGGATGGGCGACAGCCAAGCAGAAGACGGGAAAAGGTGAAATATCAATGGAAGTCAGATGAGCGGGCAGAGGGTCTCCCTGAACGTGCATGCATGCATGGTTGATTAATCCGAACTAAATCGTTAGTTGCTCATTAGCGGTTGGCCTAGTGATTTTAGCCGGATTGCGTTCACAAGAGATCGTGGAAGAGTGGAAATTGAAACCATTTCCGGTGAGGGTTTCGCGGTCGACCGCCTTTGGTAGATTGATACCTTAGGCTGCCGTGGTTGCATTCTGCCGGCCAAGATGCCCTATCTTCGAGAATCATGAATCATGGTACGATACCTTATCATCGGTCTGGCATGATGTGACATGATACGATATCGAGTAGCCTGACCGACAGATCTAAATTAAGGCCAGAGTTTTTCATCCATACAGATCTCATCATTCATTAACATGTATATACACTCGTCCGCATCCATAACCTCGTATCTCAAGGTTCGGTGTTTATAGGTCATATGGGATTCATCATGGTCGGATTGGGCATGGCAGGGGGCAATTGACCACTCTTCTTCTGTCGCTCGGTCTTTTTGGAATCCGCCTTCTTGATGGGTGGCGTTCGACTGTCGCCGCTCCTCGAACTTTCCGCCCGGAGCGTCCCCGACGGCGTAGTGCTGCTGCCGGCGCTGCTGGTTTTGCCGCCCCGTTTGACCATCTTGCCCAGAATTCCTACGATCTCCGCGGCATCCTCGAAACTTTCATCGTCCATTCCCTCCTGTGCATTATATACATCGGCAATGGCCTGTTTGGCGAGTCGTCGGCACGCATTCGAATCATGAAGGCAGTCGTACAAATAGGCGGCGTATTCGAGTTTGATGGATAGACGCAGCGGGTGGGATCCGGGAAGAAACCGTTCGGCCAGAACGGAAGCTTGGTTAAAACATGCAGTCGCAGTGGGAGTGTAATCGAGAACGGGCAGCAGGAATGAGGATGTTGACGGGGGAGGTAGGACAGGTGCGAGCCCAGGGGGTACCTGCGTCAATTTTCCCCGAGGCGCATTCCCCGCCGCAGAAGTCGGGGTGTTGGGGACGGTTAAGTTTTCTGGTTTCGATTTAAACGAAAACCTCGAGCTGAGCTCCTTCGTCGGTGATGCTGCATCAGCAGTTCCATTAGGCGCGGTGACGTCGCTCCGGCTGCTAGCGATCCCCGGAGAATGAACGGCCGGTTGGTTGTGAAATAAGACGAATACGTGGTAGAACGAGGCCCTGAGTTTGTAGGCCAGAATCTTCAATTCCATGTATTTATCGATGAGGGGGAAGACGAATCCCTCAAGCATTAGTAGGCCCTCGCGGGAGAGCCATATGATGTGATGGTACAGCTGAAGTGACTTGGTTTCACGGGTGGGATCTAGTCGTCGTAGCCGTCGTGCACGAAGAAGCTTTTTCGAGAGCATCACTGAAAGCCCCAGCATTTTGTACAGTACGGCGGAAAGGAATGGGCTTTCGAGGCTGGTCATGGCCGCGAAGTTGCCCAAGGCCTTCTGGTCAACTTCGGAGGAAGCCATCCACAAAGTGAGCGATTCGGGGTCTATGATAGGGCAATTGCCATTGAAATCAGCCTTCTCCATGGCGAATTAGGGCGTCGAGGTGAGGGATCGTCAAAAGCAGGGGAAATAAAATAAGATAACATGAACAGTTCCAGTGTAACCAGTACACCGGAAAAGATGCAAGTGATCGACTCCTCCGAAGCTGGGCAACATGTCTTTTAACAGACCGAAGAACTGCGCTTCGACCCATCTCAGACACAGCTAATTGAGACTCAATGTGAGACAGAGAAATCCGTTAGCTTACCTCGGAAACGCGCGCAAACGAATAACAAGGCAAGATGCAGCTGATTTTAAACGCCGCAGGGCCCCATGCTCGATGCGAGAGCGCCTAATCGCAGGTTCGTCCTTTATTTTTAGTTGACTTTCGGGGTCGACAGTAAGACTGAGCAGGCGGGAATCCGATCGAGCGTTTGTTCGTCGTGTCTATTCTCTTTTTTTCCGTGTCTGTAGTGTCAAAAAAGTCGCTTTCAAACCAAACCGGAGAATTTAACAGGCAAACGCGAGCGGTTGAAAATCAGAAAGCCACCAATTCCAATCGAGAGATCGGATATGTTACATATGTCAGGTTCTGTCTTTTCCCTTAAGTCAGATTTCAAAAGTACAGTGCACAGTCAGGAAGCTTCACACAAGATAAAATAAAAATGAAATAAGCCAATAAATCACTAATAATCAACGCAGAGCAGCACAGCAATTTTGGAGCAATTGGTGCGGTACGGAAATGCAGAATATCAAAACAAGCGACTGATGGGGCAGAAACGACTAGCAATGCAAGGCACACAAAAAGGAGCAGTCAATTGCGGAAAGGGGGACGGTGAGGTGCTCGTGATTTTGAAGCAGACAGTGTTGATGCATTGTGCGTGCAACTTCAGTCGCAAGGTGTTAGTCTGGCCCTCTTTGCCTGCAAGTGCTAGTAGTGACTTAGGAATTGAATAGGATCAAGGGGAGGTAGGAAACCCGAAGGTCAGTATTTCCACCGCGGGAAAACGAGGTCTCATCCAAGGAACAATTTCAGCCACAATGGACAGAAGCGAACGGTCGTTCCTGCTGTGTGATGAAAGGGTAAGGATAATAACAGTAATAGTAGCAGAGCAGCAGAGTAATGTAGTAGTGAGAAACGAATGATGCAAGGAAAATTGATCTGTTCGAATGGAATTGCCCCTGGCACAGTAAAAGTGGATGATCACTGCGGCCGTCTGTCGCCCTAATTAAAGTGATCTGAGGACCAGCATCTCCTCATTATTACATCTGGGTTTAGGTCTCTGTTTGAAATATTAGTTCATGCCCGTCAGACTTTTTCATTGCTTTTTTTAATCTTGTTTCTGACGGAAGGGATCGGGCAGGAACAGCGGTGGTAGGACCCCAGGATTTTGAACCCCATCATCATCATAAATAGCAAGATTAGGGAGCAAGACACAATGAAAAAATTAATAAAAATGACAAGCAAAAGGAAAAGACAGTGGCAATGAGGCGGGGGGACAGCGCATCGATTAGCTCGGTACGTGTCAGAGCCCGAATGCTGAAATTCCCTGCCTTGCAGTTTTGGATCCAGGCGAATGATAAGAAAGGAATAGCACGGTGGACCAAGGTGCACCAGCCTCTCCCATTTGGCGGGAATCCATGGCAATTGGGGCTTAAGACAGGCGGAATATCCGTGCCTGACCCAGGCCGGAGTCGAGACGGTCTCATTGACTAAACCCCAAATGTTTGGAGCCCAGCGTCCGCGCGCTTCTTAGCATGGGGGGGTGGATGGCGGCAGGAATCGACTCGGGACGGAGGCGACGCTGACAGCTGGCAGACGCCAGCGTGGCATCTGAGAACTGGTCCAAATGAGTGAAAGGTTGAAGTTTCCCAACGAATCATACAACGGAGCCATCAACCTGAAGATATGTCGATGATATCAGCGGCCTCGTATCATGAATTCCTAATGCAATCATGAATTGCAGGCTTCTCGATCCCCGGAGTTGCGAGAAGGAGGGACGGTCTAGAATTGATGGATGTCATCGGAATGGGGAGGCAGTTTGACACCGCTCTGCTGACCGCCAAGTCGGGTCTTCCAGGTTGTCTTGCGGAGTCGGAGTAATTCTGCCCAACACCTTCCTTCTATACAACAATAATCCGTCCTCTCTGGCAGTGGGGAAGTGACTCTCAGCCTTGCTAACTTCAATTCAAGGTTCATCTGGCTCCAAATCCAGGCAGTCGGCCGTCTTGTCTTGCGGGCAAGCGACAAGACGCCGCCACTGACTGTCTATCTACCCGTAGTATAACCGGCTCCCGACATATACGCTTCAGTCTTCTAACTTTAGCAACTCGCACGTATTAAGAGGTTCTCCTATAGCTGAAACAGATATCTCTGAAACACCCTTCCAGCTGTACTACCCATATTCCTTGGTGTTATCGTACTGTCTTGTGTCCAATTCTCACCGCCAGAATGATGTCGACTGCGTTCGGAAGACGCCACTTTCGAATTCTCTCCCTTGCGGGGCCTTTGCTATCGGGAGGGGTAGTGGCTTAGCTTTTCTGCTGTAGGGATTCCCTCCTGTATTGTCTAGGTATTAGAGAAGAAATCAGGGCAGGCCGAGAAAAAAAAATCTGAAAGGCGTATATACGATGGTATCTACGAATATTCTTTTCATCTGAGGTCACAAAGTTCAGAAAAGATGAATTAATAGACATGAAGTGTATATACATCCAAAATGTTGCGACTGTAGCATATTACATTAGTAGTCATCTGATAGTTGGATTCACCTCCTGTGGCGAAGGAAACGGTTCAAAAAATAATGAACGGGTCATGTCTCAAGGTCGTCAAGTTCGTCATCGTCCAGATATCCGACAAACGCTCGCTGCAGAAACGCCCGCCATACTCGGTTCTTCTTGGACTTTTTCTTTTTCTTCTTCTTCCCCTCCGCATCGATCTCGTTACTGCTGCTTTTGTCCGAGTAGTTCTCCGCAATGCGCGTGGCTAATTTGAAGAAGCTGCGGACGGTGAGGTCTTTCATTTTGTAGGTACGGTCGTCCTTGGTGTCATATTCAACTTCGAAAGAGAAAACGTCGTCAAAGTTGCCTTTTCCGATCCCCATCAGGCTTGAATTGTCAGACTGCTCAGTAGCCTTCGACACTTGTTCATTGACCCTTGTTAGATTGGCAAAGTATTGGGTGTAACTCAGCCATGTAAGGGGTTGGTTAGAATAAGCTGGACCCGGGGGAGCCGATTTCGACGGGGGCTCTGGAACTTTGAAATTAGGAGGTTTCTTCTTTCCTCCCTTCTTCTTCTTCTTCTTTTTCTTGTCGGCGGAGACAGTATCGTCATCATCATCCAAAGGCGAATCAACTTCGACAGGCTCCTCGTGCGTTTCGCTCCAAACAGCCGCGTCCTCCAACCCTGTGATGTTGTATTCCACAACCCGCAGGGTTGGGAAATAGTTCGGTACCAGACTGGGCGATACTAGCGACACGCTATACCTCTCCGCAAAAGGACCGCCGATCTTCTTGAGAAAGCGCTTTTTCTTCGATTTTTGCACATGGCGGTCATCGCCGGCCGGCACGAAAGAGTCATCATCGTCCCATTCCTCTAGAACATCTGCCTTGTTCGACTTGTGCTTAGGCGGAGATGGCATCTTAGACCAGTCTTTTCTCAGACTGGAGAGATAACTTGAACGAGAGGAGACCGAAAACTTATCCGAGTGATCATCGGGTGCAGTCGAAGATGCCGGGTCGTCGTTAGTGTCAACGATTTTCACTTTATGGCTGTCTTGTAGCATGAAGTGGTCAATGTTCATATGACCATAGGCACTGCCGACTATAACATCTCGAAATTGGTGTACCCAAAGAGCATATTTCTGCCAGCACGTCTCATCCCAGCTCCGTTTTGTCCCCGACCTCGCTGGAGGGACATGTCCGATCAGGATTGCTTTCATGTTGCGAGATCGCAGGATCTTCAGCTGTACGCGGAGCCATTCCATATGCTCGAATCCCGGCTCCGACTTGGATTTGCATCCATCGACCGCAGAGTTCGACTCGTAAAAGTACATCGTATTCAAGCTGATCACCGCAAGTTTGCCGGGAATCACTTCCGATGTGAACCAGCCGCCTTCGACAAATGAATGCCGTTGATGTTCGGGAATAAATTTGAACCACACGTCAGACAACCTTTTGGTCCACCGATTCGGGCCATCCTTCATGATGTTGTGGGGCATGATGTCGTTGTTGCCGATGGTGGGGACGACCGGAATCGAAAGACCACGGCGAGAATCTTTCTTCTGGAACACCTCGTAGAACTTATGCGCAGTCAGGTCGTTCAGCTGAATAACTTCATCCTCCGTCCGAGGGATAGATTCGTCGTTGTCATGGCGGGCGGAGTCTCCAGTCCAAATGACGAAATCAACCTGATCCTTCAAATTCTGGTGTATCCATCGGAAAGTTTCGTTGATTAGCGTGAAAGGAGAGTCGCATTCCGTTCCCTGAGCTCCGAAGTATCCCGCCGAGCCTTCCCCGCGGTGGCATGCATCATCCTGGTCGGTACCGGATTTGTAGTGTAGATCTGGATGTAAATCTGACGGATAGTCAGCGACAGCACTTTTCAATCGTCAGGTCGCATTTGAAAAACTTTCGTACCAGTTATATGCAGAAAGCGCCCTGCAAGCCCACGGGAGGGCCGTCCGCTGATAGTGTCCGCATCGATGGAAAAGTCGCTGCCCAAAGGCTGCTGGTCTGACACGGGGATGGCGGAGGCGCAGACGGCGAGAAGAACGGCGGAGGGAAGGAAAGAAGATGGAATCATTGGTGCTCTCCTTTTCGCAGAGAAGCGCCAACAGAGCCAATAACCGGGTCTGTCTTTCAATCGGTGAACACACGCGTCGCAAGGAGAGATAGTGGTGAGGTACTGCGGATGCCGGATAATTCTGTGTTGGCGACGTCACATCCGCCCAAGCCCTCAATTGGGTTTAGCGGGCCGAGTACCTTGACGGACGGCACATGACCTGACTGGACCACTGCGCCATCTTTCTCTCGTGGGCGTGGAAGGGTACATTCGTCCGATCACTCGAAAGCTCTGGCAGGCCCGGAAATCTAGATAAACGCATAGACAAAAAGATAATTCGGTAGGTTCCAGCAATCTATTTCACGTCCTCGTTTGATTGTAAAGCTAGATTGGGTTTATAGAGTTCTATGGCCATTAATGTGATTCTAAGGTACTTGTTCGTAGCTCAATGGTATTGGCGGTCAGCGATGGCATAAAGAAGCCCTCAAGTCCTCCTAAAATGGGATAGCCTTCACCTGACTTGCCTGTACTTCGTATGCTCTTGTGGACTTCGCTGGAGGATTCCAACGGGTACTAAAACCATGCTATCCTTCCGCAAATATTGCTGGGCTTACCTGGGCTAAGCAACCAGCTAGCGTTCATAATGGGTTCGGTTATTTTTCACGACCCTATAGCCAGTAAGTGGCATGCCCCTTGCGAATATGTTTCATTCTGACGCTTCTTGATTCTTACTGCAATCCTACGGAGGACGCTGTACTCCGGCATCGTGGGCTTGTGGGCTTGAGCTTGTGAGCCTGCGACATGATGAGACTCTACCGATCGTCCGATCTACTCTGTACCGGCTCGGTCGGAAGGATCCACACCATCCTTAGCCTCAATTAACTTTTTCGACTAATCGCGATGCGAGAACGGCTTCCATTATTTATAACTACGGTGTATTTCCCTGGAGAAGATCACGGAACCTGGCAAAGGACTTTGTTGATCGGATTTGCCCATGTTGAATCATAACGTGGGCATAAAGTGCACACACCAGGCGTGATAGAGAAATCAAAGTCCTGCAAACTGCACGCTTTACTCCTACTCCGTAGGGTTCGCCAACCCGAGAAAAGGGCAGCAAGGCAGCAGCGATAAATAAGAGCAGCAAAGCTTTCTCAGCCTCGCAAATGGAGCCAACGAATGAAGAACCTTCGTCCAATCATTGGACATCGGAGTACATGGATTTGCTCGCCGTGGTCCCCACTATACTAGGCTTCTGCTCTCCGGGCACTCTAGACCCGACAAAGCCTTCTTTAATTGATCTCCTTAAATGGAATGAGTTATTTTCCAACGCCTCAGTGGCCATATTCTTAGCATCCATTGCGACATCCCCTTTGGTTTGCATTCTTAGACCGGACTGGGTCGATCTATGTATTCCTGGGCATCTCAATAATAAGCAACAGTTGGGTCCGGAAAGGAATACGCAGGCCCAGAGAGGTCAACTAATCCATGAAATAATTCTAGACAACTGAAGGCTTCATCATTCTCACTGTCGAGTGCGGCTGGAGCAGCACACGAGAAAAAGAGAAATAATGATCGATCAGTTGAAAGAATCACCTAACACGAGCAAGGCTGATCTGACGATTACCTAGAACAGCCGTGAGATACTCCGTACAACCAACAGGAAAGTATTGGGAATTCAATTTAATACCCGTATAACAATTCTGGTAAGCTCTTGAATACGCCCTTGCGGAATGGCTATTTACTCTTCCTTTTTCGAGAAGGTTTCAAGGGGAAATTTGTTGCTCAGCAACGAAGAAGTTCAGGACCGTAAGCTGCCTTCAATTTCCCAAGATCTGACTGACCCATGCAGTCCTAGGCATTGAACATACTGCGTCTTCTATCTTAATCAGTCAACAACCATCTATCATTCGACGTGATAATCTAATTGTGTGGCTTCTACGCGGCCTTCAGTTAAGCTCCTGTATTGTCTCGCAGCGAGCCAATCAGCCGGCGCACTAGCAACGCTAGTTTGCGTGGTGATGGGGCCAAACCAGACTTATCACCAATCTAAGTCCAATAGCCTCATGCATGCGTAAGTCGTACACCATCGGAAGAAAAAACCTGCCACGAGAAGGATCTCTTGGTCCCATTCTTTATCGCGGATGGATCGGTTCATTTCCTTTAGGCAGCCAAGCCTGTCAGTCTATGAAGGTTATTCTTAATTAGTACGGTTTATTTTGTATCTGCCCGTTCCGTCTCGGTGTCCATTTGGAACTCTCTCTCTTCCTTCGTTTCTAATCAACACAGTTTTCTTAAGATGGGTTGATCTGGATTTGTTTTCCACACACAATGAGCACTTTCTGGCCCTTAACGGTCCCTCGAGCCCTTCGGGCTATCGTGGTGGCAGCGGTGGCCATGATGGTAGTCTCACTACTACTCTTGCATTCCCCGAAAACGCAGACAATAGCTCGTCTAGAGAGCATGGAGCTCGAAAAACCACCATACAATGGAACGACGGATCACGGCGATACGCTTGACTACAGTGAGGATTCAACTACCGACTCTCTCCCGGACCGTGTGGAACAGACAATCATCCAGATGCCTGTGATTGATTCTGACCTGGTAACGGATGTGTCGCAGTACTTTATCGACTACCCCATTGAGGAGCCATATGAAAACAAATTTGGCGAGCTCGGACGACGCTGTCGGGTCTTGCGTGACTGGTTGGCTTACGCTGAGAAGACTGATCCTACAACCAGGGACCTCCTCCTCGCTGCTGTCAACCGAGTAGCCTTGTCCTCGTTTCCATTCCTTCAAAAACCTCCGGGGCAACCGCCGTCAGAGCAGCCTTTTACGGATCTTCGCGCCTCCTTCGAGGCTGGCTCTGCAGGTATCGTCATTCCGACCAGCGACAAGACGCTCCGCTTCGCCGCCCATCTCATCGGCTCTCTACGTTCCGTCCTAGGCTCCGCTCTGCCCATTCAAGTCGTCTATGCAGGCGATCGCGATCTTAAGTCACAAAGCCGAGATTATCTATCCAGCTTGGCCGAACAGGGTCCCCCAATCGAGTTTTTGGATATCTTCACTATCTTCGATGACACCACGTTGAAGCTCCAGTCCGGCGGGTGGGCAATCAAGGCGTTCGCCGCTCTAGCCTCGCGGTTCGAGCGAGTAATCCTCGCCGATGCCGACGCTGTTTTCTTCCAGCCCCCAGAAGTGCTCTTCGAACATGATGCATTCCTTCGCTCGGGGTCTCTCCTCTTCCACGACCGGCTGCTATGGAAACACCAATTTGCAAGTCGCCACGCGTGGTGGAAAGATCAGATCCGGCGTCCGAGTCCAGCAATGAACTCCTCCCGTGTGTGGACCGAAGACTACGCTGAAGAGGGTGACTCGGGACTGGTTGTCATGGACAAGAGCCGAATCGATGTTCTAGTCGGTTTGCTCCATGTGTGTTGGCAGAACACCCACGCGGTGCGCGAGGAGGTGACATATCAAATCACCTACGGGGACAAGGAGAGCTGGTGGATGGGCATGGAGCTCGCGGGGGCTGGTTATGAGTTCTCGCAGCATTATGGAGGGATTGTTGGATGGGTCGATGTGGATGGATACCTGCCAAGGGTCTGCAGCTTCGTCATCGCCCATGTCGATGCGAAGGATCAACTACTGTGGTGGAATGGAAGTCTCTTGAAGAACAAAGGAATACAGGCAATGGAGAAAGTGTACGACATCCCGACGAACTGGATGATCGATGCCGAATGGCGGAAGGGTGATACGAAACAGGACATGAGCTGTATGGTTGGCGGCGAGGTCCGGAACCTCACCAGCAACCAGATCCATACGTTGGAGAGATCGATTGAACTGGCGCAGCGTGTCGATGCCGTCATTCTAGCTCCGGAGTGAGCCGGATTTGGTACAGCAGGACTCATGGAGGCATCGCCTTCGTTATACTTTCATCCTGGTATGACAACCCCAGGTGTTGGCGTCGAATAACTCGGTTCGAGACATCTACATTGTTGAAGATCAGCAACATGCGTGCAGCAGTGTTCATGTACTCACTTGGTGCCACCGCCCTGAGATGACCAGACGTGCTCGCGACACGCTTATCACTCGCTCAATGGTTACCTCTATATACCCCTGATCGATACCACGAGCGCATCAACTTTTTGTTTAAGAGCACTAGATTCATCGGTATCTATATTCTTGACTAACTCGCGGCTCATTCTTTAGTAAAAACTTATTTTATCTCATTTCGCTAGATATAGACTCGAATCTTACGATATTCGTTATTTAATACTTGACTGGCCTTTCCCATACACAGGAAAATTCAACAAGACATACATACGTATTGGGTTCAAACGCCGAAATGCCTATCACGGCAAGTTGAATGCTGGCATCTCCATGGTCACCCGCCACGTGATTGGGGTTGCCTGGTAACTTCCTCCTCTTTGCAACCATCCGTCGCCAGAACCTTTCTCGCACCGTCATCGACGTAATGCGGCTTAATCGCCAAAACTTTCTTTTGAATGTTTGGCAGGCTATGAGAGCCCTTTCATCATCAGCTGGTCCATAATACTATTTGAGTGCCGCAAAATGCTCTTTTCGGTGATCACGTTGAGGAAGTTGCAAGGTCAGCTGCATCCGCAAAACCTTCGAAGCTTCAAGTTTGCAAGCACATTAAGGTTGTGAGCTTCTTGTAACTTCAGCAGCCGGTTTAATCAAACTCAAACCAAATGACACTCCGGAAAAGCCTTCAACGACAGGCCCGCTCGTTGAACCAAAGGTTTCAAAGCAGGACAACGCCACTATGGAAACTACAAGCCTGGCCTATCGCACGGCAGGTTACTAGATTGGAACCTGAGGTTCGCCAACGGCATTTGCTCTATACCAGTGGATGATGCCCGGGAACGTTGTTATAAACAATGAATTCCGCGAATCAGTCGGTCTATAACCCTTTTCAGAGTCAGGCTCCTTTATTTTTAGAATATCGACAGGCTATATCTACCTCACTTATTCCTACCATGAATTGGCAGGTTAACTAACAAGAAAAATATCCTCCAATGCAGAAATATGACTTCCACTTTGCAAGAGCAAGAAGAATCCACGCCAACACCTTCATCCCTCCCTCTTTTATCTACTCCTTTATTTCAACATCATTATGAAGAAGACTCACGGATCGAACACCTGGAACGCTCCTACCTTCGAGCCCAAGCCGTTGGCAGGCATTATAGTTAGTTCACCGCTCAGCACATACGAACAATTTTGACACTCCTTAGAATTGACACCTCACGATGTCGTCGCCCTGTCGCCGAAATTTTGGCGCGCTCACAAGGACTACATGGCTATAAGAGATACTGTTGCTCAGATCATTCTTATGATTCAGATTAATCTCATAGCTGGGACTGTTGCGCGTTATGCCATGGATCGACCGGATCTACGCCCTCTACTGGACGACATCCTTAACTTCAATGTCATGTGTGTAACACTGTATCTTATCTGCTTGTTATCTGCTAACTATCCCAGTGGTTCCTTTATGCTCACTGAGGTGGAGCATGGTTGTGATGCAAGAAATCTCGAGACCACAGCGACTTTACAGTCAGATGGAAGCTTTGACTTGCACACGCCTCGCCCTGGTGCATCCAAGTAAGACATCAATCTGTTGTTTGAAGTCACGTCTAATCTTGGGGTAAGGTACATGCCGCCATCCAGACCGATTGCAACAATTCCACGCATTGGCATCATCCTTGCCCGCCTCATAGTCAACAACGACGACATGGGCATACGAGCCTTCTTAGTCCCCTTAGCTGGAAAAGGGCACATGAAGCCAGGCGTGCAGTCTCAGTAGGTACCCGTCAATTAGCGTTCAATCAATAAGTCTTACAATCCTAGACTTCTCCAGCCTGCCTCCGGCGGACGAATGTTCGATTACAGCATCACTAGCTTCAATCACGTCCGACTCCCAGACTCAGCCATGCTCGGCGACTTCACTAAACCAGACAACATGCGCACAAGCTTTCTCTCCACAATTCAGCGTATTGGTACGGGCACTCTAGCTCTCAGTATCTGGATTGCTACATTTCTTAAAGGTGCTGTGTACATCGCGGGCAAATTCAGCCTTTCCCGTACAGTCCAACAGGGCTTGAATGGCGAACGTACGGCGATTATGAACTTTCGGACTCAACATCGCCCGATCTTGCACGCTCTTGCCCATATCGCGGTATTGGAGCCCTTGGCAGACCGTATTGAAAGCAACTTCGTGGACGAGACGCTTCATCCAAGCGCAAGGCACGGGCTCGGTGTTATTCTCAAGTCAATCTCTGTTCAGCTCGGACAGAGGAGCTTGGCGAATATGAGCGAACGATGTGGCGCTCGAGGGGCATTTATCCATAATCAAATCATGGAGATGGAGGTATGTTCTGCTACACTCGGTCATCGTTTAAAAGATATATGTTAGGCACCAGGCTCATTGATTGAATGCAGGCACTGACGCGATTCAGCGGCATCGCTGAAGGGGAAATACTTGTCCTCACAATCCGTATGTCTCGCCTCGAAAGATAGCCTGTCCCATCTAATAAGATTAACAGGACTAGCCACAGAGCTCCTCATAGGCCGATACTCCTTGCCCGAGGCCAGATACCCCGACTGCCTGCTGGCGCGTCACGAGGCGGGCCTCATTTACGAGGCGAGAGAGATGATCCGATACATTTCTCACCCATTACTAGCGACATCCAACGCCCAAGATCAAGGTCTCGATCACCAAGGACAGGATAGCAACCGTTCCCACCGCAGTGAATCATACAACAAGCACATCCTTCCCCTCTGCCGCCCACTGATCCTCGCCATCGCCCATCGCATGGCTTACGAAGCCGCCCTCGACGCATCCATCGACCCCAACCTCCTCGCTCTTTTCGAGGCCGAGATGATACAGACAGATCCCGGTTGGTACATCGAGCGACTAGGACTTAGCCGATCAGCGCAGGCAGAAATGGAAGACCACGCAATGGATGCCCTCTTCCCCAGACTCAAGGAGCTACTAGACCACCACGAGGCGGTTGAGCCCTATCTCACAGCACCGATGTTATCCTCGTCACGATGGAATGAGTTCCAGAAGTCGTTGCCTACATTTGACGGCAGAGAAGCAGCAAGGCTATAATTTTTCTGCTGCCTTCCCGTTTCTATCTACGGAGTATGACAATTTCTTTGTTGAGTTAACAAAAAGTCGGATCATTAAGTGAATAGGTAATAAATTGATTCTGTTCTGATCATCAATGAGATCACCTGGGGCCAAAACACCCGACAAGGGCACGGTCTACATACTCCGACCAACAACCCTAACTTACTCATCAAGGCAACACCATTCGAATCTCCCAACTAGGAAACCCCAAATTCCCAAACACGGAATAAGCCGCTGATCTGCAGTCCGCTTCTCCGTATCCATCTCCCCTCGCCATGTCATACCCCCGACCCTGTTCATGATCTACGATAAGCAGTGTAGTTCGATTAGGTCTGTACGGACAGAATCTTTGCTGCCTGGGTAAAGTGAAACAAGAAATCTTGTCGCCTTGGCCCCGACAACTCAGACTATGGTATCTGTCCAATTGTAACAGTACAATGAACCAACAGTAGTGAGCTTGATGTGTTCTACGCCATGACGGGACGGGACATCGCCCCAGTGGTGGATGAGGATCTGAGACCCTGAGTGGCGATCCTTGGTTACACTGCCTAGGGCCTTAGTTGGACTAGCTGCTCTGAATGGAGTAGTTAGTAGATACTGGACACTATAGATGGAATTGATATAGTTAGTCAATCATTATATATAAACCCCTCCCCTCCGTCCGTCTCGCTGAGTTCAATTCATCATCAAGAAACACAAGAACGCAATCAATCAATCAATCAATCAATCAACCACTCAGCCAACCGAAACCATCTTCCAAACTACCTAAAAAGCAAAACAAACCAAAATGCCCTTCCTCACCAAAACCCTCCTCACCCTCCTCGCCACCGCCATGGCCGCCTCCGCCACCGACCAAGGCTACGACGGCACCATCACGACCGAAGGCATCGGCAACTGTCCTCTCACACAGCACGCCGAGAACCACATCGAATTCTCCTGGGAGCCCACGAACGGCAGCGTCTGCGTGGACCTGGGCCGTCCGTACGCCGACGCCTACCACGCGGGATTGACCGCGCAGGCGCAGACCCCTGAGAGCGTCGACCCGCCGCAGTTTGGCGGCTGCAGGGACAGCGACTGTACGGATTGTACGTTCGTGGATATCAAGTATGGGGGTGACCCTGGGAGCATCAAGGTGGATTGTTTGGAGTTGAAGGATGCGCCGTATTTGTTTGTGGGGGTGGCGAAGGATCAGAAGAAGAAGGATCTGTAAGGGGGTAAGAAGGCTTGCTCTTGACGCTGGATTGGGGATGTTAGGGATACGGGGTATGGTATGGAGGGGACTGGGGGATTTGGAGTTGAGAGATGGATAGCAGATCGGATGCATGGTGTCAATGTCAATCGTTTGCAATTCTAGGGCTATTTTCTGGTGTCTCATATGCACTTAGGTGAATAGTCTGATGGTAGCTTCATGTCACCGAACTAAAGTATACTAGCCACGCTCATTTCTTGGTATATGTTCCTGTCTGTAGATAATTTTAGCCCTAGACAAGATAGAATTGAAAAGGCGCTAGATTATATACAAACTGCCTTACGGCCTGCTCAATATCCTCCATCCAAGCATAGCCATTGCTTGTCCGCATATTATTGCCTCGCTGTGCGCCTCTTCCGACCCTGCTGCTTTGGCGAATGCGGCATGATGAGGCGGGGCCCCGTCAGGTGTGGAGATGCCAAAGACACCGTGGAAACTGGGGACGACGTAGGAGACATTTCCTGCAGACATTAGTATACATTATACTTGAGGAGAAAACGAGGCGAGCTCACCCATGTCAGTCGAGACAGTCGCAGCAGCGTCCGACTTCAGCTGCACGTTTCGTCCGAGCTCTGCCATCTCCTCTGTGTATATCTGACAGAGTGCGTCATCGACGATAATATCCTGGTACATCGGCTCACTAGCCCCATGTTAGCGATAGTAATAATAGCAAAATGACAAACTCACATAACGTAGCTGACACTGCATCCAGTTGCTTCCCCAGCTGCTTCGAGGCAAGCCTTAGCTCGCGCCAGGAGGCACTCTGTGCGAGCAGCCGTTCGACTCCGGATACTCCATTGCATGCGCGTATAGTCCGGGATAATGTTAGGTACTTTCCCGCCATCCTCAATAATACCATGGATACGTTCGTCAGGTTGGATGTGCCGTCGTAGCATGGATAGACTGCTGTATGCCGACACTGCTGCATCCAAGGCATTCACTCCATTCCACGGATCCCCTCCTGCGTGCGCACCCTTGCCGTGGAACTCGACCCGGAGAAGACTGCTCGCAATTGATTGCCATCCAGCGGTGCCGTGGTATCTTTCTTTGATACCGCGCTGCGAGGTAGGATGCACCATTATTGCTGCAGCGATAGCTGGATCGCTAAATGCCCCGGCGGCTATGAGCTTGATTTTTCCACCGTGTGCCTCTTCGGCCGGGTTGTCTAGGATGCGTACCCGACCGGGTATATCCCATTCCTTGACTGACTGGGCGAGGCCCAGGAACGCTGCCGTCGAGGATGTGGCGATCAGGTTGTGGCCGCAAGCGTGTCCGAGTTTTGGAAGCGCGTCGTATTCTGCGCAAAAGATGACGATAGGGCCAGAAGTGCCTATTTCGGCCTCGAATGCAGTCGACAGACCATACGCTTGCCTCGTTACATTGAATCCTCGGGACTCGAGAAAGCCAGTCAAGGTTTCGTGGGCATAAACTTCCTCGTGAGCGGTCTCCGGATGGCTGTGGATCCCTAGATTGAGTTGTCGTAAATATTCTACTTCGGAGTTAATCACAGCTTGGATGTGGTTGCGTACCAAAGTGAGATCAGCCATTGTGGTAGGGGAAGGGTAGATAGGTTGACCAGGAAAATCTGCAGTCGGTTCATCGAGGAAGACTAATTCGCTCCATGCTTTTATAGGTGTGCCATCGACGGCCCCCACGTTACTATGCGCTTATCATTCGATGCTAAATCCGAGCTAAATGAGCGAGGCTGTTCGATCTAGTCCTGCGCTGACCGTCGGAGCTCGGAAACGCTAGCAGGGATGCCGACTAGACTGTCAACCCTCGGATTACTTCTGAATGAGTCACATATGATGTTGCTGTATGACACCTTGCTCGGGGATCGGAATGTTTGACAGGAATCGGGCGTATACTAAATGAATGGGACAAAGGAACCCCGTGCGGATCCCAATAGGTAATGCCATTAGTTATCGAGCCATATCTTCGCTTTATTGATATTATCGGCGCACCTTTGTTCTGGCATTGTCTGTTAGTCAAGACAAGCACCAGAGACCTAAGTGATGCAAAGCTATTTCCATGGATGGAGGGCATCGTAGACGGCAGTGCCGCATAAGAGCAGTGATCTTCACACATCGTTCTAGAACTAGTTTTTTGATAGCATTGACCGGCTACTCATGTCAATCGGATGAGGGAAATAAGAAGAGATAACTGGTTATCATTTCCGATAGTGGGAATTGTCTGGCTGCATTTCTGATGGGGTATTTACAAGGAAGGAAATGTCTTTGTCTTTGCGGGAAGTTTGTACCGTAGGGTTTGGCCCTGGGCAATCCGAGTTGGGACTCATCAGACGGAAGTAGTAAAAAAGAGAGCATACAAGGACTTGCTTTGAATTCTAAAATGGAAAGATGTTGAGTACTGCAATGCAACTGTTTCACAGCTTACTGTGCCAGGATGTAATGCTGTCCGATCGAGCAACTGTTCTGCTCATTGCCACCATCTGTTAACCCTCAAAACACACCCTTCCATCCATCCCGATTGTATACAAACAAGGCTACTTGTGCTCGGTCTCGGCGCTGATTGTGCCACCTCCACGTGGTTGGAGCCATAAAAAGGGAGCTCCCCTCTTGTCAGTGCGGGGCTTTTGTCCAGTTCCTCTTCCTTCTTCGTATCATTTCACATCATCCCATCTCACTGAACTGGCTTCTTCTGTCAAATTTGATCCATCATGTCCGCATACCCTACTCTCAAACCCGCCTTCACCATCAAGGTAAGCCCTTTGTTCTTTGATGGTTCCATGGTTCCGAGGTTCCGAGGTTATGAATTAACGGCCTACCTAGGTAAATATAGATGCCGCGTTGGCTGTCGGTGAGTTATCCTTCAACAGCATTGTCGGCAGTCAACTAAGTCCATATAGGCAGTGCCTCGCGGTCCAACCCGCTGCAGGTCGTGGTAAGTAGCTTTCTCTGAACTGACTTCTCTCGTCAAGAAGTGTCGCTAATCTCGCATAGCCCATGACCGGCGGTACCTTCAAGACTGAATCGAGCTTCTCGCCCTCCGTCGATGCCAAATTCGTGGGTGTCGGAAACGACTACATCCATGCTGATGCGGATGGAAAACATCTGCGCCTGAATGCGCATAGCGTGCTCAAGTAAGTTGCGGTACCCCATGTGTATATTGATCACTGTCTGACCGTGCCTTGATATGTAGGACCCACGACGGTGCCGTATGTCTTCCCACGACCGACCTATAGGCTGGAAACTAACACCTTCCAGCTCATCTACATGAACTACACAGGCATTCTCGCCTTGACTGCCGTCGAGCAGGCTGTGTTTGCGGGCACCGCAGACGAGGGATCGACGTCATTTGGCAATGCTTGTGAGTATCTTCCCCGTTTGATCGGAGACGAGCGCTACTGACTCCAAGGTTCAGTCACGCATTTTACCTTTGAGGTGAGAAGCTCCGCAATTAGATATGCGAGGCAGGTGAGATCTAACAAACATGTGTAGACAGGCGACGACCGCTACAAGCAGCTCGAACACGGCGTCTTCGTCGCGCAGGGCCGTTTCATCGTCCAAAAGGACAAATCGGTGGTGGTCGAGTACCGAGTCAGTCAGGTGGTTCACGCGTAATGCGATCACATCCGATACTAAATGCCACGATCATTAATTCTGTCGGCTGCACTTAATAAATGAATGACTATCTTTCCGTTGTATAGTAGCGGCTATTGCTTACCGTAGATGTCATTTATTCTGTCGAGTTGCGCAGTGAATGTTGTAGAAGATCTAGATGCCTCAGGCAATCAGCCAACTCGCTAAAGGCAAGTTCCGAAGATCTCCATACGAAGCGGAGGATTCCATTATGTCGAGCGGAAAACTTCATGAAGTTAGCCATGAATCTGTCAAGTTAATAGGGTCTCCTTCCTCCCAACTAGTTGATCATTGCAAGTATTTTTCTACATTTTTGACTACTTCGGCAGGCTACTCCTGGCACCCGATATTCGTACGAATGTTGTCCATGAAGGACGACTCGTCGCTCTCATTCACTCATGGCTCTTGCCGGAATCTGAAAGCTCTGCAACTATCGGCTCTAGCTTTCACCCAGAATTTTACAGAGTTACAGATTCTTTAATATAATCTGTACTGGCTGTTTGGACCCTCATCATTCGATTTATATTGTCCGGCTCAACCTTACATATTTGACAACGGAACCGATCATACCATTCATCAATGCCCAGATTCTCCTAAGTGCGACAACTATCATAAGAGAAAGCACAGCTACAGGCCTTGCTCCAAGTTTCCATACTGTCCTGTCCAGCGGCCTTGGTCAGAAAGAGCGAATAAGGAGACGTTTCAAGGTCCTCAAATTCAACACAAACCAGTCATCAGATGTCCTGACATTCGGATTACTATCTCTCATCTGTTTCATAATATTTATCATAATGTTAATCCGCAAATCGCCCATATACCATACAGAGAAGTATTTCGAATTTGTGGAGGAATCCAATTTGTTGTGGATATTATGATCAAATCTATCGATCCAGCGATTATGGCTATGCGAACAGAATCAGTGACCAAGAAAAGGTGATCATTCATTCATTGATACAAGAAACCAGTACTAGGCTTAAGAAGTTGGAACAGATATACCTTTCACAGACAATAGTTGATCTGGTGAGGCTGGTTACTTGGCTATGGTAACAGACGATAGATATTACGGATATCTTCACTGTTACGTAGGGCAGTCTCGCTCATCTCATCCTGGCAAACGCATTTTACAACATACAACGGCAATCTTGAGTGGAAGCAAAGACACTCTTTTCAAATATATTCCATAGAAGGAAGAGGGTCACAGAAATACAAAGTTTCTTCGTCTTTGGACATTCTTATTGCCCGCTGGACTGCCTGGTTTTATTAAGACAGTCCTTAGCAATATCCAATGCTAATGACTCAGGTCTTTCAATCACTTCCACCAAGATCTTTGCATGCTTGGTTTGGTCCTGGAACATACGTTGGGGTATGACTTGATGTTGTTCCGCCCTTGTTCCAGGGAATCTCTCTTATTCCAGCTATAGGTCAGAGCTTCACAGTGGAGTTGGAGAAATCACCAGATGCAGATATTCGTTCTTGGTCAAGATCCAGAAAAGCACAACTTCTTGAGAATCCTAGAACTGTGGCTTATCACCGTTTTCTTCCGCGCACGACAAAGAGGAATACAGAAGATACTACGCGAGGCTTTTGGTGGAGATGATTTCACTTCTGATCAGAGACATCCCTGACAAACGATGGTATCCGCCTTATCTTTCAAGATATTGTGACCTTTTACGAAACCATCAGAGGAATAGCCCAGAACTTATCACTCCGTTCGGGGTAACAGAAGCGCCTATTTGTATGTTCTTAGGAGAAACCTAAAGATTCAACGCAAATAGCATCAGATGATACACTCAGGCTACCATGGGGCATGTTGCATAGCGGCTTCATGGAATCTAATGTATGCACCTGGCTACATAATTTCAACAGAGCTTCGTCGATCTAGAATCTACGCAAATCCTACCGATGCAGGCATCCGACGTCGAATGTTTACGGCACGCCCATCGGTCAATATTACGTCAAGATCATCTCAAAGTACTATTACTGTGCGGAGCAAATGCTAGCCTCGTTGCCCTACCGGAGAGCATTTATACCAGGGAAGTTGATCTACTGTGTCGCGGGTACCTATTCAATGGATGTCTGTTTGAATGGAGAAATCTCAAGAGTTTGTACATCAGCACACCAGCACCTTTCGTGTCTCTGGACAAATTAGTGGAGTCAATCTATGAAACTCGGCGAAATCGGTGCTATCACTCAGACAAAAGGTATCACGGCTTGGTTTTTCTCGTCTGCTCAAATTTACATCACTTTAGGAGGTATGACGAAGAGAGATATGGAGTCCGAGCAAAAATGACGCTGGCATATATCGATCATCAAATGCATCAGCTGGCTAGGTCAAGAGAAACCCCGGGCAGATTGAGCCATCTTTGAACTAGAGTCGATCAGTGATTCGCTCATCAAAGACGTACAGTGCTGTCCGGCGCAAGGGGCAGGCAGGCCCGACAATAGAGCTAGCTCCACAACTACAACAACAGGAGGGTGAACGACCGTTACCACATCCGATTGCGACCTCGTATCCGTTTACCGTTCGCCAGGAGGAATTCACTACCCATGCTCCTTCAGGTACTTCCCATATATGGGAAAATTCCAGATTACTATCCAACCACGACTTCAGAACTAGCACTGAAATGGATACACAGCATTATATACGGGATCAAAGGAGCAACCAAAGAAGGAATAGCCTCACGGCCCAGTCGTTTTGTGTATGTTGCAAGAGAAACAATCAATATGCCAGAGCATACGAAATACACACGATACATAACAAACAAAGCCACCCAGTGGTGAACAAGCTGAGGAAAAGATATAGTGTGAAGCGATCCTTGCCTCATTCAGTTTTCTGTACGTGGACCTTTTTTCTCGAAACGACAGACCTACCCGCCGTAGAGGAGGGATGACAGGATACATACACACATAGTATTCCGGCCAGTAACTAACTACCAGGGAGAAAAACAGAGAAGGAAAAAGAGGAACTGCCGCGGTTCGAACGCGGGGCCTACAGATGGATTGCTCGAGTTAAACAAAGAGTTAAACTGTTACTAGTTTAACACTAACACAAGTTGCAATCTGCCGCTCTACCAGACTGAGCTACAGCTCCAAGCAGAAATGTTGGGCTGGGTCCACAATTAGGAGATACAAGAGCTTCAGGCCGCACACGTGCGGCCTTCCCTGTTTTCATGGACATAGATATAGGTACAGAGTGTGAGGACTGACCAGAATGTGACAGTCGGTGGCAGGTGCGCTTCTACCACACCCCGTCACACAGAGGTGGCGACGGTAGAATGTAAACTGTAACACGCGGGTGTTGAAACATACATAGGGGGGACATATATCCTTTTGTTAGAAGAATAGGAATCATTCTACCCGAATATTAGGCTTCTTACAAGTCAACTCGCCAGTCAGTAAGTCCAGTAAGTACCATGGGCCAAAGAAAAAAAAAAAGAAAAAAGGAACTGCCGCGGTTCGAACGCGGGGCCTACAGATGAAGTGCCCGAGGTAAGTAAATAGTTAAACTGTGTTACCAGTTTAACACTAACACGGATTGCAATCTGCCGCTCTACCAGACTGAGCTACAGCTCCTGTGTTGATAAATTATTTTGAATTTGGACACTATATTGCCAATCACGGGTTGGATCAAGGGTAAATTGGACAGACAAAGAAGAGAAAAAAAATTTTTAGTACAGCAGAGCGTAAGAACTAGAGAGGGGAGAGAAGATCATGCCAAGGCTTGAGGTGGTCATATTTCATTTTAGTCAAGTAGGATAGTTAAGTATAACAAATACTTACCATTAATGGAATGTTAGGGCACCATTCCATCGTGGCCATGAAAAATAAAGTATTTGAAGTTTTCTTATCCATGCTAAGCATTGCTGATCAGCAGGTGTTAGCCCTGGCAGTGAACTTTTCTGAAGATGCTGAGATTTCTCGTTACCACGATGAGCTACAACACAGAATGTCGAAGGACCAGGTCTGCCACAGTGGTCGGAAGTTATGAAATGAGAGGAGCCCCTCTGATCAACACTGAATTGATTGATTGGTTGACGTAGGCAGAATCAAGGTCTTCCGCGGTGTTGCCTGTCTAAAAGGTGCCTTTGGAGGAGTTTCCAGCAAGATGCTTGGCATCCTGCCAGTTTGACTTGAGAGAATCAATCAGGAGTTAAGCGGCGTATATTGACATGTACAACCATGGGTTCCTTTTAACTCTATTCGGTCCTGCTGCGACCTACCTACTGGCCATTATTGGCGACCAGGGAAGACTTGTTAGGTATGATGGATTCACCATCGTCGAGTATAGGCACTTATTTTTGATAAGGAAATATATACTCAATTGCGGTGACGGTACCCCATCCAGATGGAGCTGTAACTCAGCTGGTAGAGTGGCAGATTGCAATTCCTGTTGAACAGTTAACACTAGAACATAGTTTAACTTAACTGGAGCAATTCATCTGTAAGTCCCGCGTTCGAGTCGCGGCAGTTCCTTCGTTTTTGCATTTTTTTGCCTAGACCGGCTGGTAGATACGTTATTAGATATAGATAGATGATAAATAGATTAGATGGGTATTATTCGTCTATCATTCCGATGACTCGGGGCTGGCAACGCGCCAGACGATCCCTTCCGGGTGAATTCCATAGGTCCCGTATATACTGTTACTATGCTCATTCACGCAGCAGTAACACCATGTGCCGTTTCTCAGGCTCCCTCTCCGAAATCGAATCTCAATTCCTCGTTACCCATTGCCACCATGGTATGCCACTATCCTACCATCCAAAATTGATAGGGCATGATTTGAATGAACCATCGCCGGCAAGGCCATGCTTCGTTTGAGTTATTATGCTTCACCAACGTGCCCCGAGGCATTGTTTTGTATCCAATAAATACAACCTTTCCGAAGTTGCGGGTTTCAGCATGTATACTTATATATAGCTCTTGGACCACACGAGTAATCACGTAGTAACCAGTAAGTTACTACCAAATAAAGGACAACTCATATATTCTTTGAGACAAGCATATGGCCACCAGTACTGGCAAAATCAACTAGATACCATTTTCATGGAGGACTCTTCCAGGGTGTTACCAGCCGAAAGAAAAATTCTCGGATTCATTTGTTATTTACTTGGTTAATAGCCATGGCTGGATCGAATGAATCAATGATAAATGAATTATCATATCCCTCAGGTATAAATCCACACCCATATCTTTCATCTCATTCAGTGAAATGAACACTTACAAACAGGCAAAACATCACCATCGCCCAGGACGCAATCTAAATCCCTCCTACACCTAGCGTCAAGTAAACGCCTCCTCCCTCTCCCTCCCCAACAGCGGCCTCCGTTCCGCATCCCCAACCTCCTCCGAATCACCCCTCCCTCTCCACACCCCCCAAATCCTCCCTCTGCTTAGCTTCCTCCGTCCCCACCACCCAGGCGCCCTCCGGAGCGCCCAAACCGTGAAAATGCCCAGCGCGATGGCAGCCAACGTGCTTAGCACGGACCCCACAGCCGTCAGAAACGTGATGGTGCTGACGTTGCATCCGAACGGGAGGGCGCGCAGCTCCCAGCGCTCTTTTGACCCGAGGGGACAGATCTGGGAGGAGCCGAGGGGGGCCAGGATGGGGATGTGTGAGGGGTTAGGGACGCAGGTTGATGTCTGTGGTGTGGTTTTTTAGTGGGTTGGTTTATGATGTTGGGAATAGGTAGTATGTATGTAGATTGAGTGGAATGAAATGTTGGAACAAAGTCGCGTCGCATGAAGGTCGGGACATTGTGATATGGATATGAGATAGAGTCAATTGGAAGAGGGATATGGAGGAAGGATAGGAAAAAGAAAGGAAGATTTACCACCGCGCACCAACTGCACGCCACGTCGCCCCGTAAACACCATCCACAGGACTGTCGGCGCCAACAAACGTAGAAGAGCGGGTCGTTGGCGTCGATGCCGAACGACGCATTCGGAGGGTGATTCATCTGAGAAATGTCGCTCAAAGAGTCATGAAATACCATTGTTAACTATGCAGATGACTGCTGTTCTGATTACAAGGTTGTTCAATTGTATAGGACTGTCGTCATGATGAGGTCTGGATGGAAATATCGATGGGGTTGCGGTGTCTGGAGGGTTTAAGCTTAATTTCGGGGATCCCGTTGGCGGGCTTATTAAGTGTTAACGTGCCTGGCAGCCCTGGCTAGTACAGTAGTGCTCGCGTGTCTGCCATGGCCCATACTGCATACTCCCTGCAGAATCAATACTTTAGAGTGACTGGATTCCAAGATCCAGTCGGTTATCCATAATCTCATAGAAATCTAAACTCCTCGACTAGTACAGAATTGAGCCATGATTCGCAAAGCAATCAAAGTGCGCTGCGCTGTCCATCAACCCGCCCCTTTTATTTAATGAAAGAATGCTCGTAAACAAACATTAGACCACACGCTTAACCTGTAAGGAAAATGTTAGCCATACGTCCGCATCACGAAGGCAAAACCCCCAGGGTCACTCACCTCGAAGAATCTCTTCAACCACCACACCTGGAAAATACCCTCGCCAATGAGCACCGCAAGCTGAAAGATACTCCACCACTTGACTCGGGCGTTGGTGCTCTCCGCCGTGTTCCGGTGCACGCGCTCTCGCACCACGATATAAGACTGCTCATCCTTGACCTGGGCCAATGCCTCCGAAAGTCGACGAACTGGCGAAAGATCCGTTAGCCAATGCTGCTTCCATTGCTGCTTGCCGTTGGAAGATTTCCTTCCCCCGGATCTGTTCTTCTTACCTTCGGTCTCCAGAGGATCCTGCTCCATTTCCGACTCCGGGACGTACACGATTCCATGGACGTTGAAAGACACTTCCTTGGAGTTGGAGGTCCAGCCCTCGTTGCTAAAGCAGTAGACGTACTTGCCGTCGGAGTGGGCGTCGAACGAGTAATCTTCGGACGAAATGGCTTGTCGGTAGTACTGGCGGTTACTGGAGGGGTCCTCGACCTAATTCAGACAAGCAAGAAGTCCGTCAGTCATCTATCTTTCACCGTAGCTGGGGATTCGAGATTGGATTGAGCCGGAGAGCAGATCACAAAAAAGTAACTGTTCACCCAATTCAACCCAACTCCAACTCCGATCCCCGAGAAACATCAACTGCAATCCATACCCAGAAATCAATCTCCAAGTTGCCACTTCCGCCGAATTCCCGATCCCCGACCTGGAAGGTCACCGTCATGCGATCATCCTTGTGCAGCGATTCGTGGAAACATTCTCGCGAGTGAGCCTTGAGTTGGATGTTGTGGGCGGTCACGGCGGTGATCCATCCCAGCGCCGTGATGAGGAGCGTGGTGGCGGAGAATCGCATGGTGGCGGGAAGCGACTATATTATATTGTTTTTCTCGTATGCTCGACCGGACGCAGAGGAGAAAGATGTGGACGGGCGGCGGTGGTGAGTTTGGCCTAACGGGTTGGATACGCGCAAGGTGGTCTTCTTTCTCCGGTCGGTCGGGCGCTTGGACCAACTTGCGAGTCGTTGGCCTGAGGTGTCAAAGTGACTTGTCAGGCATAAATTTGCTTCAAGTATCTACGAGGCACTGCTGGGGTCGCTGGTTCCCATGTTTCAATAAGAAAGACAGATCAATTTCTAGTTATGACCACTATTGGCTAGCACTATCTCCCCTCCCCTCCTGGCTCTCTTTCTTCCTCCCATTCTTCCCCCTCTTCTTCTCCCTCTTCTTCTCCCTCTTCTTCTCCCTCTTCTCTTTCCTCTCTTTCCTCTCTTTCCTCTCTTTCCTCTCTTTCCTCTCTTTCCTCTCTTTCCTCTCTTTCCTCTCTTTCCTCTCTTTCCTCTCTTTCCTCTCTTTCCTCTCTTTCCTCTCTTTCCTCTCTTTCCTCTCTTTCCTCTCTTTCCTCTCTTTCCTCTCTTTCCTCTCTTTCCTCTCTTTCCTCTCTTTCCTCTCTTTCCTCTCTTTCCTCTCTTTCCTCTCTTTCCTCTCTTTCCTCTCTTTCCTCTCTTTCCTCTCTTTCCTCTCTTTCCTCTCTTTCCTCTCTTTCCTCTCTTTCCTCTCTTTCCTCTCTTTCCTCTCTTTCCTCTCTCTCCTTCTCCTCTCCTTCTCTTTTCTCTTCTCCTCTTTCTTCTTTCTTTTTCTTTCTTTCTCATCCTCTTCCTTCTGCAAGATTGATGGCGTCTCACGCGGGGTTTCGCCAGATGATTTTCCTTGAGCCTCTCGAAGCCTTCTATTCGCAAGCGCAATCATCTCGTCTCGTTTCTCCTTGGTCCAGTCCCGGGCATTGCGATAAGCCGCTACCCCTTCCCGAAAGCTCTCGGGGCTATCCATGATCGCAAACGTTCTTAAAGGTACCATGAAGCACGTCTGTCGCTCCTCATGGTCCGTAGGCTTTTTCAGGTGATGAGCAAACAACCTGATCACGCCATCCTGGTAAGTGGAAGTGACGGTATACACGTGATTATTGTAGACGGGCTCACGATGAGACTTGCCGGGTTAATACGATTGAAGCGCCTGAATTCCCCGCGCTCCAAGCGCACCATAATGACAAGCCTGTCGCTTGGATACACTGGGGTCTCCGGAATTGCCCTTTACCTCCATGAAGAAGTTGGGCGCTATTGGGAGGCTATCATCCGTGCATGGGATGATCATGTCATTGAGATCATTGCAGATTTGCCGTTCCAAGTCCTCCGGGCGTGCGCCGTAGTATATATCGGGCTTTGCCTGGGATATATTCCCATCCGTTAGGGGCGCAAGATTATTGAATAGAGTGCCACCGCCAGCATGTTGGGAGATGTTACCCTCAATAAGAGGAATCACCGAAGCTGAAACTTGTGGTTCCTTGGACGTAGTACAATATGCGGTTTTGACCTTTTCAAAATCTGCCGCAGAAAAGCCGGACGGCGATAGGGATGGGCGACGGGTTGTTAATCTTGTCTGGATTTCTGATAAATTTACGGGCTCGTTCTCCTCCTCCGTTTCCCCGTAAAAGTATCTACGTGGGTAAACCTGATGGTCCACTAGGTGCTGCTCGAAGTTCAGGCTGTAAGGCGTGGAAGGGATCTGGGCAGTAACACCATTGGACAACTCTTGTGGTTGTTCGCTCTTAGGAATTCGCGTCATCGATCCGTGTCCGAAATCGGCTCTAGGTGGGCGGCACTAGATACCGAATTAGCCATGGATCTTATACTTTCGCACGCGCGCATGTCACATACACCTCTGAGATCAGATACGTCCAGTCCTCCTCGTCGTGAAGATCTTTTCAATGGCCCCAGGCGGTTTCCAAGCTGCTGGAGGATGACAGTGACCGAATGGGAGGGTCTATAGCAGTCTGTTAGTTTATTCCGAGACACCACCTAACAAAACTTATGGTACCTTTGATTATCCTGCAACTGCTGCGAACGTCCGATTCTACGTTGCAACTCCAGAAGAGCACCTTGGGTCAACCAGACGGTTGACAAGTTATGCCAGTAGGCTGGTGGTTTCTGGATCTTGAACTCTCGGTGCGTATTCTGCGTAGATGACATGTGGCTTCGCGTACTAGCGAGTAGAGACCCAATATTAAGGGAAATGATGACGAGAGATAGAATAGTAGATGATTGTAGGGGCAAGGTTGAAAGCCAAAACAGGGAGTATGATGAAAATAGTTCCACAAAGAAACCATCAACGGCCCCATGTGTAGAGATAACAAAGAGAAGTTTCTATCCATAGCGGGATTGGGCTCGAAGAAACAAAATGATCATAGTTGGGTCTGCCAAACGCGAATGGCCTATCAAAGCGATCTGGCCCATGTTGTAGTAGTCTCTTTTGATGGATCAGGGTTGATTTTGTGCCTGGCATTTTCAGAACTGACCGAGCCTGATGCTCAGGGTAGAGAAGCACGATAGCTGACTGAAATCTAACCACTTGACCAGTTGGAATATATGTGAGAATTTCATACAGTCAATTCATGAAGCTATGGGCCAATATTGGGGAGAGAAAGGCAGTCAAACGAAAGCAGTATCAACAATCCTAGAGCATTCCGTATAAATTGTTATTCCGTCCCGATGCTTGTCGGCAAAATTAGGCAGGAACCTGTCTGACCGCTAACTCTAAACTGACCGCCCAGGGCCTGAGGGACTACCAAAACCGCGATCGCAAGAAATGACGGTCAAACCAAACTCCGGCAGCCAAATCGACTCCCACGGTCGCAGAAAAGGTGATACTGAAGATCTAACTAGAGATTCGGATAGCCTATAGATCTGTTTCTATAGAGCGTGAATTTTGAATGACATATGGCTAGTTTGATGGTATCAGAGACCAACAAGTGTCAGGGCCCATACAAATTCTGTTATTTCCAGGACTTACCACTCTCAAAAGATGATCTGAAGTTTGTGGTTTTTTAGAGTTTCAGTCACATGACCACTTTCTTGGCGGGGACGCTGGATGCCTGAGGTGTAAAGGCCCACTACCCTTTTCTCTACATCTGTAGGACCCTTCTTTCTACACAGCACTCATTCAAGAATTAATTAGTTGGATGAAATGTTTTGCTCATAGATGATTTATCCCTGCATGCAAGGCTTCTGCAGATAGAGAATTGGACCAAATCCCTGGGCAAACAAGGGCCTACGTGGTCTTCATGTACAGCAAAGGCAATGCCTGCGATGGTGAATGCGACTCCATTAACTACAGGCTCAGAGCAAACAGTTTGAGATGGGACAATTGTGGGAACTACACGCTTTAAGAAGGCTGATTAGTTAATGGATGTCGTTTGTTCGCGGGGATACCTGTACTAGGATGTGAAGGTGAATTTTCTGTGCAACTTTCATCCACAGGAGAATTTTGGTCATATTGCTCATCCTGTAAGTTTTTGTTTCCTCAATTGACTCTAATCTCAAGCCAGAAATTGTGATACTGGCGTTGCATTTCCCTCGGTCTGACTGGTCATGGCTTAGCAATGACACAGGAACACCAAGAAAGTTCCTATCAATTGTAGTTCCTGGAGAACACTTCACGGAGTATAAAGACTTCTACTAACATACAGTTATCTTAAATCATGACCGTTCGACAATACACAAATCACTGTATTCTTACTCCATTCCCAACTCTGCAATGAAATCCATATCAGCGGGGACCGTTTGTGCTGATTGTGTTCGGGGGCTCTTTCCTTTTCACTTCCCCGTACAACCATTTTGACCCCTCCTAAAAGTCCTCCCGGACAGCAAATAGCTTGAGCAGCGCAGTCACTACCTATTGCCGCCCATGCCGTTCAATTAATTGGTATCTCCGAAGCAGCCATGCCTGTCTTTGTAGTCAACGGCAAACGCTACCGCGTACGCTTCTTGTCCCTGCTGAATGGCAGCGAGCCGATCACCGAAGACCCATTGCCGTCCTTTAGAAAGGTCAGGAAAGTTTCTTTTCATGCTCCTGTTTTCTTCATTGAGTAGCCTTGGGATATGTGGCTGGTGGCTTCCGGATGGTAACGGCATGTGCTCGGCTCCGACGGCTCTATACTGACAACTACATAAATCTAGCGTGGCAAATCGGCCATCCCGGACGTTGCGATGGACCGAACATGGACGTGCGAAGAGGACAGACTCCTCCAGGAGCTCAAGAGCTGTCATATCCCGTGGAAATATGTCTCCGTCGCAATGGGGAATAGACCGATCGCGCAGCTCAAAAGACGATGGTACCATCTTCGAGACCGCAGGCCCATGGATGTCGAGGCTGTTGACTGGGGTGACCCGCCAGAAGATGGAAATGCTTGGGTGGAGGAGGAAGACGAAGAAGATGAGAAACGGGGTTTGGACAAAACCCGACGTCGAGTGTCTTTCGCTGATCCATTGACTACTGTGAGAGAGGTGGGTATTCGCAACCTCTCGTTGTTTTGGGCAGGCATTAAACTTTTCACGCTGACCGGTCATTCAAAGGTTGACGACAACTACGATGACGAGGACGACGATGGCGACGATTTGCCCCGACACCCGAAACTCAAGAAAGTGAGCTACATCGAAAGCGAATTTACCCTGAAAGAGGTGCTTCTACTCCATCGGATCGCGGCCAAGTGGGAAAGAGACCGTTGGCGGGCCATTAGCACCCGCTTCAATGACAAGACCGGGCATAGCCTTACCCCGGAGCAGGCCAAACGGATCGTCAACAACTAAGTGGCTAGAACGGGCGAATGGAGTAGACCGAAGAGAAGGCAGGTGGAATGTTCTCGGCATCGCGCGCCGAGTATCTGGATCGGGAGGACTAGAACATGACCGTGAATGTGTATGCGGGATTGATCGGCTTGGAGAAGTCCGTTGGAGGCGGATATTGTGGGTGTAGTTGCGTGGTCTTGACTTTCTTGTTTTTCCCCCTGCCATCCTATTCGCCTTTGGACTCGGACCGCAGAGAACTCTCCCAAGGTTCGTACAGCATGGTATTCGTGTTCCGGTCCTCCATGTGACATCATTGACTTTGGTCTCGGCGAGTAGAAAGACTTATCAAGTGATTCCGCCCATGGTCCCTAGGTGTCTTGTATGTAGGCTGAATTCGAAGAATTTCGGGTGAAACGGTAAAGAAGGAAGAAATAGGCTGCGGGTTCCGCACCGAGGGTTCCAAAGTACAGAGAACTTGGAACTAAGCGTCTCGCCCCGAACAATCGCACTGTTTCAAGGGATCTGGACCAGTATGGAATGCCACGGCTAGTACGGAGTAGACAGCAATCAACGTCATCGGGAAGCATGGGGTAGTCAACCAAGGAGACGGGGATGGCCGTTACTCAGGTTACACGAATGTTGACGGTCAACTCATCCAACTCGATGCACTTCTGCCCGAAGCATACCATGTAAGGGGGTGAGGGAGTCCAGACTTCGGGACCCTGGATATAGGGCACACAAGCCCAAAGCTAGCGGGGCTTAGTGAGGGTCGCCGCGGTTAATAGGGATCTTCGGGCGAAGTTGCACTTTTGCAGTAAGGTCGGCGCCGGGGTGGGTCCGTAAGGGTCTGGATTGGACGAAGGGGCGTTCGTCCCCCTCCACGATCCGAAGGACCGTTGCCCAGATCGGTTCATATTTGGTCATGGTTGGCGTTGCACAGTGGGAGACTAGGAGGAGTAGTAAGCATCGACGCCTCAGGAGGCGATTTCTGCATGGTCGTCCCCAAGATCCATCTCCACACGCTCCTTTCCCTGACGTACTCCGGTGTACGGGCTTCTATTCTTATATATTGCTCTCGTCAATCCCTTCCTTCTCTCTTTCCTTTCGGCTGATCTCTAGCGACGCTCTTTTTCCTGTTCAGGAACTCTTTTGCCCTCCCCTTTCTTTACCGATCTTATTTTGATTCGGTCCCTCTTTCTCTTCTTTCCCTCTACCTTCCGTACTGAAAGGACTCGAGGCGGTTTCCTTCGTTTCCTCTTGTCTTGAATTTACTGCCTTTCCGACTGACTACCTACATCTCCTTTCATCACTCTTTCAATTGAAAAGTTTCACAATGCGTATCGCCGCTTTGCTCCCCACTCTGCTGGCGGCCATCCCCGCCGTTGCCGCCGACCGAGGCAAACTGGGACTCGCCTTGGGCAACAAGAACGTCAATGGCCAATGCAAACAGACCAGCGACTACGAGGCCGACTTCGACGCCCTCAAGAAGGTGACCACGCTGGTCCGCACCTACTCCGCCAGCGACTGCGACACCGCGAAGAACATCATTCCTGCCGCCAAGAACAAGAAATTCCAGGTGGTGTTGGGAGTGTGGTAAGTTACCACTTGAACACATGGCATGGGAAAATCTTTGGGTAATTGGCTAATATTCTCTTTACCAAGGCCCGACTACGACGATTCCTTTAACAAGGATTTCAACGTCCTGAAGCAGTACGTCCACGGCAACGAGGACGTCGTCCAGGGTATCACCGTCGGTTCCGAGGTCCTGTACCGCGGAGACCTCCCCGCCGCCAAGCTCAAGGAAAGAATTATCCAGGTGGTGGATGAATTCCCCAAGGTGACTGTCGGTACGGTGGACAGCTGGAACAAGTTCGCCGACGGCACCTACGATGATATCATCTCCAGCCCCAAGATCAACTACTTGTAAGTTCTCCTATAGGAGTGTCGCGTATCGTATCGTTTGCCGTTCAGCAATGCTAACATGCGATTAGCTTGGCCAATGGCTTCGCCTACTGGCAGGGCCAGGAAATCGGCAATGCCACCAACACCTACTTCGACGACATGTCCCAGGCCAAGAAGCGTGTCGAGAGCCGTGCTGCTGGCAGAAAGATCCGTTTCGGAAACGGCGAAACCGGCTGGCCTACCGGTATGTGACACGAACCCTGATACACGTCAACTATCTAGCAAGGAGTGGGCTAACGGACTTCCACAGATGGCGGAACTGACTACGAGGCCGCCATTGCCAAGACCGAGTATGCCGCGAAGTACTGGAAGGATGCCGTCTGCGGGATCCTCACCTGGGGCGTCGACGTCTTCTACTTTGAGGCGTTCGACGAGCCCTGGAAGCCGGTCAGCAAGGGTGACAACGGCGAGGAGAAGGACGAGACTCACTGGGGTCTGTTCACCTCGGACCGCAAGCCCAAGTTCGATTACTCGTGCCCTAAATAAGGGCGAGACTTCTTCCCATGTGAATATTTCTATATCTTGAAAGGTGGAGATCCTGGAGGGATCTGTTACGATGGTTTAATTCTTTTGTATCATATCATGCTCACAGAGCAATAAATATCACCACTGAAAAGGGGGGTGTACGAAGCATATGCTGTTCACTGTACGGAATAATCAGAAGAACTGAAAAGCTCTGTTTCTGAGGTGTCTCTCCTAATCTTCATTTTTTTACATGAACGAGGTCTCATCCAATACTAAACTGAATGGTAGCACATTACATATAAGCTAGCCTAACACCCAGGCGTACCGTCATCATAAAGATCATTCCAAAACAACATATCCCGAAGTATCTCTTCACTCAAGGAGACATTCACGAAATGCTCCCGTTGAGGAGTTCTGATCCTCCGATGAATTTCCCCCGCGGTCTTCCAGCCCAAGAACCCCGCCATCTCCCAATCAATAAGCCCCACAATCTTGTCCTGGTCAACGATGCAATTCGATGGCGTGAAGTCGTTATGCATGAAGCCCATATCCGGGTCCGGGTTCGGGTCGGCAAACAGGATTTCCCCTTCTAGGGGATTGATGCGGCCGTTGCTGAGGATGTTGGGGTCTTGGATAACGTGGGAGCGAGTGTGGCGGGGATGGTCGGGTTTGACGGTATGTAGTTGTCGAAGTATCCCGCGGGCTTGTTCTTTGAAGGATTGCTTTTGGGTTTGGGAGAGGTAGGGCCATGCAACACCTAGCGTGACGCCCTGTAGGCGCTCTTGGATTAGGACCTGGCGCCCGTGGATCTGGAATCGTGTTAATATACTAGCTGTGGTAGACAATTGCAGAAGGGTCCGTGGTAAATACCTTGCCGGAGAAGTAAATCTCCGGTACTTTGACATCTTTGAGGGTTGATTTGGCAATGGCAATGGCGAGGACTTCATTGGCATCGGCATATGAGTAGTCAATCTCTTGGGTATTATGGAGATGACTGGACTTCACAATAACGCCTCCAAGGGCAAACACATCACGGCCACCTTCATCGGCAGGGTAGATTCTGATAGACTCGTTGCACAGACTAACCACTGACTCCCAGTATTTGATTGAGTCTGGAGTTTGAGAGCGGACGTGCTGGGGATCAACAAGAAAATCGCCCGGCTTTGGAAGATACCGTCCGTAGAGCGGGACGCCCGCATACAAGTCGGTGGCGGGGATGTCCTCTGGGTCTGTCACGTAGGGATTCATGGTCCAGGCTGAGAATGGAGTGATGTGTGGGGATATTGTGAGCTGGTTGACTTCGACCTGAACGGGCCGTGACTGTCGAAGAAAGGTCAGCAAGATCGTTCAAAGTTGTAATGATAATTCATTGTTGCATGATGACAGAACAAATAAGATGTACCTGGGTATATAGTACTTAGGATTTCTGGCTGGAGTAGCCGGCGAGACAGCGAACCTACTCGCGATGGTACACCGATTAAATAACTGCCAAACGCCAATCTGAGAGAAGCAAGGCACTTTCATGGCAACCTAGCGATATACTATACATATATATATACGTTCCATTCTAATTGTTGTGATACAAGAGCAGAGAATGTATTGTTTTTGAAACTGAACCTTACTTAAAGCTAACCCTAGTACAAGCTTTTTCCATTGATGCAACTATCCATCTGATAATCTTTCCTTTCTGGGCGAAAACAAGGCAATTCCGAACGTACTCACGGTGCTCAAGATCAGGATGACTCTGCAAGAATCGCGGGGTCACTTTCTGCTTGTATGTAGGCCTGTGGCTACTGCGCTTCGATCTCCTTGCAATCCGAGTGGATAGACCTGGCCTGCCACTGAATAGTGTTTGCCATCTGCAGAGTATCGGCATGATAGAGTTACTCCCGTCTTCCGTCCGTCCAACGGCCAGCGGAAGCGTGTCGGCTGACATAAGCACAGGTCACGGGATTGCCGGAGAACCGTGGTTCCTTTTCTATTTTACCCCTGAAATGGAGACACGAACCACGGCGAGGCGCGTTTGGATGTCTGATTATTGTTTACGCCCGCGGGAAGCTTCACTTTCAGGGGCTCACTTATCAGGTATCCACCTCAGACATCTGCCCGTCTCGAGGAGATTAGATTTAATTTATTCACCTCATAAATTCTAGAATTGTTCTTGCTTTCCTTTTGATCTCTTTCTCGCTCTGTTTATTTCAGGCCCAGATGAGGGACCACAGATGGCGGTCAACGACAACCCATCCTAGTCTCGCGCTGAGTTGGCGTTAGCACAAGTCGAGGCCCGTAGCTCCGAGGTATCGAGTACCTCATAGGCCGTGGTACTAGTAGGACCTAGTAGTACCAAGTCGTAGTGAGGACTAAGTAGTCCATACTCCGGAGGTACTGCCGGTTGATGCCAATTTGACTTTCCCTCCCCAACGCCTTTTCGACCTTTCCTCCGGTACGTTCACTTTGCTCAGTTAACTGGTTGCTGGCAGATCGTGCCATGATCTAAAACTAATTAGACAATCTCAATTCTGTTTTTTTTCCCTTTCTGCCCTTTCCCTTTCCCATTCCCCCCCTACACCTAGTCTCGATTCCTTTCTGCATCGTCCAACCTCGATCCAGCTGTCCTCCGCGTATGCGCCATGTCCAGGTTTTCCGCATACCCTAGGTATCTGTGATCTGTTGTTCGTTTTCTTCCTATCGTCAGTGCTTCTTGACTCTTTGTTTGTATTTTCTGAAATCTGATTGGGGTTCTTTTTTTTTTTTTTCTTTTTCTTTAGCACCCCTCTCCCCTGAGGAACACTAAATTTCCGCGCTCTTTTTTTTTTTCCTTCCTGAACAATCCGAGTCGAGACACCGCCCTCTCCTTCCTCCCCTCCCCCTTCTTTTCGCTGTCCTTGCATCCTCTTTCGTGTGCCGATCAGAGGCTGAATTTGCGAGGTGGATTCCTTATCTGCGGTTTTGATTTCCATGCTTCAACATTCTGGACGATAAGGAGAGCAGCAAGCAAGTGCTTGCTGCAGCAGTCGAGACGGAAGGTGTGTGTCTCTTTGGTGCTTCAACTTCCCCGACGGCATCAATTTCCCCAGCATCATTATCCTATGCCCGGAGTGTGGTTTTTTAATATAGACAATTGGATTGATACTACCGTCCTCTCCTGGAATCCGACAATCTGAGCTTGGACTAAATTCTCAAGTGTCTTTAGATCTAGGTCCGTCCGTACCCTCCGCCAATTCGGCGCATTCTCCGCCGCCGCATTCCAGAGACCCATCCCGCCTTCGTGACGATTCATACTTGGCTGCTCCGTTGATCTCATCGTCCGTATCTCCCGGAGCGTCGAGTCGTTCGGCCGCTGGTTCCCCCCGGACCCGTAGCGTCACCTCTACCAACCCGCCGAATTCCATCCCGACTGTGTCGAAATACCGTGGCGCGTGGGATTCGTCGACCTCGTCCCCGGAGAATAAAAGAGCGGAGAGCAGCATCTACTACACCACCGCCTGGGGCTCACCGTATGCTGCACCCAGCCCTCGGAGGCTTTCGTGGTCATTGAGTCAATCCGCTGGCATCGATCGTGGTTCGGGCATCAGTTCCCGGGCGTCCATGCGCAGTGGTTTCTACCACGGCTCCGAAGCAAACCATACCGAATTCCTGAGACCCTCGGCCCCGGAGAGCTCGACCACGCAATTGTACGGTGGTGATACGACACTCGACCGCTCGCCGCGCCGTGATCTGTTGGGCAGAAAAGGAGGAAAGTCCATCAAAGACTTCACCCAGGATTGGATCAACCAATATCTCTCGGGCCAACCCAGAACCGAACGCAGTAACTGGCTCAGCGACGACTCCGGTAGCGAGGCTCCCTCGTTCTTCACGGCCCAGAATCATTTCGCAGACGACCCGTCCGACGATTGGCTTGCTCTAGAGCAGGACACCCGCGACGAAGACCTCTTGAAGACCCCGACGCTCGCCGACTTTGTCAAGAGAAGGACGATTGCGACCCACGGGGAAAATAGTCCCGGACGTCAACGCACGAAAGACTATCTTCACCGGAGAGCCGATACACTACGGCAAGAAGACTTTTGGGGTTTCGCCTACGACAAGGACCCCCAGCCCATCACCATGGCCGACACAAAGGAGGGTCAGCCCCCAACATCCCAACCGGAGCTCCCCCAGGTACCGTCTCCGAGCGAAAAGCCACTCCCCCCTCCCCCTGCCGATGCTGGGAAAGAAGACAACGCTGCAGCCGTGCCTGTAGAAGGTTCCGAACCGAAAGCTACACAGAACAAAGTGTCGACAAGCAGGAATACCTCAACGCCCGTGCCGAGAGTAAGAAAGAAGATCATCTGGCGCGGCAAGGCTTGTATCATTGGACTGCCACCGGGAGACAAAAGAGGCACCGAAGAATCCGGCTATCGCCTATTGAGTGCTGAGGACGTTGAACAGAGGCTAAAGGACTGGGAAGAGAAAGGCTACAGCGTCCGTGGGTTTGATGTCGGTGCGCCAGAGGACAGCTCAGAGGTTACCGAATTAGGCGGGCTCAGTCGTCCCTCTTTCCCAGACGTGCCGGAAGCTGAAGAAGAATTGAAGACAGGGGGTTACGCCGTCAACTTTCCGAACAAGAATGTCTGGGACTCGTACGTTCGGGCCCTCCAGGAGGAGAAGCTTCGAGCTCTGGGAGTTTCACTCGGCGAGGAGGAAATGCAGCCGTCTGTATCGCCGGCCATGAGCCAGATGGCTCCGTTCCCCGGGATGGGCCCGTCACCACCGATACCGACGGCATCAGCAGCCAGCAACCCACTGTCCGGACCGAACCCGTTCTCCCCTCATTTCAACCAGTCCGCAAACAACAATGGCATTGGTAGCTTGGCATCCCCCGTCTCGCATTTTGGCGTTCAAACACCATTCTTGGGCGTTGACCAGAACCTCTTGCCCGGATATCATGTTCCGTTCCAGAATACGCCTCCTGCACAGGGCTCGCTTACCCCTCAGAACTTCTTCAACGCCCGTCATCCGAATAACCCTGGTCTTCCGGGCGCTCTCCCCGACCTAACGTCTATCTTGTCACCTGTATCACCGATGAATGGCCCGGGTGCCTTCCACCCTGGATTAAACGAACAGTCGGAGCTGCAAAACAGTGCATTCCATGAACCACACATGGATCATCATCTGCAACAAGACAATGCTATGGAAGGCCATCTTTTGCGTCCTGTTCACACCCCTACGGAAAATCTGGACAACTTCCACGCCTCGACCGTGGAGATCGCTCAGCCTACGCCCCGCGGCCATAGCCGTGGTCACAACCTGAGCGAAACGCTCCAGAAGGGACTTGATCAGATCGCCCAGTCCGACTATCATTTGGAGGAGTCAATTGAGAGGCAACTTGAGGAGGGTGACCACGAGCCGGCTCACAATTTCGGCGCCCCAGGATTGATGCACTCTCAATGGGCCCTGCCAGAGAACGACAACCGTGACCTCCAGCACCTCCCTCAGCATGTGCATCAGTTCTACGGTGGAGGGTATGCTGGCAACAATGTCCAAGAAGGATCCGATATAGATACGAACCCGAGTCTCTCTGGAACTCCTCGCAGACATGGACCACTTGGGCACCACATTCCCTGGCATTCGGCCAAACCCAGCGGTGGGTCGTATCCCGGTCACCGTTCGAAGCTGTCATCCTCCACTTTGAATGTGGACGCCAAGGAATTCGATCCAAACGCTTCGACGGCCTCGCAGCATTTCGCTTTCCAGGGTAACTCTTTCCAGTTCCCCAACGCCGGTCAGGATATGTTCACCTTCGGTTCAGGACCGGGATTCAAGCCCTCAGTCAACTCATTCGATGCGCCCCCTGCCCCCTTTTCCGCGAGTGGCTCGCATCGTATGGCTACCCATGGATCCGGTGAATTCAATTTCTCATCACCCTCTTTCAACGTTGCGGCACCTGTCTTCAACCCAGCCGCTAGCGTTTACTCTGCCGGTTCCGAGCAGCCACCGGCCGCCAATAGAACCAAGATATTCGACGACGTTGATGTTTCACAGGCTGCAAAATCTGGCAAGAAGTCGAAGGCAATTCCCATCATCCGCCCTGATGATAGTACGCCCGAGAAAAGAGATAGGGATGGGAAGGCACCGAGTGGAAAGGCTTCAGACCGCCATAAACGTGCCCGTCGCGGGGATGCGCCTTCTGATGAAGAGGCTCCGTTCAGTCCGGGTCATGCCCTAACGGAGTCCAATGCCCAGCGATCCCAGATTCCTCACGGCTCTCATGTAGCCGCCGAGGGCAAAGAAAATGCAGTTCCCACGGGCACATTGCCTCTGTCGGCTCAGCTTGGCAAGCCTGAGGAGCGCAAGGACACTCCCGTCAGTGAAGCCTCCACTTGGGCTCCTTCTGGTGCCAAGGAAGAGGCAGCAACTGCCGCGCCGGAACCACCGAAACGGGAACCCGACACGGCAGTGTCAACTAAGCCGGAAACTGATGCCGCAGCAGCTCCTGCACCACAGCAGCAGGAGCCTCCTAAGGAGCAGCCCCCGAAGAAGGACTGGAGGACAGCGTTGTTCGGATCGAAGAAAACCTTCACCTTCAAGCCCTCGGTGGCTGAATTTATACCCTTCACGGTTGATCAGCCGAAGGCTGCGCCGGAGGAGCCGCCCAAGAAGAACGACCTTACGGCTTCTCGGCACGCTGTCCCAAGCCCTCCGGCTTCGCCTAAGCGCAAGACCCCGTCACCCGAGCCGGAGCAGCCTATGCAGCCTCAAACCGACATCAAGGCAGAGGAGCCAGCGCAGCCAGAGCAGCCGGAACAGGTTGCCAAGTCTGACTCTGACGCAGACTCGCCTGACGAGGATGAGATCAACGCCATTATGGAGCAACTCAACGAAGGATCCGACGTTGGAATCGAGAGGGTCAACACACCCCAGGCTGCTGCCAATCGTATGCCTCAGACCGCAGTGGCAGGACCGTCGAAAGAAAAGCGACACGGTCCCGCAGACATCAGAAGCGACCCGCCCAGCCCCAGTCCTGGTCGGGGACATGTCTCGCACGCGTTGGATGTTCCGAAATTGGATTTCGATGCCCAGTCTCACTTCGCGGCTACTCCTTCCAAGGGCTTTGCTTCCGGTATGCCATCGCCCATTCGGAAACTCATCAACCAAAACGATCAGATCAGCGACTGGGACGATGTTATCACGTCCGGCGAGGAAGAAAAGCTGGTACACCGCAGCAAGTTCTTTGACCGTCGGATCAACGACCTCGTCGGCTCTGTGGTCGACGATCGTCTATCCCCTCTGGAGCGTGCTCTGAGCGCTATCCAGCAATCGGTTTCGGCGATCACCCTGTCGACGCAGAACAAGCTGGCCTGGACCAGCACGTCCGCCGAGGCGGAGAGCGATGCCGACGACGAGGACGACGAGTATGATGAAAATGACTCCCAGCGAGCCCGGTCCCCACCGAGAGACCGGAAGCTTGATCGGTTGAAGAACGTCATCCTGGAAGTGCTGGCCCAGCGTGACACGCAGGAGCCCGTGGAGAAACCCGAAAACACCGAGCTGGTGCAACTCCGGGACAGCGTCGCCGAATTGCAAGCCATGGCCACCGAGAAACTGGCTCACGACCCTACCGCCGGCCTGCGGGAGATGCTCCAGGAAGTAGTCGCCAACCAGTTCAGTATCCAGAATGCTCGTCCGTCTGACGCCGACGAGATTGGTGCCGACAGTCTGATGCTCCAGATTGACGGTCTGAAGAACATGCTGAGAATGACCGACGAGCGGGCAGAGCAGGAGTACAAACTGCGCAGAGAAGCACAGGATTCCATGGCAGAGCTCCAGCGACTGCTCAAGGACGTTGAAGACGATGCCGCCCGCCACAGTGAAGCCGCCGAGTCTGCCGAAGCTCGCTTCCTGCAGTTCAAGGAAGAGAAGATTCCTTACTTTGAGCAGGTCCAATTCAGAGCCGATTCCCTGGAGCAGGAGCATGCCAAGCTCAAGCTGACTCTGGCTGAAATCTCCTCGAAGAACATTGAACTCGAGGGCCACTTGGATGAATACCGTGTCTCTAGTGACAACTGGAAGCGTGACAGCGAGCGGTCGAAGGGAGAGCTTGAGGAAGTCAAGCAGGAAAACAAGAGCCTGCGTGGCTCCATCGATCATCTTAAGACGCGCATTGAAGACGGCATGAGCATCCGACACAACCTCAGCGAGAAACTGGATCGCCTTCAGGATGAAATGGCCACGGCTTCCGGGGATATTGCCCGCGAACAGGCCATCTGGCGCAGGCGGGAAGAAGAGCACGTGGCTCGGTATAACGAACTCAAGGCGGCTTACAGCCGCGAGCAGAAGCTGCGTGAGAAGCTCGAGGTTGATATCAGCGAACTCGAGCAACAGGAGCGAGAGGCCGCCAAACTCAAGTTCATCTTCGGGCAGTCCCAGCAGGAGAACGCCAGGCTGGAAGAGCTGGTGGCTAACCTGCGGGTTGAAAACCACGACATGGAACTCAAGGCGGCCCGTTTCGAGCGTGAATTCAACGAGGCTCGCGAGAGCAGCCGCGTCGAGATCCAGCGGACCCGGACCTCCATGGAGGCCGATGTCGAGGCCGCCAATAGCCAGGTCAACATCGTGCGCGCCGAATTGGAGGCACAGATTCTCCGCCTGCAGAGCCAAATGGACAATGTACGCCTTAACAATGACACCGAGCGCGAACGTTACGAGATGCTGCTTGAGGAGGCCACCGAGACCAAGGCCAGCGCCTTGGCTGCGGCAGCCGAATCGCGGGAGATGGCTGTAGAGGAACAGCGCAGCATGCATGAGCGCGTCCTCAATGACCTCCGGGAGCGCCATGCTCGTGCCTTGCACAACTCGTCCGAGGATCGACAGCGCGCCGAGTCTCATCTGATGGACAAGTTGGCGTTGTCGGATGACAAGGTCCATCACCTGCAGGATCGTGTGCAACACCTTGAAGACAAGCTCGAAATCGCCCAGTCCGCTGCTCGGGCTGCTGCGGAGGCTGCGCAGATGGCCAAGGCAGGAGTGGCGACATCCACGCCTCCTCCTACCATGCCCGTCAACACCCCTTCGATGTCATTTAACGGCTCCATGGTTCCTGAGAAGATCTCCCCGCAGGCGTTGCGCGAGTCCATTCTCGTGCTTCAAGACCAGCTACAGCAGCGTGAGACTCGCATTGAAGAGCTCGAGCAAGAGGTCGCGTCCGTGGACAAGGATGCCCCCAACAAGCTTAAAGAGAAGGATACGGAGATTAACTGGCTCCGTGAGCTGTTGGGAGTCCGAATCGATGATCTACAGGATATTGTCACCACCGTGTCCCAGCCCTCATTTGACCACAACGCTGTCCGTGACGCTGCCATTCGCCTGAAAGCCAACCTGCAGATGCAGCAACAGGAGAAGGAAAGGGCTGCGTCTGGAGTCCAGGGCCTCCCAAGCCTTCCATCACTGTCTGAGATCCGAGCATCCCCTCGAGCACTCCCTCTCGCTGCAGCTGCAGCATGGGGCAACTGGCGCAAGGGCCGGGAGGGGGCAAACAGCAACACTTCGAACCAGACTCCTTCCAAGCCGAGCCACGCCACTGCTTTCCTATCTGGTCTCCTGACGCCGCCTAGCTCTAATCGACAGGCGGTCATCAATGCCCGAGCAGCCGCATCAGGCGCGAGACGGTCGTCGGAGAGTCGCCCGCTAAGGAGCGTCAACAGTACACCTCGACCGTTGTCTTCGCGGGCCGCCGGCAAGATGCGCGAGCCTCCAACTACACCCCCTCTTCTCCGGAGGTCCAGCTATGACCGCGATGCAGAGCCAACCGATTACGAAGAGACCTACGGACAGGCCTACGGAGAGGGTTCTCCGGGGGAAGAAAATGAAAGTACGGTCGACGGATTGGTCTCTGCGTCTCCACGGGACACCAATGACGGTCCATTTGGACCGCAAATAACAACATAGACGGGATTTCCCCCCTCTTTTCTTTTCTTTCTATCTCAGCAGATACCTTAGCATTTGAAATTCTTTTTGAGACTGAATCGGTTTGATTTGTGACTTATGTGTTGTTCTCCCCCTCAGCTTCTTACTCCTCTCTTTTAATCTGACATAGTTCAATTGGTATTTCCTTCGTTCAGATGCACTGTTTAGTCTTTTTCTACCTTTTCTTGTATGTGATAGTGGGATTGCTTTTTTCGTTTCTGTTTCTATTTCCATTTCCCCTTGATCCTCCCATCTGATACCAATACCAGCTATTGTCTTATTGCGATCTTTTTTGTACAAACTCTTGCGTTAAATATCTGATTTGACTGTCACTCTTTTTGTTACTTGCATACTTTCCTTCGTGTCATTGATATTTCCATTCTGATTTATTCTTGGTCTCTGCGAATCGTCTACTTTCAATTTCTAATTTCTTCTCAGATTGGGGCTTCTTCATACCCCAGGGTTTTCTTTCTTTCTTTCTTTTCGTGTCGTTGGGTTTCTTCTTTCTTCTTCTTTCTTCTTTTTAGGCAGTGGTGCTGTGTAGATACTCTTATTATTTTTTTAATGGACATAAGATAATTTAATTTGATTGAATACGAGTGGATTTATATGTAGGGTTAGTTTGTTCATTATGTGTTTTGAAGCCTTGCTTAAAGCAAGGCTGGGTCACATTAGTTGCTCCTGCTCGATAGCATGCTCATAAATTCATTTGAACAGTCTTATTGCTTGCATATAGACTCGAATATTGTCACTTTTCTATAATGTGTAAATATACCAAATCTAGGCGACATAAAGCTTTGCAAGACTTCAACATTGATGTCATTCTGAACATGAAATCACTATTCCAGTCTAATATCAAAGTATTCTGTTTGAAACTCTTCTCTTGTCCTCCCTTCTTCCATCCTTTTCATTTATCATGTCGAATCTCATCCCTCTCGTTCCCTCTCCAGAACCCCAACCCCAACCATAACTAAACACCAACTCCACGCCCAGCACAGTTAAACCTTCTATCATCTAGAATAACCATTCAATCTCCTCACCCCCTGCAATCCCCGTAATCTTGTACTTGGAGGAACCACCCCTTCTTACCCTCTTCACTTTCAAACTCTCCACATTCACACTCACCCGATCTAACAGGAACGGCCACGTAGGGATGATATCTCGACGTGGGTAGGGCTTTTTCTCCATCCCTCCTCTTCCTTCTTGTTCATCGCCACCCCTCTCTGTGTTCAGATCAGAGCTAGAATTAGAATTGAAATTGAGATTGACTTCTCCACCTCCTCCAACACGAAGGGATTCGTGAATCCCAGACCCAGACCCAGACCCAGGCTGATACACACTCGTACAACTCCCCACGTAGCAGACGTATAGCGCCCCTCCTTCGACGACACAGCAGGCGTGATCTGGCTCGTAGATTACCAGGATTTGGTCGTCGGAGGACACGGCGAGGTGCGGGGATGAGAATGTTCCGGAGGGGAGGTTTGTGGATGTGAATCGGGGGAGGGTCGTTTGGAGGTTGTAGCTGTGGGTTATTCTTTTGGTTGTTCCGCTGGAGTGAGTTTGGGTTTGAGTCTGGGTTGGGGGTGTGGTGGTGGTGGAAGTGGTGTCTGGTCGATGAGGATAGGCGTAGAGGCATGGATACTCTTTGTTTTGGGGTGTCATGGGGATGATGCTGCTTGGGCGGGAGTAGATGGATGGGAGGAGACGGATTAGGTGTGTGGAGACTGGGGAGGATGGGGATGGGGATGGGGATGTGGCGAGGCCGATGCAGTAGGTGTCGATGGAGTTGGTTTGGATGGAGGCGATGAAGTAGCGATGGTCTTGTTTGTTTGCAGTTGTTGAACTTGAAGTCAAAGTTGAACGGGGATGATTGTCCTCCTCCTCCCATTGATCCCTCACGTCCACCACATCTCTCCCCAAAAGCCTCAGCCCTCGCAGAACACATCTCCCTCCATCACCTCCCTCTCCTCTGGCGAACGACACCCCCAACGCCGCAGAATCCAAATACACCTTCTTAATAGCCTCCCACCAATATCCCAGATCCGGTCCGTTCGTCAAGGATTCCGGACAACCTAGATACCGCACGCGAGTCGGCCGATGAATCGTCGATTCCTTGCCAATCGCCACGCGCAGCAGCGTGTCGTTGTCGACAAACTCGAGACCCTCGACTACCCCGTCGGTGTCTTCGTAAGCCGTGGGGTCTGATGGCCGCGCGCAGGCGATGTGTTCGGTGTTTTGGCCGAGGACGTATTCGGCTGGTCTCTGGTGTGTATTCTCCAGGGGATCGCGATCGAGATCTTTCTGATGCCCTTGACCGCGGGATGAATGAGGGAAAGATGAATAAACCTGAACAACCCTCCCCAACGCCACAGCCACAAACTCTCCTCGCGAAGACACCGCCACGCAATGTTTCGAGTACCGGCGATTCCCCGACCAGCTGGCATTGGAAGTAATGCTCTGGTTCATGAGTGCGCGGCACACAGACGTCCAATGCGGGTAGAGGGATGATGCGAGAGGGAATTCTTGAGAGAGTGTGAATTCGCTGCTCTCCGTCATCTCGCCTTCACCCTCATCTTGACTCTCGTCTTCGGAATCATGTTCGCTCTCGGCTTTGAAATCAGATCTATATCCCATTCTAGATTCGGTTTCCGGAATATGAGACTCAGACTCAGTCTCAGTCTCAGACTCAGATGACAATGGTTGATGAGCCCTTCGAGCCCTAAAAACAAGCACCTTCGCCCCCCTCAGCACAGCGACCGTCCTTCCATCTTCTGATCGAGCTTGTACTGAACTCGCCGGTGACGGACATAACGGCATCTGTGCTCCGTGACAAGGACCCCGAACCTTACAAACAGACTTCCGAATATGATGTCGCCGACTAAGCAGATTCAGACGTGCAATCTGTGCGAAATACGTGGTCCATTGCTCTGGCGTTAGGGTGTCTGTTTTCGGATTTGCATTCGCTTTCGCATTCATTTCCGTCTCCGTCTGATGAGTAGAAAATGAGTAAGGAAGAGGAGGAATCAAAGACGCCGGGATCTGTTGCAGCGCATGACGCAGCATGTATGGAGTTGAGGAGGCGCGGCGCCAGGAACGGCATGCTTGGTGCGCGGAGAGGTATGTTTCGGGGTCGGTTTGGAGGAGGATGGATTGGATGAGTTCGGTGGGGAGAGTGGAAGCGGAGGACATGGTTTGGTTATTTGATTTGCTTTGGTTTTGTTAGTTTGATTTGAATTTCAAGTATATATATAGTCTTGGGGGGTATATTCATGTATTCATGACGAGGGTTGATATAAAGAAGAACAAAAAGTTAATTAGAAATAGTTGAATGACTCAAGTGTGATTTATTTCTAGCGAGACCCAACATTATAACGTCTACTCAATACTCCAAGGGGGGATGGAAATGATAAATCCTAGAAAAATGGACTGGATCCACGTCCAACATATGCAGGCTATGTGGACGAGAGCAACGTCCTGCATGATCTTGCATAAGCCCTAACTTGCGACTCGTCACTTGGCAAGATCCCTCCCTCGCAAGAACCATGGACCGTAAATCGAAACCGGTCAGAACTTTAATCTTGCCCATCTTGTTTCGGGTATTCTTTCTGCTGGTTTTGTGGTGGTTGTGGTTGTTGTAGCGGTAGCGGTAGTTGTTGTAGTTGTAGTTGCGATAGATGGCGGTCTGAAAGACTGTCAGGTTGACATGTCTACCTAACCTAAGCAACTGACAACAAATCTGATGACTCATTGATGCAGCTTCATGCTGTATAACCGCGAAATACCTCTGTCGATTCCATAGCGGACCACGTTTCGGGCGATCTGCAGGAACTGTCGAAGCAGCCCAACAACCTCCTTTAGAGTCCTTGCTGTTATACAGGTATAGGCTGCACGGCAGGCGGTCAAAATCTGCACGTGTGTCTGATTTCTGCAATGATCAAACACTCCATCAGCATTGGTCTTGTATTCGGTTGGTGGCGTCGCTGAGACATCAAAGGCGCAAGGATGATCTCTAGGCTTCCGAGTGCTGACACATGGACTTGAGAAACCTACCCGTCAACAGGCGCTAATGTTTTCTTTTTTCTGGCGTGTTGAAGAAAAAGAAAATCTGACAGCTCGATGATCCGGTCCTCAAATGATGATGTGCCTTTCCTTTTGGTATAGATCCTTGAGAAGTTTGAGCTGCGTCACGCCCATTGATTGACGGGGCACGGTGGAGGGTAGCTCGACAATGGCTTTCCGCATCATAGCCAGCCCGACATGTCCAAAAAAGCTGACAATCCGCTCGGCCGAAGACTTGAGCATCGCAGAAAGAAGGATGAAGTGTGTCTCTTGAATGTCAGACGGCGGAATGGACAGAATCTTGTGCATAGCCCTCCAGAACATGTGGTTGGGGAAGGGGTTCTTTCGAGGGGTCTTGCCAAAGTTACGCAAGGTCAGCGCGGCGAACCCGGCTCCCAAGGCCGTCATTCGCTCTGCGTGCATCTGCTCGCTGATATATGGGCCACCCGGTCCGTCCCGCCACCATCCTAGGGCCTTGCGGCCGCCTTCTGTCTTTTCGCTGCCGTAGAATCCCCATAAGCCCGGGCAAACGACTCGGTATTTGGCCCATAGGATGTCCACCATGGGACAGCCTTTGTAGATAAACGCATCCATCGAGAAGATCTGTGCTGCGACGATGCCAATCGGTTCCGCGTGACCGTGGTTAAGCGAGGCCTCGTTGAGGAGCGATGCGATTAGACTTTTCGCAAACATGTTCAGCGCGTAGATCAGAAGAGCCGGCACCTTCTCATTCTCGGAGTTGGCGATCTCTGGGGGTGGGAAGGCCAGGAACTGGCGGATGTCCACCGAGGGCTCGGGGATGGAAGCGGCTTTTTCGAGCGTCGTTTTGATCTCCTGGAGCTGGGTTTTATTGGTTCCTTTGCCTTCACGCAGCTGACCCACGCACTTCTTGATGGATCGACGCATGTCTCCCATGTTTTGCTTGACTGCGTTGTTGGCTTTGCCCTGGTCTCTCATGTACTGCCGGAACTTCTTGAGATGCTGATGCAGCTCCACATAGCGGTTGTGCACCTTTATCTCGGCCTCCGTGGGCCGGCCATTGGCACCTTGGGTCCTCCGCTCCGCCTGCGCCTTCTGCTCCGCCTCGGTTTTGGCTCGAGCGGCTTCTTCCTCGGCCTTCTTGGCCTCTGCTTGACGCTTGCGATTCTCCTCCTCCACTCGTTGCTTTTCCTGGCGTTCTCGTTCCGCCTGTTCGTCGCGTCGTTTCTTTTCGGCCTCGGCCTCGGCCTTCTTCCTCGCTTCCTCCTGGGCCTTTCGCTCGGCCTCGCGTCGAGCAAGTTCCTCTTGCTCCCGACGCTGTCTCTCGGCCTTCTCCCGTGCCACTCGCTCTGCTTCCTTGCGCTCCTCCTCCGCCTTTCGAAGTCGTTCCTCCTCTACCGCTCGGCGATGCACACGCAGGGTCTCTTCGGCCTCCTCCAAGAGTTGGCCATGGCGCGCAGCGACCTGGTCGAGGGCGGCGTTGTGGACGGCTTCTAGCTCGCTATCGGCTCGATCGAGATTCTCGTAGAATGACCGGCGTTCGTAGGCTTTCACTTTCTTCAGCTCGGTGTTGTGGACTCGCAATTGCTCCAGATCCCTGGCCAGGTCGGATACTAGCTGTTTGGACGGGCTGTCCAGCTGCGAGGGGTAGCTTAGTCGGCCCATGTTCTATGATTTGAGGGTTTGCTTGTTTGGCGAATAGTTGGAAATTCGGCGAAGTTCGAAGGCAAAGGAGAGATAGATGGCGGAATAGCTCAAATGAGGGTTCGAGCGCTGGGACAGTGCTAGTTGAATGACCGCAAGACAAGCAATTTCATAGCTCGGGGAACCTTGGGACACAGTAGAAGCAGATCACTATGACCCGGACAAGGAGTTGGGTTCCGAGATACACGCCGAGCTTCAATCAATCGTATCGGATGAACTTGCGCGACCGATTCCAAGGACCAAAAAGACCTATGCTCAATTGGGATGGAATTCCCAGCAGCAGATGCAGGATGAAAGGAGGGACGAGCCAAAGCGGCCAGGTGAAAGGGATGTGAGCGTCACAGTCGACAAGTCAAGAATGGAACGCGATCTTTTTGTCTGGAAGGGCGCTGAGTCAGCCATCTGCAGCCTCAGGGATCAGGCCGAGGACAAGCAGCAAACGGTGCAAACGCGGGTCTTCCCAGTTCCTTCGGTCGGCCCGACTTTGCGTCATGATTAACCTCTCTTTTAACTCTGTAAGTACCTCTTCTTCCATCTATTCTTCCGTCGAACTGTGGTCACAACGCAGATGGTCTGGTCGCATCCTCCCCGAATCTTCTACCCGAGTGCTCCTCTCACTCCTACGAAATATCTCGAATCGATTCTACCCTCCGAGCAAGTGACCTTCTCCGGAAGCCCGCAAAGCCGCCGACAGCTTCTGTGGAGTCGCAAGGACCCAAAGACGAGACAACTATTGGATCCGGCGCATCACCCGGTGGATCCGTACCGTATCAGGCATACGGTAGCCTGTAGGGAATAGTATGCGACTAGGAGACTAGGAGAGTAGGTTGTTGGGAGGTACGGAGTAAACAGGATATCATATGGTTGGAGTCTGCCACTCGACCCCAAGCATTTCAGACTTACTACTCAGCTATCGTGTCTATCTACATGGTCAATTCAGAGAAGGATTCAGATGGACCTCAAGAGTGGGTAAAAGGAATACAATACGCCATGACAGCAGGCCGAACCAGACCCTGCAGTCCTCCAAAGTCTGGTAACTTTGCTTAGTCTCTTCCCCAGCATATGATGATGAGGATAATGATGATGATGGTGAAGAAGAGAAAGAATGAAAGAATGAAAGAGAGTTACGGCGTAAGTCGATTTAGCATCATCAGACTCGACAGTAACTCCGTGTAGACCGTCGTAGCAGGTAGACTGTAGGAACGTTCCAGTAATCTTCGTATGGTTTATATTATTATTGATCCCCGTTATTCCTTACTTGTTCATCTCTCTTTCTTCTTCTTCTTCTTCTTCTTCTTCTTCTTCTTCTTCTCCATCACTCTTCTTTCTTCTCTCTTCTTTCTCCCTTCTTCCTCCATCTTCCTTTTGACTCTCTCTATCTCTCCTTCATCTCCCCTCAATCATTCCTTCGGGTTGATCATTCGGTTTCTGTCATTCTCTTCGTGGTCAGATCCATCATCTTTCCCCTCCACTCTTGGAAAAGAAAGTCGTTCAAAAGATATTCTTATCAAATTAAAAAAACTCCAGAAAAATAACCAAAAAAATAACAAAGACCGACCCCTCGCGTGGGGAATCCAATTACCAGTTCGACCACTTCGCTTTGATCGACTGAGTGGCCTTTTCCCCTATTCCTTCGTCGGGTTTGAACCGGAGGAATCGCCCTCGTTGATCCTCTCTCCCTGATCGCAATCAAGGAATCAATCCAGAAAAATTAAGAATCGAAAATAAGAAACGACACAAAAAAAACCCGGAACGGCGAAGAAAAGTGTGAAATTAAAAACGAAGGCGAAAGAATCCCCACCGAGAGAAAAAAAAAAATCCCCCCTGAACGAGGCCAGGTGCGCTAGTCAGTCGATGGCAGTTGGGGCATCCGCTTACTCGGTCGTTCCCCTCTCTCCGTCTTCCAAACCCCCCCCCATCCCTCCAGCTTCATCCTCTCTTTCCACAAGTCGATCTAAATCTGGCTGCGGCTTGATTCTGCTTCAATCTTTTCCCCGACTTCTTTTTTCTCTCTTCTTTTTCTTCTTTTCTACCTTTCATCTTCCCTTTTCTTTCTCCTCTCCTCTTGTTTCTTGTTCTTTTCCTCTCCCTCTCTCGCTCCTTTCCCTCTGCGATCGACCCGTAACCCGGTCACCGCTTCCTTACCTTCAGTAAAAAAGGAATTTCTCGTGTGAAAAAAAAAAGGGGGAAGAGGGAAATCTCAACAAGACGTCACGGTGGACGATCATTTACCGGTAAGCTTCTTCACTGCAAAGAACCGTCAATGCCGGTCTACTCGACTTGCCTTTGGACCTTCCTCCGTGGCTTTTCTTGCCTCCATTGTCATCTGTCCGATCTCTTGTCCCCTCCATCCCTTCCCCTCGTTCCTTCCAGCCAGCTTGCCTCTGTTGATGTCACTCGCTCTCTCGTCGAGGACAATCGTAGCTTCCATCCGGGTGTCTTGCATTGCCCTCCTCCCCTTGCAGCTCTTCTTCTGACTTCCCCGATCGATCTTTGTTGTTCTCTTCTCCCACGTACTCCTAATTCGCTCCGCGCACCTAGACTGACCTATTTGTCTCTCTTATCTAGTAGCAATACTTCAGACCTCATCCGTCGTTGCTCCTAAGTCTTTCGGTCGCTTTGCAAACGCAAAACGTCCTCTTTCGCCACTCTCTTGTCATTGACAGGCCCCTCTTTGCAAAGACTTGATCCCGACGATACCCCGTCCTCTCATTTCCTCCCGAAAGATGGATCAACAGGGTCAATCCGGGGTTCCCGGCCCGGCTGGCCGCAAGCTCCATATCGCTCATCGGAGAAGCCCGTCGGAACTCACTCCCCTCATGAGTACGTCCCCATACAATCTTCCCTTTGTCCTTATACTTGGCCAACAATTGAGCTAACAACTCGTCAAGTGGAACAACTGGCTATTCAGCAACAGATCGAGCTGCTCCAACAGCAGCAGCAACAAATTGCCGCCACGCATCAACAGTATGTCAACATGGGACTGTTACAACCGCAGCAGCTGGGTCAGGTCTCGGGATTCTCTCCTTCGTTGCAAGGCGGCGGTGCGTCCGTCGGTGGCGTTTCCCCTCAGATCAATGCCTTCCAATTCCCCCAGCTTGCCCAGCAGCAGCTCGGTCAGCAGCAACAGCAGCAGCAGCTTGGCGTGCCGATGAACACCTCGAATCAGCATTCCCATCGGCGCAATCAATCGGCACTTCCGGGTCTTGGTATGGGTCCTCCTCCCGCCCCGTCCTCGGGAGCATCCGGATACTCCGACTTTAACCAGCAACAACAACAACAAAACTCCCAGCCCAAGAATGAGAATGGCAACCACGGCCGCAGTCGGGGACCCCCCGGCGGTGGCGGTCACCAGCGTCGTCACTCCCTGGCCCTTCCCGAGGCGAAGAAGGCGGCCGAGCTGGCTCAGCAGAAGAGGACCGCGTCCGGTTTCCAATTCCCCGGACCCAACGCCGGCGGCGAGTCGTCCGATAATACGGCCAACTCCGACGACAGGTCGACCCCGCTTAACACGCAGGCACCCCAGGGCTTGGGATTCCAGCGTGCGGGTAACGTTCGGGCCGGCGGCGGTCACGGCCGCAGCCAGTCGATGGCCGTGGGCGGCAACCGAGGGTCGTTGTCGGGTCGCGGTGCTGGAGGTTTCCAATTCCCCGGCCCCAGCGACGGATCGACCGGGTCGGAGAACCAGCGACGAGGCAGCCAGGCCGGCGGTCATGCTCGATCCGGATCCAGGAACTTCGACAGCAACTGGCGTCAGCCGAACAACCAGGGCCAGGGTCAGGATCAGCAGAAGGGCTTCGGCCAGCAGAGCGGTGGTTTCCAGCCCGGTCACCGTGCCCGTGCCTCCATGAACCAATCCATCGGCTCCATCGGTTCCTTCCAGTACCCCAACCAACCCCAGCTCATCCAGCTCCCCCAGGGCCAGGTGGTCATGGCCTCCCCCCAGATGTTTGGCGGTAACCAGCAAATCAATCCCTTGCAGCTGGCTCAACTGCAGGCTCTGCAGCAGAACGGACAGCTCAACAACCAGGGCCTGGGTCTCCAGGCCAGCCAGCATGCTCCTCCCCAGGTGTCTCCCCAACAGCAGCAGCAACAGCAACAGCAGCAACGGAAGACGCTCTTCACTCCTTATCTGCCTCAGGCCAACCTTCCCGCCCTGCTGAGCAACGGCCAGCTGGTGGCCGGTATCCTGCGGGTCAACAAGAAGAACCGTTCCGACGCGTACGTGACGACTCCGGACCTTGACGCGGATATCTTTATCTGTGGAAGTAAGGACCGTAACCGTGCGCTGGAGGGTGACTACGTCGCCGTGGAGTTGCTGGATGTCGACGAGGTGTGGTCCCAGAAGAAGGAGAAGGAGGAAAAGAAGAAGCGCAAGGACATCACCGATGCTCGGTCGGGCAGCAACGCCGGCGGAGACAAACTCTCACGCTCCGACTCCGGCCCCAATGGCGACCGTCAGGAGGTCGGACCCGACGGTAGCATCCGCCGCCGCGGCAGTCTTCGCCAGCGTCCCACGCAGAAGAAGAACGATGACGTCGAGGTGGAAGGTCAAAGCCTTCTCCTGGTCGAGGAGGATGAGATTAGCGACGAACAGAAGCCCCTCTACGCCGGTCATGTCGTGGCCGTGATTGAACGAGTTGCCGGACAGATGTTCTCCGGAACCCTTGGACTCCTCCGTCCCAGTAGCCAGGCGACGAAGGAGAAGCAGGAGGCGGAGCGGCTGGCCAGAGATGGTGCACACGGCCGCCCCCAGCATGACCGTCATCAGGATAAGCCCAAGATTGTCTGGTTCAAGCCCACCGACAAGCGTGTTCCTCTCATCGCCATCCCCACCGAACAGGCCCCGCGCGACTTCGTCGAGAAGCACCAGGACTATGCCAACCGTATCTTCGTTGCTTGCATCAAACGGTGGCCCATCACCTCCCTGCATCCGTTCGGAACTCTGGTGGAGCAGCTGGGTGAGATGGGTGATCTGAAGGTCGAGACCGAGGCGCTCCTCCGCGACAACAACTTCGGCTCCGACGAGTTCTCGGACGCTCTTCTAAAGAGCATTGGCTGGGAGGACTGGTCCGTCGCTAGCCAAGGCGAGGCTCTTCTGGCTTCCCGCCGTGACTTCCGCCAGGAGGTTACGTTCACCGTCGATCCCCAGGGCACCAAGGAGCTGGAGAACGCCTTCCATTTCAAGACTCTTCCTGACGGCAAGGTCGAAATCGGTGTTCACGTCGCGGATATTGCCCACTTCGTTAAGGCCAATTCTCTGGTGGATCGCGAGGCCAAGAAGCGTGGCACGGCCGTTTACCTTGTCGACCGTCTCGTCAACCTGTTGCCCCAGCGTATCTCCACCGACCTTTGCTCCTTGCTGCCCGGTGAGGACCGTTTGACCGTCAGCGTTGTTTTCAAGGCCAACCCGGAGACTGGTGTCGTTGACGACGATGTCTGGATCGGTAAGGGTATCATCAAGAGCTCGGGTCGCTTGAGCTATGATGAAGCGGATGCCGTTATCAAGGGTACTTCGGAGGTCGCTTCGCCTGAAATCAAAGCCGACACTATTCGGGCACTTTACGTAAGTTTCTCCCCTTTTTTGACTCCTCTGATTCATGCAGCTAATATATTCCTCGAAAACAGGCTGTGTCTTCGAAGTTCCGCGAAGCAAGATACGGAAACCGCACTTCGCAGCTGCCCCCTCTTCGCCTTCTGTACCAGATGGACGATGAGAACGTGCCGGTTCGCTACAACATCTTTGACGCATCCCCCGTGCAGGAGCTAGTAGAGGAGCTGAGTCACAAGGCAAACTTCTTCGTTGCCCGCAAGATTGTGACTGCGCTGCCCGACAAGGCTTTCTTGCGTCGTCAGCCCTCTCCCAACGCGCGCCGTCTCCAGACCCTGGTTGAGCGCATGAACAGACTTGGCTTTGGCTTGGACCCCACCAGCAGTGGCACCCTGCAGAGCAGTCTCTGCAAGGTCCAAGACGACAACCTGCGACAGGTAAGCTTTTCCCGATTGAACAAGCAACGACGGTACAGCGCTAACCGAATCACACGTCTATAGGGAATGGAAACACTCCTTGTGAAAGCAATGCAGCGTGCCAAGTACTACGTTGCCAGCCCTCAGGATGAGCAGCGTCAGCACTTTACTCTCAACCTCCCGGTGTACACCCACTTCACCAACCCTTCCCGACGATATGCCGATATCATTGTCCACCGCCAGCTGGAGGCTGCTCTCTCTGACGGAGCGGTTGAGTTCTCCGAAGACTTGGAGTCTCTGAACAAGACCGCGGATCTGTGCAACAACAAGAAGGATTCGGCCCACAACGCCCAAGAGCAGAGCGTTCACATCGAGGCTTGCCGGGAAATGGACAAGAAGCGCCAGGATATTGGCGGCGACCTGATCAGCGAGGGTATCGTCCTTTGCGTCTACGAGTCCGCCTTCGACGTTCTCATCCCAGAATATGGGTTCGAGAAGCGTGTCCACTGTGACCAGCTACCTCTGAAGAAGGCCGAGTTCCGCAAGGACAGCCGTACTCTGGAGCTCTACTGGGAGAAGGGTGTGCCGTCCTCAGCGTACATCCCCGAAGACGAACGGCCGAAGCCTGCAAACTCCCGTGCTGCCCAGGCTGCCGCAGCCGCGCGTGAAGCAGAGGCTGCCAGAGAGCGTGCGCGCGAGAGGGAGGAGAACATGCGCAAGCAGACCGAGACCGGTACCATGTCCGCCGACGATGTGGACGCTCTTTTCGATGACGACGACGACGTCTCCGAGGTTACCGAGATGGCCGCTGGCGTGTCGTTGAACTCGGCCGCCGATCGCTCCACTCAGAGCATGCCCCCGTCCCCTACCCGCAACGGGCACCTCCAGCAGGCCCCTCACCGCACCCGCTCGGATCCCAAGATCGCCACCATCTCCGGCGATGCTCCCGAGGCCAAGTTGACCAACAAGGAGAAGTACCTGCGGCTGTTCAAGCTGCGCGAGGAGGATGGAGAGCACATCCAGGATGTCACCGAGATGACCCGTGTTCCCGTTATTCTTAAGACTGACCTGAGCAAGAGTCCTCCGTAAGTTTATTCCATGAGCATGTCTTGACCTTATTTCGTCCCCTACTAACCTCTTTTGACTCTAGATGCCTCACTATCCGCTCCGTCAACCCCTACGCTTTGTAGAGGGCAGAGCACTCTATATTCGCCTCCTCACATGTTGAAGTAATAAGTTTTGGCCCATTTGGCAAACCTTTCACAGGGGACGTATAATTGATATACATTGGTTGTCCTACAGCTCAACCATTATTACTTGATCACTCAACCAATTGGTTGGCTCTTGCATGTCTTTGTTTCCCTGACAATATTGCTTTTTAATCAGTCTAGCGTGTTTAGTGCTCTCTGTTTTCCTTTTCCCATTTCCTTTTCCTTTTTCCGTTTGCTATAATGGCTGGTCTCCTAGTTTTTCTACAAGACCGCTCCGGGGAGCCGGTTATCTTAGGTTGTTCAAATATCAATTATTCTTACAGCGTGGTCTTGTTTTGGGGAACAGAAAAGCCTCGGGGAGAACTGTGTTGATGTATCACTGATCTCGTTTTGCGAAACGTATACTGATCCAGAAGTGTTCCACGGAGATGAAGGAACTGGAGGATGGGTCGCGTCGGAAAATTGTCTTATTTTAGATAGTCTCATGGCTTATTGACTGGCTGTTTCGGAGATACTTGAGTTGTTGTAGGATCAACCGTAAGATAAGAAGTCTACGAAGAAATCAAGTCACGAATCCATCGATCACGTTTGGATAACTATACCAAGTCTATCAATATCAAGTAATATCAAGTAATAGACTCCAATACCCAATGCGATCACAATCACAGTGGCTTTCCCGAGAGAAAGAGAGGGAGAAATGTATATAAGTCACTTTTTCAGAACTCATGTATGAATGTATGTATGCCATGCACGCCAATCAGTTGTCAGTTGCCTGTCCGATTCCAACCCTGGCCCCAATGCTGAACACTTTAAAAAACTGGAAAACGCCAAGCCAAATGCGACATACACCCCGTACAGAAGCCCTGGCATGGGAAGACAGGACAGAGGGGAATAAAAAGGACAAGGAAAGAGAAACGAACAAGAAGGGTGGGGGATAGGGATATAGGAAGAGAGTCAGGTATAACCTGAAGGTATTATAAATAAGGGTACGTGAAGAGTAACGGGATGGTTGATGGAGGATGGTTAGGTAGGTAAGGAGGTTACAGCCTCCTAATACCAAGACGAGGTTTCGCTTTTTTCATGCCAGAGCCGGAGACTTTTCTCGAGCCTAGGAGGCCCGGTCTGGATAGTTTAGAGGTGCCCAGGCCAGGAGCAGCCGCGGGAAAGGTATTGGCCGCCGTACTGCCGGCTGGGATCGTTGACGAGGGAGCGAGGATGGTCGATGGGAAGGAAGTGGAGAGAGGTTTTCGATCCCGTAGACCCTTAGACCCTGCGGCGGAGGTGGACGAGGAAGATTCATGGTTCTCTTTGCCGTCGCCGCTCATTTGACGGTCTAGGTCCATCCCATTTCCTGTCGCGGGCTCGGGAACGTCCTCGAAGATTTGGAGATCGTCACGGATGCGGCCGGAGGAGTTGACGCCTTTATGGAGGAGAGAGAGTTTAGGGGATTTGCGCTGCGGGGAGCCATCAAGGGAGTTGTGGTATTGGGGGTCGCGGACGGCGGAGTGGTGGTTGGCGGCGATGTTCTTTTCAGAGGCAGTCATGGGGTGGTCGGTGTCGGTGTCGCTGTTGTCTCCATCTGAGGCCATGCCCATTCCCGTTGCGGATGAGGGATCTGGGTAGTCGACTGGGACTGTGAGGACAGACAGGGGTCGTTTGCCGAAGGCATTCTTGCGGGGACTCGACGAGAAGAACTTGACGGGAGATGGGGATAGCGAGGGGTCGTTCTCTTTGCTGGCGGCAGAGAGGTTGTCGGGCTCGTCGTCTGAGAAGGTAGGGGCCGGGGAGTCATTTTCTGTATCATCGAGTTGGTCATCGTCGTCATCGTCGGATGTATCTTGGTTATCGAGTTGGTACGGCGACGGTTGCGATTTTGCTGTCGTCAGCGGGGTAGTAGCGGGTGCGTTCGTCTGGGCGGTTTTCTTCATTGTCACTGTTTGGGTCTTGACGTTTTTGCGAGACCGTAATAATCGACCATCCTCTTGCTCTGGAATCACCGTGCCCGCATCCTCTCCTCGTAGTTTTGCCTCGGACACTGCCTGTTTCATGTCTGCCGGGACAGGCGCATGGATAGACGTCATTAGCTTTGCCTGGCGGGCAAAGGCTTCGTAGTTTTCTTGGAGGAGCGATCCGGCCGACGAATTCAAGGCAGAGTCTGGATTCGGATAAATCAGGAGACATGATATCGTCTGCGCAACACATTCCACTGGTTAGCTTTTCAACCGTGATTCAACACCCCGGACACTAAGGCCACTCACGATAAGAACATCCTTCAACGTCAATGTCGGTTTCCAGTCCCGTTTCAATGTATCCACGCACACAGCCCCCGTCGATTCCTCCACGTTCGGATGCCATATGCGAGTTCTGAACGTGGCCTTGGGCGGGCTCTTGGGGTAATCCTCGGGCATTTTGAGGTGGAGTCGCCATAGACCCTGCGAGTACGGCGTGCCCTGCGGTCCAGCCAACAGGGTCGAGAGTTGAGTCAAGTCATCGCCGGACGAATCTTCGGAGGGATGGAGGTAATTCGGCGGGAGGTCCTCGTGTAGGGCGGCATGGTCTGCCGCCAGACGTCGGAAGCCAGACGGCTGAAAGAAGGGGCGAGGTTAGCTAAATCGTCCATTTCGTTCGTCTGTTTTATAAGTTAGAATAGTTGGAGGGTGGGCTAACCATATTGTTCCTGGTTTCCAGTTATAGGCAAGGCAATGGAGCGGTGGTGTTGGTGCGATCTGGCAGCTATTGACGATGATCGAAGTATGTTGCGTGGTGCCACAAAGGTGCCCAAGGTCCAATGGTAACGAATGCACGCTGTGATCACGACAGAGATAGAACCGGAAAGATAAAATCCGATTTGACAGAGCTAAGCCAGACACATGTAACGGAGTCCAGGCGCAAAAAGAAGAAGGCGACGATCACAGGCCAGCTTTGTCTAGATCTCGGTTGCCCCGACGTCTGCGGTGTTTCCCTTCTTTTGTTTTGATGATGTGAAGCGGTCGCCGCTAGTCTCCATCGGGTCGGCAAACAAAGGCGCGAGATCCGTCATGTGACTGACGCGTGGCTGACGCGTTTGGGGAAGTGTAATGGGTTGCCTATTCGGGACTAGTCCTTATCCCTGGAGACTATTGCCTTCTTAGCCGTTCATTATTGTGGACCGGGGATCGAGATATCCAAGATGGTAGATCAGACTAGACGGAGTATAAAAGACATCCATAGTTCCTTTGATCCGCCCCGTAATAATATCTACAATTGGGACTCAACCTTTAGAAGCTCAGGAGTGTGGATCCAGACACATGTCGCATGTACCGTGACTTCATTAGGATATTATTATTAGTTTACTACAGAAGAAGACAATTCTTATGTGCGCCGCAACTATGCATCTTTTGTAACAGGCGGTTGGCTTCGAGCAAACGAGAGAGACAAATGAAACGAGAACGGACCCCTGCCCAGCATTGATACAAATTCCAGATGAAGAGAACGTGCGGCAGATCGATATTGCTTATCTCGTAGTTCTCCTCGTTGTTCCTTTTGGGGAGGTTTCAGATGGCGGAGAAGCCATGAGCATCTGTTTCCTTTTCCCACATCGATCAAAGGATTGACAGTAGCGGGATCGACGTCAACTCATGGGTCCAGCGGGAGGTGAGATGATGCCAGTCGTTTACAGGAAAACAGCGATGGCAGCACCGGCCAGGAGACCCATGGGGCCGGCGGTGGCCATGGGCACACCGGCGTTGCCGGAGGAGGTGCTGGATCCGGTGGCGGAGCCAGAGGCGGAGGCGGATTCGCTGGACGAGTCGCTGGTGGAGGACGACTTGTGGCCGGACTTGGTCTTGGTAGAAGTCTCGGTCGAGTTGGTGGTGTGGCTCTTCACGGCGCTGCTGGACTTGGTGAGAGTGGAACCGGCCGAGCTGGATCCGTGAGCGCCGCTGGAGGCAGCAGTGGTACCGGTGGGGATGACGGGCGAGGAGGTGGCACCGGTAGCACCAGAAGTGCCACTGACAGCGGTGGTAGCGTCGTCGGCACCGGTCGAGACAGCAGTATCGGTGGCAGTACCCGAGGCAGTGGCAGTACCCGAGACAGCACCGGTGGCCGTACCGGTGGCAGTAGCAGAAGCAGTAGCGCCGTCAGTAGAAGCACCAGAAGCCTGGACCTCAGAGGTAGTGCCGGTGGGCTGATGATGCAAGCGTCAGTACGATTCGGGCTTGGATCGGATTATGGAATACATACCACAGCCTCGGTAGAGGACTGAGCGACGGCGAGAGCCGAGAAGGCGACGAGGAAGAGAGAGGCACGCATTTTGATTGAAGGTTGTTGTTGATCACGGAAGAGCTGAACGACTGACTGTTGATCGAGAGGGGACGACGAGACGGTCTTCAGATAGCGAGCAAGCGAGCGAACGAAATGAAGATGAAAGTCAAGAGTAGTTGCGAAACGACGGTGGGGGGGAGGAGGGAGAAGACTTTATATTAACGGAAGAGGGAAAGGGGAAACAAAGAAAGTGACAGGTGCAGGGGAAACCTTTAAATAGACCGTAAACCTCGTACCGTAGCTAGCTACAGGCCAGCCCCCGGTGACCCTACAGTGGTACTTCATCAGCCCTGCGTCTCGTTGGATAAGCCTACGCCAACCTGGCCATCCCTCCTAGTGGCAATCGCACCTGCAGGATCCACCGGCCACAGGGAGACGGGAGACTGAGTCTAGGGCGTTCCGGGGCGGGCTGGTCTAAGCCCTGTTGGTGCGCAGCAGAAAGCCAAATCTGCCTGGTGAAAGGGAGGGTTTGCGTATGCTTCCAGGCTATTTGGGCTATTTTTGGCCGCCACCCGGACACAGTCAGCTGCTGGGCCCACTGGTCTCGTCTGTTTGTTGTTGTCTTTTTACTTTCTCTTTTCTTTTTTTTTCCCTTGTGTTTTCTTTTTTGTGCATTCGTCTCCGTAAAAGTTTGTCCTCCCTCTGGCACTCTGGCTCCCTTAGTCCAATCCTTGTCTCACTCATCGCATCCCAAAATAACGAAGTATCCATGACTAACGGTTATCTCAGTTGCTTCTATTTTCAACCCTTCTGTTGAATTGGAAGACATGTGCAACTCCATCGAGATTGTCCGATCCGCATAGACCTCATTCAAATTAAAACCGCCAACAAATGAATCACTCATAATGAAAATGACCGGGGCAGGTCAGTTGCCCAGACCTCATCTCCCGCGCCTACCAGTTAGCCCATTGCTTAGGGGTTTCCTAGGGGAGGGTCAAGCCACCGTCATCCCAGCAATCATAATGTACAGTATTCGTACTACCCTGCAGTACTCCGTAAGTTGTAACATACTCCGGTGCCTCGACTCATACGTAATCCCCAACTGAGGGGGGGACCGAGTCCTATGTGCAAACGGCGCATGGTTTGCAATCCATCCATCCGTGCAAGTCATTATTCGAGAGTCGCCCGTATCTGCGAGGCTTGAGCCTCGACTTCGCACCACGGATTGGTTGACAAGAGTCACGGACGCCGCAGGTAAGATTGGATTTCCTGCCATCCTACCTGGGGGCTACCTAGGTATGATTGTAGCATGTAACTGTATGTATGTGTCCGGAGTATACGGATCCTACCTAGGGAAGCAAATACTACAGGGTCCATACCTACAGTAGAACTAAGGTAAAGTCTTTTTTATGTATGCCCGGCTGGTCGATTCTTACGTGTCGAATTACGAACAAGGTAGGACACAGGCTGCACACACGCACACCTACAGCCAGATCTTGACATATCGTCGAATTCCTCGGACAACGCGATGAATGAAAGAATTCCCGTCGCACGGAATCAGCCGACAAGCGACCCTTTTGTGGCAGGGAGTACGTATGCCCGCCCTGCAGCATCGGCCTGACAGACAGAATTTCCAAGACATTTGGACTCGGTCTGGAAGAGTCTGCCGTAAGGTACCGTTTCCAGGGGGTCTTGGACTTTCAGTGTAACTATGAATGTACTGTAAACACTGTAGGTATGAATTATGAAACCTCCGAGGGGAAAAGAAGGGAGTGGTCTGGATGTATTGGTAATTACCGCCCCCTCCTTCCGACGCAAGGGAAATTTAATAAACCAATGAGTGAATCATAATGAACGAGGGTTATGGCAGGATTCCCCCTTCTGAAGACATCAACAGTGCCTGACGATGATGGTATCACCGTGACCCTTTCTTTCTACTTCTAGCTCGACTCCCTTCCCCCAATCAGTGACTTAATCTGCCCCAGGACTAGGTGGATCTGCGTCAATCTACGTGATGAAAATAAGTGAGAGAGACAAAATTGAGAAAATCTCAAAAATCCAAAGAATGCGTGGAGACAAGACGGAGCAAGACACGGTGGCACCAAAGGGAGCTAACTCGTTAGCCGACATCCATCGCGGGAATGGAATCCAATCGACGGGAGGCTGTCAAAAACATGTGGTTCTCTTGTCTCGCTCTCTTTCAGACATTCTCACTTCTCACTTTCTGGCTCTCAATTTCCGTCTATTTTTATAATCGATTCCTGTCGGGTGTTTTGCCATATTGACGAACGCCCGAACGGCTGAAAGAGGGCTGACTGGGGAGACAACGTGGAGGAGTCAAATGATGCGTCGCTTCTTATAGATCAAACACCATGTGACACATGTCGTCGGAGCTGTCCGTAGAGACCCCCAAATCAGGCTAAGAGGGCGTCGATTCTATTTTAATCGGGAGAGTCATGCTCCGTTCAATCTTATACTAGGATAAATTGATGGAAGAGTCGAGAAATCAAATTAACCCGCCATACTAAGCGGTAGAGCTTAATCCGAACATTTCATTCTTATTAGCTACGACATACGAATCATCATTATCTGTCTTTTGGAGCTGACAAGACCCTGAATGACCAAATCAGGGTCCAAGATCCGTAACACCTACAGAATACTCCGTAGTTAATCAATCCTACATAAGATTATGACACCCTCTACTTTAATACGCCGTCGGAGTAGTTTTACTCCCGACATTCTGCAGCCCTCATTTTGGGCCCTTGCTTGTGTGCCTGTACGGTACCTTGCACCTCACACCTCACATGCGGGAACTCGGATGTATTCTTGATTCGATGAAATGATGTTGTCCGAGGTCCTTCCAGTCTATTCTGAAGTTGGAGGGCAACCTTTCTCATCCAGAGCTTGTGCAGAATCCATGTCCAGCCTCTCATCTACAGATCTCATGTCTGCCGAAAGCTATCTCACGCTATAATGTGAATTCACTTTCAATAATACTTGATATCTCACTATGATTCTATGCGCACAGAGTACTCCGTACTCTTCTGTCAATCACTAACAGCTAGATCATTTACCTACACTAACCAGATAACATAACCAGATGTCAGATCCTCACCCCAAAGTCTCCCTCACCAAGCCCTCATTCGCGCGCAAGAAATCCCTAAAACTAGCAAACGTCACCCCCAACTCCGCCTGCAACTCCCTCGGATCAAACAGCGTCTGCCGCTCCCAATACCACAGCTGCAGATCAATCTGCACACTCGTCTTCGCCAGCTCCCTCGCCTCCGCCTCGGGGATATGCTCCACTCGAATCTCCCTCCCACTGACCTCCGCCAGCGCCCCCGCCACCTCCTCCGCCGTCAACGCCTCCGCCCCGATATCAATCGCTCGACCCGCGAACCGGCTCGGGTCCGCGATCACCGCCGCCGCGATGCGCCCGATATCGTCCGGGCTGATCAACATGGTGCGTTTGCCCTCCGCTAACGCCGTCCGGAAGACATGCGACGCGGTCAGTTCGGGGAAGAACGCCGACGCCGTCGGGTTGAGGTAGTTTGTCATGAAGCTTGGCGGACGGAGGATGGTCCAGTTCGCGAACCCGGACGACCGCACGAGGTCTTCGATGGCGGCCTTGTCGAGAAAGTAATTCTTCAGCACGCTATCGGCTGGCCAGGTGGCCCAGCCCGGGAAGGACTCGTGGTGTTCGATGCCGCACACGCTGGGGTAGACGAGGGTGGTGACTGTGCCTGCGGCGCGCGCGGCGTGGATGACGTTCGTGGCGTGTCGGACTTCTGCGCCGTCGTTGCGGAAGGACGGGGACACGTTTAGGAATACGGTTGTTTTGTTTGCGCAGGCGCGGTGCAGTGAGTCCGGGTCGTCGAAGGATCCCTCGATGAGCGTCGCTCCGAGGCGTTGGAGCTCGAGGGCTGCGGCGCTGTTGGGTGTGCGGACTAGGGCGTGTACTTCGATCCCAAGGGCGAGGAGGTGTCGGGCTGTCGCGCCGCCTTGTTTGCCTGTGGCTCCGGTGACGAGGACGCTCATGTTTGGTGGGAGGGGAGGTGTTGTGAATATCGTAGTAGGGTTGTATGTATGGTAGAAGTTGAGTTGGGAAGCCGAGGGAGTAGATTGGTTATGTAGTCTACTGAAATGTAGGGTTCGATCTAGCCTAGCTTTTTTCGCATCGAATGGACAGAACTGTCTGGTTCTATACAGCATTCACTACCTGGACCTTTGTGTATCTTCCGGCTGGATACGGGGTTGCACCGTGAAACCCCGCATTAGCATGATTATGAATCAATCCTTGTATATTAATAATGTCAAGGTATCGAAAGGCTGTGGGTGGTCCGCAGGATCCCGGAGGCCACGGATATAGTTATGTGCAGCTCGAAACGGAGTGGTGCCATGGCACTTCGGCCAGATTAGTCGTAAAGTGTACGTAGTCGTCATATGTGGCTTATGATGCTCATATACGGAGTGTGATCACTGCCAAAGGGGTCCTGAATGGTAATCTAGTTATCCCAGTTGATGAAATGGGCGGCTATGCTCAGTTGTTTGACCCTGGAAAGGCGGCCATTGCTGATTAACTTTCCTCCTTCGGTGTCGCCGTCCTATGAGGTTAGGCTGTACTTGGAGTTGGAATTCCTTTGACGGGATGCTGAACTTGTCTTTAGTTGATCAGGTCATACACATACAAACTGTTCTTTTACATCTTGCTTGCCTTATCAAACTGAACCGAAGATAAGTACTTGATAGCACGAAAAGCAAACAGCCTCACCCCTGTCAGCTAGATAGGTTCTAGAAAGAACACTCAATTGATTCAAAACTTCATATAATACATTATACGATATCTATGCTCTCTCCTTCTCAAAGCTACTAGCCAGGTCGAGCACATACCTACAATACACCCCCATTCAAAGGTCTAGTCCATTCTCACATACTCTTCTAATTCCCGTTAAGGAATATAGATAACTAGGTACGTAGCAGGTAGCCAGAACCCATGCACCCACCCCTGACCAGATAGTATTTCACATCCCCCAATATCTCATTCAATTCAAGCCTTCGGGATATCTCCCTTCACCCAGTCCGCGAATTCCTTTCTCTTGGCCTGTCATATAACACCCGTTAGCATATCTCCCAAACACAAATATATCCATCCATCCATCCATCCATCCATCCATCCAATCCACCCCAAGAACCCTCCCATAGAGCCCATAACAACAAAACCAAACCCAACAGCCCCATTGTAACAAAAGATGAAGAAAGAAAAAACATACCCTAACATCCCAAAACCCATACCTCTCATCCAACCTACGATAGGGATTCCTCGCCCCTCCCTCCCGTTCAATCTGTCCCGCCCACTCGCTCCAACTAACAGGCTTCAATTCCGGGGCCCCGAGCACAAGGCCCACGGAGACGATGACGAGCGAGACGAGGGCTTCGATGACGATGTCGTGCGGGAGCGCGCTGGAGGCGCTGGTGAGACGGGCGTTGCTGGATAGGAGGGTATGTTCGTGCGCAGAGTAGCCTCTATTCGTTTTATGTGGTTAGTTTAGGTTCTGGTTCTGGAGATAGGGGAGGAGGGGAGACGGGGATTGGGTATGTTGTGGTGTTGGTTTTGGGGTTTGGAGTTTGGGGATTCCTAAAGGTAGGTAGGTAGGATGGTGAAGGACTAGACGTACGCGTGGGCCAGCAGCACGAGGCCGAAGAATGTGGCGAGGCGGGATAGGTATCCCATTTTGTATATGAGTTGAGGTAGGACCGACAGAGTGGAAGTGAGAGTCCAAGATGAATTCAAGGCGCCGATAATATCATATCACAGCTCCGGACTTCATGGCGTATGTAATCGGCTCGGAAAGTCTGGATTCTACGGTACCCTAGGCAGACCACAAGTGCAGGTCTGCAGGATGGAGACCTCAGGCGACAACCCCGCCGGGCCAGAGCCCAAGTGAAATTCTGGTTGGGCACCGGATTTTGGCCACTCGGCGGGGTAGGTCTGAATTGACCAGATATGCTTGATTACAATTACACATGAATCTACTGGTATAATGAAAGAGGTTGAATGTGGGTATTTTGGTTTTTTTCATTCATCAAAACGACCGGAGATCAACCGGTCGAGTTCTAGTTATTCAAGTTCGTGACATCAAATAATAAAATCCTTCATCACACCATTTCGCTTCATGATTAGACGTTTCATTTACAGCTTCTGCATGGCAGCAACGTCGGTGGACTGGACGTGGTCCTCGTCCTCCTCGATCTGAGCCTGGAGCTCGTCGGTGGAGACCTTCTCGTCCTCAACGACCAGGTTGATCTGGAGCTTCTTGATACCGAAACCAACGGCAACGAACTTGGAGGCACCCCAGACGAGACCGTCCATCTCGATGGCACGAACGTTAGCCTCCATCTCCTCAAGGTTGGTCTCATCATCTGTAAAGGTAAGTTAGCACGGTTCGACGAAAACAAGATGGCACAATACATACCCCAAGGCTTAACCTCAAGAGTCACAAGAGACTTAGCAACGGGCTTGGGCTTGGCAGCCTTCTTAGCCTTGTAAGCGGCAAGGTTGGCCTCACGCTCCTTGACGACCTCGGGGTCCTCCTCCTCGCTGTCGCTGCCGAAGAGGTCCATGTCGTCGTCATCCTCGGGCTTGTTCTTGGGGTTGGTGGGCAGGTCGGTGGACTCGGGGCCGTAGGCAGTGTAGGCCTTGGCGGAGTCACCGGGAAGAGAGGCGAAGTCAGACTCGAAAGAAGCGATGTGCTTGTACCAGCGAGCGACGTGAGGGTACTTCTCGGCGTCAGGAGCGCCGGAGAAGGCCTTGAAGGTCACAGCATCAGCCTGGGAGGGGGCGTCGCTATGAGGAAGGTTAGCCAAATGCAGTTCAACACGGCAAGCATTGATAACAGTTTTCAATCAGAAAAAGCAGCAAATGACAATAAAGACATATCCTTCCTGGCGATCAGAAACGCGATTGCTCGCAATTGTTGTGTAGTCTTGCAGCGGGGTCTTAATCCGCCTCATAAACACGGACCAATTGATTTTCATCATGCAAACAGGAACAGCTGAAACATAAAGCAAAAAAAAAAAAAAAAAAAACATGCAAGAAACATCGAAGGGGAAAATTCAAGGGTGGTCTTACCCAACAACGTAGCTCCGGGTAGAGAAGAAGTTGTTGGCAACTGAGGGGTACAATTAGTTTCCTGCAAAGAGTGTGGGAAGACGAGGAGGGGGAGAAGAGGGGGTAAAAGGGTTGTGAGAAAGAAAAAAAGAAAAGAAAAGGAAAGGTCACGTACGGGTGAGGCCAGTCTCAGAAACGAAGTCGGTGAAACCCATTGTGAAGGATTATGTATGTGAAGTATGAAGAGTGTGTTGGAAAGGAGGAAAAAAGTTGAGGGAGGGAGGGGAGTAATAAATAGGAGGGGAAAAATGTTCAAAGCAATTTCTTTCCGTTGCGAATTTTTTCGGCGCCAAAAAAGCCCCTCGACGGGGCTGCACGTGACCCGCCCACTGGTGACGGAGCTTCCTTGGAGCTTCCGCCACTCACCGTCGCGCCGGTGGAGCTTTCGAGAAGCGTCACGACGCTTGGGGTGCTCGGGGTATATAGCCACTGCCATGGACCTCGCTTTCATGGTCTCTTCGACTGCCTGAACCCTGCAAACACCTCGAACATTCCCATTTCAGTGTGTTCTTAAGCCATGGCTTCCCGGCTGCAGCTCACCCGGAGCCGTTTGCTTCGTACACCAGCTCTATCGCCCAACCGCATCATTCACCCTTCCCAGCGATTACGTCTTATCCCTCAGACGCGACCACTCCCTGCCCTCACCAGTAACGCCGTATTCTCCCCGTCAATCCTCGCAACGCGCAGCTATGCCAATGGAGGACGACCTCACCCGCCCGGAGGTACCCATCGGATGAACCTTGGGGGCGAGCCGGAGAAATCTGCGCTCGAACAGTACGGCGTTGACCTTACTGCCAGAGCAAAGGCCGGAAAGCTGGATCCGGTCATTGGAAGAGATTCTGAAATCCACCGGACCATTCAGGTGCTGTCGAGGCGGACCAAAAACAATCCTGTCCTCATCGGTGCGGCCGGTACTGGTAAAACAGCCGTCCTGGAGGGCCTGGCTCAGAGAATTGTGCAAGGGGATGTGCCCGAAAGCATCAAGGACAAGCGCGTAGTGTCCTTGGACTTGGGCTCACTCATCGCTGGAGCTAAGTTCAGAGGAGACTTCGAAGAACGACTCAAGTCGGTTCTTAAGGAGGTCGAGGACGCGCAAGGCGGTGTGATCCTTTTCATTGATGAGCTCCATACCTTGCTTGGCCTCGGAAAAGCGGAAGGCAGCATTGACGCTAGCAACCTTTTGAAACCCGCGCTTTCCAGAGGCGAGCTTCAGTGCTGCGGCGCCACCACATTGAACGAATATAGATTGATCGAAAAGGACGTCGCGTTGGCCCGACGATTCCAGCCGATTCAAGTCGGGGAACCCTCGGTCGCTGCGACAATTTCCATCCTGCGCGGCATTAAAAATAAATACGAGGTCCACCACGGTGTGAGAATTCTGGACAATGCCTTGGTTGCCGCAGCAACTTACAGCAACCGCTACATCACAGACCGCTTTCTTCCCGACAAAGCCATCGATCTAGTGGACGAGGCGGCCTCGGCCCTGCGATTGCAACAGGAATCCAAGCCCGATGTAATCCGAGAGTTGGATCGTGATATCACCACCATTCAAATTGAACTCGAATCTCTCCGCAAGGAAACGGACGTCAGTAGCCGGGAGAGACGTGAGAAATTGGAGGAGGACCTCAAGGTCAAGAAGGAGGAAGCTGAGAAACTGACCGAGATCTGGGACAAAGAGAAAGCGGAAATTGAATCGCTGAAGCGCACTAAGGAGGAACTAGAACAGGCCCGTTTTGAGCTGGAACAGGCCCAGCGGGAAGGAAACTTCGCCAGAGCCGGAGAGCTGCGATACGCCACGATACCGACTTTGGAGGCTAAGTTGCCCAAGGAGGGTGAGGAAAAAGAGTCAGGAGGATCTCAGTCGTCTTTGATCCATGACTCTGTCACCGCTGATGATATTGGAAATGTCGTCTCTCGCACAACCGGTATCCCTGTCAACAGACTCATGGCCGGAGAAGTCGAGAAACTGATCCACATGGAAGACACGCTGCGGCAGTCTGTGCGTGGGCAAGACGAGGCACTTTCCGCTGTCGCCAATGCCGTGCGTATGCAACGAGCTGGCCTGAGTGGAGAGAACCGGCCCTTGGCATCATTCATGTTCCTTGGTCCCACTGGTGTTGGAAAGACGGAGCTCTGCAAGAAGATGGCCGAGTTCTTATTCTCCACCGAGACGGCCGTAGTGAGATTCGACATGAGCGAGTTCCAAGAGAAACACACTATCAGTCGCTTGATCGGTTCTCCTGCCGGTTACGTTGGCTACGACGATGCTGGTCAACTCACCGAAGCCGTGCGACGGAAGCCATATGCCGTGTTGCTGTTCGACGAGTTCGAAAAGGCTCATCGCGATATTTCTGCTCTTCTACTGCAGGTGTTGGACGAGGGCTTCCTCACTGATTCTCAGGGTCACAAGGTTGACTTCAGAAACACCCTTATTGTCTTGACTTCCAACCTTGGTGCAGACATTCTGGTGGGCGCGGACCCGCTGCATTCCCACAAGGACTTGGGAGGTGAAGAACTCTCCCTTGAAATCAAAAAGGCTGTCATGGATGTGGTCCAATCTTCGTATCCGCCTGAATTCCTGAACCGTCTTGACGAGTTCATTATCTTTAGACGTCTGTCCAAGGATGCTCTGAGGGACATTGTCGACATCAGAATCAAAGAACTCCAGTCGCGACTTGATGACCGACGCATGATTCTGCAAGTAGATGATGAAATCAAGAACTGGCTGTGCGAGAAGGGATATGATCCCAAGTACGGTGCTCGCCCTCTCAATCGCTTGATTTCCAAGGAAATCGGCAACCGACTGGCCGACAGGATCATCCGTGGTGAGATCACTTCCGGGCAGACTGCTCGTGTTTCATTCAATGCCGACAAGACGGCGCTTGCAATCACACCGGAACCGGCAAATGCTGAGGATATTCCAGAAGCCCCCGAAGCTTCAGAGGCCGAAAAGCCGTAATGTCTCATGAACCAGTGCGCCTTATTTGTTTGTGACGTTGCATGATCTGGATCTTTGGGTTTTTGTGTTATATTATGGGTTGCTCCATCTGTATATGTATATAATAGCATCTCCTCTACTGTATATTATGTGAATTAATTGTATATGAACTATGAAATTTAGCATCCGGGCTATCCATGGCTGTTAATATGATCCTTATCACGAGATCTGGGAGCCTGAGGTATTCAGCCGCTACAAGTCATCATTTCTTGAGCCGAACTAATCCAATATTCATCTCCATTCTCTCCATTTTCGCTTGAGCTATGGAACCATCTATCGGAAAACTATCGCAAACCCTGTGCAATACAATCACTTTACTCCAATCTAGACATACCCCAAATGCCACTCCCCGCCCTGTCACTCAGCGTGCGTTACCGTTAAGCTCTCAGAGAAACCCTGCGTCGATGATCCCTCCATCGCCTATCGTCGTACACAGCAAGATCAATGACCGCCTAGATGAGCATCTCATTGATGATGTTTTCGATCAAGTCATAGTGGCTATCGATACAAGGGATTCCGGCACCGTCGGCTGCTCATACTACTCGGCCCGTGAGGAGAAGTTGTATCTGCTTGGGGATATGCAGTCGTCAGGTACCGACGTAATTGATACCAGTACGTTTTTTGCTGATGGTGAACTATGCGATATACTAAGTCGCTACTAGTAATCTTCCAGACCAAGCCTACCGTGATATTAGCTTCGCCTCGAGTCGACTATTTGCACGGCCAAGGAAGATCTGGGTCGGAACAAGGTTATAGTAAATTGGCGGTACATTGACATGGAATCCGCGAAGAATAACACGATAGCAGGCTCGGAGTCATATCTTCCGTATCAAATCGATATACGCCCATCTCAGGAATTCGGTCATGCGAGCGCAATGTCCAAGCTCGTGTCCTTAGACTTCTCGTCGAAGCATGAAGAGCGGATTAGATTCCTTGTGCCTCATGCAGGATTAGTCGACCCTGACCAAATGGATACTGAAAGCTTGGACTTTACGTTGCAAGAAGGGCGACTTTTACATATGGGTGGCTCAATCGAAATGCAAAACACCGTGACAATGGGCTGTGCTGGCGCTATCCTGACCTATCTGCAAAGGCGAAAAGCCATGATGTCGTCTGGCAATGGATCTGTCGAGATCTTTCGCATTGTCTCCGTCGAGATGATGGGATTGAAAGGTACCATGTAAGCGGCTACGCATATTCCCCTGGGCCTCAAGAAGTCGTCTTATGAAGAATGATAGGTTTGTCAACTCCAGGACTTTGCTTTCACTTCAAATTATGGAGTCAGAATCACACCCCTGCATGATCAGTCAAGGAGCTGGGAAGAAGTCTGCGTCGGCAAAAGAAGGACTTTCGGTCTACGGTTTATTTCAACGGTTCGCTTTTACACCTCAGGGTAAGAATATGCTCAAACAATACTTTCTTCGTCCAAGTACCGAGATGAACGTGGTCTCCGAACGACATAAGTTTATCGGTGTATATCTGAAACCGGACAATTTCAATGCTCTCAATAAGATCGTCAAAAGTTTGAAGCACGTGAAGAACCTCCGTTATGTCTTGATCAATCTTCGAAAAGGGATAAGTACTGGAAGTGCAAAAGTCACTGGCTTCAAAACCACCGTTTGGGCTACTCTTCTGGCTGTATGTCGAGTTAGCCAAATAATCTCTGACAAGGCGCCTGTTTGACTGCTTTTTAGTTTGCCTTCTACGGCATCGACATTCACGACGCCCTTAAAGAAACGTCCACTGGGTGTAGGCTTGAGTTGCACCAGAAGGTCGAGCTGTTGGCATACATTTAATCCAACAATGCTGACCTGTCCCCAGGCCCTTCGAGCTATTGAGGCTGCCCAACTTTACAAAGTTGGGAGGATGGTCCAAGAAATAGTCAGTACCATCTCACTCCCTTAAAACCTTGAGTAACCGCCTTAGGTCGACATCGATAGCTCTGAAGAGCAGGGCCGAACAGTTGTAAAGCCAGGTCTCGATCGAGAGCTTGATAAAATGAAGGATACCTATGATGGACTGAGTAGCTTGCTCAAGCAAGTCGCCATAGAGATTGCTACAACTATTCCCGAGAGTCTTGAAATCGACGTGAACGTGATCTACTTTCCTCAGCTCGGCTTTAACATCGCCATTCCGCTGACTGAAAGGGGCGAAGCAGCATACGTCGGGCCTGTGGACGACTGGGAGCTTGTTTTTGTAACAGAGAACCGGGCGTATTTCAAGGACTTTCGAATGAGGGAATTGGATCAGACATTGGGCGATATCTACGGGCTCATATGCGGTACGTACAGAGCCTTGAGAAACGATCGACACGCTGATCTTGTTTTTTGGTCTTCAGAAAAGGAGATTGAGATTGTTTATGAGCTAGCACAGAAAGTGCTTCAGTACGAAAAGGTCCTCATCGAAGCATCGGATATCTGCGGTCAGGTTGACAGGTGAATATCTCATATGCTTGAGCAAAGATCCTTTTTAACGCTTTTCAGTGTCCTTGCGATGGCGCAGGCTGCAAACTTCTATAAATTAGTCCGCCCTAAGATGACGGAGGAGAATATTCTTCGTATCAAAGGGGGCCGGTAGGTACTAGAAGTTATTTGAACGAGCAAGAAGCACTGACAACACGAAAGGCATATACTCCAAGAATTGACTGTCTCATCCTATGTTCCAAATAATACATTCCTTGTCGGGGGGAAATTAGACGCCGAAGCCCCGGAATCAACACATCAGTCTTCGAAGAAGACACCAAATATGCTCCTATTGACCGGTCCCAACTACTCTGGGAAGAGTGTTTATATGAAGCAAGTAGGTGTAGCAGCCCTTACGAAGGGATATGCTTCTCAAGATAAACTAGGTTGCACTCGTCGTCTATCTAGCGCAAATTGGAAGGTATGCAAGTTTTGATTCCGGTCAATCATGCATGCAAATAACTGGATGCCGTAGCTTCGTCCCAGCAGAGAGCGCAGAAGTCGGAATCACCGACAAGATCTTCTTCAAATCAAACACCCAAGACAGTGTTTCGCAGGTGAAGAGACAAAACCAAGTCAATGCTCTCCTACAGTTACTCACGACCTTAGAACCAAAGCACGTTCATGAACGATCTGCAGCAAATGTCATTTGATTTGAAGCAGGTGACAGGTCGAAGCTTGCTGTTGATTGACGAGTTTGGCAAAGGAACAAACGCAAATGGCTCGTATCACCATTTCCATTGACATCATCGGAATCAAGCTAACAAGTCATTTTGTATTCAGATGGCATCGGCTTAGCATGTGGAGTACTCGAGCATCTCCAGAGACTTGAAGACGCCCCAAAGATCATTTTCGCAACACATTTCCATGAGATTCTCAATCATCATCTCATAAAGCCCGGTCCTCGACTGCAACTAGCTCACATGGAAATCAAAATATGCGAAGACACCCGTGAAACCGGTGACCAAATCACATATCTCTACAAGTTTGAGCCCAGCCTAGTCTCATGATATCATACATTGACGAAATCCATTGTACTAACGCATACGGTCAATAGTTTCCGTCTAGGCCGAAGCAACAAGAGCTTTGGAACGGTGTATGTCTATTCTTACTTCCCTTGATTTCGAATCTGACGTACGAGGTGCAACACAGCTGCGCAGCCATGAATGGAATCAGTCAGCCAATCGTTGACCGGGCGAACGAACTCATATCCCTTGCAAATCGTGGCGAGAATCTTGTTGCTGCTTGTGCCGTGTTATCAGCCCAGGAGACGAGCATGCTGGAGAAAGCGGTATGATATCTCCGGATATTCGTATCGCCTATTTGAGAACCGTTGAAGACTTAATAAATAACACTTGATTGTAGGATAAATTGGCAAGAAAGTTTTTGAGTCTTGAGCTTTCAGATAAAGACGATATGAAAGATCAGGACGACTCGAATGATGCAGACAGAATGCTGGATAGGCTTTTTGAGGAGGCTGATGATTGATCTCGTATTTTCGGTCTTTCTTCCCTTGTATGGATTCAATTGGGGACGCAGATTGTCAGAGGTAACACATGAACGCATGCTTGTTACAGTGGTATCTTAAAGTTATATAGTACCTTTACAGCTCTAGTCGGCTCAGTAAGCAAGAATGGCGATGAGCGCTGAATCAGTTAATGAAAAGACATTAGCCTGTCCAAAAGATCTAGTAATATATGTACACGCAATAAAGAAGTCATTTTTGATATCACATATGGCAACGCCCAGACCCAACCCAAGGCTAGAGTTTAACACTTTTAACCAGGTTCTTCTTGATACCTGTGAGTTCACCACCGTAGCCGCCACGGCCTTCACCACCCTTGTACTGCTGGCGAATACTACTAAGCTTCTTCTTCTTGTCTTCGAACCTCTTCCTCTTCTTGACACGAGGGTTGCGCGAGTCCTTGCTCCGCTTGGCTGCAAGACCCTTGTTCTTCTCGATCTGGTACGTGATGGCTCGTTTGCCGTCCGGTCCGATCTCCTCCTGGACCTCGACGTGTCCACCCTCGCGGGCGGCCTGCGCGTAGGCGTCGGCGCGAGCCTTCTTGTCGTCCTTGCGCTTGTTGGCCCGGGCCGCGATCATGTCATAGTATTCGTCATCGTCGGTGCCGGAACCATCGCCTCGCAATTCGTTGGCGACCCGGCGGTCCTCGTCGTCACTGTCGCCGCCCAGCTGTTCGGCTCCCTTGGGTTGCTGGCGACCACGCTTCTCGGCCTCGGCGTTCAGGCGGGCCTGGCGATCCCTCAGGCGCTCCCGGTAAGGTAGATCTGCATCACCACCGGCATCCCGACCGGCTGCGGTACGCTTGTTCGCCTTCTGGGCGAGCTGCGAGGTGTAGAAGCGGAGGGAGCGTTTCTGCTTAGCCTTCTCCTCGGCTTCCCGGGCGGTAAGGGCTTCTTCGTCACCGAAATCCGAATCGTCATCCTCCTTGGCGGATTTCTTGGTCTTTTGAACGGTGCGCTTCTTGCCGGGCGCCGTGATGAGGTCGGATAGATCGGCAAGGTTGGCTTCCGTCTTCTTGAGTCGCTCTGCTCTGCGAGCGTCGGCTTCGGCCTGGGCCGCTTCCGCGGCGCGCTCAGCCTTGGACAGTTTCCGCGTCTTCTCCTTAGCCTCCTTAGTCTTCTTGCTATCTTTCTTGGGTGCGACATCCAGTTCCTCCTGCTCCTCGTCGCTGTCCACCTCGGAAGGCTCGGGGTCGCTAAGGTCTTTAACGTTTTCCCAAAGCTTTCGAAATTCGACCAGAGATCCCATAACCGGGTGGGCGCGCAGGTCGGCCGGCGAGAGGGCAGTTGCCTTTCCTTCTGTGTCATTCGCTGGGGATGTTATGAGCATGAAGTAGAGACCGATTGTGCCGAGATACGCCGACAAAGCGCGGAACTTAATGACAGAAACAGGGGGTGCGTCCAAGGTGTCGTCGTTGATCTCCGTTGCGCTCGCAGCCTGTGCAAGCTCCTGGTGTACCGATTGAAGGTCACTGAGATCTTTGGCCAGCGGTTCGAATTCGGGGTATCTCGACTTCAGGATCTTCAATTTCTCTTCCTCGCTCAAGTCTTCGGAGATTTCGGCCTGCGGCAGGACTTCCGTTACCACACCGGCTTCGGCCTCTTCGTCCTCGTTCTCTTTACCAGTTTCCATCCACTCAGATTCGTCGAACCCGAAGTCCGCCTCGTTCATTGCCTCCAGCTGCTTCTGTTGGAGTCGCTTCGCCTCCTTTTCTTCCTCGAACGCATCGGCCTCCGTTTCGATCTGGTCGGCATTGTAGAGATCCTTCTTGGAAGAGCCCCAGGCGGCGATACCTTCCTCGTCCTCATCATCGGAACCGCCTCGTCGCTTGTTCTTCCCTAAGATGTCCTCATCGTCGTCGTCCATGCCGTCCTCGTAGTAGCCGTCTTCTTCGGCTTCGTTGTCGTCATCCAAGTCGTCCTCGTCTACGGACTCGTAGCCCATAACCTCCTCATCGGAGAGTTGGAGATCTTGCTCTGTGACCCGGCATGGTTAGAAATCCTATTGGAAAAGAGAACCAGAGAATTGAGAGCAGCTCACCATCCTCGATCAATTTCCGGCGTCTTTTCGCATCGGGGGCTTCGTCCAGGAGAACTTGATCGCGACCGGTTTGAAATTCGTCCTCTGAGTCGTCGAACCTCTCTTCGACAGCATATTTGGTCTTTTCCGGGGCAGGCGCATTTCTAGCGGCGGGGCGACCGCCGGCCTTTCTTTTCTTCGCCATGACTTATGGATCGTAAGGAATCTGAACGAGACTACAAAACTCCGGCGCTCTCGAATCGATAAACTTTTGATAAAATTTTGGGGCGGGTCTCTCACCGCCCGCAGTACGCTAAACCATGTTGGGTGTGTTTGTGCTGTTTGCTGTATCATACATGATAATACACTGAAACCGACAAAGTCCCCGCCAAACAACGATACGGTACGGTCATATGCATACGGGAAAGTCGCTCGGCCTCTTCTCCTTCCGCCTTCCTCCTAACTCAACATACGAAACAACTAAACAGGCAGGCTCCCCCCAATTTGACCGTGTAAGGAAGCCTCGGACGGCGTGTTGACATTCCCTCTTCTTTTCCCCCTAACTTTCTCGTTTTCTTTCTTCCTCATGCATCCAACACTATCCTTCAACTTGCATGACTTATCGCCCACCCAGCTGGGAATTTCAGTCGTTCTCTTCGGATTCTTCGTATATACCGCTAGCAAAATGCTTGGCTTTGGAACTCGTAACGAGTTTGTGGTGGACGGCCGGGTGAGTCTTCTTCATCATTCTCTCGTCTCAGGGCAGTTGTCTGATACTTTGCTGGCAGACCATCGTGATCACCGGTGGCTCCGAGGGCATGGGCAAAGCCACTGGCTCCCTGCTTGCCGAAAAGGGTGCCAATGTCGTCCTCGTTGCACGCACCACCGCGAAGCTGCAGGAGTCCATGGAGGTCGTCAAGGTACGTGCTCTACTTGTAACTGGCTGCTTTGCACTTCGCTCACAGCTTTACCACAGGGCTCCGCTGCGGACATCAAGAAGCAGCGATTCCACTTCATCAGTGCCGACCTGACCAATCCTGCCGACTGCGAGCGGATGATGGAAGAGGTCACTGAGTGGAACGGCGGTCTCCCTCCTGATGTTGTCTGGTGCTGCGCTGGCTATTGCAACCCGGGTTTCTTCGTTGACACGCCCGTGCAGACGCTCAGGGATCAGATGGACACGGTCTACTGGACTGCTGCCAATACTGCTCATGCCGTGCTCAAGAAGTGGCTGAAGCCTGTCGGTCCCAGCGAGCAGCAAGCCCTGCCTCGCAGACATTTGATCTTCACTTGTTCCACTCTTGCTTTTGTTCCCATTGCTGGCTATGCCCCTTATTCTCCAGCCAAGGCTGCCATTCGTTCTTTGTCCGATACACTCAGCCAGGAAATCGAAATGTACAACGGCTCTCGCATCACCAAGACCCGCTGCGAAGCGACTCCCGCCGACGTCAAGATTCATACGATCTTCCCCATGGGCATCTTGAGTCCCGGCTTTGACAAGGAACAGCGATTGAAGCCCGAGCTCACCAAGCAACTGGAGGCCGCTGACAAGCCCCAGTCCCCCAAGGAGGTTGCGAAGATCTCGATCGAGGCTCTGGAGAGAGGCGAGTACCTGATCACTACGATGTTTGTTGGCCATGTGATGAAGGGAAGCGCTCTCGGCGGCAGCCCCAGGAACTACGCTATCCGCGACACCTTGACCAGCTGGATTAGCAGCTTGGCATTCTTGCAGGTCACTCCTGATCTCCGCAGACAGGCTTGGAACTGGGGTGTGAAGTATGGTCTTCCGCAATCCAAGGGTCGGGAATGAGTGTCATGATGTCGCATGTTACGTCTGGTCTGGTGCTGTACATTAAATACCCTGCAGTGCTTTCTTGTGTTTATCTTTATAGCCTTTGACATTCCTGTCCCTCGAAGCATATTCATAACATACGATAATGAACATTAGTTCGACTCCCTTTGGCACTTCCTGCCTTTGTCGGTCCACGAACGATGAATGAAAAGCCATCCTTTGCTTTGATCTGTCCTCCATTCTCTGGTAGTGATTGTAAAATCGAGTGTGCATCCATCGATTGATGTCGTAACCTATCGACTAGGAGCTACTACGCGGTAGGTATGTCTTGCCTCATTGAACCGGAGATATATATCTCGGTGGTAGCAAGAAGACATACTCAGCTCCACGCGTTACTCTGCCTGTATAGTATAGACAAATAGACGAAGAAGACGACTGAAACCTCAAAAGGCATCATAAACACAAAGACCCTTCGATCTCTCGCATTGACAGCAAACTGCAACCATGGGAAGGCGGAGGACAAGTCGAGCCTGCAGAACAAAGATGGTGCCCGATTAGGCTTAGCGTAGGGTTTACCGCCGATCGGAGTGACGTCGAGACCGTCGAGGGCGCGACCGCAAAGTCCGCGCTCTTTGCAGTTTGCGACGATGGCTGGGAATTTAGTCCGTCCCACTTCCCATCCATTATTATTCAATTCTTTGATCGTCCGGCTCTTTGTTACAAAGACCCCTGGGACTCTCTCTTTCAAAATGGCAAACGGTAGATGAACCATAGACCCTTGAAGTTACCAGGCGCCATATATAACCCAACCACGGCGTCGTCGGCGTCCCCACCGTCATCATGCTGGACGCCCTCTTCTCGCTGCCAATCATGACCGTCCTACTCATTCCGGCCCTGTCGTCCTATAGCACGACTCTGAATTTCATCTTCTTCTACATGACATGGACGACCCTCGTGCTGTCGCATACGCCCCTTCGCGTTGAATTGTTCGGCACCATCGCCGTGCGCGTGTTCTTCTGCTTCCTACCATCGTTGCTGTTCTTCCTCTTCGATATCCTCACGCCCTCCGCTGCGGCGTTTATCAAGGTCCATGGCGAAGCTGGTCTTCCTAGTGGCGGTCGACGGGCTAGAGTCCGACTGGAAACTATCAAAGTGGCCGCATGGTCGCTGCTGAATATCTTCCTGAGCGTCGTGGTGCAGGCGGCTATCGAGAAAGTTCGGATCGATGGCATGCGCATGCGCAGCGCGGTGAAGGTCTCGATCAAGTTGCCCATGCCTTTCGAGATCGTCAAGGGACTGCTTGCTGCTCTTTTGGTTCGCGAGGTGAGTTCTCCCTTCAATCTGCCTTGGTTCCTTCCCCTACTCGCCCAACTTCGAGCTAAATCTAACATGGCCACGTTGCCATAGGTACTCGCATACTTTATCCACCGCTACCTCCTGCACTCCCGAGATCGCCGGCTCTCCTTTATCACTAAACTCCATCGCTCCTGGTACCACTCCCTTCGCGTCCCCTTCCCCCTCACGGCGCACTACGACCACCCCGCCCTCTACATCCTTGGCACTTTCCTGCCAACGTATATCCCCGCCGCGCTGTTCCGCATCCACATGCTCACCTACCTGTTCTACATGGCGCTCGTCTCCCTCGAAGAGACCTTCGCCTTCTCCGGCTACTCCGTCATGCCCGGGAAGTTCCTTCTCGGCGGCATTGCCCGCCGCACCGAGATCCACCTGTTCAGCGGCGCAGAGGGTAACTTCGGGCGCTTCGGTCTGATGGACTGGGTCTGTGGGACACTGGTTGCGGACGACGAGGAAGACGAGAATGGTGGGCATCGCAAGGATCTGGCGGATAAGGTGCAGCGGGCGGTGGATGAGAGTACGAGCCGGAAGTTTTATGAGCGCAGTCGGTTCAAGAAGAAGGGAAATTGAGTCGGTTCGTTTTCTTGGTCTGCCTTTTCATTGATTGATTGGTTGATCGAATAGTCTAACGGATGGGTGTTTATGGGTTGATCTATGGCTGCTAGACGGCTTTGGTGGGGGGTTTTGCCTATGAGATTTGGTGCGGTACGTATGGGAGGGAGAAACTTAGTCTTGCCATTTTTTGCCCCTGTGTGTTCTTGGTGGAGGGGTTGCTTATCTTGTACACATCTGCTCTGTATGTATGCTATATGTTGCTACGATGTCATTGAATCATGTACTCTGGAGATTGGGGATTAGAACTGGATACTGCAATGATGTACGCTCTTAGTTAGGTAATTTAGTATAGACTATAGAGATAGACTAGAGAGAAACCGGGGAAGGTGGATAAGAAATCAATTCCTGGGGATTTCATTCGCCACTATCGGGGATTGATTAGGGCACACCCAAACCGATATAGAACTACTACTGCACTTATTACAGTTGAATATCCAACAAGAATCGTAGACAGAGTATGTATACTAGAATTGTTTATTATAAAGATATAGCCGCCCCTGATATAGACAATAAGATATACTGAACATGTAGGTAGTAGTAGTGTAGTGGTTTTTTTTGGTCCTTTTTCCTGTTTTGTTTTAGAATTCATATTTCGGCTCATTTATCAAAGAAGACATAATCGAGAAACAACTTTTCCTGCAGGATCAGCCGTCCAAACTGGAGGGTTCGAACGCGAGGGCAGGCGACGTGGAAAAGAAACCAAGGGGTAACTAGGTTCCGTGAAACCGAGGGAGAGGATTTGGTTTGTGTTTTTTTTTTCTTCCGAATTGACCGTAAATCCTAATAAGAGCAAAATCGGGACTCCGAATCGAAGTTACATATTTCATGAAAGCTTTGGTTTTTTCCTTCCCTGCGTTGACCCTCTTTTCTTTTATCCCCCCTTCCTGTCTTTTCATCCTCGTTTCCTCTCCCAAGGTCCTGAGCTCGAGGTATCGAGGCAGGATTGAGAGAAGTAGTAAAGGGTAGAAAAGATAAAGAAAAAAAGCAAAAAAAAAAGACTGCCAATCCGCGTTCTAAGCCGCCCCTCACATTTAAGAAGAATTTCCTCCACACTTCAAATCACCGAACCCGCGGCCGCCGCATCGACATGTTTACCACTTCATCTCGTGGGGCTTGTCGCCGTTCCGCAGGCTGAAGGAGGTAGCGAGGTAGCTGCCGAGGAAGTTCTCCTTCTTGACGGAGGCGAGGATGGACTGGTCGACGGACTTCTGGTCGCTGGCACGAGCGCTAGCAACGACCTTCTTCTGTAGAGTCGGAAAAAAAGGACCTAGTTAGTTATATGTCTTCTTCAACGAGATACCTTATCTCTTTCCCCGCTTATCTAGAGGTTCTTCCCCAGATGCGTGTGAAGGATATATCCCAAAACGAAAGCGCAAGCTCTGGTCTGCACGTACCTGGGGCTTCTCTCCCTGCTTGAAGAAAGCCTCCTCAGTCTTCTTCTCGTTGACCTTCTCCTTGGTGAAGTAGTCGGCGGCGGAGACCTTCTCGAGGGTCTTGGCGTCAACACCGCTGATGTCCACCTGGGTGCTGGTGGCGATCACGTAGCGGGAGTTCACACGGCGGAGGGGAACACCGTTGATCTTGAAGGGACCGGTGACGAGGAGAACACCCTGGTCGAGGTGCTTCAGGAGGACGACACGCTTGCCGCGGAAGCGACCGGCAAGGAGGATCAGAACGGTACCGGGCTTGAGGCTCTCACGGAGCTTGGTGGGACGGACAGCCTTGCGGACCTATATTGTTGCAACAAAAATTGTCAGAATACTTGTTTCTGTTTCCCTGGTTTGTCGAAGAGGTGCGGAATTGCGAAAAAAAAAGAGGATATATGAAATCATGCGAAAACGAAAGATGCGATCCCGTTATCCATTAGAAACTCCATGTTCCCCAATTCACACCGGTCTTTCTGGTCCTGGCGGATTCCGACCGGCGCAATTGTCGCACTTGTTCAAAAATAACGGACCGGCATCTTCCATTGACGCAGGACTTTCTTCTGCTCTTGTGCTTTCTGGATGTCCTTGCTTTCAGGATGTACTGACTTTCCGGGGCTGCGTCTCGTCATCAACGGGGTACCATTTCTGGGCCTTCTGGGCCGGCACGGTCCTCTGGCCCTTTCCAAACTGCTTCGTCTGGCCAACAGTAGAGTCCGACATATTGGCTGCTGGGGACGAAGAGGAGTCGAAAAGAATGAAGGGAGGGTGGTTGTCGACGGCGGGTTGTTGGAATTGATGTGTGACGGTCTACTTGCGGCCCAGGGCGGGAAATCTGAGGTTTGTGGGAATCACGAGCCCTAGCCGAAATGCGCTAGTGCCGATTTGGACCGCCCGCGATACCGCCCGATAATGGCCTAAGGCAGCAACTCAAGGGAGCCGCACAGCGACCTAGAACGCACCGCCAGGAGCTGACTCAGCCGGTCCGATGTTGTTGCCGCTTTGCTTGAACCGAACTGACGTATCTTCTCATCCGCGCCAGCAGCTTCTTCCCCATCCTCGGCGAATCACTCTTGTCTGGGGCATCATCACCTGTCGATCCACTTCCATTTGTCTTGCTGTTCATATTTGTTATTGACATCTCATTCATCAATCATGTCTATCGCCCCCATCATTACGTTCAAGGCGGGCATCTGTGACCTGGATGTAAGTAGCAGGCTGAGTGAGCTTCGAATCATCCAAGCTTTTGGCTAACTGCAGCCGTTCGTAATCATAGACGTCCAGTGACACCCCCATCGTCAAGCCCAAGACGACGCCCGGCTACATCTATCTCTATTCGGAAGATGAATTGGTACACTTCTGCTGGCGGCCTCGGTCCGCCCCTCACACGGAGCCCGAACTGGACTTGGTGATGGTCCCCTCGGACGGAAGCTTTTTGCCCTACAAGCCAGCCGGCAACAGCACACCCACGAACGGTCGCGTCTACGTCTTGAAGTTCTCCTCCAGCTCCCAGCGGTACCTTTTCTGGCTACAGTCGAAGTCGCAGCACGAGAGAGGCGATGCGAGCTGGTTCAGTCCTCGGGACCTCAAGCTCGGAGATATCGTCAACACGCTGCTTCAGGGTGAGGAAGTCGATGTGGAGGATGAAATCGCCAACCTCCCTAGTGGATCCGGTGGCGGCGACGACGACGAGACTATGGAGGATGTCGAAGGTGTTGACCACGACCCGAGCCATAACCACGGCGGAAACAGTGGCGGAGCGGGACCGGATGCTACCGGTGGAGATGTCAGAGAGGAAGGTCAAGAGTCGAGGGAGGGTGGTGCCGACGGCGGAAGAGCGTAGGTACATATCTCTGTTTTTCTTTTTCCGGTCTTCCGCAGCATCGTTTGGCTGGAAAGGCCCACGTCAACTTCGTTCTTGTTATGATCGTATCGCGAATCATGTGCTAATGCTAACACCTCAATAGGGCCGCAGATGATTCGGATCCTTCGTCGGTCGTGCAGAACTTCTTGCAGTCCATACAAGGGAAATCGACCAACCAACCCCAGGACCCTGACAGACCATTTACTACGCTGCAAGATCTCCTTCCACCATCAGCTACGCTGCCTTTTGTTGAATCCGCGGATGACAAGGCCGTCGACAATCTCTTGAGCTTCCTACCCCCCACGCTTCTTCTGTTGGCCGCCGAAGTGGAGGATGTGCCTGCCGAGGACAGCTCGGAGATCGCGTCAGCGGTCATGGAGTCTCTGGAGCTGTCGCAAAAGAAGGGCATTCTTCGCAAAGTGCTACACTCGCCTCAGTTCACGCAGAGTCTGGCGAGTCTGACGACGGCCATCCGAGACGGCGGTCTACCGAGTATCAGCGAGGCGCTCAAGATTCCCGTTGAAAATGGAGGGTTCATGCGTAGGGGAGGGGTCCCACTGGGCGGAGGGGATGCTGTCGAGACATTCCTGCAAGGCGTTCGGAACCATGTCAAGGACTCGGCTCAGGGCAATCCGATGGAGACGGACTGAATTATTGAATGCTTATTGAATATTATTTGAGCCTATTTTTTTTTCTTTTTCTTTTTCTTTGTCTCTTCTTTTTCCCTGATCATCGGTCATTGCCATGTAACTACAAAAGCGGCCATTGATTTCCAACAATAGAGGGTAACCAGGGGCCTGGGATCATGCAGACAGAAGACCTCTACATGAAACATGCTCCGTAGGTCCGTAGTGAACCGTTCTAAAATGAAGAACCAAGGATGGAGCATGTCAAAAATGTCCCAATCTATTTTTGGAGCTGGCGGGGAACGGAGTTAGGCAACCTCATTGTCTCCATCTGGGCATTTCCGTGCCAGGACATACACAGTCCTACTATATGATATCTAATGTATACATATAAACATAGATAGCATATACAAAAGCATAAAATCATAATCCTATCTAATTTCGTAGGAACTCCTGTCAGTTCAGCCCCGAAGGCAACTTGCGCCCGTGGCTGGTGGGATCTGCAAGTGACCATAAGGCGTTCAACGGGCCACACAGAGGCTTTCTCAGCCCCGGCTTGGCCCAGAAGCTCCGCTGCGTTCGCGATCTAAGAATTAGTGCTCTCGTCGAAGGACGACCACCTGTCCATTATTTGCTTGATTTGTTATTATCGTCCCGTATTATTCTCATTATCCAATCTTCCATTCATTTACCGACTATGCCTTCTTCGTCCAGACTGTTTGATTGATCATTGGCCCCAATTTTAAACGTTCCGTTCCGACCGATACCAACCAGTCCTTTTTCCCTGTACCTTTTTCCCCTAAAATTAATTTAATCTAGAGAGAAGAAAGAGGAAGACAGCGAAAAAAAGGACGATTTCTCCCCGGACGGACTCAGGATCGGGAGATATTTAGCAACAGCCCCCAACACTTCGATAGGAACCGAAATTTGTTCTCCGCGACTGATTGATCGTCTCCGATTCAACGACCCCCATCGTCGAATAAATCATCTTCGCTTTACGTCTCGAGCTGTTTCTTGCGGCCTGGCGATGTCTGCGTTTGGTTAGCGATTCGATTCTGTGCCCATGATGGCTTCCAATAGCCATGACCGCGGCCCCCACGAAGACAGCTTTTCGTCAGATCATTCAATCCCCTTACAAGACCTCTCCGGCCCGCCGGATATCGGGAGACATGAAGAGGTGGGAAGCAGGTTTCTGCCGGGGCGATCGTTGACCAGAAGAGGCCGGTCGGAGACGAATTACGCGAGGATAGCGGAGGATTCTCCGGTCGACAGCACGACAGCTGCAGGAACTGCGCGCCGCCACCGTCAGGGCTCCGATGCCCACGATGCCTTCCCCGATGACCCAGGGGCCTTCGCGGCCGCCATGTCCTCCGTCGGAATCAGTTTCAGCGGACCTCCGGACCACCCTGCCACTCGCAGCCGTGACGACCTCGATACCATTCCCTTGGACAGCTTCGGTCTGCAAGAGCCCGCGCATACCCTCACCCCTAGCGTTTCGTATAGCGACACCGCGCCCTTGACGAATATCGGAAATATTCAACCTATCAGCGGGGCGATCCCCGATCGCGGGCGACAGAATGACAGGCACAGCGCGCAGACCGTTCATTTCCCCGACGACGGCCATACGGGGGCGCGCTTGGGTGACGATCTACACAATCTGGAAGGTGGACTGGGTGGGAGGAGTCGCGGTGGGAGCAATGCGACTGAGAGGGGTCGCTCGCTGTCTCCGTCGGCGTCGGGTTCTGCTCTAATGCGGGCCAGCTCGATGATGAAGTCCATGTCCCAGCGTGTCGTCAACCTCAGTAACGAACCGGAGGTAGTGGAACAATCGATCCAGAGGGAAGAGTCCCACAAGAATTCGCGGCTCGAAGAACCGCCGTCGCTTCCTTCGCTGCCGGATTACGCGCACGATGCACCTCCGACGCCCGAGCTGAACGGCCGGGTCAAAAGAGAGAAGTCGACCGCCAGTAAGGCGTGGAGATCTCTCAACAATCCGCTTAGGGGGAAGTCTCTCGGCATCTTGGGCCCGGATAACCCTCTTCGCGTGCGACTTTGTGATATCCTAGTTCACCCTTTCACCGAGCCATTCATTCTCGTCGTGATCATCATCCAAACCATCCTACTGACGATTGAAACGTCAATGTCAGACTGGCACAGCGCCGGGAATTGGGGTGCTAGTGTGATGGATTACCCCTACTTTGCTATCTTTGTCATTTACACACTCGAACTGATTGCCAAAATTCTGGTGTCGGGCTTCATCATGAATCCTACAGAGTACAGTACAATAGACCGATCGCTAGGGTTTCGAAAAGCCGTAAAAGAGAAAGGAAAGAACCTCATCGCTCCACAGCGACATCCGTCGACGAGAAAACCATCGCCAGCCCCGGAGCATCCCCAGGCCTCGATTATACGCACCTTCACCGGCGGGCTGAATCAAGTCGAACAAACCCTAGCCGATGATCCTCTCCAGAAGCGTCGGGTGAGACTCGCTCATCGGGCCTTTCTTCGACATTCGTTTAACCGTCTCGACTTTGTCGCCGTGGTGGCGTACTGGGTTGCTTTCTTGTTGTCCGTGTTTGGGGTCGAGACCGCCCAGCAACTCTACGTCTTTCGAATGCTTAGCTGTCTGCGTCTTTTGCGTCTCCTTGCGTTGACGAATGGTACATCTGTAAGTTCCGTCGTTGCCATCAATATTCTGTGTTACAACGTTGCTGATGTATATGAAAACAGATCATTCTTCGAAGTCTTAAGAAAGCTGCCCCCTTGATGGTTCACGTTGCCTTCCTGGTAGGCTTTTTCTGGCTTCTCTTTGCTATTGTCGGCATCCAAAGTTTTAAGTCAAGTTTCGGAAGAACTTGTGTCTGGCGTGGCGTTGACGGCCAGGAAGATTTTCCGTTGAATGATCCGGACGGCACTCTCCAATTATGTGGTGGATATCTCGACCCCATCACCGGCGACAAGAAGCCATGGATCGACAGGAACGGCTATGAGGCCAACGCGAAACCGAAAGGCTATATCTGCCCGAAAGGATCGGAATGTGTCGAAGACACCAACCCTTACAGTGGAACCATGAGCTTCGATAGCATTCTCTACTCTTTGGAACTCGTTTTTGTCATCATGAGCTCGAACACGTTCACGGATCTTCTCTACTACATGACCGACAGTGATTATCTTGCTGCCGCCCTCTTTTTTGCTTTCGGATTTCTCATTCTAAGTTTATGGATGGTGAACTTGTTGATTGCCGTGATCACGCATACTTTTCAGGTCATCCGAGAAGAAAGTAAACGGAGTGCTTTCGCCGTGGATAAAGTAGGCACGGCGGAGAAGGAGGAGCAATCATCTCCGAAAATGAGCCAATTTAGGCGCCTATATAACAAGACCGACTGGTTTTGGGTCACCGTGATCCTTTTCGGTCTCATCGTACAGGCATTGAGGAGCGCTTCCATGTCAGATGATCGAGAAAAGTTTATCGACATCACGGAAACGGTAGTCACCTTTACGTTGCTGGTAGAAATCATCCTGCGCTTCGCATCCGACTGGCGCAAATTTCATCAGCATCGGCGCAACTGGGCGGACTTGTTGTTAGTCGTCATCACCTGTATTATTCAAATTCCCGTCATCAAACACTCTGGAAGGGCTTACTCGGTCCTTACTCTCTTCCAGATCCTTCGGGTGTATCGGGTGGTGCTGGCTTTCTCCGTGACGAGAAATTTGATTCAGGTCGTCTTCCGCAATGCCAAAGGTCTGATGAACTTGATTGTATTTGTGTTCCTGATCACATACCTTGCGGCTATCTTCGCCACCCAGCTCTTTCGCAGTCAGCTTCTCGACGTTGATGACGCCGACATCAATTTCAAAAACATTTACAATTCCTTCCTGGGGATGTATATCATCCTGTCCAGTGAAAATTGGACCAGTATGCTCTACAATGCTACATCCTACACCTATGATTACCGTACCGCCTGGATTTCCGCCACTTTCCTCATCATCTGGTTTGTCGTGGCCAACTTTGTCACCTTGAACATGTTCATTGCAGTCATCCAAGAGAGTTTCGATGTGTCGGAAGACGAGAAGCGCGTCCAACAAGTCAGAGCATTCCTGGAGCAAAAGCACGTCAGTGGGAACTCCCAGGGGAACCTTTCCCTAACCAAGATACTCATGATGGGCCGGGACTCGGATCGTTACAAAGACCCCCTTGACTACGGGCCTGCGGCTCTGGAAATGCTGCTCAAAGATGCAGTCGTCCAAGATTTCCTGGACGAGCAGGAAGGGGTTGCCGAAAACCGCCGAAGTCGTTATATGGAGGCCACGGCCACGGCCCCGGCAGAGACCGAGGAGCCGGGCGTGTTTGCGCGCATGTGGACGACCGCGACGTCATGGATCACACGTAAAGAGCCCAATCCATTCTACTCCAAGCTGAAGTTCTCCCGCGCCTATGAAGAGTTGGATCCCCGGGCCATGGCCCAGGAGGTCGTATCTGCGGCCGAACAAAGGAAGCGAGCGCAGCGAGAATACCTTATGCGGCACCCGAATTACAACAAATCCCTGTTTCTTTTCGCGCCGGACAACCCCATACGCCGAGTGTGTCAGCGCATTGTCGGGCCTGGACGAGGACACCAGCGTGTTGAAGGCGTGGATCCGTACAAGCCGGTGTGGTACTCATTCTCTGCCTTCGTCTACGCCGCTATCGTTGCCATGGTGTTGCTTGCGTGTATCACTACCCCTATCTATCAACGGGACCACTTCCGAAATGACCGAGACTGGTTCACCTATACCGACATGGGATTCGCCATTCTATTCACCATCGAAGCCATGATCAAAGTCATCGCAGACGGGTTCTTTTGGACGCCAAACGCTTACTTCCGTGGGTCCTGGGGATTCATTGACGGTATCGTGCTCGTGACTCTTTGGATCAACGTGGTCAGTTCGGTGTTCGAGGACTGGGGAGTATCTAGAGCCATCGGGGCTTTCAAGGCGCTGAGAGCGCTAAGGTTGCTGAACGTGAGCGACAGTGCCAAGAACACCTTCCACTCCGTTATCATTGTGGGAGGGTGGAAAGTTATTGCTGTAAGTCCTGCACTAATCCTATGGTAGGTACAGCTGAGCTGATGTTTTGCAAACAGGCCGCGTCCGTTTCGATGAGTTTTCTCATCCCGTTCGCTATCTATGGAGTCAACTTGTTCAACGGCCAATTGGTGCAGTGCAATGATGACGACTTCGAGGGCAACTTGGATTACTGCGTGAACGAGTACATCAGCACGCCTTACAATTGGGAGGTGCTTGCGCCTCGGACGGCTGCTAACCCCTACTACGATTTCGACAATTTCGGAAATTCACTCTTCATCCTGTTTCAGATTGTCAGTCAGGAGGGCTGGACAGATGTCCTCTCAAGTTCCATGAGCATTACCAGCGTAGGTGAGCAGCCCGAGGACTACATAGCGCCGGAAAACGGGCTCTTCTTCGTTGTGTTCAACTTGCTTGGTGCTGTCTTCGTCTTGACGCTGTTCGTGTCTGTGTTCATGCGAAATTACACGGAACAAACTGGCGTGGCCTTTTTGACGGCGGAGCAGCGGTCCTGGCTCGAATTGAGGAAGCTTCTCCGTCAGATCTCTCCTTCTAAACGCTCGTTCGAGACCTCCAGCCACAAGTGGAAGATGTGGTGTTATCGGGTCGCTGTCAAGAAACATGGACGGTGGGCTAGATGCATTACTACCATCTTGATGCTTCATCTCTTGCTGCTTGTTCTGGAATACTATCCTGAGCCGAAGTGGTGGGATTTGGCTAGAGGTGAGTTATCCCCTCAACAACGTTTTCTTTCCAAGATTGCAGTTTGCTGACTTTCTACCCGAAGAGGGTCTCTTCTTTCTATTTGGTCTTTTTTACATTGCCAACGTTCTCATCCGACTGATTGGATTGGGCTGGCACCGATTTACGCGAAGCTCCTGGGACCTCTTTTCGTTGATCGCTGTTCCCGGGGCCTTTGCTACGACGATTCTCAATTTCCTGGGAGACCAGCAGGTGATTGTGGAGTTGAATAAGCTCTTTCTCGTGGCCATCACGCTGCTGCTCATCCCGCGCAACAATCAACTTGACCAGCTGTTCAAGACGGCGGCGGGTAGTTTAACGTCCATTGGAAACCTCCTGGCCACCTGGTTCGTGCTATTCCTGGTGTACGCGATCGCGATGAACCAGGCATTCGGTCTCACCAAGTTTGGCGACAACGAGAACAACAACGTCAACTTCCGCGACGTCCCGCGGTCTCTGATCCTGCTCTTCCGAACCAGCTGCGGCGAGGGGTGGAACGAGCTAATGGAGGACTTTGCCACGATGGAACCGCCCATGTGCACGTACGGCAGCGACTTCTTGAACGACGACTGCGGCAGTGCGCCGTGGGCTCGCTCACTGTTCATTTCCTGGAACATCATCAGCATGTACATTTTCGTGTCCTTGTTCGTGTCGTTGATTTACGAGAGCTTTTCCTACGTGTATCAGCGAAGCAGCGGGCTCTACGCGTTGAGTCGGGAGGAGATCCGTCGGTTCAAACAGGCCTGGGCGACGTACGACCCCGATGGAACGGGGTACATTTCCAAGGACCAGTTCCCGCGATTGCTGGGAGAGCTATCAGGTGTCTTCTCGATGCGCATCTACGAGGGCGAGTTCACGATCGGGCGCATCTTGGAGGAGTGCAAGGTCGACAAGCGCGACTCGTTGATTGCGCACCGGCGCGTGGTGGAAGGGCTCGACATGGACCGCATGGCGCGGATCCTCCGACGCATCGATATCGACAACGTGCGCGAGCGCCGGCAGCGACTCAACACCTTTTACGAGGAGGTGCTGGTCTCGGCGGACCCGGTACGCGGCATCTCGTTCCACTCGTGTCTCATGATCCTGGCCCATTACAACGTGATCACCGACAGCAAGAGTCTGCGACTCGAGGAGTTCCTGCGTCGGCGTGCCCGATTGCAGCGAGTCGACGAAGCGGTGCGTCGCGCCACGGTTATCGGCTTCTTCGATACGTTGTACTGGTCGCGCGAGTTCCGTCGCCGCATCGAGCACAAGAAATCGGCGCGCATGAGCTTCGTGCCGCAGTTCTCGGTGCCGGAGATCTTCGTCGACGACGGATCGCATGACGACCAGCCGGAAGAGGAGCGCCGCCGACTCGCGACGCAGGAGCCCCTGGTGCCTGGCGCCGAGCCCATGCTGTCACCCACGTCGCCAACCAGTGGTGCCGGCGGCGATCCGGGCCCGTCGTCCTCACGCGGTGCTCATCTGCCACGCATCGATACCAGCCGGCTGGGCCACATCTCGGCGACCAGCTCGCCGACGACGGAATGGTCGAGCATCAGCCCATCGCTCTCGCCGCGGCGGGACCGCGCACACACGACGTCTTCTACGTACGACACGGGGCCGGACCCTCACGACGAGACGCCGGATGTTGGCGAGCGCTCGCGACAGAACAGCACGATGAGTGTACGCGACGTGATGCAATCCTTGGGCGAATCAGCCTGGGGAGAGAGTATCCGACGAAGTTTTACGCAGCGACGATCGGATCGACGATCGGATCCGCGAGATCTGTAGTACTGTACAGGCAGTACTTCCGTACATATTCTATGATATGATGAATTTGTCTTGAAGTTATTATGTTCTGCTATTTTTGTTATTGTCTGAACGATGCATAGGCCATCTGGGGGTTCTGAACACCGCGATCTCGCGCATGTTACCTGTCACATTCTTCTGAAATGTCTGGCTTTTTCTGATTCTTTCAATTTCTTGACGTTCTTGGCGTGAATTGCAGCACCGAATGCATTCAGCATTCTTCCGTCCGCTAGAATCTTGGGAATTGCATAGCGGTGGCGTGTCGGAGACTATTTCTGTGAATTTTCCGTCGGATTTGTATGTACGTGACTGAGTGTAAATGTTAAATCTAGAATGTACGATTCATGGATTGAGTTACGGGATCAAAGGCCGACAGGAAGGCCGGTAGGAACCAAGGCATAAGAGAAGGAGGCCAAGGGATTACCGGAAACGGAGGCGAAGGAGGCGATTCAGACTCCTCGCAGAGAAGGGGAACCCTGGGAAAAAAAGATGAAGTCGGAAACGGCGCCTCCCCGGAAGCAGCCAAAGTGGAAAGTTGATCGATCATCGCGCGATCGCCGTCTTCGGGCGCCTTGCATTGTTTTTCCATCTCATATAATCCCGATGTCGTGTCCGGTCCCGACTTGAATTTCTTCTTTTTGTTGCAGTGGCATCTCACTCTCGTGTTCCTTCTTTCTTTGCTTTTCTTTTTCTTTTGCTGGCGCTTTTTGCCTCCTCGTTTCGCTTTGCCTTCGTATTTAAGGTAGTCGCTACTACTTCTGACGAGGATTCCTTCGATCTGTCATTCTTTATCATCTTTATTATTCTTCTGGCGTATCTACCATCTCATCCTCCTCTCTATAATATCATCAAGAATGCGCCCCAACCTCAACCCCCTCCACACCTCCTTCCACCCTCCCTCCTCATCTTCTACTCCTCGTCCTCAAGACCAACCCACCACCAACCCCAGCCCAACAACCAGCCCAACCAGTCCCACCACCACCGCCTCAATCTCCTCGCCCTCACCACCCACCTCTCCCTTCTTCAACAACAACCTCACCACTACTACAACCCACCGACCTCGCCGCCTCCACCACACCTCCACCTCTACCTCATACGGCCAACACCGCCGCGGCCGTCTCCCCACCCGCGATCGCCACCCTTACTCCAACAACGCCAACACCAACAGCAACACCCACCCCCCCTCCTCATCCAGCGCAAGCGCAAGCCCCAGCCCGGGCTCCCCCTTCCGCCTCAGCGCCTGCTCCCTCCTCGGCGTCTCCTCTTCATCCCCTCGCCCCTCCTCAACCATCTTCCTCCGTCGACGGCCCTCGCGCACAGAAGTCGCCCTCCGCGAAGAACGATGGCGCGCCGAGGAAGATAACATCGAACGGCTGGGTCTGGAGATGCTAGAGCCCCGCCCGTCCGGATCGTATACATCGGGTCCGTATGCGGCGTCTGCGGCACTGGGGATCGGGGGGTTCGAGGACGCGGAGATGGGGTTGTGTTCGAGTATGAGTATGAGTATGGATGGGGCGGTGGAGATGGATTCGGCATCGTTTTGTTCGTCCGGGTTAGGGGTGGGGTTTGGGGGTGGGTTGGGAGTTGGGTATGGGGGTCAGAGGGTGGTCATGGAGGGGATTTTTGAGGTTATGGAGGAGGGGAGATGAGCTCTTTTTTTTCTTTCATTTTCTCTCTCGTTCGGGTTCTTCTGTTGGTGGTTCTTCCGATGGTATCTGTGGATGGTTGTGGGGGGGTACCTAGGTGGTGGGAGTTGGTTGATGTTATGTTGATTGAATCTATTTCCGGATCTGGAGTCTGGTTTGGTTTATTGATTTTGTGGTTCATTGGAATGGACTTGAGTCTGGATGGGTATGAAGGTATCCAAGCAATGACCATTCATCCATTGAGATATATGGATGATCGGAAGGAGAGATGATAATGGAGTTCATGGGGGACTCAGTAACTGACTGTTTGATTTGATTTGGTTCGGTTTGATCTGTGTACTTATAAGCGAGGGAGGATAGTTCTGATTTCGATTATTTGATTGATGGTCTGCTTGTCTTTGGCTCTTTGCTTTGCTTTATCCTTGTGATATAGGCTAGGTTAGGGTAGTCAGGGAGGGAGGGTGTTTACTATCTACTGTGTAGGAAACTAAGATACTATATTAATATATGTACCATATGATATACTGTGCTCGTCTTTCTAATACTCATCAGATTGAAATGCTAGCCATGCTAACAGTAACACCTGATAAAATGCCATATCAACAGCATCCATGCATGCATTGTATTGATCGAACCAGACCAGATCGATCCAATAGACTAGGTACATTTTAGCAAACCACCAAGTCACTCCATTCGACTCCATTGAAACTAGAAACAAAAACATCCACCGTATTATGTAACTGCCAGGGTGACAAAAGTCAAGTCAAGTACAAATGCAAATGCAAATGCGGGCCAAAACGGGAAGAATGGTACAGCAGAGCTTGGGTATTCGAGACCGGCGGGAATAAGAGCAAGAACCAAAAGTAACAGAAAGGAAAATGACAAGAGGGGTTGATGGGTGGGTGGTTTACATCGTTTAATCACACTGCTATGTGTTGCATCGTACTCGGCTCCACGTCAGAGTGACTTCGTGGATGGAGTTGGTAGAGGTCTGACTTGTAAATCATACCAAGCGACGAAACATCGGGTCGGAGACGGTGTTGAAGTAGGCGACGTTGAAGTAGACGGTGCACGTAGACGAAGAGGCAAAACTGAAGCCAACAGAGATATCTGTCCGTTTATCCATGCAATCCAGATGTACAGTTCGAGTCAGCCCAGCTGAAACCAGAAAGCCAGGACTCGAGCATGCAGGCATGTGCAACACAAGACGACAACTATCTGGTTCCCTTGCGTTGATTGGGCCACAATTGTCCTCGACAGTTACTTTCGCCACAGAGACATGCCACCACCTGAGGATCCCGATCGACATGATCGACTTTCTCGGCGCCCGGGTTATAATCAAAAGTCAACTCGGTCATCGGGGGAATCTCCTTCAAAGAGAAGAAGGCAAGGTCGTACAGTCGCTGGTCGGCGTTGTTGCGCGTGGCCGGAAACATGCGACAGTTCGGGTTACACGAGTGGTTCATGAAGCGCGTTGCAGCTCCGAACTTCTGCCCGTCTATAACGAACATGTCCTCTTCAGCCACGGTGTCGAACCAATCCAGGCCGAAAAGATAAGAGTGGCCATGTTTCGCCATACAGAGGTCCTCACGCACGTCCGCCACGTCCTTGGTGATGACTTCGCCCAGATAACAGTCGATGAATTGCCCGGCACGAATGAAATCGGGAGAACGAAGGCCTATATATCTTAGCAAATGATAATCTTGAAGAGGAGAAAGCGGAGGGTAAGTACCAAATCCACGGTTTCCGGTATGAAAGATCTCCAACCTGATCTGACGTCCACTCTGCACGACGCGATTCCAACAGCCTGCATTGCAGTCACACCGAGAACCACACTCGGAAATCATCATGTTGCGCTTTAGGAATTCCGGCGTTAAGACCATTAGCCGCGAATCGTCCTTTGCTCGCTCGTAAGGAATGATCGTGCTCTTAGAATCCCCCTCCTCAGTCTCGAGACAAGTGCAGCGACCCGGGTCACAGAATGCCGCACAAGAGCATCCACCATGAAACTCCTCTGGGGCCGGCTGCACCCCTCTGCGCAGCTTATTGCCATTAATGAACTCGAAGTTTTCAAACTGCGCTAGCAACTTTTGGTCGGCAGCAGCGAATGTGACCGGAGGACCCTTAATGACGGATAGCTTGCGCTGTAAAGAAAGCTGTAGCTGTCGGTTGACTTTCGGGCGAGAGGTAAGAAATGGACCAGGGGAGCCAATCTGAAACGGGATCTCAGTTCGATTGACCTTTCTAGTAGATGGATAGGCCCCCTTAAGTGCGCGTTTTTCGTACGCATCGGTAGGATAGTACTCCTGTGATAAACCAGTCGGGCCGCGATCCGGCCTTGACCAGCTGGCACTGGCGATCTCTCTTTTCAGCTGGCGAGATGGGGATGGGACCACGACCGTAACTTTGTTCAGTTCATCTCGGCTAGCGGGATCTGGGCTGGGAGTGGAGGACTGGGCTTGATTTTGTGACAGTTGAGGCTTGTAGTAGGTTTGACCATAAGGGCTCTGGTAAGTGCCATTGGTAGGGGCAATGTGAGGCTTTTTGTTATTAGAGTTCTGGTAATTGTACTCCACGAAAGACTGGAGCTGTCTTTGTGCTTGGAGTTTGTAGACATCGGCTGAATGTGAGGCTGTGTTCTCACTGTCTGTCAGACGAGAGTCTCCATTTGAAAACCCGGAAAAATTTGCCTGGTTGAAGGGGCTGTCGGGCAGTGCAGATGGCCATTCCAGTCCGTCTTGTTTGCGCTTCAACGGTACTGTACTGCGATGAGTTAAACTTGAGGTAAAGGCTGGTTGTGCTGGAAGAACGTGGTTTTCATTGACAGGCTGTATAGATCCGAGTCAGCTGATGATCACGAGACACGTCGACGTCAACATGTGATCCAGGGAGCATGAATAATCCAAGAGCAAGGTAAACCCAAAGTAAGTGGGTTTTGGATTCCAGGAAAATCAAACATTAAACTGTAAACCCGTCCAGCTGGAATATCACCCCAAATCTTGGTAAAGAATCGGTAGGTGGTACATGACCCCATAGCGCAGACATAGCCGATTTAATAACGTGAAGATCATCGCGAGGGGGAAAAAAATCAAGAAAGAGAAACAGGTCCTAAATCCGGGATACCCGTTACCCACTTAAACCTCACTTACCAAAGTCTGGGGGCGAATCTGACTGTCGGAATCAGAGTCCTGGGTGAGGTCTATGACCATTGTGGAGAGACACGCCCTAGAGCGCGAGGGCCAGGCCGCTAGAGTCCAGGGAGCGGGTTGGGAAGCCGGGAGGAGGGGATAAGAGCAACTTGAGCGCCCATGGAGATCTTAGAATTAAAAGGAGGGAACTGAGGGAAGTCTTCTTTCAAGTCTGGGACCCTGTTGAGACTAGTCCTGTTCGGGCAGTCATGGCTGCTTAGTCATAAGATTTAATCTCTAACGAGATTAAGTGAATATAATCAAGGCTAGTGAAGAAAGAGATCCTAGATGTTAAGAAGGAATCTTTGTGTTAGTGAGTTAAGAGATCATTTCACACCCTTCTTGCAAGTGAAGTGAAAGGGAGTGTAGATATCAAGTGAATCGCAGGTAAGTGGTAGAAAATGGCAGGAAGCGATGGATATATCTGATATCTGATATCCCACTGATTAGTGGGCGCGGGAAGAGCCCGTTCAAAGCGCTCGTCTGGCTCCGTTTTCCGGCCGCTTTCAATATCAATTAACGCTACTTGGCCAATCAGGATCTAGGACACCATCCCTCTTAATTATACTATCGAAGTAGCTAGGCCTATGCAGGAGAATATAGGGACTCACCTCGATCTCTCAGAAATAAATAAAAGGCCATGGTCATGGCAGGAGAGCGATTTGAAGTTTTTAAGCAATTCCATTGTTTTTTCTTGGCAGGCGCCGATCGGCCATGACTAAGCATATCAGGTGCACCTGCCAAGCTGTACAGATCGGGGGAGTTGGTCTCGTCCAGCTTGTCCAGCTCAATTATATAGCGAGAAATATACGAAATGTCTATACCTAAGTTTGAGTTCAATATCTTCTGGTACTACTACAATCTGGACAAAAGGTTGAACACTTTCAGTCTCCGTATACATGTATGTAGGCGGTCAATGCGCCCTCCCGCAAGCCACCAAGTATATACGGTAAGCCAGCGCCAACCAACTGGCAATCCGAGCCCGGAAGGGCACCTCGCAGCCTAGCGGACGGGTGCCCGTTTTTAGCGCCCACATTAGCCACCCTTGGGCTTTGCCTGGGGCCATCAGACATCCGCAGCCCGCGGCCTAGAGAGCTCAGGTGTTATCTAGGCCCTAAATTTGAGATACTGTCTACTTGGCCGGTAGAGGTTTAACTAGCTCGAAGTAAATCTTCGAAACCATGATTATGATAATAAACTCCGCAAGTATATTTGTTTTCTTTTACATCAAATACCTAATTTGGCTGTTTACTAAATCACCATTATCTCAGAATCACTTGAATGTCACCGGGGCACCTTGAGGGCGCCTCTCACCGCGACCATGAGGGTCGAGAGTTGGGTGAGCTCAAGTTTGTATGGCACTCTATGTGGCGGGTTGGATGGTGGAATCCCTATGAGTTTTCATGTTGCTCTTTTTGGCTCATGTGGGAGTTCACGCTATCCAGTGTGGCCCTTACATATACATACTTACCACTACCAGCAAGCGAGCGGTTTTAAGGAGCACAGGGCCCGATTGTGTTCCATGGTCTGGCAATCAGTCATTGAAGCTGTGTGACACTGAGCTGAGACAACTTCAAACAAACCGATTGATTTATCATAAACCAGTCAGCATCTACTAGTGCACATGTATCAGGGACTTAGGGTCCTCAGGAAATGACCTGACTGCCTGTGGTGCGGTGGTAAATGCGGCGCATTGCACCTGACAATAGGGGACCTGTTAGGAGTCGAGGACTACTGCTATTTCTAGTTATACTGAAGAACTAACTCTTTGTGTTTTTCTTCTATAGTGTGTAACTCGACTACTTTCTGGTTTGACCTAGATAGTTATAGATAGCTACCTACTTGTCTCAAGTATGAGGTATCAATCAGGGAGTAGGTACCTATCTATCAGTACTCTACCCTCATTGTGGGCTGGCTCTGGTTCAAATTTGCTATTCTGGAGCTATTAAAGACGCCAAATACCCCAAAATCTACTGTATGATTCTATCTTACCAATCAATATTAATCCAATGCCCAACATTCACTACATATGAACACCACATCTCGAAGTCATATCAAACAGCAACTAAACAAGAACTAAGCGCATGAACCGCAGGAACTGCAGGGCCTCAACTAAGCAGCGACAAAATTATATTATCAGGGCCCAGAAGGAGAAAGAAGACATAACGAACTGTAAACTGAGATATACAGAAAAAAGAAAAAGCGCACCTATTGGATAGCCGTATCGAACAAAACGGAGAAGTAAATAACAAAACTGATTGAAATCCATGATGCGCCCTTTCTTTTCTCGGGTCTAATATACACCATGACAAACCAGTTGCGGTGGAATTGAGCCAGCTCAAGTATGAATGCAAACCGAAAGCTGACGGGAATTGGATTCATAGTGGTGTGGAATGATGAGGGGGAACGCAATGGTGGGGGTAAGGGGTCGGTGGCATGCAATGAGGGAAAAGGCTATTGAAGGGCTGGGAAAGATAATAAAAGGAAACATGATGCTCGTGCAAATGCTTCATGATATAGGCCGTCCATATCATTCACAGGGGTGGAAGAACAAAAAACTTCTTATCGTCTCTTGATAATAAAACCAAAAAAAAAAGCAAAACAAAAACAAAGAAGAAACGATTACAGTCTCAAGGCGTCCAGGATTTTCTTGGCCATCTCGCGGTATTGCCACATACCTCCTGCAACCTTCTTGAACTGGATACCGTGGAGTGAAAACAAGGGAACCTTGACGATGAGGATTTCAAATCGGAGAATCAAGTTCTCTCCGGTATCGCTCTGGACACGAGTCGTGGTTTCTCCCACCACACGTTCTCCTACAGCGACGTTGTTGTCCCGAGGACCAACGTAATCTTCAGACGCATCCGAGTTGGAAACGAAGCTACGGTCCGGCGGAGCCCGGGTCCGACGCGGTGTTCTGGGTGTGTGGCGATTCTCTTCCTTAACCTCATCGTGGTTCAAAAGACCCCCGAAACTAATTCGTCGTCGATGGTTCGAAACAGGACCTTGTCGGTCAGGGCTGGGCGGCGCCACGTCCGTCACCTTTTCCAAATCAATACTTGGCGCGTGGCGGCAGCTGAACCCTCCCTTGATCTCGACGTAGTCCACAGAGAGTTGCTTGAGCACGCGGATAATGTCCGCGCGGATGACGGGTAGAGGCTTGCTGCTGGTCGTGGACACGCTAAATAGACCCTTAAGGTACACCGGCTTGGACAAATCTTCGCCCTCGTTCGCGCTCTCCAGTGCCGTTCCTGCCCCAGAGAGGTCCGCATCGGTTTCCTCGGGGACATTGGCTTCCCGGGCAGCATCTCGACGCGCGCGTCGTGCTTGGATACTTTCCCGGCGGGCATGGCCCAGTGACATGGTTCGGGAGGCGTGCGTACGGCTAGCTGATCTTGATTCCTTTGAAGGAGTCTGGTCCTTGGGTACGTTCGCATTGTGATCCGACCCGCTACTCGGAGGTGGTTGTCCGATCGTATCAGAGTCATTCCTTCGTGCCATGCGGCGACGGTAGTCGGCTGAGTTGACGCTTGTTGATCTCTCGAGGAATTTATTAGATCGTGAGGCCGGCTCTGCCGATCCGGGAGCGAGGAGATCTTGCTGCGGCTGGCTGCCACTGGCCGGCGGGATGGCCGTAGGAGAAGGATCCGCACGTCGGGTTTTCCTCATGCTGAACCCTCTGGACAAGGGCGAAGCCGAATCGGCAGGCGGCTGTACGCTCAATGACGGCGCATGGGGACTGGCCATTCTTCCGCGTTCGGGTTCGCGACCGCGCTCCTTCACCTTGCGGGTGCTGAAGCGCCTCAAGATGCCCGCAGCTGTGCTCTCCTTCTTGACCGGAGTCCCGGGTTGCGACGTCGGGGGAGCGGGCGACGCTTGTCCAGGGGGAGCCAAATGAAGATTCTTGATCCCATCGGCCATATCATCGTCTCCATGGGTTCTTGCGCGAGGACGAGTCCGCCTTCCGACATCCTTTTCTCCCGGTACTTGATATTGGTTGGTGTGGGCCGCTTCTGGAGCGGGTAGATCGGGCATCTGAAGCATAGCGTCTCCGGCCGCCTGCGGCACGCCAAGGGCACCGGGATTGGTCTCGGCTCTTTCTCTGTCCAGCTTCTCTTTCACTAGGTAGTAGATTGACAGTAACGGGCTGTACGCGTTCAAAGGGTCAGATCCTAATTGGACCGCTTCGGCAGACGGCGCGGACAAGGTATCCCTGCTGGCCGAATTGCGCCGCTTGTAGAAGTCGAACATGCCGCGTTTTTTCTCGCCGTGACTTGGAGGCGGATGGTCGCGAATATTCACCTTCACGGCATGCTGGTAGTCCTCCGACTCGACGATCTTCGTGAGCTGCGCGGTAATGTAGTCCGCGGGTCCAAAATCAAATCCCGTCATCTTGTCGATAACTTCCGGGTCCAATGGCAATTGCAACGGCTCGCGGTGGGGGAGGTTATTATCCGGAACGCCGTTGAATCCTTTATTCATCCAAGGGTGATTCATGATTTCCGCCAAGCTTGCGCGCTGCTTGGGGTCAGTGACCAACATGCGCGAAATGATGTGACGGCATTCTGCAGCAAAGTAACTCAATCAGTATCATGGGACATCTCTATTGGCCAGCTAGTGGGAATCAGATACATACCAGCCGTAAGTCCGGGAGGGTACTCAAACACGCCTTGTTTGATCTTGGCATGCAGCTTGGGCATACTCTGATCATCAAAGGGCACCTTCCCGCAGACTAGGACGTAGAGAACGATTCCAAAACTCCAAACATCCACCTCTGGGCCCGTGTACTGGCGTGCCTGGAGCAATTCGGGGGCGGCGAAATACAGACTTCCGCAGAAGGTCTTCAGGAGGCTTCGCGGAGAGAACAGATTGCTGAGGCCGAAGTCAATGATCTTAATGTCGCCAGTTTTGCTGATGAGGATATTCTCGATCTTCAAATCGCGGTGCACGATGCTGTTACGATGACAGTAGTCCAACGCGCTTGCGATCTGCCGGGCAAACTTCCGAGCCTGCTTCTCCTTTAATTTCCCATGGGAGATGATATAATCGAGCATCTGACCGCCGTTGACGAGTTCGAACAGCATGTACCAGTGATAGTTGGTTCGGACCACGTCTCGCATGCCACAGATATACGGGTGATTGACGAGACTGACGATAGCGGCCTCGCGGGCCGTCCGGATTTCTTTTGAACGATCTGCTCTTTCCGCCTCACGAGAGCTGCGATGTTCTTCCGTCGATTGCCTGGGGACGATCTTGACAGCCACCTAGGAGAACATTTATTAGTTATCGACTTACGAAAGACAAAAAGGATGAGAAAGAATAACTCACCTGTTCTCCGGTTTCCATGTTCTTCCCTACTTTGACCTTGCCCATACTACCTGCACCCAAGGTCTTACCCAGCGTCCACTGGCCGGACGGCGTCGTGATGGTTGTGCGACGTTTCGACGGCACCGGATTCATCGGGTGCAGTCGCGACGCCGGAACAGGCTGTGGCGGGACCGCAGCTGCGTCCGCGGCAACGGGGGCTGCGGCAGCCATATCAATGCTGTTTCGCTGACTGCCTTGAACGGACAGGTTGCGATGATGTTTGTTGGAAGAGGAATCGGGACGGTAGGCGGGGGTTGAGCGTTCCTGGGAACGTTCCTTGGAGCTACTCCGACGGGCGGGAGGCGGTTGGGCAGCTCTAGAAGCCTCGTAATCCCGACGGGCTATGTTGTCAAACAGCGCTTGGTTCGAAGGAGGGCGACGATCATGAGAATGCGATTTAGAGTGGGAGTGGGAATAGTAATTTTGCGACGGAGGGTGAGGTTGTTGCGAGGGCGACTGATTTGCAGTCGCAGGCCGGACTGCGACGCTTCGAGTTCGGTGAGGAGTATCGGATTGCACAGGACGATAGGAGGGAGGTCGGGAAGAAGTGGACTGGCTGCGGACGACCGACGGCGACGCACTGGACGGAGCAGCGGTGGACATAACGATCAGGAAAGGAAGGAGAGGAGAGATAGAAAAATTTAAAAGAAGAAGTGAAACAAAGAATCTCCAACCACTTCACTCACAGCCGGGGGAAGGAGGAAGTCTGGCCCGAGACAGGAGGACGATGGAAGTGATGCTTAACGGTCGGTCGGTCGGGGAGGCGGGGAAATTGGCGTTTGCTGACAACCGTCGGCCTGGTAGGTTGCGATACCCCCCATGTACCATAAACAAAGAGGATTGTTGTGCGGGAATGTTAGGGGGGGAAGTGGGGGGAGAAGGGAAGAAAGAAGGAAAGAAAGAGAAGGAGGAGAAAAGAGAAGGGAGGAAGAAGAGGAAGAGGAAGAAGTTGGTTGATAATGAAAGAAAGAAAGAAGAGACAGCACAGGGGCCGCAAGCAGAGGAGGCTGGTGCACTCGTATCGGGACTAGGAAGGCATCCCTTCGCCTCGGATTCTAAGGAATATACAGTAAGTCTTGACTATCATTATTCACTGTTCTGTACAAGAATAGGAACACAATTAGAGACATTCCTGGCCGGATGGATCGCACTCGTGCCAATCTTAATCTTATTGATCAAACACCACGAGCCGATCGCTGCCTCCCCATCAGGCCTGACGTTCTTAATATAGCACTCTACAGGAAGGAGGCTTACGGTGTATACATATTCTCATATCTCGACTCCCAAGGATTGATTCGCACGAGATTCATGTCCACAAGGTCCATCTACTCTACACCAAACAAGTAACCGAACCCCTTTTCCTGTACTGCCAGCCACCGACAAAAGCAAAAACAATCACCTGCGTTCGGCACGTAGAGAAAGCAAGAAAAGAAAAAAAAAACAAAAAAAGAAAGACGATCCCGGTGCGACTCGAACGCACAACCGCTAGCACCGGAAGCTAGCGCGCTACCATTGCGCCACGAGACCAGTTGATGACTACTCGCTTCAGTTTTAGCCTTATAATCACTTCTAGCTCACAGCAGCCACTCGTGGCGGTGCCCGAGTCCTCCCGTTAATCCCGTCGCATCGGCCAAGGCGACCGAGGCATCACTCCTGCAACTCCCTCTTTGCGATAACCACAACACGGTCTCCCTCTAGCCTATGGTCCGATTGGCGACCTATCGCTCGCTACGGTAATATCGTAGGCTACTCGAGTAGGCTTCATCTTTCCCCGCTCGTTCATCATCCTCGCATCTACTAACGATACGTCATCGCCTAGATTCGCGACCAGGAAATAATATTATGACTACACGCTAAAGTCGCTTCGTTTCTCCCCGCAATGGCCGGTAAACGAACTCGCGCAGCCTTCGAGGCCGATTTGCAAGCGCATCAGTCCCCCTACGCCTTCTTCGGAACTCCTCTTCCCCCGCTGGATGATCGCGTCCGCGACGATGGCTCCTACGAGCCGATCTGGAAACAGGAGGTGACCGATGACCGGGGAAGGAAACGCCTTCACGGCGCCTTCACCGGTGGTTTCAGTGCCGGGTGAGCTCACGATTCGTTGATCGCCTTGGACAGCTCGCTAAAATGTGGCCTCCGTTTTTACTATTTCAGGTACTTCAACACCGTCGGATCCAAGGAGGGATGGGCCCCGACGGCGTTTGTCTCGTCTCGCCAGAACCGAGCGAAGCCCGCTCAGCAGCAGCGACCGGAGGATTTCATGGACGAAGATGACATTCGGGAGGCGGAGGAAGCGAGGAAAATTGAAACCTCAAACGAATTTGCCGGGTTTGGCTCTACGGAAGCAGATGCCACCCGTCGAGGAGGGTTGATGGACCTGCTCAAGACTAGTGGTGAAACGATGGGGGTCAAGCTGCTGAAGAAGATGGGCTGGAGAGAGGGCCAAGGAATCGGTCCCAAAGTGCGACGAAAGGCAGACCTTGGAGAAGGTTTAGGCTCGAAGGGTCCCGAGGCCGACAAGACCTACCTTTTCGCCCCGGAAAATCCGCCGATGGTCGCCTTCATACACAAAACAGATCACAAGGGACTTGGGTTTGAGGGCGAATCTCGCTTGGAGTCTCGCAAGGAGGGGGGCGAGGCATCGGAGGACGAGGACCAGTTCTTCGGTCGACGGCTAATAGGCCCGGGCAAATCCAGGCCTCCGAAGGCCAAAGAACCTCGGCGGGGGGCGTTTGGCGTGGGCGTTTTGAATGACACCGGGTCGGACGATGAGGATCCGTACTCGCTAGGGCCGCAAATCTCCTACAACCGAACCATCGGAGGCGACAAGAAAAAGAAAAAGAAGAGCTCGACAGACGTTGGCAAACCGTCGATATCGTCCTCGAATCCTCTCTTCAACAACAAACCGGTCTTCATATCTAAGAAGACGATTGCTGCAAAAAGCTCCGTCGGGTTTAGAAGATGTCACGACGGGCGCCTGCCCCTGGACGGATTTCTCCTGGCGGACGGCATCTCGGGTCTCACCATTTCGTCCCAGGAAAAGAAATACGCGCCTCCTGAAATCCCCAAAGACTGGAAGTCGAGTAAGACCCCGTCAACAGAAAGGAACAATACCAACTACGTTTCCACGGCCGAGGCAGCCAAGGCATCTTCGCTCGATCCCGTATCCAGAGCTGCGCTCCTGGGCGAGGCCCAGCTGCCCGGGAAATCCATCTTCGATTGGATGACTCCCGAGGCTCGGGAGAGAATTATGAAGCTCACGGGGAAAACCGACCTACCGCCAGCTTTAGGCGAGAAGGCCCCCAAAGGATTTGAACGGTCCGATTCCCAGAAGCGCAAGGACATGTGGGATCTTGTCCCCAAGCTGGAGAAGCAGATCGCCGTGCAGGCCTTGACCAGAGCAGCGAGTGGTTGGATGCCATACTCCGATGACCCGGACAAACGCTCGCGATATCGCACGTTCCTTGAAGTGCGAGCCGAGCTTCGAGATACGCTGCCCGAGCGGGTACCTGGCTCCACTACAGACGAGTGGGTTGCAGAGCTCCACGAGTTTTCGCGCGCAGCGGAGGTATTTAAACCCATGTCCGGCTTAATGGCCTCGCGGTTCACGTCCGCTTCCTCAGGGCCAAAGGGGTCTTCGGATGAGTCCGATCCTTCTGCTACCAACTCGCCTCTCAGCAAACCGGCCGAGAAGCCTGAGGACCCAGCCGTAGCGGCTGCGAAGATTGGGATGTTTGGACCGATGACGCGAAGCACCGTTTCGTTTTACCCCTCACGTCTCCTGTGTAAGCGGTTCAACGTGAAACCTCCGGACCATGTGCAACTTGACCCGGCTACACAGCCGGGACGAGCGGAACCCACGTCGGGCGGACGCTTCGAGTCGGCTGGATACCAGACCGATTCTCGTCCGAAAGAATTGGTCTCGCAGGATGTGATGAGCCAACTCATGCTGGAGGCTGGCGGGTCTAGCAGCTCGGGCGCAGGAGTACCTGCAGAGGCCGAGAAACGCCAACCAGTGGTGATGGAACCGGAGCGCAACGAAGCACTGGAGGCGGAGCGGCCTGGAGAGGCGGTCTTCAAGGCGATATTTGGCAGTGACGACGAAGATGAAGAGGATTGAGTGTATTGCGCAAGCAGAGGGGGTACGAAAACATAAGTCAATATTCACCGAGTCAAAATAGAATTTAACGGCTTCTGTAACTTCAATCGGATCTTCCCTGGGCTTTGGAAAGGTTACACGACATGCATTGATCTGGAGAGCAGAAGACGGTGTGCAGCGGGGATTGGGCGACAACCAGCGGTCTAGTGTGTAGGTAGAGGTAGATTAGAGAGAGCATGAAGCTGCGATGAAAGTCGTACTATTTGAAGAGTCCCGATCCAGGACGAGTCGGAAGTGGAGGCGGCGCGTGGTTCGGCCTTAAAGTTCGGGTTCCTTGCCCATTATTAAAGGATGCTGTAAGTAGTTAACCTTCCCCTCACCTTTTCTCCCTCCCTCTCTCTCTCTCTCTCTCCCATCATCGTCTACTTTCTTTCTTTTCGCCCCCATCCCTCCGTAATCCCTACGCTCGTCGGTCGCAATTGCTTCTTTCACATCTCTGGTGGCGTCATGCCAGCTGCCCGATACCTTCAAACCTAATATACTTCCATACTTGCTGAACTCCACTTTCAGTCGTACGATTTCCGCTACAGACGCAACCATCTATTGATCACCATCAGGGCCACCCTCTCCCCTCCCACCCTTCTTCTTTTTCTATTTTTCTCTCTTGCTGCTGTGCGGGTCCGAAGAACTGATCGTGTTTATCTGGCTGATGGAGTCTCGTCGATCGTCGATCCTGTCGAAATGGTGAGTGTCTTTGGTTTTCTTTGTCTCGTGCTCAGTCAATCATCGTGATTGCGCCGTACGTCATCCATGGCCCGCATCCCGCATGCAGAACCCAACGCCCTTCTACTTGTCGCCAATGAGCCTTCTTGGATGAAACCCTCTCTATGACTTCGCTTTCGCTGTACATTATGCCTGGCTCTAATTGTGTGTCTGCAGGGTTGCTGCTTTTCCTCGCCTCGTCGTGACGAAACTGTCTCGCAACATGCCTCGCGAGTAGTCGCGGACGAGCGTCAGCCAGACTCAATTCCTCATCCTACCCATCCAACTCCAAGTTCAAACATTCTGCCCGCTTCTACCATTGCCTACCGACGCGCGACGAACCAGTATGCGCTGAGCGAGCATTTCAACGCCCCGATTCGCCGCCATGTCTGGTACAGCAAGCGTCGGCTGTGGAGTCGGGCGACGTTGGACCAGGAGCGCAAAGACTTCTTCGAGACGAGAGTGACGGGGCGTCCGGAGGTTTGGGCTGCTTTATCGACGGCGCTGACCTTGATGCGCGCCAACGATCTTGCGACAGCCCAGAGCATCATTGACGCCGCCGGGATAACGGTGCCCACGGGCGATCCCTGCCAGGGCTGCTATGACGAGCAAGGGGTGCTTTATCGGCTGCCCCAGTGTATCGTCAGCGATCCGGAAAACATAGTGCGATCAAGGTCCGATGGCGAGGTCGATGGCGGCGACGACGACGACTTCGACACTGAAGACGGTAAATTATCGGCGGACGAAGCCTCGGGCGACGAACTGATCACGGAGGAGCTTGAACGGCGCAGGGATGAAAAGGGCAAAACCCGGGAGCGAGATCTGATCTGTGTCAAAGCACGACTCAGCGACAGGGGTGGACCCGACGTAATCGTGGCCGTCGGAAACGCGCAGAATGTAGGCTTTATTGCCCGGAAGGTGCAGCAAGAAGCTAGGGTACGTCACCCCGTCTACGTAATTGTTTGATTGGATTGTGTTGCGGCAAGCTGACGTGTAACATTTGGATACCGTATAGATTCCCAGGAGTCATCGTGTACGCATCGCGTATCTGGGCAAGATGCTCAAGGAGAATTCCACCCTGGTCGAGCAAGGATGGACGCCAGGCCATGTGGTCAACGCACTGGTTACGATCAGGCATTGATTCTGAATCTACTTGCCTGGTTGCCTGCACCTTGTGTGAAGGTGATCCAGCCTCTGCTATTCATCTGGACTTGAACAAACGTTTGCAGACCGGTCACTTTCACCCAGGCACCCCTGCATACGTCGCCACGCAATTGACCACTTGAATTCCAGCGCCACCCGCCTCCAATACCCAACGACTAACTATGTAATGATGATTGATCTCGATGATTCCCGGCGTTATCTCCTGCGCATAATACCCATGTTTTGCTTTTTCCCTACATATTCACACTACTTTGTGCCTGTACTTCCTATGCTTCTGAACGCGTGTTGCAATTCTGCTGCTGTCTATTTATCTATCCATCTATCTATCTTGCTGTCCTATTCCTACTACTTGGCGGTGCTACTCCGTACTGTTTGCTCCGTACCTCTCCATCACTCCCCTCCTGATTCTTCTCGCTCATCTGGTGCGCAGCTTAAATTATGTCTCGCTTCGTGCATAGTTACGTTGACCGGTATCTTCTTGCTTCTTGAATCGTGGATTTCCACTGGCTTTATCCGGAGGTACTTTGAAACTTATCTGTCTAGGTGTCTTATCTAGTTTTAGGTACTTGTCTAGCGCTTGCTTTTACGCATATGCATGCCGTGCAATCAATTTAACTTAAATGCCTACCTTACTTGATCTATCCCAATCACGATACCTGTGCTGCTATGTAAACATGGACATACATACTAAGAAAGATTGGGGGATGACACTAAAACGAAGCAAAACGAACAAACAGGCCACTCAACCTATCGATCACATGGGTAGGTAGGTAGATAGTAGGGTAAGTGAGGGCCCACTGCCTATCTTTCGGCAATTAGACAAAAAAACAAAGAGATGTAAAAAGAATGCATCATCCGTGAATCGAACACGGGCCTCGTCGATGGCAACGACGAATTCTACCACTAGACCAATGATGCTGGGGAGTGGATCAGATTGGATTCTGATTCGCTGACGCGTTTTAGGTTTCCTATATTGATTGATGACCCTGTGTTGTTTGGACTGGGTTGCTTACGGTTAGGTCATGTATACAAAAACATCCATAGAATTGAGAAAAATCTAAACTATAACACAACAAAGTATCCAAGATACTAACTGAACGAGAATGAGCGGATGCAAAATAATATATTAATTAAACAAATGAAACAAAAATAACGAGTGGAACCAGATCTCGAACCCAACCAACATTCAAGAATACTGTCTGTCTGTCAATGCTACTCCCGAGGACGGATATACAAGTGGAAATATATCTCCAGCAACATGAACACACCTCACACCAACCGACCATTCTCCGCCTCTCGTCCCTTCGGCGTCTCGCCCGATCGTCGCTTGAATACGCGACAGATGAATTTCGCGCCGCGCACGACCCCCCGGACTAAGGAGGTCGGGTTGTAGTGTTTGACCCGGAACATGTAGTACAGCAGGACGGTGCCGAAGATGTTGAAACCGATGTACGCCCATCCGATGCCGAAGTTGCGCCAGCGTTCGCTGTAGTCTAGAGTTTGTTGGTTAGCGGGTTGGTTCGTGGTTCAATTGTGTGATTAGGTTATACTGATCTGATGGTTGGTTGGTTGGATGGATGGATGGATGTGATAGTAGGACGCAGAGGGGCATAGGGACGTACAGATATTGGAACTGGCTAGATACTGGTCCGCGTTGCGGAGCTGACAGTACTCGCAACCCTGCGTTGCGCTTGGGTTGTACAGCTGACCCGGCGCGGCCTGCAGGTAGGCGGCCAGGTACTGACCGCAAGTTTGGCCGCTGGGAGGATCGAAGACGCTGAGTTCCTCGCTGGCGCACACGATTGCTCGTCCGTGTAACCCGGTCCCCGTGATGCCGGCAATCAGGTACGTGAGGGGCGAGACGCGGTACATGAAGATCCAGAAGCCCGGGAGGGCGTTCGGGGGCTGCATCACGCCGTTGAAGACGAGGGTCATCATGAACAGGAGGGTGGCGATGGTGCCGCCGGTCTCGGCATCCGGGAGCGCGGAAATGATGAACGATGCGAACGTCGAGGTAAAGACGTAGAACTGGATGATTAGGAGAAGCATGAGACCTTGGCGATGCGGCGCTTGGTTGGCGCCATAGACGGGGTAGTAGTATGATGCGTAGGCGACAATCGCAGCGAGGACTTGGTACGGGATCTCGACGATCACGTTGGCGATCAGGAACGCGGCCCATGAGTACGCCTTGGACGGTCTTTCTCGAACCTCGTAGAGAGATCGTTGAACCACGAATTTGGGCATGATCCTGATAACGCCGTGAGCTGGAGTTGAACAAGACAAGGCACACGAGGGACTAAGTGAATAGGTTGTGGATATCGGTAAGACTTACTGTTGCACCAAGGTCGAGAAAATGGAAGTCATCATGAACGCACTGAACAGAACGTCCTGAAACCCCTGCTGGGAGCTATCGGGCTTGAAGAACGTAAAACCAATGAACAGCGACGAGGCAGTGGCCAGGATGAGTTTGGCATAGACGTAGGAGGGTTCGCGCCAGTATTGCTGAAAGACACGATAAGTGACATACCACAGCTGGGAGGCGAACGGCATGGCATATTCCGCATGCTGGTCCTGCTCGGCAGTGTCGGCCTCGCTGGATGCGGACGCGCGATCTCGATGGATTCGCTCAACCTCACTGGCCACGTCCTTGGCCTCTTGACTTTCGTTCCAGACAAGCGCCCAATCCTTGCTTGCCTTGCCAGATGCACCAGCCCCAATGATCTCGAGCATATACTCAGCCGGCTTTTTCACGTCAGCATAAACCAGGCTATTCAAGGGGAGTGAAAGGACCTACATTCTCTGATTCACCACACTCTCTCGCCCCATTGCCTTCGAAATAGTCAAGCAAGGTACGGGACTGGTCGCCGATGTTGCCAAAATAGACGGTCCTACCACCCTTGGCCAGGAAAAGCAGGCGATCAAACTGCTGGAACAACAGAGCACTGGGTTGATGAATCGTCGACAACACTGCCTGACCGTGGTCTGCCAGTTTTCGCAGAAAAGCAACAATAGACCACGAGCTTTGAGAATCCAGACCACTGGTCGGCTCATCGAGGAAAATCAACAGCGCAGGCTTTGCGGCCAGCTCCACTCCGATGGTCAACAACTTTCTCTGCTCGACATTCAACCCCTCACCTGGCGTTCCGACGATTGCACTGGCGAAATCCTGCATACCGAGCATCTCTATGACCTCCTCGACATACTTGTACTTTTCGCTCTTGGGGACAGACTTCGGCTGACGCAGGACTGCACTGAAGCGCAGCGCCTCTCGAACGGTGGTGGTAGGAAGATGGAGATCCTGCTGCTGCACGTAGCCAGTTTTTCTCTGGAAACTACTGTCCAAGGCCTTTCCATCTACCAGCATATCGCCAGTCACGACGCCGATTGAGACACGCTTCGCCAAAACGTCGAGAAGGGTCGTTTTGCCGGCTCCCGAAACACCCATCAAGGCCGTGAGAGTGCCAGGCTTCACCCAACCCGACACATTATCCAGAAGACGTCGTTGACCCCCCTTGACGGGTATATCATAGCAGACATTCCGCCATGTGAAGACGCTGTGCTGTTTCGGAATAGCATCCTCTTCTTCCTGGCCGCCTTTTTCGGGGTGACTGACCACCGCTGATGCGTTGTCGGTTTGATCCTTGTCGACGTTGCGCATGTACGCTGGAACATGACCTCGTCGAAATACCAAGAATTCGGCCTTTGAGGAAGTTGCGGAGTTGATCTCAGTAGCGACCAAGTACAATGCCGTAAAAAATATCCAAAATCCAATAAGGATGCCGAGATTCCGCCATTCATGCGCATATGTGTATGTGTATTGCGATCCGATATATGCATCCCCAGACACGGTCCTCTCGCCTGCCACAGCGCCTCGGATGGAGCATATGAAAGAGTTTCCACTTAGGTTGGGATATGCAGGCACGAACTGAGAACACGTGAAGCGTCGGCCGTGGAACTCATTCGCAATCATCGCCTCGTAAGTGTAGAAGACAGGATTGATCCATCGGATCCAGCTAAACCAGGGAATTGAGGACATTTGTGGCACGGGTATCACGAAACCTGTATAAATGACTATAGCGAGGACAATCACACCAGCGATGGACATTGCTTGTGCGAGTGTCTTCGTTGCTGCGGCCAGCGTTCGGAAGATCCCTGACATGGCAAGTGTGCTGAGGAATGTGAACAGAAAGAAAATGAAGAATTGAGACGGCTCATATCGCTATAATCTAATGTTAGTGACAAGCACGAATCCACCTTCGTTAGGCTTGAACCTACCAATCCAGCCAGAAAATAGAATATGATGTTGAACACGACCGCCGCGAAGAATTTGACCGGAATATCAGAGACAACTCCGCCGAGTGCTTCCGCAAAAGGATGAACAAAGGCATACGAGGCCTGCTTCTCGACGATAGGCCGTTGATCATAGAGCGAGTTGATTTCCGTGATACTGATGAGCGCGTTCATCCTAAAGCAGTGTGTTAGTCTAAGTTTCAACCGGATCTCGTATGTAAAAGTAAACCTACAAAACTGCAAAGAAAAGAGCTGCTCCCTTGCTTTGGAATCCAGCGGTAGCATTTGGGGTCCTAGAGATATTAGAATGGAGTTCCACCGACACTCTCGGGAGAGCTCACCCATAGTATATGGATCCAATGATAAGAGCCATACAGACTCGCCCAATAAGTGTTGTCAATGTAGAAGGTTTGTCGTTCCATATTCTAGCATCATTAGTCGGTATACTTATGAACGAGCAACGGTGGGAGAAACTAACCTCTGATAAGCTCTCATTGTGCAAAGCTTGATCTGCATGATGACCGAAATGACATAAGGACTCTTGGGTCGGACGTGCTTCGCCTGTCGCAATCTCTTCATCTGGCTAAATGCCTGCTCCGATTCTCCACCGGGAGGAAAATCCCGATGATACTGCTCGATTTCCTGACAGAGTCTAGCATACTGGGGACTGTTCTTCCAGTAATTCTCGAACTCATCGGGTGTGCGAGGGACCCGATTCTCCATCCCATTGCGTACTTGACGCTCCTGGGGGTTGGTCACGGACGTCAAGAAATCACCGGTCGTCTGACGTGGTGGGCAGTCCCAGCCCATCTCGATGAAGTAATCTCTTGCTTCTTCACAGGGGCCGAAAAAGATTTGGCGGCCTTCATACAGAACGATTGCTTTGTCAAAGATATCGTAGATCGCCTGTGAGGCCTGGTATATGGCAACGGCGTGACAGGTTCCAGCCAGATCAGACGAAACCCGCAACGCCTTGACAAATTCCAGGGCACTCGCGGAATCAAGACCCCGAGTACTGTTGTCCCACGCTGCGAGAGGCGCCCCGGAAACTGGTAGTCGTTAGCTCACAGCCGTCATTTCGTACAGTCGAATAACTTACGTGCCATCTCGGCAATACTAAAAAGTGTTAGCTAACTAGCAACGTCGAGGGCATGGCGTACTGACCTAACTCGCTTGCGTTCACCTCCAGAGACACCCCTAATGTAGTCATCCCCAACTGCATTCTTGGTTAGAATTGTCAAGTCCACTCTCAACAGAACAGTATACATACCCTTCGTGTTGTACGTGTGGGACAGGCCGAAAATGGTCATGACAACTTGCGAGACATACTTGGCATACTGCTGTCGCCCAATGCCATTCAATCGAACCTCGGGTGTTCTCGCAGCAGCAGCAAATTCCAGCGTTTGACCAACCGTCAAATGCGGGAAATGTTTATCCACTTCCTGGTTGTACAGCACTTCGCCCTTGAACTCTTTATGCATCCTTTCCATCGAGATACCATTGTATTGAATTTCCGAGCTCTTGCGAAGCTTCAGCCCATGTAATTCCCCACAGAGTGTCTTGAGCAACGTCGAGCAGCCGCTACCCGGCCTACCCAAGACGATGAGTAGCTCACCACTCTGAAGAAGACCGTCGAAGTTGCGTAGGATATGCTTTTCCGGAGATCGTCGGGCAAAACTGAGGTATTCCTGGGGACGGAGAGGGGCCAGCAGCATCGAGCTCACACTGCTCTGATACTGCAACGCAGACCCGGACCCGGAGACATTGAGGTTCTGAAAGGCAACGCCGGTGGAAGCCGGACGCGAAAGGCCCTCCCGATCCAACAACCGCAGTATCTTGCGGACCCATTTCCGCTGGTCAAATTGTCCGCTGGTCGGATCGAAAGCCGGATGGTCCTCATCCATTTCTTCAATCGTATCCTTTCGCTCGAGGGTCGTTCCACCGGTGCTTAGATTAGTCGCGCGGCGCTTGGGGAAATTCGAGGCGATGCGAGTCAGATTTGCTCTTTCCTCCGGGCTCATATTCTCGAAGACTTGGCTGCCATTGCGGTCGACTCGCGACTGTCGTCGAGAAACCGGAGGCTCTTCCACGATGTCATTCTCGTGCGCGGTATGGCTGGAGGTAGATCCGGAGGAGATATCGTTTTCGCCATGCTGAGCCATTGTGGGCAATCAATCGAGGCACAAAAGCCTGCTATGAAGCCCGACACAGCAAGATGAGGAAGAGGGAGAGTAAACACGACGAAAACAGAAGACCGTGCCAGTCAGGGGAGAAAGCCAAAGCTGGTAGAAGCAAAGATGAAGAATGCCAGAAATAGGGTGTCAATGGCTAGTTCATACCCTACTTCCGCCACATCATGTGAGATGATCGTCGACAAATGACAGGCAGATTAGGAAATGATTTAAAGAAATCCAGGGCGATGGAGCCCGATCAGTAACATCAGGGCGCCCCTGGATGCTATTCGCCCAAGGGGTGAGTGGTGATGTCATGATGGTCAGGTTATCTCCTTTGTGTAACTACAGTGGAGTTTTGCCCGGAGGAAAAGTGATCTCGGATTTGCTTCAAGCCATCCGAATCAATAGGCAGACAGCTCGCTTGGGACAGATCCCAGCCCGAGTGAAAGTTGCATACCACAAAGGGATGGAAGGAATGTGGACGTTGCCGGATGCGGCCCCGGAAGAAGCAGAACCGTCCACAATGTTTCTAGATCTTCGGCATCGGAACCAACAACGTTAAAAGACACTCTAATGAGAGGTATCGGGGGATCGGGAAGTTGACCCTGCCTGCAGATCGATTGGCATAACTATCTTTCGTTGCTTGATCGTACCGATTTCCGATAACTGAGAACTATGAACAGCATAGTCGGAGTACGGAGGACCTCCCCCACCCAAGGTCCCTTAGGGCAGAAAGATGCGGCACGGGCTCTCGGGAGCAAACACATCCGCTTACCTACAGTGACGGGCCAATCTGTGGACTCGCTAATGGCCCCGTCCGTATTTCGTATTCAATCTGATAGGGTCTGCATCATGATCGTCCCGGCAAGGCCATTGCCCGTTAAACTCGGCATGGATGGCTGCGGATCCCGAGATCATTGGTACTTGGGTGCGCGTGCATGCGACAAACAATAGGTATGAATTTTTTCTTTCTTTCTTTCTTTTGATTTCACTCTGTTCATCAAGTGTACTATATTCCCAGAGCACGCTGATGTGCTAATAAAACAAATCTATCAATGGCTTTAGTACAGTAACAGTCAACCCTCATCAGAACTTGAAAACAATAGCATGTCCAGGGTCCTCCAGGTCATGAGCGGCGCTCTTCCCCTGAGCTTACATGCTGGGAAGGGATGTGTTAAACAATAGTAATTAACAATATAAGATAAACATGAGTATATCTGGGGATATTTATAAGTGGAGCTATCTCGGTTCCAAACACCATGGAGTTGACACAATAAAATCGTGTCAACGCATAACACAGGGAGTTCTACCCACCTCCTGCAGAGTCCGATGTACTCCGTAGTGTGGGCTGCCTACCTAGGTAGGTAAACTAAGAGTGAACAAATATTGCTGTATGCTAGGCAACCAATGGCGGACATCAGTACCCTAGTGATCTATCTACACCGAGTATGTAACTAACTATACTAATACCAGTAGTCAACAAAGTAAGGTAAACATAATCATCTACTTCATTGTCTACTCTATCGTCTAACAATCGAAGGACCCTGGGTCCTATCTATTTGTTCTATATCGTCTATGATCTCTACAACACAACTGATGGTACACCTACACGTTCTTTCATAAAAGTCCACTGCATGGAACCAATCCGCCTGCTGTACATGGCACCTCATTGTGGACGAACGACATCTCCAGTATATCCACAAGGGAGTAGTATCTTTTAAATGATCTGACCTGGTCCCGGAGACAAGACGCGATTAACAAGAACTAAATTCCCCAATCGGATTGTTATATTGAGAGATCCGATGAGGCCCACTCGCAGTCTAACCAAGAACAGCAGCAATGGTGCCCCAGGCAGACAAGCAAAGCAAACAGCGCAAACAACTTTCCATCCAAAAAAAAAAAAAGACTATGGCCGCAATCGCGATAGCACTTCTTGGATTTCTGAAATTGAACGTTCGCCAACACCTACATTCGCAGTAGGACATTTTGAAAAATACCGACCCATTCGCTTGAATTAATATCAGCGACTTTACAGAACGAATTTCCTATCTGATCTGGCCTGCGACTGGAATCAGCTCAATCATATACCTACGAAACATCATGGCGGATCTACAAAAGACTCCTTTTGTTAAGGAGCTCGCCTCAAGCGGTATGTTCCCTGCAGACCCATTGCATGTCGATAACGCTTACTATACGGTCAATCAACTGACATGTTATGCCCCTGTCTCTTACAGACCGACGCACTCGCGACAAAGCCACCGAGTCCCTGACTCTCTTCCTGCGCTCCAAAACCGACCTCTCTCTTCTCGACCTCCTGAAACTATGGAAGGGTCTATTCTTCTGTACGTCTATTCCTCATTCCCTTAGGGTCTAGATTACCTAGCCTTCTAGGGCGCCCGCGCGAACAAGATCAATTGGAAGACAAAACCAAGTCCGAGCTAAACTAACCACATGATAAATTAGGCTTCTACCACTCCGACCGCCCCCTCACACAGCAAGCCCTCGCCCGGAACCTCTCGTACGGAATCGTCCCGACCCTGCCCCGAGCCACGCTGCATCGCTTCCTGCGCGCGTTCTGGATCACCATCGGTCGCGATTTCCACTCGCTGGACCGTCTGCGTCTCGATAAATACCTCTTCCTGATCCGATGCTACGTGGGCGTCGCATTCGAGATCTTCGTCAAGGGCGCCAAGTCGCAGCAAACCGAGGAGACGAACAAGAAGCGCAAGCGCCAGGACGCTGGCGGCAAGAAGGAGAAGAACAAGCGATCGAAGGGGAAGAAGAAGGCGCAGGCTGAGGAGGTCGCGGATGAAGAGGAGGAGGAGGGCACGGCGAACGGTGGCGATAGCAGCGCACAGGGTAAATGGGCGGATCTGGAGTCCTACATCTCGATTATCGAGGAGGGCCCGCTCTGTCCTATTAACTTTGATCCGGACCAGCCGGCTGCGGACGAGAAGAATGATTACGTGCCTATGCCGCATGGTCCGGATGGATTGCGCTATCATATCATGGACATCTGGATTGATGAGGTCGAGAAGGTGCTGGAGTTTGACGAGGCGGATGACGAGGAGGAGCCCAAGGAGAGGAAACCCAAGGGCGATGTGCCCATGGACCTGTTGCTGCGGCCTATTGAGAAGTTGCGGACGGATTGCCCGTACAAGCCGGTGAGAACGAGGGCGACGGAGACGCTGAATGATGATCGCTTGGTGGAATGGGGCTTCAAGACCCGTCCCGTTCAGGACGACGAGGACGAGGAAAGTGAAATCGAGTGGGGTGGCTTCGATGATTAATTGAGATTTCTCAAGGATCGATTCTCAAGGCGTCCGGGGAACCGGCTGTATATCTAGCCCAAAAAATACATTTTATCGCGGAATGGCATCTTATAGACACTGATTATGAAGACAGAACTTGTATTTGTTATGACCCCTGGGACTGTACACATGCAAAGACAACACCAAAGATGATTAAAGCAAAATCGTCAATTCAACTGTACATACAAAGCAGGCCAGTGCTTGATTGGAATGGTCTTGCGCGAGGGTATCAAAGAGTGCGAAGACTCGTCAGCAGCTATATAAACACACCCAAAAAGTCGGGGCTCGGTTTGCCCTTTCTACTCTATCTCTGTCGCGGGATCCGATCAAGTATATTTCGTTCATATCATGGCCTGGGCCCCTCTGCCTCGTAGAGGTGTCCTGACTTTGACAGGACTGTGCCCAGGCCTTTGTGGATCTCAACCTGGAAAGCTTCGAAGGGGATCCGCTCGCCATCCACGCTGATATAACCTTCCTTTTCGCGAGGAACCAGACGATACGCGGTCGCCTTACGGATGTTGACTTCTGGCATATCGAAGAAGTTGCCCTCAGGAATTGCCGTCATCATTTTGAGGGACGTGGCGACCCCGAGGGTTCCGTCGATGGTAACAATGTCCATCAACCCATCATTGGGCAACGAGGCTGGGAAGAAATTAGTGTCTTTGGACATGATAGCCATGTTCCCTGCGTAGAAGTTCCCCAGCGTCTCGGACGGAATGACCTCCCAGTCCTTAGGGAGATCATCCTGCACAGTGCCGTACTTCAGCTCCGGAAGGCCCCCGGACCGTCCAGCAGTCTCTTCAGGGGAACGGAGGGGAGGGACACTGTTCGCGTATGTGTTGTAATGGTCCTTGATGGCCTTTTTGTCATCGATTTCCACTTTGACGGCAAGATCGCACGGCCAAACGGTGCTCTTCACAATCCTGACAAGGAAACCGTACGTAAATCGATGGGCACCCATCCATCGAATATTGTCGGTTCCCAGGTCACACTCGGCGATGATGCCGAAAGATTGCGACAGGAAAGACAGAGTGCGATTCTGTCCTTGTGTGATCGAGGCAAGATCCATCGGTGTGCGCAATCCCTTGACAATAGCCAGTGCCGCCACAGACACGCTTCCCGTTCCGCAGAGATTCCAGGTCATTGCATTTCCCGAACCGCACGGTATCAATGCAACGGCCACCTTGTTCAGGGCTTCGCCGGCGTTTGGCTTCCTTGCCAGACCGTTGAAGACCTCGTACGGAAGACCGTCTCCGGAACAACAGACGATCGCATCGAAAGCATCAATGTCGATGCTCTCTGAGATCTCGCTGGCGTGGCCCGAGTGCGTCGTTTCCTGAACATCCACCTTGCAGCGAGCCGCGGCAAAGATGGACGCTGCATGATTCCGATACAATTTCACGGCGCCTCCTTTACCTCCAAAGGGGTTGACAAGAACCTTGAGCCTCTTGTATCGTTGCGCATTTCCATATGCCAGGTCCAGCAATCGGGCGATCCAGGCTTCGACGCTTGCCTTTTCCTCGTCGGCGATCGGGTACTGAAGCGCAGTCACGGAGACGTCGTCTTTGGTCGCATGCTCCGCATAGGTAATCGTCAAGCCTGCCGGAGAGATATCGGCGTCTAGTATATTATAGAACGAAATGGCATGGGTATCCTTGGTTGCTGAGAGGCGGACGAAAGGGTCAGCAATTCCGAATTACCTTGTCGGACAGCGCGGACATCAACCACACGGAAAACAGATTGGATTAAAAAGAAGGAATTGATCAAGCATACACGACTTGGGTAATAAACCGCAGCATGCGCGACTCGAAGTACGCGTGGAGGAGCGCTCATCTAGAAAAGCAACGGTTTTGGTTAGAAGGGGAAGCCTGCCAACGTGGTGACAGTCGGGTAACGGTTACATACCGGCGACGAGAAGAGAGTCGCTCCCCAAGGTGAGGGAGACGCACTGTGCTACCGTCAGAGTCGAGTCGTGCTGCAGCAATTGGTGTTGGGAATCCGGCTGATCCGCATTGTTAAGGGACGGACGCGCTGCGTCATTGGTGGGCGAGATCATGATGTTCTCAAGGGGACAGAGAGCATCATATAGCCACCGCACAAAGAGAATCAAACAGGAGCCCAAGGAGAGGATGATCACGAAGAGGGACGAAGGGGGGAGAGGATGGAGCGTGGCCAGGAAGGAGCGGAGAAAGAACGGGAGACTAATTTTTGTGAATTTGCTTATGAATGCCATCACGAGATTAATTAAGGCGCATTTCTGGTTCGCTTCGATGTCTGGGAATCGGTTCCACTTTCCCCAGTCTTTCTGCCCCTGTTGGGTCGAGGAGTCTGGCGACCCATTGCTTATAATTTATTGCAAGACTCTCGAGTCAACTTGATCAGTTGAGGTGCTACAAGCCTACAGCATACTGGGACCATGCGGCATTCCCAGCCCATTCTCGGGACCTTCCGCATGCATCTTCCACCAACGCATTGAAACCGACTCTTCCCTCCTCACAAGAATGATCGCCGACTTCTTCACCTCAAGCATTCGAACCTATTCCACCCGGATGACCGTTGTACTCAAGATGCGACCACACTAGATCGACGGCGGAGACACCGCGATCCGCGGAGCTGTGGGGATGCTGAGTCGCGGACAGAAGCAGAGGTCCCTCATTCATTTAATTGAAATACATCTAGAAAGAGTACAAGACGGAAGAGACACGGTCTATTAACTGTAGGGCTTCAATTGAAAAAGAGTCTTTTCTCATCCAGTATAACACAGACACAAAAAAAAAAAAGAAAGCGTATGGTCAACAAATTCATTCATCAGAAACAGGAGAGATAGAAACAGCCGCGGATCAAGTAGAATAAGTAAAGTAATATGGGAGAATATGATAAGGGTACTTGGGTTAGTCACTATTCAAGAGGAGAGGGAGGTTTACGCGGTCGAAGCCTTGAGGCCCTTGAGGGATCCCAGGCTCAGCGCCAGTCCCTGCGACCGACTTCTTATCCGCACAAAACCGGTGATCGGCCCGTCATCGCCCTCCTTCTCGATGCTCAGGTTCGCCAAAGCGTCCTCGCCTGTCTCAGGTTAGCCATGTGTTTCACTCAAAGAATAGGAGCCCACTAGGGGATTTGGCACTTACCAAATACACTCCGGGCATATAGGTTAGCACTCAAGAAGCGGCAATCGCCCTTCAGCGAGGCGTCCGGTGTCAAGCAGGCCATGTTGGTGCTCTCCATGAGCTGCTTGAGGAATTCGCGGAGATCCTTCGCCTTGGAGTTGATGTTCACCTTGTTCTCCCACTCGAATTCGGTCCACATCGTACGGAACTGGGTCTCGGTGCAGTGGGCGGGCTGGATGTAGTCCATGATGTCGGCATGGATGTCGTTCAGGATGACAACGTGCGTTTCCGTCGAGCTGGCGCCGTCGTACACGATGTTACCGAAGATCACCCCGGTATCCGTCGACGACACCTTGATCGTAGCCTGCACGTTCAAGAAATCGCGGGGTCCGAGGTTGTGCGTGGCCGGTCGCTCGACGACCTTCAGATCTCCCAGAGTGGCGAACTCGACCGACAGGTTCTGCAGGGTCTCCAGGGTCTGGTTGACCAGAAGCACATCAAGTACGATGTCAAACTGGTGAACGGTGACGTAGGCTTCGGCGTAGACGGGATCCGAAAAGCCAGTCAGTTGCACCACCCGGCTCAGTTTCGAAGAAACAGTTTCCACTGTCGAGTCACCGCCGGTGGCCTTGGCGAGGTCGAGCTCGATCTCCTCTGCGCCCTCTGCTTCGTTCTTCTTGGTGAATTGGCGGATGGGGATGGCGTCGTCGATCTGGACGGCGCTCTTGGCCTTTTCGGAGGCTTCCTTTGCCTCCCGTTTCTTGTCCTCGACCTGGACCATCGCACGGAACGCTTTCCGCGTGTCTTCCAGGAAGGAGGTCTCCAGATCCTTCTTCTGCGAGAATTCGGCGAGAGAGCGCACGCAGCACATGATGCGGTCCACGGAGTCTTCGTCGATGGGGGCCTTGACGAAGTGAGACTGGCCAACACGGATGATCGAGATCATGATCAGCATCGCTTCCGCACGCAGAGCGTTAGTTCGAGCGGCATCCTGAGAAACCTCGGAGTGGCGCATCACCAGCTTGGTCAGTGTGGAAGAAAGAACCGTAGCCAAGTAGAAATCGCCGTCCAGGATGAGTTGACGGAGAGGAGGTTTTTGGGCAGCCTTGACGGCCTCGAGCCTGGCGGCCGCTGCAGACTGGCTGGTCAGGGCATTCTCAGTCGCATAAGTACCGTCGGCCAGGACCTTTCGCGACCCCGAGGGCGCCGATGACTTAGAATGGCCGTTGACTTGTTCTTGGATCACATGCTCGTCGGGAACTTCTTCGAGCAGACGCTGCTCCGATGCCAGAATAGGGATTTCGCCCAGGCTGGCTCTGATACGCTTCCAAGCCTCACGGATATCCTTCTCCTCCAGGGAGTACTCTCCGACGACCCACAGAACGCCACGGTAGACCTTGCCGGCACGGACCTCGCTCAATGTGGACACCAAGCGGTCGACGATAGAGGCCCGCAACCCGGGGAATTTCTCCACGACCTCCTTGACGAAAGAAATAACGTCGACGGCCGAGTTGTTGTTAAAGTCCGCAATGAAGTCCATCAGAAGGTCGACCACGCTGGCGGCAATTTCCGAAAACTTGATGGCGCAGGTGTGAATAGACTGGATAATGAGTTGACGATATTCGCTGTTCTGTAACGCTCGTCAGCAGGCGTTCATAACTCGAGCATAGAGATATGCCTACCTTTTCATACTGCTCGTCAACCGTCTTTGCAAGTTCCTTCTTGAGGAGCATGACGATCTCTTCCACATTCTTGCTGGTGACCATTTCCAGCGCAATGCTCAAGGCCTTGCGTCGAACGTCGATATCCGGACTCGTGAGAACACGCAGGATCTCCATGGTGAGATCATCTAGAACACCCTCATTGCGAATCCGTAGTTGGTCAACCCGATCGAGAACGATCAGCTTGACGTTGTTGTCGGCCTCCCGAATGGCAAGTTCAATCAATTTGCCCGCTGCAGCCTTCACAGCAACGGGGTTACTGGTGAGTGCCGTGAGGGACGTCGCAGCTTCGTAAATGACGGTGCTCGTCGACGCATCAAGAAGATCGAAGATCAATCGCAAATATCTCGCCTGTTGGCCGTTAGCGGACCATACAGCCGACCAAATTCCTCTCCGCCCAAGCCTACCTTGTTCTGCGTGTTCTGGACCGCATCCTTGCGAATGAATTCAAGCTCCACCAGCTGAAGGAGTTCATCAGTGTTCGGAATACTGTCGAATGTCGAAGCCAGGTATTCCAGGGCCTTCTGGTGGCTGATAGACATCAAAGCCGCAAAGGCATTGCGCTTGCATGTGCCGTCGGTCTCGGTGTCGAGGAATGTTTGGATGAGTTCGGGGGCGTCCGGGATGAGGGATTCCGAATGCTGGAAAATAGAGGCGACGGCCCAGACGGCGTTCTTTCTCACGTAGGCATGGCGGTGTTCCAAGCACGAGCGTGCGGATGAAAGGAGGGGTTCGATGAGTTCCGGCTCTCGGAGCTTGCAGAGGAAGCGAAGTGTGTTGCCTCGAACGTACTCGTTGGGGTGCTGAAGGTCATTACGAATGCCGTTACTGCCCACGAATTAGACGGTCAGATAGCCAGCAGGAGACAGCGGGGAGCAAGCAGGCAGAGGTATATGTAGGGTCGGCTTCTTACCACACCAGGATCATCTCTTGCTTGAGCTTGCCATTCGCGTCGAGTTTGGGACAGATTTCGTAGTAGAAATATAGCAGTTTCTTGAGAGGCTTGCTCCGCGACGGCATCACAAAGCGAATGATGTGCATCAGGAGTTGAGAGAGAGGATCTCCATTGAGCATGATCGTAATGATCTGTCTCATTGTGTCCAACTTCGTCTCATCGGTGCCCTTCTCCAGCTGCAATTTCAACTCCTGCACGGAGGGCTGATCCGCAGTATTGTCCAGATGGATCAAACTGTATGCATTTTCCAAAAACGACGCCATGGTGACCAGGGGTGGGAAGCGGCCGTGACGGGGGAGGACGGTGGGATAAGGAGGGAGGAGAGCTAAATGTGGTCAATACAACAACACTGTTTGGCCCGCCGAGTCAGGGGAGGAGGGCCGAGGAGACGGGGGAGAACGAACCAGTGGGACTCTCCTTGAAGAAGACGCAGAGGATAGGTGACTAGATTAATTCAATTCGACGCCCCTCACCGGCCTTGCATTCATCAGCGCAAATGTAGGACAATCCGGGGGGACTTTGAGGACCAAACCAGCCTGGCCATTTGCGCGGCGGAGCGCAAGCTGTCCGGAGTGTGTGGATGACTAAGCCCGCCCGGCCCAACCCTGCAAACCTCCGTCGCCGGTATTGTTCGACTTGCTCTTCGTCGAGTCTTTACCACCACCTTAGCTATCTTTTTGGGTTCTTACCATTGACCATGTCGAATCAGAACGAGCCGTTCTATCTCCGTTACTAGTAAGATCAATCTGTGCAAGGCCCAGGTTTCCTCCGCTGCTGACAGTTCCGCAGCTCAGGTCACTCTGGGCGGTTCGGACATGAATTCCTGGGTATGTTTGCGCCAATGCCGTTGTCTTTCCTGTCAGCTGCTAATTTCATCGCAGAGTTCGACTTCCGCACTCTAGGCGATGGCCGTAGCGCCGCCGTCCGATACGCGAACAACTCCAACTACCGCAATGACTCTCTGATCCGCAAGGAGAGTAAGTACCCTGCGATCAACAAGACCCGTCACAATGGATGGCCTCTGATGACCGAAATACAGTGTGCGTGAGTGCGGCGATGATCCAGGAGGTCAAGCGCATCATCAAGGATAGTGAGATCATAAAGTATGGGATCTACAAGACATTCAACGACGAGAGGGGTGGATGCTAACGTGAACCTAGGGAGGATGATTCCAAATGGCCGCAGAAGAACAAGGATGGACGACAGGAGCTGGAAATCCGAATTGGGAATGAACATATTTCTTTCGAGGTGCGTCGCTGGACTTGACCTGGAATACCGTGATTTTCTCCTAACTCTGACGCTGTGCAGACCGCGAAAATCGGCTCGTTGGTGGATGTGACCGAATCGTCAGATCCTGAAGGTCTGCGAGTGTTCTATTATCTCGTGCAAGACCTGAAGGCTCTCATTTTCTCACTCATTTCTCTCCATTTCAAGGTAAGCCAGTACAAGTCAGGGACGTGTACAGGGGGTCGTGACCTAATCCGGAATCTCATCTACAGATCAAACCTATCTAATCACCTGGACGAGGGCTGAAACTGGCTGAGACAAAAACCGGGCGTTTGAAGAGGTGGGCGAGGTCTCAAATTATGGGCGACCGAGTCGCAAAGCGGTGATGACGCAATGCTAGATTGACTACGTACGGAGCAGACATCAATACCCATTTTATTGTACGGAAGTGCATACATATGTCAGTAGACTACTACCACGTAAGAGGGGCGGTGCACATACGGTGTACACAGCACATCGTGTAGAGTAGAGTCTATCTTATATAAGGTGAAGGTAGCCCAAAAGGGCAAAGTGGGTGCCTGAGTCGGCGGGCATTTCTGACGGGCACGATTAACCGCCTCAGGCGCCCGTTTGCCTCCCCCGCGCTCGCATGATCCACGCCGCCTTAACCGATTCGGGCAGGGCGTCTTCCCGCCCCAGACTGAATAATGAAGTGAAGATGCACTGCTTCCTTTCCCTCTCTCTCCCTCCCTCACTCGTCTTCTGCTTCTTTCATCCTTCCCTTCTTGTCCCCCTTTTCTTTTCTTTTCGCTTCTCTTCCCTGTATTTGTCGTTGTGGTTGTCATCCCTAACCATCTCTCTTGCCACCCCCCCTCCTCCGTTGTCGCCCTCTCTCCCCTTACTTCGTCGGTGCCCTGAAACCCTGCCAGTTTACTTAGTCGGATCCGATGTCATCTCCTCCCTTGGCTTAACTCGCCTCAATGCCGACCCCGAGTGACAACACACCACGTCTCGATGCCACATCAATCCTTGATGAAATTTCTGCTCGCACCACTTGTCCTCCCGAGTTAGAGAGGTCATCGTTGTGGAGAGACTCGCCCGAATCTTCTCCGACCACGGAGAGCGACACTCCTGATAATGCGCTCTCCCGGGTCATTGCATCGGCGCAGTCTGCGCTGATCCGCTCGGACGATGCTATCGCCCAAACGGTTTCCGACCCTTTAAACACCCCTGGCGCACCAATGAAGGACGCAAACAAACCCGAGGACGAGCCCGTTGTCGGCAGATTGAGCCCTACCGGCGACCAGTCATCGCGCTCCGCCAACACTCCCTCCCCTCCAGTCGCCACACCCTCAAGTGCTTCCCTTCTAAGCTATGAATTCTCCAATATCAGAGTAAGTTTTTCTTCTACCTGACTAAACCCATGTGGCATCACCTTGCTGATCCTTGAAAGCTTCTGCCGAATTATACGTCGTCCTTTTTGCGCCCGGGAAGCAAATTTACGGGTACCCAGCAGTCGGACCGTCAGATTTATAATGTGGACGTAGAGATCAAACATGTCGACATGGTCGAGTCCTACCTCTGCGGATATCTGCGCATTCAGGGTATGTTTAACCGTTTTGTGGTTCAAATCAATGCGTGTCTCAATTTTGCCTCTAATCGACTTTGGCTTTCCGCACAGGCCTCACGGAAGATCACCCCACTTTGACGACCTTTTTCGAAGGAGAGATCATCGGCACCAAACACACTTTCAAGACCCGGAATGAAGCATGGGGAGCTACAGAGAAAACTGATATGCATCATTGGGCCAGATTTCCCGCCTGGCGACCACTGGCTAAGCAGGCGAAGAGGCCCGATTTCACCTACCGCAACTTTGCCCAGCGCGAGCATATCTTTATGCGATGGAAAGAATACTTCCTCGTTCCCGACCATCGGGTGAGGTCTATCTCGGGCGCAAGCTTCGAGGGATTCTATTACATTTGTTTTAACCAGGTAGCGGGGGATGTCACAGGCATCTACTTCCACGCGAAGAGCGAGAAGTAAGTTCGATGTTATAAGTTCCGTCCTATTACACATATATACTAACTCAAACCTCAAGGTATCAACAGTTGGAATTAAAACATGTCGAGGATCACGGTTGCACTCCTGCGATTGAATTCCGTTGAGATGTATACTCCAGCATTTCCGGTTATCGACTCTTCTCACCTCATCTCTTCGCCTTTATAGGTCTCATTAATCGCCATCATCCTCTCTATATTTATCTCCATTTTCTTTGCCCATGATGGCATCTCCCATGGCTACGGTGTTTTTCTTTTTGAAGTGTTGAAGACAGCAAGCTTTTATCCTGTCTATGGTTTACGACGGTTCTTTGAATTGGCGTCTCAATTGGTTGTGGTCTTCGATTACCAGGTTTTCGTTTTTCTTTCTTCTTTTTGTCATTGCCTCCTAGTACTACTTACTACTCTCCTGCTTTGTCTATCCCCTGCCTTTCTTCGGTTCATGCGAGCACCGGTATCTCAGCTTTCCATTGGTAGTTTCAGTCCTCATTTCATGTCTTACCCTTGTCGATTTTTTCTCTCTTTTTACGAAACGAACGAAATGTTGCCTTACCCCCACCTACCCATGCAATCCATCTAGATAGGTTGTGTTTTCTTTGCCGCTATCTAAATGAAATCATCACCATCTCTTGAAGAGGTTGGTTTTTTCCTTCTACCATTGTCAAATGATTTCATCCTTGTGTGATTCTATGCGCGTGTCTTTATCATGATAACTCTGGTGACTTCGCATTATCTGAGACTTTTGTTTCGATTTAAGTCAGCTCAATATATACGCGTGCCTGATTATCTACCCAGTTCAGCTATAGTTTATCTTCGAGAGGCAATGGTTCTGATTCGGGTTTGCTCAGTTCAGGTTGCTACTACTGGCTACAAAAAGCATACCCCAATAAATATACAACCAGCAACGATGCAGGGGGAAAGGAAACATAGTCTGGTCAAGACGCTCGTATCAAGTCTGCGGCCCGTTCAGCCACTGCATACACGGTGGAGATGGGATTCGCCTGCGGAACGAGGGGGAATATGCTTGCGTCTACCACCCGGACATTACTCACGCCATAGACCTTCAGATCTGGTCCGACCACACCACCTTTCTCGCGGGGAAGCATAGCAGCCGTACCGCATGGATGGGCAGTCGGGATCGCCATCGACTCGCGCACCATTTGGGTGAGCGTTTCTATGTCGTTGGGCGGCGGCACGTCGACGAAGGGCTGGAGGTGGGTGGAACGAAGGATCCCTTGCAAGTGCTGGACGTGTCGAACCATCGAAGTGAGGTCTGAGGGGCTGGTCAGGAACTTTGGATCAATCCTGGGGTTGTCGGCCGGGTCCGCCGACTGGATATGGGAGCTGCCCCGCGAGAAGGGATAGGATGGAAAGACGCCCACGACGGCTACATCGCCGGGGTAGACGGCAAAGTGAATGCATGCGGACGCCTCGTTCGGGTTATCCAGGATCCCTGAAATGGCAGGGTAATCGTTGCCCTCGCGGGAGCCAGCGAGAATCCCGTGTATGTCTGGGGGACCTAGGCGGATGAAGGCGTTTGCTTTCATGCCGGGTGCAATGCCCTTGAGGTCCGGGTGGTCCCTCAAAGGGGCGGTCAGAATACTGATGGCATGGTTAGACAGATTCTCTCCCACCCCGGGCAGATGGACGAGTGGCGGAATGCCGAGCTCCTGGAGTCGATCTGTGTCCCCGATCCCAGACAATTCGAGGATCTTGGGATTGTTGAGCACCCCCGCGGCCATGATGACCTCCTTGGTGGGTTTGAAGATGACGGTCCCCTGGGCTTCAGTTTGCACCTCCACTCCAGTTGCAGTTCGATTTCCAGCAGAGTCGAACCGGATCCGAGTCACGTTTGCGCCCGTGATAATTTCCACATTGGCGCGAGAAGCAAGTATAGCGCCGTATCCGCTGGCTGCACTGCTCCGATCTCCTGACCGCGGGTCGATCGTCGCCGTATATGGCCGTGTGCCTATGGTTGTCCCTTCAGGAACGAAATCGCCGGCGTAATGATAGCCATTCTCCTCGAATGCTTGCTTCCAAGCATCTAGCAGAGTGGTGTCGGCCTTCTCTGTAGACACCGGGTAGCTCACTTGGATGGGACCGGCCTGTGCTTCCCCGCTCCTTGAATGCAGGGTATATGCCTTGTGGAAATAGGGCGCCAGCGTTTCCCAGTTCCAGCCGGGATTCCCCAGCGAACTCCAGGCATCGAGTCCCGCTGCAGCCGGGGGAAGGAAGATGCAACCATTGATCATGGATGATCCGCCCACGGCCTTTCCCGCAGATTGGTGGAATTTGCGATTGTTCAGTCCGGCCTGAGGGGCCATCCTGAGGTTCCAATCCATCTCACTGCCCGTAAGAGACTCGTACGCCAGGGGATCCTTGACGCGAGCATCCTTAGATTCATCTTTGCCCCGCTCCAGGACAATGATGCGCGTATTGGGGTTCTCTGAGAGCCGACAGGCAACGACTAGAGCTGCCGTGCCGCCGCCGACGATGATATAGTCGGCAGGTCGAGAATGGCTAGCCTCTTCCATTTCTGCAAATGAGCTGTAGACCAAGGGTAAGTGAACAAGATTCTGGCTGAGTGAGGATCAAGGGATCAGGTAAGGGATTCGAGGAGAGGGAAAGACAGGAATGAGGGGAACTTTATGCTATTGATTAGCAGAACCGGAGATTTCAACACTCTACGTTGTTCAAAATAACTTAAATACATATAGTCAAGGATGCTACCGGCAGAATCCAGTATAAAGAAACATGGCTGCAAGTCTTTCTTTGTCCAAGGTACGGCCCACTCCCCTTGCTAGCCCTATTGGCCTTGACGGATGTCTGAGCACATTATAAACCATGCTTTGATGACAGGGGCTCTTTCAGTTGAACGAGCCGTCCTATAGTATGTTTGGGGCAGTTTAATGCATATGTGACCCACCGTGGAAATGGAATGGTCATATGGTGGATCGAGATGATTTAGTTCAATCCGACATTCATTTACCTTTTCCCTCGACCACAGCGATCTTCTAAGAACACCCTCCTAGGCTATCTTATACAAGCTTATACTATTAGACTTAGAGCCCCGAAAGTAAATTGGTCCCGAGCCCTAAGGGGAGGTTTATCTTATGACCATGCATTCCGGCGACATTCACATACATGATACATTAACTAGGTATACTGCATACTCAGCACGCAACAAAATCTATACGCGAATCCAGCAACTCCCAAATAACCAGATACTGTGCCATACTCCCCAGACCCTCTATCCCAGCAACGCACCTCTAATCAGACAAATACAAACATCACTCATCCACCCCTCGCAACAACCGGCTCCTCAACCCTAACAGCCCTCATCTTACTCCTATCCAGAAACCGCTCCTCGTCAGCAACAAGCCGCTCCCCATCCTTCATCAAAGCACCATGAAACGCCCCGAAATGCTCAACATCCCGAAACGTGAGCTCCGCGTAGACATCGTACTGGAAATCCGCAGACTCCCCGGCCAAGATAGGCGCCGGGTACGCGGTATTCGAATGGTCCGTCTCGTCAGCATCAGGGGCCCGCGTCCGAGGAAGATAGAAGCGTTTATGAGCGATGGGGAAATGAGGCCCGGCGAGTTCTTTGAGAAGCGGGATGTGCGTGGTTTCGTAGTGGGTTTTGAATTCGGTCGGTGTGAGACCGGGTTTGCGGGCGAAGAAGGCGATGATGGTGCAGGGCATTTTGGGATTATATTTTTTTTTTCTTCTTCTTCTTCTTTATGGATCGGTGATTTTTGGAGGTTTTGTTTGACACTGACAGGCTAGGAGTGCGTGTTATGGTTGTTTAAATAGTCTCGTTCCTCCGAGGAGAGCTCCGAGCCCAATGGTTTGGAGAAAAAAAAGGAAATCGACGAATAGACAATCTCTAAAAACCAACATATCCATAGAAAAACCCGAAAGGATCCAAAGGTCTTTACTATTTACGTTCTAGATCGCCTTAGTCGGTTCGTAAGCGGCGACCTCAGCCTCGTCTTCGGAGATTACATAATCGGATCCTGCAAAAGCGAGACTTCTTCGTCATGATCACTAGTTTAAGGACACTGGATACCACTCCGCCCACGCTACCATGACTAGGAAGGTGGTATAGCTAATATGAGGGTTGAACACTGATGATGTCGGGTTCAGGGCTTTCTAACAGGACCAATTTTGGAAACAGTTCCATTCATACCATTCCATACCTAAGTGCTATTTACTCAGGCAGATCAACCAGACCTAGAACACCTAACGATACGAGCCCTTCGTATTTTTGGACATCGATATATACAGAACAAAAAGAGGCAAGAACGACAAAGTAGAAGAGAAGCTGAACGGACCGAACTGGACTGATCGACTAGCCAGCCAGTCTACTAGGCCAACAGGGGAGAAAGAAACTGAAAACAAACAAGATGTGTTCCTCCCAATGTTAGGTGGAAAATTGAAGTAGACATAAAGAACTTGATGTCAAAGAAAAGGAAGTGGAAGATAAGAAAAAGCTCAGCTAGCAAACGACAGCGTCACACGGAACAAGAGGTATTTGGTTATAAGCACATGTCTGAAAGAGATTGTGGCAGTTGTATGGGTATCAAATGCAATCTTTTGGTGTATAAGGGATGGGGTAAACAAAGAGTGCGTATGAAGTGTAAAACAAGACAGGAAAGACAAGAAAAAGTGAAGTGAAGCAGGGTAAAAAACAAGGGATGCAATGAAGAGGTGTCGTTGATGATAGCAAAGGAAACACATGAAAGAACGGCAGTGCTTAAGCATAGTAATAAGAGTTGTTGCGACTGTTGGAGGAGTTGGAACTTATGCTGCTGCCGTGGTCACTGCTAGGAGTCGGAGGCTCGAGCACGACTTGCTGCCTGATGCAGACAATCCATTCGTGTTGAAGTAGCTCGGCCGCGGTTGATCGCTTCAAAGGATCACACTCGAAGCAACGGCGAAGGAAGTCGATGCCTACATCGCTCAGCTGGTCTCGGCTAGGTAGCTGCGGCTGATTTCCTTGGGCAATGTTGTACATGATCGCCCATTCGTTATCCAGGGTAGACCAGGGACGACGACCAGTGGCCATCTCCAAGATCACACATCCGAGAGACCAGATATCAACGGCGCCTTGGCGGTGGACCAGCTTGGAAGAGTCTCCTCGAATTACTTCCGGAGACATGTACATAGGGGTTCCAGTCATGGTTTTTTGGTTCTTGCCTCGTTGTTGCGCGAGCTGCGCGTCTTTGGGAACCAGCGCATCCTTGGGGTTGGGACCAGCGAACGCATCCATGGGTACAACAGTACGGCCCTGGCGAGCGATGATTTTGGCAGCACCGAAATCGACATATTTGATGATGCCGTTGTGGTCAAGCAGAATGTTTTCGGGTTTGATATCTCGGTGCACGATGCCGGACTGGTGCAGATATGCCAGTCCCTCCAAAAGTTGAAGGGCATAAACCATGATGACTGTCTCATCTTCGACACGGCCGTGTTCCAACAAACTCGCCAAGGACCCTCCGGAGCAGTATTCCATGAAGATGTAGACCTTGTCACGGTGCACCTCAATGCCATGGTACGACACAATATTCGGGTGATCCAAAACTTCAAGCACGCCCATTTCGTCCCGAATTTGCTGGGCAATCTTGGGAATGAGCTGCGGGTCTTGCAATCGAATTTCCTTGACAGCCATGAGATAGTTGCTATCCAAGTTGATGGCGGCATAAACGGAACCAAACGTTCCACCGCCAATAAATTGTCCCTGTTGCCAACGCAGAGTCACGTTGGTCGCAGAAGACGAGAGGACAGTCAAGGACCTGTCAGCTTCGTTAGACCCTTCAAGCACCCTACCCAAAGCCTGGCGCTTCGCGTTCTCTTCAACCCTCCTGTCCTCAATCTCGTTGAGATGTGACAGACGCTGCTCACGCACAAGCTTCGTGGCTTCTTCGTCCGTCAAGATCCGGCCGGAACCGAATTTCCGTCCTCCTACTCGCTCTTCCATACGCTGCTTTTCTGCCTGGGCCGCGCGCGAGGACCGAGCGCCCATAATATCAAAGTGGGATATCAGAAGCGACATACAGCCAGCGACTTTCTGCCTTAGAAAAGAGAATTGCACATCGTCGATGGAAAGAAGGTGTCTGCTGGAGGTGATGGCCATAGCGAATTCAAGTGCGGACACGGCCCATTTGAAGGTTTTCCGATCGGCGGCATCGCAGTCATCACAAACGAAGGACACCCAGTCGAGAGATAGCTCAACAAGTCTGGCGCTGTTCATGGCCCGTCTATTGGGGTCGACGTTTGAAGAACGGTTACCGAATTCAGTAGCAAAGGCATAACAGGCCTGGATTAGATCGAGGTTCTCGATGCCTCTTTCCTTCAGTTGGTCCCTGATGATAGCCACACTATCCATGATGGTCATAGAGAGCTTGAATGAGGTCTTTTTGATTTTGTTGAGTTCCACGTTCACGCGACCCAGATTCGCGCGTTGCTCAATAGCCATATCAAGCTGAATGCCAGTTAATTGAGCCAACTCTTGACGGGCATTGGACAATCGCTGTTGTGTTCCTTCGACTACGAGGCGAAGCTTTCCCAGTCGCAGGTCTGTAGGTTGTTCCAGCACATCCACCTGCATTTCCCTGCCGGACCATGTCAAGGGCTTCTCAGGCCGAACTACCAGCAGATACGGCGCAAGAGGGGTATCTTTCGGCAAATCTTCTTCGCGAAACGATGTTCCGAGAATTGCCTGGATGTCAGTGGGGCGATCCCACAAGGCAGGGTGAGCAAACAGATATACTCCCTTCTGGCCAATAGAAATAGGGGATTTGATGAGGAAATGGTCCGAGATGAGAAGGGCTTCAAAGAAGTCGTAGGCAATATCAGTGGAGAGGTTGTATTCGGTGGCATTTTCGAAAAGCTGTCGAAGGAACCTGGAGAAACGATAGAGCTTTCGTTGACGGATCCGAGTCGAATCCAACACGCTCTTGTAACGTTTGTCCATGTCGGCCGGGTCTTCATTTGGCATTATTGTCAATTCTCGCTCGAAATGAAGCATTAGACGCTGGAGTGATTTTGCGGTCAAAGCACTAGTGATCAATTAGTTTATGGACTTCGAATTTCTTGTCCAGGGATGGAGATCTTACCTGAATTGCTCGGCGACTTCGATGTCTCCACCTTCAAGCTGGCGTCCAATGTGATTAGAGAACTCCCAGTCCTGTTCGAGAATTTCTGCTTCCTTGAACGTGTTCTTGTTCGCATTCAGCTTCCAATTTAGCAGTCGGAAATAATATTTCAGTGCGTCTAAGACCACCGAGTCGAAGTTCTCGTCGATACAAGGCGGAAGATCCCAGCCAGGTTCAGGCCTAGCGATGTCCAAGTAGCGTTGCTTGATTTCGACTGCAACTTTCATCAAGATCTGAAACTGGGAGATCATTTGATCGACCAAAATGGGAGACTGTGAGGCCGGGTCTTTCATATTTTTGGCGTAAGAGAGGCGGACTCGGATGATTTCTTGCATAAGACGAGAGGGGAAGTTGATGAGGGTCAGAAGTTCTTCGATGTAGGGAGGCAGATGGCGCTTTGCGAAATTGCTCGCATTCTCAATCAGGGTACTCTTGGCCTTCTGAATCACTTCGCCAATATCCATTAACATATTGTGGTCGCCCTGAAGCGTCCTAAGTCCGTCCTCTTTCATGATGCGGTCGAGGAAGGAGGACTCGTCAGAAAGGTCGCTGTTGGTCGTCTTGTCTCTCGGCTTGCTGAAGTCCAGCTCGTCGTTTCCAACCCACTTCCGCAAGATGGCGAGTTCCGTATTGATAAGGATTGTTGTATTGTGCCATGCAAAGACCGCCTCACGGCTAGAGCAGAACTCCTCCGAGGCAACGCGGGGCTGTTCGCTTTCGAGCTCCTTGTGCGTCGAGTAAAGCATCTCGCACTTCTCAATCTGCTCCACAATATCCTCAACCTGTTTTATGGGCGTTTTTCCAATCTCCGTCTCACCCTTGATCTCGAATTTGATAATGTCTTCAATGATAGGCCCCAGACCCGCGCGTGCTTCCTCGATGAGTTTGTGTTGCAGAGCGACGCTGCGTCCGCACGTCCGAGCTCTCACACCCAACCATATGGCACTGTTCTGAGCCGCCGAGCGTTTCGTCTCCGCAGAACCAAGCAATCGCTGCTTCTCCTGCTTCACAACATCTCCTTTCAGCACCGAAGCCAACATGGAATGCCATTCCAGCCTCTCCTGATTCTTTGGGTTCTTAAGTTCTTCGAGCGTTGGCTGGTTATCGTCTGACAGAAAGAGTTGAGTATCGGGATCGTAGGCGTCATCCTCGAACGGAACCTCCGAGGAAGGCGACGGTTCCTCTAGATCCGAGTCTCCGACGGCCGGTCCCATGTTCTGAGCCTCGTCGAAGTGGCTATACCACGCCTGCGGGTCCGCGCGGATCCGCTGCACATATGCCTTTTCCTGCGCTCGATATTGTGCATTGGGGTCGCGTCTTGGGGTTCGCTTATTAGAGGAGGAACGGCGACGGTCATTTTGGAGGCTGATGTACTGCGGTGGACGACGTTGGGGGGCGTAGGTGTTGGACGGCGTTCTGGCGGGGCCTGATGGGCGTTGGAGTCTCGCGTCGGACACAGGAGTGCCGTCCAATGGCGGTACCTGATCTAGGGCGGAGGGAGTGCTGAGGCTGGTACCGCGAGGGCGCGAGGAGGTGGTGCTGGGCCAGGAGGGAAGACCGGTCGTATGCGATGGAGGAGGCGAAGAGGTGATGGTGGTGGCCGGCGTGGATTGGATCTGAGGGTCAAAGTTCTCTGGGTATCCCGGAGTCGACAGAGCGGCGTACGGCTGCTGAAGGAGCTCGTCGGAGGACCCCGAGCCGTCCGAATCATGATTGTTCATGTCGGGCAGCTCCATGATTTGGGGAAATCCACGGTCCTGGTGCGGCTCCATGATGAGCTTGATCGATGACGGATCGGATGGACGGCCTCAGGCGGAGATATAGGGGCTGTGGCGGTGCATTCCGATCGGTGGCTGAAGGAGTGAAGTGGAGTAGAGTGGAGTGGCGGATAAACAAAGATTGCTTCTTATCTTCCATGCATTCACAAAGTGGATATATAGTCGTAGTATGGAATTTAACCAGGAAGGTCTTCTAAGTGAATTCTGAAGGTACAGGAAGAGAAGTGTGCCAACGGAGAGCTGGAGGAACTACAAAAGTCTATATGATGAGTCAGCACATGGTTAACGTCAATGTGCAGAGAGCCATGGTTCACACACACTGGTCCAGAACGTCTTTCGAGGAATAGTAGTCCTACAAATACGCTTTGGTTGCTCGAAGTATAGCTGCCCATGATAGTACGACCACGAAGGAAGAGATCAGTCGGTATTGGAAACAGAAGACAGGGAAGAAGGAGCCAAACTATTCATATCTCTGCGATTATGGCTGCCTTGAGTGATCGTCTCTCTTCTAGCTGAGAGTAACTGCTATGGACTCGATAATCGATGTATGCTCGTTACTTGGGTTCAAAAATAAACGATAGCCTAAGGTCAACTATAGGGCTGACAACAGGCAAGATCATGCACTAACGCCCTTGCCAGTCTTCCTTTCAGGAGCAGATTACCACTCCTGCAATGCTACTTTGCAAAATCTAGGGATGCAATCCAGGTAAGGAGTATATGTGTAACTTCCCAAGTCCCCGTTAACCCCTAGGGAAAAACCCCTAGGGAAAGGAAGATGGCCGAATAAGGCCGCAGAATATCTATAGACGGGAATGACACTCGTCCTATCGGTTCCATTGTTACCCCTTTTGAAACACCGGGGTTTCCGGTAATAGTATCCAATAAAGACATTCGCACATAGACAGCATTGCGACAAATACTGCTCGGTGCTCACATAGTATCGACCGAGCTCGAATGTCGATAGTGGCATGCATTGAGATGCCACCTGCTGATCAGCGGGACCGACAGGCCTAACTTGGCGTTTGCGGGTCCCTGTGAAATCTCAAGGCCAGCAAGATAACAACAACATGGACGATCTGCCCCTGTTCATGGAGGTGGGTTCAACAGGAGAAAATGCAACCCAAGGAATTGTTTGGGGCGCATTGTCTCGCATGATCGACCGGTGCTCATTACAAATGTTGGTACCTGAACTAATCTGTAGATGGCTAGTATTTAGTGACTGTCATGGGATGAAACAAAGCTGAGTCCTTGCGTTATTTCGGGATCTGCAAGTACCCTCCCATCTAGCTGGTGAAGTCATCGTTGAAACACATTTCCACTGGTGTACAATACACTCTGTAGAAGACATGTTGAGAAGTGAAGATATTCTCATGCGGGCCAAATGATCCGAACTGTGATAGAACTCGAGGGTTGATAAACCTCCGTGCCTCTGATAGTCCGACTGGACACCATTCACTTCGGCGAGAGCAGAATCACTCCCAAGAACAAAAGAAGCAAAGAAAAAGAAGACCGACTGGACGTGTCAACCTCAGGCCAGCAACGCCAAGGCCAGCGTTCGGGATGCCGAACACCAATGAGCGCCCGAGGGCTTATCTCTACTTCCGGTCCTGGAGGTAAAAGGTACTTTTCTCGACTTCGCAGCGCCCATCATTTTTGCCTGCCAAAGAGGTACTGCTCGGTATCTTTTCTATGGATGATCAGCTGATGTGTACTGCGGAAGGTCTGTGGTTGACTCTTGGGCTTGCTTCTATCTTCTTCCTTGATTCCTCCCTTCCAGGTAAACAGATTCATTGTTGGCTGCCGATGTCGGGACCCAAACGATCAAAGCTTCCTCATTCGAAGAGGTTCGTATTTAATTGCCAAGGGGCTTGTCTATCAGGCTCCGCGAACAAAGCACCGTCCAGGATCCATGGTCAGCACAATGTGTGGGAGGAACCGGATGATAAGCACCCATCGGCGCCTGCTGATTGGCAGATAAGGCACTGATATGGCAGAGTGATAGATGAGACCGGACTCCTTGTAGGAAACATCTCCGATTTTGAATTATTATGGCCATCCAGGAACTATTGACCCAGTCTGGCCATCACTCAATGCAGGGGGAAAGTAGTATATCTCACGAACTATCAGAGTCAACCACATCCAAGATGGGCTCATCCTCTGAGTCTCTAGGGCTTCATGGCGATCTCCCCACGCTCAGAAAAGATCTCCGCTCAGGCAATTGGGCGAGGAATAAACAGCAGTTGACGGCCATGCTGATAGGTAGATAAAGAAACAGGTAGTTGGGCTCGGATGATTGGTGACTACGCTCCTATCTCCCACCAGTCCCTATCCGATATCATCCACTCTATCCAAAGTACCGGGTCCTTTGGCCCCCTTTTGGCCTTTGGGCACCCTCCGGTTCCCGTTGGCATTTGTCTAGGGCTCAAAGATATCAAAGGAGATCCAAACAAAGAGGATGAATGATTCGAACGGCGGGAGAAGGAAAAGAAGAACAAAGATATGACGTGGGGAGATCTAAACCCATTACTCTAATCTTGCAATCAATGGCCCGGGCTCGTAATCCTTTGACCTTATCCGCTGGGATAGGGCTTGGCTTTTGATATCAAAACCCCAGCTGACGGTGGAGCTGATGGCGTCCTGACTGGATCCGCGCTTGCATGAGATTTATTATTTATCGCCTCTGTCCCTGTCACATTGTTTATCCCGTCAATTCTTCCTTTCGACCTCTCCTGCATAAAGTTCTGGGACCTCGCGCTATTGGATCCATTCTTCCCAGCGCAGTATTCAGTTCAGCATACACGTCCGATTCCAGGGGCAAAAATTCGAAACGCATAGATAAACGCCTCCAGTGATCCTATCTGGAGAGCCCAGAAGTCCTGACACTGCTTTGTGGCATACCACATCATGGCGGAATACCCTGTCCCTTACAATGGAACGGAGACTGGCACCGGGGGTGACTCCATGACGGAAGATCTCAATATCTGGTACAGTGTGAGTACTCATGATAGCCCTAAACAGAGAACAGGATAATGTCAGCTAACCTCTCCCAGTCTGGTGACATTGCTTGGGTTGTTACCTCGACAGCTCTTGTTCTGTTGATGATTCCCGGTGTTGGGTATGGCCGATCTTTCTTATTCATCTAACGACCAGTCCAGTCCACTTGAGAATGGCTTTGCTAACAATGTGATTCCACTTATTAGGTTCTTCTACTCCGGTCTCGCCCGTCGGAAGTCTGCACTGTCCCTAATATGGCTTTCCATCATGTCTGTCGGAGTCGTCTCCTTTCAATGGTTCTTCTGGGGTTACTCGTTGGCCTTCTCTCACACAGCCGGAAAATACATCGGTGACCTCCAGAATTTTGGAATGAAAGGTGTTCTGGCTGCACCCTCGGTGGGCAGTGACAAGGTTCCCGATCTCTTGTTCGCCGTTTTCCAAGGGATGTTCGCCTGTATTACGTACGTTGCCACATTGATCCAAGTCAAGTCACGATATCCTCCATTCAAATCTAACGAATCACACACAGAGTTGCTCTCGCTGTAGGCGCTGTCGCTGAACGTGGCCGTATGCTTCCCTGCATGGTCTTCATTTTCATCTGGACCACCATCATCTACGATCCCCTCGCCTGCTGGACCTGGAATTCGTCTGGTTGGGTTTTCAACTTGGGAGGATTGGACTTCGCGGGTGGCACGCCAGTCCACATTGCCTCTGGCTGTACCGCCCTCGCATACTCCCTGATGCTAGGCAAGCGTCGCGGACATGGCACCCACGAGCTCAACTACCGTCCCCACAATGTCACCCACGTCGTCATCGGCACCGTCTTTCTCTGGGTTGGTTGGTTCGGTTTCAACGCCGGCTCTGCCCTAAGCGCCAACCTGCGGGCTGTGATGGCTGCTGTTGTGACCAACCTTGCGGCCTCCGTGGGTGGTGTCACCTGGTGTCTGCTCGACTACCGCCTGGAACGCAAATGGTCGACGGTAGGTTTCTGCTCCGGCGTGATTGCCGGTCTGGTGGCTATTACCCCAGGATCTGGATTCGTGACTCCCTGGGCGGCGTTCATCTTCGGTGTCGTCGGCGCAGTCTCGTGCAATTATGCCACCAAGCTCAAGTACCTGATCCGTGTTGACGACGCCCTGGATATCTTCGCTGTCCACGGTATTGGCGGTCTCGTGGGAAACCTTTTGACCGGATTATTTGCCGCGTAAGTCAACCCTCCTCCCCGCGCTTCAGCATAAGAATCTCCGGGTGTTCAAGAACCACGGCTAATTCCTACCTCTCGCTTATAGTGACTACATCGCTCGTCTGGACGGATCCACCGAGATCGACGGCGGCTGGATCAATCACAACTACGTACAACTGGGCTACCAGCTCGCCGACTCCGTCTCCGGCATGGCCTACTCGTTCTTCGGCAGCTGCATCATTCTCTTCGTCATCAACCTCATCCCCGGTCTCAGCTTGCGTGCTCCCGAGGAGGATGAAATCATGGGCATTGACGACGCCGAGATTGGTGAATTCGCCGTATGTCTCTCCCCTATCCCCTTCCCTCCAACTTTTGTTGTATGTTCTGGATCTTCCATACTAACATGACATCCCTTATTAAGTACGACTATGTCGAAATCACCCGCGACGTCATCAGCGCCCCGGGCAGTGAGAACGGAGACGCAGCTTCCAAGCGTACCGCGACACCTGTGGAGGGGAACGAGACCAAAGCCTAGATTAGATGTCTGAGCGAATCATCATACCAAACTAGACCCAGTCCCCGGCCGGTGTCTAGGTCCGGGGGTGTGATTGATTGATCGTTTTTTCCCCATTCCTTCTCAGATTTCTATCTCTTCCTATATTCCTTATTCTTATAATTTCCTTTCTTACAATACCCCTTGACTGTACCTACTTTTATTTCCTTTTTGTTCTATAATAGCTATGTGAATATCAATTCTTACTGACATGAATCCATATCTCGTTCCTCTTCTTTTCCAATGATACCTACCTCTCCTGTCGGCTGTTTGTTACGCACATACTTACTCGATACTCAAAGCACAAACTTCATACGTAGACATCGAGCCCTCTATCTACCATCATCAAGTTAACGCTTGGTCCAAGATACGACCATTCCATCGATATATGGCTAATGGACCAAGCAAGACCTTGGAGTCGTTCGAACAATGGATGCAGGGTACCTACCATGTCTGTCTCAATAAGTCTCTACCCGACAGAACCAAGGATATTCCTCGCGTAAGATGTTAGCTCTAAGAAAGCAGCTAGTCGTCAATTTACACAAGAACCAGTGCCTTGACAGATGCGTGGATAATTGTTTTTAAACTATGTGCTATTTGATTTAATTGGTCAAAGGGCCTTCGAGCCTTTCAAAATTAAGAACAGGAAAGAAAATTAAAAAACGCTCCGTCAAAATAATTTGGTGGACTAAGACCTGTACCCAGGCCAGAGCCATAGAGAACGTAGGCTTATCAAGGGTATTACTCTGAGCAGATCTCAATTCACGTCACTCCGGGCTGGAGAAATTTACTCCTCACCCTCAAGGGGCTCCTCCTCGAGGCTGTGAAATCAGTTAGCTTGGCTTGATGATGACCGGGCCGGTAGTCACTTACTACTCCTCCTCACCCTCGGAGATGGAGGCGTCCTGGTACTGCTGGTACTCGGAAACCAGATCGTTCATGTTGCTCTCAGCCTCAGTGAACTCCATCTCATCCATACCCTCACCAGTGTACCAATGCAAGAAAGCCTTGCGACGGAACATGGCAGTGAACTGGTCGCCGACACGCTTGAAGAGCTCCTGGATGGAGGTGGAGTTACCAATGAAGGTGGAGGACATCTTGAGGCCGCGGGGGGGAATGGAGCACAGAGCGGTCTGGATGTTGTTGGGGATCCACTCAACGAAGTAGGTCTGGTTCTTGCTCTGGATGTTGCGCATCTGGTCCTCAACCTCCTTCATGGAGACCTTACCGCGGCTAGATGTAGAGTCAGTAACTGGAATGGACGTTGAAAGTTATAATGCAAATGTAGATAGGGATCCACGTACAAGATAGCGGAGCAGGTGAGGTAACGGCCGTTACGGAAGTCAGAAGCAGCCATCATGTTCTTGGGGTCGAACATCTGCTGGGTCAACTCGGGAACGGAGACGGCGCGGAAAGAGTGGGCGCCACGGCTGGTCAGAGGAGCGAAGCCGACCATGAAGAAGTGAAGACGAGGGAAGGGAACCATGTTGACGGCCAACTTGCGGAGGTCGGAGTTGAGCTGACCGGGGAAACGCAAGCAGGTGGTGATGCCGGACATGACGGCAGAGACCAGGTGGTTCAGGTCACCGTAGGAGGGGTTGGAGAGCTTGAGGGTGCGCATGCAGATGTCGTACAGAGCCTAGAAGCGAGTCAGCCTCTCGTATCCCCCATGTCGAATATTAATTTCCAATGCCTCGGTGAGTGGCATCAAGACATGCCGAAACATACCTCGTTATCGATACAGAAGGTCTCGTCGGAGTGCTCAACGAGCTGGTGAACGGAAAGGGTGGCGTTGTAAGGCTCGACAACGGTGTCGGAGACCTTGGGGGAGGGAACAACGGAGAAGGTGGCCATCATGCGGTCGGGGAACTCCTCACGGATCTTGGAGATCAAGAGGGTACCCATACCGGCACCGGTACCACCACCCAGGGAGTGGGTGATCTGGAAACCCTGAAGGCAGTCGCAGCCCTCAGCCTCGCGACGAACGACATCGACAACCTGGTCGACGAGCTCGGCACCCTCGGTGTAGTGACCCTTGGCCCAGTTGTTACCGGCACCAGACTGGCCGAAGACGAAGTTGTCGGGGCGGAAAAGCTGACCGAAGGGACCGGCACGGACAGCGTCCATGGTACCGGGCTCAAGATCGACCAGAACGGCACGGGGAACATACTTGCCACCGGAAGCCTAGAAGATGAAGAAGGCGTGGGTTAGAGCTTTGTACGGGGCGTTTCGGATCGGCGAAAGGAGATAGAAAATTTTCGGGCAACGAACCTCGTTGAAGTAGACGTTCATGCGCTCCAGCTGAAGGTCGGAGGAGCCATTGTAACTGTTCACCCCATCAGACAACCAATCCCACCATGATCATTTCTTTCTTTTCTTCTCTCGTCGATTCTGATTTTGATAGGTGTAAACGCGGGATGTACTTACACACCGGCGCCATCAAGGCCGTGCTCGCCAGAGATGTTTTGCCTATTCACCTATCAGTAAACAAGTATCAAGTATCAAGGATTGAGAGTCATAGGTCACAAGGTATCGAAGATGATCCTGGATAGCCCAGACTGCCAATGCCAACGTGTAGACTTACCAGAAAGCGGCACCAATTTGGTTACCCTGTTACCCCGATTCCAGTTTAGTTGCGTTCCAACAGCGATCCCATCCGGAGGGATTTCGAATTCAACATCGGGTTGCACTTACACACTGGCCAGTTTGAAGATGAACCTAAAAAGAGAAGATATTCGTCAGCATTCCAGGTCGCAGTGAACCGGTGGGGTCTCCAGGACGGAGAACCAAACAAAAAACGCGTCTGGAGAGGGGTTAGGGGATGGAGGATCACGTACGATCTCACGCATGTTGGGTGGGATTGTGACGGTGTTGATGGGAAAAGTAGGTTGGAAAAAGGCGGATGGGGTGGATTGAGGAGGTTGAGTCGACAGAAAGTCCGTCAGGAGGAAGAGGAGGTGGAGGAGAAGGAGGAAGGGGAGAAGAGAAAGAACGGGTTGAGCGGTGAGAAGGAGGAAAGGAAGTGTGCGGGAAGCATCAACAACTCAGTCAACACCCCGTTGCGGTTTAGCGTCGTCGGCCTTGGGCAGGCAAAAAGGGGCTGGCCCGATGGGGTTAGGCGCCATAACAGGGGAAGAATCGGAGGGTTGCTCACCGCCTGCCTACGGGGTGGTTACGCGAACCAGACTTTAACTACTGTTCTTTGTTGTCGTACGGAGCAGTTAGGGAAGCCCTGATTACTTGCTTTGCCCGAAAATCCCCTATGATACAAGTACACATAATTCAATCATTATTCACTTGGCCGTGTTCTCCACCGTATGAGAGCTTTCCAACCACGTGCCAAACTCATCCAACCGTTGCTCTTCGTCCGAGTCTTCCGCATCAAGTCCTCTCTCCGCTAGATCCTCCAACGCCGCTCGTTTCTCATTGCTCTTCTTAAACCGCTCACTGCCATTGGCAATGTATGCCTCAACGCGCGTTCCGCCAAAGTAGCGTCCATCCATGACCTGAGAGAGGCAATGCCATGATTAGCTCCCAATTCTATTGGAACACTGTTACATTTACGTTTCTCGCGCTGACATGGATCACGTGACACGAGATAGAGCGTAGATGTAGCGGTTATAGGAATAGAATTCGGGAATGCACTCACCTGGATGCAGCGTTTGGCCGCTTCTGGCTCGAGAAAGCGGACCATGACGACTCCATCGGCTTCTTTATCGTAGAGAACAACGTTGGTCACCTCCCCCAGTTTGGAACATTCTTCACGGATATCCTCCTTGATGTCGAGAATGGCGGCCGGATCCTCCTGCCAATGGGTCAGTCGTGTGAAACGTACATGATTAGGGAAACTCAGGGATCTTTCGTACGTTGAGCTCTTCCAAAGTAAACATGTGCTTCAAGATGACGATTTTCTCAAACTTGGAGTTGGTTTCCGGTAACGTAGATGGGTCGTCATCGTCCCAATCGGCGAGTTTGCTACGAGTATGTTAGCTCGGGCAACTCGCACTAAAGACAACAACGAAAAGCGCGAGTTCAAGATCGCCGACGACGTTCCGGTCGACGGCCACTTGATTCGCCGCTCATCCGATGTATGATGTATGCCGTACCTATTCAACTTCTGCGTCCTCTGTATGATCTTTCTCCTATCCCTCATGCTAGTCCTGGCCGGCTGCTCTTGCTGGCTCTTAAACGAGAAATCTGCGATCTGAACCCGCATGGGCCCCTGAGGACCTTCCTGTCCGATCCTAAAGTTCGAATCATCCAGCATCTGAATAGCGAGGTTGACCGACTCGGGTCGGAAGTATACGATAAGGGCTTCCCCTTTGAACTTTCCGTCGTCGTCGTTGTACATCTTGATGCGAGGACGGCCGCTGTCGATTTCTTCGGCGATCACCCCGCATTTAGAGAAGGTATCTCGGATTTCCTCGAAGCCTGCATCCAGAGGGATCGAGGTGACGAATACGGCTGTGTTGACACGCTGCTTCTTTGGTTTTTGTCCGTTGCCCTGCATCGTATCTCATGGCATTAGTTCAAGATATTTGGATGGAGTTTCTCTATCACAGATGATGAAAGCTCACAGGAGACAGCACTCACCTCGTCATTTGCCTGTTGCTTCCGCTTTTGTTTCAGTTGCTGCGCCGTCACTGTCTCGTTCTCATCGACCCCTTGAACTTTGTAGGCTTCTTGCTGCTGTCGGAGCAAGTCATCATCGACCTGGAGAACACCCACGGGCGCGCAAAGAGTGGCGCCAACCAGAGGATCAGTTTCAGAGCCAAGCAAAATTCATGCGAGCCATAGCCTTGCTGGCATATCTACAACAAGAGATATTTCCCTCGACGCTTCGCTGCGTCGTGGCAAAGCGAATAGCGATCGAAAAACGAACAACAGAAAGAAAAAAAGACATTATATCGCATAGAGGGGCAAGGTTTGTTGTTTTTCAATCACCACCACAAAGCACAGCAGGGGAATCCAGCTGGAGAAAAAGCGCGCACACACCGTCGGAATCCATCGCTTCAGCACCGTATCGTATTCAAACTCGTTTCCCTCATCGGTTTCCAGGATGAATTTGTTGTCTAGCTTGGAGAAAGAGACCCGCGGGTCGCTGTCGAATTCGGACGGATCCTGGGGGAAACTGATCGATGTCGCGGGGTTTGAGACGGCGTCGGGGCTTTGGGTCGCCATCATGGTAGCGCAAATCGAATAGGAGATTCCCAGGGATGTGAAGATGGTAGACATGACTTGGTCCAGACCTTGCGGGGAGATGCCGTCCGGCTTTGCTTTCCGCCAGGATGCGCCTTGCTGCCTCAGGCAGTAGATTACGTAGCTCCGCGGCTCAGTTCTTAGTCTGGTCGATTGGCGCTCAGCTAGCTTTTAGGTAGTATATCCCACGAAGGATCGTACTAACTCAGGGGCGATGTCCTTTAATAGGTTCTGAACCCCTGTTAAAGGTCTCCGAGTATCATTCCTCTTGAACATCATTAAGGGGCATCCCAGCTGAGTGGAAATTACTACCTACCGGTAATCCAGCAGGTTTGCTTCACGGGCCCACTAGTCTGGCACCTTGACTATTCTATATCCTACCTATCTGTCTAACCTGAGAATGAAACAAACAGAAGGAAGAAAATAAGAGCACTGTGTGAAAAATAAACATAAACCGGCTCTATCCAAACCCTCTCCTACATGGTATATCAATGAAACGGGCATTGACCCGTTCGCGAAGTTTTCAAGCCCTCGACAGTTCTTTTCTGGAACTCTTGGCCTTTCCCCAGGAAATACCTGGGCCCGACGTCAGGAATTCTGTATCCTTCGGGGTGGTACTTGCCACCCTCGTCCCCCGGAAGCGGCCGGCCCATTATCCACGTGAGCCAAGCCGTTGGTCCCCAGCGATTCCAGATGGTTGGTTTCACGTAGTAAGGTGCGGCATCCCATTTGATGAATGACAGGAAACCATGTTCATCGGGCTGGTCAGTGAATGTGGTGTAGCGGAGATAATCTGGTCGAGGGAGCGCAAGATGGCGCATGACGAATCGACGTACACGCAGAAGCGCCGAAAACACCTTCGCGTACGATTCGGGGGGGTCATCATATCTAAGATATAATTAGTTCTGTCTGAAATGAAAATCAACTACCCAAGTGGTCTGTCGTGCACTCACAGCATCGCTCTCCGAAGGCGCTTGTCCATCATGAATGACACCAAATGCAGCCCAACCTGCTGTAACGGCTTCGGAACCATGTACAACACGATGGCTGTAGTCCCTGCCGCGGTCTGGTGGTTTTTAATATTCGGAAGCATGCAGCGAACTTCATAGTCATCGCTCCATGCCATGATCTCCTCAAGCCAATGTAGACCGTCACGAAATCCCGTCTTGCCTGACGGAAGAACATCATAGCTGATCTCCAGGCCATCGCCTAAGCTTTTCCAGAACGTCCCGATAGCGCATTTTTCCATGTCGGTCAGGCCGCGCCATTCGAATTTCTCGATGAATCGCACCGGCTGAATGGCGAACAAACCCAGCGTGTAAAGCATGTCATCATCCAAGATCTTTTTTGAAGCCCGGTAGCCGCTATGAATAAAGTTGGTACGCGCAATAGATGCATGGGTGCGGGCAGAGGACGGAGCCGAGCCGATGAACTCTTGGATGAAGACGGTGGTGTCTGCGTATCGCTTGAGAGACAACTCCGGATCACAGAATTGCTTTGTACTTGTGAGAAGCCCTGATATGGTCGGTATTCCATATGTCTATCATCACAACTGCATTAGGCATTCGGCGTCAGGTGAAGGAAAGGGGAAGAACATACCCTGAACAAGGCGAACTGCAGAGCCTTGATGTAGATAAATGGGAACTCCAGCTGCAACAAAACTTTTTGGATCTCCCAGGCGTCGTTATCGGTCATACGCGACAGGGATTCACGCGTAGGATAGTGGTACCTCCGGTGCAACCATCGGACACGGCGAAAGCGCAGCAGAGATACCAGGACCGGATACACAGCCAAAATTGTCACTAGGAATATCCTGACCTGACGGAAAGAGAAATCTAACGAGGCTAAAATTATTGCAGGATGAGAGGCCCAGCCATTCTCCAAAAACGCGAAATGTGTCTCATTGCCCATCGCTTCGGGGACACAGCATTACCGATGGATAAGTGTGACCAGATCCAAAAGTGCCGATAAAGGATGGGCCAGAGACCGAGAGATTTATGGGAGCTTGGTATTGATTGTAGTTCTGAATTGAGTGATGTATTTGGAAGAGGTTACATTTAGCTCAGCGACAGGCGAAACCGAGGTCTGCAGTTCTCCAGTCACGTTAATCTTGTTTGTTTTCCCCGCACCCCGGCTTCTTTTCCTATTGTCTTTTTTCTCTTTCTTTTTCTTTCCTCTCCACTTCGCTTTCTGCCACACCGCATGTTTCTTCTTCCCTGAGAAAATGAACCGCCGAAGATGGCTGGGAAGATCGTAATTTTTTTTCTTCCAATCTCTTTCTTTGCTATCTATTCTTGAACATAGGCACACAATGTGACATACGATTCGATTCGTCCACGTTGCGTGAGAATGCCTTTTTTTTCCTGGGTCGTTGATTCTGATCAGGACTAGAAGCCCTTGTTAATCCCGCTTCCAATGAGGGTTCGCTGAGAGAAAAACACTGACAATTGATTTCAATTTGCAATTCACAGAAAGCATCCTTTACAGCATGCTTAGACGCAAACGGGTTATGGTACACAATGCAAGGAGGTAGCCGAGAGTGGGTACGTACAGAATGCGCTCGGGTTACCAGTTCTTGGGACTTTATCCAATGAAATGGGCAGAGACAAGGTCCTGTTATACATATCGGGCCCTTACATCCACCGTCAGAAATCATGCCCGCTCAGTTAACGGCCAATGATCTTCATTTCCAATAATCTCAGGGGTGGAAAAGCAAGGGCTGTGAATCCAAATCCAAGCCAGATGCCTAGATCGCAACCTCCCTCGATCGCTTGGGCAATGGGTCCGGTATAATAGGCTTGGTCCTGTCCGGGGAAAGTGAGATCAGCAACAGCCCACCACCTGCAAGAAAGGGATAGGATTAATAGAAAAGCTTACCATCCCCACAATGGCTCCCACCCAGCCGATGAGGAAAGCCGCGCTGGCAGCCATTCCAACCGGAAGTTTCTGCCGAACATTCCAAATGGACCAGTCATAACCGGTGCCTCGATTGAAGAGCAGGTCTTCCTCGACCACAATGGCAAACCAGATAATGACCCAGTAGCCGATAAGTGGTAAAAAGTTCTTGAAAATCTCATACAACGAATTGCGGCCCCCGATGGCACAGGCTGCGTATGTGATGGTCGAAAGTATGGTGAAGACAGGTCGAGGGATCTTTCGCCACATGTCTCCGAGCATCTGAAAGTTCATTGCCATGGAATAAGAGCCAGGGGCATTGTTGGAGACCACTGTCACCACATTAATGACAGCACAAAATTTACCAAAGGCCCCGAGTCTTAAATAACCCGCCATCAACAAGCTACCGGGGCTGCCGTCATATATAGCCGCCCACTTCGGTCGGTAGGCGACGCCAGACCCGAGTCCGGCTCCCAGCAGCAAGGTTGTCATCATCGATAGACATAATCCTATCGTGGTCATTGACCATATCTTCCATTTCCGAGTACTTGGCGGATAATTCACGTAGTAATCCGAAGCTAATGGAACCCAGGAAAGGGCGACAGACAGGCAAAGGGAGAAAAACGCCAGGCGATTTCCATGAAGCTTTTCTGACGATCCAGCAGAATAGCCGTTAAAGTTGAAATAGGGGCCTGCTGATCCGGTGATAACACAGAGAACCATTAATTGAGGAACCCAGGCGAACCTAAAGATCATGAAATGGGTCACCATTGTTCTTGCTTGAAAGGGGATTTCGTTTCCCGTGGCTCTTACCTCTCGTATATCTGAAAGATACGCATGCCGAAAGTTGCCATGATCCAACTTGCGAGGGCGACAACGACAATGCCCACAATGACGGAAACAGCGCCCCCTGACAACTTGGAAAGCAGCTGTCCTCCGATCATACAGTTCATCATTCCATATCCCAAGTTTGTCAATATGTTCAATGAGCAGCAGACTTTGCTAGGATGGTAACCCATGAAATACCTCGCCACGATCTGTCATGAAGCAAAAATGAACGGTAAGCCATGTTTGCCTGGAAGCTTGGGGGAAACAGCAGAGGAAGAAATAGGGTGTCGAAATCTGCGCAACGGATGGACCATACAAGTGTTCGATTTCCACTTCGGGGACCCCAAGTGCTCATCCAGCCAACTGCCAGGCCTCCGAGGAGACTTCCAAAAACAGCGCAAAGAGAGGCATCGGCATAGCTCAGTTGCAGTGTTAAAGTCCCTATTGATCCTACCACGATGTTGTTCAAAGACATCCCCATACTGAACCACATTAACAACATGTGGAGCGAGTTTGATGCATTTGATTCTAAGCGTTCATCCAATGGAACCGGTTCGATTCCGCGGGTCTCCAGCCCTTTGATGTGTCGTGCCCATCTTTGATACCTGGGCTCCGAAGCTGCTGTCGCGGGATCCCGAAATTCTAGCCCATCCTGTGTTACACTTTGGAAGGAAGAAGATACACGGCCTTTTTCAACGTCTGACACCATGTTGGCACACATGGAAGTTGAGACTGTTTTCGGGAAGGGGTAATGAGCCGGTCATACACGCTTCCTCCTCGCGACAATGACGAATCGTGGAATGCGCGTCGGATTATGAAGCGAAATCACTCAATGGATTGAGAGAGCGGATTAACGGCGGGTTTATATAGCGGAAAGAGAAACGGAAGAAAGGAGGATGCCAGGTGTGTAAGGGCTCCCTGTACCCGATGATAGTGGCCTGACATCAGTCTTTTCTCTCCAGTGTAGCACCTGCACTACTTGAAAAAGAACATTCCACGGATAATGTGCAGCAGAGCTAGGCTCCTACTATCCGGTCTAGCATCACCGAAGCACATGAACAACATTTTAGGGGACTTGAAACTGGCACGACACCCCCCGATGTCTCCAAGGGGATGGTAATCTTTACTACAACAAGGGCTTGGAATCCTACGCCAGTCAGAGGTTCCAGCACGGACGCAATGCACACCAGTCCATAACAGGATGGATGTAGCTATCTATACCCCGGCTTGACCATCTAATGAACTATCGGGTAATTCCTGTTACGTTATTCGTCTTCGAACCATGCGTACCACATACCAGAGCCATCCTGGGGTGTCAAGCCGGTTGATTGGAATGCACTATCCATGTAAGGGACGGGAGGTGGTTATACACGATCCCAAAGCAAGATTGAGTCAGAAGAAAAGAGTTTGACAAATATGCAGATGATGTTCTCATGGGTTTGAGAACCGAAAGTCTTCCTGCGACACGGTGTTTTAAGGCCATGTGTAGCTCTACCGGAACATATGATGGTCTTAGTTCACGGATATATGACCAGGCCTGTCACCAGGAAGTTCTGCGAGTAAGGACCAATACAATGTGTACAGGTAGGCTTGGTTATTTCCTTTTCTTATCAAACAATTTCCGACTTTGTTCTTTCCAACAATGAATCAAGGAAAGGGTCATTCCCACACTTCGGCAATAACTCGGGACAATCTCCTTACCAAGAACGCAGGGAATTAGTACCACTCAGATAAGAAGCAACAAGTGTAACATAATTGTTCCGCTGCCTTGGCATCGAAAGCTTGTAAGCCAACCATTAACTTTGGGGTTGTGCATAAAGAACCAAGGATGACCAGCAGACTATAGCCAGAATTTATTTACAGCACTCATACCGTTAAGGGCGTGGAAGATAAACGCCCTCCTTGACAATGACATTGTCCAGAACATTAAGATCTAGGTCAGTCGCAGCTCAAGTTGGTTTCAATACAGAATTGCTAATGTACCATCCAGACATGATCATGATCTCTTCATCCCTAAGGACAAGCTTCCGAAATGAAACCACCGAACGCCACATATCGTAAACTAGTATTTCCAGATATCAGAATAAATCTTGAACAATGTGAAAACAATACCAAACGCCAGATACCAAACACCATATCCTTCATGGCTCATGAGTCGTATTCATCAACCATCGCATATGCTATCAAACCCCAGCCATCCAGACGCCGTGACCATGATCGCTACCTTACATCAGAATAAAGCGGCATGAGAACCACAGGAGCACAGAGAGGATCAAGTCGCAATGCCTAGAGAAGGAGAGTCAAGTCAGCAACCAGATCCTAGTCTAACAAATAGAAAACCTACCCCAACGGCGCCTAGAAACGAGTATTAACAACAGGCTGAGCTTTCCCAGCCGAATAGCTAGGCTTGCGCCGCTTGCGAGTCACAAGCTGAAAAGGCTTGTCGTCATCCTCGTTGGCGAGAGGATCAGGGCCGAAGGGGTTTGTGGATGGGTCTGCTCCGCTTGCAATGAAAGATCCAGTACCCGAAGACGTGCTGGAGGATCTGGACGACGACGAGGATGATGGCGACAGGGCAGGACGGTCGGCAATCATTGCGATGAACTCTTGTTCTTGCTGGAATGAGAAACTCTCGTGAAACGGTCCAAAGCGTTCGCCTTTCTCGTTCCAGGCCATGAACGTGATATGCCGTCTAGGGTCCAGATCGCTCTGGTGGGCGCCCTGGCTGTTAGATTCGAGACATTGAACAGTCAGCTTGTATTCCAACCTGAACATCTTGTTTGGAGTTCATATCTCGAGGGAGGAAAGCAGCTGGGGAATGGTCCTACAAGAGAGTGACCTTATACGCCCAGAGAGGCGCGCAGGACTTCACCTTCATACAGTGAGCCTGGCGTTTGAGGCGATTGTCCTCCCCAGAAAGGAGCTCAGCTGGCTCGAACTCGACAAGAACAGGCATGATGCTCTGATGGACGTGTTCAACAAGCATAAGAGTAGAATCTGTGACGCTGGGAGACGAAAACAAATTGCAGTGGAGTAACGCTGAGGGGGGAAGGGATTCCAAGATCATGACCACAAGTACCAAGGGAAAGAAAGGGAAGGCAAGGTGAGTGAGGTACATCTGTTTACGACTACGGCTTTTAACCAAAGCAGTATACTCGCGAATGACTAGTTGATTTGGACTAGCTGATTAGACGTGCAGACACGTGGTTGATACAAAACAAGCTAACAAAATGGGATATCACCGGTAGAACCATCGCTATGGTAGATACAGATCCTTGTTATGGGACTCGCTTCTGCGTTTGTGGGGAAGTTGGCGGTGTGCATGATTTGTGATGCTGCGCGATGGTCATCTTTGGAGAGACCTGAGGGTAAGATCACCATCTGGATCAATCAGATCAACGAAACAAGCAAGCGAAATGCGGGGCTTGATCAGCCTTATAATCTGTGCCTGCATAAGTGCTACCGGAAGATACCCTCAGCAAAGAGATAGTGCCTATGCACCATGCTGTTTTGCGCAAGAACAGAATCAAGTATACCACAACAAATCCTTCGCTCTATGAAATACTAACATTACTGAAGATGAGCAAATTCACAGCCAATGACAGGACTGCCACCCACGGTTCCTACCTATCATACTACATATAGCATCCTCAAGCTCTTTCCTGTCACTCGTGTGATTACTCTACCTCCAACCATCCAATTACGAGCAGCGAGCCTCGGAGCCTCGTCTTTCCGGAGGCCAGACCAAGGGAGATGGTGCACGGTCCTGCACAACGAGAGCTCTGGACCTCGGAAGTTCTCACGATGGATGAGGATAGTGATTGATTGGTGGGCTCTGTGCCGTTTGTAGACACTAAAGCGGATTTCCATGGGTCCGTTCTTTGTTTGAAGATTTGATCATACGGCAGCTTCATCGGTTGGTACTGTTATGGACGATATCTTATGCTAGGGATATGGCATAAGAGGCTGTTGATGGTGATCTAGTGACTAATGCAACAAATTGCACTGATGTTAGGCTCTATTCAAATGATTCTTCTCTTCTTGCAAGAATCCTAGGCCAGTCTGCATAGTTACCACCAATATATCTTATGCTCACAACGACGTTGACATTAGCAACCAGCCTAACCCAATCCGGTAAGTCTACCCTAACCCCAATCCCAGGATTCCGGGAGATCTCATCTCATCTCATCTCATCTTTTTGCAACTCAATTCCATCCAATTTACCTCTCCCAGATAATTCACTCGTAAACATATCCTAGAAAATTGAATCTCCTGATCTCCCCGGTCTCACAACAGCCCAGGTTATGGATCCATCGACAAGCAAGCTATTCATATCCCTGCCCTTCCGATAGGATGCTCGCGTTACACCGAATGCCAGTCTCGCTGGACCTCCCGTCTCCTCTTTGACGAAGCTGTTTGGGGCTCCTGGAAGGCTTCCTACAGGCTATATATGTAGGGGGTCGGTCTAGAGTAGACTTGACTTGACCTGATCTGACCAAGGTGGACACGATGGGACTAGACGGTTGGGTGGATGTTTGCTTGCCTGGGTCATGCTATGCGATGGGTTGGGATGACAAGGCGCTTGGGGTTATATAAAGGGAGTGGTTATCCCGGCCGCTTCTGCTTGCTTGCTTGCTCGTTTGTTTGCTTGCTTGCTTCTTCCTCTTATCTCTGCATACTAGGCCTACACCCTGATGTCGTCTAGGCTAGTGTCTAGGTACGTACCTCTTCCTCTTCCTTCCTCCCTTTGACGACCATCTTCTACCTTTTCTCAGCTAACCACCCGTCTCCTCGCATCAAGCACATAAACCCATAAACCAACCAAACGAACCCCCATCACCACATACATCGCCGCAGCCACAAAAACAACCATCAGAAAAAAAGCAAAAAGAAGGGAAAAAATGGACCTCCCAACCCGCGACATCCTCACCAACCCACCCGCCTTCCCTCCCTCCCCAGCAACAACCACTCTCTTCACGAACCCGCCCACCACGCCCATCCAGACTATCCAGACGTACGAGACGCCTGATCGCATCCTCACGGGGATCCGCATTACCTGGACGAATGGGGATACTGCGAAGTTGGGAGTTTGTTCTGATGATGTTTCTGGGCAGAGCTCTAGCTCTGGCTCTGGCTCTGGCTCTGGGTCTGGGACAGAGATGAATATCAGCGCCGAGTCAAAGTCTACTACCGGTCCTATCCATACCCATAACAACGAGCACAAGATCAACGACAACAGCAATATCAACAAAACCTCGGACAACAAGAACTTAGGCACAGATACCACCACCACCACCACCTCCTCCTCCTCCAAAAACCCCAACCCCAATATTGAACCTAATCTCATCATGACAAAAACATTCACATTCGACCGCCAAGAACGCATCCAAATCATGTACATCTACGTCAGCCCCACCCAAGTCGAAGGCTTCTGGTTCGTAACCAACAAACAAAAAAGCTTCTTCCCGGGGCGGTCCAGCGAGAGGCGCGAGATGAGCGACCTGGGCAGCGGCGTGTTGGTGGGGATCGAGGGACGCGAGAAACGCGATGAGCTGGATCGGGTGGTGGGTGTTTTGGGGTTGGGGGTTAGTTTTAGGAGATAATCATCCCCCTTTTTTATACTTTTGTTTTTCCTTTTGACTTTGGTGGGTTTGGTGGGTTCGTCTCGTTTTGTTTGCTGCTAGCACATTATGTATGCGCGTAAGGGAAGTAGGGAGTATGGATGGGTGGACAAAATTGAACAAGTCTACAAGCTATACCAGTATCAATAAGAAGTAATATTCACATCAGACCTCAAGCAATATGTACAGAATCCAACTCTCACAGACCAATCAAGCGATTGAACAACAAACAAAAAAAAGACCATCCACCTTTGCGCCCAGGCCAACCCGATGCGAAAGTGTCTATGAACAACAGCAAACAAGTGCCTTTTTTTCAAATCACGGACGCCAACAAATCGCTAGACATTAAAAGGTATTCGGCAGGGGGATTAAGTCCCGAAAACTCGGAAAGGGGGAATATGAGGTGAAAAAGACGGAAACGAAAAAAGAAACCCTTCTGTTAGTAGAAAGGCTGGACGAGCAATTCGTAAGAATACATCGTTGGTGAAATAAGATGGTGGCTCAGATGAACCCAATTAACGTATCAAAATTTATGTCTTTGATAGCAAGTGATGGCCGGGCTATTACCCCTGGCTTTGGTGACTGGATCGAGAAAGTCGAGATGTAGACCGTCTACTGCGATGCGATGGAGCACGCTCTGGAGGCGCATGCTCAAAGAAGGGAAGAAGGTCGGGATTCTGACTCGGAGGGGTGGTCGAGGTCGACAGATATTGGCCCACAATCTGGTCATCGGCGGCGGTTTCCGGATGGATCTCAATGCCCTGCTGCTTGTCCAGACCTCCGTGGGGACTGGATCCAAACTTGAACGATTCCCCATCGGACGGTGCCCTCTCGACCGGGGACCAGCCAGCAATACTGCCAGCAACCACACCGGCCATAGCCGCGGCGGGCCCAAATGCCGAGTTCGACCGGGATCGGGTCCGACGTCGAGACCGCGAGTCAGGGCTAGCAGGCGGAGGCGGAGTGATGCTTCCTTCACCATTCGGCGTTCCGGGGATCGAGTTTTCTCTGGATCGCGAACCGCTGCGCGATCTTGGCAGCAGCTCCTGAGGGTGCTGTAGCTTGTGCTTGATGTGTCTTAGACGACCTCCACGAACCGTCTTGAGGAATCGCAGCTGATCGCGGATCTCTTCCAAGGCAGGGTTCCACTCGAATCGTCGATCTTCATCGGACACCAGGAGCTCTGGTCTCTTCTTGCGATGCGCAAAGCTGGGAATTAACTTTTCAAACAGGAAGTCGGGAATAAGGCGAATGATCACTCCAACGGGAAGAGAAATGACACCTAGAACCAAGCCGATTCCCCATTGCGCTCCGTTCAGTCGGGCAACGGAGAAGGCCTCTCCACCAACAAAGATGATCAAAACTTGACCGCCGATGATGATGAGTTGAATTCCAAGAAACCATCGGTTACGGATCATGCCCTCGAAGATATTGAATCGGTTGTCGAGGCGTCGGGAGTTCCACTGGTTGAAAATTTGCATCCAGACGAAAGTGTTGAATACCACTGTCTGATGTTCTCTGCCATCGTATAGATGGGCGAAGTTCAAGGCAAAAGTAACGGCGAGTTGGTAGATACTCTGTCCGATTATCATTTTCCACATAGTCAAACTGATCAGCGGGCTGGATTTCGGCTCCGGTTTACGATTGAGGACGGTGGGAGCCGGCGGATCCGTGGCTGGAAGAAGTCTCATTAGCACATGAAACTTTGCGATGATAAGACCAACATACCTAGGGCAAGTGCAGCGAAAGTGTCCATGATGAGGTTGACCCACAGCAGTTGGACCGCTGTCAAGACCGATTCCTGATCACCACTGGCAACTGCAGAGACAAATGTGAGGAGAACCGCCGTAATGTTGACCGTGATTTGGAACTAAGCAACATTAGCATCCGGTCTCTAGCCTGCCATAATTAGGACAAAGTTTCCTACCTGTAAGAATTTCTTGACCGCATCATTCACCGTTCTACCCCAAGCCATAGCCTTGATTATAGAGGTGAAGTTGTCGTCCATGAGGATGATATCCGACGCTTCTTTGGCAACCTCGGTGCCCGAAATTCCCATCGAGAAACCAACGTCGGCCGTTTTCAAGGCCTGGGCATCGTTCGTTCCATCACCCGTAACCGCTACTGTTTCACCCAACTTCTTGAGCTGAGTGACGAGAATCTTCTTATCATCGGGGCTTGACCGTGCCAGAACCTGCAGTCGTGGGATGATTTGAGTCATCTGGCGACTGCTCAGCTTGCGGAACCGGGGACCTTCGATGGCCACGCCTCCAGGAGTAAAGATTCCACACTCCTGGGCAATAGCCTTAGCGGTCATGATGTTGTCTCCGGTGACCATTCGCACGAAAACACCCGCCTCTTGACATTTCTGGACAGACTCCGTGACGCCCGGGCGAAGGGGATCCTGGATTCCAAAAATACCAAGCATTGTCATATCCTTGAAAAGCGGGTCGAATGCCGCCAAGTTGCGGTCTTCCTCCTGCGTTTGGGCACCGCGCGGCGGCCATTGCTCGAAATCACGGTAGACCAGGCCAATTGGCCGCAGCGACTGAGATGCGTAGTGAGTCATAATGTGATCCAGCGTGGAGCGATCATCATCAGACAAGGGTTTCTCGGACAGCTCCTGCGTGGGATCATTGATGACGCGGGTGCACTTGCGAGCCAGAATTTCCGATGCACCTTTGACCAACATGCGGTATTTTCCATTGTCCATTTTGTACACGGCTGCCATGCACTTGCGACCCGAATCAAACGGCACCATCTGCACCATTGTCGCATTGGACCGTGCCTCGCTGAGCGATCCCATCCCGAGATATGTCCGCGCAAACCCCAGAAGGGCAGTCTCGGTTTTGGAGCCGATGAAAGTCATCACACCCTCCTGTTCGCCTTCAAATGCGGTGGAGTTGATTATGATAGAATCGAGTAACAATTCCTTAACCGAACGCGCGAGGGCCGAAGCGAATTCAGAGGGCGAAAGAGCGCCGGTCGAGTCATTGGCATTTCGGTCTTCGTTTTCAGCGTTGGGATTAGGGGAAGCGCTGGGCGTTGCCTCCCGCGATTTGCCTCCAAACTTCAGCGTCGTGCCTAGAGTAGCGGTAACAGCGGTCATCTTATTCTCCGTTAGGGTGCCTGTCTTGTCGGAGCAGATCGTTGTCGCATTTCCCATGGTCTCACAAGCGCGAAGCAGTCGCACCAGGTTGTTGTCCTTGAGCATTCGTGTGGTGGCAAACGCAAGTGCTAGCGTAACGGCCAGAGGTAATCCTTCGGGGACGGCGACGACGATGACGGTGACAGAAACGATAAAGATCTGAAGGAATGCTTGGCCTTTGTTGTCGGCGCCCTGGATGGACTTCAACTGGGCCAAGAATTTGATGAAAAGCACCACGAAAAGAAGCAAACCTGCAGCCAAACCAAGCTTCGCGATGTACTCCGCGAGCACGTTCAGCTTGGACTGCAACGGAGTGGTCTGGCCTTCATCCTGAAGGGACATCATCGTCTTACCGTAGGAGGAATTGACTCCGACCGCGGTGACCAAAAACGTACCCACACCTTCGGAGACCTTCGCACCGGACAGGATGAACGGGTCTAATTTCGAAAGGTTCTCGTGATGTTCGATGGCGCGCGAAACTTCATGAGCCGCTGTTTTGTGCAAAATGTCCGACTCGCCGGTGGCAGAAGATTCATCGCATTTAACGTTGTGACCGTCGATGAAGATACCGTCGACGGGAATCAGATCTCCGGGTTCGAGGTGCATGACATCCCCAACAAGAACGTCGTGGACCGAAATTTCCATTGTATTTCCCGAGCGCATAACCTTGACCAGCCGATCGTCCTTCTTCTTGTTCAGCTTCACAAACTGACGCTCTTTCTGCCAGTCATTAGCCGCTCCCACAACCACCACAATGATAATGGCCACTAGAATAGCCACGCCTTCCACCCACTGCACACGTGCCTCGTTGCCCTTGGCCGTGACGGATTGGTAGATTCCAATCGCTAGGGAGATGATTGCAGCAATCGTCAGAAGGATCAGAACCTTGTCGTTATAGGCAATCCACGCTAGTTCAAAGATACTCTTGGCTTTCTTTTCCGGAAGCTTATTGGTTCCGTAAATCCGCTTTCTGTCCGTGAACGATCGATCTGCGGATTTCGAGAGGCCGGTGGTGGTTCGGCTCGGGGGGAAAGGAGGCTGCGTGTCGGACTTCGGGATCGCTTCCGGCCGTCGAGAGGTGACATCTTCAAAGCTCACGGTGCCCTCCAAACCAGTCTCATCCAGGCTTAGGCCGCTACGGACGTTGGTTCGCAGCCCTTTTTCTAGTCCTTGAACCCCACCCAGCGCATGGAACGCGCCGAGACTCTTCGGGTTCAGCAGCTTATTCAGCTGACCCGGGGAAAAGGCAAATCGGTTGTCCTCCACGTTGAACTCCTCTTCACGGCCTGGATCTGGCTTGAGAGCTTCGTCGTCGTCGATGAGCGTGTGCGCCAGATCAGAGCGGGATCCCTGGGATGTTGTCGGTACATATGTGTCCCCGCCGTAGGAACTCGAGGAGGGATTTGTGTCTTCGGATTCCAACGAATTTCCCCGGGACCTGGTGCCGGGAACCGCCAGATAGTTGGAATTCGACATGGGTTCGGTCATCTTTGAGGTGGGCGAGGAGACGTTGTGTGGGGAGGTCGGTCTGCTTTCGTGGTCTCTTGGTTCCGACGAGGTGAATGAGCGAATTGATGCCGGCGACCGCGTGTCAAAGGGAGATACACTGCCGTTGTTTAGAAGCGCGCTGGTATCGCCCGAGTCGACATTTTCCGAAGAGATATGGACCGAAGGCTGCGCCGGACTGGGTAAGAGCTGTGGAGGAGGATCGATCTGGTCTGCGGGGGAGGTCACGGCCGAGGTGTCGATAGTGATGGTCGGCGCCCGTTCCCGTCGCAGGGGAGTTGGCTGCTTGGAATCCACTCCATCCGATCTGGAATCCGACATGATCGTCCAAAGGGGTGTTCGAAAGGCCGGGAATGGTGGGTCTCAAGGAGCGAAAGTACGGGATAAACAATGAAAACAGGGATAGTGATATCAGTAAGAATGCGGCTGCAGCAGGACCATATCCATCGAGTCTCGCCGGATCATCAATGAAGACCAATCGTTGAACGGGAATCCGCGTGGAATGTACTGTAGAAAGAGCAGCTGCCGATTGAGCTCCGCCCAGGTGGATCGAAGATCAAGGAGAGACCGTGCAGAGATATCCCATGTGTAGATGTATTCTAGATCATATCAAATCGACGTTTCCCAGCTCATGTAGTTGAAGGTGAAAGATGCGCAAAGACAGGCCGTTACAGAGGAACCTATGAGCGCAAAACGATGCCGAATTGTCTGGATGAGAAAATGCCTTTGAGCGCTGATGTCGCAGAATTGAGATGAGAGTCGCCTCGAGAAGTCCAAATAATTAAAAGTAGAGGGACACGACTGGCGGTTGCTGGGAACTGCCGTGTGGGAGGATGAGAACAGCCACAACGATCTAGACGAGGAGGTTACGGAGTAGAAAAGGACTGGCGACCCCCGAAATTACAGGGGAGCTATGAGTCGAGACTGGAGGTTGCCGAAACAGCAGCCACGTTGAGAGAGTGTGAGAGAGAATAGCGATAATAAAGGCCCGTCAACCACGACGACTAGACCTGTGAAGTGTCAGTTCCAAGGAGTTGGCAAATCCGCGAAGACGGAGACAGCCACACGAAAGCGCGAACGACGAGGGAGACGGACACGGGGGGGGGGGGGGGGGGGGGGGGGGGGGGGGGGTTGTAATGCGCCTAATACAACCAACGCCGAGTCAATGGGTTAGATGAAAGGGCAAAGAGAGGAACGAAAGAAAGAAAAGGTGAATTACGTGCAGTCGACGTATGGAGGAGGAGGGAGCAGCATCAGCAGCAAATTAAGGTGTCGGGAGAGCCGTGGATGGAGAGCGAGAAGTGACGAGCCGGATTTGCTGTCGTCACAGACTTCGGTCTTACAGTACGGAAAAATGGAAACATCCAGACTGAGTGGCCCGAAACCTCGTCTGGCCCGTTTGGGTCTAGCGCGCAGAGGGTCCCTGCACCGTGAGACGCCACGGCCAATCAACAGAGCCGAGCTAGGACGCATGCGGTATGAAGACCCGTTGGCCGAATCCATACCTGCCCGGTTTGGCAAGCACCTTCTTTGAGGTGCTTCCTGCCCGTCAGCCCCACTTGGTCCGCCGAATCGGTCGAGATCCCCCCCGTACGGTAATGACCGTCTGGCCCCCTTAGGTAATCTGCTGCAGACCTTAGCTTCTTTCGACCGAATGAGTATACGAATGAAGGTGTGAGAGACTGTTAATTCAGGATAGGTATGCATCATGAATGTTGAATGTCGGGTCACCATGGTGGAGGTCGTTGCCACCCGATCAAGAAACTGGTCCTCAAAGAGCAAAGAGACTTACTTGGTGCTGCAACGACTTGTCAAACGCTGGAATGTAACTCGTCGTTGGCTTTTTTTGCACTGCCTCACTTGATCCCCGTCTTGGAACTCTTTTTTTTTTCTTTTTCTCTTTTTTCTCTTCTCCTCCCCTCCCCTTTTTAGGAGGACTTATAATTCTGATTATAATCATAATAATAATTTTACTTTTGTTCTACTTTATTTTTCATCTTTGATCTTCGCTTCAACTAACTAATTCTCATTGAAGTCGACTCACAAAGACTGGATTATTTATGCTCCCTCCTTCTAGACGGTTTCTAATTAATTAGACCGGCACCACTCCAATTCGTTTCCGCCACTGTCATGGCTTTTAGTTTCCTCTTATTCAATCTTCAGACATCCACCGCCAGTCCGGAAAACCTGACGACTTGTAGAGCCGCCCCCTCGTTCATATCGAATTCTAAATCTACCGACTAGTAGCTCCTCCGTAAGCGTTCTAGCCTTCCCAACCAACCAACACTCGACATGGGATCAATCACGATCGATCGTATATAATTGCAGCGCTTAGAATTGAGACGCAGAAATGGGGGCTCCACTCGGCGATGAGTTCGAATTTCGATATACAATTCCTACCGAGTACGGAGTACGACTCTTACACTCGGCGATAGACCTCGACTGTCACTAAGGGCCATCATCACGAATTGACTATTCGATTTCCCGCCGCCACTAATGCAGTCTCCGTCCACCGGAACTTTAAAAGCCCCTAACCGATCCCGAGATATTCACAATTTAACTGTTGTGTCGGCGTTTATCCTGAGTAGTGTTCACTGTTCACTGTTCACTGTTCACAACCTCACAAAACTTCCCGCCTGTCTGCGCATCAGTATGGAGACATACGGGAAACCCCCGACCTCTCGCCTAGATGCCAGATGGATATCGTCCAGTTTACCGAGGGACGACCCGAATGAACCAGACGAGACCGACACGGTTGATCTCCAGGCCCACGGTGTCAAAGAAAAAAGAAAAGAAAAAAAAAAAATGAATGACGGAGCAATTAGGGTCTGTGGGTCTTGGCAAATGGGCGGTGCAGACAGGACCCATACCACGTCCACACCTTCTCCATTCTGGCCTCCTTTCTTTTGGGTCCTTTTTTTTTTTCCCATGCAACTTCTCCTATCTTTCTTTGCGGGTGCGGAGGTCTGAGTTTGCTAGCTTGGGACCTTTTCGGTCTTCGCTCGTCTGTCATACGGAGTATAGGTAGGATTGTAGGTAGGAAAGAGCTGATGTGGCCTGTGTACGACATAACCAAATAATGATGACATGATTTAAACCACTGGACGTAGATTACCCCCATCCATGCGGAATACTTACTACTTGGATGGCCATCGCCTTGTTTAGGCTGGCTACTGGCCACTGGCCAGACTAGGTAGCCAACTAGACTAGCACTACCATACTACCTACTCCAACAGCGCCTGAACCGTTACACTTCCATGTCTTCCACATACCCAACCTTACGCTGTACAGTTACAGCCGCAAATGAGGCGAACTTCCGAAGTAAGAGTAAGTGGACCGGGTTACTGTCCAGTCGTGATCCGTGCGTCTTCAAGCTTGAGAAACATATAGCGTATGCGGGTGACGTAGTAGATGATGGCTGGGTTGGGACTATTGGAATTGGGGTAGATGGGGGGAGGGGTCTCGTTCTCGGTTTACCGAGCTTATGAGCCCATCATGGCGTGGCATGATTGATATATGTTTACTTTCTTCTTCTCCGGTTGGGGGATAGATCAGGTACAGTGCTTCGTACCTTGTTAGAAGTCCTCCGTAGTTTAAATGTTAAATATCGGTAACCTATCCTCCAATCTCAAGCACATCTACAGCACATACATAGAATGACAGAGGGACGTCTCACTCAAGCTCAAACATACTTTTCACAAGCATAATAGCTTCAAAGCGAACCACAACACCTTAACTCATGTCCTTGGTTGCCTACCTACCTACGGCTGTATTGCTTGATTGCGTGCATTGATAGCTAAGCCTCGATTGACATCATTATTGTCTCACTCACTTCCAACCAACAAGATGGTGCTATTACTGCTGATAACGAGGTATCATTCCATACTCAGCAGGTAAACGAATCTACGGTCTAGCTCGTTATTAGGCAGGTATCTAGGACCTGTCTGTAATACTAACTTGTATGTAAACCCAAACACCACATACACCGTACTTGATCCGAAAATCCATACTTTATCCAAACATATAAAAGCGGTCAGATGCAACCAACCTTACTAGTCGGTGAAGACCCAAACGCTGTACAAACTGCTCCTACCCCTCCCCCTTGAACGGGGAACAAGATAGGCAAGTTAGACAGTTTCAATAGTTATGGAAATGTACATGTGTCATGTCGCACCGTCAAGGTACATACATACATACGTCGAAAGTTGGGTAGAATTCTGGAACGACCTGGTCGTACAGAGTACAGCGATGCAGGTGGTACGGATGACACGAATTTGGGTCATCTAGATAGGTTAAGTAGATTATTGAAGTTACGAGTAGGGTGGGACGACCCAAGAAAGGATGCAGGTTGTGCCACCGTGCAGACTGGGTTCTTTGGGTGCCTGTTCAGGTTCTGAGCTTACGGGCTGTGGCCAATGGAAAATGGTGCAACCTTCTAGAGGCCCTTTATTTCATGTCCGATGAATTATCCTGTGTTATCGGTCTCATTTGGTAATGGCCACTGAAGTGACCACCGAGGTAATGATAATCGTAAATCGAATCAAGTGACAGCCGGAAAAAAGCGTCGCTTGTTCTCTCTTGTATCTTGTATGCAGTCGAGCTAAATAGAATAACAACCGTCCCCCGTCAAAGCGCCCTCAGAAATACTCCTCATAAATCCAGTCCAAATGCAATCAGCTGGGGCTTTTGACCGGTCTCCCCGTCCCTGCCAGTTCATCTTCGGACAAGGAAGGGGTAATTGTAACGCAAAAAAAAAGCAATGACATGGGGATAATATACAAGGCCCCTTTTCAACGCATCGTACAGTACATTCAGTCTGACCCGGGGAGATTCCCGTCTTCGGGTACAGTGACGTTCCAAAGTCCCAACGATTCACCACCCAGGAGTTTCTTTCCAGGGTCCGCTCCTGTGTTGACCATAGCTTTGCTGGAGAGAGCCAGAGCTTCGACTAGCTCCCTCATCCGGCGGGACGTAACAAAGCAGCGGGTTAAGAACTCGTTTTCGGCTAGCTGGATTCCTAGATTCATGCATTGCACCAGGTTATCGCTAGTAAGGACACGTGCGGAGTAATAGAGAGCAGCATGGTAATCAAGGAACAGTTCCGGAATGTAAGTGTTCCGGATCTCCTCTAGCTGAGCTTGTTCATTCTCTGTGACATCAACGCCCATTAGTCTCAAGTTCAACCGCTAGACACGAAAAGAAGCATCAAATCTTACCATCCGCAGCAATGGTTAACCATTCATCCAACACCGCATCAACGTGCACTGCTATTTCATCTAAAGCTTCTTGAAGCGCCTCTCGCAAATCATGGATGGTGCCAGAGTCGCGTCGATGTTTGGTCCTGATTTCGAATGGGTTAGCACACATATCTTCAGGCAGAATGGTTGGTCGGCTAAACGTACTTATCAATCTTGTCATACGTAATGGCAAAGGCCTCCAGGGCTTCAAAGCCAAGAACCAATTCTTCCAATTCCCGCATGAGTCGCGACTGTTGAATGAGTATATTGGTCTCGCCGCTCGATGGAACCCCATTGGTGGCAGACCGACTGCGTCGGTGAGACCCGAACAATCTCTTGGTCGGGCTGGAGGGCTCGATAACAGAGGACTCCAAACCATCAACGATGTTTACTGGGAATTCGGTGACGTCAAATCCAAAGAGTTCGCGCGACACATCAGACAATCCCATGCGGTGACTCAGCTCTCGAGCAGCGGCAAATTTACCACTAACTATTCAATAAAGTCAATAAACGAACTTTGCAATGGTGGCACTGAGACCGTGGAATTACATACGATAGAATTGCTTGTAAAGCTGAGCACCAAGGTGGCAGATCCTGCCCCATTGTCCATCAACATAACGGAGCCACTCGAGACTGCGAATAATTCGCTCGTCGGCACCGGAGAGGTCGGTTCCGATGAGATCTTTCTTGACAGGGGCGAGCTCGCGGACTCCATCCTTTCGAATGACCACCTTGGGGTAGGTCTTGCGAGACCTTTGATGCTCCACAGAAGAAACGCTGTCGCTGATCCAGTTCCATTGGTCTTGGAGCACAGATTCAATGTCAATAGCGTGCTTGTCCATGAGTCTGACGAGTAATTTCCTTTCTTGCGGGTCGACAATCTCAATCAAGACCTGCCCAAGAACGGAGTGTGCCATGTTTCTCGGTAACAAAGATGCATAGGAGGGTATAAGATCCACAAGGCCTGCCTCCTCGAGGTTGGCGATGTACCCGATCACATTCACGGCAGCGACGTCGGAAAACTGAGTATCCGTGCGGACGTTTCCGAGGGAGTTGGCAATGACGTAGAGATGGGTGGCAATGCGCAGAGCGTCGCCATCTTCGGCCGCAATGAGAAGGGAGTCTTCAACATTACTCGGTGACAAGTCGGGGACGAAGGTCGTTAGCTCTGTCTTAGTCGTCGCCGCCTGCGAGACTGCCTTGGCCAGGGAATGGAAGAAATTATCATATCCTTTGCTGATAATCGCAGCCTGGATGGTGCGATACGGGTTGCGCGCCTCGACTCCGACGCGTTCGTTGCCCTTGGTGTACAAGACGAACTTGTGCACGTCTGCGTAGCCGGCCGGTTCGGGTACAAATGCCACGGGAGTTGTGGGCGAGTAGGTCAGCTTTCGCTGAAATTGTTTGCAGAACCCTTGGTAGCGAGAGAGCACGACCTTGTTGAAGTAAACGTAGATGTAGTCATCCCAGTTTTGACTAACTTTAAAGGCTGCGTCCGTCTCGCCGCTAAGAAGCCCGTAAACGGCCCGCTCGAAATCCTCGGCGTGCTGGTTGCGAGCAAGCGCAGAGCAAGCCGCCCGCCAGGTGTTCTGCGATCGGAAATTCATCATGCGCGTAGCACTATCATCGACCGGCGTTCGTTCGCCATGCGCCTTTTTATCCACGCTGGATCCACACAAGCTGACTGCCCGCCAATTCTCCAGGCGTGCGTGTGCCCACTCACGGATCCGAGTCCAGTCCTCCCCCTGTCTGAGCATCTTCCAGCAAGCCATCCACGTGGCGCGCTCATGGAACTGGTCCTGCTTTTGGAGGCCGTGCTTCTGGCGAGTGATGGCATCGGGGTCCAACTGCGTGATCAGGGGTTCCGTTTTCTCGGAGTTTAGGAGAGACGTTGCGATTCCGGGATCGTTGGGTTCAAGGGGCTGTGGCCAGGCCCTAAGCCGCTTCTGGCCCTTGATGGCCTCCTTCGTGTAGAGCCAGCCATGAGTCCATAGCCCTTCTCCCCTTTCGGCCTGTTTCTCCAGCTCAGCCATGACCGAGTCGATATCCTGAGCCGAGGTTTTCGCGGTAAGCTCCAACCATTTCATAATGATCACACATTCTAGCGCGTAGTGGTCTGCATCCAGGAACTGCTCCCAGATTTCGCGATCGGACGAATAGCGGTGGAGTTTTTGGAAGGCGGTCTCCTGGGCTTGCTTGGCACTAGCTATGCTGGGGGGGTCATTGACGCTGATGAGATTGAGCAAAAGCTGCCAGGTGTTTGCTTCCAAGTGAAGACGTTGCAATTCCTCCTCGGTCTTGGGGTCATGCGCGGATCCGTTGGCTCGATTCGAGTTCCAGCCCAGTTTGGCGCGTCGCACGGTGCTCTGCTTGGAGATGTCGTTGATGGCGTCCTGCGCGATGGTTTGGTAGTTCTTCACGAGCTGGTACGCAGCTTGATAACTTCCGAATTCATCGGCGCGACTGCCCTGTTGCTTGAACCGATCTAACTTGTCCGCGAAAGCCTCGATTTGACGCGTTACCCGGTCGGCTGTGCGGCGAAGGGGGTGTAGCGCTTCTTGCGCACCAGCAGATGTAAACAGTTCGGGAGCGGGGGCGTTCAGGGTTTCTTGCATAAAGTCAGCCATTTTACCCAATGGGCATACAGAGGCGAACCCGGGTGGACAACGGAAACATACTGTGACCATTCGGGGCGGGAGCCAAATTCAAAGGCGATTCACTGCCATTCAAGCCGTTTGTCTCATCGCCGTAGTCGTCCTGTGACTCGTCCTCTCCGTCCTCGGTCTCATCCATTTCTTCGTCTTCATCTTCCTCCCCTTCGTCATCCTCCTCATACTCCTCATTAGTGTCTAGATCCTCATCCTCGTCCATAGCTTGATCATCGTCTTCATCGCTGTCGTCATCGAGCTCGATAACCTCGTGTCCGTTCGAAGGAAATGGCTGAGAAGACTTTAGTAAAATGGAACGGATGACGAACCGAATCAGCTAGACAAGTTCTCCGAGAGACAGGGCAAAAAACAAATACTCACATTAACGGGGGCAAAGCCGGCGGAGCCGGTCGGGCCCGTAGCTCTCGTCAAGGGAGCCATGAGAAGCACGGCCGGCGTGTCTGACGGGATCAAAAGCACTTCCACGGAACTGGAGCTTCTCGAGAGCCGTGCGTCCGAAGGAGATTGGGATGGGGGGAGAGCGGAGGAGAAGCGAAGCAGAAGCAGCGAACTTCTTCCTCGTTCCGCGTGTTTTGGCGCCAGCGGGCCACTAGCGCCTAAAGGGGTTTAGCTCCGTCCAGCGCACGCATAGAAAAACCTCGGATTTTCCCGTCGCTTTTTCTCTTCTTTTTTCTTTCTTTTCTTTCTCTAATGTCATTTAGGCAGTCATTAGAGTCTCGAGACGAGCAGCTTCAATCTTCGTCTAGGTCAAACGGCCTCTCTGCGTGCTCACGATTGTCTTAGAGAAATTCTGGCAATTACTCAACTAGCCTAGCTCTTGATTCCTCACATGAGGGCTGAGACTGCAAAGGAATTGTCACATCCCGATTTTTCGATTTGGATTTACTTGATGCTGTGAAATCTTCGCCGAATCGCTTTGAGTCTATTCTCTACGCTGTATACCCCAATGCCACAGTGCTATGTACAAAGTCGTCGATGGTCTTGAATGAAACACCAAGGGACAAGGAAAATTTTTGTAGGTCGTTAGGACTGCTGCGCCCGTTGCTTCATCTTCAGCCTCAGCAGATCGGGTTTAGGACAGCTGGGAGTCTTCGCTCCCTCGCCTCGATCCTGGTAGAACGCATTGCAGCATTCGTACAAGGCATTGATTTGTGTCTGGCACTTTGCCTCCTGGTAAGAATTTTTTGTCAGGCAGGCTGAGTCAGGTTAGCATGTCGTAGAGGACTGATCCATAACCAAATATATACCTTGGATAGCACACTACTCGACCGGTCAATATTACATTTGGTTTCTACCGAATGAGTATCTAGTCAAGACTTACTGCTCGTGGATGACAGGGGGGATCGTAGGACAAATCTTCTTTCATATTTCCCTGAATATACTAGTCATTCACCGTTCGATTTACCGTTACCCAGGGTGCTTTGAGTGCCGAGAGAGCTCCTACCATGATGTAATGTTGACCAGCAAAAATGAGTGGTAGGTGAAGAAGACCTCAATTATTCACTTGACTCCTGCGTTTGTTTCACTGCAAGCTGCAGGTTCTTTGTTCTTGCTAGCTTCAAACGACCAATTATTCCACGGAAGTCGGGGCGAAGGGAAAAGGTGTGAAGTGATTGAATGCATGCAGAGTGACGCTGCACCCAACCGGCATCTCAGTTCCCCAGCCAACCTCTTCCCTCTCACCGCCTTCGCTGTTCGACCTGCACCGCAAAAACAAATTATCCGAAGTCTCTCCGCTGGTGGGGTTTCCAGTTACTTCTCAGCCATGAGATTCACACCTCCGACCTTTCGCTCTCCTTCGCCCTCTCCTCAGTCATCTCTCCCTCCCGTCTCCCATATCTGCTCCAAAAGTCGCTCCGGCTCTGACCCCTCGCCACCTCCGACCCTCCCAGCTCATCTAGGTAAGTAGTCATCTCAGCCCATCTCTCGCCTCGCCTTGCCTCACTCGTTCCCCTCTTCTACCTCTTCGCGACTTGCGACAGTGAGGGGCGAATCCTCTCTCTACGAACCCAAGACTAACGGCACCTCTTTTTTTTTTGCCACTCCAACAGCCAGCCCACCCGTTTCGCAGAATCCTCCATCTCTTGATATCGCAATGTCCGACTCTGTACCTCCCGCCGGTGAGGCTCCCGTGGAGCACTTGAACATCAAGGTCACGGACAACAACAACGAAGTCTTCTTCAAGATCAAGCGCTCCACCCAGCTGAAGAAACTCATGGATGCCTTCTGCGACCGTCAAGGCAAGCAGCTGTCTACCGTCCGCTTCCTATTCGACGGTACCCGCGTGCGCCCCGAAGACACCCCGGACACTGTATGTTATATCGCTTGTCGCATTTCTCTCCCTCCATCTTTTTCCCCAACCGGAAAACCCCCCCGCTAACTTGTCAAACCTCTTCTAGTTGGAGATGGCCGACGGCGACACTCTCGAAGTCCACCAGGAGCAGATCGGAGGCTAGATCTAAAACGCGAAAGACATTCTGTCCATTTGTTCTTAGTCTTTTTTTCTTCTTTTCTCCTGCCGAAATGTTTCTTTTATCTAGGATCGTCGCGTCTTAAGCTTCCGCATCCTCATCCAATACTCTACGTCTCGTCATGTGAACATGTTCGATATCCTCATCTACGTTTCTCCCTATTTCCCCCGAATGTTGTTATTTTTTCGTCTTTGTTTTACCTCGCATACGAGACGGGCGCTGTGGTGTTTGCATTGGAACCTTTCAAGTTTTGACATGACTTGATTGGTATGGACGGATGATGTCTTGTCTTTTCTTCACAAATGACTACCTATCTGCCCTTACCTTTCCTGATCTGCCTTTTTTCTAGACCGAAAAGAAGAGTGAAACCAAGGGATCCTACTTCTATCTATAAAAACTTCTAAAAAAAACTTGCATCCGACTGAAAAAGGCATGCCTTTTTCTACTTAAAAAACTTTTCTAGTTCATTGTAGACTAATGATAGACCCTTGCATACACCCGGAAAATCAGACCAGCCACCATCCGTCCAATAACCCCTCAAAATTGTACGATTACATCCAAACCCCAGACGAAAGAACCGTCATCAAACAGCCCCGAACTAAATGTATATAAACAGACAGACAGACAACGAAAGGTCAAACAAATAAATATAAAACAAGAGAAACCACCCAAAGAGGGAGTACGATAAGTAAAAAGCTAGCTGCTAGCTGCCATGACCTCGGCAAGCAAGCTCACTCATCCCAAACAGCCGCCTTGGCCCGATCCTCATCCTCCTTCGCCTTGGCGGCCTCCTCGCGTTCACGGTTCCTTCGTCGAATCTCCTGTTCCTTGACAGAGCGGTCATACGCGCGCTGTTCCTCCGTTCTCTTCGGCGCTCGGATGCCTAACGCTCCCGCGATCATCCGCCCCGCGACAGCGGTCTGCTTCTCGGGCCTCCTGTTTGGTGATCGGGTGCCCGACGACGCAGACGACGACGGTCCCGTGCTTGCGTACGCCGGGGCCGTGACCCATGGCTGCGAGGTCTGCGGAGAGATAGGGGTGGGTGGGGGATCTAGCGGGCCCTCGGCTGTGACGGAGGGGGAGAGTAGGGTTGAATCTGCACCTTGATCTGGGGAAGCGAGGTCCGGAGACGAGGTAACAGACGAATCGTCGGCTTCGTCTTCCCAAGAGTCCGCGACGGGGGCAGCTTTCTTCTTCTTGGATGCAGCAGTATTACTGCCCAGACGGTTGGCCGACATGCTTGTCGTTTGCACGGTGGGGCGGGGTATGTCCTTTACGGGGCTTTGAGCGATGGAAAGACTGCGTAGAGATGATTGGAGCTCGGAGGTTGCTGCTGCAGAGGCTGACATTTGGTCGAGGGGTGGGAGAGGACGTTAGTTGAATGACTGATTGATTGGATTGGGATGGATGGGATTGAAATGTGGGATGTGAATTGATGGAGGACTTTAGAGGCAATTGGACTAGCTGAGCGAGGAGGATAGGTAGGTAATTGGGTAGATGAATAGTAGATACAGAGAAAGGAAGTGCTTGATGGAAGGAAACAAGAAACGAAGATAGAAGGAAAGATCACAGAGGAAGTAGTCTGGAGGAAGGAGCTTCTGGACAAGAGAGGCAAATACGGGGGAGGGAAAACACACACACAGCGATTCCACCGATCTGCCAGAAGGGCCACAGTGGACCGGAGAGATGGAACGGTGAGTACTACTCCGTAAGTTCTCCGTAACCAAGAGGAAGATCAGACGGAGTCGGTAGCCGGTCGAGAACAATAGCCACGGGGAGGGAGATATTAATAGCGAGCAAAAGTTACGGAATGCATGGCGTCAGGCGTGGAGAAGACAGACCCCGCCTTCGCTCGGTCGCTGCGGGTCATTGGCTCAACTGACTCTGCTGTGCTGGACTGGCGGTTGATCGCGTTTCATCGTCGTGTCGGTGGCTGCTGCTGATCGGTGCAGGCCTTGCAGGGAGCTGGACATGTTTCTGCGTTCTGCTTTCTGGGTTGGGGAGACTGCTCCAGGGATTTCTTGGTGGTGAGTATATCCGTAGATTTAGTAGATTCAGATGGAATGACGTGCAGATGATAGGGTTGTCAATTGCCCTACATTTTGGGGTTAAATCCGTTCCAGAAATAAATAAAATCATAGTGAGAATTCCAATAGTCCACTGTAACTGTATAAGATTCCCTCATCGTCTGAGCAACTTCCTGAAAAAGGAGGAGCCCATCTCTGCCTGGTTGCCTGACTGCCTGACTGCCTGGAGAACTACACGTGATTGATATCTGCCAAGAGAGTACAGTTCCGAGAAACCCTCTCGTAAACCCCGGCACCTCGGAAACCACCGGCAATGCAAGTCCGAGACCGGCGGAGTGACCGTCTAAAAGGCGGCGGATCTCCCGAGACCTTCCTCACCTCCTCTACCTCCTCTCCACTTATCCAGTGTTGAGACAGACCCTCCCGTCGCAATTGCACCATGACTGGCTTATACTCTCTTCCCGCGCGGGCGCGGAGAACGTCGATTGTCCAAATGCCCGTGAAGAGATTGAATCGCTTCTCTACCTTAGGACCGAGGTATAGCTATGCGGACACGCTGCCGAATTTGAAGATTGGCGCGCATACTAGGGTTTTGTTTCAAGGGTTTACGGGTGAGAGAGCATGTTCAGATAGCATTTGATAGATGGTTTTTCAAGCTAATAATCGATCCAGGCAAACAAGTACATACTTGGACCACCCTCATGACATAATTGATGGCATCGGGTGCTAACGGGTCCAGGCCACTGCGAATGTGAAAGAGTCTCTAGCTTGGGGAACCAAGATTGTCGGAGGCGTCAAACCAGGTGTAGAGGGCGAACACCTGGGGCTCCCTGTTTTCCCCTCCGTTCGGGCTGTACTTTTTGCTGGTCCTTGTTCTCAAATCCACATACACCCTACTTATATAGACGCAGGCCCAAGAAAAAGCGAAACCCGACGCGTCCGCCATCTACGTGCCAGGGAACGCCACAGCCAAGGCAGTGGAAGAAGCGATTGAGGCGGAGATTCCCCTCGTTGTAGCCGTCGCCGAACATGTTCCCATCCATGACATTTTAAGGGTACCTTGATTGTCCCCGGTTTTATAGGATGCACGAGGTACTGACCACCTGTGCAGATCCACTCCATGCTCCAAACCCAGTCGAAGACAAGACTAGTTGGCGCAAACTGTCCCGGAATCATTTCGGCGATTGGAAAATGCCGCATTGGCTTCCAGCCCCTGCCCTGCTTCGCGCCCGGTAATGTCGGCATCGTGGCGAAGTCGGGTACTCTGAGTTATGAGACTGTTGCATCGACCACGCGGGCAGGCCTGGGCCAGAGTCTTTGCATCAGCATGGGAGGTGATGTCCTCGCTGGGACGAACTTCGTTGATGCGTTGAAGATATTCGAGAATGATCCCGACACCGAGGGAATCATTCTTGTTGGCGAGATTGGTGGAACGGCGGAGATTGATGCGGCGGAATGGATTAAGGATTATCGACGGAGGAGTTCGAATCCTAAGTATGTCTAATTTATTGAGTCTCAGATAGTGTTGCTGACGTCTCGATAGACCCATCATGGCTCTTGTCGGTGGTCGATACGCACCTCCAGGCCGTATCATGGGCCATGCAGGCGCATGGACGGCCCCTGGAGAGCCGGATGCAAGCGCCAAATACAAGGCTCTGGAGAACGCTGGAGCGGTCATGGTCAACCACCCCGAGGACTTTGGGGAGGGAATGAAGACTCTATTCAGTAACCGGGGGCGTGTCCAAGGATCAACGGTACGTTTCAACCAAAACAAAAGTGAGCCATAGGGCTGACAAGATAAAGTCCGCCAATCCGGCCAACCAGAAACGAGGTCTCCATACAATGAGACGCGTGGCCCTTAGAAACACCAGACCGCAGTTCCTACCACAGTCACAGACTCGCTCCCTTTACATCAAACAATTCCAAGCCCTCGACATGCTGAAACAGAAATCCGTCCCCGTTATCGACGCGCCACCTTCGGACTCGGATATCTTCCTGTCCTTGACCGTCGATAGAACAGCACTAACACCCTGCGTTGTAGCCTCAACCAAGGCAGATTTCGACCGCTCACACACAGCCCGTTTCCCATTCCCCTACAAAACCCCAGACTTCAATACCTCAAACCCTCTGATTGGAAATATTGCATCTCAATTACAACTCCCGGAAACTGCACATGGAGGGCTAGCGAACTTAGTCCAAGCCTTGTGGCAGATCTTCAAGGAAAAAGAAGCGTATCTGCTCGAAGTCCGAGCTAACCCTTCCACGCAAGGGACCTTGGAAGTACGAGGCGCGCGCTTCGGATTTGACGATGCTGCGTTCAGAAGCTCAGGGCGTCAAGCCGAGGTTCATCAATTGAGAAACACCGCCCAGGAAGTCCCTGAGGAAGTCGAGGCAGAGAAAGATGGCATCGTCTATGTCAAGTACGTTATACCTTCCGATACAAAGCACCTTGATCCTGACATTATACTCACAAGACTCAAAACAGACTCGACGGCGAAGGCAGTATCGGCACCTTAGGTAACCCAACCTTCCTCCCATAGCATGAAGATTAACGGAACTGACAAGAAATCCACAGTAAACGGCGCCGGCCTGGCAATGAATACAGTCGACGCACTAACCCTCCACGGCGGCCACTGCGCCAACTTCCTCGACACCGGCGGAAAAGCCACATCGGAGACCGTCAAGTCATCTTTCCGGATCATCGTCTCGGATGCGCGCGTGAAGGCCATTTTCGTCAACATCTTCGGCGGCTTAACGCGGTGTGACATGATCGCTGAAGGGATCATCATGGCATTCCGGGACTTGGACATGAGCGTACCTGTTGTGGTGAGATTGAGGGGGACGAATGAGGAGGAGGGGCAGAAGATGGTAAGATTAATTCTCTTCGATGATATGTTGTGATGGATGACTGATATTTTCGATCGTGTAGATTGCCGAGAGTGGCCTTCCTCTCCACGCCTTTGATAAATTTGAAGATGCGGCAAAGAAGGTGATCGGTCTTGCTGGAGGGAAGCCCTCTAGTGCATGATATAGAGTGTTTCGTTACTAGGTGGAATAGATAGCGGTAGATGCCAAGATATAGGTATACATTCAATATAGATCTTTTAGATGAAATTCTAAGTCGACATCATGCTTGTTTCTTGTCGTTAGTCGCCCAGGGGGTCTTTGTCCGAGTCAACATCGCTTCCAACCTGGTCGCCAATACCCGGAGAGTCCACGGGTTTGGGTTCCGAAGGGATTGCAAGCGGGACTGTGGTGAAGCAGGGGCAGTCCAAAAATAAACCTCGAAGCTCCGGGATAGAAATTTTTTTGTTGGGATTCAGTTCAAAGATGCGGTTCAAGATGGCCATAGCATCGTCGGTCAGAGGTAGGACTGAATCCAAGAAGCTTGGTACTTCAAGTAGGCCCTATACGAAGAATTCTCTAGGGAAGCCAAATTCCATGGATTGCGGCCACAAATCAGATTGATACGGATAACCCCAAGACTCCAGACATCATGGGGCACCGAAGCGTATTCTTCTGAACTTGGATCCGACGTTAAAGATTCTTTCCACCGAGATCAGATTGTCAGTGGATCTATACCTCGCAGCATGGAAGGACAAGCATGAGCTTACCTGGAGACGCGTAGACATTCCGCTTATCCGTTTGTTTTGCAAACAACACTAAAAAGCAGACACTAAAGGAGGTTAGAAACCTCCAATTTGATATCGACTATAGTCTAATAGATAAGAAACAGATAGCTGGGTTACAATTGGTTCCTTCGGCTGCAAAGCATCCCGAGATACCACATTCCCGTTAGCATAGTAAGCTGACAATGGCCTCCAGCTGTGCAGGGGATTGCCGAAGGGACAGCTAAACGGCCATTTGTATCAAGACGTGCGCTCATTGAAACGTTAGATCAGGACCATGCCATGTTCTCATCAGAGTCACAGCGAGCGCTTACATGCAGCCACTGGAACAGTCCCAAGTGGATCTGATTCGCAAGATCCGGCGGTTGGGCCTCGGGCGATCATTGTTTGACTTAGGTAATCCCGCTATCATTAGTTAACCAAGACCTGTCTACTTTTGTCCTTTGTTCTCTGACCTCCTTGATAAAGATGTGACTTCCCACAGGACAATAAGGCACCCCAGAGGCGCTCTCTTGAAGAACATAGACCCCTCCAATATCAAGATTATCAGACAAATTACGTGCTCTGATTCGTCCGCAATATTCGAGGTAGATCTGGATGGACAAAAGTATACATTGAAGCTTTTCCACGACAACGGCGACCATGGATATACCGAAAAAGGTCGTGATTTGAACAGATTTCGCTGCGAGTTAAATGCTTACAAGAAGCTCCTCACTTCTGGTGTCTGTGCACGCGGTTTCGTGCCAAACTTTTACGGCTACATCGATCGACTGGATCCCGCAGTATTCCATCCTGCTTTACAATCTTTCGCCCAAGATAAGCTAAGGCCGAGAGCAATATTGCTAGAATATTTCCCAAATGCAGAGAGTTTAAACTGCGTGAATTACTCGGACGCGCTCTATCCCCAGGCAGTTGAGGGCATGCATGAGATACACAGGGCGGGTGTTCACCATCGAGACATCTACCCCAAAAATCTTCTTCTTGTCCGTGGAAATCCCGATAAGCTGGTCTGGATTGACTTTGATGTTGCAACGACCTTCACCGACTTTGGACCTGAACAGCTGGCCCGCTGTGACCACGAAATTGCGCTTGTGAAGGGATTTGCGGAAGCTCTAGTATGGGTTCTGTTGCTGTCTATATTGGGATTATTTAGCGTGCTAACGAATACAGAGAGATGACCAGGCTGAGGGACTCCCACCGAATACAAAATTCTACTAAGGGTTCCATAGAATCTACATCTGGAAGAGCCGCTCTCAAAGCCAATTGGATCCTGCCTTAGCTACATCGTTTGCGCTGCAATCCTCGTCTAAATTGATCTTTCGCCAAAATGCCGGGTATATCTCCGAAGCAGGTAGATTTACCACAAGAAAAACCGGTATATAGTAATACATAAGGGTAAACGGTATTGCCAATATCATTCCAAGGGAAACATGATGATTTCTCTCGTACGCTCGTGACCATAGAGGCAGTGAAGGCGGTTGTTGAATTGCAGCATGGCGATTGCGGGGCTTCGTGTACGCCAAGACTAGGATATTGATTCTGAGGGCTGAGATACTTATCTATTTTCAGGAGCCAATTGAGGTTTGTATGAAAAACATGAGAGGAGTGTTCAGGAATGGTCAATAAAGAGTCGGCAGCTGATCATTACCAGAACAGTTCTGCCGAAACGGGTGAGCAACTTTCGGACTTATGGCAAGAGTGTGGAGGTATATATGATTTCGAATACTACTGTAATCATTTGAGACACTTCTCGAATAATCATTTCAGTTTTTCCTGTATTCTCCTTTTTAGATTCCTTCGGCAATTTGGAATCGTATAACAAAAAGAGAGAAAGAAATCGAAACATGGAGATCTACAGGTTTATAAATATTTAAAAGATTTAGCAAATCCGAAATAGATATTCAAATAAAGTTAAACCCAAAGGCCAGTTTCAGTACTCAGATGATCATCTAAGATCATATCATATTCTAATAATGAATAATTGTGCCTTATCTGAGTAGTTTATCTGTAGCCTATAATTCTCTAGTGTATAACCAAGCCTTGTGATTCTTTAGAGGTTAGTTATCGATTATTATCTAAGAAGCTAATACACAACTAACCAATCTACAAGGCCAGCAAGCTAGCGGTTACAAGCAGAGTTTACCACTCGAATTAATCAAAGATTCGCCCTCCTACTTGCCACCTCCCGGTTTTCCTCCCATTTCTTCCTGATATGAGTGGATTCCTCCGCACGTCTTACCAACGCCGCATGTAAATCAGCATAGACTCCCCCCTCTCGCGGCAAATTAACCTTCTTCCCGGTCCGGTGGTTGAAGAATACCGTCCACCCCTCTGACTCAGCCACAGCGACTCTCTGCTTCGTTGACCAAACAGAGAAACGCCAGTGGAATCGATCAGGACGGACCTCTAAGATGCGAGCTCCAGTGATAAGCTAACGATCAAGTCAGAACGTCATATACCCTTGGTTATCTGTTCTGCAACCAACTTACTAAATCCGGATACTTGACAACCCTCCTCACAGTTATCGTGATCCTCCGACTCATGGCACTGATCCCCTTGGCGGTCATGAATTCCGGAAACTTGTCTCCAAGATGCTCCTGGAAGGATTCGATGACACGATTGCCGCACTGAGCGGAGATATGACCATAGGTTTGGAACATGACATGGCCGAAGGGGTCTTGGTCTTCGGCCCAGGCAACGCTATGTTGAGTGAGAGTGGAGTACTCGTTTCCCTGCTCGAGCATGTTTTGAGTTATCTCTTGGACTTGTCGGCGCGAAGCGTCGTCTTTATTGGGATGAAAGTATGAGGATGCCTCTAGGGCACTATTGGGTTGAGGCATGGTAAGCCGATTTCTTTTAACGAACAGAACAAAACCAAACGATACGCAATCCAAATGACTTAGCGGGCTCGGGGCAGGTATGAGAAATAAGAACTCTCTGGGTTAAATGGTGAATCTCCGCGTTGACTCTACAGGCTACGTTACCAGATATTTATACCCATGAATGGAACCTAAAACGCAACAAGGGCGCGACATTAGCGGTCCGATTGAGGTACCAATTGCACTCTGATGTCACAAATGTCTGCCATTTGTTAGTACTTCGCGAACTTCAAGTGGCTGTCCTCAGCTATCGCCTGATGCAAGCTTCCTCCAACGGTTCGAGGACGGGATTCGACAAGGTTTCAATGACAAATGCCGACCTTGTCTCCTTGCTTCACGGATCACCAGTCATATTCATGCAAGTATGCGAAGAACATGAATTGAGAACCACGATACTTGATTTTCTCCGTCAAGTGGGTCAAGGCCAGCATTCTTTGTGGCTGAACAGTCGATATTATGACACAAGAGGATGGCATGCTACGCACGTCCCTGTGAAAGGCTATACATGCCATCATCTCTGGAAGCTAGATTGAACCTTCCATTGGCTGGGATATATATCCACGAGACGACGCGCTTATGACTTGAGCGGTAAGATATGGAGAATTAGTGTGGAGTGGATAGACTGGATTGCATCTCTCCGTTCTCGCCATACACTACTCCTCCATGTTTAACCTGTCAAAGAAATGGAATGGTTTCCGCTCTGCTAGAGATTCTAGGGACCTTACGATATTGGTCTGAAGTATAGTTACAGTCTACAGCATCACCATGCGGTGATACAATCGACTCCAACTCTCCGCTCCGATCATCGGCGCCGGACGCAAAGCCCCTCATTCCGCAAATCACGCAAGAACTGCCAATGCAGAGAAATCTCTTGGACGGTCAGACATAAAGGTTCGCAAAGAGACCTCTACAATCATTTCCATATAGATCGAAACAAAATCAATATAAATCCCGACAGGATCCTCTCATCCTGAGACCTAGCGCCGCCCAACTACTGTAGAGAACACGCAGTGCGCACGCAATCCCGCGATCAGCGCCCCGCTCTGTGACAGGACCGCCACGTACCTTCTTCATCCTTTCTTTTCCTCCCTTCTTCTTTTCTTATTTCTTCTACACTTCTGTCAATTCTCTTCCAGTTCAATTATTTTTCTATATACTAGAGTCCTCATGATGGCCACGTACGTTCTATTTAATTTCCTATTTGCTCTTCAATGTTGCTTCCCTGAAAATTCCACCTATCCATTACCCCTCCATGCCCATGCCCACCATCCCACCATCCCAATAACCCAAACTAACCCAACCCAGAAACATCACCTTCCACGCCAGCGCCCTCACGCGCGCCGAGCGCAGCAACCTCCGCAACCAACGCGGCCTCACAATCTGGCTAACCGGGCTCTCCGCCTCCGGCAAATCCACCCTCGCCGTGGAACTCGAGCACCAGCTGCTCCAAGACCGCGGCGTGCACGCCTACCGGCTGGACGGCGACAACGTGCGCTTCGGCCTGAACAAAGACCTCGGCTTCAGCGAGAAGGACCGCAACGAGAACATCCGCCGGATCGCCGAGGTCGCGAAGCTGTTCGCCGACAGCGCCTCCATCGCCATCACCTCGTTCATCTCGCCGTACCGGGCGGATCGCGACACGGCGCGCGCGCTGCACGAGGTGCCGACCCCCGGCGAGGACACGGGGTTGCCCTTCGTGGAGGTGTATGTGGATGTCCCCGTGGAGGTGGCCGAGCAGAGGGATCCGAAGGGGTTGTATAAGAAGGCGAGGGAGGGGGTGATTAAGGATTTCACGGGCGTGAGTGCGCCGTATGAGGAGCCGTTGAAGCCGGAGGTGCATATTAAGAATGTCGATTTGCCGGTCAAGGATGCTGTGGCGCAGATTATCAAGTACCTGGATGAGCAGGGGTATTTGCCTGCTAAGAAGGAGTAAATTTTGTCTGAGTTGTGTTTGATGTTGCTTGCGGGTTGCGAAAGGGTATAGATAGATTTGACTGTTATGATTGATTCCTGTTGTTGATATCCTTGTGTTCCTTCTTGTACGTGTACATAGATGGACGGTGGTTTTTGTTGCTTGATCGGTTGATTGATTCAATCATCATTAGAACTCTGGGAGATTCGTTGCAAATGACTCTGTCTATATGTAGAGGTGATGGCCTACGATTCTGTTCGGTCAGAGTATGTAACTTCATGGTATGATAGATCAAACTGCATAACAAATGTATGTACGGTACGCTACCAAAAAGCAAGGTATCAAGTATACCAGCCAAATTGCAGAACGAAAATATGTCACAGAGATAATCTCCCCTCGGCTTAGTTGAATTCAAAATCATAGTACACATATGCCGTGTACTCGCCACCTCCCTCGCCGTGCATCTCGCCCGGGTCGTCTCGCTTGACCCGGCCCTTCTTGTCGCGGCCGAAGGCGTTGCCGGCCAGATACGAGTATTTCTCGTCCAGGTTATACTTGGCCTTGTCGGCCTGTTTCGAACTGGGAGTCTAACGTACTCGTTAGTCTAGCTCTTCTTGAGTTGCGAAGGATTAAGCATACCCGGATAATGGTGCAGACAAAGTCAAGAGGCAGACCGTATCGCAGGACGGTCTCGACGAACACCCGCAGGACCAACACATGCATCCAGACCATGACGGCCTCGCTCCACGCCGTGCGGCCCAGTCGCAGCGTCTCACCCCAGAGCTTGCGCTCGTCGCCGCCCACGCGCTCGAACTCCTTGCGCTCCTCCTCCTTGCCGCCTTCGACGTACTTGAAGTCGCGGGGAATCCACTTGTTTTCACGGGCCTTGTGCACAAACTCGACGCTGTGTTTCCGGAACGTGGTGACGGCGTACAACGTGAACTCGTCGTCCGACGCGACTAGCGTCGCCGACCGCGGAACTACCATCGGCGACACAGTCTCGTACGTCTTCAGGAACTCCTTGATCTGCTGGGATGGCACGGCGACGAGATGAGTCTCGATGTATTCGGAATCTTGAACGATGGCGCGAGGATCGACGACGGAGGCGAGCGACTTGGTCGATAGGTTGCCTCTGTATACGTGTTAGAATCGAAATCTGAATGTAGAAACCCGCGGGATTGTCCAGATAACGCACGTCTGCTTCCGCTGAAGAGTCGCCAGGTTACCCTTCACCTGGTTGTATTGGGAGTATTTCGTCCGGATGTCGTTATCAATGCTAGCGGCCTCCTATGCGCGAGTTAACCCAACCCCAGTAGCCTAGACCTGGCTCACGAGCCCATGCCGAAACATACCTTCTGAAGAAGGTCGATCAATTCACCCAGCGACTTATCCGCCCGATACTTGACCTTGTTCCACGAGAACGTCCGCAGATACTGGTCCACCGGCTCTACATCACGTTAACCGACCGTCGCTCACGGACCACGAGTCATCTGGAAACCAGACAGACAGGTAGGCAACATACTGTCATTCACGGTCTTCATCTTCTCGATCTGCGCTTCGTCGCCGTCCAGGATGTTCTTCAACGCATCTCCGACCTTCACCACCACGGCCTGACAGGCGGACTCGAGCTTGGCCAGCTCGTCGGCCTGCTGCACGAGGGCGTCTAACGTGCCGATCTTGAACTCCGGGATGGAGAAGGGGGCGACCGATCCGTTTTCCGGGGCGACGGTGGCGGAGACGGCGTCGAGGGCATCGTCGCGATGGTGGGAGGGAGTGATGGAGGTGGGGAGGGAGACGAGGAGGTACTTGGCTGTCTTGGACATGATGGGAAGGGGGTTGGGTAGAAGTTTGGGGAGAAATGGACTGAGTAACTAGTAGAGAGGAAAGTCCGTTGCCGCGCTCGAGGAAGCGGGCATGGAGGTAAGACGCAGAAGTTGGAGGGAAAGTCGGGGATCGAGGGAGGTGGAAGCAGGTGAGTCCGTCATGCTGGGAATCTCGCCGGAGCTGCAGCTGGCCGGAGGCGGTCAATCCGATTATCTCCCGCGGGAGAGAGGCTACGTAAGAGATAACCCGCCTGTCCATCAATCAAGTCTGTCTATTAAGGATACTCTTACACATTCTAGTTAAAGACGGACAATGTGCCTCGTCCGAGAGAAGAGAATAATATATACAGTAATAAATACAAGCCCATCTATACGCCGGCCCTACCCGAACCCTGGATATAGACACCCCCCAGATAGCCCATAGCCCCCATTTAGTCTAATTTCTAGTTGGTGACTTTGTAGAGACTCGACATAGCCTGTGGACAATGTTGTCAGCATACTTTCTCATTTAGTCTCAATCCAGTCAGTGAACCTACCGCAGCCTGCTTGGGCTCGACAAACAGCGCCTTCGCTTCCACCAGGACAACCGGCTCCTTGCCCTCCTCAGGCAGAGTCTCGATGCGTCCCTCCACCCACGCCTTCCGACCATCGACCTTCACGGTCTCGGCCCGCAGCACGACGTAGGCCTCGGCCATGGCGGGCCGACGATAGTCGATGCTCAGGTTGGCCGTCACACCCACCCCGTTCGGCAGAGCAGGGAAGCAGCACCGTCCCATGGCTTCGTCCAGCAGAGTAGCCAACAGACCACCGTGCACAATGCCCGGGTGACCGCAGATATTCGAGCCCAGGTAGAACAGGGAGATCAGGCTCTTGCCACCCTCCTCGCAGAAGATATACGGAGGGACCACAATCTTTTCAGGACCCGCGAGCGTACCGGCCGTCAGATTGCGGGTGCGCATTTGCTCCGGGATCTTCAGGTGAGGGCGCGATTCGGTGAACGCCGGGTTCTCCCGCAGCGACACGGCGAGCGGATGGTCGCGGATGAAGTCTTCCACTTCCTGGGAAATCGCATCGGGAGGGATGAACGAAGTGAGGGTTTCCTCGTCGGTGGGCATTGTAAGCGTCATCATGCGCGACACAGTTTTCTGAGTCTGGTAGGCTAACCCGGCGGAGAATGCAAGGACTGCGATGGAAGTGAATCCCACGAAGCGACGAAAGCGGGACCGAGGCTTAGGGAGCTCCGGTGAAACGGGAGAGGAGGCAGCTTCTGCAGTGGGGGATTCAGGGGATCAGTAAGTCTTCGGACGGCCGGGGGCACGGAGGATCAATCAGGGAAATAGACGGCAGCCTACCAGCAGAGTACAATCGAAGACGATTCTGACGGGTCAGACGCACGAACCACGAGGCATTATTTGTAGGATTCAAGCTGAGACCGAGCCTGGTCGTAGTGGGGACCGCCCGAAAGAATCTCGACACTGGGACTCGCGGCATGACGAAGAGTCTGGACTTGGCGGAGGAATGGATCCCAGAGGCAGGCTTCCGAGGCTCTTTTGCTTTCTAGTGTCTGGAGGAAACGCGATGCGACTGAAAAATGGGGAATCCGGTCAGCGTAAGTGACTGGTGAGCCTCCGGAAGTTCATCGCCAACGGTCTTTCATGCAGCCCCGAAGATCATCAGGGCACCAGTCTCCTCTGATTGGTCAAGGGCGAGGCGGACAAAGACCGAAAGAACCTCGGCTGTTGCGAGGATGAGTAATCCCCGACATGGAGAAGAGAATAGAATGAAGAGAAGAAGAAAGACATCGTCACGGATGATGCCGGAATTCCAGCCAAATCCTCGAGTGATGCCTCTTGGACAAGTCGTGGTTTGCCCTGTTTGTTGTCTTTGCGCGGTATGGCTGCCCCTGGCACGTGACAGTCGCCCTCTCCGTCGGCCAAGTGGATCTTCTTCTTCCTTTTTCCTTCTTCATCCTCCATCAACGGTCCGGGATCCACCTTCAACGGCCGGCGGAGAACTTTCGAAATGATGTCGTCTCATCGTGATCCAGCCTTTAATGGTAAAGAACAGACGGTCTTGATCGAACTATGGGACCCAGCGATCTTATAAGTTCTCTCCGGGTGGAATGATGTCCGGCCGCATCATCGTCCGGACTGCATGTCGGCCCGAGTCCCAAAAAGGGAAGGAAAACATTCGAGTCCGTCGACTTTCTCCGTCTTCCGTCGTGTTCGGCGGTCTTTCTATGAAGTCTGTACAACATGGACGGGTTGATTCCGTAGCTCCATCCTACTTCTATGGGCTAATTGGCACCATCCCTGTCAGGGCATCGCGCTGAATCCTCCGGACTTGATCGATCCTCCGCATTTCTGGACCCTAGCGTGAACTACTCATTTCCCATAGCCCTATTCGATAATCATTCTCCTACTGTTGGCGAGACATGCGTCGATCTTCAGGGGCACGTTGCATTTTTACCTGCAGCATGCCTGCAGTTATATTAGCTTTAGCTATCGAAGACTCCCAATGTCCATGAATGGCCCATTCCCAGAGTCCGGCGCCCCTTGCTGGGTTGCATTGCCCGACAGCATGCCGGGAAGGAACCCTCTGGCCAGCGTAAAGCAATTCTTGTCACCGACTCGCCATTCTTAGATACTCCTGTCACTCTTTTATCTACCAACTGTAATTATCTTCAGTGATCATGGCCCTTTATCGCGCTTTCGCGCTTCTGGCCGCAACTCCATTCGTTCTGGGCTCGTCCGACGACCCCCTTCCTCCGGTGCCTGACAACCACGATGTCCTACAATACGTCGATCCACTCATTGGAAGTGCAAATGGAGGTATCTGCTGCTCTGCGAATTGCCTCGGTGCTTAGCCTTGCTCTTCCAATGCTAACGAGGATGATTGTTCGCGTCCAGGAAATGTCTTCGCGGGCGCCTCCTTGCCTTACGGCATGGCCAAAGCCGTGGCCGATACCGACTCCCAGAGCAACCAGGGAGGTTTCGCGTACGACGGCAGCCGCATCACCGGATTCTCCAGTCTGCATGATTCGGGAACCGGTGGTCAACCCTCTCTCGGAAACTATCCTCTGTTCCCCTACGTAAAATGTCGCGACGACGATGTCAATGGCTGCGTGTACCCCAAGAAACAGCGAAAGACGACTTACGCTTCCGATTCGGTCAAAGCAAGCCCGGGTTACTTCGGACTTACGATGGAGTCGGGTATCCATGTAGACATGACGGTGGCTCACCACACGTCCCTCGTTCGGTTCCAGTTCCCTACGGATGATAAATCGAGTCCATTGATCCTTCTGGACCTCACCGATCTATCAGACACACGTCAGGACAATGGGACTGTCTCCGTCGACCCCATGACAGGGCGCATGACTGGACATGCTCGCTTTCAACCGAGCTTTGGTAGCGGCACATACGTTCCCTATTTTTGCGTCGACTTTGACAGTGCGGCGAAGGTGCGCGACCACGGTATTTTCATCAATTCGCGGGCAAGCACCGATGTGAATCACCTCGACATCTCGCGAAGCATTAACGGGTACCCACTTCCGGTTCGTGTCACTCCATGTTTCCCATGCTTGGAGCTGACATTTATAGGGCGGTGCATTTGTTCGTTTTGAATCAGCCCCGAACATCACGGTGCAGGCGCGAACCGGTCTCAGTTTCATCAGCAGCGATCAGGCATGTCGAAGCGCCGAAGCCGAAATCCCCAACTTTGACTTTGAGGCTACTCATTCTGCGGCAGTCGAGCTGTGGACGGAGAAGATGGCCCCAATCCGCGTGTCAAAAGAGGGCGTTAACTCGTCGGTCTTGACCAATTTCTACAGTGGTATTTATCGTACTATGATCAATCCGCAGGATTATACCGGGGAAAACCCTCTGTGGAAGAGCACGGAGCCGTACTTTGATTCATTCTACTGGTATGCATGCCTATCCTTTGTAGATCCTCTTTCTGATAGCCAACCAGCCTCTGGGATTCTTTCCGGTCCCAATTGCCTTTTTTGACTATCTTTGATCCGGCGTCTTTGGCCCGAATGATCCGCTCGTTGATCGATACTCAACAGAACTTGGGATGGCTTCCTGATTGCCGCATGTCTCTCTGCAAGGGTTTGTGTCCAATCCAACTTCGGTATGGCAGTGACTAACCCAAGTTAGGGTACACCCAAGGCGGCTCCAACGCGGATGTCATTCTTGCGGACGCATACCTTAAGGGCATTACGGAAGACATTGATTGGCAGGCAGGATATGCAGCGGTGAAAAAGGATGCCGAAGAAGAGCCCTATGACTGGGCCAATGAGGGTCGAGGGGGGCTAGTCAGCTGGAAATCGCTGAATTACATCCCGGTTGAGGATTTCGACTATCTCGGGTTTGGACCCATGACGCGAAGTATCTCTCGTACGCTGGAATACTGCTACGACGATTTCACTATTGCGCAGATGGCACGCGGCCTGGGAAAGACTGGTGATGTAGAGAAATTCGAAACGAGCTCTCGCTACTGGGAGAATCTGTTTCGAGAGGATCAAACCTCGTTCCTCAATGGGACGGATACGGGATTTAGAGGCTTCTTCCAGCCGAAGTATCTGAACGGGACGTGGGGATACCAGGTATGCTCTCTCGTGCTTTAGCATGATAGCACTAACCACTGACGACTCCAGGATCCCATCACCTGCTCCAACATCGACACAAGCGGACGAGCATGCTCGCTGCAGAACAACGCTGCAGAAACCTTCGAATCCAGCATCTGGGAATACCAATTGTACATTTCATCCTACTCCCCACCTCTACACAGCTACTAACATACAATTCCAGCTTCGTCCCCCACGACATGGCCTCCCTGATCACTCACCTCGGCGGCCCTTCCCAATTTGTCCGCCGCCTCGACTACCTCCACGACAGCGGCATCACCTACATCGGCAACGAGCCCTCCTTCCTCACCGTCTTCCAATACCACTACGCCGCTCGCCCCGCCAAATCCACCGCCCGCGCCCACTTCTACATCCCCAAATACTTCAACCCGGCCCCCGCCGGCCTCCCAGGCAACGACGACTCCGGCGCCATGGGCTCCTTCGTCGCCATGACCATGATGGGCCTCTTCCCCAACCCCGGCCAGAACGTCTACCTCATCACGACCCCATTCTTCGAGTCCGTGTCCATCACCTCCCCGCTTACCGGGAACGTGGCCACCCTGCGCACCGTCAACTTCGACCCCAGCTACCAGAACGTGTATATTCAGTCTGCGACGCTGGATGGGAAGCCGTATACGAAGAGCTGGGTTGGTCATGATTTCTTCACGGAGGGGAGGGAGCTGGTGTTGGTTCTGGGTCGGAATGAGAGTTCCTGGGGTACGGGGGAGGATGATTTGCCGCCTTCATTGTCAACTTCGTTTTCTTCCTTGGGATAGAGGAAGTAGAGTAGGTGAGGTATGTTTGCTTGACTACTTACTATTAATTCTTAGGCGGTAGTGTTAGCAGTATCAAGACCACGTGGAGTTAAATATCTTATGTGCCTGTGTAGTGAAGGACTGTAACGATTTAAAACACTGATAGCTAAGGTACCACCTAGATACATTTATACCATCTTTCAAGTCGTGATGACCCATCCATCTATGCTGAAACCGTATATTGCAACCGCTCCACTACTTCTCAACTAATACTACCCAAACTAGCTGCTTAGCCATCCTGGTTGGAAGCTTGAAGGGGAAGTGGCGGGGGGAGGGAGATGTTGAAACATGTAGGTAAGATGTCCATCCATAACACACAGACATGACGGGCGTTTGAATAGGGGGATGAAACTGTAGTGAGCATGAGAGAGAAAAAGTCGGAATTGGAACGAAACGAAACAATGAGATAAAGGCAGAAAAAAAAAAAAAAGGAAGCGAGAGAAACAGGGAAATAAGGATATCGTAATATCTATGTACATATTTGAAAGCGCTCGTCATTGTCGAAATCATACACCTTGGCGTCGAGTTGAGCAACGCCGTTTCCCCCAGGTCTACTACCTCTCATCATCAGTCCCATTTCTAGGTCAGGGTTGACGAACTCAGGGAGCAGTAAAAGAGAAGAGAACCTAAGTCAGGGCAAGCAAGACAGGCTGGGTAGGGTTTGATTCATAATGTTATTTATACTTATTTTTTTTTTCTTTTCTTTTTCTCTTTTCTAACCGCGGTAGAACTTGCTCTCAACCCAAGGCATACCGACAACGCTCGCCTTGCGAAGTCGACTCCGCACGAGAATACCCACCTCGGTGCCCTTCTTATGCATACCCTGCTTGATATACCCCATAGCGATGTTCGTGCCGTCCAGCGACGGACTGGGCAGACCGGACGTGACGACTCCAATCTGGGTACGGGATTCATCGTTCAGATCGACGATGACGGCGCCCTCGCGGGCAGGCGAGCCCTTCTCGACGGTGAACCCGACGCGGCGCTGCGAGAGGGTCTTGGCCGGGGAGGCGATCTGGGGGAGGATGGCGGAGGAGCCGTTGAAGTTGGACAAGGGGGAGGTAGAGTCGCGACGGTCCTTGCCGACGACCCAGCCGAGGGAGGCCGCGGGGGGTGTCTGTGCCGTGGAGATGTCGTTGCCGTATAGGCACATGCCGGCCTCGAGGCGGAGGGAGTCTCGCGCGGCGAGACCCGCGAGACGGACTTGGTCGGGGTTGGAGAGGAGGAGCTCGGTCACTTGCGTGGGGAGCTCTGGGTGGCCGGCGGAGGGGATGGAGATCTCGAAGCCGTCTTCGCCGGTGTAGCCAGTGCGGGAGATCAGGAGGGGGTGGGCGGTCGGGGAGCCGTTGGGGAGGGTGAGGTGGAGAGAGCGGCAGTTGCCGAAGTAGAGGGTGCTGAGATCGGTTTCGGGGCCGGAGCCGTGGATGTGCGATTGCAGGACCTGCGCGGCGAGAGGGCCCTGGAGAGCCACGAGGGCGCGGTCGCTGAGGATCTCCCACTTCAGGCTGTCGGCGCCGTGGGTGTTCTTGTAGCTGTCGATCTCGGCTTCGAGGAATGCCAGGTCCTCGTCGCGGCGGCCGGCGTTGGTGACGAAGTAGAAGGTGTCTGCGGACCGGCGGGTGATGACGGTGTCGTCGATGATACCGCCGGTGGCTTCTTCTAGCAGACAGGAGAGCGTGGACTGGTTGTCCTTGAGCTTGTCCAGGGAGGACGGGGTGACCTTCATCAGGAGCTCCTGGGCACCGGGGCCGCTAAGCTGGTGTTGCACCCTGGAGGGATTGTGTTAGAATCGCTGAATTCAGACCAACAGTTGCCATTGGGGAAGCTGGATACGCACATGTGGCTCACATCGAACAAGCTTGCCTTCTCCCGGGTCCATTTGTGGCTCTCCACATGGCTCAGATCGGAGTATTGTAGGGGCATGGAGTACCCCGCAAAGGGCACCATCTTCGCACCGCGGGCGACATGGAGGTCGTAGAGCTGTGTCTGCTTGACGGGGCCCGAGGAGCTGGACGAGGCATAACGAGCACCGCCGTTGGCAGCTAGAGAGGCTGTACGGGGAGAAGGGCGGGCAGCAGCAGCGAGCGGGGAGCGGAGACCGCGCGGAGAAGCGAACTGCCGCGGGACGAGAGAAGAGCCATTGGCAACGGCAGGGGCGGTTTGGGCGAGCGATCTCGATCCCAGGAGGTGAAGGCCTCTTCGCAAGGGCCGTACGGCAGACATGATGCAGTTCTGAAGAGTGTAGAGGATGATTTACAGAAACAAAACCGGAGGAGCAACGCGAGGGTTGAAGAGCGGACGGTCATGCGGAGATAGCGGGAAAGTCACATGGCGATAGGGCAGTCTTCCCGCGGACAACGTCGGGCAACTCCATCTACGATAGACTGTGGACTGTGGACACGATGATATCACGGATTCTCAGTTGATGCCAATTTGTCTGAGTATCTGAATCATCTCTAAGAATCGAATAACAGGGACATCGTTTGATTTAGCTTCAAGCATCCGCTCCGACTATAATCCAATTCTTCAGAGTTGAACTCCAGGATCTTCTATATACACAAGTGGTTTTATCAGCTAGTCTAATCATATCAATGCAGAATCCTATCTAATTTTCGCGCCTGGTCCTCCAGTTCTATTCTATCATCATGCTACCCCAGACGTGGCGGTGCCCGCACCAGGCGGTGATCCGGCCCATACATTACCACAGCGTGAGTAGAGCGAGTGATCTACGACGACATATATATAAATGCCCCAGGATCTGCTGCGAGCAAGGGACAGAAGCAGCACTGCATCATCCATAATCCCACCCTGGGTCTGGGGTGGTCTCCAAGCCCTTTTTCTTTCAGCAGACCAGCTTCCGGCTGATCTACAGGGCTTTCTTGCTCGCGAGCAGTAGGTTATTTTGTATTGACCCATGACAATAAAGGTTGGGCAGTTGAAAAACGACAAGATCCCTGCGTAGAAACGGAAGATCTGCCCGCATCAAATGAATCCGGCCTTCCAGGTCCTTCGACATTAGCACCGCCCTTCTCTCGAGGTGTATTCGACATCACAACACAAATCCCAGCTATTTTCTGGAAACAGTACAGCAAACAAAACCAAACATGTCATGGAAACTATCATTAGAGTCCGTTATTGGCGCAGGAAAAGGGGCTTCCGACGGTTCCAGCCCGATAGTTTAAGATTACACTCTCGATAGAAGCCTGGTATCTCGTTAGTAAGCCTGCGCTCTGACAGATAACAGGATGAGAAAAACTTACGTAGGTACCTGGTCCCAGGAAAAAGAGCCCCACGCCAATCAGGCCGACGTTCAGTATGGCTCCGGCCCAGCCTCGAATGCCTCGGTTCTTATAGAACCCCGGCCCGTAGTCCTCCCGCCTCATCCGGAGGTACGCGACGCCCCAGAAAATGAAGCCGAAGAAGGAGTCGAAGAGCGAACTCATGATGGAGAGCAAGTCGGAAAAGAATGGAATGACCTGGGAGATGATAAAGGCCAAGACCCACAGGACAACCAGAATACCGGTCCATGCGGCCCAGCCGACCACAGTATGATTGCCCTTGTGACGAGTTCCGTCGAACAGGCGGAAGAAGACGAAGCGCGCAGACACCGAGGCATACAGCACTCCGAGGAAGATCAAGGTCGGGACCATGAAGGAGAAAGACACCTTCTTGTAGACCTCATTTCCCAGCGAACCAAATGCCGGCGCAGTCATGTACTGATTACCGGTGTAGACATACACAATAGATCCCGCCAAGCTGAATACGATGATTTCTGCGATCGTGACCGCAGTTACCGACTTCCAGAAATCCCTGGGTTCCTTCATTTCGGCGATGAAACTTGGCAGGGTGATCTGACCAATGAAGGTATAGCTGATGTTCAAGAAAGCGCTGACGCCGGAGACGAAGGTTGTCCCCTTCACAGGGATGGCCGTTATAATGGGCTCGCCCAATTTAGCGCTGTAGCCCGCGGGATGATCCTCAATTCCGGCAAAGATCATGGCCAGCAGAACCGAGATGAAGGTAGTCAGAGCCGAGAAGGTTGCCACTTTCGACAGCGTGCTAAATGTGCGCGGGAGCGAGAAGATAAGGGACACAATAGCCGTCACCAGGGCAAACACGATTGAGCAGGTGGGATGGCCGGTGACCGTGTTTAAGTACTCGGCGCCGACCAGACAGTGCAAGCCCTAACTAGACATTAGATCTGTCCAATAACATAAACCCGGAAGAACCAACCTGAATGAAAGTGTTGTTCAGCAAGAACATTATGGCGGTCAGATACCAGACAATTTTCGAATCCCAGAAGAGGAGCTGCCCAATGTCACACACGTCGCGGACATTCGGATGACGCAAACAAAATCTCCTAGGCCACTCATCAGTATGCGCGCTCCCGAACCGACAGCCTGACACACGTACCAGATAATCAGCGATGTATAGAGTACAACCGCCGCGATAAATACGGTTAGGATCAACCCCGGAACGAGACCCAGGACGGAGTAGGACCAGGGAAACGACATGATCGCAAGACAGATATACTCGGAGAAAAGCAGCGCCGCGGTCTACAACAGAGTATCCGGGTTAGCTATGGTTCAATGAATGGGCTTTGAGATTGGGAGTTTGAATGCGCTTGCGACGTACCTTTTGCCAACTGCAAGTGCGATACTTGATCGAGTTCCCGGCCTCCAGTTCGATTTGTCTTCCGACATCGCCTCCCTCGGATCCAGAGTCCATTCCGATGGGCTGTTGAGTCTCGGGATCCAGTTTCACCTTGTCATTGGCCGGATCGAGCTGGTCGGAGGTGAAGGAGGGCCTACGGCCCGCGGCCTGGGTTGTGTTGTACTCCGCCATTTGATGGAGCGGACGAACCGCAGGTGGAAGGAGTCGATGGAATGGGAAAAGGAAATCACGTTCAGGAGTCGCAGATGCATGTACTGCTCCAGGAAGTACTAGGCGGGGATGAATCTAGAGGTATTGGGTTAATCACGGATCGGAAATGACAATGGGATTCCCCCGGCTGTGAATGACGAGCAATGGGTTGAGATGACTGGGCAGGCGAGGGCAGAGAGATTTATAAAATCGAGCCGAACGAGGCGAGTGAAGAAATAATCAAGCGAGTTGTTCGCTAGAGGGGTGGAAGTGGGAAGTGCAATGGACCTACCGGAAAGACGATGGGCGGCGTACCAAGAGTCCAAGACACCGGACGAGGGGCGAAAAGTCTTGGGAGGAAATCAAGAAAAGGCGAAGCAAAGCCAAGGGACGAAAGTAAAGGCTTAAGAGGAGGACTTGGATGGGAATCCTGGTCTTTTTTTTTTTTTTTCTTTTCTTTTCTCTACCTGCTTATCTGGTTGTCACGTTGGCTGAGATTAACTTTCTAGTAACGAGGATTTAAATTAATTCCGTCCATTCGGTGAAGATCGACCGATAAGAGCGGCAGGAAGTGAAATAGAAATAAAATTGAATATTCAATAATATGATAATAAAATAAAATAAATCTAAGCTCCGAGTCCCAACGCAATCAATGCGGCCATCCAGACCATGACGTGCTCGGCGTGGGGCGCTGGACGCTGACGGCTCTTAACTTTGAATCCCTGACCTTCCACGGACCTGGTTCTCCCCTGAACAAATGAGGAAATTCCCACAGCCATGTCTGTCCTACACCGAGCGATTGGAATTGAAATTTTCTCACCTCTTTTTTTTGTTTCTTTTTTCTTTTTTCTTTTCTCAATTCTCTTCTTGCTCGCAGGCTTACCCGAAGCGAACTAGTCCGAGAGCATTCCACGATATACAGCGGGTCTGGGGACAGTCTCCACCTCCATATCGGCTTCCCGCCAATCATGGCATCTCCGGAGCGGCCAGGCGGAGTCATCCGAGTTTTCTCAGGCCCCGCAAGCGTCTTTCTTTTCCGGTTAGAACTGACTTGCCTCTTTCGGGCTTTCTTGGGTGTCGGCTGCGTGCGACCTGCAAAGTCAAACATGGTCGATGAGTCATCCACTCAATTTTTTATAAGGGACAGTTGGATTCATAAGTTAGTTCATAATTAGGTAACCAGCCAAGTCTTTCTTGGCAGGACTGCAGGATGCACCGATAGTCTGACTGCCTGCAGGGATCGAAAGAAGACAAAGAAAAAGGAAAGAACTGCCTCTGGTTGGTTTTAACCTCGAGCACGCTATGCACTAGCTGATGGCGTGATCGTCGTTCCACGTGTGTCTACTCAGTACAGTCTAGGTGCTGTAGTCTGTATACTGTCAACTACGGCCATCTCCGTGCCCCCCGGTCGCCCAGTCGCCTTCGTTTGCCTCTCTGGGAGACTCTAGTCGCTAACCGGTGCCTGAATCCCTTGCGTCGTATGACGGGAATGCCTCGTTCTCATATGGTCTTTCATCTCCGATATAGCAAGGGATACACCCCACAAGTACACTTTACACTTTCTTTTGTTTGGCGAAATCACCCTTCCCCTCTCTACAACATGACTGACGCCACCTACCTCACCGGCGTCAGTCACGATCCCATCCATCTGCATCAAATTCCCGATGCAGAAGCCCTGAATCTCCTGTTCACACATATGCAGGGTCCAGGTAGATAGAGCACCCATTCTATACAACCACGTCTAGAACTCGAGGTTCCACGGCTCACTTTCCCCATCCGCGCCATTCCCATCTGCTCCGGGCCTTGTGCAGGCCGTTGCGGTCGGGGAGTTTCGAACCTAAGATGTGCCTGGTCGGGGGGACAGGCACGTTCACATGTTATCAACCGGGCTCTCCTTGTATGTTCTCGATCTTTGTACGGAGTACGGAGTACCTGTCCCACTCATCCATGCCATGCCACTGCATCCCCACTTCCCGATTCCGACTGTCGGATTTAGGGCTGGCCTAGCCTCGACCGTAGTCTGTACTCTGTACTCACTACTATGCAGTAGTAGGTAAACCACTCAGTAAGTACTAAGTATGCGTAGGGCAGCCATATGGAAAATGCATCGAGCACGCCATCGACATATTGGGGCGAAGCAGTAAGATGAGAGCATCTATCTCGCACTGACACCAACAAATTACTTCCAATATCCCTCGTATCCAACTCACTAGTAGTTGGTACCATGGCCTAAATCGAATGGTCCAGATCAGGAGTCGAGCGGATTCAATTTTATAGTTTCATTTAGCTACCTTAACTAGGGCTGGTCAGGAAGCTACTGTAGCCCCATCGGAGCTCAAGAATGCTTGTCATTCGGCCCCAGATTCTCGTCCAATCGTCGCCCCATCGCAACATGCAGGTGGTTCTACATCGATGGTATCAGATTAGCGGTGATTGCACCATCTCGGGTCGGCCCACATGGATGCACCTCAACATCCAACAATCTATGTCTGGCTAGTGGGAATATGGACGGAGTACGAGTATCCATTATTGCGAATTTTATATGAATTGAAGGAGGAAGGCGCTGTGAGCCTACGTACAGAGTTCAGTAAATGGAGCTTTTCTTTTTTTTTCTCCTACACGGTACACTTCGTACTGGGGTCACTATGGCACCCGCAAGATATGGTCAATGCTCACTATTCGGTGACCGTAAAGATCTCTCCTATTGATGCTTCATTTTCGTTCTCTTGTTCCTCGTGCTCGTGGCTGTAATCTTCTCGCGAGAAGACATGCGCCTGTATCTAGATGGTGATAAAGATGGCCGTGGTCAAGCAAGTCCGCAGCCCTATTTATTGCTATAGTTCGCATAAGATCACATTGCATCTTGCAAAATTGGAATAAACATCCTTTGAAATCTTTGGTTTCTAGTACAAGATCCCGACCGGGACAAGCCCCCGTCTGTTCAACTTTGCAAGCCGTCGATAATCATGTACAGCTGTTTATGGTTGGGAGATCAGCATTCTTTGGCCGCAACCCTCAAGAAAGAGAGAAGAACATGAGAATAGATATGAAAAAATGATAATGTGAGTCTCCAAGATACATTCTCATATTATATCTAATGCTTTATGAATTCACCCCCGGTTCGCTAAGCTGTTGACTAGATACTCCCAGCCATCGCGTCTCCATACCAGTCCAATGCTTCTCATCTTAATCCGGTTTTGTCCAATCGTATATTCCACGGAGGTCGTAGGTATTTCTGGGCTGATGGTAGCAAAGGCTATCAATAGACTGTTGTACCTCAACATCCATAATGCATGTAAGTAGTACGAGCTTCACGCTCCTCGTCGGGTCTCTAAACTTGTATGCCGCATTCTGCCAGACCTGGTTACATAGATCTCTAGTTTGAAATTTTGGGTAGTGAGATGACGATGGCCTTCGGCTATTTTTTTTCTTTTGTATCCTGAGGCTTTAACCCGATCGTGTAATCTGAGTTGCCCGGCCACTGTCGGCGCAACTTGCAGCTACACGTCTGTCGGGAAAGTAGCCAGCGGCTTTATCGAAGAGGCGTTTGGTAGCCTTGAAAGGATTGCCAACTATGTGACGACCTGATCGCAGTCGGAGGCTCTGCAGGGTTCTCGAGAGCTTCTATTGCCCTTGGTGTGACAGGATTAGGATCGGTGCGATTAAGAGGCTCTATAGCAATGGTATCGACACGATGGAGAGACTCTGTAACAATCGGCTCAGCGGGGAGCTCAAGAGATTCTTGCTCCGGTTAACGAGCTTGCCACCGAAGTCGAGCGGGATCGTAAAACGTCAAGAGATAACGGAGACTCGACACGATCGAGAGGGTGCAGACTAAACCAAGCAGCAAATTGCTCGTCACCGCTGTCCACGAGGTGTTTGCTGAGCTTGATGAACTCTTTCGCAGCACGACGGACGCTGGGCTTGTAGATCAACCAGTCGACCGGGAACAGACTGTCTCGCTTGACTGAAGGAGGTCTCGGAAGGGTGGCAGAGACAAATTGAGCTTTCAGTATGAGGTCGTTGCTGAAGTCCTGCGACCAAGGACACTCCAAGTGCTCGTAGAACCGGTGTAGTTGGTGACCAAGCTCTGCAAGACGGGAGGTCATGGAGAAGCTCTAGAGGTGTTCGAGAGGGTCAACGACCGGGCCCTTAGGCCAAGATGTATGGAACGACCAAGTCAAGTGACATGCTACCAATATGGAGCAGCCGTGTTGATGGAATCGATCGTATTCATGAAGGTAAGTGGTGTTGCAACTGCGGATCGAGACCATTCCACATGTAGTTGATCTGCTGGAATTCGTCCTCAACTCGTGCGTTGCGACAGAGGCGTATGACCTCCTCTGCATATACCTGAGGCGCATTTGCTATATGTGGTCATTCCATGCACAAATGTGTTTCGGAGAATAGGGTTGTTCTCTCCCGCATGGAGCTTTAGGACTGCATATAAATCTTTCCTTGTTGATGACAGGAGCGCAACTGTCTTGGAACACCAGACGGATCTTACCTAGGAGTATATTTCGCTGCGCTGCATCGTAGCGTATTTCTCTGTCGGCTTTTGTACATCATGGACCAGGTTTCCGATACCCAGTGACTGCAGTTGTCGGGTTCCTAGAGTCGGATATCGAGACTCCTAGTGTCATATAACTGAATGCTTGACGGCGGCCTTTGCTCAGCGAGTCAGCACTCCAAAAACATCCCTGGGCGTTCATAGATTGAATGTTATCCAGAAAATTTTTTCCGCTGTCGATGTTAACCGTCAAGATTTTGACGATCAAGAAGTACGATTCAAACTACCTGTGTGCGTCGACCGCACGCCTCCCCGTCGATTCGGAGAGTCCAATCTCGACAACCCATTCGGTAGCCTGGTGGTTATTAAGAAGACCCCAAGGAAGTCCGGTTCTTTTGAGTATGGCCTGAATGTTCATCACGCTGCACCCAGGGACACGATCGAGCGAACTTCTCGCAGCTGGGTACACAAGTGAATCCCCCTCGGTTGTACTCTATAACAACCGGGCGACCTTTTGCAACCCGAGTACTTCTCGGAACGGTATTCGCAGAGTTGGATTTGTAGTCTAACCTCAAGGGAGAGTCGATTATTCATCGAAGCCCTACACCGTTTCCCAAAAACGGCGGTTATCTGAAGATAAAAAGTTCGTTTTGTTGCTCCTTGCCAAATGCTGTTCAATTCGTCCTTTCGACTTGTTCCAGTTATGGAACTTCTCGGAGCATTATCGGAGTTTTGTATGATAATGACCCAGCTTCCCTCTGACCGAACCGCAAGGATACATACTTCCCTGATCCCCAGATTTCTGGGTCAGGAAGTCCTCGCGGCCGGCTGACGTAGTCGTCTTAAGTGTAAATGGAATCGGGATCCACAGTGCCCCGAAGGACTAGCTGTCATTCAACAGCTGCAATTAGTTGGACTCCATACGCTTTGGAGTTACTATGAGCAAAAGTGTATGATATTCACTGGCCGAGAGGGTCGTCGTTGTGTCGCTCCCACAACCAGGTCGTCGTACTTGTGCCCAAATTCATCAACGAAGGCCAGAAGCTTAACGTTGAGGATGTATGTGTATCTCCCCGGTGTGGCTCAGATAGGCTTTCCTAGCTCTTCTTGGAGAGTAAATGCGGCCACGCCCTGAAAATTATCGCCTGTATTTCTCGCAAGGTCAATTGTCCAAGTATCTGATGACAGTGGACAGTCCAGTATTTTCAAAGTGCGTTGTTCAAAATCCTTCAACGCAAATGAGAGACATGCGAAGCGGCCGAGCATTCTTCACAAGACCCCGAGTGACAGCTGCTATCGGTTCCTCAATCCTATCTGTTATAGTGTCAGGGGCCAGACCAGCTACGCGGTGCGTATTCTTTGACCATTCCTTGTAGGGTCCTGGTGATTCAGAGGCATCCTATCCTGCTCGTAATCCGGAGACACCGGAGACATGCTGTGGGCCCAAACATCACAGGACCTTGTCACAATCGAAAAGTGTGGACTAACAACAACACAGCCCATCGTGGTCTTGTAGAGGCCGATACGCGCCACATATTGTTTTGATAATGGCGGACATGCGGAGGATCTCGTCTTAGATCCCACTGTGGCTCCCAGGATTCGCAAGCCGCTGTAAACCGCTCTGTTTTGCAGGTTTGTAACCACCCTGCAGGACTTAAAGTCAACCCTAACTCTACAGGACGGTTTTCTATCGGTATCAATATCAGCCAGGTTCTTGCCAATAAGATGCGTTAAGGTTCAACTCACAGAGTAATTTCTGATCTTTCTGTAACAGCCAGAAACTTATGTGTTCTCTGATATGTCATGGCCGATTTCGCCAGGTCTCTCCCTAACTTGGTGCTGCCTGGCAAACTACATGCAGGCTTTCTTTGGCGAGTCAAGAATACTGTCCGTACGATATTAATGGAGAAAGTTGACTAGATTTACCCGGCACACTGGCAACGTACGCAACGGAAGCCGGCATGAGTAAACCACTGGACAGGCATTTTCACCCAGAAAGTCGAATTTCCCTTCGATGGGCCCGCCGGAATCGACCAGGGCACTTCTTCTAAAGCGTCGGTATTAAAAGGATTATGCTTTGGTCAGTCACTTGATTATGGGAAGACCGAGTTCTTGAACGAACTGTCGGCGTCTTTTTCCAGCGCAGTAGACACCACGTAGCGGGTTTCATAGCGAGAAGCAGCAGAAGCACGAATCTTGGCTTGAAGAAGAGGAGATTCTATTGAACAAGATATTGACGGTGGAGGAAGAAGAAGGGGAGGGAGAAACAACGACCTACGAAGTAGAGACGAAGAAAACTTTTTACAGTAGAAATATTCACATCGGATTACTATGCTATTCACCGAACTGATCGTCTCACATTCCCTCATCCTCATCAGCCAGCAGGGCCGCGTAGTCGTCTGCCGAAGCGAACGTCGGCAGGTGCTTGAGTTTGCGGCGTTTCTGCTTCTCGGCCTGCTTCTCGTCCTTGGGAAGCTCGTCGACGGTGCCAAGTTCCACTTCCTCGTCGCTGCCCACGAAGGCCTCGTCGTCCGAAACGTCCATGTCGAAGTCGTCGTCCTCGTCGAACTCCTCCTCGGCCTTCTTGGACTTGGGCTGGGCCTTGGGTTTGGCGGCGGCGGGCTCGTCCTCGTCCATATCCTCATCATCGGATTCGTCGTTGAAGATGACGCCTTCGTCGCCGCTGGCTTCCTCGTCATCGGATTTGTCATAGGCGGACTCGAGGTCATCCATGTCGAGGTCGTCGTCACTGTCGCCACCCTCAACCTCAGGTCTCGAATCCACGAGAGCCTTCCAGATCTCAGACTCGGCGTCACTGAGCTCGTCGTCGTCGTCTCCGGTTTTGCCGGAATCTTGGGCCTTCTTCTTGCGAGCCGCCTTCTCCTTGTCCTTTCCGAGACGGTTAAAGTACTCGTGGAAGAAGACATCCTCGGCGGCAATATCTTCGGATTTCTTCTGCCAGAAGGCCTCCGAGTTGAGGGGAAGGTGGTGGGCGTGCTTGCCGGAGCTGACCAGTCGGTCCTTCGCGTCGCTGCCGGCAAGGGGCTGCATGATGGACGAACCACGAACACCAGCCGAAGCCTTGGGGGTTCGGTAGACGAAACGGTCAAGGAAGTGAGTCAGCGTGTGGATGGTCATATCCGGCTTGCCACTCATCGGCTTGTGATCAAGTAGATGCTCGGCATTGACGGACACGGACGGATGGAAATGAGACAGATAGGGTAGCTGTAAAGTGTATCAGCATGCGCACATGCAACTTAATTAAGGGCGGAGAACTCACCAATTCCCAGAGACACGTGCGGTCGGCATTGCTGTGCTCGGGGTCTCGCTTGCGGGGGTCGTAGTTGTTGGAAGGCTTTTGTGGGGTGGCCTCAGCAACCACCGGCTCTTCCTGCTCGTCATCCTCATCGGGCACATCCCTGAACACCTCTTCGTCGTCGCTGTCGTTCTCCTCGGGCTGGTCGAACAAGGACTGGAGTCCAGGGAACGTCTTCTCCAACTCTCGGATCAAGTAGAATACACCGCAAATGAAGGCTGGCTGGTGCAGGCCGAGAACTTGGATGATGCGCTTGACGAAAGCCTTGACACGACGGGGGTTCACATCGTTCTTCAATGCCTTGAACAGCAGGTTAAGGTAGAGGGATTGTTTCGAAGACGTAGCCACCCGGGGATCGAGGAGCGACTCATACAGAGTACGGTAAAACCGGTCGGCGGCAACTTGGTGAGTGGATGTCAATTGCTGAATCAACATGAGGGCTTGGATGCTGGTGTTAAAGTTGGAAGAGTGGGTGATGCGGAACAGGGTGTCGATGTGCTTGGAAAGCCTACGAAAGTAATTAGTAACAGTCTCATGGTTGAGCAGGCAGGTTCAAAACATACCGCTCCGTGTCCGAGCTGGTGAAAGGATAGGCTCGGTTGACACCAGTCAAAACTCCCGAAATGAGTTTATCTCGCATTTCTTCAGTCTGAGCCTGGCCCTTTTCTGCATCTTCCTTTTCTTTACCACCCTTTTGACCGAACTTGCCATGTCTCTTCTTCTTGTCCTTTTGGGGCTTGAAAGATTTCAACAAAACAACGAAGAAAGTGAAGTAAATGTCAAGCAGCTTGATAGCGACCTGCTCCTCTTTCAGGCTCAGAACGGTCTGGTTGAGGGTGATCATGGCATAGTACTTGGCGTGCTGGCTCTGACCGGGACGGAAAAGGACTTCCTCAACAGAATTAATGATAGTCATTCTCATCAGTGGATGCGCTTGTTCGAGTTGAAGAAGAAGGTAGGAGGCTCGGGAAGCGATCTTCTTCGCTTTGTCACCCAGTTTGTTGACCAACAATCGCAGAAGGTTCGTTTCCTGTTCGGGCTTCTCCTTCAGAAGTTCGTAGACGTAGCTGACCGCGCGAGAGCGAGAAAATTCGATCTCATCATTGCACCACACCTCGAGAATCTTCAGCATCTCGAAATACTGGTCCTTAAGGAAGCTCTCAAAAGCCCAAACGATCAAGTGGCTTTCCTCGAGACCTCCCGGAAGAGCGTCGCCCTCCGACCATCTGCCTCCCGCGCCTTGGAAGGCCGTCAAAAGACCCGGCTGGTTTGCAAACGACCGGAGTCTACGATCACTAGGAAGCAAGGTACCCTGGGCGAACATATCTTTCAGGGACCGGAGGACTTCCACGGCCTGGGCACGACTGCGCTTTTTACCAAGGTTGATCAGACTCTCCAGCGACTTGCTGTTGTGCACGGGCGACTCTTGAACGGCAAGCGTCAAGGCTGAGATCTTATCGCTAAGGGTTCCGGATGACATGATTGTTGTGTAGAACTTGTGGGAGGACGACGCAGAAGCTTGCTGGGCCTCGGAGTACATCTTGCTCTCCTTCTCGAGCAGTGTAAGGGCATGTTGGTACACGCGGTCAATCAAGTGTCGGGGTAGTGCGTTGACTTGCTTCGCAGGGATCGGAGGAAGTTCGATGTTGTACCAATCAGATCGTGGGGAAACCGTCTGTGCCTCGCATTAGTATATAATAACCTGCAAGACTTTTGTGTAAACTCACAAGCTTGGAATATTCCTTGGGGAGGCTGTGAACCGGATCTTGATTGGCTTTCTGCTTCTTCGTCTCTTTCTTAGTCGGAGGCGGAGAAGCTTCCTCGTCTGACGATACATCGCCACCCGGGCCCTCGTTGAGGTCGCTCTGTTCCTCCTCGTCCACATCCATTTCGTTATCCTCCGCTTCGTCATCTTCCTCTTCCTCTTCGTCCTCATCTTCAGCTTCGGCTTCCTCGTCGGGTATATCATCAGGAACAACCTGTCCCGCAACAGCCAGCATACTCGACAGTTCTTTCCGTAGGATGTCGTCGTCTGACTTGTTATTCGACTTCTTGGGGGTCTCCTTCGCACCCTCCACTTCAGAGTCCGATTCGATCTCCGCTAGTAGATCAAAGTCTTCCTCGGTACCGCCTAGAGCCAGAATCTCCTGTCGCAGGGTATCATTGTCATCCGCTCCGTCCGTCTTCGTGGGCTTGGGCTTCTCCGCATCTTTCTTTCCTCCTCTCGCAATCACATCGCCGTTGCGATCACGCTTCTTGCCCTGGTTGTTCTTATCGGCATCGGATCCCCGCTTAGCAGCTTGCGTCGGGGCAGCCGGCTTGTTGTTCTGCTTCGGGGCATCCTTAGCACCCGGCTTCGGCTTGGCGTTGTTGTTCTTCTTCTCCTTCGCCGCATTCTGGTCCTTCAACTTCTGTTCGATCTTCTGTCGCAGGCCGGCAAAGGCCCCCTCTTGCAGCTGGGGGAAAGCATCTCCAGCAGCGCTGGAGTCATTGATGGGCACACCACCATCAGGGACAATCGCATTCGCCCCGGAGGAGCGTTTACCCTTATTCTTAGCCATGAAGGGCAGTTCAAATCAGCCAAGATGTGGGATTGAATTGATTGTCTGATAACTTTTTTTTTTCTGCCGCCCGAAAATCCCAGACGGACGAGGCCGCCGGAGAAATGGTTCCGCCGAGAAGTGGCCGGTGCACGGGCCATCCGGAGGCCCATCGATTCCGACTTGTTTGATTTGATTTACTTCCCGACATGAAGATATACTTCGATCAATCTGGGGCTCTGGGGATTGCGCAGCTCGGTCAATTGACTCAAGGGTTTAGTGAAAGCTTCAATTGAACCTCTCGTGATTCATGCTCTCCGGGGTCCGCCCGACTGCGGGCCGCTACTCGGGTCCGTATCGAGCATATCTGGGAGTCTTGCGGTTCCAGAGAGTTCCAGGATGCTGTTACCATGTATGTTTTCATGAGCTCAGGTGCGATCATCATTGCTGACTCTGTAGACTGATGGGCGAAGTCGGATATCAAACTTCTGGATCCCGACAGGTGGCATCTCGAAGAAGAATGTCACGGGAGAAAAAGGTACTCGCGAGAACCGTCGTCGCTCTGATTGATAGATCTAACTCGGAATTAGAGGATGCAAATGATCTCTTGGTCAGAGGCGGTTTTCTTCGACAGGTTTGTGTTCATGCTGTGCACTCAACGAGTCTGGTGGGTCTAATCTGCTTCAGGCTTACTCGGGCATCTTCCACATGCTACCTCTGGGACTACGTGTTCAAGATAAACTAGAGCGTCTAATCGACAAACACATGCAATCAATTGGTATGTACTTCTACCGAAATACTGCAACGAAAAAGCTAATACGGGCTTACAGGTGCCTCCAAGGTTTCTTTATCGTCCATATCCGCCCAAGAGCTTTGGGAGCGGTCCGGACGTTTGACGGACAGTTCGGAGGTATGGGCCCATTACTTCCGGCTAAGGCTAGTCGCTAATTGTTACTCTTCAGGTGTTCAGATTTCTTGACCGCAAAGAGTCTCGCTTTCTTCTCGCTCCCACTCATGAAGAAGAAATCACCACCCTGGTTGGGAGTCTCGCCAAATCTTACCGCGATCTGCCTCTAAGGGTATATCAGATCTGTAAGCTCAGATTGTTTAGCTGTATACGGCGAAAGGCAGCTGATCATCATCATAGCGAGGAAGTACAGAGATGAGCCAAGACCCCGGCAAGGCCTCCTTCGTGGGCGTGAATTCATCATGAAGGATCTCTACACATTCGACCACAGCGTGGAGGAGGCGCTGAAGACATACTCGTCAGTCAAAGCCGCCTACACGGAACTTTTTAACGAGCTCAAAGTGCCATATTTGGTTGCTGCTGCAGACTCAGGTAACATGGGCGGGAACATGAGCCATGAATTTCACTTTCCCAGCGCGAAAGGTGAGGACACGATCATCAGCTGCACCAGCTGCGACAGTGTCTATAACGAAGAGTTGGCGGATGGGAAGGCCCATGGGCCCGAGCAGATTCCCCACCAGGCACCCCAGGCGGATGGATTTGACACCGGAGGAAAGTCCATCGACGCGGCGTTCACCGTTTCAACGGGTCTCTGGATGGCTATTTCCAAGGACAAGCAAACCTTGCTTCGGGGCTGGTACCCGATATTCTCCATGCAAGACGGAGGCCAGGAGCCCGTGAAACGAGAGGTCAATTCTCACGCTGTCAAATCCGTCGCGACCGCAGCAGGTATCGATCTCGATCTCAGCGTCGAGAACCCCTTGGAGCAGTGGACGGAACAGATCAAGTCTGCCAAGGCATCAGACAGCTCTTCCTACCGACCGCGGGTTATGGATCTGTACGATTCGCAGGTGCGCGTGTACAAACGGCCTCCTCTGAGTGATCTGCTCCAGCAGGTGAACTGCGAGGTAGACGACATCGACTATTCAATGCTCGACCGATTCCCCGAGACGACCAGCGGGCTCAACCTGGTCAAGATGCACGAGGGAGATAAATGCGGCCAATGTGCTCAGGGACACATGAAAACGCACACTGCCATTGAGCTCGGCCACACCTTCCACCTGGGCACCCGATACAGTGAGGTTCTCAAAGCATCCGTCATGCTCGACCAAGCCCACAATGGCGGCGGCACGGAGGATAAGGTTGTGCCTATGCAGATGGGCTGTCACGGCATCGGCGTCTCCCGCATGATCACCGCAGTCGCCGACAGCCTCGCGGACTCCAAGGGTCTCAACTGGCCGCGTGCCATGGCCCCTTACGAAGCCATCGTCGTCCCGATCAAGGGTCTAGAGGAAGAAGCCGAGAAGGTGTACGATATTCTCAGCGCGCATTCCGGCTCCAGCTCTCCGATCGATGTCATCCTCGACGACCGCGACAAGCAGTTGGGCTGGAAACTCGGCGATGCCGATCTGATCGGATATCCGGTGATCGTGGTTGTGGGTAAGGGATGGAAGAAACAGCAGACCTTGGAAGTGCAATGCCGTCGACTGGATAATCTGAGAGAAGATGTGCCACTGGACCGACTGTCGGAGTTTGTCAAATCCTTACTGGACCGACTATAGTGGAGTGTTCGGCCATGTCCGCGTCCTTGTACAATAGATAGGCGGTGCAAAGATTGTATACTAGTGTCTCTATACCCCTCATATTCCCAACTCATCTCATTCGCCTTGGACAGGAACCCCGATCCATAATCTCACGTCAATCAACAACAAGAAAAACCCCTCAATTGACGGTAAATGCACGAATCAGCCTGCTCAATCAAATCCAAGGCAAAATCCACCTATAATTCAGGAAGAAACCTTATAGCAAGGCATTCTCCGTGTCTTATGCCTGCCTATCAAATGGCTGTGGCGGAGCGGCGTTTACCTGTATCCGTAGGGCAGGGCAAACGACGGCATTTCTTGGCGTTGAAGTCAACAATCACTGACTCACCGTCTGCTGTTCTCTTTTCTTTCTTCTCTGATTCTATATAAGCATCCCCATATCTGCAATCCCTCCTTTCATTTCTCCCTGAATAACTTCCTAAAGACTCAGTCACGTGCCTACCGTTGTCCATTTTCATCAAACCCCCCAATCCCACCACATCCACATATATCCCCGCACACTTCAGAAAACCAAATATCAAGAACAATGAACCCCCGTATCGGAGTCGGCGTCTTCATCCTTAACGCCCAAGGAAAATTCATCCTCGGGCGACGCAAGGGCAGCCACGGCGCTGGTTAGTATCCCTCCCCTTAAAACCCAGCCATCCGCCACAATATTCAACCTCCAAAAATCAGGAACATGGGGTCTTCCCGGCGGCCATCTTGAATTCGGCGAGTCCTTTGAAGACTGCGCAGCGCGCGAAGTGCTCGAAGAAACGGGCCTGAATCTGCCCCCGCAGAGCATCAAGTTCCTGACTGCCACGAACGACGTCATGGCGGCGGAGGGGAAGCATTACGTTACTTGTTTCGTGGGATGTAGGGTTGCTTCTGCTCCTGGGGGAGGTGAGGTGGAAGTGAAGGTTCGTCTCTTGGATTTCTTTTGTTTTCTCTCTGTTTTTCTCTTGCTCCTCTTGGTTTATTGGCTTAGTTTTGCTTTGCTTGGTTGTGACTGATTCTGATGGGTTGTTAGGTCCTCGAACCAGAGAAGTGCGAGGAATGGCAGTGGGTGAGCTGGGAGGAGATTGAGCAATTTGCGGCAGCGCAGAAGACTGCAGAGGAAGAGGGACGGATGGATTCGTTTGAAGGAAGGAAGCTGTTCATGCCGATTGTGAATCTGTTCGAGCAGCGGAAGGGGTTTCATCCGGTTCATAGCCTGAGTGCATGAGCTTGAACTTGAACTTGAACTTGAGTGGTTGTTTACGCGAGTTGGATTGGATTGAACTGGAACCTTCACGTGTGATGAATTGATGATGTTTTTCGAGAAGAGCTCGTGAAGGCTGATGAGTGAATGACGACATAAACCAACATAACAGAGTTAAAGATCGATTAAGGGATAGATTGCCTCCCTGCATTTGTTGGTCTCTGTTTCTGATGATGATGCTGTACGCTTAGTGATGTACTGAGGTAAACGGTATGAGCCTCCTTATCTCTACTGACCAAAGTATACATGAACGTTTCCTATTTCGAAGTCTACATGGCTCCTGCGCCCGCCTTCCTTACCTATACTTGGTTGAATGGAACAGGAAGGTGCAAACCAGGCAGGCGAGTACCTCTCTATTTACGCTGAAATCCTGTATGACATTCAACTCCTTTTTTACACATATGCTATCCACTAAACAAGCACATATATCCAAACAGCACTATCCATCTATCTTCTAAACTTGTGGCAACCCTCCTTACTACCCTCACAGAGCCCTGTTCGACACTCCAAGATGGACGAATCATCTAAACGAGTCAAAGTTCCTCCCTTCGCCGGCCTCTCTCAGGCTCTTCCTTTACCGAGCAACGAGCAATATGCGCAAGATCACCGCCCCTCTCCGAGCACTCAAGCAGACAACCTTCCAAAGAGAACCACCATCGGCCTGCCTGAGATACCCATACTCAAAGGCCAGAACAACTTTGCCTTCTGGATCTATTGTGTCCAAGCCGCGTTGGATGCTTGGGACTTGACACAGTTGATCAACCCGAATCTGCGTCGCCCCGACCGGACGAACGCTGAATACGTACTTTGGCGAAAATGGGCACTGCGCGTATCGAGCTGGCTCAGATTACACATATCAGAGGAGGTAGTGAGGGACCTTGTACTCGTTCATAAACCGAACATGTATCCCGACGAGCTGATCTGCACGATCTCGCAGTTGCTCTTCTCCACTCTGCCTGACGTATCGGGCGATAACGTGTTCTTGTTCCCGATAAGAGAAGAATCCTTAACACGATCGCACTATGTGCTGACCTTGTGGGGCAGAAAACTGTACTCGGTTGCACAGCACAGGGAGGTGAATTTGTTCAAAATGTCATTATTCATGCTGGCGGCTTTGGATGATGAGATTCCCATAACCGTTGCGGCTGAACGAGATGTCCTTCTAAACGGCAGTTTCATGACGATGGAGGAGGCTCAGTTCAATAAGTTGCTTGAGAGGCTTCTGTCTGCTACTGAGTAGTCCTTCTGATGGATTTGGGGGGTCGACACAGCGGTCCTGAGATACTTTGCCAGGGCCATCCTTCTCTTCGTTCGTTAATTCGGCATGCTTTTCTGGTTGCTTACTTGTTTATAACTAGCCTTTCGCGGGAATTAGACATGGAAATCCGAGAGCCTTGAGCAATGATACAGGAAGATTGTAAAACTGTAGAAGGCTACATGCCCAAAGCAGGAGACATGATGTGGCGTATGCTAAACCGAAGGGTAATAACAACCAGTAGGGCCATCGCTAGGTCGTCGATCTACGGTTTGGTTACGATTATTATTTGGCAAACCATCTAAGCTCTTCAACTAGCGATATAGTTCTAGGATTCTAGAAATCATGGTCGTCAAACAAACCAATCCCCAGCATTTTATTACTTGATCTTCTACCGCAGTCTTGCGCATTCACCAATACTGTTATGGTGATGTTGCGGCACTTCTCTATATTGCGACAATATGGTGCTAGAGAATTTAAGCACTCTCCCTCCAGACCATCACCCCAGTCCCACAATGCGTTCAGCAATGTGAGCGATTAACTCCAGTAGTAGCCGAGTACAAGCAAGGGGTTTGTTTGGACATTCCAACAATGAAGCGGTGTAGCGCCCCTTCCTGGACCATATAGAAGGAGTTCCATATAAGCACACCCATGAGTATATCTTTCATCCAGCATCCGCGGTCCGCACGCTGACAATCTCTTCTCAGTCTGTGGATCTGTTGGTTCTATTATGCTAAGCGCCGCATTAGAGATCATCGCCCCTGTACGGGCCGATTATCCAGGGGTATTTGTGTTCCTGTTGAGTAGCCTCTTGCTTGCAATTGCTTATAGGCCACGATATACGGCCGGCCTGCCACTGCTCAATGGTAAGAAGCCATGGGAATTATCCTCGTACAGGGCTCGGAAGCGTTATGTGGCGAACGGACCAGAGATTCTCAGGGCTGGATTCGCAAAAGTGGGTTTCGTCTGCCCCTTGGAGTACCGGGAACTTCACTTGGTCGACATAATCTAATAAGGATATGGTCTTCCGATATAGTCGCCCAGAGGTTTCTATGCATTGACAGACATGGGGATCGATCTGATCCTATCCCACGAATACACAGAAGAGGTTGCAAAAGACAGAAGGTTCGATGTATTCGGGTACACGGAAGAGGTATGTTTTGTCTCCCTTTGGACGATCGAGTAGGCAGTAGCTAAGTTTACGTGACTTGGGACTAGAAAATGCACGGGAACCTCCCTGGTTTCGCAGCGTTTACTACGAAGTATATGCCAGCAAATAAGACATTCAACTCCTTTGTGCTTAAAGAACTCACTTCGGCCATAGGTAAGCTAGCTTTATAGTACTGCCGATGAGGGGCCCTCATCTGGGCTAATAAAAGCGGACTATAGAGAAATCTGCAGGCATCCTCTCCTCAGAGGCCCATAACCATCTTCAGCGGATTTGGACTGATAACACAGGTGGGAAGCCTAACTCCCCCCAAATCGCATCTCGGCTAACTTTTATGCAGAGTGGCATGAGATCTCGCTAAAAGACACCATTTTGACACTACACTCTGGTATGAGCAGCCGCATCTTGGTAGGAGAGGACCTATCCCACGATCAGGCTTGGACGGAGCTCGTCAAGCGCAATGCTGTGAATTCGTTCCAAGCGGGCGATACGATGTACAACTGGCCTAAGATCTTCCGACATCTTGTCCACTGGTTCCTGGCCCCTTGCCGCACCCTACGTAGGGACATGAGAGAAGTTCAACAGCGCGTCAACGAAGTCATACAACAGCGCCGGAAGTCCCAGGCAGCGCGAAAGGCGCAAGGAAAGTCTTCTGAGTATTTCGATTCGATCCAATGGATGGAAGAGGCAGCAGACGGTCACGACTACGATCCGGCGTTGGTCCAGCTGACGCTGTCGATGGTATCGGAACATACGATGACGGATCTACTGACGCAGACCATGCTGAATCTGACGAAGCATCCAGACCTGGTGCAGGATCTACGCAAGGAGATAATCGCGGTAATGAAAGACGAGCAGTGGAGCCGACGATCCCTTCGCAAACTCATGCTTATGGACAGCGTGTTCAAGGAAACGCAGCGCCTGAAACCAATTAGTCGAGGTAAGCAGTAGGCTCTTTCGTCTTTCTCTTACCTCCTTACCTGAGCTGACAGAGACCTAATAGGCACAATGAGACGCAAAGCGCTTACCAATGTCCGCTTATCTGATGGACTCGAGGTCCCTAAAGGCACGACATTCTTTGTCTCCTCAGAACACATGCAAAGCAATTCTACATACCCGCATGCGCACAAATTTGACGGATACCGCTTCTACAAACTTCGACAAGAGCCCGGCCACGAAAATCTCCACCAACTAGTCAACACCAGCGTCGACGAGGTCGGATTTGGACATGGGGGATATGCGTGTCCGGGACGATACTTTGCGGATGCTGTGGAGAAGATCTCACTTTGCCATATTTTGCTAAAGTATGATTTCCGCCTGGCTGAGGGATCCAGTGCCGATCCTATAAACTATGGCACGTCTTTGATCTCGGATCCGACGGCGAAATTGGTCGTCAGACGTCGGCAGGAGGAGATAACACTATAATATGACGTGCTCCTATGCTTGACAGTAACCATTTCAGTAGGGTATAAAGGACTCTCTGGCGAATCATCCTCCGGGCCAACTACAGAGAAATATTAACGCGAAATTGTACGATACCACTGCGAGTTGGATTATCCGAGTAGTTCTACTCCTGGGCGACTACTATACCAGCCTCAAAAGTACAAACGAGTTTAGGCATTAGATCGGGCAGTATATATAGTGAACCAAACGGAGCGATACACCGATCTAAAGGCCAATATATAGTGTGGTCGGTGGGGACAGGAGAGGAAGAAAGGAGGCGCCAATGAGTGCAGGATAGAGGACTCAGAGGGATGAGGAGAATGAGAAAGAGGTTGAAAGGGCAAATCCGGGTCTTTTATGTCCAGGCAATGGAGGGAGAGGTCACCTGATGGTGTATTGGGGCACTTACACTACAGATTCAGTGTAAACCAAAAACAAAAACAATTTTGGCTGTAAAGCTGTAGAAGTCTTCTCTATATCAGTGTTACATATGCAAAGTGCCATAGAGGGTGAGCAAAGAACGTCATAGTGTGTTTCCAGATGTATGCAGGGTGCTAGATATTGATTCAATGTTGACGTTTTGGGGGAGCATAGTGCAACCTCAGGCATCAAAATACCTACAAAAGTACCCGCTGAATCAGCACAGCACTAAGCCCAAACCAGAATCCCCGAACGTGACGCCGGAAAGAAAGATCTCCATTATTGTTCAACGTCCGCAGCTCCTTTCTCTTCGACGGACCTCAACCCCCTCAAGAGTGTCTCCGAAGCTCCCCTCCGGACCCTCGATCTTCAATTCCCGTATTACACTCAACCTCAACTCACCCACAATCCGGAGGCTCCTTCGACCCTCCACACACCAACAAAAATGCCCCCTCCAAACACCCCCGCATCGGACCCCCCTCCGGGCGCAGGTAAAGTCTTCCTCCTCCAAAACACACATCTGCTGTAGGTGCAACCCAAGCTCTTGGGACTAACAATCTCATCCAATAGTCAACATCAACTCCCTCTCCTCCCAGCAGCTCCGCGCCCTGCAATCCCGCCTCTCCTCGGAACTCGAACACCTGACTTCCTCGCACGCCAAGCTGCGCGCCGCGCAGTCCAAGTTCCGCGACTGCGTGCGCTCCATCAACGAAGGTGTCCTGGGCTCCAAGAAGAAGGGCACTGACGGAAAAGATGATATCTTGGTTCCCCTGACGAGCTCGCTCTACGTGAAGGGGAAATTGGCGGATCGCGAAAAGGTCCTCGTTGATGTTGGGACGGGGTTTTATGTTGAGAAGGTGCGGTTTTCCCCTCTCCCATTCTTCCTTCGTTTTTATTGTGGTTTGTTGAGTGCTGGGACTGTTCATTTGGATCTATGGAGAGAGATGGGGGTGATTGAGAGCACACCTGTTAGATTGGAATGATTGTCCCGAAGTCTAGCTCGTGCAAACCAAGCTAACTTGATGAAAACCAACAGACACCGCAAAAAGCGATCGAGTTCTACGACGAAAAGATCAAAAGCCTAGATGCCAACTTGCTGGAATTGGAGAAGATCGTGCAGACCAAGAGCTCGCAGCAGAGGCTCTTCGAAGACGGTATGTTATTCCCGGGCTACCACCAGCTCTGGTATCTAGAATACCTGCTAACTCGCATGCTTTCAGCCCTGAGACAAAAACTGTTGAGTGAAGGTGCCGCCGGGGGATCGGGTCAGGCTGCCGCTGCCGGAGGCGGTTGAATTTGACGTATAGTTCCCATGCAGGGAGTTCATGATATGGGACTTTGGGCAATGTCAACGTGGACAGGACTTTATTTGGTGGACGATTACCATACTGGTGGGACCCATGAAAATAAAATTTGAAGTTATACCAGCGTAAATAGAGCTTGCTGGATGTTAGAGTCCAGTTATCAAAATGATGTTAGGAATAAAACGTTCCGTTGCCTGGTCCAGCTCGAAATCAAGAATCCATGCCATTGAGCGACTCTTTTATTCCTACCGGAAAACTAAAGAAAGAAATACAGAAGCCTTGACCACCCATCGATGCAACAGGACGACAATTAAATCCCGAAAATCAATACCATCTTCCATCAGAACAGAGTACCTAGATCTGTCTGCATCAAACCGGTGGAGCCTTCCTGTGAAGCAGGTTGTGGCTTCTTTTTATTGGTAAACTTCGAGCTAAAGCTAGTATTTGGTGCAGCATTGGGAGGAACGGGGGTCGAGCCAAGCATCGCAGCTATTTGCCTGACCAAGGATACGAACTCCCAGAAGCCCGTATGTTTGCCTTCAAACGGCGATTCCTTCTGGGCTGGGAAGAAAGTGTCCAGATCCATGCTGTAAGCTGCCGAATGTCCGACGGATAGATTGGCGTGCCCTCCCAGCAAATTGTCCCACTTGGGATTGAACACTGATGCACCCCAAGATGTGGAGGGGACATCAGAAATCTCGCTCACCATAGTCACCATGCTTTGTTCTGGGAAATTTTGCGTGTTGACACGGCTATATTCGTCATAGCGGGCAATTTCGAGGATGTATTCGGTTCCTTTCAGCCGATACCGCATGGCTGTCTTCTCCACAAACCTGGCCACCGGAGCTGACTGGGAAAACATCACCTTCCTCTGAGGCTCTGCAAAGATGTCGTGCATGGTAGTGGAACGACGGAAATTGATCAAATGAGAAAATGCTTTCAGGGAGACATCAACCGAGGACGCTTCATAAAACTCCAAGGATTTGACCTCAAGCTGCCAGTCGGATCTACGCCAGTTTAGCTCGCTATATCTGACTAGGAGAGAGGGACTCAGACGGACGTACCTTTCAAAATCAATGACCCCAATCTGCAGAGGGGCCTGCCTCTCAGTATTCTGGCCACTTTTACGAGGTCTGAGCCATCGCCTCTGTCTAATCTCATACTCTTGTGCACCGGGAGATCTCGCAAACTCTGCTTCAAGCCGGAGCATCGAATTGTTCGAGCCCAGGAATTCGAAATTGACAGAGTAAGCAAGCTCTGCATTCTCTAACGAGGAGCATGTGGTATCGTAAGGCTCGAGTAAATGGGTTGCTTTATAGCATCTTGTAAGAAGTTCCTTTTGGTCGACTTTCAATCTAACTCGCGTTCGGTTGTCAGCAGGCAGGTCTATTGCTAATGAAATGAGAGGAAAGGCATACCCAGGGATCAAGCGGCCTTTAGTTTGGTCGTACAGCAGCATCTCTCGGAACTCTTCAAATCCGTACCAGGACTTATCATCTTTGGGGAGTCGATAATTCTCCAGGATAAATGAGCCAATATTCACTCGCATGCGCAAATGTCCACGCACGAAGACAAGACCCCGCAACGATCTTTCAACGGCGTTTATAACGCGCGCATTATTCTTCGACTGTATGAGCTTTCCTCGGCTGCGCCAATTTCTCAATTCCGATTCACTCAGTATGGCTCCAGAAAGCGCGGCTCTGTGCAGGGTATTATTTTGAACAACAACCTTTCTTCTCATATAACCTGCCTCCGGTGGCTCGACAATGTAAACCTTGGATACGATATTGCTATTCGCAATCACTTCGGCCCACTTGGTTCTCAACCGGTGAGCAATGTGCTTGATGGTGTCATGGTCATCACCAAGGACACAAATGAAATTCGGATCATCCTTTAGAACGAAGACGTGGCATAGGAATTTGGATCTGATTGAGTCAAGGGATTCAAGCTCGGGTCCAAGTGCCTCTTTGATGGATGGGCCTTCCTTGGGCCAGAGGAAAAGCAACTGAGAGGGAGACCGATTTAGTAAGGGTTGAATGCGAGGACGGTTTTATGTGCTGACCTGCTCTGGAAACACGTAGGTCATATCCGGTTCCTTCCTCAGTTGGACCAACATGCTCTCGTGTCTCTCTGCCATTTCAGTATTTGCCTCTTTGTTGGCTGAATGTGCGATGATCCTTGGCCATTCTCCTTTCTTGCTGCTGAACATACGTTGCAGACCAATGCACTTCGAAATGATACCTTCGAGTAGTTCCTTTGCAGCAGAAACCTGAGCCGCTTCACCCCATATGCACATTACCTTTAGTCCATTAGTGCTTCAACTCGGTGTTTCCAAGAAGTCTCAATTGCTCACCGATTCGTTATAAGAGGGCGGATTTACATATGCACCAGTTTTCTTGCCGACGGCATCAAATACCTCCTGCTTGGCATTGGCTGCCGAATGGCCTCCGCCTAAAAGGTGCGTTCTTGCCACTCCAAAAAACCTGCACGTTGTTCAATATATCAATCTATTTCAGTGAAGACTTAGAGCATACTCATGCTTGAAGGACCCAAAGGGAGCGGGCAGATTCATGAAATCTAGAAAATTCATACATCGTTAGCGCTGTTTATCGATAAACAGGGAACCTCGATGGTACTCACGAGCTGGCTCGTTTCCTGACCTCCATTTTGACTTGGCAGGGGACTCCTGAAAAAGATTCCTTGGCTGACGAGGCGGGGATGATTTACCCCGGAACCCACCACGTCCTCTCGATGGGCGAGACCAGCCTCTGGGTCGGTTCTCGAACGACGGCTTTCCACTGGGTATTTCGACCGGCACTCCTTCCTCTGGGTTTTGATTGAGAGGGTTTCTCGCGGCGGGGACTTGGACTTTGGGAACGGGCTCTCGAGGTGTAGTAGGCTGGAACGCTGGATTGCTTTCTTTCAGCACGATACGTCCGTATCCAGGCAAGTGCCATTCTGCAACAAGGTTAGCAAAAACTCTTGGTACGACGAATCATTCACCCAACAGAGAAACGGGCATGCTCTGGGATTTAATGGAGGGCTGGAAGTCAAGCTTGATCTTACCTTGAGCGCCCGAAGTCTCGTGGCTACAGTGGAGTTAGCCGACAAGAAAATAGTGTATATGAACAATTACTTACTCCATTCTTTGCAGCTCGAGCGTGGCAACAACCAGTGAGAGATTACCCGATAAGAGAAGACTGCTAGGGAAAGATCTCGATGCAATGACGACACCCAACTGCTGCACCAGAGCTGTGTCTATGATAAATGATAGAATGAAGCGCTGCAAAGTCTGGATGCTTGCATAAGAATTGATACAAGCAAGGAATTGAAGAGGATAGATCGCAGAGAAGGGGATGATTGAGAAAGAAGAAATGAGAAGTGAAAGAACAGTGAAGGCAACACTGAGGAGGACTGCGACCCAGAAGGGAATGACACGTGCCATGCTTGTTGTCTCTGCCAAACGGGCAGGAGAGGGGAAGTACCTCCACTGCAAATTTCTGAGCAGTAGTACCTACCACCAGGTTTAAGACATGGCCGCCAGAGTGACCGGATAGCTGCATCGGCCATGTCTGTGAATTTCTGGGGTGAATCTTGTAGAATATGGCCCGTTCATATTAGAGCCTACAAGGAGGTATAGAAGAAGAGATTTATTTCCCCCTAGAAATCCCACGCAAAGGTGAATTTCCAGTTCCATCTACCTACCTACAGTAAGGCCCTGACTGATATTTTGATTGTATAGATCCAATGGAGGCCTTGGATTGGCGGATCAGCTGAGATCTGCGCTAAGCCCGAACGGGATAAAAGTGGACGACGCGCCTTTCCTTTCCCGACGTGACGCTTCATTTTCTCCCTGCGCCGGCTTTGCCTTCACTGCCGTTCAATTTCCCCCGGATATCGCTCCTAGCCTTTGACGCCCTTCATGACGGAGATGACTCCAGACCCTGCAGACGAATCTAATCAACTGCAGTCCCGCAAGCGCAATGCTCGAAAGCGCGCTCAGCAATGGATGACCAAGGGAGGCCTGGTCCGCGACGACTCCGATGACGAGCTTGGTGATGAAGACCTTCCTTGGGACTGGATATACGACGAAGATTCCGACAAAAATGCGGTAAAAGACTCGACGACCGATGCTGTGGACGATACCCCGAGGTCAAGCCGGAAACGCTCATCCCGTCCGAACGCAAAGAACCGCCGAAAGATCGTCGGAGCTCGGATGGGCTCGTTCGAATGCCGATTGGGACAAGTGGTGCTTCTCAAGTCTCCGGAGCCTGGGAAAGACTGGATCGGGATTATTACCGAGTTTCTGGAAGAAGATGATGATGAGGGTGAGGGAGAAGTCTTGAAATCGGTCAATATCATGTGGTTCGCCTCGCCGGATGAGTTCATGTCGACACGAAACAAGCGAAGGGCGGATGCTTTGCCCAATGAGCAGTATCTGACGGCGGACTTCAACACAAACCCTCTGACCTCGATCAATGGTAAAGCCACGGTGATGTCCAAGGATGCTTTCTATGCCAAGTATCCGAACGGCACCCCTCCGAAGGGGAAGGACGAATTGGCCGAGTACAACAAGTGCATTGTCTGCCGCAGAGGTGTCAATCAACTCCAGGGACGATACACCGATGAATTTGTTTGGGAACAAGTCTACCAAGAGGATAAGATCTTCGACCTGATTAGCATGATCAAGAACGGCCTGAAATCGGCCAAGAAGCGCAAACAGGTTGACAATGATGTGAGTTGCCGCTCGTGACATGAGTTGAGGGTGTCTACGATGCTAATAGATCCAACAGTATGAGGACACCAAAGAGGACGATGACTTTACACCCACGACCCCGAGAAAGAGGCAGAAAGTCACCTCGACGGCCACCACTCCTCAGTCCCGACGGCAGAAGCCTCTGACAACGCCAACTCACAAGAGGTAAGGCGCGCACACCTCTCCCTAAAACCAAGATAGACACTAATTATATTCTCGATAGAATCGTTGTTAAGAAACCGCTCGAGTTCACGCCTCTCGGAACTCGCGTTCTCTCTCCTACCCACTTTGCTTCCCCATACCGTCAGGCACGCAACCTGTTGCATGTGTCCACAGTCCCCACATCGCTTCCATGCCGGAAAAACGAATTTGACACGGTCTATACGCACTTGAGCTCTGCGATCATGGAGGGGACCGGAACCTGCATCTATATTTCCGGCACGCCGGGAACGGGCAAGACAGCAACAGTGCGTGAGGTAGTTGCGCAGCTCAATGGCGCTGTGTTAGCGGAGGAGATGGATGATTTCATCTTCGTCGAAATTAACGGAATGAAAGTGACGGATCCTCACCAATCTTACTCGCTATTGTGGGAGGCTCTGAAAGGTGACCGCGTTTCTCCTTCCCACGCACTCGACCTGTTGGAAAGGGAATTCTCACATCCGTCCCCTCGACGAGTCTCGTGTGTCGTTCTCATGGACGAACTGGATCAACTTGTCACGAAGAACCAGTCCGTGATGTACAATTTCTTCAACTGGCCAGCCCTGCGCCATTCCCGTCTTATCGTCCTTGCCGTCGCAAACACCATGGACTTACCCGAGCGAACCCTAAGCAACAAGATCTCCAGCCGTCTAGGCCTGACTCGTATCACGTTCCCCGGCTACAAACACACCGACCTCATGGAGATCATCAGCACCCGCCTGGCAAATGTCCCAGGAAACATTGTCGATGCGGACGCCGTCCAGTTTGCCAGTCGAAAGGTAGCAGCCGTCAGTGGTGATGCTCGCCGTGCACTGGACATCTGCCGTCGCGCCGTGGAAATCGCCGAGCAGACCAGCGATGCCGCAGCCAGGGTCTCAAACTTAGATCAACCCAACGGCGACGACACCGAGTCCCTCCCCCCAACCCCTAGCAAGACCCCAGCTCGCAAACAAAAATCCACTAACAAACAGCCTACCCTCCCCCCGATCAGCGAATCGCCCCAAAAAGACCCTCCCCCCCAGAAACAACCCGCCGGCCGCGTCACCATCGCCACCATCAAGCAAGCAATCCAAGAAGCCACCTCCACCCCCCTCCAACAATCCCTCCGCTGCCTACCCCTCTCCGCCAAACTCTTCCTCGCCGCTCTCGTCGCCCGCATCAAACGGACCGGCATCTCCGAATCCACCTTCGGCGACGTCATCGACGAAGCGAAACGGATCGCCGACGCCGCCGTGGCCGTGGCAGGTGCCGCCGGTGCTGGAGTCAAAGAGTTCCTGCTCAATGGCGGGAGTAACACAGCGCGCGTGCGATCCCTCGGCTACGCTGCTATGGAACTCATGAACTCGGGTGTCTTGGCCGTCGAATACGGGACCGGAGCCCGAGGACCGGCCGGTAACTCCTTGCTGTCGAACAGGGGAGACCGCACGGGGAAAGTAAGGCTTCGAGCGGCAGTCGAGGACGTCAAGCTTGCTTTCCGAGAAGATGTCGAAGCGAAGTCGCTAGGGTTGGGGATGGATTCTTAGAGCTATAATTGTTCTCTTATCGTTCAAGAGAATCGGTATAAAATCCAGCAAGCATATATGGCGTATGCAAATGCGGTTATTTTGAGATTATTTAGAAATACGGCGGGTAGCCAGCTTGTACACACAAGGTACACAATTCGATAGATTAATTATATATGATACCCATTCTATGATATATCTATGTCAAAGCAATGAACATACAAGGCTAAACCTCACTAGGGGTAATAGATAGTCAGAAGTAAAGAATCCTACGTTTCATATCATATAATACAAACGATCGCAGCGTGGCAAAGGATGAAAATAAAGTCAACCGATCAATTCCTTTTGCGAACCCTCCCCAATACCAACGGATAAGTAAATAGATGACATCAAAAACGCTGAACGCCATAAAAGTGCGCAGAACATGTAGGTAGATGGATGGACAAGGTAGATAGGTAGGTTGAAGGTTTCTTGGGTCGGCAAATTTCCCTCTCTTTGTAAGATAAAGATCAATCCGACCAGTTAATAGAGCGGGGGTATAAGAAAGGAAGGCAGAGGGGATGTGAGAAGATATCTAGTATCTCTGACGACCCAGGGTAGGCGCCCAGGTAACGGGATGCGATTCGGGCGTGGCCTCGTCGTCCTGCTTCCAGACCTTGATGGTCTTATCGGCTTCACCGGTGATCAGACGCAGACCGGTACGATCGAAGGTGGAGGCCATGATGCCGGCTTCGGCATCCAGGGAACCGGGCTGAGCGGTGGTGTCGATGGACTGGAAGCGGTAACCCGTCTTCCAGTCCCAGAAGGACATGGAGCCGTTGTCGCCGCCGGAGAAGAGGACGTTGTCTTCGTTGACGGCGAGCGAGTTGATGACGGCGTTGTGGCCGTCGAAGTTCTGCATAAAGTCACCCTCCGGGCACTTCCATTGCTTGATGCTGCCGGTGCTGGCACTGGCGAAGGTAAATTCCCGGGGATGGGTGACGATGTTTCGCACGCCCTTCTTGTGGTGTGTGAGCACGCCCATGGACTTTCCGGCGGCGAGATCCCACAGACGCACGGTGGCGTCGAGCGAGCCGGAGATGATCTGCGGGTCGGCTTCCTGGCATTTCACGTCGGCGATGGTGCCCTTGTGGCCGGTCAGGACGTGCACGTTGCTTCGGGTTCGCATGTCCCAGACTCGGACGGCGCCGTCACGACCACCAGTGACCAGGAGGTCGAGGCGGGGGTGAAGTCCCAGTGTGTACACACCGCTGAGATGACCGTGATAGTGGCGGATGACCTTATTCGTTTCCAAATCCCAACATTTGACCATCTTATCTTCACCGCAGGAGAAGAGATACGGGTGGCGAGGCGACACCGCCAGGCCACGCACAGTCGAGATGTGACCCGTCAGCGTCAAGCGCAGGGCACCCGTCGCAAGGTTCCAGATCTTAATCGTTCGGTCACCCGCACCACTAGCAAACCACTCGTTGTTCGGCTCCACGGCCAAAGCCCGTACCCATCCCAAGTGTCCGGAAATCACACGCATCAGCTTCCATGGCGCGTGCCAGTCGGGTCTCTGCTGTCGCGTCGCGGAGGGTCGCTGGATCAGACTCTTAGGTTCGTTCTCACCACCGATGCCGCCGGCCTGGGGACCAGCAGCTCTCTTCACCAAGGACATCGAGGCGCCGCTGCCATCCACGGGCGCTTGCGCCTGCATGTGAGTCTTCGGCCGCTTTGCGCGCCCAGCGGCGGCAGCCTTAGCTTGCTTCTCGGCGAGAGCTGGTGGAAGTTCCTTCACATCCTGGTATTCGGCTTTGCGGCGGTACGAGACTCCGATCGAGCCGTTTCCTGTCGAGGGCGTGACCATGAGGTAATCGGAGCCGAAGAGCTCGGCGGTTCTTTTGGCAGACGTGCGCACTGCATCTTCCGGCGAAAGGGGGGACGGAGCGACGTCCATTTTTGCGATTGAGGGGTGTGTAGTGTTGTAGTGTCAAGAATCTCGAACGGTGGCGGAGCTACTTCGACGTGATCGCGAGAGGCGTGAACGAAAAAGAGCGTGTCGTTAGCGTCCTAATCCGCTGTCAAGGGCTAGGGTCGTTGAATTCGGGGAATGACCGCGGGTCCACGGTCCTCCAGATGCTGCTCGACGCGAGAGAACACGTCCAGAGAAGCGAATGGTGGACGGCGAAAGGGAGTGGGAGGAGGAAGTGCGGCGGACGGGACGAGATCGACTTAATTTCCTGTTCGACTTTTGGCGGAGAGCTGTTGCCGCCTGAGGCATTAAGGCAGTTAGGTGTCGACACCCACTCGTTCTTATCGCATCTCCGACAATCATCCGATCTCTCCAGAACCGACCGCCATCGATAACACCATGGATCCCGATCACGACGCGAAGTTCCCTCTCCACGAGGCTGCCCGGGAGGGCAAAAGTACGTACCTCCATTTGCATGTATGCCCGGTATCACCTCTAACTTCCTCTAGCTCAAACGGCTGAATCCCTCGTGAACGTCAGTGCCCGCAAACTGCCCCGCATCCATCCGCCGCAGCTGTCTCCAGCTAACGGACAGCACCGATAACATGCTGGACACCATGTACTAACGAAATCTCAGGCGAACCCGAAGCTAGCTAACACGAAAGATGACGATGAACGCCTACCGATCCACTGGGCTGTGGCATACAACCACCTTCCCATCGTCGAGCTCCTAGTGTCGAGCAAGCATTTTGATCCCGATGTCGAGGTTTGCGCCATCGTCCCACCCGCGGTTCACAGAGAGAGAACTCATGAGATTCACAGGACGGATCAGGCTGGACCCCGTTGATGATCGCTTCCAGCTTGAAAAACGCAGAAGGCGATCCGATCATCGAGCTATTACTTCGAAAAGGCGCCGACGTAACAGCCAAGAGTAACTCCGGCCAGGTACACACCATTCCCTCCACTCCCCATCCAAGCAAGAAGAAAAGCAGACTGCTGACAATCGGTATCCGTACACAGAATGCGCTCCACTTCGCAACCTCCAAAGCCAACATCTCCACCGTCCGCACCCTAATAGCCAACAAATGCAGCGCCAGAGTCAAGGATAAGCGCGGGCAATTGCCGCTTCACCGGGCCGCAGCGATCGGGTCGACGGCCATCATCAACATCCTTCTGAAGGATGGCAAGAGTCCGGTCAATGCGACTGACATGGATGGCATGACGGCGCTGCATCATGCTATCTGCGAAGGCCATGGTGATGCTGCGATCACGTTGCTCAAGGCGGGTGCGGAGACGGACAAGAGGGATGCTGATGGGAGATTGGCGATTGATATGGCTCCTGATGGGAAGGTTTGTCTTACCTTCTCCCCGATAGCTCTAGCTGGTAGTTCTGGCTTGATTGAAGATGCTGATGCTAATGGTTTGGATCTAGGTCAAGGGGTATATAATCCAGACTGCTGAGAGAGAGGGCATAGAGTTGTAGGTCTATAGTCTTGATGATGCAGACGAGGACTAGGAAAGGGAAAGGGCGTAACAATACAGATACCCAGACTTTGTGCATGCAGCACCATGAAACCCTCTTCTTCCTATACCAATCTCATACAACCTCATTCAATTACCGCGGTGGCTACGGTGGGTGAGAATCTTCTACAGAGCTAACCTATGTGGTCGAGGGCAATTTAATAATGAAAAGCTCACTACACAGAAAGATTTTCTTGTAAAATCTGTATCACATAACGTCGTCTAAATCGGAACCCATCTACCGTGAAATGCTATATATACAAGAAAAGAATGATGTGAATAGTAATGGGGCAAAGAAAACGAAAAATAGAGATTAAGACTTTTCAGAGTCCATGCATCGCTCATTTCATAGTACTGTCGACCAACTCACGATAGATCTTCTTGAGATCGGTAATATCAGCCTGCAGCTCTTCCACCTGCTCACTCTTCTCACCCAGCATCTCCAACGTGGTCTGATACCGCCGGTCGAGATCTTCCAATCGTTTCTCGAGCTCCTGGATCCGATCGTCAGATTCCTTTTTCTCTTCCGACTCCCGCATCAAGTCGACAACTTGCTGTCGGGCCTCGTCGCGCTGGGTCGTGATTCGGGCAAGTTCGTCTTTCGACGCTGCTCGCTCGCTCTCTAGTCGACGGACCGTGGCGCTCATACGTTCGACCAGTTGAACGGAGGGACCGGCACCGACGGTGGACTCGGAAATGATGTCGTTGATTCCGCGCGACTGCGCGCCTCCGTGAGCGGACGGGGTGCCTATGCCTGTGAAGAACTCATCCGGCTCGTAAGAGATCCCAGGGGTTTCGGGGATTTGGTGGATCGATACACCGTTTGCGACAGAAGCCGGGAATGAGTTCTGTCGCGGAGGAGTGCCGATTTCTGACGACGCCATTTGCAAGGTCGAGGGACGACGGCTCGTGGGCCGGTGGTCGGACAGAGAGCCGACGGGCTCCAGGTTGCTCGATCGGCGACTGAAGCCCACGGGGGATTCTGTCCGGAGCAGATGCATAGGCGAGGGAGAGTGGTCGCGTATCTTGGACCGTTCTTCTTCGAGCTTCTGCGTCCACGTCGCATCCCACACCTTCTTTTGTTCGACGAGATCGTTTTGTGCTGCCTTCAGATCGTCGCCGGCTTTCTGTAGCTTCTGCTCTAGTTTCTGTAGCTCTTGGTCGCGTTCTTCTAGTTTGTTCTCCAGATCCTGCTCGGTTTCTTTGGTATTCTCTAGTTCTTCTTCTGTTTTCTTGACCTTGAGGCTCTGCCCATGGCATTCATGTTAGCATGTTGTTCTCGATTGTTAGAGATTCATAATAGTTCTTACCACTTCGCGGATCTTGCGTCTCAACTCCCCCTCTCGCTTGGCAACTTCATCTCGCTCTTTTTCGACATTGGCCAGTCGCGCCATCAACGAGCCCTCTAGAGCCTGCCAGTTCTCACTGGCCACGGCATACTGCGTTTGCAATGTCTCGATCTGTCGCAGAAGCTTGGCCTGGGTGTCACTGGCGACCCCAGACGAGGCTTCCTCTGCCTTTGAACGAAGCGACTCCATCTTACTCTCGAGGATCGACTGCTCGCCTTTCAGCTCAGCCTCTAACATCCGAGCTCTCTCCTTTTCTTGTCCAATGGCCTCTTTCAGGTCACTGATCTCTCTCCTGAATTTCTCCTCGGTGATGTCACGCTCAATCTTAATGCTAGTCAGCTCCTCTTCCAGTGCGGAAGCATGTCGCTTTTCCTGTTCCAAGGCATCCGAATGGGCTTTCTCCTCGGCATCTTCGGCGCGCGCAACGGCTCTAGCAAGCTGGCCTTTCATCTCCTCGACAGTCTGGCTTAGCGCATCCCGCTCGGAAGTAACTGCATCAAGATCTCGGGAAATCTTCGACTGGGAAGTGAGAGAACCGGTTGCCCTTTTCTCTGCCGCCTCCGCTCGTTTAGCCCGCGCTTCTGCACTAGCGAGATCCCTTTCCAGCCGGTCGGTCTTCTTTTTCTGTTCCGTTTGGAGTTTCGAATTGTCCGATAGTTGCTGTCGGAGCTTCTTGATTGCTGTCCGGTGGTCCATCTCGGTTTTTGAAAGTTTCTGTCCCTCCTCCAGCAGCAATGCTATTCGCTCATCCTTCTCTCGCAGCTGCTTTTCGACACTTCCAGGGTCCGCTGTCGCTGCTGCTTTCTTCGCAGAGTCTGCAGCGTCTTTGGCAAGATACTTCAGCTTAGACTGCAAGGCATCGATCCGCTCGATGTACCCGTACATCTCTTCCTGCCATCGCGATTCGGCCGCCTTGTGTTCTTCCCTCAACTGCGCGACCGTTTTCTCGTCGCCGTTGACTGTGGTAACTGTGGTGGTTTCTGCAGTTTCTCCTGACGTACGTGGAGGTTCGGTCGGTTCGTCTGTTGGTGGATCCGTAGGACCAGCCGCATCCTCGGAGGTTTCGGCTACAATCTCAGTCCCATTGTCCCTAGATGTAGCATCATCGGTAGACGGAGCGGTAATCTCTTTCGAATTTCGTGAAGGAACGCTCGAATCATGGCTGGTTCTCGGGTCGACCGTTTCTTCTTGCGGTGGAGGGCTCTGGGGAAGCTTCTCGGCTTTATCTGGGGACTCGGAATTCGATTCGACATCCAAACTTGAACGCGCATCATTGCTGGCTGTCAGACTGGCGACGGGCGAAGCGACACGGCTCGGAGGGGAGGATGAGCTGACATTTCCCGGCGCATTGTTCTTTACAACGGCTCGCGCTAGACGTTCTTGAAGGCGGTCGTTTTTGCGCGCATTGGATGAACTCCGAGAAATGTCTGGAACCTCGTTAGTACAAATCAGACGGGGAGCAAGGATGAGCATACTGCCGCTCTGGTTGGGTTTTCCAGTCGCGGATTTAGATTGCGACTGTTGTTGCTCCTCTTCTTCCGCCAAAATCAGGTCCAGTCTCGACTCTACGCCGGCGACTGCTTGCTGGAAGAAGGATCCAACCTTCCATTTCGGTTTCGAAGATTGTTGCGCCATGATGTGATTTCTAGCGGTAGGTAAACTCAACTTAATCGGTTCTCTTCGTCATGAAAGGCAACAGTTCCTGACAATGACGATATGATTAGACGATGAGTGGTTATCACCAACAAGACCAGTTCAACGGGCGGTCCACGGGGGCGAATTCGACAAATAAATAACAGAAACGAGAGACTAGGGTAGAGAAGGCAGACGAGAGCGCGCACAACCACGTAGGCAGAAGCACGACCGGAGAACAAATGGCTTGCGTGGACGAAGCGTTGAAGACGGGAATCCGATCGGGGCTAACGGGGCTTGGCATGGAGAACGTCAGTCGTCGCTCTCTCGACTTGTCGCAGCTCTCCCTCCCTCCTCCTTCTTCCCTCGTCTCTTCTTCTGTCTTCCCCTGTTTTTATTTTTATACCTCCTCCCTCTTTCTCCCCGTCACATCTCCGCCCGGGCAGGATCCCGTCTCTGTCCCACCCTCCTCCCCCCTTTTCTAATCTCCCCCCGCCCGACACCATGTCGACCATGCCGTTGGAGCCCCCGGCCTATCTCAGCTCCCTCCAGAACAATATTCGAGCTCGTCCGATCCCCTGGGAGGGGGCCGTTCGCGCAGGTAACATCACCGATGATCATCTGAAGAAGATCAAGGCGGTCGATAAGGTCCGCAAGGAGCAGCGACGTCAGACGGTGGAGGGAGACCTTCCGAGCTATGTTAGTCTGCTAGCTGGCAGCTCCGACGGCAAGAGTGTGCTGGACTTGGCGTCCAGGAGAACCGATATTGTACAATATATTCTGGTGTTGGCAGCCGATTTGATCAATGGTAGGTCGCTTTAATGGGTGACGGAGTCTTGTGCTACGAACCTGTAACTGACTTGAACAGATGTCCCGTCTTTATCGTCCGCACTGGTGGCGCATCCCAGCCCCTACAAGCCATTCCTTCCCCTCTTGCGTCACTCCACAAACACCGAAGATCCCATCCCCCTCCTCACCTCTACATTCTTAACCAACCTCGTATCGATCAGTCTCGTTTCCACGTCCAAATCCACCCCGCGAGATGAGGAAGCGCTCCCGCAACTTTTCACCTACCTTTCTAGCTTGACCCAGAACCAAGACAGCGGACTGCAGGATATCGGGGTTCAGGAACTGTCGGCGCTACTGCGCACGTCGCGATCTCGGGAGATTTTCTGGAAACAGAGGAAGGAGACGGTCGATCCCCTGGTTGAGATCCTACGTGCTGCTGCCGGAGCCAAAGACACCGGCTCCAGCACTCTGGCTGGTAGCTCCCGCATCGAGCCCGGTCTCTCGGGTGGAGTTGGCCTTCAACTGCTATACCGCGTCCTCCTGGTCCTGTGGCAGCTCAGCTTTGAGGGAAGTTTGATCGGTGATGATCTTCAAGCGTGAGTTACCTTGCTGGGCTACTATCATGGGCTTGTGTACTGACGGACTACAGGGACCATGAGTTTATCCAACTGTACTCCCACCTCCTGCGTCTGTCTCCCAAGGAGAAGACTACGCGCCTCCTTCTTGCGACTCTTAAGAACCTCCTGTCCTCCAACCGCTCGACTCTCCTCCCAGTAGCGGTATTCGTGCGCCTCCCCGCGCTGCTCACCAACCTCTCCGGTCGTCATCTGACCGACCCCGACCTCCTCGAGGACCTTAAATACTTGGCGGATATGCTAGAGGAGTACACCAAGACACAGACGACGTTCGATCAGTACGCCGCCGAGCTGCAGTCGGGCCACCTGCGCTGGTCCCCACCCCACCGCAATCCCACCTTCTGGAAAGACAACGCCCGCCGCATCCTCGACGACTCCAACGCCGCGCTACCGAAGAAGCTTGCCGAGATCATCTCCAAGAGCTGGGACAATGACAAGCAGGTGCTGGCGATCGCCTGTAACGACGTGGGACACCTGGTGAAGGAACTGCCCGAGCGACGGAACCAGCTGGAGCGATTGGGGTTGAAGGCGCGTGTGATGGAGCTGATGGCGGACAAGGACGAGACGGTCAGATGGGAGAGTCTGCGGGCAGTGGGCGAGTGGCTTCGGTATACATTTGACGACTGATTTTGTATTCTCTTGTGTGATTGATTTGTCTGTCTATATTACCCAATGTGTTGATTTTTTCTTGTGTTTATTTGTCTCACCTCAGGCATCAGTAAGAAACGGCCGTTGTGTTGACGGTACAGCTTGATGTGCATAATAGAGAATTGGCAAATGCGACAGTGACCCAGGTTCGTCCGTTATGCATCTTTTAACTGTATATCAACACCTTGGCGATAACCGAGGGCCTCCCTCAACGTGACATACACTGTACTCAACCAACCCATCTCCATGGATCAGCAATTCAAGGCTCCGCAAAGCACGAGTCCACAACTCGATCTCCGGGGAAGAAACAGACGCAAAAGGCTACCCCGCATGGAGAAACCGCCGGTTAATCCCTGTTCGTCTCCGCTTCGACAGATCGAAAAGAACAAAGGCGTCAACACTCTGTATGCCATTCCATCATCGGCGTTTGACTTGACTTCCAATATTTCCTCCCTTATTGGACACAGCCCAGTCTTCTTGTCCTGATCTGAAGTGCTGGCAATGCTCCAGGGCGATTGAGACAAGAGGCAAGATCCTGTGGACCGCAGTCGGTGATCGGCCGCTATCTCGACACATTCCGTGGGCCCCGACGGACTTATCTTTGGGTGTGGATTTTCCGCTGATAGCCAGTCACCACCCTGGTCGTGGTCGTGGGATTGGGTCTTTTTTCTCTTCTTATTTTTTCTTTCGCGCTATATCATCGCATCTGAGGTATCGAATTGCACTGGAATCTCATTTCGAAGAGAGTTGGTACATACTCTACGGTGTCTGGCAGGCAGACTAGTTTCGCCACAGATATCGAGTTCCGTTCAAGACGAAAAGCGAACAACGAAAAGGGGAGAAAAAGAGAGGGAGAGGGAGAAATTCCCACAACTCCCGCTGTCAAATTCCCATGTCTCGATCGTTCACCGGCTGCAAACGATGTAAAGCTCGCCGACAGAAATGTGACGAACAACGACCGATTTGCGGCCGATGCAAGACGGCCGGCACGCAGTGTGGGTATGCGATGCAGCTGCAATGGGGAGGAAGAGCCTTTTCGCGATCAAGGTTCGGCGCCTGCGTGGGGACTGGGGGGATGCAGAAGTTCGGTGCGTTTTTAACCTCCATTTGACTTGGGCTAAATTGTCCCTGACTGTTGATTGTTGCTTGGTCTAGAATACTCCCCCGGAGAATTTATCTACACCACGAATGCCACCTCCCCCACCGCCGCCGTTGAAACGTTTCCCCTCGTGCAACCCGTCGATCCGTTCTCCTCGCTCTCATCGGACAAGAAGGCCCTACTCCACCATTTTCTCAACGATGCGTCGCAGATCACGGCCTGCCATTCCGGCATGCAGCGCGATATCTGCAAGATGCTGGTCCCCATGGCCCTGCAGACCCCGTCGCTACTGTATGCGACGATGGCGCTGTCCGCGATCCACCTACAGGCCTTGTACAATCAATCAGAGAACGTCAAGTCGGCGCCGGATATCGCCCACCTGATGGCTCTCAGCCTGGAGCATTTTCGCAAGGAACTGCAGAATCCGCAAACGAGGGGCTCGGATGCGCTGCTGGCCACCGCTCGAACGCTCTGTCTCGCTGAGGTGCACTCGGGCGCTATCCATCCGAACTCGTGGCGCGCTCACATCGAAGGTGCCAGGGCTTTGATGGCCGCTGCCGATAACCGAGGAAGAGGAGTGTCGCCTGGCTCATCGGACGGGTTCCGCAGATACCTCGACCGGTGGTATCGATCGATCGTGTCGCTGACGGCCTTAACGGGGAACGGGCCGCCGGTCGAAGTCAAAGAAGAGGTTGTGTCCGACAATCGACATATCGATGCGTCCGAATCTCCGGACTACCTCGACGACTACTGGGGCTTCACGGTCAACCTGGCGGCGATCTTCCGGCAGATCGGGGCAGCAGCCTGGCGACATCACCCGAGCCACGCGACTCAGGACGGCGGCGACGACGAAATCACAGTTCTCCACGAAGCGGAGACGCTCGAGTCCTCGCTGCGACGACTCATGGACCGGGGGGCCGGTTCCATCCCCACGTTCTACCCAGGGGTCGTCGAAGGCCTATCCGCCACATGCATCCAACAATCCATCCTCTGCAACGAAGCCTTCCAGCACGGCGCGCTCATCCAGATCCACCGCCGTCTGCGACGGACGCCCGCGTCAGCCCCAGAGGTGCAGGCATCCGTGAGGCGGATTCTCGACTGCACGACGCAGATCGGGCCGTCGTCGGGACTGAGTCCGTGGGTGTTGCTCACGACGCCGTTGTTCATCGCAGGCTGCGAAGCGCAGGGCGAGGACCGCGCGCAAGTCCGGCAGCTGCTGTCTGCGCTGCACGATACGATCCGCGTGCCGAACGTGTTGCAGTCGTTGAAGTTTCTGGAGCAGTATTGGGGGAATCAGCTTGATGAGAGCGAGAGTTGGAATCAATTTTTAGGTATGTTGAATGCCGTTTCCATTTCAATGGTGGTTTATCTGACGAGATCCAGATCGAATGAGGTTCGATTTTATTCCATATTGAGTGCGTGAGGTCATCATGCATCACGCATCATGCAGTTTATGTTTACGATATCAAGCGAGCGAGAGGATCATTCTGTTTATATTCATGGTGTTTCTGTCGATGTATATATTTAAGGGGTAGCGTCGTACGGCGTTTAGTATATTTTACCTATCAATTGACGTTTACCACATATATAAACCCTAGATTTAACATGTGTAGGAATTTGGGGTGCCAGGGGTAGGCTACCGAAGTGGAAGAAAAATTGAATGAGTTATTGAAGCTTGCTTGAATGCTAACTAGGGGATAGAAAGGCCCTTTATATCTTCAATATCACGTGGTCTTCATGGCCGATTTCATGGCAAATACCGCTTATTTTCATGGAACCTTCCGCTTCATATAAAGGTTTTCGGAACTTGCCTTTAGCGAGGGTTTGGCGGATTGCTCGAAGCACCTGATTCTTCTACAACATGCATACACCTACATACATCGTATACATCCAAAACCCATCCCCGAACTCGACCAGTCACAAAACCAACGACGGAAACCCCTTCACGAGGACAGCCTAAGCTTTTTTTCCCTCGAGGAAAGAATGCCAGGAAACCAGGGTCCAGCCCTTCCAGCCCGCCAGTCCGAAACTACTACCGGTCAGGTCCCTTGCAGCGGTGGTGAAACTGTCAGACTCAGGAACAGGAACCAGGAATGCTGCCACTGGGCACGGAGTCGTTTCTTTTCGGCGAGGAAAAACAGGGCTGACATTAATGAATTGATGACAACTAGAATGTGAGTACCTGTGAAATTGACGCCGAAATATTCTGCACCCGCCAAGCCCGTTTTTTTTTTTTTTTTTTTTTTTGTAGTACCGCACCTCGTGCTGTTGGCTTACCCTGCGAACCTCTTCGACTCGAACGAGGCAAATGTGCGAAGGAGCAGGGGCATTAACATCCACTGATTTGCCGACGAAGTAGACCGATGTAATGAAATCGATTGGTTTGGTGTTTCTGTACAAATAGTCCGCAGGATCTATGCACTGACCTCAGAGTCGTTTGAGTTGATTGTCGTAATCCCATTTTATCCGAGTCCTACATGAAGATTGCGGCACAGTTAGTCTCACAGGGACAGCGCTTAGGACGGTCTATTGATTTGCTGAACCATTGTGCCAGGAACGCGGCGCAGTACGAGCTTCAAGAAAACATCACTGCAGTTTCCTGCTTTCGCTATGCAGACCCGCCCTCAGTCAAGTTGACATGACATGGAAGTACGTTGGCACATAAATGCCAGTACACTCAAACTCCACACGCCTTGCTTCGCCTGGGTCCATCGGAGGTTGCATTGCATAGCCCCTGGTATCGCAGATCTGCCTATAGCTTCCTGTTCTAGAGTGCAGTGGCGCCCGATTGTCATATCGTTCATTCGAAGTCCTCTTGCCCAGTGGATGTATCGTTGAAGCCTCCACATGGTGCGCATTAACCAGCGGAGAAAATAATTTCGCCTCGCCTCGCCTCGGCCAATGCCTCATCATGGAGTTAGGGGTGGCTTGCGACTGTGCAAACTTTCTTGTACTCATCCTCAAGGGCACTGTGACAGTCTCTCAGCCTTGGTGTCGGTTCAGAACCAGAGATCATATATTTATAACATGCTCTGGGATGTTGCTAGAATCTCCATACATTTTTCAACATACTTCAAGCAAGAACTGACGGAACCTCATTAAGGAAAGCTTGTCAGCTCAGTCAGGCTCCTCTCTGCGCTCGAGCGTATGATGTAAACAACAAAAACAGGGTACGTCTGCGTCGCGCGCATAGAGCGATCTCGCTCGTCTCTTTCATGAACCGCATCGAGTGCCGCGGGCTGAAGGACGTCCTGCACTAGCCGAGTCACCTCAACACTGCCTGTCTGCAGCTGCGCCGGGCTCGAGCTCAAGGAATCATTCCACAGCTTATGGATTCGTGTCTCAACGTCGTCGAGGAAGCTGTTGGCAGTCTCGCCGTCTCCAACGTGAAGTGTGACTGTGCCGATCTGCTCGCGTGCCTGCTCTCTGGCTCCGCGGTGGCGGAAGGTGTTAGTGGAAGATGGGGTTGTGAGGCTGAAGCGTTCGATGGTGCCGTTCTCGGGTAGGAGATGAAGAACATGGATTGTGGCACCGAACTTGCCGATAACAAGGAGCACGGACGGACTGGTAGAGCGGGCGAATATATTTTTAAGACGGGCAAGCATGATTATGTGAGTTGAAGATTGGTAAATGAAGAGATATAAGTCGTAGTTGCTACTTAACGTCAGAAAGGCAGTCACGCGCGTCAAAACCAGACCACATGCCGCAGGGTCCCGGAACGTGAAGGGGCTGTATTATGGAGCCGAAGTCTCAATCTATTGAGGAAGACAACTGATTGATATCTATCTATGCGACCCCTAATGGTAGATATAGCCTAGTCCGCCGGGCCGAGATTCCTGCGGTCAGGGATGAAATGAGCGGGAAGTCGGGGAGTCGATTATCCAAACTGCAGGGTTATAGGCGAGAAACTTAAGATTTCAGTAAAGGAAGTGACATTGATCTCTATAGACACCGTAGAAGGTGAAATGAGTCCTATAGCTAGGAATCGGGCCGACTATGAATCCACCTTTACCACCTTGATCAAGGGATTCGGATTAACTCAAACCCGTCTCAGTTAGTTTTATTAGAATTAATATGTGGCGCCCGAACTATCGTCCGTTTATCCGGAGACATTTCCCAAGTCGTGACTAGACTCGAGGCCAGCAGGCGCTGCACTATCATCGTTTCAGGTTGGTTCGTTACAGGTAGAGGATATTTTTAGCTAAGGGATTGTGGTTTGACCGTTTGGACTCCGTGTTCATCAATCTTAGGAAGTTAGGAAATACTCCGTTCTCCGATGAATGGCTGTTGGATCACGATAGGGATACAGAACACCGAGTACACAGTGAACACTGAACACTCAACACTCAGCAGTAACACTAACAAGACTCGGCAGGTAGGCTTTCTCTAGTCTCTCGCACTGACTCCTTTCTCCAACCAGTCAGAGCCCTAGAGTCGGGGATGGTCGTGGAGAGGAGAGGGAGCTGGCGCTGGTCCGAGTGTCGAGGATCTGGCTGCAAGCAAATAGGAGGATTTTCTATTTATTCCTGCTGTATGTACTATTTGACACCACCGGAATAGAACATCAGAACATGACATGATCGAGGGTCGGTTGCTTTAAGCTACGAGAGGGCTGACCGCCACCGTATGATTTGGTCGGTTTAATGTCCGAGTTTGACGCTGCTATGTATAACTACACAGTAGCTATACATGAGGTCTATGTTTAGTATCCCGTGCTGTGCTACCTATTCTGTACTACTTACTCTACTACTGCATGCACTCGATCGAATCAAGAAGAAATCAGACTGTAAGGCGGTCGATCCCAACGGCCAAGAAGGTTCGTGTGGCATGAACTATGAAGGATGGTTTCATCCAGGGGCCGTTTGCACTGCAAGACTGGCTGGTATTAGATTAATCTGCTAGACTGCTTCTGTCTACTCCGTAATCAACTGAGCAAAGTAAAAGTTCCCCTGAAAGATGCGGTGGGTCTGCCTGGTAGACTTGGGCGATCGGCCGCTCTAGTCCGGCGCCTACGAGCCGTCTTGCTTGACCTTGACCTTGATCTCTATAGTATGGAGGATGGCAGTATAGACTCTGTAGAGAGAGTTAGGTACTCTTGTGAAGAGTTCTGTGACAGAACATGTCAAATTGGGCACATCAGACATACTCCGTCTGTTGAAGTACTCCTATATGCGAGTGACTTCTCCGACAGGCACTGCTGGCGGCCCTCCGCGGTCACGGCACCATCGGCGGTACATGCAGCGGCGCCAGGCCCACCCGGCGCCAATCCTTCTGTCGCTTCTCCTTTTTCCCTCTCCTTCTTTTCCTCCCCCCTGATGGCCAGAATGGCTCCTTCTTTCTTGTCTCTTTGCAACCCGCTAGTCTAGACACTACTGACCAGAATGTCCCCCCTAAAGCTATCGGCTGCCCCGTGCTCGCTCGCTCCTCGTCACCCATGAGGGACTGTCGATCCGTTCATGGACCAACGATGGTTTCTGATTCTCTCTCTCCTTTCCCCATTCTGACACTCATTTATTTTTATTTGTTTCTTGATCGAATTAAATTGAATTTGGACCATTGATCCGAGTCCAATCATCCCCGAAAAAAACCATAATAACCGCCGCCATGGCCCCCGGCTGGGCATCTCCTCCTCCATCCCATCCAGGGAGTCCCCCCGGTCAGCCAAGTCTTTATCCTCATCCTCATCCTCACTCGCATTCTTCGTCCACCGCTCCTGCTCTCCTGTCTGTCACCTCTCCTCCCTCCCCTCCCCTCGTGCGCCGTAAGCCGTTGCCCCAGGATGCCTCCCCTGTGATCCCTTCTGGCCATTCCAGGCTCTCGACCTTGTCCTCCATCACCTCCTTCCCCGGGGGCGATACACCTGCAGATCCTCCAAACCCTACTTCGTCGCTCTCCAATTCGACCTCCCATCTTTCAGTCTCAGCTACCCACTATCAGTCCTCCTCTTCCCTTTCTTCCCCGTCTTCCGTGCATGACGACCCCTCCCTCTTTGTTCCCAGGGACCTGGATAGGTATGTTCGCCCCCAATTAAGCGCCCTCTTTGTTTGCTCCTTATTGTCCCTTTGGGGTGGTTTTCAGCTTTCTTATTTCTGCCCCCTCCGTCATGCCGTCCTGTAACTGCCCCCAATTGAATCGTCAATTCCTGTGGGGGCCTTGAACACCTTTCCTCTTCTTCGTTCCTCAACTTGACCACCTCATGCGATTGCCTTCCCAACTTATGGCCATACTAACGTCGTGCTGTCGTTGCTCATCCCCAGATTTCCCCGTGGTGGTCCGTCCACGTCCCATCTGCGAATCGACACCTCGACCTCCTTTGTAAACCTCGACGACAGCGACGAAGACGGCGCTGGCTATACCTCCCAATTCACGAATGGGACCCCGGTCCATAGCCGCCTTGTCAGCGAACCCTTCGTCCCGGTCCTGAAATCGCCCCCAATAATCCATAAAAGAGCCGCAACCATGGCCTTACATCCCCCCTCCAATCGTCCTCCGCCACTGCACATCGACTCCGTGCGAGGCATGCAGGCTGCCATGGACTCTAGACACAACCAACAACAACAACAACAACAACAACCGAAAACCCCCGCAAATAAGATCAGTAATTTCTTCGGCTGGCGAGCCCAGTCGTCCTCCCCTGGCGCCGAATCGTCCAGCACCGAAATCTCCGACACGGGCCGGTCCCCGTTGCCATCTCCGCTGCCGCAGTCTCTTCCCAGTGCCTCCTACTCGATCACCCCCTCCACCACCGTCCCTCTCGATCACTCTAAACACCCCGGGCCGCCGCCGCCAATGCGGAACCCTTCCCTGAGCAGTGCCGGGATGGCGGAGTCGGGGTCGTCCACGTTGGTGGCGGAGATCGAAAACGAGTTGCGGGAGATCAGCTCCGAGTTGGCTGGTTCGATCCGACGGGAGATGGAACTCGAGGATCTGGTAGAGCGGCTGCAATCGGAAGACACTCCGAACCGACGCACGAGCGACTACTTCTCCGATTCGGGGTCCAATTCCATCCGATACACCTATGACGGCCGGTTAGAAGACGTGGAAAAATTCCGGCGTACCGCAGAGCAAGAGCGCGCGCAATTAAAGGTCGATCTGACGCAAAAGTGGCACGAGGAACGGTCGCGTCGTGCGGCTACCGAGTCCCACGTGCAAATCCTCGAGTCACAAGTGCAGCAGGTGAGTGAACCCTTGTTCAGAATTATCTCCTGCCTTCGCGGGTCATTGACGGGTTCGTCCAGCTCCGACGAGAACGAGCCGAATTTTCCGACCTGTCGTCCCGAGCCAAAGAACTCGAAAGTGCGCTTGAATCCGCCCGCCGAAAACTGGCCGAGGAGCGACAGATCAAAGATAACTTCGAAGATCTTCTCACCGCCATGCGCGTGGAATTGGAGCAGCTTCGAAATGAGCGGGATCAGCTGCGGGACGACGTGATCCCGCAACTGCAGCATGGCCAGGGTGGCTCCGCCAACCCCTCGGAGGTGCAGCGTCTGGTTGAAGAAGTCGAGGCGTTGAGGATCGAAAACGCCTCGTTAGCGCAGCTGCAGGGCAGCCGATTCGCTTCCATCGCCGAAGAGGACGGCTCGTCCAGCCGGCGAAGCTCGGGCTTGGGATTGTCGCGCTCGAACTCGCTGGCTCGCGGCATGCACTCGAAATCGAACGGCCCCAGCGGTCTGTCACGGTCGAACTCGCTGTCTCGCGCGAACACGGTCTCCGCTCGCGGTGAACGCGACACCAACACCCGGGAATCGCTGGCGGACCGGGTGGAAGGCGCCGAAGCTCAACGCGACGCTCTCCACCAGGCCCTGCGGCGCCTGCTTGACCGTCAGACCCACGACGCTCGCGAATACGAGAAGCGCATCAAAGTCATGGAACTGCAGGTGCTGCGCGCGCAACAGTCGGGCTCTCCGCGCAGGCTGGGCTACGAGCGGCAGGTGCGCAACCTGCAAGACGAAGTCAACCATCTGCGGAACCGCGCGCAGGACGCTCTTGACCAGAAGTGGCAGTGCGAGAAGGGATTAGCGGGTCTCAAGATGGATCTGGACCGTGCAGAGCAGGAGACCTCGTCGTTGCGCGAGCTGCTGCAGGAGCACGACATCACCGCTCCCCAGGAAGTCGAGACCGACCGAGACGGGTTCGCCGAAGTCATTGCCACCTCGTCGTCGTTGGAGTCCGCGTATAAGCAACTGCAAGCGGACCGGGAATACGCAGAAGCCAGCGCCGCTCAGTCGCCGCAGGAGGAGCACGGCGACCTCGCGGCCTCCGTCAGTCGCACAGAAGTCTTGGCGCAGAACGTGCGCCGGCAGCTCGACACGAACCACACCCTGCGCAGCCGTCTGGCTGACGCTATCGGCAAGGGTGAGAAGGACCAGCAGGTCTCGGCCATCCGCATCAACGAGATGCAGGCTCGACTCAAGGAGCTGGAAGACCTGCTCATGCTAGCGCAACAGCATTCCGAGGACGAGATGGCCCGCCACGACGAGGAGATCCGTCACCTCGAGGAGACGCACAGCGCGCAACTGATGCGCTTGAAGCATAACGGCGGCCGTAGCCCCTCCGCTCTGTCTCCTCTTCCTCCTTCCACCCCCTTTGGCTCGCGGTCGCCGCGCTTGGATAAGACGACCAGTGGCGACGGTATGCCTTTGACTCAGGCTATTCAATCGGAGGCTCTGGAACAGCGGGTAAAGGAACTCGAGAGACTTCTGCGCGAAGCGGATACCGAGATGAGCGAGGTGGTCAGCCGGATGAACCGAGCTCAGATTGACGTGGCGGAACTTCAATCCGACCGGTAGGTTGAACCTATCTTCATCCTAATAGATCAGTCAGCTAACAAGTACCAGGGATGATGCTCTTCGCCAAACACGCCGACTTCAGACTGAGATCCAGGCTGAACGAGAAGCGTTCAAAGCCTTGATGGGCTGAACGCGATCTATATCTCTGCATAATCAGTCCTACCTCCTAGACGGTGACTGATCGACTCTAACCGACATGAGAGACGGTTATATCAACAAAATAATAATCTCACGGACATGGTGTTCCCGGAGTTGGGTATAATCTGCATCATCGCAAATAGAATACCCTTGGTTTTGATGGATGCAATATTGCGTCTGTCATTGGTTATTTGTTTTGGTTGTTTTTGATCATTTTGACTCGTCTTTCATTCGAAGGAGAGTCTTGTATATGTGACGCTTGTATATGGTTTTGATTTTTGCCACGAGAGTATGTGGGCTGTATATATGGAGAGGCTTTATCCTGGTTGATATATTGATATAATAAGAGATGATGAGTTGTGTTCGAAGAAAGAAGAAGAGAGGGAGGGAGGAAAGAAATGTGATGGATGAATGGATGTTTTCTCCCTGCATTCCTTTCCATTCCCTCTCTTGGCTGGTTGGCATGTCACATCATGGCTGATCTCTGTCTTGTATACACGTTCTCTATCTATGTCTGGACCTGGATCAGAAGTTTAGTTAGTTACGGGATGACTTGTCTGAGAGAGCCTTGGCACATTGCATGTTATAGTGAAATAAGCATTGTAATGTGTTCAAACCATCTGACCTGTCAGCCATCTTGGGACTTGATCCTAGTGCACGTGACTTGTGAGTTCAGCTGCTCTCCTGGATTCGTGAATCAACGAACTTCTCCCCAAATTCGTCATTATGCCTAAACCCCGACAACTGCTTCAAGGGCAAATCACGTACTCAGATGCCAAGGCTGAGGAATTCAATATTCTCCATCGACTTCAATATCATGCTGAACAAACTAAATTTTTCATTCACCTGTATGATAAACGTGAATGGATGAAGGCTACTGTGGCCCATCATTTCGGCCTAAAACCGTTCACTCAGTGTCAGGTGGCAGACACGGAAAATTGGCTCCACGGTAGCTTTAATGTTTGTATTTTTATTATCATCGACAGTTGGGACGGCAAACGGGTTCTTCTGCGGTTCCCGTTACCATATCGCATTGGCGAGAGTTTCAGACCCGGGAATTGCGACGAGAAAATCCGATGCGAAGCAGGGTCCTATGCATGGTTTTAACAAAACTGTCCAGATGTGCCAATTCCCAAATTATATGGCTTTGCTTTGTCCACTGGCGAGACGGTAGGGATCTGGATTATTACGGATATATCTGATTTCCTGTGGCTCATTAACTAATCCTAGTTCACTCGACTTGAAACCCTGTCGTTTTTCCCTCGTTGTTTCCATCTCCTGCGTCAGCATTTTCTATCGTGGCTGAAGAACTCAATTCCTTCCCAGTATGTCCGCCACCAGAGCACAGAGCCAATCTTTGCCGATGGTATAGTGAACCTCAACCACGGCTACCTTCTGATTGAGTTTATCGATGAGACACGTGGATCCATGCTTTCTAATACGTGGAAAGAAGGACAACATAACCCACAGTTACGAAAGAACTTCTTCCGCGATCTCTCCCGGCTATTTTTGAGTGTTACTCGGGTTCCTTTGCCCAGAATTGGTTCATTCATTATTGATAATAATGGATTGCTACAACTTACAAATCGGCCACTCTCCATTGAAATTCAGCAATTAGAAAACGAAGAGATCCCAACGAAGATACCTCGCAATTATACTTACTCAACCGTTGATTCCTATATTGTTGATGTACTTGGGTTCCATGATAATCGTTTTCGGTATCAACCTAATGCCGTCAATAATCTTGGAGACTGTGCCTACCAACTTTCTGTGTTAACTTCTATGCGAACTATCTTTCAGTCAATCTTTTCTACTTCACTCTGCTACCTTACCGACTAGATGACTTGCTAGTTTGACGCACGTATCATCCATGCACGACTACTGTTCACCATGTTCATAGGCAGGGCTTTTCCCCTTTTGTCTATGCGTCTATATAGGTAGCAGTGAACATTGCTACAGTAAAATGTTCCGGTGGCAGGGGTTTACATACACCAGTATTTGCCACGCGATATTTCAATTGAAAGGTTCTTCATTGCAATTTGGATATGTAACACATAATAACTGCCAACTAAACCTAGAAACAACTTTTCAGTCCACATGAATGGCCATTTACTGGGGAATGAGCCTCCAGACATAAGCAAATGGCTGCTGAGAACTTGTAAGGCGATTGCGTCTAATGCCAATTGTAATGATGCCGGTGATATTTTCCCAAACTATCTGCTCGACATTGTTGGTAGAGTCGAAACCCTTCGGCGATCCCTTCTCGTAGTTTTTGGGTCCCTGGTTTCCGTGGCGCTCAAAGTCACTCATCCTTGCCACGAGATTGAGGTCGTTCTGAAGTTTAGCACCTGGAAGATCCGAATAGGCCAGCGTTACTTTTAGGGTAAATGACGATGTCCTTCCATCTGGCAAACGAACCATCGGCGGGCTGATATCTGCCAAATCCATTGGACTTGGATCCTCATCCCCTATGACGCCGACACCGAAACCCGCCAACTTATCCTCGTCTGGTCGTATCATGGAGCCAGCGAGATCTACACGGCCAAAGCCCGAATGGTTATTTGGCGACCCCTTTGTCCCGGACGGTAGGTGTTCCCCATCGATTGAAACCGCCCCATTAACCAAGAGAGCTTTCAAAAGTGCTCCCGTCGGCTGAACTACCCCGTCCTTCTTGTCCTGATAACCCTTCTCCGTCAGCCATTCCCGGAGAACGGCGCAGCTTCCGGCAACCAGCGGACATGCCATGCTAGTGCCTGCAAGGTACATGAACCGCGTATCGCCCGACAATCCAAACTCCGCGGGAATGCGAGTGTCGGGCAGTTTTCTAGACCTTGTTGACAAGATTGCTGTACCCGGCGCTACCACATCGGGTTTCAGCCTGCCTTCTACCGTTGGCCCACGACTGCTAAAAGCGGCCAGGTTGTTGGGATCATTAGCCATGTGGTCATCGGCGATGGCACCCACCGCGAAATCGTTCGGCCAGAAATCACCGTACGTATAACTGAATCGGGAGCTTTGTCCACGGTATTTAATGTGCGGCCGCATATTCTCGGAGGCACCCACGGTGATGCAATTCTTGGCTGCAGCTTCTGCTCCAATGGACCTGGAATCCACCCCTCCATTCCGGTCCCTGTCAGTGCCAGAATTCCCTGCCGCGAACAAGACGGCCATGTCTTGGTGGTTCCAGACAAAGGAGTCAATTTCCTCCGAGTCTTGGGTATAAGGTAGCTGGGTTTGTAAAGAAAATGGACCCGGCCCAGATCCCCACGAATTTGTATGGACTCTAGCACCATCTTCATATGGCGTACGGAATAGGGCTTTGAGATCAGCCGGGATTCCGCTAAGTGATCCATCGTCAGCCAACAGAGACTGAACGATCAAGTCGGCCCCTGGGGCGACCCCTTCAACCTTTCCCTCGATATTCGAGTGCCCAGCCCCCAACACTGAACCGCACACATGTGTTCCATGTCCGTCAGGATCGTCTGACAAAGACGCATCTTTTCGTCCAAGGGGATATAGTTTAATGAATCGACCTTCGAAAGCGTGATGGACATCGGTAGTGCTGCCGTTGTCAAAACCAGTGTCTGCGACTGCTACGGTTTGCCCTTCTCCCTTGCATATGGTGCCATTGACAGTCACGTTATTTGCATTCATGATTCCGCGAGCGACGTTGTTGAACAGTCTCGCCGAATAGATTTCCTTGATGGACCGCACGGCATCAATCGCAGCCAATTTGGAGAGCTCCCCCTGGGTGACATGAAGCCTTGCTTTGCCTTGATGGCGTTCTATTGCAGACGTGTTAGCATTCGCTGCGTCGGCTATTTGCTGAATGAGCGCGTCCGAGAGCTCTACATCATGATGTAGCATGACATCCACAGATTTCTTGGCCTTTCTGTTCGAGGGATATTGGCTTTGCGCTCCGGGCTGAATAACGAGATCTTGGCCATATACGCTGGCGTGCTTGACAAAACCGAGTGCGCGAATGCGTGCTAGGTCTTCTGGCTCGTAGCCACAAAGGTAGATGTTTCGAGATTCATCTCCAACGAACTCATGGATTTGGACCCCCATTTTCTGGAGTTCCTTTTTCTCATCCCCCTCGAGGGGGCTTTCTTTAGTTTCAATCAGAATATAATTTGATTCTGATGCATCACATTCGGATTGCAGAGCCAGGGGATCTAGTGGTTTCCCGTTAATATAGATAGTTGTCATTATGACGCCCAACCGAGTATTGTAACAGTTTGGATTATGGAAGTTCAGCTTGAAACTTATTCAAGATCTTTGTGGTATCCAGTGCGAGCATAATGCTTTTTTTTATAGCATGCTAGACTTGGAGTTACATTCCACAAGCTCCAGACTCGAAAATACCATGTTGTCACCATGACGCGGACTTGGGATGCAAAGAACGACCTGGACTGGGACAATGATGAAAGATATTGGTAGAGATATCACGCGGGGGTAGTTCCAGGCCCTGTAGCCATGGCACAAGTAGGTCTACAGAGAGCCTAGTTCTTCATTCTTTGTGCCTAGGCAACATAACTGTCCCATTGTCATGATTGAAGTTCACTGAAGACAGAAGGATGGTAAAACAAGCTTTCCACTATACGAATGGAAACTGTTGGTGCTAACCATTAGAATCTACTGGATTAGGATTTGATTTGGTCATACGATTACGGTCTACAATTCCGACGCTTGAGTAACGGTCCTCTGCTGCCCGGCCGGCTATTCAAGCAAATGGTAATGAAGAAAGGAGAGAACTGCCAAGGCTCGTGTTTTTGAGCCACCAATATTGTGGTTGAAGCAGTTTGTGCTGCCATGACAGCTTCCGCAAACGGAGAGGGAGAGACGAATGATTACAAACGCAGTATTTAGACTTCGATTGCCTCCATAAGAAATTGCATTCTCGTATTCTCATCCGTGTGACAGCATAGTTATGGAAGTCTCATGGCACAGATCGTGTCTACGGCTCTCAGCAAATATGGGAATATGTAGAGGGTCTAGAACACCTCTGCAAAAGCCACCGGATGCGGACCGAGTATACCGTGGTTGATCACCCGACGAACAGCCCCACGCGATCTACGGAACGGATACGGAGCGGATCTGAAAGTAGCCATAGTCCTGCTTCGTTGGGTCTTTTGCAGTGAGACTATCGATGGCGGTGGTGTAATCCGTCTTGGTATAGATGATAACTTGTTTCCTGCTGCTTTTCCTTGTCCTGCTCCGTCCACAAAATACTATTGGAGACCCCATAGCCAACCGAAACATGGCTATAGACGTTTCCGTACTCTTCTGTCTCTAAGAATACTGAATGGGTGACTCTGGGCTCCTCCAGCGGCGCTCTTTCGTGGTGGCAGGTGAGCTGTTCTCGTGCATTGACCCGAAGACCCCCATGTTTGCTCAGTGATCAAATATGGTGCAAAACTGTTAGACGATTCATCAATGCTGTATATATCCTGGCGGCGGCTGTGGCCTGCAAGAGCCCTGTACGCATCATGAACCTCTTCCACTCCCATATTATTTGCACCATTGATCACTGAGCCAGGCAACAGCGTGTGGGCAGAATGACCGTCGTGGTAGCTTCCAGTAACCCGTGCCATTGTGTCTGTCTGCTCCAGTCCGATGTAAAACCAACTCTTTGTGTGTGCACAGTTGGTCGATAAAACTGCATTCCAGGTTGTTTACTAAAACTCACTCTACCCTGCGCAGGGAGCAAAGTCTTCTTTAGTCCATTCCTCAACCATCTGGAAGCCACGGAACTGGCGCTCATGGTGGTCATAGTGGCCATTATGGTAAGGCATACTCCGTAGTAGATGCGGTTTTTGCTACGAGATCCTTTTCAACCATACTTTGAACGCAGTGCACGGGAAATGGTAGCTGCGTTACCCCATGGCATCCCACCACGCTCGTCGTCCCGGCGGGTAACGAGTGGAGGATTGATACCTAAGCTTCGGTATCGCTGTTCCAAAGGCCTCCGGTGACAGTTACTATAAAATAGGATAAAAAGAATAAGATAGAATAAGAAGAATATAAATAGAAAAGTATAACTATCTATCTATGACTAACCATCTCTTCTCTATCAAAGAAAGAACGGGAAGAGGAAAAGGAGAAGAGAGAGAGAGAGAGATGCTCTCCTCTATAGTAGCTGTCTCTTTAATAATCTATTCCACGTCTCTTTGACCGGTAGTATCGCTACAACTATCATTTAGGGAATATCAATATAATCAGCAAACTAGCTCGGCTTTCTATTTATATAGTTATCTTTAATATCCTATCCTATTTCTTCGCCTACACTTGTGCACTTACTTTTACTTTATAAGTAGAATGGAAAAAAGAAATGTACGTACGTACCTAATCATTCGCAGAACTATAACTAGTTATCATTCTAAGGTTGTCCAGTAGGCAATCATCTATCGATCTAGGTATCATGATTGATACGAATAGACATGACTCACAGATTGCAATAGACGTCAGAGTACAACTGTTACTAATAACTTCACATCAAAGCTTAAAACTTGGATCAACAAGTAGAATGCATCAAGCTGTTGGACAAGCAGTCTCACCCTTACGGTGTTACAATAGTCTGAATCCCACGCATATGCTAAACCACCGGCAAAACAACTAAGATAATTTCCAACAGTTGATTACGGATGAACATATACAAACATTGCACCATGACACTGATACCAAAATGTCCAAAAGTAGAGTGCATAGACAGGGTAGAGTAAGTGCAGTTTGAAACCTAGATGCTAAGACAGACATGGCAGAAGAAAGAACAGAAAGCAAAGGAACAAATTGATTGCGGTCGATAACGCTTGGCCCAAAAGTCGCAAGAAAGATCAAGTCATCATCACACTCTGGAACCCGGCCCTCTATCATAGAACAGATGAAACATGCACAGTTTTCATACTCATTACGTGAATCCATCTCCGGCCACCTCGACGAAAAGCTCGGAAAACAACAGCCTCAGCATACTTGCATAGTAACCAAAGACATAAGGCAAGATATATAAAATAAACAGACACAGCAGCATCGGGTATAGCAGAGGGTATAGAAACGAGATGCGCAAATTATCATTAGCTCTTATCCTTGAACTCCCAAGGATAAGTTGTAGCAAAAATGAAAAACGGCACAATGAGAAATAGTCGGAATGCAAAAAGAAAAGGGGGAGTCTGCACACTCAACAGGCGAAGAGACCAAGAGACATAAAAAAAGGGGTGAACAAATTCCTAGGACCTACTAACCAAGATTCACACCAATTGCAGTACCGACGCCTCATGTACCCATGAACGCCAAGTTCTGGACAACGCCGGCCCATGAAATTGCATGAGGAAAATAATATAAAAAAGAGCGAGAAATATTTTTTTCTTCTTTTCTTTGTTCAATTTTCTTCCCACTTTCAGTAGTTGGACCATCCAAGGGGGGCTCCAGACTGACCGGGCTGTGGATGACCCGGTTGCATCGGCGCCCCGGGTTGCGGAGACCAGCCTTGGATGGCTCCACCCGCGCTCATCCCCATTGCCATTCCAGGCTGCGGGGGAGTGCCGGCCATGAAGGGTTGGCCCCCCGGACCTTGAGTCGACGGGTACATACCTCGAGCAGCTGTCATGGAGGGATAAGGGGCTGCCGTGTTACCAGGGAACCCCATCGAAGCCATGGGTTGCTGCTGAGGTGCTTGTGGGTGATGCAAGGGGAACGACTGCGGCATCTGGGGTACGGACGGACGAGGCTGATTACGAGGGGACTGGGATGGATGTGGCTGTTGCGGCAGAGAATGAGCGAGAGGCGAAGGCGAATGCTGTTGCTGCGCATGTAACTGCGAGGCATACTGCGGCATCGCGACGCCCTGGGGCCCGCTGGCCGGCATGGGCGAAGGCTGCGGCTGTGGCGGCGGTTGGCCCCACATCTGCTGCGGCTGGGATGGGAACCCATACGGTGCTTGAGGCTGCGGCGTTCCCGCGCCCGACATAGCCGGGTTGGACCGTTGATGCATGAGGTCAGGTCGGACGGGAGGCATGGCTCGAACAGGGGACTGTCCAACGGGTGGCTGGGGTGGTGGCTGCTGCTGATGGTGATGTCCCGCGGGCTGTTGGAAGCCTGACTGACCGGACATCATGGGAGCCGCCTGATGGGGCATCATAGGCTGCTGCGGTTGGGTCGAGTTCATCACCCCGGCCGAGGGCATTTGAGGCGACTGCAAGGGTTGGGAGACCGCCGCGGCGGTGTCCAATTGTCCCGGCTGAGACTGGGCCGCCGACTGCGGGATCTCGCGTTGCTTGGAGTAGAAATCCTCCAGGCCCTTCTGACGATAGCTGCGCTGCGAGCTCAGGATCTTGTTGAAATCGGCCGTATGCGACGCTTGATTCAAAATATCGGCGGCCGAGCTGGGCTGGGACCGGTCCTGGTACGGTTGACCGGTCAACTCCTGGCGGGTCCGGGGCATGCTGTTGTATTCCCTCAACCGCGGATCATCTGTCGTGGTGGCCATGTGGATCATCGGGAGCGGTGCGTGGGACACCGAAGACGGGGGTCCCAGAGGCAAGCTGTTTGGCATCGCCTCGAGCGCATTGCTGTAGATGACATCACCATGGGCTAGGGCTGGCAATAGGTTGGCCGCGCTCGCCGCTTCGGCGGCAGCCGCATCACGGGCCTTGGAGCCGCCGGGTCGCTTCTCGCCGGCCAGGTCGTCCTCAGTGAAGCCTTGCTTGCGCGCTTTGCTCTCCCAGTAATCATCACGCACCCGTCGGCCGTTGACGATCACCCTGCTGCCGAACTGCCGGAACATGGATTTCGCCGTGACGATGGCGATCTGGCGTGATCGGTAGGAGTAGGGCAAGATATCCTGCTGGATCAAGTCGTCCTTCTCAATTTGAGTGGCGATGATTTTGTGCAGAGAGCGGTTCTTGTTGAACAGGAGATAAGAGTCGCGATACCCCAGAACACGCGCGCATTCGGTTGCCAGCATGAAGAGTTTTGTGCCGCGAAGAGGAACCCGGAACGTGCGACACTTGTATTCTCGACCACCCTGGGGATAGCCCATGGCATCCACCTTCTTCTCACCAGCCTCGTCGAATTCTTTGGGGATGTACTCGTCTCCCTCGTCGTTGAGTTGGTCCGTGGTGTGGTCTCGCACCGTCGGAAGCGCCTTGACGAGGGTAGTCTTGGTCGGCGTCGTCTTGTCGGAAGGCGATGCCTGCGGAGGCGAAACATTCACGCCGGCATGGGGCGGGAGCGGCTGGGTTTGCATGCGAGGAGTCTGTACATGAAGGCCAGCCGACTGTGGCTGATCATTCGTGTTTGCGGTGGAGGGGCGCGGCGTCTTTGGGGGACGGCCCCGTTTGCGACGACCATGGTCATCTGCTATACCATCAAGGTCGAGCAGACCACACGTTAGCTTATATGACCTTGAAGGAAAACAGAGCATGTGTTCGTGTGTGCACGCGTTCAAAAGCATTAAAAAGACCAAATCAAAATCAAGTTAAATGAGACGACGCGGCTCTGTCGAGTACCTCACGGCCATTGGAAAAAGACGGACCGCAAGAGTACTCGCGACGCACACATACCGTCATCGTGGTCCCCATCAGCGCGCGCGTTCCCCCGCAGGTCCGGAGTCCGACTCCGTTTCACGCCACGAGGTAGGGGAGTGAGGGTGGTTGTTGTTGTTGCTGCCGCAGCGTAGGACGGGGCAGGTAGAACAACTGCGACTAGCAGAAGGCTGTCAGTTTGGAGGTTGTCGCGATGGACAGACAGATGGAAAGATTATGAACTGTAAGAACCTCCATAGATGGCGACAACGACGCGATCACCGTCGTAGCACAATCAAAACAAAAGCGTAAATGCCGAAGGGGTGAAGAGGGGATCAATAAGAACGTTCAACCCCGGAAAGAGATGAAAGGGAAACGGTTCGCACACCAAAACACAAAGCATGTGGGTGGTCGAATCAAGGGGTTGGATGATGGGGGGGGAAAGGGTGTGGGGGAAAGAAAAGGTTAAACCCGTCGAGGGGGCGATATACAAAGAAAGTGGGAAAGAAAAAACAAGACTACATACCGCTGTTGTTCAAGGCAGCCGGATTGATAGTCCCCGAGCCATCAACGAGGTCTCCCCCGATCCCATTCATCGGGGCGGAAACGGAGGAGTGGGAAGTGCCGTACATGGCGGGCCAAGGCAGGACGGCAGGAGGTGAAGGAAGCCGTCGCAAAAAGGCCCCGGGCGCGTCAAGGAAAAACGCGAGAGGTGTCCAGACGCCAAAACGGGAAGGGATGACAAGCTGGGTCGGGTCCTGCAGCGAAACCAAAAGCGAGCGACAGGAACGGGCGACGATGCAAGTGATCCTCGGAACAAGTCAACGGAGACCACGACACGCATGCAGTCGGAGCAGAAAAGACGAGGGCGAGCGCTGGTCGTGGTTTGGACTGGTAGGTGGCAGGAAGCGGATCAGCGGGAAGTCGAGCAAATCGCTTTTGTCGGGAGCTTTGACAAGGGCAAGAGAAGGCAGGCGGTGAGGGAGGGTGTTTGGGGTGTTGGTCGGAGTTGTGCGGAGTGCGGAAGCTTCCCAACCAGGCAGAAAACCGAAAATGAAAATAAATAAAAAGAAAAGAAAAGGAAGCGTGTGGCGGTGTTCCGCCACAAGGGGAGGCTGTACCTGGTACTAGGCAGTTGCAACTTGCAAGTTTGCAACTATGGAGGGTGGGCGCCTAAGGTAATACCCAAGGTTCTTCCCTAGTGCTGCAGAAAGCAGCGGCACAGGGAGCGAAACGATAGCGATAGGTAGAACGGACAAAGCAGACAGAAGAGAAGAGGGGGGGTTGCAAGATAACGCTGAAGATGATTCACGGCGTGCCGCTGATGGAACCGATCAGTGGGGACGGACGACTGGGGTTGTGTGACCGTCAGAATGTCTGTGTGTCTGTGTGTACAAAGAACGACAATGTATGTGTGAGTGTGTGTAAGACAGGATCGATGGATTATTGGATTAGAACAAAGGAGGGGGGGGTGGAAGGGGAAGGACAAGGTGTGGAAGTGGGGACGAAGGTTAGGTTGGAGTCAGGACTGGGAAAACAAAGGGAAGGGAAGGGGAAGGGGAAGGGGAAGGGGGAAAAAGAGAGGTGAGAGAGAAGAATGGAGGGAGGGGAAAGGAAGGGAATCAAAGAAGGGAAAGACAGGAAGGGACAGGAAAGGAGGGGTCACTGGACGGGAGGCGGCGCCACCGCTGGGTGTCATTGGCTGTCGGTCACGATACACCCGCATGGGGGACTTTTAGGTTCACCCCCCAAAAAACATACCCCCCTCCGCGAGATGGATTCAAATGCTGCACAACGCATTTAAATCTCAATGATAATTCCTGTGAGACTTGCAAGGGAATCCCAAACTCAAAGAAACACAATAATCTCAAAAAAGCAAGAAATCAAGAATCGAAAAGAAAAGCAACGCGTAGGACGCGTGCGCTCCGGGCCGAACTCACCTGGGGCCTGAATTACCTAATCCAGGACTACATGCATCTCCAACTCCCAAAACCCCGAATCGAATTCAAATTCAGCCCAGCATGTGGATGGGGTTCGGGTAGCGCGGGCGTATGTACGGAGGACTAACCTAGCCCGAGAGTCAGAAGTCAGATCACAAATGGCTCGTTCCCTTTGGAAGCACTCGCCGTGGCTCCTTGCCTGTTTCTCCGATCTCGCTCTCGTCACGTTCCCTGCGAAGAAAACAAATCGGATGCCTCGACGGGATCGATCGACGGCCAGACGAGAAAATGGTGAAGTCTGAAGACGCCTCGCAGTAAGACTACCGGCAATATCAATCCTCGTCAACCCATAGACCGATGTGATTGCGTGGATCAGCCTTAGGGTAGCAATGGCTCGAGCATTAACCCGATTGACTATGCACGGAGAAATTATTAGAAGACCAACCAGAGGGGGAGAAAAAGAAAAGAACTGAAAAAAGAAATGAAAATATTAAAAACAAATCAAAAAATGAAAAAAAAAAAAAAAAAATAAGGGAAGAAAAAACAATCAACTAAGACCAGACCAAAAGGAAAAAAGCAACGATCAAATAGCCTGAGATCCGAACCACCGCGGGGCAATCCTTGGATAGGAAAAAGAAAAACGAACGGACAGAGCCGCTGTCTCTTACCCCCCTCCCGACAGATAGAGATATGGTGTGACGACTACCGGGAACGCGATCGAGGTACTGTAGAGCAGGACGAAAGATCCGGCGGGTCTTGTATACCTTTCTTTTCTTTTTCCGTCGTTCGAATCCCAAACTATCGACCCTCTTCTCTTTCGCGCCTTTGTGTTTTTCGGTGTCCAGCTCTCAGCTCTCACTGCACAGAATGGACGAGCGGGGAGACTGCTGCTGGAGAAGCGGATGTGGCTTGTACACTGCGACGGTACATGAATAGCGTTGAAGCCAAACAAAGCAGATTAGACTGACGAATTCCCTGCCAGCCAATAATCGAGCAGTTGGCTTCTTCTGCTGACGAGGACGAGATGCGCTATCCGGTTAGCACCGCGCAGTAGTCCCTGGAGAGGGGCTTGCGGCATGCGTTCCCGAGGTTGGATGGGATTTGCCAAGGGCTGATGCTCCGTTTCAGTCGGTGGAAAGCTGCTCGATGATTAGTGAGATGCATTTGGGGGGAGCTGATGGCCTGCTGCATGGCGTTCGACTTATTGGTCTGCCGTGGTAGAGGATGAAGAGGGGAGAGGAAGGGGCCGTCTTACTATAGGCAGTCTACTTCGCTGCTAGAAGTAGTACCTAGTTAATTGAGAACGGGTACGGGAGATCCTCAAACGCTCCGAGTCAAAGTCCTTGATGGCTTTTCCTTTCTCAAGATGGACAGAGAGTTGGAAGAGGGGGAAGGGGAAGACGGGGAGAGGGTGAGAGGAAGAGAGATAGATGAAATAGATGATTGGATCGCGACAATGTGCAAGACAGGGTCAAAGAATGGGAAGGAGAAACAGAAGGAAAGAAAAAGCAATGATCGAAGGGGGCAGGATCATCATTATTATTTCTATAACCCTGAGAGACTACGGAGTATGTTCATGAGTTCATCCCCATGAACGAGACTTCAGAATGTCTCCCTCGGTCATACTACTACCTACTCACTACTAGTACCAAAGAACGAGTATAGAAGAGGATCCTGTCCAATGACACCCTATCCTATCGATCCCCATCGATGTTCATATTTTCTGGTTTTTCGGGGGATTCTCAACCTCAACCACCTACTAATTCTTCGTCGTTTTCATTCCATCATCACCATCGCACCTTTCCCCTTCAAGACCAATCACAAGACTGGCGCTTCTCCTCACTCCTGATTGACGGACGACCGGTAGGTATCGTATTGTCATGGTTTGCCAGGGTTTCCATTGGAGGATGAATGATGGCTATGACAGCCTATGGATGCCGGCTGGGAAGATTCATCCGGTGCCTATCGATAGTCCAGCCTGAATACGAAGTCTGGTCCATACTACTGGGGACTGGTAAGCTAGCAGCAGTAGTGCTCTGTAAAGAACGATCCGTCTACCTGATAGACCCTCGCAAGGGACGGGACATGACGATCTAGCATATCCCGTTAACCCCAATCGATGGTAACGGTTGCAGGGGATCAAACCGACGCAGCTGAATGCATCAAGGGGGTTACCCCAGTTGAGCAAGATAAGTTTATTTAGACTTGTGCAACGGAGGGGAAAGCTTCGTGATATCGCTAGGGCACGCTTCCCTTTTCCCTAGAATTTCTTCCATCCATCTAGCGGAATCTCAACCGAACAGGCACCGGGCGGAAGATGGAGGGGGGGCATGGGTTTCAATGAGCTTAACGTGCAGAAACATGGGAAACAATCGGAATCCTGCCGAAAGCTGTCAACTATTCTCCGCCACGACGGTTACATTTGAAGCCGTCGTAATGCCATTCTTTTTCAGGCTCGGAATCCTTTGTGTCTGGAGTCGTCAGCGTTTAGATCGGATAAGAGAGAGAAATTCATCAGAATGCCAACCACGTATAAGGCTAACAAGAATGAATACCTGGATTTGAAACCAATCAGAAGGACCGTAAAATCGAAATCCACCCCCGAAATGGGGAAACCAACAATGGGAGAATCGGCGTGCATTCCTCGCGGGGGCAGATGACCGACCATTGACTTTGGCGAAAAGGTCACTTGAGCGGGAACTAGCGGCGATCTCCCAAGGACCGTGCGCTCTGGTCCAATCTGGTCCAAGGATGGCCCCGTCGGCGGTACTTGGCTTGTAGCTCTAGCAGGTACATTCACAGAGCAAGTATACTTTCCCGTATCTCCGTATCTGGTTTTCTTTGTATGGGCAATCTTCTTTCTCATCAACTCCGTCGCACGACGCTGTCATTGACACACGCCTCTTGTACGTCGACGCCCCGTTCGTCTGAACTCCAGGCCTTTTCAATCCGTGGCAGGACAGCTGCAGTGTCACCTCCCAACTCTCCACAAACACTCCATCCGGAATCAGCTTCTTGACCGTGCCCTTTGTGATACTTTCTTGTCTCTCATATCTCCCCCCACCCTCACTAGCACCACTGCTGTCTAGCCAGTGGCTCAAGCTTTCCTGTCCCTCCAGGCGCGGTGTATCAGTATCCCATGCCGGTCGGGGGATAATGGGACGGACAGCAGCCAGAGAGGCTTGATCAGGTTGGGTCATTGGAAGGCAGCCATGATGCCAAGCGACTAAAGGCAACAGAGTATGCAAGTCATCAGCAGAACAAGGGAAGACAGTCCTAGTCTAGCCCCGGCGGGCCTGGTCCGTCGTGACTCATGGGGTGATGCCGATTATTGGCTGATAGCAGTCTCCAAGAGCCATCATTTGTCCAACCTAAGCATACCACATCCTCCTTCTGCCCTTGATATGGGCTGATAGGGGACATGTCTGACTTGGAAAGGCGGGCTTCGGGCGAGGTCTAAGAATAGACGACTATTCATTCACCATGCCTTTTTCTCTCCCCCTCCATCACCGCGACGATAGTAGCGTCCATCGGCCCCTCTCCTGTTATCATGTAGATATCGCATAATTGTTCCGCCCAATAGAGGCAGTGAGGTTTTTTATTTTGCACGACCCTGCTTCAAGCAGATGGCCCAATACGGAAGAGTTGCGTATTAGTCTTTTCCCTCATCCGGTGACTCTTTTCTCTGGCGCTGGCTGGGCATCCGGTTGGACACAGCGAATGTTAGCGTTTGCCAATGACTCGAAATATCTCCTTCCCGCGCCATGCAATTACCCGAGACAACCGCAACACCTTTCGGACTGGCTTGTTCAACTCGTGTACGACCAAGATGTGTGGAGAAAGCGAGAGTCGGGAGGTTCGAGACCTGCGCGGTCGAAACGGCCTTTGCCCCGCCATGGCTCCCGCGAGGTTCATCTGCGTCCAGATCGGCCTAGGCTTTCCCCATGGCTCGCCCAGTGAACAGAAATGGCCGAAGTCGGATCTCCGCGCCGTGGCAGTATCGGCTTGCAGCGTTGGATGGGGACAAGGGGGTCTCTGCACAGACACAGATCCCAAGAATGGCCGTGCGCTCGGTTCGCTGTCTCTTCGACCTCGACCGGGGTAGGCGGGAATCCAGACCATCTTGTGTCCTCTTACCCCTCCATGTGCATATCTAGATACCCGTGCGTTGGGTATCAAATGAATGCGAAGCCGTTAAAAAGGTGCCCCACCACGCAAGATTGGCATGAGAGCCTGAGGCTTGTCCGGTTAGTTCGCCGGTATGGTGCCTGAGGCAGCCGGCAGCAAGTGGTGATCCACGATCCACGACCCACGATATCGCAACTAAAATCTGATAAGCACATGTTTGCAGATTTATAGAGATTCCGACCACCGGGTCCGGCACGTTGGCTTGATAGCAGTGACATGGCAGGGTAAGAAGTTTATTTCCTGAGGAGGCCTCAAAGTTTGTCCAGCTGCAAGCGCTGTCCCAAGGCTAGGAGCTGACGAGGAAGTTAGTACCCCGTATTCACCGCGGTCATCGACCAACGCCGCGCAATCTACCGATGCAGCGGTTGAAGAAGGCGAAGACGACGGTGACAATGGTAAACGATGATGCTGGCGCAGGGAGCTACTCGAATGCGATCGAGTGACGCGATTAAATCATGGTCTGAGGACCCCGATCGATGTGGACGCATTGTCAATCGTTCAGCCTTATTTTTCATCACGCTATCGTCATACCTTCCTTGGAAAGGTTGGCAGAGACTAACGCAGGTCGGGATCGATATGCAAAATATGCAAAATGCTCATCTATTGATTGAACTCTTCGGTTCTCTTTGACGGGCTCCGCCGAGCGTGCGGGGGGAACTGGGCACCGATCAATTAAGGTACTTAGCAATTGCATTGTTGGACCATCGCAACCGTGGGATCATCGTGTGGCGAGCACTGCCAATGAAGTTGAGGTGGTTTGAGGCGAGCGAGGCGGGTGGAACTAATCATGAGATCATGAACTTCGGACCTCGCCTCCGCCATGGCTGACATGCAATCCTTACATCACTATTATGACGAGACGATCCGAGATGATATCAGATGAGATCAGGATTGACCATTTCTTTTGGGCTCGTTCAGGATGTCGAGCACGGACAGATCTCTATGGCGAGAATTGACAGAAGAACGTCCGGGTCAAGGCTCAACATCGAAGCCATAGTGGGAGTACATCGTCGTCGGTCAGCCTGCTTGAACCCCTGCCGCCTGCCAGGAAAAACCGGTCCAGCGACAGGGGATTATTAAGGTCGCTGTCTTAGTCAGGGCGGTCAGAGCCGGACTAAGCCCGGACGGGGCATGGCGTTTCCCCGTCGAGACCACGCTAGGCCGGATGAGTCTATCCCCGCAAAAGACGGCCAATCATATTGGGAGACTCTCTCTCCGTCCCTTACCTAAGGTCAGTTCTATTTTCACCCAGACTCCTGTCTATCAATAATCTATTAAATTATTAGATTATTCCCACCGGAACTATTTTGGGTTTCCCCGACCGAAGTTGACCTTATTGATTTGTCTTCCCAAACAGTAATCATTTTTTTGAGGAGAAAAATAACATGAAAATGAAAAAAAAAAAAAAAAAAAAATCAAATTGCCAATTGTACAACACATCAGGAGTCACTTGAACACCTACCCCAAGCGATCAGACAATTTGCAAGATGCAAACGCACAGGCAGGACAACGAGAGCGCGGCATGGAACATTCCATGGACTGCCGACCCAACCGGACCCACCGCAACGAGGTCAGCTGCTCGATTCTACTTTTAAAGTGGAGCCGCCGCGTCTGCGTTTTTCTTTCTCGCTGCGTTCGCCGTTCGCCGTGAGTCAGCCGTTGCCACCATCTGGGCAGACCCTGGCAAGGACATTCAAGTATAGGATAGGTTAGAATCTGGAGATGAATCTTGTTCAAATGAATTGTCAACACATTATATCCTATGTACATAGATGGTACACCGTAGACACGATAATGGAATAACACCAGTGCAGTGGGGAGATAGCCACGCCGGTCTAGAACCCCAAGGATCATCCGCTTGCAGACTTTGCCAGATCAGATGGTGCTCCCAGCCGGATTGCTGTTTTGGGGGATCCGCCAAGGACAGCGCGTAAGGACAGGGACTACTGGCAGTACTGGGACTACCGCCCATAGTCGTCGGAGTGACTCCTGGGTCTGGGTCTGGACTCGGCATCGTGACTTTCTCGCTCCCTCTTTTTTTTTTCACCCCGTTCCCTCGCTCCCTTTCCCTCCTTTCTCTTCTTTCCTCCCTCTCTCACTTAAGAATTTCTTTTCCGCCAGTCAACCCCGGATTTCTTTTGTCCTTTCTTCAATCACACTTACACTTTCCTACTCCAGGAATTTAGACACATCACTTAATTGCTCCTCCTATTATCATCCTTCCCTATATAATCCAACTGCCCCTCTACTGGAGCGCCAATTTGCGCCACAATCTACCACCCCCTCTCTACCTCAACCCATTATCTCTACCAATCTCGTATTCCATATACCCCTCCCATCTCATCCTGGAATACTTCAATTTCTGTCCATCAATCCATCAACTTGTCTTTAATACATCTAAAGACGATCAATTCTATACCACCTCCATCGCGGACGTGAAACCCCGAATAGAACTAGCCTACCCATAGAATGGCCGTTCAAACCCTTCCACCTACAAACACAACGACAAAGCCAGCAACTATGAACCCCCGTCTCCCTCCTCTCGCCAACAAGACCTCCCTCACCTACAAGCTCACCTCGCTGTCGAAACAAAAACTCGCTCGCGAAGCCACGGCCCCGGACCCGGACATTCGGCGCTGTCTCGGCCACTTCCGCCTGCACGTGATGTCCATGGAGTTGGCACAGAAGGAGATGACGACGCGCATCAACTCGTTCGAGCTGGAGGACGAGAGCGATGAGGAAGAAGATGCCGTTGTCGACGAGGTCAAGGATATGGCCGACAAGGAGGTCGTGGCGGACCAGCCGCTGCCCGTCTCGAAGAACCAGGACGGGGACCACGGCGTTGCTGCCGATGCCGATGAAGAAGATAAGGAGGCCCAGGCCCGTTTCCACCTCTCGTTCGAGCAGACCTCGACGCTGCCCTCCTCAACGGCTGGGTCTGCGGATCTGCTGGATGAAGTGACCACGACGATCCCGCCGTCGGGCCTGCCGGTGCACGAGTCGGAGATGCCGGCGTCGACGAACCCGTTGCCCACGACGCATATGCAGACACAAACGAATGCCTCTGCCAACACGACGCCCGTGAACTCGGACACCGAATCCGATGGCGAAGGCGAAGGCGAAGTCGAGAAGGATGTCGAAGATACCTCCACGGAAACAGACTACGAGACGGAAACGCAAACAGATACTGAGACCGAGACGGCGGCCACCGACACCGATCCTGAGATCGAGTTCGAACCCGAGTCGGACGAAAAAAAAAGTCCAGACGGCACGCTCCTCGAAAAGGGTCGCTCCTGCATTGAGAAGACCGTTCAGAACTCTTCACACTTCTGGCCGTCGACTCACGGACAATGTATGCCCGTCCGAATTTCCGGGTAATCGGTCAACCTAAAAAAAGAAAAAAGTTTTCTCAAAAATATATTGCGAAGAACAACCTTTTGTCCCAGCAAGCAAAACAAAGAAAACCGGCAAAAACCTCATTATAATAATTACGACATCTACGAAGTTTACGAATCTATTTGTGTTATAGGTGAAGCAAGCAAGCAAGCAGGTAGCAGGTTGGATGTTGTTTTCTTTTTCTCTTTCTCATTTTTCTTCTGGTCGGCCACGGTGTTTATCAACAGGATCGGGATTGGTGTTCTTTTTATCTTCTGTTGAAAATTTACTCTTCTCACCATGTATCAATTTACCTACCTTATTTATTTATATATACATATTATTTTTCCACACAACAGAGGACACATCACAAACACTTGTACCAGTACCAACCAACCCATCTTAGTCTTCACCGCTAGTAAGGATTCCTCAAGTCCGATTACTAGGCAATTATCCCCCGACCCCAACCTCCACAAATGTACCCTGTACGATGGGAAGATCTGATTGGGATAAAAGACCCTGCTGATCAACCAACCCCAACTGATAGTGGACTAACTACGTGTGCCAGTCCTCAGTACGGAGTATGTAGTCAGGTGAATGTAGGTATGTACGTATGGATTTCGTTTCCGAGTTCCCCCAAGCAAGGAAGCCCCCCGTGCATTGTACTCACACATACATATATCACCCTTCATCTTCATGAGTCCGCAGCAAGCAGTAAGCATGGTACTTCCTTATTAAACCCTGCGAAGAAACTACTGGACTAGTTGAAAAGTACGAGCTACACTGCAGGATGGCTGCACATCCTAGGACCTACAGCTTAACAGCCTACAATCAACACCCTAACCCGGTAGTCTGCAGGGCGAAAATTGAATAGGATCGTGATCACACCCCGTAGTTAGTAATACAAGAATAATAGTCAGCTAGGCAAACCCACCTTGTTTGAAGGGGCGGTTTTCAGGACGGGGAAAGATGGATAGTGGATCCGATCCACATCCGGTGTTCCGGATACTACGGGGTACTTATAATTCTTTCTCTACACGGGATACGGAGAGGGAATATGGTGGACGAAATTGTTATGTCTATGACTCCTCCATTATGTGTGTTATATATTCCACTGTTATAACTCCATAATTAGCCTCGATACGACTCGATAGTGGACCATTCCCCATAATCACTCAAACCGGAATCAATGAATCAATGAATCAATGATGTGGAAAGAATACCCAAGACTGTGGACCTACTCCGTAGAAAGTGATCATGTGGCAAATAGTACGCATACTTAGGTATCCAGTCCTTGTGGCTTATGCAACCTACCTACCTGCCTGGCAGTCACAGTCGCAGCCCGCAGGATCAGGATCGACCTCCATTCAAACGGGGAAGATCCAACAAAAAAAAAAAAAAAAAACCGCTAACATCCTTCCACCCAATTAATCTTCCCCATTGGTGGCATTGTTTCTATTCCGTGTTTCCCCAGTCCTCAATTCTTCCGCCTGTTCCTTCCACCCCACATTTGGGTCTTCTTTTTCCGGCGTTGCGGTTGTAGGCTTTTGTCGGCTGCTCGGTCGAGAAGCCGCCGACCTCCGCCGAGAGAAGGAATCGAATACACATTACACGGTGTACACCTAGGAATATGAATTGACGGATGCATGTTAGGTACATAATACAGTGTATGCCGATTGCCGAGGTTGTGCTCTATCTACCAGGTATCTACTACATATTCTTTGTTCCATACGCAGGAACCATGGACTGAGTAGTGACTACCTAATTATTATTGCTATAAAGAGTGCGGAATGGAAAAGAATCCTTAAATGTGACTCACCATCCAAATCAATTAGTTAGCAGCAAGTTGATGATGATCTCGTTAATGAGCGATCATCACCTAAGTTATCCCCAATGTTGTTAACTAGTTGAATGCCAACATCTCCGACTTTCGGAATTCCAAGGGCTCCAGGGCCGGAAATCCAAGCGATCACGGCGTTATCCAATTCCGAACTAGGCAGGTTTTACCACCGCGGAAATGGTCACGAGGTCGTGGTTGCGGTCGGCCTACCTTCCCTTTTTTTTTGTTCTTTTTAGGGTCTGCCTGATCTGCTTACGGGAGTACACATGGCTTAAAAGTCACCTGTTACCTACGGAGTACACGGTGTATGGAGTATGGAGTAGTTGACTACCTACGGAATACGCAGCATCTATCTATCGATCTATCTATCGATGGACACTAATCGGGTGAAAAGAAGACCAATCCGAGGTGATAAGACGTGACACCCTGTCAACACCACTTAACGGGCTCCTGTAGCATTGATATGTAGGCATTCTTGAGACAACCGTTGCTTGAACATTGCATTCCAGAAGAGAATATCTGAATGGCGTTCTTTAGGCCTCGTCGATAACGAGGTTAGTCTTCGGAGCCAGATAATCCATATTGGGATCAGTTCTTGTCCGTTACTCGAACTTGCTCCAGGTGTGGGAAGGTAGCAGCTATCTCCTACTAAAGGATATCTACTGTATGTTCTTCGTAAACTGATAGTACTGCTGCAGTAGTTGGGCCAGCGTTGTTTTTCCGCTGCAGGCCCCTCGGAAATGCACAACTTTCTGCGAAACCAATAAGATCGATGAGTTTTAGATTGTTTCCAATCGAGCACTGAAATACTGACGAAAGATAAAAGCCGTTCATATGAATACAGTCAGTTATGTCATGAGATGGTTGAGAACACAATCTGACAGGTTTCTAATTTTCTGCTTCCCCTACTTGGATTCGAATCAACTCCTGCTGAACTTGCGTCTCCATGTTCCAAGGGAGTGGATGAAGATATTCTTCACAGACAATATTTAGCTGTTTGTCTTGAGACACTTCCGTGAACTCTTTACGAAGACAGATGGTTCTCGGATTGATTGGATAGGGATAGTTCTCTGTGTGATTGTCACTGATAGGGAGATACTCAATCCCCCTATCCCAGATCTGCCCTCTAAAGACCAAGACTTGAAATTATGCTACCGGAAAGGATTCGACCATGATCGTCTCACGTATGTACACTACCGCGACTGGGACTACCATCTTCATCAAGTATAACAATGCTGAAATGGCCGATGCTCACGCTCAGCTGTTCTTTTACTCTCGCGTAAAAGCAAACCCCCAGTTGACCATCCGCATTCCGGACCTTCACCATGCCTGGGTCTTAGATCAAGACTCAAGCGTGTACCTTGTGATGGAGTACATCGATATCGATCACTCTGCGTTCGACGAAGAGCGAGCGAGGGTGCTGGCGGAGTTAATCGCGGTAGAGCCGCCACTGGGGGTCTTTGAAGCTTTGGCCCATCGGGGGGATATATCAAGCATTCGTTTTTTAATGATCGGGCGGCATGTAAGATAAATTCTTCGGTGCAAGATCTGCAGGACATGATTAATTGGGTTAGCTTGCTCCATTCTGCACATTCGATCATGAAGAAGCATTTGGATGTAGGCCGTTATGGACAGCCACATTGCCTATAGGAGGATGGATGTCTATCGCTAAATATGTGCAACTCCTTAGCTTCTTCAAGATCTCTCAAAGTCTGGTAAGAGGCAAGGTTCGGTAGAGTTCAGCGATGAGCCATTACTCTGCTACTACGGCGATATCCACCGAGGGCAACTTCCCCGTTGACCGGTCTGGCCATCTCTAGGTCGTCGATCTTGACATCACGGGCGTGCTCCTCGCGAGCTTTGCCAGCTGTCCTTTAGATGTTAGGAAGAAGCACCCTCTACTTAGTTTCATTCGGAATACTATCCCACTCAGCCATTCGAAGAACCTAAAGCCAATGTTTCGGGCTGCTAGGTTTGAGCTTGAATCTATCTTGTAAGCCAGTACCGGATATCTGCAATCGTATAGAAGGTTTATACTTACCCTCTTTGTCTACGGGTGTCTTCAAATTGAAGGAAAGGTGGTCTGGGATGGACATCTACTGATAAGCCAGGATGTTAGTCAGATCTGACTCTTCTAGAAGGGTTCAATCTTGACCTTGGCTTTTAGTGTAGTGGCAAAATTTCACATCTACATGGTCTATATGTCCCATCTGAGGTTCGATAATGGAAACCAATTCATGGACTTATGGCTTATGACTTACGGGTTATTTGTTATGGAGCAGTTAACTACCTATAGATACTAAGTAAGTGTACGTCTACGTCTACATCTACACCGTACACTGTAGGTAAATATAGTACCTAAAAGATGAGGTGGTTCTTACTAATCCTCCTTTTTTTCTTTTCCCTTGGTGCTATCTTGTTTTGTCTTGTCTTGTCTGATATTTGGTATTTTTATCTTTTTACTGGGGCTAGTTATATTTAGATTTACTGAGTGTGGGTCAACGGGATGGCCAGATTTGGTGTTGTCTTGCCACCGTGATCCGCAATGTACAGCAGTACTCCGTATACAGCCGAGTTAGTTATGGTCCTATGGATATTAAATGTCTGTTTAACTAGTGCAACGCGAGGTGTCTCACGTGTATCTGTCCTTGGGTATACTCAGTGCTTTGTAGCAAAATACAGAATACGTACAAGACATCATTGACTCGGTAGGTACATATTTAGTGTTTAGAAGAAGCAACGTGTACACCATAATCAAAGTTCTTGTTCATGGACCTATATATAATCTATCTACTATGTAAATGTTCATAAATCATTTCCGAGAACCGCCAAACCATCCATTCCATAGGTGGTTGTCAATCATACCACGCCATGTTCATACCATGCAACCATGCCCGGTGAACGCCCGCTAAGAAACAAACAAACAGACAACACATAAAAGCCCAACCCAACTCAGCGCAGTCAAATCAAATCACATTTGAAAAAAGTGAGAGGAACTACAAATCCATCTCATCATCCCATCCCAACTGCTCGTAAATCGACTTTTCCGGAGTGACAGGCGGCGCCGTCGTAGTCGGGACTTGCAGTTTCGACGAAGAACTCCCCTTCACTGGTGTGCTGAAGATCTTTGCAGCGGGAGGCGTTTCCTGTATGCTGGGTCCCGAGGGACCCTGTCTTGGTGGGGTCTCCATGACCATGGATGATTTGGGGGGTTCACTTGGCATGCTCGTGCTCGTGGGGTGATGATCACGGTATGCGTCCACGTGGCGGGCAGATACTGGCGTAGAGGGGGCTAGCATGTCTGTGGTCGTAGAGCGGGGAGGAGCAGCAGTAGCAGGCCGTGGAGGAACACGGAACAGGGTTTTGGAGATACTAGGAGATTCGCCGATGCTTGTGACACCGTCGTCGTAGGAGCCAAGTGGCTGGACCGCTGGACGACGGGTCGGAGTTTCTTGGACCATCCCCGGGGTTTTGGACATGGGGGTACCCGAAAAAGAGTTGGGCCGTAGGGCGCTGCTACTGGACATGCGTCGAGGTGATCCGTCGCCACCGAATAGGGCTGCAGAAGAGCCCTTCGGTTGGGTAGATGATCGCGTGAGGCTGCGTGGCAGAGGTGGCATGCCGATCACTGCGTCTTTCTTGCGACCTCCCTTGGGCGTCGCTGCAACCTGCACGCCCTGTCCCAAAGGATTGCGGACCGGGTTCTTGGGCTTTCGACCGCTACCACCGGTTCGTCGCTTGTCGGCGTCCTGGGCGATATCCTTGGCCACCAGCTCGCGATTGGGCTTGCGAAGCGTGTGGATGGCTGCGTCGAGCTCCTTCTTCTGGTCCATCAGTAATTGCACCTTCTTCAACTTGGTCTCGTGCTGTCGCGCCACGGCGATCAGGTCGACTTCGCGGTTCTCCATTCGCTTGGCCTTCTGTATACCGCCTCGCACGTTGGCGCTATGACTAGGTAGAAGAGGCTCGAGGGAATCGCGCCGAGCGTCAGGGTTGGAAGGTGCCGTATTGGACCGGTTCAGTGACGGGTGCTGTATCTGTGACGTGGTTTGACTGTCGGTCAGCACCCGCTGAAACGAGCGACGAGCATGTTTCTGTGGCGGCTTTCGCTCGACGGCCGCCCCAGGTTCCGGATCTTGAGGGGTCTTCTTTGCTTGAGATTGCTTCGAAGAAAACGATGAAGGCATGGCACCGGAGACACCCAGCTTGCGCGTGATGGCCTTACATTTATCCGGCAGACGAGCAGCGTAGAAGGGGATGATAACCTCCGTACAGAAATCACGAACCGCATCGCTCTCGACCTTCTTTCCAGGAGCGCTGCTTGCCTTGGTCGTTTCGGAGACGCCGGTATCCTCGAAGTTGACGGCATGCCAGATGCACAGGCGGTCGAGATGCAGCTCCAACATGACTTTCATCTCCTGTAACTTCTTGTTATTTTTCTTCGGTGATTTGTCCGCCGGTTGGCCGCCAGTTTCGTCCGACTTCTTGGCTTCGGCGGCAGCGACAGCAGCGGCAGCTTCAAGAGCTAGCGTCTCCAAGATAAGAAGTATCTGCAGTTGAGTCTCGCGCATTCGTAGATCGGCCACGTTCTTCTTCACTTCTGCCTCGCGCGACAGCTCAATCGTCGCGCCCATATCGGCCATGGCGCGGTCTCTCCACCATCGTCGGACGAATTGATCTTCTCCGGGGTAGAGACCGTTCTTCCCCATCTTCTTCTTCCTGCTTTTGGACTTCTTCTTGCGACCCGGTTCCTCGTCGGAGATGGCCAGCATAGCATCCTGTATGGTAGCCGGTAGCGTCTCTCTGTACTTCAGATCCATCTTCTTGGCCGTCAAGATAGCCTCTTGATAGAAGTTGATCAGGTCAGCGGGTTTTGCCGTCTCCGATTTAGGCGACTGAAATGCAACACGGCATCGAGTCAACGGGCCCTTGGCGAAATACGCCACAGAGGTCTAGAACGTTAGCAACAGAATACCCAGCATGAAAGACTGAGCCTACCTTAGACACATAGAGAGCCTGCAGGTACTGCTCCCTCAGATTATCCAGCAGCTCCTGAGGCGACAGTGACGCATCAGGCCTATTCGCGTCCAACAACCCACCATCCACACCCGTCGACACCACCGCATCAATAGACCCCAGCATCTGCGCCGCCATAGTTGCCTCCGAGCTCGAACTCCTCTCAACAGGCATCTTCGGCGCCAACGACTGCGCCCGGCTCTCTAACGGCGAACCATCCTTCGTGCTCATATCGACATCGTCATGAACCATCCCCACCCCGCCAAACACAACCGAGACATCAACCTTCGCCCGTTTCGACGAGAACCCCTCCTCCAAAACGGGCTCTTCAATCCTCGCCAGGTCCCACCACTCCGTGCCCTGTGTCACAGGCACAGGCACACCCTGACCCGCATCCAGCGACGGACTCCACCCCTTCACCGCAACAAAAAGATCACCCTCCTCCACATCCCTGGCTAGCTTCGACAGCGCATATATCCCCTCCTTGACGCGCTCCACCACATAGATGCCACCATCGCTGATCAGTCTTACCGCCAAAACGGCCGGGTCTCGAGGAGTCGGAGCATGAGCATGAGCACCGGACTCTTCTAGGACGGGGATATCAGCGACGAAAAGACACCCTGGCTGAATAGGCGATAAGGCAGAGGGCGGTTCGAGCCACGAGAAGGGCAATCGAGAGCGGGGGATGAGGGCGATGGGTTCGAGAACGAACGGTTCGTCGGATAGAGAGGCGGCGTGGGCCTGCACCGTGGGATCGGATTAGTATACCACTCGAGGAGAGCAGGTCTGTGTGAATCAGGTAGGCAACGCACCCGGATATTAATCGTCTGGTTCGCCCACTCGACGGCCGTGTGGCATGTTTTGCGCTTTCGAAGGAGCGGGCGGGTCGAAGCGTCTGAGAAGGAGCGGGATAGAGGGGTGGATGATTCGAGGAGGGATCCGCGTGAGGTCATGAAGGCGGTGGGTTTATTCATACATTGTGATTTGAGGAAAGATGAGAACAAGCGAAAGGGAGACGCGAATGGATCCAAGCCTTCGAGGACGATTGAACGATCGGTAGGCAGAGGGAAAGTGAGATGAGATGCGGTGTTGACGCTGAAATCGGAGTCGAGACGCGGTCCCCTTCCGTCTTGGCGTCACGCGTCGCTGCCTGGAATTGATCACTAAATTGACCTGAAGGGATTACGATGAGGACATGTAGCGAGCATATACGCCCTGACTACGGTAGGTACCAGGAAATCTTCGAGGCAAAGTCAAGTGGAGTGAAATTTGAGGAAGGTTGGAAATAATGGAGGAATCATGCCAACCAATCCTATGGTAACCCTAATTCTACCATATCAGGCAAGTCGATGCCTGAATGTTCCAGACCGAACTACAACTTCATCGTCTACCAAGTACAATTGAGATAAGCACGGATGAATATGTTTATGTTCATTACTCTATAATGCTAATGTTTAGATTAGCACACTCATGATTGCCGGTCCAAAACTCGGCAAGTCATGAAAATGTTACCTCCTCCGCCAGACGTCCCATCCCAAGCACAGCTTGCAATAGGACGTCTCGGCAGCTTTCTGGTGGAAATACTATCCTCCCACGGATGAAGATGTGGGCAGATGCACTTCCCGGTCCAGTATATCAAAGCCTGAGGTGGCCGTGTGTTGAAGACTGTCGCTCCCTGAAAAAAAATCAAACGCCGAAACTTCCCTCCCAACAGATGAAAGTGGTATCATGTTGAATTTATCCTCGCCGAACCCGTCGCCCGTAGGCGACCATGCAAATATTAAACAAACATTCCAAATAAGAAGCTTTTTCACATGTCTATGCTCGTGCTTTGAGTTGTTGAAAACAAAGCAAAATCATCACATTCGTAAAAAGAAATGAAGGTGTCACACACACAAGGCACGATCAAAGATCTTAGTTAGCTCGCAAAGAGTGAGGCGAGCGCACTTAGAACTTAAGAGCCTTGGGCTTCTCCCAGGAGAAGCTCTGGTTGGTGAAGTGACCGTTCTTGGCGGTCTGGTTGTAGATGGGCTTGGCCAGGTCAAGCTCCTTGACGATGACACCGGGACGCAGATCGAAGTTGTCGCGGATGATCTGGACCAGCTCGTCGGAGCTCTTGGAAGAGGTGCCGTAGGTCTCGACGAAGACGGACAGAGGCTCGGCAACACCGATGGCGTAGGAGAGCTGGACCAGAGCACGACGGGCCAGGCCGGCGTTGACCAGGGACTTGGCGATCCAACGGCCAACGTAGGCGGCGGAACGGTCGACCTTGGAGTAGTCCTTTCCGGAGAAAGCACCACCACCGTGGGCACCCCAACCACCGTAGGTGTCGACGATGATCTTACGGCCGGTCAGACCGGCATCACCCTGGGGACCACCGATGACGAAACGGCCAGAGGGCTGGATGTGGTAGACGGTGCGGTCGTCCAGGAGCTCGGCGGGGATGACCTTCTTGATGATCTTCTCCTTGATGACAGCGCGGAGCTCCTCGGTGGAGACGTCGTCGCTGTGCTGGGCGGAGACGACAACGGTGTCGACACGCTGGGGCTTGACGGCACCGTTGTCGTGGGCGTACTCGATGGTGACCTGGGTCTTGGTGTCGGGACGGAGCCAAGGGATGGAGCCGTCGTTACGGGCCTCCTTCATGGCGCTGTTCAGCTTGTGAGAGAGGAGGATGGTCAGGGGCAGGAGCTCAGGGGTCTCGTCGGTGGCATAGCCGAACATGATACCCTGGTCACCGGCACCGAGCTTCTCCAGAGCCTCCTCGTAGTGAAGACCCTGAGCGATATCAGGGGACTGCTGCTCAATGGCAACCAAGACGTTGCAAGTCTTGTAGTCGAAGCCCTTCTCGGAAGCATCGTAGCCGATGTCCTTGATGGCGTTACGGATGACCTTCTGGTAGTCGAGGTTGGCCTTGGTGGTGATTTCACCGAAAACCATGATCATACCTGGGAGGTAATGTTAGTGTATACATTCCCTACAAGACAATTGTAAGATAATGCATTGAACATACCAGTCTTGGTGGCGGTCTCACAGGCGACCTAATTTTACTCTGTTAATTGCCGTTCGAAAATTTCGTGCGGAAATACACCGGCCCAATCAGAAGCGATTACGGGGCCGGAGGAACCAAGAAATCGCGCGAAAGAGACCATTATCGTCTTACCTTCGAGAGGGGGTCCTCGGCGAGACAGGCATCGAGGATGGCATCCGAGACCTGATCGCTGTAGAATTGTCAGTTAAATGTTTTATAGAAGAGCAGAAAAGAGGGGCAACGTACGCGATCTTATCGGGGTGACCCTCTCCGACCGACTCGGAGGTGAACAAGAAAGTTCCGGGCTTCTGAGCGACGCTACCCATTGTGAAAGATGAAGAGGGGGAGAGAGTGAAAGAAAGAGAGAATTGAGTGGAGTGAGAAGAGGAAAGTCGAGGAGGGAGGGAGGAAAGAAAGAAAAGCGCGAGGAGTGGTGGAGAGAAAGAGAGAAGAAAAAAAGTGGATAGAGAGAGGGAGGGAGAAGGGGGAGGAGAAGAGGGGGAGGCGGCGAGAAAAAAGAAAGAGGGGAAGAGGCCGTATTAACGTCGCTCCGATCGCGCCATCGCTCCGGCGGTCTCGGAGGGCAGAAAAATATCACCGCCGCTTTCGTTGATTTGCGTCAATTTCCATAAGCTCCATACGCATACTTCATTAGCTTATCAACATCTGGCCTAACTCGCATCCCTGTCTCATCGCCTCATCCTGCTCGGGTCCGACTGCTTCTCCGTCTGACGCTGACTGTGCCCCCTCCCGTAATCATCCTTCGCCCCCTCTCTTTGATCACATCACCTTCAGCTCCATCACATCCCCGATGTCCAAGTTCGGCGTCTTGGTGATGGGCCCGGCGGGCGCCGGGAAAACCACCTTCTGCAATGCCATGATCCAGCACCTTCAAAATTCTCGCCGAAGTTGTTTCTACGTGAACCTCGACCCCGCCGCGGAAACCTTCAGCTACGAACCTGATCTGGACATCCGCGAACTGATCACGCTAGAAGATGTCATGGAAGAGATGGGCCTCGGCCCCAACGGCGGTCTCATCTACTGTTTCGAGTTTCTACTGCAGAATTTGGACTTTCTATCGGACGCGCTCGATCCGCTGAGCGAAGAGTATTTGATCATCTTTGACATGCCCGGCCAGATCGAGCTCTATACGCACGTTCCGCTATTGCCGTCGCTGGTGCAGTTCCTGTCGCGCGCGGGGCCGCTGAACGTCAACATGTGCGCGGCCTACCTTCTCGAGAGCACGTTCGTGGTGGATAAGGCCAAGTTCTTTGCCGGCACGCTGAGTGCCATGTCCGCCATGCTGATGCTCGAGATGCCCCACGTGAACATCCTGACGAAGATGGACCAGGTTCGCGACATGGTCAGTCGCAAGGAATTGCGGCGCTTCACCAACGTCGACGTACAGCTTTTGCAGGACGATAACGACGATAGCCCGGGAGCGGCGGCCGATCCGATGGCCAAGGACGCGCTGATGAGTGGTGGCTCGTTCAATCAGCTCAATCGCGCGGTCGCACAGCTCATCGATGATTTCAGCATGGTCTCATTTCTACAGCTGGACGTGCAGGAGGAAGACAGTGTCGCGGCCGTCTTGAGTCATATCGACGATGCGATTCAGTACCACGACGCCCAGGAGCCGCGCGAGCCCCAGGACGCGCAAGACGTGGACTATGAGGATGCGGACATGTGATTCTCGACGGGGAAAATATGAAGCAACCCGTGATTTCTGACCGACATCAATAATCCACATCCGACAGCTCTGGGATGGCATATGCCTGTTTGCAGGGGCGGCAATTAGACCGTCCCAAACCCCGGGCAGTCGATGACTGCGACACCCACGGCAGGATTCTCGAATCTGCAAGGGGAAAGAGCGGACCGCTCGAGCAGACTGGCAGATGCAACGATGCACCCGAGGAGAAAGTCCAGCCGCGCGGATGTAACCCAGCGATACGATGATATGAATCATCCACGACATGTTTTCAGCGCCAATTAACTAGGATAGACAAAAATAAATAATAATAACAAATCATTCACGTGATAGCCATCGTAACAATATCGGACAAGAGTCATTACAAATGCAGAGACAATAGAACAAAAAGAAAAAAGCAGTAATAATACCGCTGAACACACGATCGCTCAACCGGAAAACAAACAACAAGTTCTACATTCATGCGAGGTCCCCCAAAAAGAGACCCAAAACCACCCCAACCTAGACCAAGTTATCCAAAAAGTCCAAAAAAAAAAGTCAATTCACACCCGGACCTGATTATCCCCGTAGGAATACCCTCCCCAACCACCAGACGATTGCCGCTGTCCCTCCGCACCATTCTGGAAGCTCTCCACGGCGCCCTTAACGATCCCGTAGAACCAGCCCAGATCCTGAGCGGCCTTCTCCAACCCAGCATTATACACGTAAACGCCCGCGCCGATGATGAACCCCCAGTACACTAAGCGCAGGGCCAGCGTGACCCAGAACATAACCAGTCGGCGCCCGTAGTCCAGGACCTTGAGCGAGATGAAGAGGGCCAGGAGCAGGATGAAGACGGACAAGAGGTCCGGCATGGCAGTGAGGAGGTTCGCGAGCGGCTGGATGACGAACGGGTCGAGGTAGGCGGTGCGGAGGTGGTCGATGGCAGGGTCGAGGTAGGTGACGCGCGCGTGCTCGAGATGAGCGGTGGCGGAGGAGGACATGAGTTTTTGGTAGGAGGCGAGCACGAGCTCGTTGTTGAGGAGGGTTTGGAGGTGGTTGGACACGAGGTCGGAGTGAGGCACAGAGGCAAGTTTTTCTTGAATGAAGGAAACGAGGGATGCTGCGGGTTGTTGGTGGTTAGTTGTAGGTGAGCTGGGGGTGGAAGGATTGTCGATGGTCACTTACTCGGGAGAGAGGCCATGGCAAGATCTATGCGTTTATGTACGGGTATGAGACACAAAATATGGAGAATGGAAGGACGATGTCTGAGATCGGTGGATCTGATCTTATAGTCGAAGCTTCTTTGTCGCGCCAAACGGAGGATTTCGCTTCATGTGAAAAGGAACAAAGCGCAGACAAACCAGGCAAACAGGATCCTTATGTAAGGCAGGCTATACCAACTATGGAACTATATTTACTATCAGGAATTTCGACTTGATATATTCTTTATAGCTATTATCTATAAAACTAAAGGGATGTTCTAGTTACGCTACAGTTGAATTGAGTATAAGGGAGCATCCCAAGCATAATGATCTAGTTTCATACCATGAGTTCTGAAGCTGTCTCCAGTTTGATCTCGATCAAACAAGAGTTGCTACATGGGCACGCTGTTAATTGTATACTACAATTGCTCATTTATTTAGCATCGATACACATTTGACCACATAATACAAATACCACACCTCTAGTCTATAGTAAAAGCTGAACAATGGAATCAACAAAAGTCAACTTTTACCTCCCACTCCCACAATACTCAACTAACATACACATCTACAGCACACTCCTTATTTCCTCTCCCTTAACCCTCCCCAGCACTCCTCTCCTCACCTCCTCCACAATGCTCCCCGCGTCCTTCACCCCATTGATCAGCCCAATCCCAGCGCCCGCATACGTCGCCAATCGTCCCTCCGGTCCCCACCCCAGATCCCCCATCTTCAACGCCTTATCATGCTCCTTCTTCAACTCCTCAAACGCCCTCCCCTCGCAATGCTCCACATACGACCGATTCACCACCCCGCGCGGACTATACTCCTTCGGCCACCCCATAGTCCCACGAAGATGGTTATACAGGAGCGTCCGCGTCGTGGATACCGCCGCGTCGCTGGCTCGGACGATCTCGTTCTGGTAGCCTTTGCTGATGCGCGCTTCAGTCGAGGCGAGGAATCGTGTTCCCAGCACGATGCCGGACGCGCCGAGACAGAGCGCTGCAGAGGCGCCGCGCGCGTCGGCGATGCCGCCGGCTGCGAAGAGGGGGATGTGTTTCGCCGAGGAGGAGGATACGAGATCCGCGATCTCAGGGAAAAGCGTCATTAAGCCCATTCCGTCAGTGGCGCGGCCGTGACCGCCTGCTTCGGCGCCTTGGATGACGAGCACGTCTGGTGAGGTATCATTCGTGCTGTTAAGTTTGTGTTGGTGCAAGATCTCGCGCGCCTCTCCCACCGTCCCGATCTGCACCCAGATCTGGGTGTTTGGGCTTGCGTCCCGGATGCGCTTGATCCACTTGAAGAGCTCCTGCATGTTGCACGGAGCGAACAGCCAAGCGGCGCAGGGCTGGTGGAGCTGGATGGCTCGCGCGGCGGTGTCCAGGTCGTCGCTCCAGAGCTGGAACCCAACGCCGACGGGGAGAGGCGTGTTGGGGAGGGAGGTGCCCGTGCCCGGGGAATTCGATTTCGAAAGGAGGGAGGTCGCTTCTTGGAGATCGGTGATTGTGTCTTGCGTTTTGGTACCGGGGCCGATGAACCCCAGGCCGCCGGCGCGGGAGACGTTGACGGCCAGCGCGGGCCCGGACATGACGCGCATGGGGGCGCTGACGATGAAGGGCGGCGTTACCCAGGGGTAGCGGGCGGCGAGGGATTTAGAGAGGCGGAGGGACATGGTGGGTAGATTGTATTGTGTCGTATGGTGGGGAGTTTGTAGCTACTCACTAAATAGGTGTAGGGTGACGACTGGGTGCATTGGGATGGTTTATATAATGATTCTAGAGCAGTTGCACATGCAAAGACGATGCCGATGCGATGCGCCGTGATGTAATCGGGAAGGGCGGAGCGGGTATTGCGGGTGTGGGGAGACTGAAGAATGGAGACTGGCGACTATAAAAGGGTCATCGTCCCCTACGAAGAATGCACGGATTGGGGTTCATTCATGGTTGATATTTACAAATTGGTCGGAAACAAATTCATCAAATCATCATCCAACGTCTCGTACAGATTAATCCCCTGCAGACTGGGCATCTCCGCCACCAGATCCTCCAACCACGAGATTTCCTCTCGACTCGCCGCCGCCGGTTCCACGGGGGCCTCCATATCCGGCTGATGATGCGAGCTCACCAGCCCGCTCAGCATATCCACGTCCTCCTGTCTACGTCGCTGATACAGCCGGACTAGCAGACACGCGGTGCTGTACGCCTCGCGCATGGTATCCGTGTCGTAGGTGGAGGCGACGAACCTCAGCGTCTGCATGGCCTCGGGCAACAGAGCCAACGACGTCCGTGTGTCCATGTCCAGCAGCACGCCGATGATCTGAAAGGGCACATTGGCCATATGGTGCCAGGGACAGCAGTTCATGGCCATGCTGCGCGCGCACTGCAGTGCCTTCCGGAACAGCGCCAGCACCCGCTCTTTGACGGCGGACGACGTGCTCGCGTTCATGACTAGCAGCCGCCGCAGCAGACATAGCGCCAGGTTGCACTGCGCCATCACGGACGGTGGTTGCGAGTGGCTGCCGTCGAGGACGCGGAGCAGCGAGGACTCCAAATCGCGATCGTCCGGGGACTTCTCGGGCCCTAGACTCGCGGACACCGGCAGCAGGCTTAACAGCTCGGTCGTATAATCACCCGGCCGCGCCGCCGGCGCCAGACATTGGTCGTTCCAGAAGATCACTCGCGACAGGCCCAAGTCGTAGGATACCCACATGTTCAGGTGGCGGGCGACGCCGACCAGCCGGCGACGAATGTCCGGGTTGCTGCAGTGCACGCGGCGCGAGAGGACCGTCTCGCCGGCAGACTCCAGATGCAGGCCCAACGCCTCGACCAGGTGCATGAGCGTCGCGCTGGCGATCCACGCCGAGTGCGGCGACGCAGTCATACGCATGTACACGACGCGAAGGGTCCAGCCAGTCGCAGTATCAAAACAGGGCATACCACAGCGATTATTGACCTCGAGGATAGAGCGCGCCGACTCGACCAGCAGCAATTCAGTGACGTCGATGATGCGCCGCGAGAATAGCGACCCCAGGGCACCGACGCCGGCCAACACGCTGTCGTAGACCCCGCTGCTGAGCGGCGACCGCCATCGCTCGTCCAGCCGCTCGTAGAACTGTCGCGGATCCAAGAACCCGTAGCACGGATCCACCTTGGCGAAGTAGACGCCCGCCAGCGTCTTCATGCCCTCCAGCGACACGATATCCACGATGGGCAGCGCCGAGACCGCCGTGCCGTTCCCCAGGCCGGACGGGAGCCGGCGCTCGCCAATATTCCATCCGAACAGGTTCAACCGGGGCGCGTTGGTGGAGTCCACCTTCAGGCCTAGATTGCGCACGAACGCCGCCCCGGAATTCGCTTCCAGCGAGCGGGTGATGCGGTGCGGGTCCGGGCCGACGCGGTGGCTGGCCAGGGCGTCGTTGTGGTGGCTGCTGCTGCTGTGGTTGTTGTTGGTGGCGGTGGTGGTAGTGTTGACGCTATAGACCGTATCGGATGATTTGCCCGGAGAAGCGGAACTAGGCAGGATGGCTGGATTCTTCTGCTGCTGCTGCTGCTGTTGCTGTTGCTGTTTCTTCTGTTGACTAGGGAGCGCACCGTGGTAGCACTCGTAGCCCCAGTCGAGGCAGGTGGCGCACGGGTTCCCGCCGTCGCATTTGCGCTTCCGTTCTCGACATGGCATGCAGGCGACCCGAGAGCGCTTGCGTTTTAGGTGGCCTGTCATGTTGGGGAAGGGTTTTCGGTGTGTAGCGTGTAGGCAATAATCATCTGCAGGAACTGGCGGCGCAGGAATTGATCGGGCAAAATGGACGATGCGGGGAGGCGGCGGCATTGGCGGATGTTGCGGGTGCTACGGGAGCCGCGCGGAGAAACTTATTTTTAGCACTCGAGTCGTCTTTATTCGATTCAAGTGTCTACATGGCAATCATATCAGCTGTGCTAGCTCAACTTCTCCCAAGTAATAATTGAAAACTGGATTTTTTGCCAGCTATGAAATATACAAAGAATACACAGTTCAATATCCTACTTCTTGACCAAAATCTAGAGTTGTGATCGGTGCGGTTTCGGGCGGTTTCGGTCCAACTTTGTACTGTACTCTAGGGGATGATATACTGTAGAAATCTGCCTGCCTGGAAAGATTCTTAACATAATTTATTTATGTATTAAGCACAGTGGTAGGGAATAATACTGACTCTATTGTATTTCTATAGTTATATGATCAGACAGACTCTGATATATCAGTAATCTTAGGTATGGAAAGGTCTCTTCCCTCCTTCCGACGAATTTCTGTAAAGACCTTCTATAAGTTTGTTCGAAGTCTCCTGCCTGGTAAATATACTTGAATCATTGAGTATGACAGATGGTTGCCTACCGGACAACGTCAGAATGATTAAGTCCTGCGAATGGTTGCATACCTTCCTTGTTCTATCTCCAGAGGGGGGAAAACCAGTAGAAAAGTAAAGAAAAGAGAGAGAAACAAGGCTACTCTATTCACCCGTGTACAAGCAAGCGCAGTGTAAGAAGGCGGGTCATGAAAATCGCCAAAGTAAACAGAAAGCCAGGCTGGGCCCAATTATGTTAATACTCCCCGAACGATGGCACAGGGGTACAGCCGGTATTAGACTAGATTAGACTATAGACTAGACTATACTGTCCCTCCGAGCTCGAACCCAGCAGCCGTCGAGTAGGGGAGGGCGCCTTTCCCCCCCTCTTTCTTTGATAAAGTAGCGATAGTAATAGGTAAGTAAGGGTACTTTGTTATTTGTTCTCTTCCTCTTATTCTCTTTCATTTCTACTATTCTATTTGGTAGCAATAAGCAAAAAGGCCGTAATCCAATGAGGTTCTGCTGGGGTGGGGCTCATAGATTTAGACTACTATTTAAGTATTTAGACGGCCCCTCTAGGCCCACGCCACGACCGAACCGCGCCTCTTTCTCCGCCTTCTTCCCTTTTCTTCACTGAGGAAGAACTTGCTTTCTATTCCTCCCTATTGTTTTTATTCTAGACATTCTGGTCTACGAACAAGCAGAAATAACGGTAGTAAGTCTACTAAATGAAACAGATGAGCGACCTAGACCCCTCTTACTTCAATACTCCCACTAGATGGTGCAGGAGTGGGAGGAGCATAGTTTTTTCTTCTCTCTTTATATTTCATCAGGTCTACGCTACTAACAAGCAGAAACAACGTCATTAAGTCTACTGAATGAAACAGATGGGCAGCGAGTTTCCCAATACCTTAACCTCCCTACCCGATGGTGCAGTGGTCTTGCTGCCGGGGAAGAGCACATTCCCCCGGTATTGTGCCCATACGCCGCGAGTTCGAACCACCGCACCAGGGTAGGGGGGGACGCTTTTCTTTTTGCCCCCTCTTTCCCTGTCTTCTTTTGCGCCTTTTTTTATGTTAAAGGTACTGGAGAAGATCAGGTTTACGTGTTTTTTAGATCTATATAGCTCTTAAACGATGATTTCTATGTGAGTAGATGAAGTATGGATGACGTATGGTTCTACACCTACTTATTGGCGGCAGCCTTCTGACGGCAAGATTGGTTGGTTATTAGGACATACAGGGGATATGGTAAGCCAAAATAGTCATCTCTAGTTTCTTCCTTATGCGTGTTTGATTGAGTGAGTGAGAGTTATAAATTGTTCATATCCTATCGTTTACCGCTCTACACGACCTCTTTATCCTTTGCTTGTCCTAGGCGCAGGCTTGATGTATATGGAGACAGACGCATGTACATGATAAAGTACGTCTAGACCTTGGACACAGCCCTAGAAGATGTTTCAATATGCATATGCATGTGCATATCTCCGGATGGTAATCAAGCACGCGCTTCTATATCCACCACACTGAGAAGGGCATAGTCTCATCCTATGGTTTACCGCTGTACTTTCATTCTCTGGTTATCAGACCCAGACTTGAAGCAACCATGCATGTACAGCTTTCATACAGGGAATGTAGAAGGTCTAGATTCGAGAGCATAGCTCGAGCTGATGGTCACCATCTTATAGAAACGCGTATACTATTCACTCCTATGTCAGAATTAGGAACCTCTTTAGCCCGAGGCCCGAGGCCAGCGTCACGCTGAACTGAAACCTGTTCTCCAGCTGAGAATGGTTCAGCTTTGGAGGCGCGGGTGCTGGGGAAGGGAGTTAGATGGCGGTAGAGCCAGAGACCTATTTGAATGGTCTTTGAGATCGCAAGATCGAGGAGTTTCCATTAGACATCAAAACAACTTTTAAATCTACGAGTTTCCTCTGTTATTGCTTTTCCTCCAGTGGGTCTCTTCCGACTATGTCTCTTCTATTCAAAAAGTAAAGATCAATAGATATAAACGCCCAACGACACCAACCAGAAAAGAAAGAAACAAAACATAGAAAAGAAAAGAACACAGTCCCCAAGCCTATTCAAGACAACATCAATCAAACTCCAACCGCACATCATCAGGTAACGGACCAGACGTGACCCCAAGCCTCTCCTCTTCCTCCTTCTCCCGCGGCCGCGCCTCGATCTGCGCCAGAAAATTCGCCCAGAACCGCGGCTTCACCTTCCGCTCCAGCCACTCCATATCCTCGGGGTGTTGCTGCATGTACTCTAGCTCCTCGTCGGGAATGCGCTGCGCCTCGCGGAGTCTTCTCCGCACCACTCGTCGAATGGGCGGCTTTTCGCGCGGCACGTACGGACCCGGCGTGAAGGGGATCTCTTTCAGCTCATCCTGGACTTCTTTTGAAGCGAGAAGGTCGGGCGTGTATTTGCTAGAGTTGATACTGTTAAACGGTCTGTGGTGGGGGGAGGGGAGAGGTGAAGAAGGAACATACAAATCCTCCCCCGTCCACTCATAACACAAGACGAGCACTTCGTCATCATTAGACGTAGTACCATGGTCAACCATTAAGAAACATAGCCGGTTGTTATACCCGAACTCGTCGCCCTGGGTGTAGAACCGGTTCTCGAACGGCCAATACGCGCAGTTCCAGTGATAGCGCGAGATACGGTTCAGCATGGAGACAAGCTTGTCGCTATATACGTCGTTTCCCTGATCCTGGTCTTTGGGGACGAGTTGCGTCTTAGTCTGGACTAGAATGCGGACGGGGAGGTCTTTGGGCAGTGGGAGTTCTGGAGGAGGGGAACGTTCTGTCATGGTAGTGGGAGTGGAGGTTGGATGTTTGGGTTGGGATGAGGGGGGTTTGGGGGTTCGAGGTTCAAATGTGGAGTTCAATAAGAGCAAAATATGAGGAAAGTTTATGTTTTAGTTCCAGGTGTCTGGCGGAAAGAAAGATATGGAAAGATCGATAGCTACACCGTAGATGCCAGACCCGTGCCGGATATCCCCCGCATCGACGCCTCTCGTCCAAACAACTACCCGCTCTTTTAGCGCCGGGAAGCGCCCATCAGCCTCGGGGTGATCTATATAAATAGAAATCAAATATCTACAATAGAACGGACTGACTATTATGATGATCACGAATAGAAACAATCACCCAGACAGCTGTGAAGGAAGATGCGGTCTTCCCAGGTGTTGCATACAAGAATTGACTCGGCAATTTGCACTCAGAGATCAAAGCTTTCACATACCTATATCTACTACTCGATCAACTTTGGTCTTCTAGAATCATGTTGTATCACGCTAGATCACTGAAGTTATATGCCAAATACAATGCTATGAGGTAGGAGTAGCTAAGGAAATTCATTTATTTTTAGTCGTCCTCGTCGAGTCATCATCGCCGTCATCGTCATGGGAGATTAGCTCGTCGTGGGTAGAAAAAAGGTCAGCGTGGATATGATTTTGCTTGGATACTTGCAGGAGCATCAGCGTGACTAGGGTTAATCCCTCGCCCACTGGGGCACGCTAAAAAAAACACCATGCGAGCTGAAGCTTCGAGGCTGCAGAGACCACTGAGATGGAGACCAAGGCTATGGCAAAACACACTCGTTTGATATCAGCAAATACTTTCATGTCGCTCCTTCATATATTGTGATAATCTTCGCAATCCTATACAGAACCTATACTGTCTTTGAGCAATGCCATTCCCCTCTCATCCAAGTTGGAGTACTTAGATAGAGAGTAAAATTCCAACCAGAATTCGCGGGCATCAGAAAAGTCAGGCATATACTTTTGCAACAGAGTCTTCCACTCTTTGTCCTCTTGCCCCAGACCGATTCCAGCGCAGGTGAACTCCCACCATACTGGGAAATACCCGGAGGCTTCCCAGTCGAGTATGCCAACGAGGTTGCCATGTTCAACCATAATATTAGCAGAAGCGAGATCCCCGTGAGTAAACGTATACGGCGCTGCAGGCGGCATGCGACTTCGAAGTCGTTGGCGAGCATCATCAGGGACACCTTCAAGAGCTAATTCGAGTTCGGTCCAAAGGTCTTGGTCAGATGAGAAGGGGCCATGTGGAAGGCCATAACCGTTTGGAAAGAGGAAAGCCGAATATATTGGCTTGTCCCCGAGAGATTTCATCTTCTCAGAATGCAAATTGCGAAGTTGCAATAAGTAGTTTGCAGTCTGCTTGGCTATGTTTTCCTTTTCATTCATAGTCATGCCCGCCCAGAGGCTGCTGAGGGGGGAACCGGGAATACGTTTCATCAATAAAAAGTAGCGCCCATCACTCCCTTCCCAATCTTCGACCACAGTAGGCACCGGGATTGAGGTTACTTCTCCTAAGAACCGTACATTCAAAGCTTCGAAATTAGGCGCCTGGTTAGAACGTTCTTTCAAAATCATAGTCGAACCCAATGACCAGACACCTCTGTCGCTCACCCCGTAGAACAGCTTAACGTGGCTTTTGTAAAAGCAGTTCTCTTGAAGTTCAGAGGTCCAGCCGCAGGCCGAACAAGGCGTTGAGTTGCGCTCCATGTCTTTGAAAATGACAAACAGCAAAAAGACTCTCAAGCTGATTGTGAGGATGATTCGGAGAGACAAACAACAGGATCAAACAAGAGTTGAATATGACAGGACAATTAGAAGAAGTAGAAGGAATAGGTTGGGGGAACTGTCCACATTTAAATGATTTTGTGTGTAAGGTCAGTGGAGCACGCGATCGGACCCTTTTCCTAAGGGTAACTACCAGTTAATCCAGTGACAAAAACAAACATTTCACACAACCGCATTGGAATAATAAACGAAGGATTACAATTAGGTTCTTTCTTATTCTGAGCCAGCATACCACGTCTTTCACTATGCCAGACGTTTGTCCGATACCGTCTCGAATCCCCTGCGGCTAGTGTTCCAGGGAAAGAAAAGCCATACTCTTCAGACGAGGTACTCGTTGAAGGGGTTGAATCAACGTCAGTTGGGAAGTCGAAGGACTTAGATGATTCTAGTACTGAAGGGGCTATGGCCTGTAGGCTGCCTGGCAACCCATACATACCATGACTGTCGCCTCCTGAAGCCAGCAAGCTCCTCGGTACGGAGGAACGTTCTGGTTAGTTAACATAGGATCGAGGGACCCTCCGGTAGGCATTTAGGAACCTTCCTGGATGCTGATTGAGCCTTGCTAGAGCTTGCTTGAGTAAATTTGGGTTTGGAAAAGTTGGATGAGGGATCAACAGTTAAGCAGCTCTGGCTAATCTTATCACAAAGTACGTAGGTTGACCCACTTAGTTCACCTTGGAAGGCGTTCGTGGAAGACCCACTATGTACGGAGTATGTGCCCCAAAGAAATCTTAATCTTACTATAAGACCTCTCTCTTATACGTATGATAGAGTAGTTTCATGAATATCTTATTACTGCTTTTCATTTCTCTCTGCGTCGTTTTGAAAATACTTTTATTCAGAATTTGGAAGGAAGCGAACAGATAGGTATTAGCTTATTTAAAAATAATAACATGCTGATACAAACACCATCCTGAAATTCATCAGGCATAATCTCACTCTCCAACTCACAGAAGACTTCATTCAACGTGCAGAGAGAAATAGGTGGGCAGGCCAGGAGGTTCTGTTGCCTTTCCTCAACTCTAGAAGAGCCGCATATCAGGAATATCGGGACCGAAGACAATGGGCTTGAAAGCGATTTCAGCGAAGATAAGAAAATTGAAAACACCAGCACGAGAAAAGCACTCTGGGGCTTCTTGATGAATGGGATATCGATAAGCTGCCTGCGTCACACAGGCGAATGTGTGCTGATTAGGTCGATCGTGAGTTCCAGCGAATGCTTGATGTAAAACTTACTGTGATAGAAAAAGAGGGGGAGAAAAGATAGTGAGCGGGTTAAAATAAAACTCAACTCTGTGGTATGTATAAGAACTTGTCATCGAAAAACTTCTTCAAAAATTCATTGATGCTTTTCTTTGGTTTGGTTGCATCGCTGGAGCCTAGTAAATAAAGCTGTTTCTTCCCTTCGTCAACTCTTCGGTCAACCAAGGCAGTCCCAGTGACGTAGGTAAGTATTTCCTCCTTTGCTTTATTTTTATAAGCCCAGAATACTGATAATAAACTTATGAGATAGCTATGAATAAATATACTCTACAAGCAAACTAATTAAGACAAGCTATGTATGATAGACCTAGGACCTCAAGATAGGACATTTAGGGTAAGAGGTCCGTTCTGCCGCCACCATAGTTATTCCGTAAACCTTCAACGGTTTCCGGCACATTGCGGATTCGAATGTCATGATGAGTTAATCATTATGACTCAATAGCAGGGCTTTCCACCTTATACCCTACATCTTCCTTTCTCCTCGACACTTCCAAGTCAACCACTTCACATCATCTTCATCTCACAAATCGATAACACCAACACCTCCATCCAGATATGACATCCAGATCCATCACCATGACCGCACAAGCACCTCCAAGTCTCCCCCTTCCTTACAACGCTCCAGTCCGCATCCTAGTTCAGACCGTGACAGGACTCGTCCCCAAAGACCTGGGCTGGACCGACAATGTATGGGACGATAAGAACACCTCTATGGTGAACCGCATCTCACGATACCACTGGGATGAGGCGTATTGGTTGCTTAGAACACATAGAATCCGATATTATGTCTACGGCTGTGACTACGGGTATGATAACCGGCGCTGCTACTTTCTGGTCGATCAGGGCTTTACGTCGAATGATGAGAAGGTGCCTATCTTGTGCTGGGCGTGGACGGGAGTGGGTTTGTATGCTTTCTGTCCATTGTTCCCCATTTCCGCTCCCCTTTTAAATCTCTTTCTCTCTTTCTCTCTTTCTCTCTTTCTCTCTTTCTCTCTTTCTCTCTTTCTCTCTTTCTCTCTTTCTCTCTTTCTCTCTTTCTCTCTTTCTCTCTTTCTCTCTTTGGTGACTGAAACCCCCGGGGTCTCGTTAACTAACTCATATCGATTCCAGCAAATACACGCCCTCGTTCCTTCAAAGGAAAAAAGTCCAGGACACACTAAAACGGTACCCCTTTACGCGGAGGCACGTGTACGTGCAGCGCAATGTGCGGCGCAAGGAGCTGTCCATCAGACACCAGGTACTAGATGGACTCCGCAAAGAAAAGAAGATCGCCGAGGATAAGCTATTATTTATGCTGGAGCATCCCGGCGATATAGAGTGGTTGGCGGATCATATTAGGTCGGAATTCTGGCCGAAGTTTTTGGCGCAGGTGAAGAGGGTGCCGAAGGAGAAACTAGAGGCTACGGTTTCGTGGAAAATTAAGAAGAGGGCTTCGTCTAGGTCAAGAAGAGGGAATCGAAGTTGAGGGACTGGTTGGGATGGTTGATTTTCATTTTCTCTTGGGATTCTTTTTGTCTTTCTTCTCCCTCTCCCTTTTCTTCTTTCCTTGTTGTTTGCTGGGTCAGAAGAGGGCCTTGAGTTGTTTGCGGTGAGGTTCTGTCTACTGACAGGAATATTTTCATGTTTCTCAGGCATTTGGGTATCGTTTCTGGTCGTCTACTTGATATAACTCAACAAGATATGTGGCTTGGATCATATACTATATCGTATCGCACAAATCAATAGCCGCTGTAGACAACACAAAGATGATCTTTTCGCGTCCAAGCGATCTACATGGTCAGTGTGAAATCAGGTCATCTCTTTCGATCACCACAGTAGCCACCCTTACTATATATAGAATATAGATCGATCACCCAATCATCTACCCGCCTTTTGGCGCCGGAAGTGGCCTTAGCCACTAGGAGTAAAGCGTTGCACCAACTTGTCGAGCAATTCCCCATGAACGTGAGGGTGGTGTGCATTCTGGATGGTGTTACCAGGTTCGAATGTGCCGCCTGGTTGCCAAACCTGATAGACGTTATCTCCTCTCTGAATCAGATATCGTGTATACAATCCCGTTTTATGTCATAACAGATGGTACTGTACAATAAATCCCAAATCCCGCCGCCAGCCTGACCGACAACTTGATGGGCTGGTGGGCCAGCTAGTGCCCTAGCGCTTCTAAGCCGGTCTTGTCAACCCATTATTGGACGCGAAAGACGAACAAGACTGCCTTTCGGACGGGCCCTTTCAATCTCTTTAGTTGCATCCCTGCGCGATACGCGGCGTCGTCTCATTGGGGAATCACCGCTAAGGCGTTTCACTGCAACTCGGACGCCGTGATTTCATAGGTAGAGATACCAGGCGGCGGCTGTGCTTGCATATTGCTAATGCAGCTGTTGCGGGCCTGCGAATATTTAAGTCCTCGTGTTCCTGTGCGTCTGGGAGGGGAGCTTCTCGGCAAGCTTATTATATACGGTTTGGACGATCTACAGCACGGCAATGGGGCCGACGAGGGATCGAATTACGGTTTACGAGCAGCGCGGTATGCACACTCTCTCACACACTTGGCAGTTCGGCTGGTTTGTACCTGCTAACGAGTTTAGAAAATGACCCTTGGGCGACGCGGGATTCCGATATATATACTGCGTTGACGGCAAGTACATACCTACATATATACATACCCGACTGTACAGCGTGAGCTACCACTTACATTAATGGCGAGAATAGGAGCCTGTCAACGATTCTTCCACCCGTTTGATGTCCGTATCAACACACCGCAAGAACCCAGACAAATAGAATAGTCTAGTAACAATGACAGATTCACGTCCTCCACGCCGTTGGAGGGCCACATCCCGATCGCATTCCCAGAAGGCTTCAGCTCTATCATCAACGAGGACCTCAACGGGTCTTTCTTCTGCGACTACATCTCGTCCGAGGACGACGACGATAACATCGTCCGCCACGGTAAGCCCAAACTCCCCTATTCACGACCATTCTAACAAAAGCACAAGTATCATGGACCTGCTTCAAGGTCAAAATGGTCCTCAAACCCAACGTCTACGAGTGGATCCAGACCGCCCTCCTCATCGACTGGACGGCCTCCACCGACAGCCAAATCGTCCTCGTGCTCAACCTTCCCGAGAAACAACAGCTGCAAATACAACGTAAACTGTCGCAGATCAAGGCCCGCGTGAACCCTTTCCAATGGCACATGGAGTTCACGAGCACGCTGATTACGCTGTACGACGAGTCGATTTGGTTATTAAGAGATTTGGTTAGGGTGTTTGAAAAGGTTCCTACCTCGCCCTGCCTTGCTTCACAGATATATCTAACCCCGACTAATATATGGATAAATATATAAATATAGTCAAGTAACAAACCCAACCTCTTACCCCCCAACTTTCCACACCCGCACGATATCGGCCGCCATATCTTTCACTCGACCGAGACGCTGGAGATTGCCGGAAACACCGTGGCCAATATTATCGCCGAGCAGGCCCGCTGGCGCGACAAGTCCCCGAAGTCCAGACAAAAGGGACGCGACGTGTGTCTGCACACGCAGCTGCAGTTGTACAGTCTGTCCAAGCAGCTGCTGTCGCTGAAGACGCGGTCGACGTCGTTGACGCAAAGGTTGAATGATGAGACAAACCGCAATGATATGAAATGGCACAATATTATTAGTTCTCGGTGGAGGAAAAATGAATGTTTCAATTGTGGCTATGCAAGTCATTATGAAAATAGGTGTTATTTGAAATGCGGGAGATGTATACTCAATGACCCTGTAATACGTGCATAGCTAATATGGATAGGCCTGACGGGCGGTCATACGCAACGAAATTGCCGAGAACGCATCAGCCAAGCCAACGGTGATTTTACAGCCGAGATGACCGAAGTTGAGAGACTGCATGGAGTAAATCTTGCAAGAACGGATCTAAGCCCTGCTAATGCTTCTGGAGACTGGACGAGGCAGCAAGACAACGCTGCTTACGATGCCCATACTAGCCGAAACCCATCCTCATTTAGCCTTCCAGGGGGTATCGCGAACGATAGACAACCTCTACCTGGCTCTGCCGATTTCGAATATTCTGAATCATCCAGCGAGAACGACTCAGTATTTTCTGCTCCTTTCTCCGTTTCCAGCACCGCATCCTTGGAATCTGGGAGAGATGGTGTAAATTTGCTCCTTATTCAAGAATTTGCAAACCTATTTCATGAAGACAGCATTCTGTCGTCGCTCATTCTGGACGGTATAACAAAGCCGTGGATTGGATTTGAGACAATGCTGAAGAACTTTCGAAGATTTCTGATACACTTTGCAAATCAGCTCAAGACAGAGGTCCTCAGCGACTGGCACCAAAACGTCAGTTCCTTTGTTCGCTCATCTTCAACTCAGATTACCCGTGCATTCTTTGCTATGGTGTCCATAGACAAAGAACACAGTATCAACCCTCAAATTGTATCAGTGAAAACCCGTCATACCAAAAGAAAAGTCGAAGATTACTTAAAAAGCCTGTATGGAGGCCACCATGCTTTCCGGCCAAATGGAATAATCGAAGAATTTAATAACGACCAGGAGGAGAGTGATGAAGACTCTGTGCTAGACGAAGCTGGAGAAGTTGAGCCCTATGAGGGATCTTTGCAGCACTTGGATCAAACGAAGCACTTAATTTCGGAAAGCGCAGCCTACCAAACCCTTCTTTGTCAGCTTGAAGAGTTTATTCGGCCATCACTGCACTCTCGACTTCGAGATCTGTTAAGAAGGTGGTCAAATCCACAAAACAAGAACTATAGCGATGTCGTGCGGTATAGTCTGCGGGATCTGGTTGCAGAATTGCAATGTGAATCCTTGCGACATTATATTTGACCATGGCGATGAAGCTTCTCGATTTGTCTGGTATACCAGCTATTATCAGCATTTAGTTGAGTACTGGACTGGGGAGCGTTGGGATTGGTGGCCACTGCCTCGTTGCCTCAGACCACTTGGAGAATCGGAGACACGGTTACGGTGGAAATGTGTAAGTTTCTATTCATGTTCAGCTTTATATGAAATCTAGATACTGATTAGCAGTGCAGTCATGTGGTGAAGAGCGATGGAAAGAAGTGCCAAAAACTTTCACAAAACGGCTTCAAGCCATAATTAAAGATATTGCCTTGAACACCGCGGGAAACCCAAATATACAACCTCCTCCAGCGGCACATCTTAAGTCCACGAGTCCTCGCAACGCTTCAAGCAGTGGCCAAAGTTCCAACCAAAAACTGCGTACGGATAATAAACTTCAGAAGGATAGTCCATCATCTAGTCCTTCGGTTCATCACGAATCTATGTGGCTCAAAGCTAATGGCCCCAACATGAGTCTTGCCCAACATCGGGTTCTCTTCCTCGCGAAACAAGGAGAAGATTACAAACTTGCACAGATCCGCGTTGATGATTTAGGTTGCGATACATTCTTCGACACGTTAAAGAAAGAGTATTTTCGCCTAAGGGGGGTTCTACGGGGCCATTTCAGCGTTTGGCGGTACTCACATTGTGACTTTTATAAAGTGACTATCCCTGTCTGGTAATTTACGGAGCATGGCTGATTATTGAATCATAGTTTGAGAAGTTCGATGACCACGAATTCACACCCAGAACTAAAGACGCATTCCCTGACCAGACAAACACCGACTACGAGTATAGGCCGAAACCGATGGACAACATTCCTCCAATCTCCCAGCACGAGTTCACGAAACGTTTCTACGCTTGTCACAAACCTAGGCCCCTACTTCACATACATCATAGATGTAGAAAGCTAGGGATTCATTCCTCTGATGTACTGCATTTTCTTCCAAAGAAAAAGACGGAACTGGAAGAAGCTGGGTTCAAGCGAGAGGAGTTTTGGGGAATCTATGCCCGCGAAATCATCAGTCTTCGTTGGATCATTCTCTACAACTTCTTTTGTGTTTCTCCTTTACTATTGTTCTTCGTCGCATGGACTGTACCACGCGGACATGACACGGATTTACAAAGTTCATCTATTCCTCTTTCCTTGATGGGCTCGATGCTTTCTCTCTTTTGGAGCATATTCCTTAGCAGTTTGCAATTTGGAAAGTCGAATTAGAGGAGACATGTAATAGTCGGTAAATTAAACTCAATTTTCTGTACGTATTAGTTTAATATTGGCCGGCCTTAGTAGCAGTCAATTCTATTTTACAGTTATATATAGCTTAAAATATCTAACTTATTATACGAGAAAATATGCGCTCTTGCTAGTGTTTTTAGAGACCTTTGAAGCCGATTAGTAATAATAATAATAATATCAAGAAAGCCAATTAATCTTATATTGTATAAGATATATTTAGAAGTTACAAAATCTAACTATATACCTAAAGGATACCTTGGCCAGAGATAACGGATGCCTTCTCTAAAATGTGTATGCCGATACTGTAATAGTTATTACAAAAGAGAAGTAAAATCTATATTTGTATTAGTCGAATTTTTGAACGCTTATACTATATTCTTATTTATTCTGGAAGAGACTTCATTAGTTTATGCTCTTAGAACCTTTTGTTTAAATAGGATTAGGCTATTTGTAGTAGGTTTTATATATATTATAATAGGAAAATGAAAGTAACTAAAATCTAATCTTTTGCTGACTTAATGGCTAGAGGTGTAGTTAACTTAGTTTAAGCCGGCTATTTTAGAAGACAGGATAATAAATTAATGACTATAGGCTTTCTCTATTTAAAGGTAAGAAATGGAGTAGTTAGCTAGATTGCGGCCAGTTATCAGAAATCGCTGGGCAATTTGGGTACTATTAAAGCACATTTAGGAAGTTTGTACTGACGGTGCCAGCAATTGCTAGGGTTGCTGGTTTAGAAATATCTATCTGCCTATTAACTGCACATAAGCTACACGCTGAGTAGTTGGGTGGGTGGCCACCAGTGAATCCCAGCTGTTGTATGTTTTTGCTTTTCTACTTTTTCTCTTGTTGAGATTAGGCGACGACCTGTTTTTTTCGAGACAACAGCGCTTCACACCATATCAGTTGACAAATAAGAAAAGCCATCGAGGTCTGGGGAGATGGGCCAGTCTGGGAAGAGGTTGTGGATGTAGGAGCGGGAGCTGCGCATGTTGCAGGTTTGGATGTTGATGGATTCGCGGAAGAGTTCGTGGATGAGAGGTCGGAAGGGGCCGCTGCCGCGGGGAAGGCTTAGAGTGCTGAAGGTGACGTTGGCGGTTTGGAGGGTGCGGGTGAGTGGGCTGACGAGGTAGCTGTCTGGGGTGTAGATGTGCTGGGTGTCGATTAACTTCTTCCAGAAGCCGTGTACGGGTTGAGCCTGGGCGACTCCGCCGTCTGTGAGGCGAGAGTCGCGCCAGGAGGCGGTGCCGTTTCCGTTGATGAGGGACCAGTAGCACTATTGAGGATATCAGTGTCGTGCTATGGAGGATCATGGGAAAGGACGAGCATTCCATGCAGGCCAGCCGTAGTATTGGTCGGCTGCGTTGTGCCAGCCCTGGCCATGACGACCTAAAGATAAGACATTGTAGTTGACATTGGATGGGGATTCGTCGTTCAGATGAACCACTTGATTATAGAACTGCTGCCACTGAGTGAGAGTGTCAGTGGGAGACTGTTCATCCGCGTCGTATGTACGATTGATCAATCCGAAATTTGTGGCTGCCTATTGACCATTAGCATCACTCTCGCAATGACGACGCGGGCATGTACCAAATCAAACGTAGAATAATCGGTTTCATCGTCGTCTTGAAGAAAACACCCAGCCACCGAGATACAGTCAGTATACGAAGACGCTGTGGTAGCAAGACTCAGTGCAACTGAAACAAAAGTCGAGGGTTTCATTGTGAAAGCTTAAAGCTGCAGAAATGATCCCACGACTCTGGAATATCTATTTTGGTTATACCGCTGAGGGCGTGTCTCAGCCAGGAATGCGAGATGTGAAGAATGCCAGCTGTTTGGTCAGTTCCTTCCTTAGTGACACAAGAGCTGTCGAGGAACCACGAACCAGGGACCGCTAGTAATCATTTGCCGGACTGGACATGATCCAATAGAAGCACGCAGAACTGACCTCGTATCGAGTTCAGTCTAGAAGTGCCTGGGTCGAGCGACTCGTCAGGACCTTCAAGAGTAGTGGAGCCCTCCTTGACCGAGACATACCCAAATGAAAGAATGTACAATGGAGAAATGCAATGGAAAAGAAACAATAGCCTTCAAGAGAGTGTGACTGGACGATGCTTCCAATGCATCGCCCTTGCTGCCATATTATGTGTATTACAGTAAGTAGTAGATAGTAGATACGTGCCAATAAACAAGTGCCTCCATATATATGTCAAAAAAAAATCCAGCCGCTTCCAAATTCACATGCAGAATCAAAACACGAAGTCGAAACCCAAGATCAACCCAAAAAAAAAGAAAAAGAAAAACGAATTGAAGACCATGGCAGACGCCAAAGAACGACACCAACAGGAATGCTCTGGAAATCATGCAGCCAAAAAAGCACGGGATATTAAAACGAAGTCCCATGGATATCAACAAATAATGCCAGCACGGCTTGAGCATATCAAATAATAGTATCACAGGAGAATATTAATGAGAGATATGTGGTGTATATATTGGTCGCATTTATGCCCGTCGACCTGAGAATTATAATTGTTCAATAAATTCTTTTTTTGTTTCGGTTTTCTTTTTGACCTCAAAAGTCATTCGGCGTTTGGTTCGTGAACGTGTACGCTTTGGGTTTTTGAGGAAGTTGTTGGGCGACAAATCGGTGAGCCTCCTGTTGTTCCGGGAATTCATGGATGTAGAATTCGGTGGGCTTCGAATCACCAGCCAACGACGCAGTCAACGTCGGCATGTCGGCATCGGTGGTCGGATACATCAAAGTAGGCGAGCCCGACACGCTGTCGACGGAGTGCTCGTACGACATGGATGGGATGTCCCCCTGCTGCGGAATTGGACAGCGGCTCTGAAAAGCGGCTTCTGGGGAAGGCATTGAGGTGGCGTCAGTCCAGCTTCGCCCCGTCAACACAGCCCCATCACAAGCAGCAGCGTAGTCGGGAAATGACGTGTAGTGAGCAGGAGCAGACATGGGCGGTGCCACGCCTTGGTAAGGGTAGGAGGACATGATATCCACGGCTAAGGGAGTAGCCGGAGGTGACGCAATGTTGGTCTGCATGGGCTGCGTGGTCGGGAACAGCTGGCTGGTGGGTTGGGCTGACAGGCAATATCCGCCATCACTAGGAGTGGTCGGCAGCAAGTGGTGGAAGTCCTCCGGTGTAAGGGGGGTCGGCGGTGCTAGCGCGCCTGTCGTCACGGCAGGCTGCAGCATGGACGACATCTCGGCTTTGGAGGAAGCCAGCGCCCCAGCCTCGGCGAACGTGGAGAGATTGAGGGGCGAGCGCTGAGCCGCAGAGGCCTTTCTGACCCCGGCATACCGAGAGTTCAGACACTGGGCAGATTTGGACTGTCTCACGCTATGCCCCGAGCCGTAGCTCGGAAGCCTTGACGTGGTGGGAGACATGGAAGCCGATCCAGCCAGCATTGACGAAGACCGCGACGTACCAATGGCGGCAGGCCTCGGTCGCTTCCTCCGGGCAGCGAGATCGAGTTCTTTACCAGCATCCTTCCACGAAGGATCAGCCCGGTTTGCGAGCTGGGGCAGACCATGTGTCCCGTGAATTCCGATGCCTTCCAGCGTGTCGGCAAGTTCGTCGGACGACTCTCGCCTGGACAAGGACAGTTCCGGCTGCATGTGGTATTGGGCGGTGTGATAAGGAGCTTCGGCATCACTCGTGGAGTGGTAGCCGGAAAGCGATTTGGTCGACATCTGCCCAGCCCACCCCTCACCCTCCGAAGGGTGGAATTGGATGTTCTGCATGACATCGTCATGGGATACATCATGATGTTGCGAACCGTCCAAGCTCGGCACAGTCAACGACTCGGCGGCGGAAGTCAGCGGCGTCGCGTTCAAGCTGGCATACCCAAGAGTTCCCTGCGAGCTGTGGGACGAGGTCCACGACATAGCAGAATCCTTGGCGTGGTCCCATTCGGACAACGCCGAGGTAAGCGCGCTCTGGTGGTGGTCACGATGACCGATATCTTGACTACCGTTCACCGAAAAGGCCGCGGTCGGGGAGACGGATCCTTCGGCACTTGTAGCGCCGGGCTGAGCCTCGTCTTCTTCCGAGCCGTATCGCTCGCGAGCCGCGACAGCAGCGTTCAGGGCCCTCTGCAAGGAAGCAAAAGTAGCCTCGCGAGCGGCCTCGCTCTTGGTTTTCTGGTGCTTCGACCGTGAACCAGACGCCTTGGTGCGACTTTGGGACGTCGTTCCGTCTGCAGGTTTAGGGGTATCTTTGTGAGTGCCTTCAGAGGCCTTGGCATCTTGGTTCGACTCGGAGTCATCCGCGTTCTCTGATTTCCCGCGAGCAGCCTCCTCGGCTTCCACTTTAGCCTTCTGCATCCTTTCGAATTCCTCCTGTCTCTTCTGTTGCTTTGCCTTTGCTCGTCGGTTCTGGAACCAATTCTATAACCAACCCGTCAGTTTCCCTGATCACAGACTCTACCCCAATAGTGAAGGAGGAAGTACTTACAGCAACGCGAGGGAGACTTAGGTTGGTCTGAGCAGCCAATTGGCGCTTGACGTTGCTGCTCGGCTTGGGGTGTGCCTGGAACTGAGCTTCCAGGGTCTCGACTTGCTCCTTGGTTAACCGCGGTCGCGAAAGGTTCTCTGCGTATTCTTCATAGTCCATGATGGGTTGATGATAGAAGTCAACCATGTCGAATGGCGGGTGTTGGTAGATGTAGCCATCCATCGGATGCATCATGGACGGGTGTGCCATTGCCGGATCAAAGGCGATCGGCTGGTCGATCGGGACATGGCTGGCATATGGATAAGGATGATGGATATAATTCATGATTGCGAGAGAAGGAAGAAGAGGAGGGAGAAGGAGGGAGGAGAAGGTCGGTGAGGTTGAGGTTCGATGGGTTGCTCGGCGGGCGGCAACTGGGACGAGGGAACGAATCTAGATCATTGAACAGATTGGACCACTGATAGAAAATGGAAGATAAATAGCGGCTGGAGAGTTGAACAGTGGAGGATATATTGGCAGTTTAAAGGATAAGGAAAATTAAGGATTGGGTGGTGAGAGAATGACTGGTACGCTGAGGTCGGTGGGTATACAACAACCACAGCAGTTCTGGATTTAAGGAAACAGACGAGAGGATCAATGAGGGTATAAGTTCCAAAGACAGGTACTAATAGGCAGATCACAGGAAATGCGAAATAAAATCAAATAAATAAAGACCGAATAAAATAAGGAACGACTAAGCTGACTGAGAAAAGGAACGTAGGTAATAAAATCACAGGGAAAAAAATCAAATGAAATAAAAAAGAGGGGACGAAAGAGGAAAAGGAGAGGAGGAAAAAGAGAGAGAGAGAGAGAAAGTCGAAGCAAGAAAGAGTGAAGTGGACGAAAAGGAAAAATAATAATAATGAAAATAAAATAATCAGAGAGGGAAAAGGGAAAAAAGGGAAAAAGAAAATCAGAAAATCGAAAATCCAAAAAGAAAAAGAAAAAAGAAAAGAAAAAGGGAAAGGATTGACAGCAAAAGGTGTGGAGGGGAGTGCGCTGATTGGAAGATCGCCGCCCGGAACTGGAGGATCCCAAGGTATCAACTGTATATGTATTCCATTTACCGTCACGGCGTCCAACTCGTATTCTCTCTTCACTCTTCCAGGTTGTCCCTACAGGTGTACCGCGACATTGCACTAGATGTGGGATCATGTCTGTTAAATGCAGATCTACAGCCCTGTTGCTTAACCTGTAGGAAATGAATTCCATGGTCAGTCAATGCTGTTGTTTAAATTAAACTACCTTCAAGATTGACTTCATTGCACTGGATATGCGGTACACTACTCCGTACTCGGTACCCAGTACTTGAGTGGCCAATACCTGGGTACCGGTACTTCTACCCCCGGTTATCGGGGATGGTCACGAACGGTATCAGGTACGGTATCAGCCAAAATATTGGCCGAACCGAGTGGGCTTGCGGTGCTTCCGCCCGCGCGGTTCTAGGGGGTGGCGGCCCAGCCCAGGCTCTTACAACCTAAGGGAACTTAGCAGTCTGGGCTTAAAATAACAGAACTAAATTTATTACGGACCAGTGACTGCCGGCTGTAAATTTGTAATCGGTTGGCATTGTCAGGAAGCATCGTAGACGGTGTACCTCGGGATAATGATGATAATACGGGGAGTGACTTATGTCGCAGGATATAACTCAGACAAGTCAAGACGACGGAGTGTCCGCGGATCAGTTCCCAGTGGCAACCGTGGCGGTGACTGTGCTACTCGGAGGGGTAAGGGTGTGCTGTACGACGGGTCCATGATGCATCCTGTGCCTCGGGGGTGTTGTCAATTGCTTTTTTCTCGATATCACTGGGCACATCAAGGCAGATGTGATTCCTTTCGTTTCGGCTTACGGGGTGGAAGGGCAGATATGTGCGTAAGTACTCTTCTTCCTTGATGAAATCTTTCAAATCTATCTGATATCTACCGAGTTACAGAGTACTACCCGGTACTCAGTACTAAGTTATTACATATCCACTTGTAATTAACTGGAGTGTATCCGACATTCCCGCGCCGCAGTGCCACGCGAGGGGAAGATCTCATTGGCGCAAAAGTAGCAGAGAGGGGGGCAGAAGGGAAGAAAAACATGGAAGAAGGATCCCTCCCGCTGTCCGTGATGTCTGTCTCCTTTCAAACCCGAACCAAAAAAAAAGGGGGGGGGAGGCAAAACCAAGCTTAAGTGTGTCAGGTACCAATCCTATGATCCTATACTGCCCTCGCCCCTAATTCCCAGCTCTCAATGATTCAGAGTGAAACTGTAACGAATGGAGCCGAGTAGATCGCAAACGAGCTTTTCGTCAGTTCCTGCATTAGCGTGAGAAACAGGGACAAATTTAGCTTTGCTAACAGGGGAGGGCGAAGGAAAAGTGGAAGAGTCTAAGCCTAAGGGCAAGAGAAGGGCTCCATAGTGGAGGAACCTATCCAAGGCGAAAATAGCACCAAACGATGCCAACACCGACCGTTCGTATTAGGTGATGGAGATATGAGGAGGGGGGAGGGGGCAGGACGAAAGGAAAGGAGGCGATGATGGGATGCGATCATAGTTACCGCAGAAGAACTTGGTGATCATCGATTCGCAGGCTGCATCATACAGGCGGATCGTGTCAGAGAAGAGGGGGAAGAGAGAGAGAGAGAAAGAAGCTGCTGGTGCTGCACCCGAAGTGGGTCAGCAGTCAAGTCAGACAGCCGAGATCGCTGTTCATGTCTCCCTGCGACGAGTGTGCGACTGCGAACTGTGCAGTGCGCAAGAAAAAGAAAAAGGAGATCACGGGGCAGTGGGTGATCGGGATCCATTCCATGGTTTCTGACCGGGGATCACGCCAGCTCGTCCACTCATGCTCTGGATCTGGTTGACTTTGAGCGGTCCGCTTCCAACTCCCAAGGTCCCAACTTCCGACTGTTCCAACGACTTCTCTTCATGTTTACGCCAGCGGGTCTGTAACGCTGTAGAACGAACAGTATAGATACCAGCCCCAGGGATCAAGCAATACCGACAGTTTAGTTTCTGGACACGTCAATTTCTCTTCTGCCACCGTACATGATCCGAGCAAAGGGGTTAAAGTTATGATTATAGTTTGGAGTCTCGCATATTCCGTATAATCTACAGTGCAGCGTAGGCGGGGAACTCTGTCCGGCTTACCGAAAGAAGAGAGGGATTTATGTCATCTCTAGATACTTTGGAGGTTTACCCTGTTCTCAGTATTGTCTCTACACCTGAGTACAGCCTACATACGGATACAGACGACCCATCTGTACGGTTACCTGGGAGTCTGGCGCAGTCACAGCACGGATCTCCCATCTGTCATGTTTTTCCCGCAAAGCTCCTAAACCGCTTGGGCCTGCAAATCGCCCCCAGACTAATGATTTCATGGGCAAACCAAAAGAAAGACGAAGACCATCTCGATGAAAACACAAGAAAGGGCGAAGAATAGATTAAAATAAATTAAACAAACCCTCTGGGGAGAGCTGCAAAAGCGTGGCAGCAGCCAGCCAAGACCCGCTAAAATCAATAGTCGACAGATCCCGTCGATCAGCCACCAGGATCTGTCGATTGTTCGAACATTTTCCATCCTTTCCTTTTGGCCCTTGATCTTCGACTACTGTTAGTCTGTTCTGTTGGTTAGGACTTTAGAAATCGTCGATGAGCGGCGTCTTCCGCCATTCGTCCACTTTGCGCGCCAGGATTCTGTCACCTCGAGAGGAATCTAGTCAATCTACAGTACACTAACTGAGTAGGTACAAGTTCTTGACCTCGCGGTGCGAATCATGATGCAGCCCGAAGCGCCCACGCCAAGTCACGAGGTTACGCAACAGCAGCAAAAGTCCAAGTTAGGGGGAGGGGCGGCTGTCGTCCCCGGGGGGCTATCATATGCTTCGTTTTTGCGCTCGTCGACTAGCAACCAGGCCAGGAAGCAGATGCGTAGACCGGCCTACGTAGGGTATGGTCCATCCAGACAGTCTCCATTCACATGAACCAATTCCATTTACGTGGGGTTCTCTCCCCCTCCTTCCTCTCCCGCGAACGATGCGTGCATGCACTTCCTATGATCTGCTCTGTTTAATGTATGTAATGTACGCCTATTCTCTGCTTTGCTAGCCGCTACTGTACGTATAATCATGTAGATACATTAACCTTCCTGTACCAGTGTTCAGACCTCAAAAGGGGTCATTGCTTAGTCTTTGTCCAACGTTCACATGAGCGAGGGGAAATCCCGGAGCGACACAGCAGATTCCGACATCTTGGAACGATCCCCTAAAAGTTCCCATCGGATGGATTCTCCGCCCGGCTCTCAAGTGGCTGGTTACTGGTTGGTCAGTCCTAACTAACTCGGGAGGAAAGGGAGTCCCCCGACGGGCGTGAATTGTGAAAATGTGAAAGCAAAAAGTGACGAAAAGTCATCGGCGGTGGGGCCTCAGGCTGCAAAGGCGCCAATAAGAATCTCTCGGAGTCATGGAGACCAACCCTTTTGACTTCACCTAGCATTGGCCTTATGAACTAGACCGTGTGCTACCCGGCGGTCTCCTGGGGTGCTGTCGAGTGTCGACTATCGACCCAATCTTCACCATTGCTGACTCGCTGACTCGTTGGATGGACAGGCTCACGTGTCTGGGCCCTTGGATGTACGCCGTCTGCACCATTTCAAAGGCGCTGGAGATGGCCGACCTTCCGGCGCGTTACTCGAGGTCATGATTGGCAGGCTCCACGATCAATCACGGTGGACTGCATTCATCACAAGTTCCAACAACTCTCTTCGTCGAGGGAACGAGAACACAGCGTGAAAAATAAAAATTGAAAATAAAAACAAAAAGGGGGATTGCGGAGTGGATAGGTCTATCATCAGCTTGACCCATCGTCATCATTTTCCCACTTTCTCCTCCTTCCTCTTTCTCCCCCCTGTGACGATCCACCCGCACTGATCTGCCTCGCAGGTGATTTTCGAACAGACCTCTTATTCCACTTCCCCCCTCTTCCCTCTTAGCGTCGACTTCCTACGAGCCGTTGCCGCCCGGTGCATAGCTAGAGGAAGAGGGTTCCCAAATATTAGACTCTATGGGCCAAAATTCGCCGAGCACTCTGGGGCGTCGACGTGATTGCGACCGGTCTGTCCTTCTGCCTTGTCTATCTGTTGGCTGAGAATAATTTTCCACGCTTACAGAGTAGTGCCTCTGGCAATAGTGCATGAACGGCGACCGCCAACCCCTGAACCGCTATGCCATGGAGTGGCGATCAATGATGGCATCACATCCCTGCCCTGGTGGTATAAGGTTGACTTGGCACACTGGGGGATCCTCCCCTAATTGCTGCCCGTGAGCGCATCCTGATTATGGTTTGTGCTGTACAGAAGAACCTCTCCAGTCTTCCGTCCCCTTGGGTCTACGATTTGCTTCCCCGATGACCCTTCGATCGCCGTCAATCGCTTCCGCGACTTCCAGTGCGTCAATCGCCATGACCTTTTTCTGCTCCATGATGCAAGTCCATCGACAATCATTGCCGTTATTCTCCGTCCCTGGCGGAATGCAAGTACCAGGAACAGTCGGTACCTGCTACCTGGTTCTTAGGTAGGTACTTCTTGACCGAAGTAGCTTGTATACCGGAATATCCACCGAGGTATCGGTGCTTTACCGTACTCTTTACATACGTATGTACGTACGTATGTGTATATCCATGGAATACAGTATGTAATCAGTAAGATACCAGGTTTTCAGCCCTGAGAGACGACGCCACTCCCATGACCACAATAGGCAGGTCATGGCGGTGCTCCTCCCTCAGCCACAGAGGGATTCGAGATCCTCCGGGATCGCCTGCAGGGTTGTCCATCTTCTCCGTCCCTCTCTCTTGCTTGTGTCCCTCCTTTAGTTTCTATCGTCCTGTCTGCTTCATTCCATCCTCGTTTTAATCTATCTGCTGTGCACGGATAAGCCAAGCAATGGATAGCCTCAAATTTGTCATTCTTTGACAATAGCGCCGAGACCGGTGGTCGAATAGGATTGATTCGCGGACCCAAACCTAGAGGCCATGGCATCTGCCTTGACCTTTTTCTCTTTTCTTTTTGTGGGAGGGCAAAAAAGAAAAAAGAAAAAAGAAAAATTCTTCCGCTCTGTGCAACTGTGCTCAACGCTCAGGGCGATTCCGGGCACTTTCCCGGCCAGCCTCTGCCATGTTCCAGCCCGGCCAGGCTGTGTGTCTATCGGGCGTATGTTGTGTATATACGGTGCAGGTATCGTAACTCGACTCTTAGGCTGTACTCCGTACAAGGAGATCACATTGTCTGAGCCTCTTCAGGCTGAAAAACGCCTCTTGATCCGTTCACCATATTTGTCCCTTCCAATGGGTTGTCGGATTTCCAGAAACGGGCTTGATCAACGATGCAAAACCTTGTACGGAGTACTTTACTGCTCGAGCCGCCTCGGAATGATAAAAACCACACAGACCTGGTCAATTCTGGGAAGATGAGAGGGGAAAGGCGGAGAAAGAGGGTATTTCTCCCACTTACAGCGTACACACTCTCTCTCTGGCTCTCCCAGGGGGTTTCGCCCACATCCCTTGCTTACAGTGTCAGAGACTGAATTGGGGCCAGACTTCTTGGACTCTCCCCTCTAGCTACACCCACCCGTATCGCTGACGAGTTCGGCCAGATGTTCCCGATGCAATGCAGCAGAAATCCATGTCGATCGAGCCGTGTTTGGGAAGTGGATGGGGGGGTGACTCCATTCGACATGTCTGTTTTCCAGAACCCGATCGTCCCCTTCGGTCAACGAGGCGGATCAACTAGCCTTGCGAGTTCAGTCAGTCCGTCAACGCCTGCAATCAAGGAATATCTTGCAACAGCTCGTGTGTTCCGAACGGTGACCAACCTGAGACGGTGGCACAATCGATTTGTCTAGGTTTGCTTGGATGTTTTGCGGAAAGCAACGTCCCGATCAGAATTGCTATTGCCATTGCCATTGCCACCTTGAGCTTATGTTTTTTTTTTTTTTTCTTGCTCTTTCTCTAACCTAGGGAGACGCATGCTGCAGCCACAATTCATGCAACAGCTTCGGTTCCCGCTCTTCCGCGAACACCCCTTCATCATCACCATCTTCTTTTCCCATCTCAACTCCCTCGTATGATTAACTATGTGTCTCCATACCCAACCGAGAGTGACTGCACTACAGTAGGTCGACCGAGTTGTCGGTGAGCATTCATGTCGGGAGATCTTTTAACTTAACTCACCAGCATGTTTCGCAACTTTAAACATGCGGGTACACCTCTGTGATATGTACCTTCCAGGTTACCCGGTTGAGTACGACGCGTGAGACTCATCATACAGGGTGAGAAAGCGGTGATGGCGATGCTGCTTCGGCAAACATCTCGGTGTAGTCCGTGAATGCTGATTAGCTCGGAACCTACATCGTTATGGAGAAGGTCCCCGCCAGCCATGTTTCTCTTGGAAGTGAGTCGATATCATTTCGCCAATATGCAGTTCCCTGGACAGTGTACACCGCCAGCCAGCCAGCATGTTGAGAGCCCCGTCCCGTTGTTGTCAGCCTGATTCGATTCGTGGAATGGATTCCACTTTCGAAAACCGCGGGCGTTGTGGATAAGGTGCCGTACGGTGTACGTAGCCTTGTTGTGTCTGTCTGTCTGTCTGCTGCCTGCCGTTTGGCTTTTCTTTGGCGTTGGTCGATTGGCTTTGTTTTTCATGCACGGTGTGGTTGCCATGGGCGGGTTGAAATGGATCTTCGCAAAGTGAAAGAAAAAAGTTAAATGAATACAAACCCGATTCTTGCTTCCGTGGGCACATTAGTCTCATGCAAGGCACTTTTCCTGTTTCCACCCGTCTACACGGCAGATACATGTCATATCATCGTCCAAACAGGGTTCAAAACACAGGTGAAGAGGTACCTACTGACTATTCTGTACGGAGTAACTTAAGCTACAAGAGAGTTGGTTGTGGGTAATGGTTTTAGTTACGGGGTAAAGTGGTTCTAGGTATGTACATACAGCAAGAAAAATAAAGTCTATCTGAAACCCTAAGGCCCGGTCAGGTAATTAGGGAAAGGAAAGGCAAAACGCCCATATAGGAAGTGAAGTAGAAGAAGAAGAAGTAGAAGAGAAAAAAAATGCCCGTAATCTATTGGAGTCAAAACTCCGTCGTGAAAAAAAAAAAAAGAAGACCCTTGCACCACCCACGGCATCAAACATCGACTTTATTGGAAAGCGTTCCGAATCTCCAACTGAATCTGGCCATCGGCAACGGCCTTGACCGAAACGCTCCTCAGGTCCTCCACAATCCAATCCGCCCCGGCTTCCTGGAGCTGGGCCAGCGTGTGGGTCGTGGCCAGCGCAAGCACCTTGAATCCGGCCGCCTTGCCCGCGCGGATCCCCGACGGCGCGTCCTCCAACACCACCAGCGACGACGAGTGCTCCAGTCCCAGCTTCGCACGACCCAGCAGGTAGCAGCGCGGGTCGGGCTTGCCTAGCTCGACGTCCTCCGCGACGACCAGCATGTCGGGATGCGTGAGGTTCATGACGCCGAGCCAGCCTTCGAGCAGCGCGCGAGTGCCCGACGTGACGACGCCCCAGCGTGCGCCGGCTTCGTCGAGCGCGGAGAGGAGAGATCGGGCGCCGGGGATTTCGACGGCGTCGGAGCCGTACTCTTTCGGGATACAGCCTTCAATGTAGCTGACGTCTGCAGATATCAAGAGATTATATCGTTAGGCCTACTCTTTCTTTCTCCTTTTGAGACCGTTGTGTTTCCGCGTGCTCTATCTTTGGCATAGAGCATGTAGCATATACTATGTCCCACTCATCCATATATAGAGGGCTTCGGATCGGCGACTTACACTCCCAGTTGGCCTTGGTGGTGTCGTACAGGGCCAAGGTATCGATACTTCGGCGACCATGCGAGGTAGCAAGAATTACCTTGGGGTCGACGCCTAGTTCCGCTCCAATCCTGTGGGATGCGGTTAGGATCCATATTCAACATTTATTTGTCTCGTTGTGTCTGGTGTTGGATGGTGGGGTGAATCAGTTATCGGGGCCGGACGAACTTGTGCCAGTGCTTGACGATTGCTAGGGAGGAGACTCATCGTTAGAATTTTATTCCGCTTGAGAAGGTAATGCGATGTGTGCTCATAGTATGCTTACCATCTGTAGAATCAACAAGAGTTCCATCAAAGTCCGATAGAAGGCCATCGAACGTGACGACTTGCGGCGGGGCAGAGAAGGAGCCTTGCGGTTGAGTCATGTTGTCTATGTCTATAGCGTGCTCTATGAAACAGACGAAAAAGACAGACAGGGATCTAAAAGATAGTGAATAATCTCGAAGGCACAACAGTCTAAGTAAAGAAAAGGAATCACAGGAATGAAGCAGAAGATGGTAATGGCATACTCCAGCTGGACGAAATCCGCGGGATGATCGGAGATCGGCGGCACCAATTTCTCCGGTTATCTTAGCGCGCAGAGAAATTCTTGGCGGCCGCTCAACTTTGCACAAAATTGTTCGGAGTCTCTTATCTCGGTCCGTCTTGTTTTCACATCTTCTCGGGTTTTTTCGGTGTGAAGATTTTTCAAGATGGTTAATATAGGTATGCTTGGAATATTTTCCAGGTTCTTTCTTGTTCTGCCTTGATCGGGAAAAGAAAATGGAAGAGGGGAAAATTGAAGCTGATATATCGTCCAGGCAAGAACTCCAAGCGGACGCCCGTCCGACTACGACATAAGATTGAAAAGGCTTCTGCGGCCAAGCAACGGAAGCAGAAGAAGCTTGCGAAGAAGGTATGCTCTCGCTGTTGTTGCTCTGTCTGCCGCTTTTATGATACATTGCTATCTATATGTTCGTTCCGTCGGCGCAATTCACTGACAACTTTTTTCATCAGGATCCTACATGGCGCTCGAAGATCAAGAAGGACCCCGGTATCCCCAACCTCTTCCCGCACAAGGACAAGCTGCTTCACGAGATCGAGGAGCGCAAGCGGTTGAAGGCCGAGGAGCAGCAGCGAATTCGCGATGAGGCTCGTGAGCGTCGCGCCGCCCAGAAGGCCCAGTCCGGTCAGACCGCCCAGGTGATCGACGGTCAGATCCAGCAGGATATCGACAGCGATGGCATGGATGACGACGATATGGATGAGGATGGAGATTCTTCGAACCCCATGGCTGCGCTGCTGGCGTCTGCGCGTGCCAGAGCGGCCGAGTATGAAGACGAGGATGACGACGAGATGGACGAGGACGACGATGAAGATATGGATGCGATGGACGACGACGAGGAGGGCGGTGCGGCTCTGGATGACGACGAGGCTCCTCAGCTTGTCTCGCAGTCTCACGGCAAGGAGACCTCGCGACGACAGTTCGACAAGGTGTTCAAGCAGGTTATTGACAATGCCGATGTCGTTCTGTACGTGCTGGATGCTCGGGACCCTGAGGGCACTCGCTCCAAGGACGTCGAGCGCGAGATCATGTCTGCCGCTGCCGGATCCAAGCGATTGATCCTCATCCTCAACAAGATCGATCTTGTGCCCCCGCCCGTGCTGAAGGACTGGTTGATCCATCTGCGTCGGTACTTCCCGACTCTGCCGCTCAAGGCGTCCAACGGCACCGCCAACGCCCACAGCTTCGACCATAAGCAGCTGACCGTCAAGGGCACCTCGGACACGCTCTTCAAGGCCCTCAAGTCCTTCGCGCAGACCAAGCAGCTGAAGCGCTCCGTCTCCGTCGGCGTCATCGGCTACCCCAACGTCGGCAAGTCCTCCGTCATCAACGCCCTCACGGCCCGCCTCAACAAGGGCTCCAGCAACGCCTGTCCCACCGGCGCCGAGGCCGGCGTCACCACCAGCCTCCGCCAGGTGAAACTCGACAGCAAGCTCAAGCTCATCGACTCGCCCGGTATCGTGTTCCCCAACGCCGGCGAGAAGAGCACCAACAAGAAGAGCAACAAGAAGAAGCAGGATGAGCACGCTCGTCTCATCCTTCTCAATGCCGTGCCCCCCAAGCAGATCGAGGACCCCGTTCCCGCCGTCAAACTCCTCCTGAAGCGCCTCTCCACCACCGACGGCCTCCTCCAGAAGCTCCTCAACCTCTACGGTATCCCCGCACTCTTCCCCACTGGCGGCGACCAGGTCAATGACTTCCTCATCCACGTTGCCCGCAAGCGCGGTCGTCTCGGTAAGGGCGGTATCCCCAACATCGACGCCGCCGCCATGACCGTCATCAACGACTGGAGAGACGGCCGCATCCAGGGCTGGGTCAACGCTCCTGTCCTGCCGGTCGTCACCACGACAGAGGGCGCCGCGGCCACGGAGGTCGGACCCGGTGTGGACACGAGACAGATCGTCACGGAATGGGCGAAGGAATTCAAGATCGAGGGATTGTGGGGGAATGGGGATGATGAGATGGCTGAGTAGATCAGTAGCACCAGTTCTGGGGACCTACATCACCATTTGGTGTGGTTGTATCTTCTTTTGACTGCTGATCTAGCTTTTCATGTCTTTTCTTTTGTCTTTCTTTTTCTTGATTTGCTGCTTCTGTGGATACCTAAAAAAAGAAGGCGTTGCAGGCCTGGTTTTCTTTGATCTTTCTTTTTCTAATGTTGACTCGACTTGATTGAACTGGGTGATGAGATCCGTGAGCTAATAGATGTTGATACTTGATGATGAATCTAGATGTCTTTCGTTCATGATGTGTCTTGGGAATGCCTGCTAGATGGAGTAGAGTAATCTGTGTTTTCTTTTTGTCTAGAAGGTAGGCAGAACAATATAGGTAACTATCTATCATTCGTTCGGCCTCTCAGAATCCATTCTTTGATAAAAGCCAAATCCTCTAGGGGAGAGCTAATTTACTTTACATTCAGAAGGTAGCTTCTTGCAATAACTTGGCAGCATAAAAGGGCGACGATATCATTAGTGGTATAAATAGATGTTAGCTATTCAAACAGTATCGTAGTAAAAGATAATAATCAGATAGTAGATACCTTTTCATCGAAGGTCTCCGAAACTTCTCAGGCAACGAGAGACGGGTTTTGGTTACTCTTATATAACATGCGTAAAATCCACTACGAATAGCCCATTCCTATTTGAACAAAAGGCCCCAGGAGCACAAGCTAATGGAGCCTCTTTCAAGATAAATAAGATAGTACATAGATAGATACTTCTACTTTCCTTCAGCAAGAACCGCCACGGTACATTTCAGAGAAGGCCTCCCCCGCCTCTGGCCGAGATATCCTCCAGGCACATGGTTAAATTGTGCAACTCCTGCAGCAACACGCTTGGATCATCACACTTCTGGGCCGTGTCAAAATCGATCAACGTGGCATTCGAATCACGAATGAGGAAGTTGAACCGATTTGTATCTCCATGTCGAACCCCTAAAGCATGTAGCCGAGATAATACCTCCCTGCAGGCCTGGACATCCTCAGCACCAGCGTGCCGTGCATTGGGTATGTATTCCATCAAGAACCCCATTACCCGGCCGTGCTCAGTTAAATGGCCAAAGAATTGAAGCCCGATGTTATGGTCGGAGATCTATTGGTATGCTGTGGTTTCGTTCTCGATGTATTGGATCTCCCAGGGGAAACGGGCGAATTTGGCGACCACAGTTTTGTCGAATGATGGGCAGTGGACTTTGTAAATCCCCGTCCGTAGTTTTCGTCCGATTGAGAGATTCAGATAATCGACGTAGGTTTCATGCCAAGTATTTCGAACCCCAGGGTATCGAGTCAGCCTGACATATGCAAAACGTGGCCGAGCATCGTTGGCGTCTTGAGCAACCAAACCATCGTTCCAGTTTCCCGGGGGGAGTTCGGGCAAGATAGAAACAAGTGAAGGACCAAAGCACATATCTTCGGTGCTATAGATGCCGGGTTCAATGATAATGTATTTGACTGTCTGGCCGTCAACTAACAGGCGGAAAAAGCTTTGGTCGTTCTCGTCGACCTCGGCCTGGAGTAAGTCAATTCTCATTTGGTTGCCCATGTTCAAGACAAAAGATTCGAGTGAAGACGAGACTCTTCGAGTGTCTGTGAGAATATGAAATCTATCTTGCGCCCTTTGTGATATTTATGTGTTGATAGTGCATAATTGATCACCATTATGTGCTACTGTTCTCCCAGATTGATGTATGATTGGTTGATGATGGTGGCGCTGGAGCCATCTAAGTCACATCAGTCACAGAATTGGCGGTTCCACTAGTGCTTACATTGGTTGTACTGCACTCGGACCCTTATGAGAAATGCGCCAGGTCTAAACTACGGGGTCAGCGCCTGAGTGTATGGGTTTCCATTAGAAGCGAGAGACGCCTTCTTGTTTCCGCCCAAACCTCAGCGTGTGCGTCTACTCGTGCTTTTTCTTGCAGGGATTCACATATAAGATGCCATTCAGTCCTCCAACCCTTCCCTCACATTGCAGCCCTTAGAATCTCCCATCAAGGATCCATACGCGAGGGTGAGTTTGTACAGTTAACTGGCTAGGCCTTTCTAATAGAACCATTTCTAGAGGAATTGTATTTCATGTCTGTTATTTTAGTCGATGGCACCTGTTAAAACACGGACTTCCTAATAAACTCCCGGACTATCATTGGAGTTATCTACGGCTTTGAAGCTTGGAAGATTTTAGAAAGAACAAGAATACAGGCGAATGAAGGGTTTGCTATTCTTATGAGTCGTTTTTTATTTTATAGCCTTTTGCAATCTCACGTTACTTAAATCGCCTTTGGACATAGAGGATATGAAGTTTCTTAGGTCCTTAGGACTCACACAGGGCCTGACGAGTAGTGGAGTCTAAATATGGTTGTTATCAGATTAAAACATTATCGTTATTATCTTCATCATAACTATGATACATATCATTCTCCATGTCCTCTTAACTAGCTCTCCCATTTTGCATAGCAAGATGACGTCCATCAGGTCTGGCAACCAGGTGGCACATCCGAACCTGGCAATTTCATCTAGAATGCACACGACCCTCACGTTCGTGGGCAGGCAGAATGTTCACTTGGGTTCTCGTGCAGGCCGCATGGAAACAACAAGACGATAGAATCAGTGTTCTTGGAGAGATTCAGCGATAAGGTGGAGCAGACAGCAGATAAAGCTGTTATTCTACTCGGAGCCGCCATGTGTTTTCTTGTACATGGAGAGCTTTGGCTTGTGTGGAACCTATCCATTGAAGGAGCTCTGATGACGATGGGAGTTGTTGGGCTTGTGTTTGTCCTTGAATATTAAGGTGACCAAAGGCATGTACTTGCCATTGCCCATCACCCTTATACTATCCTACACGTGATATTCACTTGCTTGTATACATGGAGAACTAATCGACTGCGTACCACTTTGGCTGTGGCATTTACTACAAAAGCAACCTCCTCCTGTGCTCCCTATATTGAATTTGCTATGGATAGATAGGTTATGCTCCTACTCCGTAGACACCAATGTAGTCCAAAGGAAACAATCCAATCAAATCACCTCCATCCACTCCGAACACCCACCCACGAACCCACAGGAACCGGGGGAAAAAAATACCACCCTACTTTACCTGACGCAGGAAGTGGGAAAAGCAAAAAGAACTGACAAGAGTGGGATTCGAACCCACGCCATCGTGAGATGAGTAGGAAACTCAAGTTGAGTTGTCAGTTAAGGTAGCACCTTAACCTACCGCCTTGGACCGCTCGGCCATCTTGCCCGGTTGATGTAAATGGGTCAATTATTTGGCATTATATTGAAGAAAGTGAGTGGGTGAGATTTATGCGCCGTAGGCTTGAGTTTGGAGGGGTGGAGGGGTCTGAGTTTGGTGGGGATTGGGTTCTGTTTGGTGTTGTACAAAGGTTCTATTCCTGTGCTCTAGGCGCTGGTCTGGTGGGTTATTAGGGTTAAGCCTGCTTGGGCTGTTGTCGGTTGTGCTGTGTGGGTTGGTCATTCGGTTATATATTGTTGGCTACCTATAGATTGATGGATAAGGACGAACTGCAACTGCATACAATTAAACACACAACCCCAACTTCAGGAGAACTATCGCGAAGCCAGAGTAAAGGACGTTGTCAAACTACAGACGAAAAGGGTTCTCATTGGTGCAGTATACTAGGAATGGCTACAGAGGGGAAACATAGCACAATGCCTGGTAACTTGTGTATCGAGCACCCAAGTCACGAGAATGATCGATAAAATCAAACTTAATATCTGGTTCCACGTAAGCCCAGCGTGCCAAATTGTACATCATGTGAATGTAATTTAATTGTGTATCTCCATATTGGAACCGGAACGCTTTCGCTGATAGGTACAGGCCAAACCAACAGCCACAATGGGAGGCAACATCTGAGATATGGTGCCCCCTTCGCCCGTAAGAACTTTTCATTTCTCCTTACCCTCAACCCCCCAGCTTTTTCTAACTCAATTGGATTTGTTTCGTTCCACACCATCCTCATCCTTCTCCATGTTGCGCCCTGCACCAGATCTGGCAATCAACCGTCATGATCTGTACTACACACAACCACCATGTACGATCATTTGCCCCAAGAACTCACAGTATGCATGTTCAACCATGATTACGTAGATACTCTGACACGACGTGACCTGCTAGCATAGAGAGTAACCCCGAACAAATTTCATACCACATACCTAATATATTGCTTCGAAGCCACGCATATGGTAGTGCCCTAACGTACATCGTGGAACTACCCCCCTCACATACCAGAGACCATACAGTATTGCTCGTATAGCTTCAGACGCCAGGGCATACTTAGATACTACATCGGTGTCTCCCCAAGAAAGAAAACGTCTATGCCCGAACCATGTACCTACGGTCCTACGGTCCTAGAAAATGCCACGAACGACCGCATCTAGGCGCAGAAAAATGCATTATTGCCGACTGAATTACGAAATTGAAAATGAGCTCAGTCTTTAGGAAAGCGTAAATGAAAGCAGATCGATTTGTAGACTAGTATAGGCGATTTCCGTACATACTTCATTGTCTTAGCCGGATGCTAGGGCTATTTGTAGAAAGAGGCTTATGATGTCAAAGATATCACCCTTTCTTCAACAACCGGCAAGATGGCCGAGCGGTCCAAGGCGGTAGGTTAAGGTGTTACCTTAACTGACAACTCAACTTGAGTTTCCTACTCATCTCACGATGGCGTGGGTTCGAATCCCACTCTTGTCATTTCTTTTTGCTTTTTCTTCTTCCTGTCTTTCATTTTAAAATCGCCCGGGAGAAGGAGACAGAGACCATTTTTGTGACTCGGATTTGCGTGTTCGTGGGATGTGGCCCCCTTGTTTAACTTTACTATGAGGAGAAGGTTATAGATATCTACGCATAGCTTTCCTTATAACTATCCACTTCCACTCGCCATCTCTGATCCATCAAAACTTTGCCAACTCCAGGAGAGTGACACGGGAGTATGCATGCTACGGCTGTATCGTCTGAAGCTTGCCCTCCGCGAAGCACCTTATCCATCCACACCGCAAATCACCAACCTATATACGCACCTAGGACGTACTTAAGAATACGAGCCTACGTAGCTACGTAACAACACCCACGCACGACTGTCCACTGAAGCCCTTAACTCCTGGTTCGTAGTCACTGTATGGCAACACGGACAGCTCGTCGCCATATATAGCCCATTCCCTGTTCCATCTGCATGCATGTATGGAAAACCGAGAAGGGGATTCATGCGCCTTTGAAGAGTCACCAATATCCGAAATACATTGACCAAGGAAGCCTGCAGAGAGTTGGATCTAGACCATGTTATTCAAAATCTTTGACGTCGATGCCTATTACTCTAGATATTCAAGTCGTGAATTGTTGGAGCAAATCTGGCACACGTTCGATCATGGCGAGCATTTGTCCTGACGCCGGGCTAGTTGCAATGGATCGCAGGTTGAATGGTCCGTGTCGAATGAGAATACTTACCTCCACAGCAACAATCAAGTTCCCCAGGTAGCATAGGGATCAGAATCTCGCACTCGAATTCACGAGCTCCCCTGGTCAGACACCCGACGAGGATATTGCTGTTACTCGAGCCGAGACATGATACCACCGAGTCTAGGCAGCCACGGCGAGCTATTCAAGGAAGATGGCTAGGTTGTTGGTAGTCCTTGTCGTGGGGCTACCATTCCTCGCCTGTGTCCCTGTACTATGTGTTCAGATCACTGGGACATTCGCGGGTGACGGGTGTAGATACAAATTCTTGCTCGCTGCGGGTTTCCCAGGCCTGTCGCTAGCAGGGCGAATCGTGCGTGCCGGACTTGTGGCCTGTTAGAACGACTCGGCTGGGGTCGATGTTCAGTCGAGACATGCTTTGGACTGATGGTCTAAGGAGACGACAACTTCCTGCACTCGCTCTTCCACCGTCGGCCGAGGTACAAGCGTGTAGTTGAAGGCAGAGATGCAGCCCTGGCGAGTCAGGTTAACTTTGGCCGGTCAATGAAGTCTGGATAGGTGCCGCATTGCCAGCTGCCGCCATGTACAAAGAAGGGTGTGAGGGTTCCGATATGTGCTTCCAGAAGTGAAGATGCTAAGTGCAGCTTTCTCCATTGTTATAGTAGGCCCGCCGAGAAGTTGATCGGAATTCAAGGTCGATTGGAGCTGTTCTGCTCTGGTCTATTGTTCGTTCGTTGATGTCTCGCCCGAGGAGAATCAGATTGTGGACGCGTAATCTGCTTTAGATGGAGATTTAGTGTTAGTAGACATGGCCAGTCAGTGACTGGGCGCAGTGCCAAAATCTAGAGGTAACCCGCCTGCACCTCACTTTCTTTTAGCTTAGCTTCATAGAGCACTAAAATAAGCACTTTCTCCATCAATTGGCAAGATGGCCGAGCGGTCCAAGGCGGTAGGTTAAGGTATACCTTAATTCACAACTCAACTGAGTTTCCTACTCATCTCACGATGGCGTGGGTTCGAATCCCACTCTTGTCATCTCTTTTTGCATTTCTTTTTGCTCGTACGGAGTTAACATGGACTGTTGTTGCTGTCTTTCCATGCGCTCCATCCTCATTTTAGAGAGCGCGCTTGGCCTTCTCTGACATTTCTTTTTCTCTAAATTTTATATCTGTAATTCCACCGAGTCATAGGAATATGGATATGTAGCTATGCTAATTACTACAAATCTCTATATTATCGAGAAACAAGCGCCTCCATAGTAATCATAATTGTAGAACAATCCAGCCAGCATTAAACTGAGCATCATCCTAAAATCCAAGAAACTCAGCTCCGGCCATTGTCTGCACGATCGATAAAACCGCTCTTATCAGGCGCCGAATCGCCACCGCAGCCCGTCGCGCTCCCGCCATCGCGTCGCGTTTTCGAAAAAAAGAATTCCACCTTCATAATCTGTGCCTGGATTCTGACCTTCACCTAACGCTATGTTATCTGACTGAACATAATATTTAATTTCTTCGCTTGACTGGATATATTGAGTTAGTTTGGTTTGGTCATTCTTTCTTTTCATCCTTTGACCTAGTAACTGCTGGCTTCATAGTCGCCTTGCGTTGCTTCTCACCTACCTATCTCTCTGCACGCTTACTCCGACAATTGACTCTCCGTCTCTCTTCGACCCTCCTGACCTCAGCAGTACATAGGTGCACTGTACACAATTGAACACTGTCCACGGCATCATCAAACAAACCACCCACCCACCAACTCACGGCAGTCAGCGCTCAAAGCAAAGCAAAAAGAAACATGCCTCGAAAATCCACCTCCAGCACACCAGGCGACCTGGAAGAAACGCAGACACAGATACACACGCAATCCCCCGACCTGCCTGATCAGTCGCCATCCCAGCCCGTTTCGCAATCAGTACAAGCGACGGAGCAGCAGTTGAAGGCGAGGGCGAGTATTGATGTATGTTACCCCTCTCCTCCCTCTCTTCTTTTCAATTCGAAACTCTTGTTTCTTTTTGTGTCAGAACCTGGATATTGAAACTTGGACCTTGGAAGATACGGTGATTGTAATTGTGATCGTGACTAACGAAAATAATCGTGTACAATAGGACTATCTCCTTCCTCGCTCGCTAACCCTCCGTCTTGCTAAATCCGTCTTGCCCCCGAATACCTCCCTCCAGAAGGATGCGGTGTTGGCGATCCAAAAGGCCGCGACGGTGTTTGTTTCATATTTGTCGTCGCAGTATGCTCCCCGCCCCCTCCTCTCCTCCTTTCCCTTCTACTCCGACTTCGCCTTCTATCTTCTGCAACCGGTGAAAGAACTGTCTTTCGCGTTGCTTCGTTGCTATATCCTTACCCTACCCTATCCACTTATAACACAAAAACACATAGCATACGTGCACACAGAAGTACACCGCTAACACATACGTCTAAAAACAACAGCGCCAACGAAGCAACACTCAAACGCACCCTCTCCCCCGCAGACGTATTTTCCGCGCTCTCAGAACTAGAACTCGAGGGGTTCCGACCTCGATTGGAGAAAGAGCTTGATGCGTTTACGGACCTGAAGGCTGGGAAGAGGAAGAGTAAGGGAGGGAATACCAACACGAGTAACAGCACTAATAATACCGGTGCTGCTGCTACTGCTGCTGCCGATGTCGATGTCGGGATCGGTAAGGATGACGCGACTAGCATTGTCGAGGGTGGGGAGAAAGATGCAGCGAAGGAAGGGTTAGGTGCGAGTGTCGCGAGGGGCGCGAAGAGGGTGAAGAGAGATGTGAATGGGAGTGGGGTCCATGGGGATGACGAGGACGACGACGGAGATGAGACACAGGATGAGCCCGAGAAGGTAGATGAGAATGAGACGGAGGTTGAGGAGGAAGACGACGAAGAAGAGGAGGACGAAGATGAGGATGAGGTACCAGAGGAAGAGGATCCGGATCGCGTGGAAGATCTAGATCGAGACTCGAGAGCTAAACGGACGATGGATCCCGATGCGGCGGGCGATGATGATACGGAAAGTGAGGATGAGAATGGGCCGGGGTCGCAGTTGCGAGGGGACCTGGGACTCGGATAGGCTGTCATATTATTTATCTGTTAGGTTAATTGTTCAGTGAGTTGGTGTTATATATCCCATACAAGGGAAAGTAAAAGTGAAGTCAATTGTATGATACGAGACGTAAGAATTAACATTGATATTGATTGACCTTCCACCATCTGACCAGTGCATGGCATCCATAATCCATAAAAATAAACAAGGTAATCATTCGTTCCATTGTGTCCCTTGAATATCATCAATGCAAATAAGATAAGATAGAGACAAGCGAAAAGACCCCACCGACGCCGGATTTGCTCAGAAACGCCCAATCAACGACCGCGCAATGCATCAATCACTACATGATCACGGTGTCCCATCAAGTTGTACAACGAAAAAACCACGAGAAATGCAGGTCTCGGACGCATTCATAGGGATTGGAATCCCTGGTCACGCATCAAAGGACAGAAAAAAGGGCTCAATATCCGAAAGATAAAGATAAGACAACCCTTGTCAAAAAAACCAAACGCCAAAGCCAAAGCAAGATAGTCTATCATGGTATCTTGACACCCAAACAGACAAACATCAAATGACAGGCTCCGAGCGACCACGTCGCGATCTCAGAGAAAGAAAGGTAAAAGTGAAAAAGAAAAACACAAACACATAAGTAGAAAGATAGACTAATGATGACATAAAGTAAGAGCCGTGATTAACTCATGCGGTCGGTTGGTTCAGCAACTCACTCATTCCGTTAGGTACCGATTTGGGTGAGATCGTGTCTGGTTGACGCCAGCGACTACTACTGCGCGTCGGCGTGGTCTCCCCCTTCTGTTGACTCAGATGAGGGAACATCGGTCCATTATTGCGCGCGGCACCAGGAGGAAGTGGATGCATCGGTTTCGAATCGTCCTTTTCCAGCTTGATGGACTTGTCTTCGGCGCCGACCTTGGGCGCTTTGGTGACTTTGCTGAAGTTGGTGATTTTGGTATTCTTGGCCGGCGCGTCTTTCTTGGTCGTGCGTTTCCGAGGGGCAGCGGCGGGCTTCTTCTTCGCGGCCGCTTTCTTGGGCGCAGCGGCCTTGGTCCCTTTAAGGACGTCCTCCAATTTGGGTCCGCGACTGGCGGGATTGGCACGCGTGTTCTGGGCGTGTTGGGTTTTCTTGACATCCTCGTCCTGGCTGGAGGACGGCGTGAGGAAGCCAGTCGACGTCTTCTGTCTCTTTCTCGGCGTCGAGACCACGATCGACACCTCTGATCCCTTCTTCACGCGCTCGACCTCGGACGAGTTGCATTCGTCAAAGATTTCCTCCGAGTGGTCATCCCACCGTTTTAGAGCGGCCAGCTGGGCCACTTTTTCGCAGTCGCCCGTCACCACGAGGTCCCAACAATCCTCAAATTCTTTCCCCACGGGGGGCTCGTTGTTGATCCACATGGCCATTCCGTTGCGGCGACTGCGGATCACATGACAGAGACTTTTCACGAGACGGCGCACCCCCGGGATCTTCAGGCTGGTCCCCACCACGATCAGCGCGTCCGGGCGGGAGCGGATGTCGGCATTCATGACAGACGTGATGGCTTCCTCGTCGGGGTTGTGCTCGTTGTAGAGCACGATGCGGGGTCGCATCTTGCCGATTCCATGGCTGCGCTGTCCGGTCTCCATGCGGAACTGGTTGTTTCTGGAGCACTCGGGACATTCGGGCGCATCGGGTCGGTCGAACATGACGCGATCGAAATCGCCCAGGTGTCGACACTTCTGGCACACCATTTTGTCGAGACTGCCGTGCAGCTGGATCGTGCGCGGCCACGGCGCTTTAACGTTCAGGGGAATCTGCGTGGCCAAGGGGGGCATGGATGTTTCGATGCCGTCGATGTTTTGCGTATACAGGCGAGTCAAGCGACCCTCCTGACCGAGACGAGCCAGCATGTGGTGGAAAGCGGTGGGCGAAGTCTTCTCCGCCTCCTCGGACAGCGACCGCACCATATCCTGGAAGGAAGCGGTCAGGTTTTCATCCTGGTAGACGGCAGCATCGAAAAGTAGTTTGCCGGACGCCTTTAGATTGTGCTTTTTCTGCAAGGATTTAAATAGGCCATCGGTGGACCGAAAGTCGGGAACTATAGAGTTAAAAAAAAATGATTAGAGGGAATTTGCTTGGAAGGAGAAACATGTCCAGGGACAAGGAACATACTGCCTGCAGAAGTGGAGATGCCAGCGCCGGCGATGACGACGATTTTGCGGTGACGACGAATGGTTTTGGTGAGCAGATCGATCTGGGCCTGTTGTTGGGCGTCCGAGCCGAGGCGGAGATCGAGACGCTGCGTGCGCCGCTCTTTGGGCGCCGCCGTCCGTCGCTTCTTCCGGGCGGGCGGCAGCTCTGCTTGGCGGCTCTCGTCCGCGTCCTGCGACGGGGGAGGCGAGGGATAGAACCCGGGCGGTGGTGAGGGCGACGCAGGCGCAGAGCTCAGCTCCGACACATCTGAGAAATCATCCTCCATGGCGAGTGTGGAAGAGTCGTTGTCGTCAGAGAGGGAGGACGGAAGAGGAAGAAGGAGAGAGTGTGTTGGCGTGGCAGCGATGGGGAGGAGAAAAAGGGGAGAGAAAGACCCGTAGAAAAAGAGCCTTCACAAAGAGGTGAATACCACACCCGAACAGACAATCATGGGCGTTCAATTGGGGAATGGAAAGGCAGACAACGAGCGAATTTATTAATTCCGGTCGATTGAAAAGTCGGAATTGTCTCGCTCCCAACCGGTAATTTCCCACGTCGAAACTCCGTGATCGTGGGGGAACGAGAAGGGAAAAGAGGAGGAAGAGGGAGGAGGACGAGGGGAAGGGAGAAAGAAGAAAAGGGCGCGGACGGGCAGGTCGAAACCGAGAAAAAAAAGAAAGTGATGAGGTCAAGGCGGAGGAAGTTCGAGAGGGATAACTAGAAAAGACCGCAAGAAGTCTGGTTCTCTCTCGCTTGCAGCCGTTGTGCTCTGTTTATTTTGACCCACGGCAATTCTCCGGACCAGAAGGAGATTCAGTCCGGCGATCGAGAGAGAGCGAGCGAGGAGAGCAGATTAACTACGAGGGCAACGGGGGTTGGTATGTTGGTTGGGAATGCTGTCAAGAGAGAGCCATCATGGGGTAAGAGTGTAGAGAGCAGAGGGTAGAGTGCAGAGTGTGGACTGAAGACTGAAGACTGAAGACTACGGTTATGGAGCATATCTAATATCATCGAGCGCCAAAAGAAGAAGCAAGGACGGAGGGAATAAGCGAAAGCATCATCGTTAGTTCAACCAGAGTCAAAGAATGGGCAGTCATATCAATCACCGCAATCAAGATGCCACCGTCTCGGCATCAGATGATGGTTCTTCCAAAACAACAACAATAACCCACCGTCCTGCTAGTTTCAATCGGGTTTAACACCGTCCGGTCTGATTGGCCGGCAGCTCGCATTGAGCTGTTGGCTTTAATTTGACGAGGACAGAATGCTGGGACTCTGGTGCACACTGTGTACTGTGTAGAGCTCCCCCTCTTCGTCCCTCTGGCTCGCCCCCACGACCTGCATGCTGATCTATCAGCCTGGGACCGGTTTTCATCGACATGCACATATTCCCGCAGGCTCGAGCACTGTCCCGTCGGTCTTCAAACTGGTCTGGTCTGGTGTTCTCGACTTCCGATCCACTCGGCTTGATGCGGGCTCACGTCGCCCGGCGTAGGGTTTCCGCAAACGTCGCAACCGTGACTTGAAGGCGAGTAATCCACCTGGAAGATCCGTGTGGACGGAGTAGACTGGAGTTACTCCGTACTTTCTTTGTCTCCGTCCCGGTCATCTTCTGGTTCCCGTTGGATCGTGCTGGACTTGGACCCCATCCCTGTACAGAGTGTCTTTCATTAAGTTGGTTCGATCGTATTCAAGTCAGCATAGTCTCAGTTAAGTCATCGCAAGAGTAGTGGTACTGTAATTAGTTGCCGTGCCTGTCCATCTTAGAGGGCAGTTCGTGAAGAAGAGCGGTCATTGGACGGACGCGTTGGCCGGGATACGGCGCGCACATGACCTCACGTGACGCTGAGTCAGCCCGGGCTCTAGGATCGGCTGTGATGGGATTGGAGAGGTGATAGTGATACTTACTACACTACTTACTTGTCGGAACAATGAATGACTATATGATCTAGCTGATACCTCTGTACATTGTCGCTTACTGAATCTCCCTTTGTTGCCCGCGGGCTCTTTGTTGGCAAGGGCTGGGCACAACCGCGGTGCCGTAGATTGATTGTTGATTATTGGATTAATTATTTAGTCTTCATCTATCATGCCGATGATGATGGATGACGGCATCAACGTCGATGATTTGTTTGGCGAACCCGCCTCGCTGGAGCTGGGTCTGCCGTCCAACACCTCTACCAAAGGTCTTGCGCAGCGGTTGGATGAGTTGCGACTCTCGGGTTGCTGCCAGTAAGTTGACCCTACAACTCCATCCCCATGTTTGAAGGGCGGAGGCCAACTACGTTCGCAGGAAAATCGCCTGGTCTCGACAGGGATGTATCGCATATATCACCCATGACACTTTAGGAGTGAACCTCCGTCATTTGGAGTGTCGCCCGTCCGATGGCAAGTGGATCTTGAGTGAGGACACCCCCTTGAGCCCGGTGACCGAGGCTCACGATCGTCATCCACTCGTCCACCTGTCTTGGAATGAGGTCGGGTCGGAATTGGCTGTGGCCGACTCGTCGGGCCGTGTGTCCATCTATAACATCGCTATTGCTCTCAATAATCTCGCCGGACAGCGTCATGCGCACTTTGACACCGATGACGATGGCGGCCAGATTGTGGGCATGATGTGGCTAAACATCCAGCGCTCGGTGAGTCTCGCCGTCACTGCTGATCCGATTAATGACGCTGATATTTGACTAGGTCCACGCTTTCAACCAAGCGGCCAAGGTCCAAGGTCGATGGGCGTACTCCCCGTTTCGACGCCGTCCCATCGGCCCGCTCCACCCGGCCGGTAAGGCGGCGTTGGTTTGCGTCACCAAATCGGGGATGATTCGACTTTTGTATCAGAACCCCGACGGTAAATGGGCGGAGATCGCGGCAGAACTGAAGAGCACAGCCTACTCGGACCGGTCGTTAACCCACGCGGCCATCGGGGCTGTCCAGGGTGGGATCGTAATCGCGACTCACTCTGCCTGCCAGAAGCTCTGCTTCTACCGGGCCCAGATCAACTGGACTCCCGCGCAATGGGATCCGAGCCAGCTCAAGCACCCCCCGAACCCGAGCCAATACCCCGTTCCCAATTTCCGCTTCATGCACGCCAAAGTCGAAACGTCCTGCTGCTTGCCCTCCTTGAATCGGGACGAGGGACAAGATCCTAATGGCGTCCCCCAGACCACAAACTCTTTGTACTGTCTTACGCACCTGGACATCATTATGGCGGCTCATGACAGCCCTTCCGGCATGACGACGAATCCGTGGATCGTTGCGGTGTTTTCAATTCCTCCTCATGCCGTTCCAAATCACTCGCAACAACTCCCTGCCGGCGTTATCGTCCGATGGCAGCTTGAATCGGCGCCACAAGTATTGCACCCTAAACTCGACGAAGTTGCCTCGAAGAAGAACAGCGTCCAGATGAAAGTATGAAGAACCACAATATGGACTTGATAATTTGGTACTGACCTCGGACTAGCCAAAAACGGTCGTCCGTCGACTGGAGGATATTCCATGCGATAAATACGTGATATCAATTGACCAGACGGAATTCGGGAATGTGCTGGCCATCACCTACGATGACAGTACGATCACCTTCTACGACCCCAAGACAATGGTCATCCTCAACGGAAACGATGATGCGAATACAGTGACTAGTTTGGCTCAGGCTGGTTTTAACTACCCTCCAGACACGCCAGGTTTGTTCTCCTGATCTGTCTGATTGAAGCAGCACTGACGACATTCGCAGGGCTATACATTGGCTTCTCTCCTAGCGGTTGCATTGCTATGATGCTTGACAATGACGGGCAACCACAGCTCAGAGTTATGGAGCACACATATGGCGTGGAGAATGGTATTTCAGATGAGAGTATGTGCTGAATTTATCAGATCTATACATTATGCTTACTTCGTCAGGTAAATTGTCTGCAGCCATTGCCTCGCTGACGCTGGCTTTCTGCCGTGGCTGCGGGAGCGAACTCAACACGGACGATATTCTCATGATCCTCCGACGTCAAGTATCACCTGGTGGGTGGAACCTTTCCTTCACCAAGTCACTTGTTCTAATAGTTTGCCAGACGACCAAGCGACCTTTGTCAACGAAGTCTATCGCGCGTTGGCCGTTAATTGCAACTTTACCCAGGAGAACGATAAGCTCATGAGCCATCAATATCTTCCCCGTTGTCTCAGCATCCAGGCTGCTCTCGGCTTCAAGGATAAATACAAGCCCCGCAGCTTCGCGTCCAATGTCCCTTGGGCTATCCTTCAACTGCGGCACGCATCCGTTCTATATGCCTTGTTCATCCAATTCAGCAAGGGAGCTCAGAACGAAGCTCCAGATCCTGGTATGATACAATCCATTCGATCTAACTCAAGGCACTGCTAATTCTGCCCTCTGGACAGATGCCCTACGCATACTCCTAGGCAACACCAAATGGGCGCTTGACTTCCTCCACTTCGTCCTCAACGACCTCCTCGATCTCGCCGATGAATTCGAAGACATCTTCTCCGACCAGGAAGCATTTGCACAAAAGCGTATGCCTCACCCCCTCCTTAACCCATCACCGCGCACACCAACACTAACCAACTATTACTTACAGTAAAAACCACCACCTCCCTCCCCCTCATTATCCTCCTCTCCAGCATGTCACGCGCCTTCCTCCGCTTCATCTGCCGCGGCCTCCGCGGCATCTACGCCGGTTATGCCGCAGCCCCTCTCACAGGCGACGCACGGATCTACTACGCAGAAGTCTGCCAAACAATCGACGCCTCGCCCGTGCGCATCGACGTATACGAGAAATTCATCGCGGGCGTCGACTCCGCCGTGCGCCACGGCTACCATGGCGCCGGGTTCGGTGACGCCGAGCGTCCTGGCCCAGAGCGGGAATTGCTCGTTAACGCCCGTATCTCACCCGTCCTGGTCCCCGCTGTGGCGACGATCCTGCGGCAGACCGTGCCTGCGCTGAAGCCCGATATTGATCGTTTGGCGATCTATACGGCGGATTATAGTTGGTTGGGACTGGGCACGGATCGGCGCGCCGAGATGTATCGGCGGACGAGGGATGTTGATATCATTAAGAAGATTCCGGCAAGGGCGCCGTCGAGTACTGCTGGTGGTGGCGGTGGTGGGGAGAGACCGTTTGCTCCTGGTGGTGGTCCTGCGAGGAGGCGCTGTGTGCGGTGCTGTGGGATCTTGTGTGGGACGTACCCGCCGCGTCCGTATCTCTCGTTCCGGATGTTGTATAAACTGGGGTATGTGAGGTATTGTATTTGTGGTGGGGGGTGGGTTTGCGAGTTGGAGGGGAAATAGTGGGGTGGGAGGGTTGTATATACTATAAGTCTATAGGCTAGTTGGGTATGGATGATACTATATTTTGCTTTCGCCTGGGGGATCGCTTGACTGTGGAGAATAGTAGGAACTTGGGTGGTGCACACGGGTAGATGTATAGACGAGTGAAGACGGAAGGATTGGATGTCCTACGAGGTAGTACGGGACCAAGTTCCAATGCATGAGAACCTCGTGGAGATAAGACAGGAGACCCAGACAGGACCCCTGAACCAAGTTCGAGACACCCCGTGCCAGTACCCCATAATCGCAAGTTGCAGCACAGCACAGCAAAGAGCCCAAGTGAAAAGAAAAGGGAATTCATGCATCATTCACGTCAAGTAAAGCCTTCATTTATGTCGACCTTGCATCCTTTCATCTCTAGGTTACATGATCAATTTTCTCAAAAAAAGAATAAAGAAACGTATTTTTTGATGAAACCGACCCATTTCCCTCCGTAAGGTATAGATAGGTCAACCCGTCATCTTAATAAACGACGTTCCCATAACTCCATCCAGATCAGATCCACACGCAGCACGGCCCTGGGGGTTCATTTAAGCCTGAAGGGTATCAAGTATCAGCGATCATGTTTGCCATTTGCCTGTCTGCGTGGGTTTGGGGGAAAAGCGCAGTGTGGTGGCGTCTTCCCAACAAGGTTCGAATGGCTCATACCTTGATGGCGTACTTCCGCTGGGGGAAGTGGATCTGCTGCTTTCTCTTGCGCTCCGTCTGCACGGTAGACTCGTGCTTGGTAAGACGGCGACGCAGCTCACGGGTGAGCTTGGGGCGGAGGTCAAGAGGGATGTGCTTCTTGTTCTTGTAGAAGAGACGGAGCTGGGCGCGCTGGTTGGCGTTGATGACGGTCAGAACGCGAGCGATCGACTTGCGGACGTCGTGACTAAAGATGAAATATTAGTATCGGGGGGTTTCCTTTTGATTTTCGAGTCCTGGAGATTGGTGGATGGAGGTTGAGGTGAGAATTGAACGATGGAAGAGATTGCGCCGGTCGCTGGGTTTGGTTTCCTTGTATTGTCGTGGAGTCGATTTTCCCCTCTTTTCTTCCTGGAATTTCATGCCATCGTAGAATTTCGTTCCCCCACTGATTCTCCTAACCGGCGCAGATATCTCATTCCGTTCGTTCGTTCCATGTCGTTCCAATCCAATCAAACCGTCCATTCGGGTTCTGAGGTAGGGGATTCATTTTTTCAAACGCACATTCTGTGAGACTTGGACGAAGCGCCGCCAGTGATCTGCTGCACGCGGAGCTGGTTAAGCTCGGTCTTCAACTCCTCCAGCTGCTTGGAGAGGTCATCCTTGTTCTTTCCCCAGAGCTGACCAGCCTTGACCTTGGACGACTAAATGACCAAAAAAAATAAAACCGTCAGCTTCTTTTTCTCCCAGATCAAAAATTCCAGACAAACAGGGCATCATACCATGGTGGGCGGCTTCGTGTCGTATCGTACGGGTTGTCGACGTGAAGATTGAAGATGGACCGGGTCAAATTGGATGTTCGTTGTGGGACTAGGGTTAATTTTTTCTGGCGGGTGGTGCGCCGACTAAGCGGGCACGTGATGGGATCGAGAGACGGTTGTGGCTGGTGATGGGGCGCAGTTCTGCCGGTTGCGGCCGCCTTGGGGTTTCGGGCTGAGTTGGTTTCCGTCTTGGATGCTTTGATTTCCATGTGAAGTGCCGGTGACGTTGCAGTGTACATTTGACCCGCGCATTATTTTAATATCATTGTCTTCTGCTTGACTCTTCTCTTCTCTGCTTATCTGAAATCTTGTCTTTTCATACAATCCATGGCCACCTCGACTGGCACCGGGTGGGCTCAGCTCCGGCAGCAGGCCCGCTCACTGGAAACCCAGGTATGACGCTTCTGCCTAGTATCGTATCATTCATCGTGGATGACCAGATTGTCGTTTGATGATAATCCAGAACTGAATACTGATGTGATATATACAATTCAGACCGAAACCCTCTTCCACTCCTACGCCCAATATGCATCCATGACCAAACTCCCCCCGACACCATCAGAAGATGAACTCCGCGTGGAATCGCAACTGAAAGAACTCCTCGAAAAGGTACCTCCTCTCCCTCCTTATCCATATCCTTACTCCAAGACGAAAAAGAAACAAACTAACCTACTTCTTAGCGCACATCCCTAATCTCCCAACTCGCCCGCCTCCTCGACTCCGAAGCAACGCTAACCTCCTCGGCCCTAAAACAAAACAACCTCGCCCGCCACCGCGAAGTCCTCTCCGACCACCGCCGCGAGCTCTCCCGCCTCTCCGCCGCAATCACCGAGTCCCGCGACCGCGCCAACCTCCTCTCCAACGTCCGCTCCGACATCAACGCCTACCACGCTTCCAACCCCGCCGCCGCAGAGGCCGACTACATGCTCGAGGAGCGCGGCCGCATCGACAGCAGCCATAACGTCATCGACGGCGTCCTGAGCCAGGCGTATGCCATCAATGAGAACTTCGGGTTGCAGCGCGAGACCCTGGCGAGTATTAATCGGCGGATTGTCGGTGCCGCGGGCCAGGTGCCGGGTATGAATGCGTTGATGGGGAAGATTGGGTCGAAGAGGAGGAGGGATGCGTTGATTCTGGGGGCGTTTATTGGGGTTTGTTTTTTGATGTTGTTGTTTTTGAGATGAGCATGTCCTTTTTCTCTTTCTCGAAAGGGGGCTTGTTGATAAAGAGGTGGTTTCTTGATTGATTCATTGATTGATAGCCCGGGCCTTTTCGTCTTGATTGTTCATATTGGTATTGGCTGGTTCATTTGGGATGGCGTTGCATGCTGATCTTTCGACCTTCTCTTCCATTTCTATTACTATACAGGAAATGCTAATCCGATCGGCGCGCTGGCGTTTCGAAGTTGCCGATATATATTATGTATGTACATACATGTGAATGCGAAACCGAGAAATACTCATGATCCACACTTGATTCAATCACGGCTTCATAACCACTCTGGGCTTCAGACTAGCCGAGTCATCGTGACCCGTCCTAGCCTCCCACTCCTGAGCCGGCAGCTCCGATTCCATACTGATCTTCTTCTCCTGGATCAGCTTGCGCACGCCATTATTGAGCGCCTCCAGTTCCTCCGGCTCGGCCGGACCGCTGCCCGCCCAGCGAATCCGGCAGTTCTCGTCCAGCAGATAAACATACCCCACCTTACTATTCATCATGCCAATCGACTCCCTCAGCCCCTCCGTCAGGCCCTTCCGCACCATAAACCACCGCGGATGTTGCGCGGCGTCCAGCTTAGCGCGCATCCGGAACATGAACATGCGGACCAGCCACGCCTTCAGCGCGTTCTCCTCCACGTTGATATCGACCTTCTGCACGAGCGGACTTGCCGTCTGGAACGCCTCGTAGAGACCCGGGTTCTGCTCGGGGCCCGTGAAGGTCGCGACTTGCGATTCGGCCCACACGCTGGAGAACAGGTTCACAACGCTGACTTTGCCGCGGAGGAGCGCGCTCGTGTCTTGGGGTTCTTTGGGCGAGGCGAGCGTGATGCCGCTGAGGTTGGGGAAGTAGAGGGCCTTGTCGCGCTTGAAGAGCCGTGTGTTGGATCGGAATGTCTTGCCCTCGTGGTGGCGCATGTTCGACCATTCGCGGAAGTAGGGTTTGGCGACTTGTCGGGTTCTAGGGTGAGGTTACGATGGTCAGCTTAGTGTTTTGGCGGAGGGATAGAGATGGGAGACGAGGGGAGGGCAGTACAGTTCTTTCCGTCGCTCAAGATGTCGGTCATAGTTCACGAAATCATCTCGTCGCTGTCGCATGCTGCGCGAGTCAATACCCGAGTTCTGGCCCTCTTCCGGCGGGATGATGGTCCCAATGGGTCGGTCTAGGGTCGGCGGCGTGAAGTCTTCATCGCCGGGTTCGGGGGCGGAAGGAGAGGAGGGGGGAGCGTTCTGTTTGAATTGAACCTTTTCGGGGCTTGGGGGTTTGGTGGTTGAGGGTTTGCTCGCATCGTTGCCGTTGCTGTTGCTGGCATAGTATCGAAGAGCAGGTCTTGGGCGAGCGGCGGCGACGGCATTGCGAAGTTGGAATCGACAGCTGAGGCAGCGACTGGAGCCTCCTCGGAGGAGGGCAGCCTCTGGATGGGAGGACAGGAAAACAGAAGGCCTCCACATTCTTCAATTTTATTTCTGGTCAATGCCGGAGAGAGAGTAACACAGAGAGAAGATGAACTTCCAAATGAAGCTGCCGATGATCCATCGAATTTCCACGGCGCTAAGCCCAACCAGGAAGTCTAATGGAGACGAAAGTCCCGTGACCTGGCGGCATTTTCGTGGTTTCCTCCAACGCGTTGCCTGGTCAGCGTGTCAGCCATGGAATTTTCCCCTGTGGATTGGCTGGGTTGCAGCGATTTGGAATCTATCGGCGATATCCGCGGGGAATAAAAGAAGCCGTCGCCTGCTACCTAGCAAACAGAGATCGTATCGCCCAATCCATGGCTCACATGCCGGGAAGGAGTGAACCTGGAGAATTCCCTCACCAACCGCCATGATGAACAAGATGGCAGATAAAAGGGCCTTCTTCCAGCGTCTCGATCAGCTGGATTGCCTCTCGGATGAATTGGAAGATCAGGAGGCCGAGGATTTTGCTCGTGTTCTTGCTCGTTCGAGGCCAGGAAATGAGACTGAGCTTGTCTCCTTTGTTGCTTCTCACACTTTGACTTCCGCTGTGAATTCTAAATCTACGGCTCCAGCTCCGACGAGTCTAACGCGCACGCGATCCCTTTTGGGTCTTCAGCCCTCGGCACAAGAGAGTGTTGTGAGCCCAAGGCACGGGAGAAGTGATTCGGCCAGCAGTGGCGATCGAGAAGCTCCTGCAGCCAAAACATCGGATGTCGACAGACCTACGATGGAGAAGACCAAAGCCAGCATGTCATCGTCGATCGGTAAACGGAAGCGGAAGTACTCGCCCATAGTGGTTCCTGAGCAGCAGCAGATTTTCAAGGGGTTGAGCTTTTGTGAGTGATCGGTTTAATCGCCCATCTAGTACACCATGACTGATAAGTGACTTTAGTCTTCTTCCCTAATAACGACGTTTCGCCGTTCCGACGTGTACGGATCCAACGAGCGGAAGAATACGGGGCTCGGTGGGCTCGGTCCTGGGGTGATGAAGAGAATATCACTCATGTCATAGTTGACAAGGGGTTGACTTTTCAAGACGTTTTGAAACACCTGAAGCTGGAGACTTTCCCGGTGGGTCGGGACTGAGGGCCTTCCTGTTCCTATCTAGTCTACTGACTTTGTATAGTCCACTATAGCTCTCGTAAACGAGGGCTATCCCGCAGAATGCATCAATTTCCGCGAAGTTCTGAATACGACGCAGCTGCGATTTCGCGTCAAGGGGGTGCCGGTATCTCCTGTGGTCAAAGACCCAGCTCCCGCGGAGGAAGCCTCTTCACCAAGTTCTCTGCCGTTAAAGCCGGCCGCAAAAAACCAGCAGCAGGCCCCGACACCCTCTCAAATCTTTGCAATATCGAATGACCAGGTCCATGCTGGTGTCAACCCGACAGAGGAGCCTCCGGAGATCATGCGCGAAGAGACTGTTCTTGAGGCTCCTCCTCCGCGGGAACGTGATGCGTTGGACGATATGATCGAGGAGGCCAAGGCCGTAAAAGATCTGGTAAGCGACAGGAATCTTTCAATAGAGCACGAACTTACGAAGGACTAGCCTCTAGATGCCCCTGATGACGAAACTTCGATTGAAGAATCCGATTCGGAGACCTCCGAAGATTCGAGTTCCGAGAGAGCCATGCGAAAGAAAAAGGGGTCCATACAGAAGGATACCAAAACGAGGGGTGACTGGCAGCAAAACTTCGCGTGTATGCAGAAACATGATGCAAAGTCGAACGGTGAAGGACCGAATACCAGGACTATTGAGGTCCTTCAGCAGATGCTAGATTACTATACCCGAACCGATGATACTTGGCGTGTCATTGCCTATCGAAAAGCTATATCGGCTCTTCATCGACAGTCCAAGAAGGTTGTCAACCGCACTCAGGCTCGCGCGATACCTGGAATAGGAAGACGCCTGGCCGATAAGATCGAGGAGATCGTGTGCACGAACCGTCTTCGCCGTCTCGAGAACACAAACACCACGCCTGAGGATCTTATACTTCAATTGTTCCTTGGCGTCTACGGGGCTGGCGTTTCGCAGGCATCGAGATGGGTCGCCCAAGGGTACAAAACCCTAGAAGACCTCGAAACCAAAGCCTCACTGAGTCAAAACCAGCGTGTGGGTGTAGAGCACTATCATGACTTTTCTCAGCGGATCCAGCGCAGCGAGGTGAAGGCGCATGGCGAAATCGTCCGGCAGGCCGTGCAAAAGACCGACCCTGAAATGCAAGTCATCATCAGTGGCTCCTATCGACGTGGGGCGGCCAATTCGGGCGACATTGACTGCCTCATCACCAAGCCTGACGCGACAAGCGAACAGATCCGAACGATGATGATGGAAGATGTGATCCCTCAACTATTCCGAAGAGGATTCCTCCAAGTCAGTCTGGCTAGCACGTCCCGAGGGGATGGATCCAAGTGGCACGGCGCGTCCAAGTTGCCAGGCAGCCACGTCTGGCGTCGCATCGATCTTCTGTTCGTGCCGGGGTCGGAAATTGGGGCTGCATTGATCTACTTCACGGGGAATGATATTTTCAACCGAAGCATGAGGCTCCTGGCGCGAAAGAAAGGCATGCGGCTAAACCAGCGAGGACTCTATACCGATGTGCTACGTGGGCCAAAGCAGGTGAAACTCACCACGGGCGGACTCCTCGAAGGACGTGACGAGCGACGTATCTTTGAGATTTTGGGGGTTCCCTGGCGACCTCCTGAGCACCGCATATGCTGACGTGCCTGAAGGAAAGACAATCAAGTTTTCACCCGAGGGGTCTTAATTATTAGCTTTATTCCGTTCCTTTTTCTTCTGCCTTCTTCTCAAGTCTCCACGCATGTCGTTTCCTGCATTCTTCTGTGGGCCGCCTAGGTAGAGCGGGTCGGCCGATGGATGACAGATAATATCTGATCTGTAATTAGGGCTTGCAGTGGTCCCGGGGAGGGTTTGGGACTGCATTTGTTGTTCTAACTTCTAAGTTTGCAGACCGACTTCTCTACCTGCATTTGATAGCTGTAGGCTTTGCTGCAACCACCGAGAGAGAGAATGAAGTCTGTTGGTCTCGGACACGGCTGACGAGGAATGTCAGACCAGGCGGTACTTCATGCATCACGATCATGACTATCAGTGCTGTAAGGAATCAGGGAAAAAGCGGTCACTGACAACGACTTCGGTGCCGAGCTGTGATACCTGTTTTTATTTTTTATTATGTTTATTGAATTTGATTTGTTTCAATTTTTTTCATCTTGTGTTTCTGGTAGAGGGACAAGTGTAGTACAGCAGTAGAGGCAACTTGGGTCACTCACACAGTTAGTTAGCGGAGGCTGTGACTAAGAATGAGTGGATGGAGGAATGGATGCTTCAGCTTCCAGACAGAGTAGGTGAACGATATTTCGTCGTCACTAGAATTTAAATATACAAAGAGAATGATGAAGTAGCAAAGTTCAGCTGGTCACCGATCTCATCACCGCCTTTCATGCGGTGAAGGGCATCCCAGCCCCCGTGACCTTCCGGCCTTAACGTGAGGGCGGCAACTTCCAGACCGCCCGTGCAAAAGTTGGCGTTTTGCCGCCAGTTGCAACATTATTCCCATCCATCCCACTCCCTCTCGCCCTCTGTCCTCTCTCTCTCCCATTCCTATCGCTGCCATCCTTCTGGAACACCCAATCTTCTCTATCAAGCTGATCCTTCCGGTTCTCACTGTCACTTTCGCGTTCCTTCCCGTTATCTTGTGTGGTGGTGGCCCACAAATACTCGCTGCCTTGGTGGCCACTACTATTTTGCCCGTCTATCCACTCCTCGGCTCCCTCTCCCTCCCTCCCTCTGTTGTGTGCGTCACGGTCCCTCGAAACACTCGGTGTCCTCTCGGGTTGCAATCGCGCATCTGTAAGGGAAGCTGTACTCGACCGGTATAATTCTCGAGTCTCCTGCGAATCCGACGCTATCCTGTCGAGTTCCTTGGGAACAAGGCCCTGTTTTTTTTTCTGCCACCCTTTCCTGTCGCACCTTTAGCCCTCCTTCCTTGTCACGATGGGTCGCAAACCCAACCAGCTGATCCTCGAGTTTTTCATTCGCGGTCAAAAACTCGAGGATGCCAGTAATCGCTACCAGCATACCTGCAAGGCGTGTGGCGAAAAATTCCCCAAGGGTCGCATCGACAGTTTGACCAACCATTTGGTGAAGAAGTGTCAAGCTATCCCGTTACGTGATCGACAACGCGTCCTGTTGCGACTCCATGAGCTTCCCGACCTGGCCGACGGCGACCAGAATAAAGACCCCAATCTGGCGGGGCAGAACAAAGGCAAGGGGGTGGATCTGCCATTTACCACGCGTCAAAACTTCGACGGTCTCAATGTGTTGGCCGAGGCCTCGAGGCAGGTGGGCGCATCCGATCAAGGGAAACGAGGTGCTGGCGGTGGTGGTGCTGGCGGCGGAAACAATAATGCGAATGGCCCTGCATACACTCAGTCGGTCACCGTGGGAGGCAAGACCGTTGTTGTAGATCCCGCGCTCGAAGCAGAGGGTTTCCAGGGACATCCAGCTCAATCGGAGCAGATTGACGAGGATGTAAAACCGCCAGGTTAGTTTTCTCTGTCTCTCTCTCTTTTTCTTTTCTTTTTTCTACCCACCTCACCCGTTATTCGCCGTGTTTCTCTGCCTTTGTTCGCTTTGTTTGTCGTCGACCTCTCTTCGTGTCTTTGTGGCGCGCTAATGAAAAACAATCCCACAGTGACACCTCAAGGTTCCAACGCGACGACCCTCCCTTCTCTTCCTAATACCTCCCAAGATCAACCTTCGTCCGCATCTCCCACCCTGGCCGACGCTTCGCTGACCCCCGATCCGGCTGCCAATGCTCGCCAGTCACAACTTTCGATGATCGCTGCCTCGGCCAGTGAGATGGTGCCGCAGGGGATGCCGATGGATCACGATCCTAATGTCGGGCTTCCTGATGGTCTGTCCAAGCTGGGGAACCCGTGGAATCAACAGCTTTCGACTCAGGAACAGCTTTTGTTTGATAGCCTTCAGGAGCATGATCCTTCCCTAACCGCCGCGACGCAGCGCGCTGCCACCTTCCCTCGCCCTATTGCGATGAATCCTAACTCCCAGGCGAAGGGATTTGTGAACGAATTCGGTAACTCGACTAAGCCGACGAAACCGAAAGTTCGCGGACGCTTTTCTGCGACTCGGCGTCGAGAGGTCCAGGAAGTAAGAAAGCGGGGCGCGTGTATTCGGTGTCGCATGTTGAAGAAACCGGTATGTTCAAGTGAAGGCTGCTTTTCATTTTGGAATTTTCTAACATAATTTCCCAGTGCTCTGGCGACAGTCCTTGCACCACCTGCGCCAGCGTTGAGAGCGCACGCCTGTGGAAACATCCGTGCATTCGGACGCGTATTGCGGAAGAATTCGAATTGTATAACGCAAGTAAGTGGTTGCCTTGATTTTGCCGGTTTATCTTGAGGAGAGAAGGCTAGAACTGACGACCGCCTTTTAGACCTGCACGCCACCCTTGCTTATCACGACGTGAGCAGCATCCGAAACCAACTCAAATTCGAGCATTATGCGGGACGCATCGAGGTCACACATTTTGAAGAGAGTCTGGTCTTTGTCACTTTCAGTACTCTCCAGGCCCACAAGGCGTCAGCATCGACACTTGACCCTCAGCTTCAGGGCCTTGGAGACGACTCGCAATTCCAGGGACCTCTCTCAGAACTCTTCCTCCTTGACAGCGACGCAGATGATCTTCCCGGAAAGATTGAAATGTACATTAAGAAAACCGCGTCTTACTTCTACGAACGTGAAACTTCGGAGTTCATGAGACCGACCTTGATGCTCGCGTCTGAGTTGAGTCAACAGAAGAAGGTATGTTTTGTACTGCAGAAATGGGGAAAGAGACTCGAGCCTAATGCTTTATAGGATGTACTGCTGGAGCGAGTTCTGGAGCTGTGGGTTGCAACTCACATGCTTGCCGACTCCGAGCTGCGCTGGAAAATATTTTGCAACCCTACTCTTCCACCCACATCGATGCACTCTCTAGCCCAGCCTTCGGATGACGGACGCATGCCGATCGACGAGGTTACCAACGCCGAATCCTACGGACTCTTGAGCAGTCAATTGCGGGCGGCTACCGAGAAGCGTGCCTCCCAGCTGAGCAAGTCGGTGATGAACGATCTTGAGCGACGCCTCCTTCAGCGCCAGCAGAGCGGTTGGTTCGAGACTTTCCTGGTCTCGATGATTTTGCTAAACTGCGTGGAGAGAACTTGCTGGCTGTTCCGCTCATGGGATGACGAGACTTTTGCTCAACGGGTAAGCTATCCCCCCTTTGACTTTTACTTCATGGATTCCTAACATATAGCAGTGGCCCTTGGACAAGCGCCCCCCTTACTATGCCAGTCAAGGCGATCGCTTCTCGGATATTCTGCACATGCTGCTGAAGATGCGTAGTTTGCCGCCCAAGGCCAATCCCCGACCGGATAGTGGTGTCCTGAAGGCCGTCGATGGGAGCGACGAGCACGCAGCCCGCTGGTTTGATATGATCAAAATCACCCGTAAGTCTTTTCTATACATGACTAAAACCGGTTGCAGTGACTAACTATTATCGCCATCAGCTCTCTTCCTCGAAGAACGTCAAGCTACCGTCTTCGATCCAAACGACTCTCGTTCCCTCGACCTCCACTACGGCGCCAAGCTTTTACCTCCAGCAAATGTCTACACATGAGTTAAGTAATCATTTACGGGCTACGGGGGAGATAATCTGGCTTCCCAACCCCCCACATCTTTATCATATCATTTCATCAGAAAGGGGGTGTTAGGGATATGGCCTAGGTAGTAGGTAGTAGCTACTACAGTAGGTATGAATGACAATTGTCAATGATCATGAGGAATCTTTGAAATTCAGCGGGATTAATTTCCAGTATGTGTTTGTTCTTCTACTTTTTTTATCTTACTTTTCCTTTTCGTTTTCAACCCCCCTTTGATTCTTGTTCTCTGTTCGCTGTCCTTCCTGTATGTTCAATAGTCAATCCTATTTCTATCTATCTTATCTTATTCTATTTTATGTAATTTGAATCAATCCATCTATCTACCTATCCAATAATAATCTTCATACAGCAATAACAACAACCTAACAGCCATCTCATAACCCATCCGAGTTACCTACCTACCTACCTACCTACCCAATTCTCTAGCTTCTCTGTTCTGTCCACTGCAGAACAAATAAGATGCATCCATAGAGACCATACCAGCTAGTGAAGGACTTCCTTGTCGTCAGCCAAATCAAAAGTGTCTATTGTCTCATCCCATCCGATCCCTTCCCTTCCCTTCCATTCCCTTCCTACCACTAAGTCCCAAATACCAGGTTTACGATCCAGAAGATAAATATTGACCAGCAAACGCAGTACTATTGGCAGCAACATAACTAGCAACGCAACGATTTCAATAAAAAATTCCTGGTCAGAGCAAAAAAGAAGCATCTTTCTTGGCGCAGGAAAGGAAAGCAAAAGACCGCCATTGTGCATCAGCAATCGACGTCAATATGAATGTAGATGAAGATAGTTTCCGAGCAGGGTAACGATGAACGAGAAAAGAAGGAAAACACTGAGTGAAAAGAAAGCAAAATTTCCAGACTAAACCAATCAAGCGCCCAAGTTGAACCTATGTCCGTGTCCAGAAAATGCAAGAGAAGAGTCCACAGATCCATTACCAACCCTTGATAATGTCCCACGAGAGAACCGCTGGCTTGGAGCTCACTAGCCGAACTCTCATAGCATAACGCAGCCTCTCTTGTCCACTCCAGGCAGAGGCGTCGAAATCGCTGTCGTATCCGTTACCAAGCTTCCCTGTTACACCGTTAGCGCCGCGGCCATAGTTAGCACCGGAAGCAGTGGAAACATACTTGGGCTTGAAGGTGTCGTCGGACTCCGTGCTTTCAGGAGTGAGGATGGCCGCGCCTGGGCGATTGTCGTGGTTGGATTCGTCATCACCATAGCAGCTCCATTCAGGGCCACTAGTTTCCCAGTCTCTGTTCTCTCCGTCAGTGCACCACCCAATGACTTTATTTCTGGGCTCTTTGTGCCAGGATTCTGCGTAGCTCTGCGCTCCCCGCTTGGTATGTTTGTGGGTTCTGTTGAGTCTCAGAGGGTTGGGGTGAGCATGGGTGAAATTGACTTCAGAGTTTCGGACCGGGTGAGCATGGCAAGTACGAACGCCTCAATCGTTGCCATCCGCTGCACAGGTACAAGCAGCACGGGAGCTTTCATACTCCTTGATAGCCTCATGACAAGCGGGTTTTTCCAAGGTAACCGGGAGACCCCAGACAGATTCCGCAGCGCAATCGCCACGAGGGTCATGAGCATCATTTTCGGCAGGGTCGGCCCATCCATTGTTACGGACACAGTTCTGCTCAGGGACAAAGTCGTCAGCATCACACTCAGTACCGGTATCTGCCGAGTCTCCCTTCTGCAAGATAGCATAGAGAAACTTCTTGTTGTCGTCCTGGAAGCTCATGTGAAAAACGCTTGCCAGAAGATTAGCATCCAGACAAGCACATGTCAATGTATGACAAAGCGAAGGAAGAAGACTTACTATCCGCCATACGCAGCTGGGTTGTTCTGAATCTCAGACGTGATTTGAAGCAAGAGGTAGGTATCAAAAACGAAACTCTTCTTGTTGGTGGGGATGAATGGGCACGAATCTGTAACGGGGAGGCCCGGATGATTCAGAAGCTGGCCATCGCGCTTGGAAAAGATCAGGAGCAACTTTTTCGCGGCAACCATGTTGAGTGAAGCAGTAGTAGGATAGAGATAGAAATAGAAGCAATTCTAGAGATATTGAGGTAAAACAGATGATAATAAATGAGGAAAGATGAACGAAGAGAGAATAATGAAAGGAAGTTGATGGGTAATAGGGGGTAGATGAGGTGGAGGAGAGGTGGAAGGAAAGAAGGAAGTCAGGAGGGAGGGAGGAAGGAAGACAAAAAAAAGAAGAACCAGCCAGGACCTCACAAGTGAATCAACATGTCAGGTGAATCGAAGGAACCAGATTCATCGATGTGACGGCTCTCACTTGTGCCAGTGAATGACAGGCAGCAGACAAGTCCATCTTCACCACAACGCAACCCCCTCACCAAAACAACAATCACTTTGTACAAACAGTGAAGATATACAGATAACAGACAAAGGGAATAAAATAGCCAAAAATCTCATCAACATCATCAAGGCATCATAACCACATAAAATGAACATCACCCTAGCCAGCTCCATCGCCAGAAAGAAGAGCCGCCCAACAGCATTAAGCATACACATCTTCACTCCCTACCCTTCAGACAGACAGGCACCCCGTCAAATTCACGGGCCCGTCGAATCACCGGGACTGAAGGAATCTCTCGCCTGTTCCAAGATGACCGCGTAGAATTTGCCCTCCTCGGAGGTATCATGGTACGGGCCAGCGGAGAGAATCGACCTGTCAGGAGATTGTCAGCAAGGATACTTCCACCGTTGCGCAAGATACTGTAAGCATATACATACCAGCCCTTATACTTCGGCTGATTGAAGATCTCCGTAAACGCACGCAACGCACGCAGCGGCAATTCCAAAATCGAAGGCAGTTCAGGCCCCGGACCGCAGATGGGAAGACCCAGTTTGTTGACGGGCAGATACACCAGCTCGGAGGACGCGGTATTGCGCGCCTCCTGAAAGATCAGGAGACGGCGAGTGGGATGCGGAGTGCTCATTTTGCTTGCCTCTGGAAAGGATCGATGGCTTGGTAGATGATCGCCTTGTCGCGAAAAGATATGTTATGTTATGTTATGCAGGGCCGGGAATTATGTTCCGCGCGAGTTTCCTTGTTTAGCGGGGATGATGCGCAGATCGCACTCGCGCTCTCTGGCGGTGGCAGACGCAGATGGCTCAGGGTGGGGAAGGAGATGGTGGGCCAGGAACGTGTCTGGACGTCAGAAGCTACAGGAAAGTCGATCTGTCGACAACAAGGAATGAACGCAGAGAAAGTGGTGGATTTCTTTTTCCCACGAGCAGCGCGACTTGCCTCTTTGGGATCGGCAGGGCGCTTAGTCAGCTCCCCACTTCGCGGTTTGCTTCTTCGCTTCTTTACTTGTCTATCAGAGATGGTCAACAATGCGAAGAGCTTCTCCGAATATTTTCTCTCTAGCGGGTTCATTCTAAACATTACTCAAAAAATGTAGTAGCAGCATCCCATCTGATGCTATGCACATCGGTATATATACTCTCAGATAGAACAAAAGACGAGAAATCAAACATCAGGGTATCAAATATCAATCGTCCTTCGTCAACAGCTCGCACGGTGAACAAATCAATCAAGAATTAAAAATTACTAAGTATCAAGCTCCCCGTCCAGCACCCGTCGAGCCGCATCCAATCGCCACCGCAGCAACCGCACGTGTTTGGGATCTGGGTCGGCGGAGGTCGTGATGGTCTGGAGGTCCATGCAGACATCGCCCAGACTTTTGAACAGCTGTTCCAGCAGGCGCGTATCGTCATTGTTAAGGCCCATATTGCTGTTCTCGGAGTTGGGGTGAGGGCTAGCGGCTGCCCGCACTGTCGACACGAGAGTCGATGCCAGGGCCGTTGGGGTGGCGGACCCCGTCGTTGTCGAACTAGACCGCTGGGGCGTCGTGAGCGAATCCGACTGCCAGTCCTCGTTGCTATTGCGTTGGCGGTTGGCGCGCGGGGTTCCCATATTATCAGATTCATCGCCAGTATCGTCCTCGTCCTCTTCGGCGTATCGCGGATGGGAAAGCAATTCTATCCTGCTGTTAGCATTGACCAGGACTGAAGGTGCGTTACCACTGAGCGGCCTTACCAGCATTGAACCTCCTATCCCAGTAGAGCACGTTTTCAAAATCATCCGGATCTCCTTCCGTGGCAGTAGCATAAGTTGCCATGGTAGAGACCGACGCGTTGCTATTGGTCCGAGAGTGACGGACAGGTTGGCGATCTTGAGCAGGTCGCGTGGTTTCGACAGATGAAGTCGAAGCTTCACTTTTCCGGCGCATTCGGCTCTGCGTATAGTTGCCCAAAGCACTGTGCAGAATGAAATTCTCGTAGTCGAAGGCATCTTCGCGTTCCTCGTGAGGCCGAGAATCCTGGGTCGCAGGCACCGGAGGGAAGGATCCGAGGGGATCTTGGAGGTCGTCGTCCAACGGCTCGCGCAGAATTTCATTTAAAGCCTCCCGGTCGATCTCCGAGCCTGACGAACCGTCCGTGTCGTATTCGCCTTCTTGAGCATCCTCATAGAGGCTTTCGATAACTGATTGGTTGTCGTCGTCCTCCGCTGGCTGGTGGGCTCGCGAAGCGGGCGTGGCGTACCGTGCAGTGCCGTTGACACCGGCCGTCTCCTGTCCGTTGCGAGCGGAATAGCGTTCTCGGTTGGATTCGTTGGATCGCCGCTCCCGAGGGTACTCCGGGGTATGTCCACGCCCCTGGTTCAAGTTGCTGTGATGATCCCTCGTTTCCAGGGGATTGTTATACCAATGTTCCGCCGCGGTGAACGGACTTGGGGTTCGCAAGCTCTGCAAGCTCCGTCGCCGTAGATTATCCTCCTGTGCCTTAACTTTCAAACTAGATATCTTGATGTGCAACCCCTTCATCTGATCTTGGAGATCTCGGACCTGAAGCTGCGACTGGGAGCGAGATGGAGGATCATATGTTTGGTAGCTCGAGTCGAACTCGTCTACAGTCGAGAGCTGATCCTCTTCTTCCGTTGTCGAGATTCCCAAGCCTTGAGGTGTATCAGAGGGCTTCTGTTCTTGCGAAATTGGCTGGAGGGAATTGATAGATGCGCGATGGGTGAGATAGGCTCTGTCCGGGGCATATTGGAACGAGCGGTCATCATTGTTGAAATTGGAGGCGGTGCTCGATCCCAAAGCACTCATGGACCGGGACAGATTGGGCGAGGCGGGTTGTAGACTTGACAAAGACGTGGACGGCAGGGTGGTCTCGCTGTACACGCGCGAATGGCGGTTGTTCGACGAATCCTGAGAGGACGAGTACGTTGCACGAGGGCGTAACGTGGACGCCCTACGATCAGCCCGGGAGATCGATTGGTACAGGCCGCCGACGGGTTGACCGAGTCCGAGTGGCTGATTGCCGGATGGCGTTGGCGACGTCGGTAGTGACGGGGATACGCGCACTGACGAACGGGCCTTTGTAAGATTACCTTCCATGAGCTGCAGTGGACGCCAATTAGTCATAAATGAAGTTTCCATTTGTACTTTCCAACATACCGTCAGTCGCTTCTTTGCATTCTCGAGAATCCTTTCCGCCTCGCTACTTAATATCACCGACGATAGCTCATCGGCCGGGCTCCCTTCCTCCGTGGTCGACACAATGCTCAGTCGTGACGGGTCACCGTTGGTGCCAGTCTCAATGGCCCGAATGGCCTGCCTCAATTGATTGTTATTCATGCTGTCAACCTCCTGAGGCAAGACACTCTGGCCTTGTGCACGCCCCTTGGTCCCTTCCGAAGAGGTTTCGCTAGTGGCACTAATTGTCGAGCTAGACGAGCTACTCCACGCACCGGCATCCTTATTTTCGGTGTCCTCCGCGACGCGATATGGCACGGGAGAGCTTGCCAGCCCATTACGCGCCACGACGTGCGCATTCTTCGAAAACCCGCCCATGTATGATGCCGGCGACGGCGTCTCCTCCTCTCCGATATCCGATAAACGGCGACTGGCCTCGTGACCCTCGTGCAGCCACGTGTGGCGCGGAAAACCTATTTTTTGCGGTCGGTAGACGGGCGCATAGGTACCATTCCTGGTGGAATCGCCGCTGAAATCGGAGGACGAGGTTCGAGGTCCGTAGAAGGATTGCAGGTGGGACAAGGACGGCAGGTTGAATGGAGGGGATGGAGTGGAGGACTCGCGTTCGCTCCCGTCGAATGGCAGGATCATGTCCGGGTTCGATAACGTCGGCGAAGGGGGGATTGGCGGGGGATGTCTCGCATCCTCCGCAGAGGTTGTACCATAGGCCATGATGTTTGTGGGAGGTGAGAGATCACACGAGAGGGGCGTGATGGGCCAACGACAAGACCCAGATTTCGAACGACGACGCGATGATCCCACTCAAAACAAGGCCATGGGGGACGAAGGGAGAGACAGTCTGCTTTTTCGTTCGGAGAGGGTGTTTGGATCTGCAAAGCCAAATGAAGGTAAAGAAGGGATAAGTCTATTAGCTGTAGGTGGGATGTAGATGCAGTCGCAAAGCCAAAAAATGCCAAACAACCACACTCAATTAAAACAATTGATAAGAAAATTGCCAAGAGTAAATTAATAACAAGAGAAAGAAAGAAAAGAAATTAGAGAGCGACAGAATAAGAAAAGAAGCGATCGAAAGAGGGCACAAAGATTAAGAGCTAAGGAATTAGGGATTAAAAAAGCAATTATAATAAGATGTAGAACAAGAAGTTGCAACAACAGTCAGAAGTCAGAATCAGAATGACAGGAAGAATAACGAAGGAAAACAAACCAGAAGGGCATCATCCATTGGGCAGTGACTTTCTTCTCTGTCCCTGAGTGAACCACGGTCCGGTTCTTTTTTCGTTTTTTTTCTTTTTTTTTTCTTGACTGTCCCCGAAAAGGCAGGGATCTGAGCCGTGGGGATCGACCGTTGATGAGGCCGAATTCAATAATAATCACTAATTTCTGGTAGTAAGATTAACCTCCCTTTTCCAGTAATCTCCCATGGGGCTGAGGGAAGTGTGGCCTCGGGGCTGGTTTGACATCTCCAAGACTCAGACTCAGACGGTCAGACACCACAGCATGCCAGAGGAAGAAAGTAAATCTGGAACTTGTGGCCATCACAACCACCGCAGGATGAGTGGGCCAAGTTTAAAAAACGACCTGCAGGCGGAGATCGTCATCAAACCGAGATTAGATGGGTTAAGAATATGCTTGAAGGCCACGGTCCTTGCGCCAGTCCGGCTTAAGGAGAAGCCGACCGGCTTTTTCTTAGTGCTGGACTGGACGGGTTAACCCTGAGGGGTTGGAACCCCTGAATTGAATGGGGCCGCAGGATGGAGATTCCATGCAGCTCTGATCGATGGATATTGGATGTGACCTCCCTCAAAATGCAAACAATTGATATAAATAGACGAGATCTTTCTCAATCCCCCCTGCGTCGACGAATCGCATTGGAAACGGAGCTGAAGATGAAGGACTGAAGAATTGAAGATGAATGATTGGAGATTCTTGGGGCATGTGATCATCCGGGGTTGTTCATTTAGTTAAGTCATCCGTGATTAGTCATTTATGCTTCTCATCACAACTACATACTTGGAGTAGAATTGCCTTTTAAACAGAGTATAGGAATAAAAGCTTCACAGACCAGGGTTCAATTAGCTGCTACCAGGTTCATGAGGACAAAAGAGTGTGCGCACACTAAAGAAACATGAAATAAAACGACGATGACGACTTTGCCGGTTTGAGAGGGGGTGGAGGACGCAGTGAGAGTGCCTTTGGAGGGTAATAGCTGGGGCCAGGCGCGCTTGAGAGTGTCCATGGCGTTGGAGATGGTCGGAGTGGATGGAGTGTTGGATTTTCTATAAGGGTGAAGAAAGATGCAGAGGGAAGGGAGAGAGAGAGCCGAGGAGGGGGGGGAGTTATATAAGTCGCAGGGAGAATAGAGGGTAGCATTGCAAACAAAGAAATGCAAGTCCAAGTATCCAATCGATCTCGAAACCGAATTGACCAACAAACACAACGTGGATGTTTGATTGGTGTAATTAATTAGTTGAGCGAGCCGTACAGCAATTATAGCATATTGTGATATGTGTTTATTTTTAGTATTGAACTAGATCGTTGATGGTAGGTAGCTGGTTATGATCAGAGTGACTCGGGTGTCTTGCATTGAAGACAATGGATTATCAGGTCTCTCAGAATATGATCTCCGAGAATGGTAAAAGCCTGGTTTCCTCGAAGACAGACTATGGGGCCAAGAGAAACTACACAGACCGGGGTTCAGTTAACTATAACCAGTTCCATACTGAGATATAAGGACAAAAGAGTGCACATTCATTATGAAGAAACATTAAGGACAGCAATGCCAACGAACAATCAATAACACGAATAAGACCCGAAAAGACGCTATCCCGACATTTTTTCCTGGCGGGATCGTAAGCAGCGCAGCAATACTTAAAACACTCTTCTCAAAATCACAAATCATCAGAATCATGTGAAGTTAGACGAACGACAGATCCAGAATCCGCCGAGAGACAGTTTAGTACTTCTTCGAGTTCTGGTTCAATTCATCGACGTACTCTTGAAGGCTAGTCTCCTTCGGTTCGTCGGTCAGGTATGCGACCTCCTGGTATTGTTTTGCTGTGATGTGTCAGTGGGCTTGATTTTGTTGTATAACTCATTAGAATTGGAATATGGAGAGTCTACTTACTGTAGACCCCAAGATCGTTCCATTTCCGCCGGATCTTGTTAAGCTCGGTCTCCACGATGCTTGGCCAGTCGATTTCGTCGTTTGGCTTGTCAAAAGCATCGTTCAGCGCCTGCAGCATGGTGCTCATGGTTTGCCAGGCTCCTTTCAGCTTCCCGAGCGTTGTGATTGCAGGGGTAAGAATGTCATTGAGGTCATGGACTTCGGTCTGTAGGTTGTTGTTTCAGCTTTTGATTGACAATGACAGCATCACACCAGGTAACAATCCCATCTCATGTTGTCCGAAAGCAGATGGGAAGAGGCTCACCTTCATGTTGGTGACATGACCTTGCACAGACCCGACGATCCGAAGCTTCTCCTGGTCGGAGGCGATGATTTCCTGCAACTTCTTGATCGCATCGGTCAGGTCGGCAATGTCCCCTTCCATGACCGCAGTGACGATAGCAGCGGCGATGGCACCAACGAATGGACTTTCCCTAGGCGTCAGCCTATAACTCGGGTCGCGGGGATGACGGTCGATTTTAACTTACATCCACTCATAGTAGGCTTCTTGTCTCTCTATGAGGCGGTCTAGGCCCTGCGTCAGTACTTTCTCTTTCAGCGCTAAACCGATGGAGAACTCACCTGCATCGATCTTACTCTGCTTGGACTTGATAAGAGCGGTTTGCTTTTCGATGTCTGCTTTGATATCTTCGATGTCGCCATATTCCTTGTCGAGGAGATTCTGCAGCGTTTTCTCATGGCCCGACAGGTCAGTGGCATAGCCCGAGCATCGCGTCTGAAAGTCACCCAGCTCGGTTTCGACTACTTCGGCGGCAGCTGCGAGCGCGGTACAATCTTTCATCTGCATGCTCGTATACTCTCTGACCAACTTCTTCTGCTCGTCTTTGTCTTTTTCGTTATCGGCTTCATTGTAGGCATTGACAGCCTCGAGCATCGCCTGGTAGAACGAGTCGCCTGCCTCGCCACCGGCATTGTCACTGTAAGCCCAGATCTTCCCTGCAACATCGACGGTCTTGGCCCAAGTGCCCTTGTTGTCGCCATCGTCGAGTAAGAAATTGTTGCAGTCACCATTGATCTAGTACGCGTGAGGGGCATGTCAGAAGGTCTCCAGCAAATCACGTGTACATCTTCATCGTCTGTATTGCACAACGTACGGTCTTGAAGCTAACAAGCATCTTGTCCACTGCAGCCCAGACATCGTCGGTAAGTTCAGACTCGCTGGTTAGACCCATCTGGGTCTGGTAGGTGGCGCGAGACAAAGGAAGCTTTCGACCCGTTTGGGTGAACCGATTCAGTGCTGCCATGTCGCTGCGAGCCAGAGTGAAGGTTTTGGTGTCATCGTCGCGCTTCCCGCTGTAGTCATCTTCGTCTTCAACGTACTGGCCGAGGGGATACCATCGGGTAGGATCGTCTGCGGGTTTATCACTCATCTTAAGAATGAGAGAGAAAAGGATTTTCCGTGGTCGTTCGAACAAGGGTTTTGAGAGTCTCTGGTAATGCAATGAGGATGTGTTTGGAGGTCGGGATGAATTGATGGAGAGGGTCGGGCAACAACGCCCTTTTATGTTCGAATTGTAACATCCTAGTGGTTCTTGCTCGGAATCAGCACACCGTCAATGACGTGGATGAGGTGTTGGGAGCGTCACTGAGCGCCACGCAGGTCATTTCGTAGACAGAATAGCCCAGGCCAGTCTGTCTCGTTAAGTGAATCCATGCTTGTCTGCGTATATCGATCACCTCGATCACACGGTCTGAATCGCCCCATGGGTCCAACATAAATCCTGGGAGCATAGCAAACAAGGTCTCGCCACACAAATTGCGCCTTGCTACGCTGCATAGTATATGAGCTATACTTCAGTATCCCAACAGGGCGTTATGAAATGGCCCAGGTTACTTTTTCTTGCGGGCAGGCCGCGAGCGGGGTTTCTGTGCCAGCTGGCAAAATGGCTTGAGCTGAAGGCAGAACATCAGAGATAAAGGCAGTGTTAGGGTGACATTGCAGGTTCAGCTGCATTGCTGCAACAATCTAGATAGCGCAGCTTCCGCTGATTATGTTTGCGGGGGAGCAAACTGAAAGCAAAGGTACTATATATGCATATACTAGTATGCATGATGCAGGGATCATCTGCAGTTGCGCGGGGTAAGAAGCTCGATCTATACTATTACTGAGGTTAATGTAAGTCTCAGACACGGTGGGGTAGCTGAAAGAGAGCTGGAAGTCCTCAAAAACTCAATGCCCTGCATCCCACATCTCCCTCGGGTAGGTGGTGGGAGTACAGAACCACTCAAAAGTCTTCCCAATCTCTCCGAATGACGCAGCTATTATTGACTTGCGCATGAGATGACAGATAGCATTCGAAAGTGGCGTCCCAATATCCTCGGGAAATAAAAGCACATGACGTAGATCGATGGAGTAACAGAATGGAAGCAGTCATCCCCCGTTTGACAGCTGTGTAATCACACCCATTTTTATAAAGACTCGAGTAGTGTGGGTTGGGACGTTATCACTTCCCAGAGAAAGCAAGACTGTATTCAGTTTGCTTGCCGAAAATGTCTGCTGACGACGAAGACTTCCTCACTCCTCGTGGCCTGCTCGTCCAGGGCAGTTTTGTCTGTGATGGGCCCTCGTTCAAGGACTTCTCGGCAGCCGTCGACGCAAGCCTTGAGTTGCCATACACTCAAGATCGCTTTGAAGGCTGGAGTGGACTATCATCGATGGGATGGAATGCTGTATGGTGTCTAATTTGTCCCAATTTTGCGTCCTAATCTGTGCTCACGATGAGAAGCTTATCAGCGAATTGCATCCGATTCTCGACATCTGCTATACTGTAAGCCTTAGCTCATTCTGCTTCGATTTCTAACCTGCTTTGACTGAGAAACATCAGGATGTGCAATCCACTGTCGAGCTCGGGGTAGGTTTTCCTAATTTGCATCGCCTTGTCTCGTTGAACAGAGAGAAAGGCAGAAAGGGCGAAAATCAACTCACGTCAGTTCTCTTAGACTTATTTCAGAGAAGTAGGCACTGTCTGTGACAAAATCCTGGATACTGCATCCACAGCGCAGACTGATTACGGTACAGAAGACATGATGTTCTTCCAGACTTTGCTCGAACGTCAGCTGCTAATTGCTCATGACAATAGATGCCTTATTTCAAGGCTTAAATGACCTTACAAACGATCCTGACAACGAACAACTGCGGGCCAAAGTGAAACAATTAACAGCTGATCGTCTGGAGGGTGTGACGACACTGGAGAAAAAGACAAACGATACCTTCGGGGGGCTGAAGGAGGGCACGGACGCAGTGAAAGATTGCGAAGATCAACTCAAAGCCATTGTCGATGGTTTCAATGACTCGCAGATGGAGAACGAACTCCGCGAGTATGATTCGGAAGACTATCTAGAACAAGATCTCGCCGCACTGGAGTACATCAAGGTCAGTACGACATGGTGTTTTTGAATCGATCAATTGGCAATTGTATTGATGGCTGAGATCTTCCCCTCAGAAAAACTTGACAGCCATGAATATGCAGGCTTCGTCAGACACGGCGATACATAACCTACAATTAGTCTTAGGCAAGGCCAGCCCTCCATCAATTGATTTGAAGCATGACTAAACTGCGTGTATATGCAGGTGCCGTCCGTGTTGTCATAACAGACCTCACGGCCATCGCTGAATCGATTGAGAAGCTCACCGTGCCTGCGAACGCGATCATCCTCGGGCATGAAAAGGCGAAAATCATCAGAAAGTGGGAGGATCTCAAGACAGAGGGTAAGAGACACCTTCCCCAAAGTGAGAGTGAGCACTCTGCTAATTGAACTCATGAAGTCCAAAATTTCAAGGATAAATACCTCTCCTGAGTCTCCTCGCTATCATGAGGAGATGGCTTCAGAAAACTGATGGTTGTAGGTAGCTGGTAATGATTATATTGGTTGAATTGGGAATCCTCGGATGTTTTGCATTCAAGGCAGATGCGATATCACGTGCGAAATTGCTCACCTCACAAGGGTCTGCCTTTGAGAATGATTTCTATGATGATTTTTGTTTATTTTCTGTCGGCAAGTATTAAACGCCTTATTGTATCTAAGAATCAGATCTCCCAGTATGATGAAATGGAAAGTCGGCAATTGGAAAAATCAAATGCTTTTTATAGCTTTCTCGGTCCTATAAAAATACCTGAGACCCTGTACAATGAAAGATGCAAACCCTAGAACCGAAAGATCCAAGCAACATTAAAGAATATCATCAGCTTGCACAATCCCCCAAAAACATATAAAAATAACCCTCTATCAGGCGAACTAGATCTTCTCGAGCAGCAGCTTCGCACCGCTGCTAGCAGGTCCCGCCTTCTTGTTATCCTTCCCGGAGTCCACGGCCTTCTGCAAAGCCTTCTTGTTCTTCTTCAGAGTCTTCAGCAACTCGTCCTTCTTTTCGAACTCGTCCGACTCCGCCAGAGCCACAACAACGAAGGTGTTGGATCCGGTGGCCCACGCCATGATGTCATCTCCGATCTGCTCATATAGGAGCCCGTGGAAGTTCAAGGCGGGCTGCACCTTCTCCACTGCCTTCTCAGCGGGGTTAAATCGTCCACCCTGGACGAGAGACTTGAGCAACCGGCCCACGAACGGCAAGTCCTTGGTGTCGGCTCTGGACTTGGCGGCGGCGGCAACGGCGGACAAAGCAGCACTCTTGTCTCCGTCCGCATCGAACAGGACCTCCGAGATGAACTGGCAGCCAAAGCTGGTCTCGAGCAACGTGTCTGCACGCGCAGCAATGAGCTCGAGGACATTGGGAGATGCAGCCTTGATCAGCTCCTGGCGTCGCACTGCGGGGTCCTTTTTCGACGTCTCCTTGCGCACCTCGCGGATCTCTTTGAGAATCTCTTGGTCGATCTCAGGCAGAAGCCACTTAACCCGGTCTCCTGCAAACGGAAACAGCACTGGAATACGTGCCGTGAGGTCGGTCACCTGGAGGAGCAATTCCTCGATGCGCGCTTCCGCATCGGCGTTCTGGTTCAGAAGCTCGGGGAAGATCAGCTTAGCGGTAAGCTTGGTGTCATCGATCACTTCATATGCAGCCAAAAGGACCATGTGTCCGTGGAGATCGCCCGCCATGACCTTGATGGTGTCCCTGTAGAACCTGGTGAGTTGTTTCCGATCCTTAGCATTAGCGTAGGCCAAGGCCAGACACATCAACCGGGAACCAGATTTGGTGAAAGCCAGGTTCTTCACCAAGTCTCCTTCTTCTTCACCCTTGAGCAGCTCGAGGAATTCGGTAGCTTCCGAGCTACCGGGTTTCGTGTTCAAGAAGTACTGCAGCAGAGCATCGTGGAGCATCGTAAATCCAGTACTTTGCTTCTGGATAAGTTGGTTGATAAGTTCGTGGAGATAGTTCATGATAGGGCCTCTCTTCTCGGGGGATTCTTTCAAGATTTCGGAAAGTTCGGCGGAGGGCGACTTGTTCTCATCCCTGAAAACCACGAACTCCGCTCCGTACCACTCCCGAAGGAGAACTGCCTTCTGCTCCGGCGTCGCAACCATGCGGTAGATGTCGTCGAGAATCCAAGATCCTTCGGGGTGGCGGATGAGTCGCTTCACGTTGCCATAGAACTCAGGGATGATCATATCGCGGGTCTCGTTGTCGCCGTGGACAATCAACTTGCCGACCAAGAACTTGGCATATCGGCTCTGCGCCAAATCATTGTAGTGACCCTTCAGTTCCTTTGCGATCTGCTTCCGCTGCTCGGTATTCGCGTATTTCAGGGCGGTCTGGATAACTCGGACCGAGTCGTGCTTGAACACAAAGTCCTTAACCCGTCCAGTAATGATTCCGAAAAGCTCGGCGATAAGCTTCTTCCTCTCCTCCAGCGGAACGTGCGACTTGCGACGCAGACGCTCCCACAGCTGCTTCGAACGGAGAATGATATCGGCGTTGGGTCTGGCGGCCTTGCGCTCTTGCTGAAGGGCCTTTTGCTTGATGTGCGATTCGCGAGAGGAGTTGCCATCTAGATTTGGCGACGATTAGCTTCAAATCGACCTGCCAGACACGGTGTAGAGAGAAGGTTCAAACATACTCTTCGCAGGTTCTGCAGATTTCTTTTCCTCTTCCTCCTCACCCTCATCGCTATCCTCCTCGGCATCCTTCGCATCCTCCATACCAACATCTTCATCGTCCTGGAATCCACTCTCTCCTTCGATATCAGAGTCCGAAACATCGTCCAAGTCGAAATCATCATCTTCGTCCTCTTCCGACTCCTCGACCTTCTTCTTGGCCGGGGCCTTCTTGTCCTTCTTTCCAGGCTTGTCAGCCTTCTTGGACCCGGTCTTCGAGGCGGCCTTCTTCACCGGCGCAGACTTGTTGTCCTTCTTCGTCGAAACGGCCGTCTTCGTCTTCGTTCGTTTGCCGTTGCGCCCGTCGGCGGCGTCAACGGGACGTTTCACTCCGACCATGATGATAGGTCCTACTTTTTATCGGTCAAATAAGATGAAAAGGATAGGACGAGCGGAAGTGGAATTGTTCAAGCGGAGCAAATCTAGACAAATGCCGCCGGCTTGGATAATTTTCTGCGCCGATAAATTTATTGCCGCGGAATTAGTCTTTTTTTTTTTCCTTGAGGGCGGTCGGAGTGGAGTTTGCATTGTTTGCATGGCACTGATAAGCAAACGGGGCGATCTTCGTCGGAGGGTTTTCAAGATGCTTGCCAGAGAAATGGAAGATCATGTAATGCAGAATAGAAATAATAGAAAGCAAGAAGCAATCAGTTCTATAATTGAAACATAGCATTAAGTGCATTACAATCGATCGGTTCGTATACAGCAATGATGATCAGACTACAAATCATCCCAACAAACAACCCCAGGAACCAACCAAGTCGTAGGTAGAAGAAAGTCGGCAGGTCAGGTCGCATATCTCATTAATCGGCTCCGTTCAAACGCCCCGGTAAAGAAAAGGAAAAGTCCCCAGTCACAGTGTAGTGTCCTGAATCCGAGGGGATTTCGCGCTCAACCCTCGCGCACTTCTGCGGTCTCCGCGCCCGGCGGTGGGGTTTTCATGGCGCCAAGTTCTGAGCCTACGTTGCTCTGCCCTCGTTTCCTGCCGGGGATGTGAAAGCCCAGGTGAGAGGATTTGGAATTTGATGATGTTGTCTGCGAGTCGCTGGTGAGGTCGCCGAGTCGCGAAAAGATGCCCTTTTTCTTGGGTTTCGCCTCTTCGTCCTCGAGTCCCACGTCTTCGAACTCTTCCTCCATCGATTCGGGTTTCCTGTCGAAGCCGGAGTGTGTGCGGGAGGGCGAAGTCATACGGGAGAATCGAGAGTCGAGGGAGGTTCGAGAGGGCATTGCGTCGCTGTAGCTGACCGGGGAGCGGGCGGAGATGTCCTTGACAGTTAATGTGAGCAAGGGCTTGTTTTATTGTTCCCCGCGCAAGATGAGAGGCTGTTTCTGCAGGGATAAACTCACGAACGATCGTCGGTATGAATCGAATGATTCGCGGGATATAGAGAAGGGCTCATTTTCGTCCACTAAATCTCGGTGGTTCGAAGATTTCGAGGAGCCTGGGTATCGTCGCCAAAAACTCTGTTTCTCCGGGGGAGATGGCTGTTCATGGAATTTAGCCCATTTCGCGGGAATGATAGGGAACAGATAATGAGATTGAAGGGGTGAGCATTCAGTGCATCAATGCGAAAGGGGTTCTGAATACCGGAAGGTAGGCGCCATTGTCGTCGACAACTACGTTTCACGGCCAAGAGTCAGCGGGGTCGAACCGTTCGCGTTGTAGAAAACGAAAGCATACCACTTAGTTTATACTCGGGCGGCTCGTCTGAACTTTTCCTGATATTCACAGCGGTTGAACTGGGGTTTTCGGCAGATAAACGGTCATTGTTGAGGTTGGTATCGATCTCCCCGCCATTGGGCGCGGCGGACCTTTTGGCCAAGAAGTTGCGGAACGGGACCATGATGAAATAGCGAGGGAGGGCTGAATGCGCGAGAAAGAATCGGGCGTAGGGCTTCCGAGGCCAGCACGATGGGGGGAAGGGAAGAAGGGGGAACGAAAAACAGGCGAGCAACAATTCTAACGGGACTGGATCTAATAATGGGGATGGAGAACCGGGCAAGGACAGGAAGGGTGGCCAAATTGATTGACGGACTCTCAAACCTCACATGATCAGCGGTTCGGCGGGTACAAATTATGAGGTGAGGTAACTAGTGCTTGTGTCCGCTTTGATGTAAGGAAATATGACGATCTTAGTTGGATGATGGTCCCCTCGGCCACTTGGGCGCTGCAATTTCTCCGGCGCTGTAGGGTCGCCCCACCGGCCGTGGGGAAATTGTTGGTGTCTTTGTGTTGCTTTGTGCTTGAGTAGGTATGACGATGATCCCCTCGGCGTCTATTTCAATGTCTGGGACTGGTGGCATAGTGCCTGAATGTCATACAACACTCGTCGTGCTGGGCATCTGTTGAATCCACCTCTTATTATATGCAGGAACCGGATTTGGTGGAGTTTTGTATATCTTCTACATTTCTACCTTCTAAAGAACCAGTCTCTCTTGAGCCTTATCCTTTTTCTTTCATTAAGAATAACACTCGGCGACCGCGGGGAATATTGTGAGACCTCTCAATTCCCTCCTCTTCGTGTCGCTTCTGCGACCTGTTCATCAATTCCGTCACTTGTAGGGATGCTTGCCGAGGCTACTGATCGTTGGGAACGTGACTTGTGCTCTGGTTGTGTTGTCTACGCTCGGTGGTTAGTAATAATTAACTGAATGAGCGGAAGGATGCTCTGATCAATGCTGTGTTGTATTGGTTCGTTGATTGATGTAGGAACGAATGATGTCTTCTAGGGTGTTGCGCACCTGGGGGTGCTTTGATAGAGTAAGGCAATTAAATGCCAGCAGTTGTGGACGGGATTATATATCCTAGAGAATGTAACTACTGTTGAGGTTCCAGGGACCGGATGCACCACATTGCTCAGGATATGAATGAACGGATGCCCCAATTGACACTGAACCGATTAAACAATGTAAAAAGAATCGAGGTCTTTTACCATACTACTCGTCTGAAAGATGCCCCCAGAGGAACAAGCAAACAGTAAGATGCCTAACAGGGCATTTAAGTGCCTGCAACTAGGTACTACCTAGGATAGACAAGATGGGCACAAAACGTAGTTTTAATTAACAGTCGGGGCTGACAGGGTCGCACGTAGCCAGGAGAGTATAATCAAATTAGGAGAGTAAGCCTGGCAATATTTTAAAAGTGTTGTTTCTAACCGTGATATTATGACCAAGCAATGCAGATGAAGGAGAGAATTGGAAGGCAGAAACTGGTGGAACTGAGTACTGTTTGAAGCACTTATATTATGTTTGGGTCAAATAATAATAATCTGTTACGGATAGTCGAGTGGGAGATTAACCGCTAAGCCAGCAACCTTGCTTCGGCGTTCGCGCCAGCGGGAGAGGTGCCTGGTACGAATCCGGGGGTTGTCATTGTACTCGTGCAAGTAATTCACGATCGCTACAAGGCACTAAGCAATGGAGATGACCCTTGAGGGAAGCAATTCTGCAGAGACATCTTCACCCTAGGATGGCGTCACCAGATTACACCTACCCGTTACAGGGAAGTTGGCTGCTTGGTTGGACAACTGCTCATTTCTTCTTTTTGCTTCCCTGATCTTTTTTTCTTCATTTTTGTCAATCCTCTCTCGCCGCTTCTCTCTGGAATAGATTCATTCTCCACTTCTACCTATAATGTCTGGGACCCTCCTGGAGTATTCCAGATAGACTCTAGTCACTTTTCCGGTTGAAATTGGGATTGTTCTCTCTAAAGCTGTAGTATATCGCGATCAATGACTCCGATCGCCGAGAGCAACTGGGTGCCTGATCCCCAAGGCATAAAGTCTCTCCAGGCAACGAGGCTAACCCAGAGTCCTCATATCCGTTGGCCTCACTGCCTAGTCCACGTGATGTCGTGACGGCTCGACGCGTCCACAACAACATCACGAAGACTGTCTGGCGGGACTCGGATTGTAGTCATTTGCCACCTCAACAAATTTCTCTTCTGCTTTCTCCTCCATCTACGGACCCATCCCAGTCCCTTACGAGCTTTGAGAACTGACTGCGAACCCTTTCTCGATCAAAGGCAGTCAATCACCTGCATCTGAAAACTACCACCAACACGTGTTGCGCGTCGTGCTTGCTCCATCAACTTAAAATGACCGCCGATATGGACACCCAGAACGAATATGATGACAGCGGGCTTCCCGGCCCAGGTGCGCCGACACCACTCTCTGCTTTAGAGGTGAGAAATTCTCATGATAGTACGCGTATGAAGCGCATTGGATGCTGATCGATGGCGTGTCACACAGGGAGTGGCGGGGCTTACAGCCAGAGATATCAAACTGTTCGTTGAGGAAGGCTACCGGACGGTTGAATCGATCGCATATACGTATGTTGAGCTTTCATATTTCCTCGCTATCTATTGACAGGACCGATTTGGTTGACCCGGCTACAGACCAAAGAGGGTGCTAGAACAAATCAAGGGCATCTCCGAGCAGAAAGCCACAAAAGTCCTCGTTGAAGGTAAGCCGGCTATCACAGTCAACTTACGACTAGCTTGTGGATTCTTGTCAAATTGACTGATGATTAACGGTATTCTTGAACAGCCGCGAAACTTGTTCCAATGGGATTTACAACCGCCACGGAGATGCATGCCCGTCGAAGCGAACTAATCTCGATCACAACGGGTTCAAAACAACTGGATACTCTACTAGGGGGTGGTATCGAGACGGGCTCGATCACCGAAATCTTTGGCGAATTTAGAACCGGAAAAAGTCAAATATGTCACACGCTTGCGGTGACTTGCCAACTTCCCTTCGACATGGGTGGAGGCGAAGGTAAATGCCTTTACATCGATACAGAGGGAACCTTTCGACCGGTGCGACTGCTTGCTGTTGCCCAGCGTTTCGGTCTCGTCGGAGAAGAGGTCCTTGACAATGTGGCATATGCTCGCGCGTATAACTCCGATCATCAGCTACAGCTACTAAACCAAGCCTCGCAAATGATGTGCGAGACCCGGTTCTCGCTGCTGGTCGTCGATTCTGCAACGTCGCTCTACCGGACCGACTTCAATGGTCGGGGTGAATTGTCATCCCGCCAAACTCACCTGGCCAAATTCTTGCGGACCCTCCAGCGTTTAGCGGACGAATTTGGTATCGCAGTGGTCATAACCAACCAAGTTGTTGCGCAGGTGGACGGTGGCCCCAGCGCCATGTTCAATCCAGATCCCAAGAAACCCATTGGTGGTAATATCATCGCGCATGCCAGTACGACCCGACTCAGCTTGAAGAAGGGCCGAGGCGAGACCAGAGTCTGCAAGATCTACGACAGTCCTTGTCTCCCCGAAAGCGATTGCCTCTTCGCTATTAACGAGGATGGTATCGGGGACCCAAGCCCCAAGGACTTGGAAAACGAATGAGGTAGTCGTGTCTGTTTGACCGTTTAGCCATGATATGACGATTAAGACGTGTGCTTATTTAATTTTGCTTTCGAGTTAGTACATATTAGATAGTTTATTTATAATTCACCGCAAAGAGTATGGGACATGTCTTTTAGTGAGATGGTAACGGCAATAGTCATTACCTGAGTATCTTAGTACCCGGGTACAAATAGTAGTAAAACATGATTCATGAAGCATGAAAGAGTTGAAGGCGGACAGCCGCGTTGTTGAAGGTCCGTGCCAAGACCTTGTTTTTTCTGAGCGGAAAGAGCTGCTGCGGCTTCTTCACTACTGGATCATTTCCACTTCCACTTCCACCTCCACCTCCCCCTCGGGCAGCGACAACCCCATCCTTTTCCTCTGCGACTCCCGGCCATGGAGACCTGAGGTGACCGATACCTTCCAAGATCGTCCCAGGTGGTTTGTCGCAATTCCGACATGGCTAGAATTTACAAAGACACCCGAGTCGACCTCCGGCCGTACTCGCGGAACTCGGTCTTGACCATCCGCATCCCAACAGAAGCGAACACGCCAGGCCGCGCCAGATTCGCAACATCCCCCTTCACGAGACACGAAGAACCGATCGCGAAGGACGAAGACGAGTTTTCTAAGCGCTTCCTGACCACCCAGGGGTCTGTTTATTTCCGCAAGCGCAGCGTTTATCCTCGCACGTTCCTATGGAGAGTCATCGACGATGGCAAAGTCTTGGAGATTCAGTGTGTGGATTTGACAAAGGGCGGAATTGATAACCACGAATACAACGTGACTTTACGATTGGATTTCAAAGAAGAGATCATCCCGTCGGGGGTTGATTTCGCGGATTTGGAGGACCACGAAGTGCTCAGCGTGTTTGTTATTACAGCCTCCAACCAGCTACACACTTTGACTCTGCGCCCGGAGTTCTTTCGACGGACGGAAGCAATCGATGAAAACGTTTCGGACTGGTGCAAGTCCTGTGTCCCGGCACCCCTCACATTCTCTCACCCTCACCGACTACACGCTAGCAGCCCGCTGGAGCTGTTCATTTCCCTCGACAACGGTTCCCTTTTGCGCCTGACCAGGAAATCTAGCGATGATGGTAATACTGCATTCCAATCCCCCCAGCCTCCGCTTACAAAAACACGTCTATCTTACGTAGTTTGCTAACTCTTTATCCTTTCAAGGCTCGCACTGGACCCCATTGACGTTTGACGAAAGAACCTGGGGATCGTCAATTCGAGGCTTGGTCAGATGGCATGCGCAACCCTCGATAAAATACAACGGACGTAATCTCGACCCAAATCTCGCCAACGCGATTGCTACGACTTCCGATCAGACCTACGTTTTTGCGATCTGTTTAAACCACACCTTGAAGATATGGAACCTCGCCACGAACAAACTGGTCGCGACAAAGGATCTGCTTGGTCGCGAACTACCACAGTCTGATGCGACAACGTACTCGCTCAATCCGTCCGAATCATCTTTCATTCGAGTTTTCAACGTCGAGAGGGCATTGGATGGAGGCTACCGGTATTACCTCATCACATACTCGCCTTTCGAGGATGGCCGCTTCAAATTTTGGGCCATCAAAGGGGGGCTGACGACAGCCCTTGAAATTGAAGATCTCTTCCCCGATGCTTCGCTCAGGCCTCTGGACCCGGATACGTCAGGCAATATGTTCTGGACGATTGCGGATTTCCAGGTCAAGCCGGCGGAAGAAGGAAGGGGAATGGAGCTATGGGTCCTTTGGAGAAATAGCAGCCTCTACCAGCTCTACACACTGCACTTCAATTTTGAGAGCTTGACTACGGATTGGGATAACAACTGGGTATCGACAGTTATGGACACTCGCGGAGAAGAGCACCCGCCGCTACCGCCAGTGCCCTCCGATGTTGAGGACCCGACTGAAAAGTGGTTGAAGTTCCTTTTACACCCCAACAGGCTTTCACCTGAGGTGCTTGAAACCGCTTTGGCCATTTACCAGGAAGCTCTAAAGCCATTGTCTTCGCCTAGTGTGTTGAAGAAGGACACTCCTCTTTCTGAACGTCTCTGCTCCACAATCGCCGCCACCGTCTCTCTCCGCAAGTACGCCGACGACGAAATGGATTTCACGCGATACCGAAGTGATACAGACTCCAAGTGGCGTCAATTCTGGCAAATCGCGGACGATATCAATAGAAGAAGATTTGAACCGGTCACGCTTGCGTACGATTCCTATTATGAGATCCCGTGGCTGCTACTCTCAGGCGGTTGTGCGGTGATTAGAGAATGCAGCTCTACAGAACTACTTTTGCACAATTCAGGCCAGGAGCTACGCTCAGAAGGGCCCAAGATTGTGGACCGCTGGAGACACAGGAACCTGGGCACGGAAATCGGTGATTCGTTCGAGGAGGCATCTCATTTGATCCAAGTTGCTGCGGGATTCCGACGGAGGTTTCCCCCGGACCTTGAGGTGGCATGCTTAGGAGCTTTGGAAGCGGAGCTGTTTACGGAGCCCTCGTCATCCATACCCGATAGGATGGACGCCTTCCGCGATCGATGCGAATTCGGGGAACAGGTCTCTAACAAGATCTATGATGGCCTGGTTGGTGCTATGAACAAACGCCTAAACATCTTCAACCTAAGGAATGATGTGTTTTACACTATTATTGACACAATTCCGCTGGGCTTCCCCGGCAAGGATTCAGACCTTTTGGCTACACATTTCGGAGTCAAGGTCACCGTAAACGGTGTCCAGGAGGCTATCTTCTTCACGCGTCAAATACTCATTGATCTACTTGCCCTGGTTCTCTTCGTGGATGGCGAAGTAGAGCAGGAGGAAGGCTCAGATTTTGATGCCGTTGAACTGTTCGCCTCATTGATTACGTTACTGCGTGAATATGAGATGATGCTGTGGCTCAGCTCAAACTCCCGGAAGTGTGTTGACAGACCTGCTGGCAGCTCCGAAGACTTGACGCCATCGGCATATTCGTCGAAGGAATCACCATCAAAGGGAAGCAGCACAAGGGTGGCTACCATATTGGAGGACTTGTTTGCTGCCGATATCAAACCCCGCCAGACCATCGGCTTACCCCAGAGTTATACTTTGAGTCTCGGTATACGAGATGTTCTGTCGTGGGTCACGCGCCAGGGAGAGGTGGCCTATCCGAACGCACTGGTCTACATTCAGTGTGATCTCATTGCGAAGAACAACATTGAACTTGCTTGGGATTTCCTCCGCTTCCAAGCAAGTACATCTTGGGCGACCTACGTTAAAGGCCGCCTGTACGTGGCTATGTCTGAATTCGACATTGCAGCTTTGTATTTCCGGAAATCTGCATACCTGCTCTGTAAGTCTGGTCTGCTTTCTAGGTCTGGTACGGTCCTTGCGTTCTAACTTGTTGTGTAGCGTGCGGCAAACCACTGGGCAATTTGCACGAGATGTCGTCGACTCTTTTAGACATCGTCTCGGTAGACTGCTTTCACAACGGTCTACCGAAGTATTTCCAACACATCTTATCCATCTTTGAACAGGCTCGTTCGTTCTCCCATGTTGCGGACTTTGCCAGTCTTGCACTGCAGGCGTTGGCGAGCGAAGGATACTCGGAGCAGGATCCAGAATACATCAGCCTGCGAACGGATCTTCTTTCGCGCCTCTTCTATGCCTCTCTTCACAACTGTCAATTCGATCAGGCGTACTCCGCACTTGCCCGCTACAAGGACCTCACACTTCAAAAGTCTGCACTCAGCTCTTTAATCACGGGCATCTTGGCCGCCTCGGGATCTGGCACTGCCGGCCTTGACCAAATTCTTCACTTCCCCACTGCTCTTGTCCCCAATATCGCATCCTACGTGGACGAGGCCTTGGTCTCCCTTGCCCGGAAGCAGACGTCGTTTACCTCCTATCTGGATAGCGGGAACCAATGGGCCGACGGCACCCCTGACTACCAACGAATCCTACAGGCGTATCGTATTGCACGGGGTGACCATCGCGGCGCCGCCGAGATTGCCTACCGCAATGTTCAACGACTCCGGAACTCTCGAGATAGTTCGTCGGCTTTAGTTTTGGCTAAAGGCCGCACGGAGGATCTAGCAGCCGCAGCTGGAGAAGATGACCCCGAAAGTCAGGAGATAAGACACGAGCTTTTGTCGCTCATTAACCTGCTTGGCTGCGTCGACAAGGGCGAATCATACATCCTCATTGAGAAGGACGACCCCTCCCTATCTGCTGCCCCGTCGTATAGACGCCGGAGCCTACAGGCGGACGATGACGGAAACGTATTCATGGACGATGCCGAGGCTGGCTCGCCCACCCCTTACGGATCCAAGCGCAGGCTCAGCTCTAGTACCACGGCTATCAGACCTGCCAGTCGAAGAGGAAGCAAATCCTCCACCGCCGAGACCTCCGGCCCCCGACGTCGCGTCATAGTCACACTCGAGCACCTACGTCGCGAGTACCAAGGCGAGCTAGACCGAGTCAGTAGGATTGAACGAGGCGACTGGGAGTTTGGGGCTCTTGATTCCGATGAGGCTGATAATGATGATACGATGCTACTCTAGATATCTATCACAAGAGTTTGCCATATGAATGTGCTGTTTTCCCCTGTCGATTTGGTCTTTGATTAGAGTTCTTGGACTGCAACTGTATTCTAGGCTAGAAGTTTGCTTGACATTCTATTTTCACTGGCGGTGAAAAGAATCAAAAATTTGTGGGGGCTTTCTTTGTTTCGTCGTACGGTGCACACTAGGAGGATGGATGTGTTATTTCTTTTGTCTTGTTCTATTTCCTGCATGATCCGTTGGGGCGTAATAATCTGCATTCAATTCCGGAATACATACAACTTTTCAACTTTCCTGCATAGTACCATAGAGTCATAGACCACATATGTAGGTAGTAACCAGTCTCGAAGGTGAACTCCTCCCCGTAGTTGGCAACAACGTGAAAAGTGGGTCCCTATTCATCCCTAATCGGGTAACCACCTGGTCGTCGGACTTAAGCGGACTATACACCCCCCTCCAAATTCCTTCCTTCGTAATACCTAATAACTCCCTGTCAATCAATACGTATACGCGATGCGCGTAGTTACCTGATTCCTGGAATTATTGCTGCAGCTCGAAGTCCACAGCCCTAGGGTGGAGAAGACGAAGACGAAGACGAAGACAAAGACGAAGACAAAGACTAGGAGATAGGACTTTTTGGTTATCTCCGCCTGGACCGGGCTTATTTCCGGGGTTTGGGGGCTGGGGTCTTCCTTCTATGGAGTCCGTACAGTATGTACCTACCTATGGACGGGAGCATTGGCTGAAGGTAGATAGGTAGGAGGTGGTTACTTTTGGGGGAAGGGTTAAATAGCTGGTCTTCTCTCTTTCTCTCTCTCTATTATATCTTGTTTCCGCTTTTCACGGTTCTCATCCTTTGTCTTTTCTTCCCCCCTCTCTCTATATATATATCTCCGTTTGCTGGACGGATTCTATTACTGTGATAATGCCTTCGATCGCTGGAAAGGAGATCTCGTTGGATGGCCTGGGTCTTATGCGTGGGTTCTTATCCGTCCTTCTAATATACATTTGAATTCGCATATGTGTCCAGCTCTGGTATGACTGATGACGATGGCTGACATCGATACGATATATAATAGGAATCACCTGGCCGCGCCTCGTGGCACCCGAAGAACAGGTGCTGAAGACCCTCAAGACAGCACTCAACGCCGGCGCGAATGTCTGGAACGCGGCGGACTTCTACGGCACGCCGGAGTACAACTCGCTGCATCTCGTGAACCGCTATTTCAGCGTGTACCCGGAAGATGCGGATAAGGTGGTCTTGATGGTGAAGACCGGGATTGTGGATATGACGACTATGAAGTTGGATTGCTCGCGTGCGGGTCTCCGGGGGTTGTTGGAGAATGCGCTGCGCGTGCTGGATGGGAAGAAGAGCATTGATGTGTTTGGGCCGGCGAGGATTGATCCGGACGTGCCGGTTGAGGAGAGTGTCAAGGCGCTGGAGGAGATGAGGACCGAGGGTTCCATCGGGGGGATCCAGTTGAGTGAGGTCCGCGCGGAGACGATCCGCAGGGCGGCGAGTGTGGCGAAGATTGATATGGTGGAGGCAGAGGTCAATCTTTGGTCGCAGGAGGTGTTTGAGAATGGGGTTGCTGAGACGTGTGCGGAGCTGGGGATCGTTCTGGTCGCCCATACGCCGCTGGGGGCTGGGCTGTTGACGGGCAGTATCCAGAGTGCGGAGGATGTGCCGGGTCTATTTATCGAGCGAGGCTTCCCGCGGTTCTTGCCCGAGAATATTGCAAAGAATGTCCAGTCGGCCCAGGAGATCAAGAAATTGGCCCAGGAGAAGGGGTGCACTGCGGCTCAGCTGGCTTTGTCGTGGGTGAAATCGCACAATGGGAGGCCGGGGATGCCGGTGATTGTTCCTGTGGTGGGTGCGCGGTCTGAGGAAAGGGTTTTGGAGAATGTAAAGACCCAGAAGTTGAGCGATGATGATTTCAAGAAGATCGCATCGATCCTGGAAGAGTTCCCGGCTGTGGGAGAGCGATTCCCAGCTCGCGTGTCCAAACTTAATGAGTATTAGATAGACCTGAGTACTAGTTTTAGCACCCTCTCAACTCAACAATTCACACTGAGAAATCTTCTTTTCCAACTTTAAGCCACATTTCCCAGACATTTGATCGTCGATGGGTCTGCTGTTGTAATTCGGCTAGCAGTCTCTGATGTCCAGGTAACTGTCCCTGTTGTAAAGCCTGCATCCGTTCAAGAATGGACTGACGCATGTGGTCGGAGATGACGCCTACTACTTTGGTCACGTAGAGATGAAAAGATAGCGAGGCTACCTGCACACTGGAAAGGTCGGAAGTGAGCGCATGCTGAGAGTTGCTGTATGGAACCGAGTGGCAAATCTCTAGACTGAGCGCACTCGATGTGTGAGTCGATCGACGAAGTTTCTCCATGATTGAGGCCTCGTTGTCTGTGGCAGTTCTGAGAAGGTGTATGCATTGTTCGCGAATGACCTCAGCCAGCAAGATGCGGACCACGCGAATATTATTCCAGCCTTTTCTAGTGTTATGGTCCGCACAATGATCTTTCGTAGGCTTTGTAAGCTCTGGTGGTAAGAGACTCCGATTACTGGGGATGAAAAAACGCAAGTCTTGTGACAATCGATCGAGTTCTCCATCAAGAAATCCAGCTTGGAGTATAGCCTGTTCATGGGAAAGGCCGGCTCGGATGAGATTTTGGAGATGCGCATACTGTAGCAGAACTTCCGAGAACCTCCACCTGGAAGACGAAGGATCAATACTTCGAAGCGCCCTCCGTCTCAATGAAAAGAGAGAGGGCGGGATCTCAGACTCATTCGCAAGGCAGTTGAGGGTGACCAGTTCACTTAGCTGTAGGAGCATCGTGATGCCTACTTTGCTACCAAACTGACTGTCATCCCTCAAGAACATCAGCCCCAAAGCCCCTTTCAAATGACCATCTGAGTAAAGTGGCTGCTCCTCTTCTCGGAAATGGGAGAACTTCTCTAAAGCGCTCAATAGCATCAAAGAGAACAAAGTGGTGTCTGTTCTCGCCTGTTCAGGTGACTGAATTGCTTTTCTAGCGAGGGTGAGTGCTAGCCCGTAATTGATACGAGCTTGATAAAGAGCTGCATCAGACGCATACGACGACGAGAAAAAGGCCAAAAATGTGGTACGCACGACGGTGGCTAACAGGGAAGAAGTATCAAGCTTCGGCGAGTAGAAGACCTGCATGAAGGAGAACAGGCTGGCGGCTGACGAATCAGCAATATATTGTGATACGTAGAGCATTTTGGCACGAACTTCCACCGTGGGAAAAAGATTAGTGAAAAGAGGACTGGGACAAGATGAATGTCGGACAGCGTGCTTTTGACGAGCTCGCTCAATTGTTGAACGAGTTTCATCGTGGATCATGAGTTTGGTGGAATTGGCGTATCCCGAGCATGGGATACGCGCTCGGGAGCATTGAGAGCATCCATCTTTCTTCTTATCGCACTGAAACCCAGGGTCAGCGACGTTATATGAGGATTCAACTGGGCGAAGATACTTTTATGTCTCGTCTTCGGCATTCGCGACAAGACTTGCTGGGTTTTCCGCGGTAGACCATGGTGGAGTGGAGGTGAACAAGTCAAGTCGCCGGGCGCTGCGGGAATCGATGGAAGACGACCAACCGGTGCCTGGTTTTTCAGGCCTGAACAGGGGCCCACTCGATTCCCCTTGTATGCGGTAGGGGCGTATCGAATACGGAAGTATGTCAATGTTTTTAAATGAGATTAAAGGTCTGATATAAAGTAGTATGTGCATGCGCCTGAAACATATATACTCCCTAGCCTCCCAACCTTGGAAGGGCTTTGGCCCCGAATATAACTCTACACAAAAGCAATCAAACAAAGAGAGATAGGGAATCAAACTAGATCCAAAAAAACCGCGAGTATGGAAAGCAAAGAAGACGTTTATTTTGAGCGTATGGCGTGTCGTATATATAGCTTACTCCGACTCTTCCAGCACCGATTTTGCATACAGACTGCTGAAGTGAGAGTCTGAAGCAAGGAGATTGTGAGGATTTCCTGACTCAATTATACGGCCAGAATCAAGCACGATGACTCTGTCATAGTCGAGAATCGTCTCAAGCTTATGGGCAACTGTGACGATGGTGTGCTTGGCGAACTTTTCTCGGATGATACGTTGCATTATCTCGTCGGTTCTAGTATCGACACTAGACGGAAAGTGGTAAGAAAATGAACTATATCAAAAAACTCCACATAGAACATACCTGCTAGTAGCCTCATCGAGAACAAGAATGTTGCCTGATCGTAGAATTGCCCGAGCCAGGCAGAAGAGCTGTTTCTGCCCTTGGGATAGGAAGAGTTCATCGATGTCCGTATCAAGACCCCCCTTTTCTTGAACTTTTGTAGAGAGCTGGACGGTCTTGAGAGCTGCCAATACGGAATGGTCAGAACAGTGACCAGTTGGGTCAATGTTTTTCCTGACACTCCCTTGGATTAACAATGGGCTTTGGGAAACGCCGTTTATGCGGGAGCGGATTTCTTGACGGGGTATTTGAGATATGTCGATTCCATCAATCAGGATGCTCCCAGACGTAATATCAACCATGCGGAAGATGCTCATGATGAGAGAAGTTTTGCCACTATAGCCAATGAGTTAGCTTCTCCCCGGACTGAGAATGTGAAAAGAAGGTACCAACCTGCCAGTTCTCCCGCAAATTGCAACTTTTTCTCCTGCCTGTATAGCAATTGAAATGTTGTTGAGCACTGGCTCGGAAGCCCTAAATGCAAACCACTTGTCAGTAAGTCGCTCGAGTGTTCACATGAATATACATACCTATACTCTGCAGAAACATTCTCGAAAGATATTTCACCTCTCGATGGCCATTCTGGAGGTACAGTCCCTTTCTCATCGGGTTGATCCTCCGAAGCCACATTTTCACTGAACGACTTCACGCGTAGTATTGAACCAATGTGAGTTTCAAGATTTGTCCAGAAGGTCACAAGCAATTTAATGCTTTGGCTGAACAGGATGACGTTGAGCAGAGCGACTCCGACATAGCCGGCGCCAATTGATCCTCTTAATGTCACGACTAAAATAATCAGGACAGCCGCAATTCCAGCAACGACCATGTCTAACGTCAATGTAAGCCACCTTTGGATGGCATAGAGGAAATAGAAGGGCCTCTGAGAGTAGTCAAGGAGCCTATGGTTCTTATCTTGTAATGCTTGCTGCCACCCAAAAGCCCTTACGGTGGTTAGACCTGCGAGGCAGTCGGTGAAATGAGCGTATAGAGGAGCCTTTGCTTCAAGATCCAAGAACCGCAACTGCCGCGAGGTGCGAAGGTAAACTTTCTGTATGCTGTAAATTATGAAGATAACCAGCGGGAACGAAATGGCCGCATATTTAGAGGCGATTCCCATGAAAACCATCTGGCACAAGCAAAGGACGAAGGCTAGCAACATTGATCAGTTTATGAGAACCAGGGCTGATGCCCAACAGGGCGATATATTGAAAAGATAACTTACTGACGAATGTGTTTATGGCGGCAACTGGAAGCTCCATGTCTATAAGTTGTAGGTCCTGGCTGAATCTGTTGAGAATAGCTCCGGTGTCCGTACTCGAAAAGAATAGCATAGGCGCGCTTCAAAATCATCAGTAATTCTCGTTATATCGTTAAGCCTTGGAAAGTACTCACCTAAGAACTTTGCTCAAGAGCTGGCGGTGAAACTTCTCGCCTGACTTTGGCACCATGCTGATGATCATCTGCCTAAAGTTGGACATACGATTAGCATTGAGTTCAATCGTTAGCTTGAATGATATATTATGTACAGACCAGCAGCCTATCATGAGAGAGATCATGCCGAGGACACCGAGCATTGCATGTATTCCAATATAGTATCCTGTTTGCGTGCCGGGATCTGTCTCATTCGACCGAGCCCACCATTTTACCCAAATGCCTTTGATTGAAGTCAGACATTCTGAACAACGCGTAAAATGAGTAAGATGGAGTTGATACTTACTTGGGAATGAGATGCAAAACACAAATCCCGTTATTGCTATAGTGAAAACCATCGTCGGTAGCCAGCCGATAGACCGAACATAGTAAAGGTAGATTGAAACGTCACCTTCGCTTCCGAAGTTATCAATAACATGCCCTATGTCTTTTTCATTCAGATCAACTGGAGCCTTTGAGATTTCCAGTTCGGGGAGACGTTTTGCCTTGAAATTCCAGTCAGGTGCCCCTAATGCAAAGCTGGAGACGTATCCTCCGGCGGAGTCAAGGGCTTTGAAGCCTCCTTGCTCTGTGATTCGGCCTTCTAGATCAAGCACCACGATGTGGTCAGCGTATGGGATTCGTTTTACTGCAAGAGATCCAGTCAGCTTGAGACCACAAAATACAACTCGCGACCGGACCGAAACTGACCAGAGGAAGAAGCAAATATAACAGTGGAGCCTATCGAGCGGAGCAGGCCATGTGTTCCAATTAGGTGATGGAAGACATGATCCTCAGTTGTTGCATCCAAGCTGCTTAGAACGTCATCAAGAATAACAATATCTTTCCTGGCGTACACTGCTCTTGCGAGTGCCTAGAGAGTCTGCTATTAGCCGAGACACGGTAATCGTAAATCAACAGGCGATACACACAATGCGTTGACTCTGCCCCCCACTCAGGGCAATACCTTTGCTGCCAATAACTGTCTGGTCGCCTCTTGGGAGCTGCCGGAAGTCTTCGACGAGGGCGCATGCAGTTATCACGGAACTGTACCACTTTTCATCATAGCATGACATTGCTATAATGCTGTCCTTGATAGTTGCATTCATGTGCCAGGGGACTTGATCACAATATGCAACACTCTGGGATGATAGGACAAGGCTCCCGCCGAGACATGGTGTCTCTCCAAGAATAGCTTTGAGCAGCGTTGATTTTCCACAGCCGGATGGCCCGACAATGATAGAAAAGGATTCCCGAGGAATGTTAATAGTCAAATCATTGAGAAGAGGATCTTTCTCCATATCCCATCCAAAGTTTGCGCTCTTGATTGTGATAATCTCGTGGGGCAAGGCCAGAGACACGCCCTTAAACGACTGTGATGAGCTCGACTCGTCTGTGGACAATTCCGAATCCCCAACCAACCCCAAGATCTTCGGCTCATGAAGAACGTCGATCGGGAGTGGCGTTAGTCCGCACCTGGAATCCACATGGCTTTCCATTTGAAGGAATTCTTGAATTCTCCTGAAAGACCCGACCGAGCCAACGAATGTCATCAGCGCCATTACAAGAGATAGTAGCGGATCTGAAAGGAGGGCGAAAAGCGATAGCGAAGTGTATGCATTTGAAGTGTTGAGAGCCGCATCATTCCCCCTACTATGCGATATGCCGACAAACGCGCCAAATGTAAAGATCGGCGCAAAAATGCGTGTCATCCAAGCTGTGTAACTTGTCAGTTTACTGGAAATCAATATTAAGTGCTTACTGTCTCACCAAAGGCCAGGTTCCAGACCAGGATCCTTCGGAAACTTTTGGATATTTTAAGCTCCTCCAGACGCAAGCCATGAACATGGGTCATGAAGAAGTGGCTGAGTCCAAGCAGCTTTATCCCTTTCATCGAAGCAAGCATCGACCCTGTTGAGGAGATACGTCTCTCGATAGCCTCAAGCCACATGGCCTGCCTCGAAACAACAAGAGAAAGTGAGATTAAAGATCCAACGAGCGCCACTTAATGAAGAAGCTCTTTGTTAGCGCCATGAGAAACAAATCAGGAGAGAGAATGACATTGAAGGGGAGGTCAATGCGAAGAAAGACCAGGATACCCTCGACACTGGGATGACATCCAAGCTTACCAAGTGAGACAGCGACCGGAACAACACAGGAAACTCCTAACTCCCGCTCAAGGAGAAAAATTGCCAAAGCTATCTCTAGAGTATTCCCCCAAATATCGTGTATTGTTTGCCAGCCCTGAACGATTCTCTCGATGTCCGCACTCATTAACGTGAGAGATGCCGCAGGATCGGCATCCTTCACGCTCAGAGTACCTGATTTCTTATAGACCATAGAGACAACCCCTCCTCTTACCATTGTAATGACACGATACGTCAAATGCTGGTATTGTCCCATGGATACCTTGATCATTGGTCAGAGAACGCTTGCACCAGGATGAAAAAGAAATGCCTGTTACACCTACCGCCATTCCCGTGTACACGAGGATGTAAGCACCAATCAACCCGTACCCGACGTTGGTAGATTTACTCGTGTCTGGTTCTGAAGTGAAGGAAAGCGATCGATGCAACAGCAGAGGTTGACAAACGTTTAGCGCGACGAGACAAGCCCGTGGGACTATGGCTGCGAGCAATTGCCACGAGAAAGTTCTGAAAATCGTAAAAAGCAATGCATTGTCACCTGGGTTTCCAACTGGATCTTGTAAGTTTGGGTGTCGATGGTAGGAATTGGTAATCATCGGGCCAGTTACCTTGGTTCCAATTGATTTCCAGAGCATCCTGGAGTCGTTGCGAGCCCAGGGCCTTGTCGAGTGCAAAAAGATCTTCCACGGCTAGCTTCTTGGAAAAGCCCTGCATGAACAAAGGATTTAACCACAGGAAGAAGGCGCGATTCAAAAACCCAGCAGTGGCTTCGGGCGAATAGTCCCTGTAGTCTTCCTTGAGAAGGCGTCGTTTCTCCAGCGTCTCAAGAAGGAGGAGAAGAAGTTTGACCCCAGTAGCCACAGAAGTGACAATGGCAATGGTTCTTCCGGATCCTCCTATGTCTCGAAGCCATAATGTTCGTGTCTTCGCGACATCGAATAGAAGCGTAAAGAAAAGATAGACGTTGAGAAGAAAAGAGGGTCTAGCGGAGCGATTGTGTTCGGAGTAGGAGAGGATGCCCAAGAAGATCACCCCCACCGCGGTCACGGTATTCGTCGCAATGGAGGCGCGCGTCCGTACCGCCGAAGGGAGAGACCACAGTGCAACAAGAGCGAAATGAATCGCCCCTAGGATAATCCATGTGAACTTCAAGATGAACGGTTCACGTCAGCACGGCGTGAGAGGTTGAGAATTAATGCCATTGTTCGAACGGAGAATTGTACATACAATTTTGAACCATAAAACCCACGACCCTGTTACTTTGCGCGGCTTTTGAGATAAGAACCACAGACGAAACGGGCTGGCTATCAACAGTATTCCTAAAGGCAGCACCTCTAAGATGATTTCCTCGAAGAGCAGAGGAAAATCAAAGTCCCCCCGACAACCCAGAACAGGGACGCGAAGAGAATTGTCCGCTTGCTGGCATGGCAGGGACAGTCGACGCGCCTCCATGGTTGCTGCGCTATGAGCTCTATCTACAAGTGGATGATTGCCATGGGTAGGTTTAAATGTTATAGTGACCCGACTGTCTATTTTGGTTCTCGCCCAAGTTTGATTGAAGGGAAGGGCTAGACTGCAGACGATCTGTTGATTTGCCTTCAATTATTTCACGTCGAATGACGCCTCGTAGATGGGCTCATCGTATACTCCGAAGCCAGCCTGGTATACCTGATGATCGCAGGGAAATTTTGATCCGATTTTTCGTTTGTACTATTTTAGGCTTCTCTTCTTGTCCTATTATGTGTTAGGACGCGACTTTCCCTGATCACATTCTTAGCATTCTTTTCTTTTCTTTTCGTTTTGATTTAGTAATATTTTTTAATTTTTTTTTTACTAACTAAATTCTTCCCTCACGTTTGGCACCAGCTGATTCCTCAAGGCGAATCCCGTATAGCGGGATTGACCAAGGCACATTCGAAGCGATATACGCCGTAAATCTTGCACCAAGATCTTCACCAGCCTGATTTGGAGCCTAACCCCAGGGAACGGAACAGAGGGTCGCCACGATATGTTACTGAAGATCCCTACAGATTACATGGGCTAGAGCTCGGCTACGGCGTGTGATGATTTGACCTGTTCCAGAGCTACTGCGCTACTGCGTCTTGCTGAAGGGAACCGACTAGGTCGGGTATATCTCCGGTTTGTTATAGGGGGCGAGACTTGAATGAGGTCCCAGGATCAGAAAATTTCCTCGCAGACGTCAAGAGAGGCGACGACGGGAGCAAGTCAGCTGCCAGAAGTCGAATCCACCATGGACGGTCCATCTGGCTGCGCCTTCTTGTAACGGCGGGTTTTTCTTTTGCTAGCAGTGAAATGGGCTTCCCAATTGAGTAGGAAACATCTCCGGTCTCCACTGCCACGAACCGTTTCAAAAGTACGGAGTATGGAGCACTCAGCATGAACTGGCCCGACGCTTACGCATCCAAGAGGCTAGATAATAAATTATGGCGCACAAACTTACACCGTATGCGCGCCTTGTTTGCATTCCCGACGTGCACAAATACGGTGGTCTACATATTGGTCCCATACAGTACATGCTGACCCCGTTTGTTTGGACCTACACGAGGAAATCTCTGATCTCAGCAATCCTTTCCAACTTCCTAAGAGATAATGGGAAAGCGACGCAGACTGTAAGCGGGGACGGGGATGAAACGGGACCCCGAAAAAGCAAGAACATTAAATGCTAAAGAAAACTAGAACTGACATCAGACAGCTCGCTTCTATAGTATTCCAAATATCTCCGACTGGCACCCTTCAATTCGTCCCGTGGCAGCTCGAGCCGGATATGCATCCCTATCCCAATCATCGACCGATTTCCCGATCGGGCCACGAGGGTGTCTAAAGGGAGTGCCACATCAGCCGCAAGAAGGTTGGCCAGGGAGAATTGTCAGCCAGGGCAAGAACATTCTCCCAGAACTAGATCTCTGCTGGATTGCGGGATGCAGATTTACTACCCAATCCCCCTTGGTGGCGAAAAGCCATCTTCGTCCCTCCACGAATGAAAGTACGGTGGCATACGGGGAATGATAGGAGATGTGCAGTCATCACGTTCCCACGCAAAACGATCATTGGGCCAAGCCCGTTAGGACTTGAAAATGATTGACGAAGGACTCCGTACCCTCCGTTGCAAGTCCGGAGGGTACCGTCGGGGTTGAACTTGAACGGGGGCTAGAGGTGAACGGAACGGGCATAAACAGCACTAGTGATTGGCAGCGGATAGACAGGACCTACACTTTGTAATTGAATCCTTAAACACTTCAACTAGTTTGTGAATAGCATCCTCTACATTAGCTTCTATTCCGTAGGTTGAAAGATATACCATCATGGTACTCCGTACTGAGCAACTTGTGCTGAGTACCGTAGATACTGTACCTACGGAGTGCCCCTAGTCCGTAGTTACCTACCTAGCTCAGTAGTTAGGGGATAAATAAGAATGAGTACCCTAAATGCGACCGATTAGCTTAGAACGGCAGTAGACCAAGATCCCGTCCATCAGATCCCGAAGTCTAGGGGAAGACTAGTGAGCTTTCCGTAATGATTAGTGATTACTATTAGTCCAGAATTCGTGTGAGTGAAGCAAAGAACAACACTAAATCGTGGTGGATGGTGGGCATGGGCGAGCTAGGGGATTCCTGAATCCTGCGTCGATGCACTAGAGGATCTGGATGGACCAGCGGGTGGGGATGCCTTGGTGCCTTGGCTGACGGAAACCGGCCTCCCGCCCCACAACTAAACCGGATGACAGCATCTGCCCGGACGATCATAGGTGGATGATACAGCCGCCCGTGGTTTCATTGGTGAACTGGGGGTCAGTGGCTGTTTGAGCTTTACCAGAAAAGGCTAGTGCCATCAAAACAGGGCCGGGACGCGCTTACCCTTTTCCACTCTGCCATGTTTACTCTTAGGACTAGGAGTAGTTACTGGTACGTACCTACCAGCTTGCTAGCAGGGTAACTGGACCGGCTTACCTAGTCGAGTCCTTGGGCAAGACAGGGCAAGACAGCACAGGACAGGCCAGGCCACGAGCCCAGCACAGCACAAATGTGGGCCTCACAAACCAAACTATCTCTGCTTTGGCGGCAGGCGCAGCGTGAAAATTTTTTCCTTGTCATGTTCTATATTTTCTTTTTTCTCCAGTCTCCAGTCTCCAGTTTCCGTTTTCTATCGTCTCGCATCGGTCTGACAGTTGGCATTCAGCTCCGATCTGATGACGGTGCGCAACGTGACATCAATGGGCCGATCCAATGACATCGCTACGATCTGGTTTGGATCGATTGCCCGATTTTGGCTTTCGATTTTCTCTTCTAACATTGACTTTCTCAATTTCTTCCCCCTATTCTCCGGAAAGTTTGAAGATCATTAATCGGTTTGGAGATCCGGTGCGGGAGTTAAGAAGCCGGGTGGGGCGCAATTTATCCTACAGACAAACGGTAGAGCTATATTGGGAAGCATCGTTCGATGGAGGGAATCTCCACGAACTTTGAGTGCGAAAAGCAAATAAAATTCAACGGACAAATGACAGGAAAGTTGGAAACTGCTCGATTATGCACACCATTCGCTAGCGGTCGTAGCCTAAGTGTCTAACCGAGCGGGTTTTCTCTAGTGCCGCACCCCCTTGCATTTAATTAATTTGTTGCCGGTTAACTTTCGAAATTGATGCTTGTCTAGGTCAATTGCATCCAATCCCAGACAGGTGTGACCTCTCGATAGAGCGGTTGCGGTTAAAATGGATAGAGAGGGAAATAAAAAAGAAAAGTCATAAAATACGTTATGGATTTGACAGATGAGAAAAATTCCGACCACATTCTCGGGTAGTCGGCTGTACTGTAACTGTCCATATCATATTCGAAATCACCGGATCAAGGGAAGAAAAAATTCCCCGGCGTAGGGCCGAGATTTCCACCCTTGTATGTACCTATATCCGTGCCTGTATGCAGTGTACTCCGTATATGCACGTCGGTGGGCTCCAAGGGGAGAAAAACTTCCTCACGACGGACTACAGCGTCTGACTTCTCAACAGAGAGTTCAATGTTTACGCTGGATCAAAAACAAAAAATCCTTCGCTGTACTTGGCTTACAGCAATGAACAAATATATCGTGTACTGCGTTTAATCAGTACGGTTTGCGGGTACTATGGCGTTCTATTTACTTGGCTTATTGTATTTGTTTATTTTTTTGTTTGTGATATTCAATATTATGTATTATGTATCTGTTTCCAGAGGGCTGCATAATTTGACTAGCAAGGGGAGGAGGCATAGAAGCCAGCCAGCCCTTCGATAGACTCCTGTGGCGTCGCTGCAGAAAAGAGCGTGCATACTCTGTACAACATGGATGGATGTTTTCCACCCTCATGCTCTTTGTCAACGCTTTGATCATGTCAAGGAGCGACTTACCGCCGAGTGTACTCCGTACACCGCAGGTAGGTACCTACCTGCATGCAAATGTACCGGTATCTACTCCGTACTCTCAGATGAACGAACAAACTGACAAGGTTCGCATACTCAGTAGTTGACCAACTAAGGTGCGCCATGCCAGCAGAAAATTGCGATACTTTCTCGTACACGCCGATAGTATGCCGATAGTCCATCATGCTCCCGCCAACGTCCAAGCCTTTCAGTCGTTAGTGCTCGGCCACCAGGAGTAGGTTTGCTGAGTTGCTCGGGGATTGTGGAGGCACTAAGACTCCGTCGACTAGCCGACACATCCCGGATCTACCATCGTAGCATAACCAGTGTAGCACTTTAGCCCCAATAACGGATCATCCTCAGATCCTGTAACTCTGGCCTGGTCATCCCAATTTCTACTCCGGTCGGCCACCGCGAAGAATCCGTCGATGGCGTTGAGACCGGTGCAAATTACGATACCTGATTACAGATGGAAGGTACACGGTGTATGGTGTACACAGTGTAGGTGCCTTAGGTACGAGGCTATTTCCCAGGCCCCGTGATCGTCCAATCAAATAATCCTTCCCCATCGCTTGGCCCCTTGGCTTCCCTGATTTGACTCCTCAAGTGTACAACCATCTCTTCAGTCCGAACCTTGAATACCAATAAATCCTGCCATAGACTCAAGGAGAACTGCAGCTCATCCTTTGGGTCGATTCTCACATCAAAACAAAACTTCTCTCACTTGGGAGAATCCTCCGTTCGTCAGCGGCTGGAAGCGTCCCCATCAGCAGCATGGCGTGGACCCAGATCATCCACCTGTCGTAGCGTGACAGGACCCATGAGTCGCTAAGTATTACGTATGGCCATGTTTGGTTCGAGACCCAGCTCGAACGTCCAGGATTGAATCCGGACAAAATAATGCATGCAGGGTTGACCCCTGATGCCTTCCGCTTCCTCGCTTTCTGACTGCTTCTGTTTCGATTATTTTTGGGCCTGGACTTGGACATGCTCCACTCTATGGCATCCCAACTTCGCAGGTTCCAAGCCATTCGCACATGGGTTCACACCCCCCCCCGGCTAGCAGCCCCTACGCCACTCGAACTACTTCGTTTTGCCCCCCTTTGGCTTCAGCAAGTTGGCGGAAGGTGGATTCCATGGCTCATGGCATACTAGAGTGGCCAATCCTCAGACTTGTGGCCAGTAGTATCCTGAACTCTAACTCTCATCATTGGCCCTCGCTAGCCTTCGTATTCGACTCATGGATAATGTCATTGTTTGTGAGCAGCTAGAGGCGCTGCTACGAAGTCTCCCTTAGCGAGATCGATTAGTCTATTTTTGTGAAATGGGATGAAAATTTTTAAGGAGGTCTGATGATGAAGTACCCACGGATCTTCGTCTCCAATTTAAAGCTAAGAACAGGTACAGCATTGAGTACCGTCAACTGTGCCTGTTGTTTACTTCACACTCGTTTTTGAATTACTGAAGCTCTTCGGAGTATTACTCACAAGAAATCATGGCTCACCCTGCCCAATGCTGCCTCCCCAGGTTCAGCCCTCCCTCCCGCGGGCCCAGACGACCAGTGTCAATGAGAGTCAGGACGGCTCCATCACAAAATCTGGAGTTACTGGCTGCCTGGCGCCGGGAGGAAATCCACTCCCTTCTTCAAACCGCGTGGGCCCTCCTCCTCTACCGCTACATCGGATCCAAAGACGTTTGCTTCGGCTATCAATATCTTGATGGCCCTGACACTACAGATCCGTTGACCTTCAGTCTTACCATTAACGAAGATGACTCTCTTCGTGAAATCCAAAGTATAGTCGCAGGCAGAAGTGCTTTGCCTCGAGATTTTGGTGCAGACACAGAGTCTCGTCTGGCCCATGATGGCTACATGTTATATAATACCATCCTGATGATACGCATCTGCTGTGATTCGTCGAATGGCATCGGAAACACTTCTCTACAGCCAGTTTTGGCTATGACGCTCCCGGATAAGGTGTGTTGATCAAGGAAAATGAAAGTTTATTTTTCAAACGGCTATCTAACCCATCATTGCTAGGCCCGCGTCAGACTCCATGTGAAAATCCTGGAGAACGACATAAGCATGTTCTTGGAATCCTGGAACGATGAGGTTTCCACGGAGCAAATGAAAAGCATCGCTAGTTACTTCGAGAGAACCATATCGCAAATCCTGTCCGGAGAGGACATCGCGGTGGAAGCGTTAAATCAATTCTCGGAACAGGACTGGTCCCGAGTTTGCCAATTTAACGCAGCGATTCCAGAAAAGCACGATCGTTGTATTCACGAGAAGATCCAGGAACAGGCGCTCATTCGACCCGACAGCGAGGCTGTATGCGCTTGGGATGGGAGTTTGACGTACCGCGAATTGGACCACTTCGCTTCCCGGGTTGCTTTTCATCTCCAGGCGCAGGGAGTTGGGCCTGAAGTCCGTGTTGCTCTTTGCTTCGACAAATCCGTAAGTGATTGTTTGCTCTTCTTTGTCCTTCTTCTTGCTCATTGTGTTCCACATAGAAATGGAACATCGTCGCAGTGCTGGGAGTTCTGAAAGCCGGAGGTGCCTTCGTGCCTCTTGATCCGACGCATCCAACGTCCCGTCTGCAGTCTTTAGTAAGATCGGTACAGGCGAAAATCTTGATATGCTCCAGAAAACACGAAGACAACCTGAAAGCCGTTATGGAGAGCATCATGCCATTGGATGAGCATAGCATGAAGGAGCTTCCGGCTCTCTCTGAAGAGAGAGAGCTTTCAACAGAAGTGAAAGGCCACCATGCAGCCTATGTGATATTTACTTCTGGCTCTACTGGAGAGCCTAAGGTACGCGCCCATTCATATTAAGCCAGCCAAAGAGACTAATCCCTGCAGGGTACTTTAATAGAGCACAATGCATTCGCGTCTGGCGCAGCCGCCCACGCACCTCGGCTTCGTATGAGCCACGATGCAAGAGTATTGCAATTTGCTGCACATACTTTTGACGCGAGTCTCATTGATATCTTGACAACATTGATACAGGGCGGCTGTATCTGTGTGCCCAGTGAGGAGCAGCGATTGAACGAAATTGTCCAAGTCATCAACGAAATGCGTGTGAACCATGCTTCTTTGACGCCGACCTTTGTTGATTTCGTCGACCAGTCAAAGGTGCCAGGGTTGAAAACACTGGTTCTAGCTGGAGAGGCAATGTCTCAGTCGCACTTGAACACATGGTCTAAGATTGAGCTTATCAATGCCTTTGGCCCCACTGAATGCTCCGTTGCAGTAGCCGCGAACAATAAGATGACGCGGTTTTCAGACTGCAGAGACATTGGTCTTCCCATTGGGGTTCGCCCCTGGTTAGTAGACCCCGAGGACCATGACAAGCTTGTTCCCGTCGGTTGCGTGGGAGAGATGATCCTTGAAGGACCTACGCTTGCCCGAGGCTATATCAACAACCCGGAAAAAACTGCAGAAGTCTTTATCCATAATCCAGTTTGGGCGAAGAGTGAGGATGAAACCCACTCGGACCGAAGATTCTACAAAACTGGTGACCTGGTAAGATACAATTCCGATGCTGGCTCGCTGACATACATAGGAAGAAAAGACACCCAAATCAAGCTCCACGGACAAAGGATTGAACTAGGGGAGATTGAAGATAATCTTAATACCGACCCCGCCGTTAAAAACTGCCTGGTTTTCCTTCCCAAGTCGGGATTTTACCAGGGCAAATTAGTGGCTGTGCTATCCTTGTCTACAGACGTGGACTCTCAGTCGGAATCGGATGAAGTACCTCTCAGGATCCTCGAACATTCGAAGAAAACGGCGGCTGTTACCGATATCCGTCACCGTTTATCATCAAGATTACCGACATACATGATTCCCAGTGGATGGCTATGTGTTGAGTCCCTGCCTCAGCTTGCATCTCGGAAGCTTGATCGAAAGGCCACTGCAAGCTGGGTCGCGGGCATGGAAGAAGACCCGGATCGTGACCTAGCGAAACTTGGCGACTCTTCGAACCAAGAGGTCATTCGGTCCACAAATGTGACGGAAGATCGACTGGCTTCCATCTGGAGTCGCATCCTCAACATACCTAAAGGCCAAATCAGTCTCGACGAAAGTTTTTTGGCTCTAGGCGGAGACTCCATCGCTGCGATTACTTGCATGGGGACTTGCAAGAAGCAGGGTCTTGGAGTCACAGTTCAACAAGTGCTCCAAAGCAAATCTATTCGGGCTTTGGCAACACATGTTACTGAGATCAGTCAGCCTACCGTGTATGAGGAAACGATCGAGGAGCCATTTGGGCTTTCGCCAATCCAGAAACTTCATTTTAAAGTGCGGAAGGAGGGTCAGGGATACTTCAATCAAGGCGTTCTTACCCGCCTGAACCGGCCCATCAGCGATGGTGAACTTTGCCGTGCAATCGAAACCCTCATCAAACGCCATTCTATGCTTCGTACCCGTTTCACGGACATGGGCGCTGAGGCTGGAGTGCGACAGCGCATCACCGAGGATATTGTTGGGTCCTACCGCTTCCGCTCACACAGTGAAACCAGTGAAGATGAAATCCAACAGGCCATTTCGAGTAGTCAATCGTGTATCAATGCATTCGCCGGCCCAATGATGGCAGCTGATATCTTCCGAGTCAGTGGAACTGACAATGTCCTCTCGATGACTGCTCATCATTTAGTGGTTGACATCGTTTCGTGGAGGATTATCTTGGAGGACTTGGAGGAGCTTTTGCTTAACCCGAGCGAAGATCTGTCCCAAAGTGGCTCCCTTCCCTTCCAAACTTGGTCTCAATTACAGGAGGCGCAATCCCGCGAGGTCAAAACCACGGACCAGGCTGAACTAGACAAAATTTCTGCCCCTGATTTTGCTTACTGGGGACTGGAGAATAACCAAACTACGTACGGAGATGTGGATTGCGAGACCTTCGAAATGAGCCCAGCAGACACCCACGCCCTTCTGATGGAGTGTCATAAAAGCCTCGGAACTGAACCAATTGACATTTTCCTGGCGTCACTTCTCTACGGTTTCCGAAAAGCGTTTACCGATCGATCACTGCCTGTGATCTACAACGAAGGCCACGGAAGAGAAGTTTGGGATCCCACGATGGACATTTCGCGTACCGTCGGCTGGTTTACCATCCTGCAGCCCATGTTGATTTCGAATATTGCTTTGGATGACCCTGTCGACGCTGTCATCCAAGTTAAAGATCTCCGGCGCCAAGTTTCAGACAATGGACGACAAGACTTCACCCGCCGCGTCCTGGCAGGGGGTCCACAAAAGTGCGGCCACCACGGGCCCATGGAGATCTCGTTTAACTATGTCGGTCAGCATCGAGACCTGCAGCGGAAAGATGGCCTATTTCAGCTCATGAATCAGATGGCTGGAGAGACTGGCCGGGGCGGAGGTGCTGCTGATTTTGGTGAAGAGACTCCTCGGTTTGCGCTTTTCGAGACATCAGCACTTGCCGTACATGGACGGTTGCGCTTCAGCTTCTCTTTCAACAGGTACATGAAACATCAAGACCTGATCCGGAACTGGGTCGCATCCTGCCATGATACCCTGAAATACCTCGGAGACAAACTGCAGTCTCTAGAGCCCAGACCCACACTAAGCAGTTTCCCACTGCTGTCGCTCAACTATGAAGAGCTGGATACAATCCTATCGAGAAAACTCCCCAGTGTCGGAATACACTCTCCCGATCTGGTGGAAGATATCTACCCCTGCTCGCGCATGCAGGAGGCTATACTACTCAGTCGCTCTCGTGATGATGGTCTCTACGCTGTTCATGATACCGTGGAAGTGAAATGTTGGGAGGGCAAACCGGATGCCAATCGCTTGAGCCTCGCGTGGCAAAAGGTGGTTTCTAGACACCCGATGCTACGAACAATTTTCGTGGAAAATTTCACCAGCAAGAATCTGTTTTGTCAAGTCGTTCTGAAGGAATTCGATGCCCGACCCAGTTTCGTGAAGTGCTTGAGCGATGGTGATGTGCTCGCAACCCTAGACCGCCAACAGCCGATGAATTATCACGAGCACCGACCATCCCACAGGCTTACTATCTGCGAAACAGCAAATGGTAGGTTATTCTGCAGAATTGAGATGAGCCATACCTCGATGGATGGCTCGTCCATTTCCTTGATCCTTCGGGATCTGCAGTTGGCATACAGCGAAAAGCTAGATGATCATCAGCCAATGTTCAAGAATATCATTGACTACCTCCAAAACACTCCTCAGCAGGACACCATCGACTACTGGTGCTCCTATCTGTCAAAATTCAAGCCTTGTCATCTACCCGTGCTCACCGATGGAGTTTCTACTCCTAAGCAGCTCAAAACCATGCGGTTGAATTTTGAACCACTTGGAGAACTTCAAAGAGTGTGTGAACAAAATGGATTGACCTTGTCGACTGCATTTAGCACAGGTTGGGGTCTTACACTCAAGTCCTTCTGCAATACCGATGAAGTTTGCTTTAGCTACATGACATCGCTCAGAGATTTGCCTGTCGAAGACATCGAGTCGGTTGTTGGCCCCGTCATCAGCTTGCTAGCTTGTCGGATGAACACCTCGGGTAGCATCCCACTGAAAGAGGCCTTGAATCAGGTTCAGAATAATTACATGGAGCAGCTGCCTTACAAAAATGCCTCGCTCATCGACATTCAGCACGCTTTGAAGTTATCAGAGACCTTGTTCAACACTGGAATCTCTTTCAGAAAGCTTCCGAGCTTCAAGAATTCGCCCAGAGAGGCAATTGAGTTCGAAGAGCTTGGATCGATTCATGACCCGGCCGAATTTCCGGTATTCATCAATGTTGAAGTGGCGGACGATGAAGTTCGCCTGGACATGAACTACTGGACAACGGCCTTGTCGGATGGCCAAGCACAGAGTGTCGCTCGCACCTTCCTCAAACACCTCGAAAACATCGTTTATTTCCAGGACAAGGAGCTCGGTCTCTTAGACGGGATGAGCGATTGGGCCCAGAACCAAATCGCAAAGTGGAATGACAGCGTACCGATGGTAGCTGATCAGTCTATCCACGAACTTCTTGACGAGAAGGCTAAGTTGCAACCGAATGCTCTAGCCCTTGTGGACGGAGAAGGCAGCATTACATACGCTAAGATCAATGAACTGTCTTCAATCCTAGCGACCTACTTGATCAAGCTTGGTGTTAGCGCTGGGTCTTTGGTTCCGATCGATTTTGCGAATTCGAGTTGGCAAATTGTCTCCGTGTTAGCTGTGCTCAAAGCAGGTGGACTCTGTGTCCCAATGAGTGGAGGTTGCATACAGAACACCGATCAATGGCTTATCGACAACGGAGTGCAAGTTGCTCTTGCAACTCCCACCAGGGCACATGTGCTCGAGGGTACTGTCCCATATGTTATCCCTGTGGGAGCTTCTCTCTTCCAACATCTTCCAAGCTTGAACGAGGAGTTCCAATTTTCCATCGACTCGTCGAATAAAGCTTATGTGGTTTTCACTTCGGGAGAAACTTCGACGCCTCGACCTGTTGTCCTCTCACACAGGACTATCCTCGCAAGGGCAAAGGCATTAGCTTCAGCCCTTTGTATAGATGAGAAGACACGGTTCCTGCAATTTTCTGCATACACATCTGACATGTTCATTGAGGAGATCTTCAGTGTACTTCTTCATGGTGGATCCCTTTGTATCCCACCCGACAACTCTCTCGAGAACCTTTCAGTGTCGATCAAGGCGTTACACGTGAATTGTATTAGCCTGACGCCAACTATCGCTTCCTACTTGCAGCCATCGGACGTTCCAGAGGTCAAATCTCTCGCATTGTTCGGGGAAGCTCCGCTGAAAAGGCTGACTGAAGCTTGGTCGCCCAAAGTTCAAGTGCATACCTTCTACGGTACAGCCGAGAGCTCTTCAATGTCCATTCACAAATCAATTACCGATGCTTCGATGAATGAGTTGCTCATTGGAGCAAGCAATGGTTGCTTGGCCTGGATTGTTGACCCCAGTGACCATGATTCTCTTGTTCCTATAGGATGCACTGGTGAGCTCGTGCTAGAGGGGCCTGTTGTTGCCGAAGGCTACTTGAATGGGGAGAAGGAATCAGCAGGAAACTTTATCGTGAATCCTAAATGGCTTATCGCTCTCCAGAAAAGCACCGGGAACAGCGACGACGCGACCCCTGACCAGGCAAAAGAGCCTCGACGGATGTTCAAGACGGGAGATTTGGCTCGTTACAATTCAGATGGGTCGCTTGTTTTCATGGGAAGAAAGTCAAAGGTGACTGCATCACCATCTCAGGCGCATATGTGGCAGATGGAACAGCGCATCAATGCATTCTTCCCACCTGAGTACCGCTGCGCTGTGGAGAACCTCGAGCTCCAGCAGGAATATCCTAATTGCTCAGCTGTCTTCGTACTTTCCATGAACGACAACAGTACCGCTGTTGGCGATAGCCGAGCGCTAATTTCTGGAGCATCTCCTCAGTTCCACGACATTGTCGCAAAGCTTCATACTCATCTTTCACAGACTTTGCCTTCGAATCAGATCCCGAACTTTTATTTCCCAGTCTCTCAAACACCCTTGAACCGAATGGGTAGACTCGATCGCCAAACACTGAGGAAATCTGCACGGAGCCTCTCCGATGATGCTCGACTGGAATTCAATTTCAGTAAATTCAATGAGTTTTGGCGAGGCACACTGGCCAACTCTGCGCCCAGCCAATTTCCTTCGGCTTCCACTCGCTCACAAACTTCTGCTAGCAAATCCAGCCAGACAACTACATCTTGGTCAGAGACTGCGAAATTGAGTTTTGGGTCGAAGACCACTATTCTTGCCGCATGGGCTCTAACTGTCTACGGTTATACCTCGTCTGAGGATGTTTGCTTTGGAGAATTGCTCTTGGGGCAGGACAAGAGTGCGACAATAGTTCCTCGGCGATTAATTGTCGACGAGGCAACCACCATTGGAGACTTCCTGATTGCTACGCAGCAAGGCCTAGCCGCGGCAGAGCTTTTCCAAAAGGGAGGGCTTCAGCGAATCTACAATCTCAACGGGGACACCGCGCGCGCATCCAACTTTCGAAACCTGGTTTTGGTGTCGAACAACTGTGGAGGACAGACGAGTTGCCAAGAACAATTCAAAGATAACTCAGCGCTGAACGATGCGTCTCATTCTTACCCTCTGGTGCTGTGCGTCACTATTGGCGAAGAAGGTATTGAATGCAGCTACCGGTTTGATGAAGAGACAATCTCCGCTGCGCAAGTCGATCGAATAATGGCTCGATTTGGAGATTATTTCAATTTTCTGAACTCGGAATCCAAGAAGAAAGACCCAATCAGTTCAATGGCAATCCACGACGAGCAGAATGCTTATTCTATCACCGCAGACATGGACTACTGGAAGGAATATCTGTCTGATGTTGAACCATGCATTTTCCATGCTTTACCCGCAAAGACACATCGCGATGGCTTCGGCTCTACTGAGCTGGAAATTGCCTCTACATCCGATATGCGTGCATTCTGCCAAGGCGCTCAAGTGGACACCAATGTGTTCCTTCAAGTCGTTTGGGGCTTGGTTTTGAGATGTTTCACAGGCCTGCAGGATGTCTGCTTCGGATATAGCTCTTCTGGCCAGGAATCAATCCAACACTCTGACTCTGCAGTTGTTATGACTTGTAGGCTACGGCTTATGGACCATGTCAAAATTGAAGAAGCTGTTCAATCAAGACAGCGAGAATTCAAGCAGATGCTGCGTCATCCTCTCCCTTTGAGCGAGGTTCAACAGGAACTCGGAATTGCTGGCACCGCCCTTTTCAACACGATCTTTAGCTCCAACGAAACAGGAGCGGTCTCTACTGAAACGCTCGAATCGAGTAATTACATGATCTCCATTCACGCAGAAGTCACAGAATTGGCGGGAAAGGTGTTCTTCACGTATCAAAAGAGCGCATTATCAGATGACAGCATTGCCAACATCATTGACTGTTTCGGCCAAACTATTGATTCTGCTATCAGTATTGGCAAAAATGGCACTGTTGGTGAGGTTCAATTTTTCAACAATGCTTCGTGCCAGAAGCTTCTCGAATGGAATTCCAGACTGTCCGAGCGACCCGACAAGTGTGCACACGAGATCATTGGCCAACAAGTTCTGGAACGCCCATCAGAACTGGCTATCTGCTCTTGGGATGGGGACTTCACCTACGCCAAGGTGGATGACTTGTCTACTAGGCTTGCAAGCCACCTCAGACGCCTGGGTGTCAAGCCTGAGGTATTCGTGGCAATGTGTTTTGAGAAGTCCGCCTGGGCTATTATAGCGCAACTGGCTGTCCACAAAGCAGGAGGAGCATTTGCGTCTATGGACCCTAGCCACCCGGAAAGCCGACTCAAAGGATTAGTTGATGACATCGGTGCTAAGATCATCCTGTGTTCCTCCAAGTACCTGGACAAAGCCTCCAAGATTTGTGGTACTCCATTTTCCGTTTGCGAAGAAAGCATTAAGCAACTTCCGGATCCGACCCCTCTTGACCCAGCCTTAAATCCGACTGTCGACAATGCAGCATATGTCATCTTCACATCTGGAACGACAGGAAAGCCGAAGGTGACGGTGCTTGAGCATGTTGGACTTGCGTTAGGCTGTACTGCGTTCGCCAAGCCGCTTAACTTCAGCTCAAACACTCGCATGCTCCAATTTTCAAGTTTTACCTTTGATATCAGCGTCCTCGAGACACTTGTTGTCCTCATGGTTGGTGGCTGCATCTGTATGCCATCTGATGAGGAGCGACTGAATGACCTGCCTGGAATGATTCGGAGAAGCCAAGCCAACACCACATGTTGTACTCCGTCTATCATCAACACTCTAGATCCCAAGAGTGTTCCTGGGCTGACCACCATTGCTTGCGGTGGAGAGAAAATGATGGAAAGCCATATTGAACGCTGGGCGGACAGGTGTGTTATCAATGCTTATGGACCCTCGGAAGCAACTATCGTCGTTACGTCAAGCATGAAGGTCAACCAAGAAGGAAAGCGTCTAGATGTCGACGGCAGTTCAATCGGCACTGCTATGGCGGGTAGAACGTGGATCGTTGACCCCAACAATCATCACCGTCTTCTTCCGGTCGGTGCCATCGGAGAGCTCGTCCTAGAAGGCTGCAACGTTGCCCGAGGATACCTCAACAATGAGCAAAAGACGAAACAAGTTTTTATCCGTGATCCTGAATGGACCAAGCATGATGGTTTGAAGAGTATCCTTGATAGAAGGGATCGCATGTATCTCTCTGGAGACCTTGTTTATTACAGCCCTGATGGCACGATCCAGTTCATCTCACGCAAGGACACTCAAATCAAGCTTAATGGCGTCCGCATTGAAGTGGAGGAAATCGAGCAACAGTGTATCTCGTATCTGTCTCCAGATACCCAGGTGGCTGTTGATGTCATTAATCCAAAGGAGAAAACGATGGCAAAGTGTCTGGGAGCCTTTTTCACCGTGGAGGAACAAGATTTCAATCCGAGCACGGCTTCCCAGCTCCTGATGCCTATGACCGAGACAATTACTGAGACTGTGAAAGCCCTCCAAGCCTCTTTGCGAGAATCTCTGCCATTGGCTATGATGCCGAAGCTTTTCTTTCCCCTGCGACGTTTACCCTTCTCTTCGACTGGCAAGCTCGATCGCAAAGGCCTTCGTGTGATTATTGATTCCCTGTCCAAGGAACAATTCCAAAGCTATACCAGCATCAATGGGACCGCCAAGCAGGTTTCCCAAGGTGGAGTTGCAGGGGAGCTTCAGGGTCTGTGGGAGAAGGCCCTTGGTCTTGCGCCGGGCTCTGTTGGCGCCGAAGACAGTTTTTTCGGACTTGGTGGTGACTCTTTCTCGGCCATGAAACTTGTTGGTGTTGCGCATTCTCATGGAATCTCACTCACCGTGGCCGACATTTATGCCAACCCAGTTTTGACCGACATGGCAAAGTGCTGTGGAATGTCAGAACAGGAGACAGTCGACACTAACGTGCAGCCTTTCAGTCTGCTATCTGATTCGGTTCCTCGTGAGGAGATTTTAGCGGATGTTTCTGAACAGTCTTCGGTCCCGCAAAAGATGGTATCCGATATTTACCCCTGCAGTCCGGTGCAGGAGGGTCTTCTTACATTGTCCATCAAGCAACAAGGAGCATACATTGCCCAGCCTGTCTTTGAACTCGCGGAAGGTCTTGATATCGAGCAGTTCAAGGCCGCCTGGCAAGAGACCGTGAATCAACTGGATATTCTTCGAACGCGTATTGTTCACACAGACTCTATGGGTTTTGTTCAAGCAGTGCTCAAGAAAGAAATGATCTCTTGGACCGTTGCAGACACAGTTGAAGAGGTCCTAGATGGCGCTTTTGGATTGTCGAATCATAACGGAGGCCAGCTGGCCAGTTATGCGATTGTCCAATCTCAGACATCCACGGCACGTTACTTTGTCTGGACCGTTCATCACGCACTTTATGATGGATGGAGCATCCCGCTGATTCTCCGAAAAGTAGAAGAGATCTACTCAAATGCGTCGAGCAAGACCACAACGCTCCCTTACAAGAATTTCATCAGCTACCTTGAGGATAAGGACATGTCCAAGTCGGATGAATTCTGGGAATACCAGCTTTCAAACCTCTCTTGCTCTCCATTCCCGCAAAACAAGTCAACCTCGCCAGATGCTGTGCGGGTGGGCAACCGACATCACAGCAGCATTGGAATCTCCCGACCTCAAAATACTTTGGGATTGACGCTTCCTGAGATCATTCGTGCTGCCTGGGCCATTGTGGTATCCGTTCACACTAGCTCCGAAGATGTCTGCTTTGGTGAGACTTTGATGGGCAGAAACATTAGCCTTGCAGGCGTTACCGATATCGCCGGACCTGTTCTTACTACAGTTCCGACGCGTGTCCAAGTCTATAATGATACTCTGGTCACCCAATACCTGCAGAAGGTCCGTGAATTGACCACCGTGACCATTCCCCATCAGCATTCGGGACTGCAGCGCATTCGGAAGCTCAGTAGTGATGCGTCAATCGCTTGCGATTTCCAAAATCTTCTAGTAATTCAATCAGAGGAAGGAGCTCTTGACAGCTCTATCTGGGCCTCTGGAAATGGGCAAACTAGTGGAGACTTTTTTACTCATCCACTTACTGTTGAGTGCAAGATCAAGGAATCTGGTCTGGGCATTACGCTTCATCATGACGAGGTTGTCCTAGACAGCTGGTTGGCTGAACGACTTATCCACCAATTTGGTTATGTTCTCGAGCAGTTGCTTACGGTTTCCAATGACGATACTCGCAAGGTTGGTGAGCTTGAGCTGCTCAGCGCTTTTGATAAGAAGGAAATTTCCCTGTGGAACCAAAGAGACGTTCCTGCCGTTGAAAGATGTGTCCACGACATCATCAAAGCGAACTGCTCGGCCCAACCGAAGGCCAAGGCCGTTCACGCTTGGGACGGCGAGCTTTCCTACAAGGAACTATATGATCTTGCGTCAACATTTGCGAACTATCTCAGTTCTCGTGGAGTTGGACCGGAGACGTTGGTACCTATCTGCATGGACAAATCTCTTTGGGTTATTGTTTCTATACTTGGTGTCCTCATTGCTGGTGGAGCTTATGTCCCATTGGACCCATCTCATCCGACGTCAAGGCACAGTGAAATTTTTGAAGAAGTTGACGCCCGTGTCATCCTTTGCTCTCCGCAATATCGCAAACGCTATGCAGGACTCGTCAAGACCATCATCCCTGTTAGCAAGGAGACCATAAGAGCCTATGGTGCTTTAACCACCGAGACCAGAACCTCCCGCAAGGCTCAGCCATCAAATATGGCAGTTTCAATTTTCACGTCTGGCAGTACAGGCCGACCCAAGGGAATCATTCTTGAGCATCGGGCTCTTGCCAGCAGCGGCCTGGCTTTTGGTCCTGTGGTGGACATGAACCAGAACTCCCGGTCCTTCCAGTTTGCGTCGCTTGCATTTGATGCGGCAATTCTGGAAACCCTCGTAACTTTGATGCATGGTGGTTGTATCTGCATCCCCAGCGAAGAGGAGCGGTTGAACGATGTTGTCGGCGCCATCCAGCGCATGGGCGTGACCTGGACTTTCTTGACTCCTTCTATCGCCAGCATTATTGAACCTTCAACTGTGCCATCCCTGGAGGTCCTTGTGTGCGGTGGAGAAAAATTATCACGCGAAGTGATTACCAAATGGGCTCACGGTGTCAGACTCATGAATGGATACGGTCCGACAGAGACCACCATTTTTGCCGTGATCAACCCAGAGGTCTCTCCCAGCACGGATGCCGCTTGCATTGGCAACGGTATTCCCTGCACTTTGACCTGGATTGTGGATCCTGAAAACCACGATCGACTCTCCCCCTTGGGTGCCATTGGTGAGTTAGCTTTGGAAGGCCCTGCTCTTGCAAGAGAATATCTCCGAAACCCCGAAAAGACAGCAGAGGCCTTCGTAACAGAACCAGCTTGGATGAAGAGCTCTGCCCACTCACTACCCTCACCTCGAAGAATCTACAAAACGGGCGATCTTGTCAAATACAACCCAGATGGCTCGATCGTGTGCATTGGTCGCAAAGACCATCAAGTCAAGCTTCACGGACAGCGCATGGAACTCGGAGAGATTGAGCATCGTCTGCATGAGGACCCTCGAGTTCGTCATGCTATCGTGATTATGCCCGCAAAGGGTCTCCTTCGGCAGAGACTGGTCACTATCATGTCCATGGAGTCACTCAATGTTGATAAGAGCATTATGTCGGATGAGACATGCGAGCTTGTCAACCAGACTACTATGGAGCGTGTCTTACCTGAGCTTGTTGACATCCAAAAGAACCTCGAGACGCAGCTACCCATATACATGGTTCCTCAGACTTGGGCCGTGATCAAGAAACTGCCAATGCTTGTTTCCGGAAAGCTAGACAGAAAGCGGATTACAAGCTGGATCGAGAATGTTGACGAGCGCACCTATAGTCGTATTATGCAAGATTACGACGACATCAAGCGAGGAGATGTTGAACCCGAAGAGGAGGAGGAAGAAGAAGAAGACCAGGGAGCTTTCATGAGCGCTCTCCGTGACATCTTCAGCCAGGTGCTCAACATTTCTTCTCCCAAGGTCGATCTCAACCGTTCCTTCGTCAGTCTAGGTGAGCAATACTCTTTACACATATGCCAACCTGCCAAGTGACACAAGCTAACACACTCTTGCAGGTGGAGATAGTATTACGGGAATGGCCGTCGTTTCCAAGGCTCGTAAGCAAGGAATTGAAGTGACATTGCACAGCGTGCTTCAGAGCAAGTCTATAACCGAGCTTGCTGCGATGTCTGGCGCGAAGACAACCACCATCCAACACAAGGAGAAGTCTGGTGAATTATTCGATCTGTCTCCTATTCAAAAGCTGTATTTCGATTCGGCCACTGCGTTCGATGGTAATGCCCGCTTCAACCAGAGCATGACGGTTCGCGTTACCCAAAGGATCAACCTTGAAAACCTGGAGCAAGCGATAAAGGCAATTATCCAACGCCATTCCATGTTCAGGGCCCGATTCATCAAGTTTCAGGGCGGAAAGTGGCAACAAAAGGTTAAAGATGTGAGTGAATTTTAGTTGACTCATGCAGCCAATCATTGACTAACCTACATCTACAGGATATTGACAGTTCTTACCGATTCCGCATTCATGCGGTCAATAATCCGAACGCAGTGTTCCCTATTATTAGAGAAAGCCAGCAGAGCCTAGACATTGAAAATGGCCCAATATTTGCTGCCAATCTGTTCGAGGTCCAAGACCATCAGCAGATCCTGTTCCTTGTGGCCAATCATCTGTGTGTTGACATGGTATCATGGCGCATTGTTCTGCAGGACATAGAAGAGTTCCTCGAATCTGGGTCTCTTTCTTCTGAAAAGCCCCTCTCATTCCAAAGCTGGTGTGAAGTGCAAATGAAGACCAGCAAGATTGAGACTCGCAACATTGAGCTTCCTTTCGAGATTGAGACGCCCAATCTCAGCTACTGGGGAATGGAGAATGCGCAAAACGTATACGGCAATGCCAAGATGGAATCTTTTACATTGAGTGAAGATGCCACTGCATTTGTGCTGGAACGTGCTCAGCACATCCTTCGCGCAGAGGCTATTGATGTTGTGCTTTCTACTGTTATCCATGCCTTCCGCCAAGTGTTTATGGACCGAGATATCCCGACGATTTACAATGAAGGCCATGGCCGTGATGTGGAGGACTCCAGTGTCGACCTTTCGAGGACGGTCGGTTGGTTCACAACTATCTGCCCCCTGCGCGTCAACAAGGGCTCAGGTAATTATTCAATCTTTTTTGACTTGAGGCATAGCTAACATCGAAATAGACATCATCGAGACCTTGAAATATGTCAAGGATACAAGACGCCAGGTTACCGCTGATGGCCAAGCTTATTTCGCGCAGAATATGCTTCACCAGACTGGCGCTACCAAGTTCCCTGTTCCGTTCGAGATAATCTTCAATTACCTCGGTCAGCTTCAGCAGCTCGAGCGCGATGACTCCCTGTTCCAGCTTTTCGGCAGCACATTCGACAGTGAGAAACTCGAAGTGGCGGGAGATATGGGTCAGAGAACGCCTCGGTTTGCCCTTTTGGAAATTTCAGCAATCATTGTCAAGGAAAAGCTTCATGTCTCTTTCACCTACAACCGACAAATGAAGCACGAAAGCCAGATTATGGAGTGGATGACGGAGTGCAAGAGAATTCTCGAAGAAGATTTCCTCTATTTCAAGGATCGCGTCCCCGAGCCCACCCTCACCGATTATCCCTTGCTCAATATGACATACGATGGACTGCGAAGCTTCGTGAAAGACACCATCCCGAGTGTCGGAATGAGGAGCTGGGGTGAGGTCGAAGACGTCTACCCCTGTTCTCCGGTTCAAGAAGGCATTCTGCTCAGTCAACTCCGTGACCCGCAGAAATACATGTTCCATGTAGTCTTCGAGGTTCATCCTTATGACCAGAGGAACAACGTCGACCCGGCCCAGCTTCGAAAGGCATGGATGAAGGTGGTCAATCGTCACCAGGTTCTGCGAACTTTGTTTGTTGACAGCAACTCCAAGGGTGGTTCTTTCGATCAACTGGTCATCAAATCGGTTGGAGACGAGATTGTCGAATTGCATTGTGAGGATGATGTTGCGTTCAAGACAATTGATAACATCAGACTGCGCGACATCAACGAAAAGAGATCTTCGAAACTACCACAGCAGCTAACAATCTGCCAAACAACCTCCGGCCGTGTCTTCATGAAGCTCGAGATGAACCATGCTATCATTGATGGTGGATCCGTTGCTATCGTCTTGAGAGATCTGGCATTGGCGTACAACAACATTCTTGCCTCGGGATCAGGACCACGTTTCAGCGAGTACATCAGGTACGCACGAAAGCAAGACCAAAAAGAAGCGTTGACGTACTGGATGAGATATCTGTCTGGAGTACAGCCTTGTCATCTTTCGGTTTCTGCCGAGAAAAGAGATGATCGTCAACTAGGCTCTCTGTTGATGGATTTCAACCGCTTCCCTGAACTACAGCAATTCTGCGAGAAGAACTCTATCACTCTCGCCAACCTGACCATGACTGCCTGGGCGATCGTCCTCCGGAAATTCACAAGATCTAATGACGTCTCGTTCGGATATCCATCTGCTGGCCGCGATTCACCGGTTCCTGGAATCCAGGATGCAGTTGGAATTTTCATCAACATGTTGTGCTGCCGAGTCAATTTTGCAGCCAACCATACCCTTCTTGACGTCTCGAAGATGGTCCAGGAAAATCATATCAAGAGCATCCCGCATCAGAACTGCTCTCTTGCGAAAATCCAGCATCAACTTGATCGTCAAGGTCAAGCGCTTTTCAACACGACTATTTCTATTCAGAATCACTCTGATTCCAAGGTTATCAAAAAGGATATGATCTCTTTTGACACTCAATATGCGTTCGATCCAACTGAGGTAAGAATTCCCGATCATTCAAACAATTACTGGACCCAAAACTGACTGTAATCTAGTACCCTGTGACAGTGAACGTTGAGACTGCCAGGGGTCACGAGGGTATCTTACTCAGATTCTGGACAGACGCTGTGTCCGAAAATGAAGCGAAGGACCTGGCCGATTCCATCGCTCAAGTGTTCACCTGTTTCGTTGAGGATCCATCCCGCCTGGTCTCTGAGCTGACTCTCGCCGGTGAGCCATTGCAAATTCATGATCAACCTCCGAAGGGTGCTGCTCTCTCGGACTTACGATTACTTGATCATGATTACCTCCAGAAATTGATTGATCAGCGGGTAAACGAGGCCATTAGCCAGATGATCAAGACAGGGAAGCTTGTTCTCGCGCAACCTGACGGTCAGGATAAGAACCAGTTCGACGAGTATCAGCTCAAGGGCTTGGAATCCCCTTTCCAAGCAGATGAGTCCCGCAATATGACTCTCTCAGACTCCGTGCCGACTCTAATGGGCGACAAGGAGACAAGCGAGCTTGAGGATCGTCTTCGCAAGCTCTGGAACACAGCCCTTGGGCGGTCCGAAACCGCCATCAAGCACCAGGACAGCTTTTTCAAGCTTGGTGGCGATAGTATAACAGCTATGAAGATGGTCGGAGTTGCCCGCGAGGAGGGATTGGTTTTGACTGTGGCCGATGTCTTCAACAACCCCGTCTTTGGAGACATGCTGGCAATTGTCAGCGCGAGAGACAGTCCGGCATCTTCAAGCTCTAGCACACCCCCTATGACGCCTGAAAACGAGAAGGCCATTGAGACTCCGTTCATTCTCTCTCGACCTGACACGCCAAACGAGCTCACGGTTCTGAGATCGTCAGAAGTTGATTCGTCTTCCCTTCGAGCAGGGATCAGCCCCAAGATTGGAGTCTTCCGAGGAGGTATCGCAGACGTTCTGCCGGTGACAGACTTCCAGGCTCTATCCTTGACTGCCAGTCTATTCAAATCAAGGTGGATGCTTAATTACTTCTTCCTTGATGGCCAAGGTCCACTGGATATCCGAAGACTCAGAGAAAGCTTCCTGCGTGTTGTCGATGCGTTCGATATACTCCGCACGGTCTTCGTGTGTTTCCATGGCCAGTTCTTCCAGGTCATCTTGCGCAAGGTCCGACCGGAAATATTTGTATGCGAAACCGACAAGAGCTTGGATGATTATACCGAATCCCTGCAGCAGCAGGACCGCGCCCAGATTCCGCGTCAAGGGGAGCAGTATGTGCAGTTCTACATTGTGAAGAAGAAGATAAGTGACCAGCACCGCATTTTGATTCGCATGCACCATGCCCAATTCGATGGTGTATGTCTTCCGAGAATCATGTCTGCCATCAAGATGGGTTACGAAGGTAGCCCGATCCCTCCCTGCCCATCCTACTCGAACTACATGCGGGTTCTTCCTGCGTCGATCACTCCAGAACATTATCAACATTGGAAGACCCTTCTCAAGGGATCGCAAATGACGGAGGTCATCCGACGTGAAGTTCCCAACAACTTCCAGCATATCGGCGGCTTCACTGAGCAGAAGAAAACGATTCACTTCCCACCAACAGTCCTTGAGAATGTCACCATCGCAACTGTCATGCAATCCGCATGGGCCATGACATTGGCCAAGCTCTCCGCCCATGCAGACGTCGTTTTCGGTCTTACCATCAGCGGCCGAAATGCCACCATCCCGGGCATTGAAGCCACGGTCGGACCTTGTCTCAACATGATCCCCGTCCGAGTCAAGTTTGGCGAGCACTGGACTGGCCTGGACCTTTTCCGCTACCTCCAGGACCAGCAGGTCGCCAACATGCCCTACGAGTCCCTGGGCTTCAGGGAAATCATCCGGCATTGCACCGACTGGTCTGACTCCACCTATTTCACGACCTCTGTCTTCCACCAGAACGTCGAATACGAGGGCCAGATGCAGCTGGACGACAACAACTACCGAATGGGCGGCGTCGGCGTCATTGACAACTTCACTGACCTTACTTGCTTCTCCAAAGGCTTCCCCAACGAGCAAAAGCTCGACATTGCCCTCGGGTACTCTGTCAAGGGTCCCATTCAAGCCCCCTTCGCCACTCAAGTCCTTGACATGGTCTGCGAGACAGTGCAAAGTCTCATCGCCAACCCTAACATTCCTCTTCCTTCCCCTTCCACTCTCCGCTCCCTCTCCTGCCAAGTCGTCAAAGATCTGCCTCGTCCCTCCGACGAACTCTTCCTTTCCTCCCACCTCAACACCCGCAGCATCTCCGAGATCCTCGTGCATTCAGACCTCCTCACTCAGACATGGCAACAGGTCCTCTCTTCCAACAGCAACAACGTGCCTCGAACCGGACGTGCAGAGAGAGACCAGAACCCCTACCAGCTCAACTCCTCCTTCTTCGACCTCGGCGGCGACATCCTCAGCATGGCGCAGGTCGTCTGGCTGCTCGAGCAAGAGGGTCACCAGGTCCGACTGGAGGATCTCCTCGAGCATCCGACTTTCCTCGGCCAATTGGCTGTTCTGGCTCTTCACAAGGCCAACGCAGCCGGACAAGATCAAGATGCTCCGAGGAATGACAGCAACAACAGTACCACCGCTTCGTCGACTGAGCTTATCACGTCTTCGCCTCCTCCTGGCACAGTCTCTGAAACCGACTCCTCTAAGGCGTTGGCGAAGAAGGGGTCTTGGAATCCTCTCGTCAGGGCTTTCACTTTGGCTCGGAGATTCACGAGATGGGGTTCGGGGTCTGCGTCGTCGAGGAATTAAGATTACGTTGATTGCGCTACGCTCGCTCTCATCCGCCCGTTTTGGGATTTTATTATTGTCTATCTTTTGATTTTGAATTTTCTGTTTGGATTTGGCTTCTGATAATTGATTTATTTGCATACATACAGACATGCTTATTGATTGGTTTTCTTTTTTGTTCTGTTCTGTTTTGTCTGGATTTGCCCTGATATAACAGCGCCCTGTCTTGATTTCCTATGTGCATATAATATCTGCGATCGCGCATACTTGTCTGTCATTTTGCTATACTTTATTTTGTCCGTTACTAGATTTGAGCTGTTTCTGTATATATTCGATAGATAGAGCTCTATCTATTCTATCCAAATTTGTCTTCAAAGGTTGTTCGATAATCAGATACTAGAATCTAATCTCTGATCTATCACTTGAAAGTTTAATCGTAGATATCTGGGGAATAACTTGTGCTGTATATGCTCTCAAAGATCTCGAGAGCCATTTATTCGTGCATTGTTTTCATCGTCTTAAGTTAACTTTGCTTATAAACAAAAAGGAAATCAAAATAGAATTATCGCTGACGGTGGTATCTCAAACAGAAATGGTTAGTCTCTCATTCTCTCTCTCGCTCACATTCAACTTTCTTCCATGAGCATTATGTGCATGATAGAACGATCTTTCCTTACTGTATCCCCTCTGTCCCTGGGATCCATTCAGGGGACAAATAGTCGAAGACGGAAGACCCCTAGTCAACCTCGCCGGCTGCACTTACCCAACACCCAACGAATTATATAAGGGGGGAAAAGCGAATCAATAGCCATAAACCGACGCCATTGACCACTTTCCCCGCGCGCGAATCCTCTTCCCAAAAATATAAAACAAATACGGGATCGGGATCAACGCGACGGCCACAAAGCCCAGGACACTGGATGCCCAGTTAACGCCCATCTCCCGGAACATGATGTGCGCGAAGAGCGGGAAACAGCCGGCGAAGAGGCTGCGCAGGAAGGTGTTCGCGGCGACGGCGCTGGCGGCGACTTTCTGGAATGTGTCGATGAGGTAGTTGAGCGCTGCTTGGAAGATGGTGAAGAAGCCGAAGCCCATCAGGACGGCGCCGATGAGGGGTCCGATCCAGTGGATCTTGGGGTCGCCGGTCCAGCCGAAGATGAAGAGGCCTGCGGCGAAGAGGATGGATCCGATCATCATGGGGGGCAGGCGGGCTTCGGGGACTGGGAAGTTGTTGTTGGCGCGGAAGCGTTTGATGTAGAACTTTTGGTTGAGGAGGTTCACGGCTGCGGCGAAGAGGATGCCGACGAGGTAGGCGAGGAAGGGGAGTGCGCCGACGACTTGGTTCCAGCCGCGCACTTCTTGGAATTCGACCGGGAAGGCGGCGAGACTGAGGTAGATGATGCCGTAGACGAAGGAGGCGTATAGCGCGACGAGGAAGCAGATGGGTGTGGTGAGGAGGGCGAAGGGCCGGATGAGGTACTTGTTGCCGAGCTCTTTGAAGGTCACGTCCCATTCTTCGTGGCGCGCGTGGAGCGCCCAGTTGCCCGTGTCAAACCGGAGGCGTTGGGCTTTGTAGACGAGGAGGACTGGTGGATAGCTCTCGTCAAGGAAGAGGACGTCCATGGCGAGGAAGAAGACCATCATGATGCCGGTTAACTAGGGGAATTGCGTTAATCGGGATGTTCTGGTAGAGGGCTCGTTTCTAATAAAAGGGGCTGGTCTCACATATTCCGTCCATCTCCATCCAAGATAGCTTTGGCAAATGGCACCGCCAGCAATGGGGCCAAGCACAGGACCTCCGACAACGGCCATGGCATATCCTACGATAGCCGCGCCTCTTTGTTCGGCTGTCCAGATATCACTCAAGACGCCACCGGTGTTGGTGACCGGGGCGGAGCCAAAAAATCCGGCGAAGAATCGAGTGAGCATCACAGTTTGCAAGTCTTTTGCCGCAGCGGTACCAAAGGAGAAACAGGCAGCGATAAAATATGGTAACAAGACAGCTGGCTTACGCCCGTAAACTTCGGATAGCGGAGCCCAAACGAGAGGACCCAGACCTGGGAAAGCGTTAATAGGTACGAAAGAACCATATAGTAGGGAGCCACCACCGCTCGGGACCAGCAGGACATACCGAAGCCAAAAAGTAGCAAGGAAGTACCGAGCGTCCCAACTTCTTCGCCGACCCCAAATTCCGAGTCGACTTGTTTCGTACCAGTCGAGTAACTAAACCCAAGTCAGTCTATCATAACCACAAAAACCGCAGGATATAACATACATAGAACTCGCCCAGGTAGCACCCATCGTCGTCAGACCATATAGCACGGTGGTTATACACTTCTTTCCAAACCCCCAATTGATGGGCTTATATGGGTCATCCGGACCGTCAAAGTCCACGATGACATCACTCGAGGTTTTAGTATGCGAAAGCGGATGGGTGAAGCGCGCATCTTGGCCGGGCTCTCGACTCCGAATTCTCGAGATCACCGAGTGCGCGCGATGCTCAAACGTCGACAGACCTGAGGCGGCAGTTGTCTGCTTGTCCAACGTTCCATTTTGATGTGGATCGTCGCGCGTGACCTGTTGCTCCAAGGAATCAATTCCGGAGGATGAAGTTTGCGACGATCGATCTGTTTCAGCTCGTGCCATGACGATAAAGTATGAATCGCCACGCTTGAGAAGGGAATTTTACAAAGTAGGCGAGATCAAAAACGCCAGTTGACAGTTGTCGGAGTAATGAAATAATATACTATCAAATCCAATAGAAGGGTTCCGAGATTTGACAGCAAAGACCAATGTTGATCGAGGCGATCTTAAAAAAAAGCACAGCAACAATGAAAAGATAACAATAGTTAGGTATGGCCCGACGTCATCACAATTGAGAGAGAACAAGTCTGGGCATTCCCGAAAAACGATTGACAGGAACCATAGCTTATAAGGCAGGATTGCTTCTTGAACTAAAGAGAGCAGGGAAAAAAAAAAAAATACTTACTTGACCCCAGGGCCGATCCATGGCGGACAGGCAAGCCGACTTAGCCGGACCAGGTCCGTTATAGGCGCTGAGAGGCCATCGGACGTCCGATAACTAGTCCGAAAGGATGGCATTCCGTCGCGTGTGGACTGTGGAGACAACCTGCAAGCGGTGGAGGTTGGGCTCGTTACTAGTTAGTCGTCAGTCTAGACTAAAAGACCACTAGAAAGACAGATTGATTAAGAACCAACTCATCGGATCTCAGGGTCTGCCATTCCTGTCCCTCCGTACTCTTCTCTCTTGTTCATCTGCAGATTGGACAATCCAGCTTTTCCTGAGTCATGACTGTTGCAGCCAAGACGCGGGAGGCAGCCGTTGCAGTCGGACAAAACCCGTTCGGAATATTTTCCGAGGCCCAAAGCCCCCAGGAGTGGCCCCTCGGGGACTGAACGATCGCCACTACTGGCCTGTCGGAGATAATTACTGGAACTCGTACCCCGGTGGGTTCTTTGGGGGTGGGGATGGGTCGAGGGCAAGCTTTTTGTTTCAATCGGCTTGAGGTGGATATAAATGGGGATAAGGTATCTAATATCCGGCAGATGAAGTCATGGTCAATAATCATTGAGGGTTGAGGGTTGAGGGTTGAGGGTTGATGGTTGATGGTTGATGGTTGATGGTTGATGGTTGATGGTTGATGGTTGATGCCGAAGAGAGAAATCGGAACCTCCGCAACGCTGAAAAACATCACGGGGTTTCCTGAGTCACGTTGACACTTCTTGTAGTTACTATGGTGCAAGGAGAAAGCAATGCAATCGCAGATAATTCCAGTAAAATAACATAAATGATAAATCACAGATCCAGCCTTTTATGTACCCTCCATTCCCATTCCTTCTATTCGCCCGGTTTCTCATCAAGGTGTCAAGTCTTTGACATGCCATGTATGTGTGCAATCAATCAAGTCTACATGTTTCATTATACATCGTCAATTCGTCAGCTGGTGCTGGAAGAATGCATATTCTCCCACTTGAGCACCGCCTCCATCGCAGCCGTCACCTTCAGCCCAATTCGGGCATCCAGTTCGTAGCTTTCCCATCGAGACGCCTTCTCGAGATACTCCTTGCACTCGCGCACCTTCTGCTTCTCCAGCGGGGTCGCCGAAGTCGCCTCGCCCTTGGTCTCAGCGGGAGGACTTCCCGAGCCGTCGCCGTGGACGACAACGTAGTTCGGTCGCTCCATCCACAGGTTGGCGGCCATCTCAAAGTGCGCGGCAGGATGCACCCAGTTGTCCTTGAGGTGGCCCGTGAACAGGGTCTTGTCGTGGCTCAGCACCGAGTCCTGGATCAGCTTCCGGGCCTGGTCATGTTTGCGCATCGAACGCCAGACGGCGGCTCGCAGCAGTTGTAAAATGGCCTTCTCTTCGGGGCCTTCGCGCGACCAATTCTTCTTGTTGGCGTCGCTTTCCGACCAGGCCAGGTTCTGGAGCGATTCCTCGAGTTGCTCGGTCGTCATGCGACTGTGTCCGTTCCAGAAGAAGATCATCTCCTCGATGGGATCGACCCCCACGGCGTCGACTAGCGGCACCTTCCAATCCTTGGCGCGAGCCTCCCATTTGGCGATCTTTCGTGTAACGAAGACGTCGAACGGCAATTGGCGCGCCATGAACCGCTTCTTCCCTGCCAGCGGAGGTGCCATTCGGTAGTACTCGGTCGCCTTCTCCGCGTGCTTGGCCGCCAGCTCGGCATCTCCGCTGCTGCTCCGGTATAAAGAGAGATGCGACGACCCCGCAATATAATAGTACAAGGATCGAGACCAGGAGTTGAGATCGACGCACTAGTTCATTGCTTAGCATATCTTCCCTTCTGGCTAAGTCATGGATGGAGGATTACATACCTCGAGGAATGACTTGGCACAAAGCTCGTACCGGTGAAGGTACATCGCATTCAGGCTCCGTTCGAACACGCGCAACGCTTCCACCTGCTGCAGCGGACTCTTCTCCTCGCCACAGAGCAGCTCCAACGCCCGCTCGAGATTCTTGTTGGCGCCTTCCATCCGCGATTCCTCAAGGAGCCAAAGTTGGCTCTTGGGGAATCGCTGTCGCATCTTTGCGAGGAGCGACTCGAGCCTCTCCTGAGGATATCCCTGAACGTCGGCGTCGTCGCCCGGAACTGGATCAGGCATAATGTCGCAGTAACGCACGAAACCGTTGTAGTACCCGAGAATTGCAAACGCAGCGATGGCGCCAATCAAATTGTGAAACTTACTGGCCTGCCATAGCATCCTCAGACCTCGCTCCTTGTCGCCATGGAACCCAATGATTCCGAGGAGCTTGCTAAATGCCGGCGGAACCATCGAGATCAGTAACAGGAGAATACCGAAGCAAAAGTTAGCGCCGGAGTGCACGAAGACGTCGATCTCATTTTTGAAGATGTCGGAATCCGGGTCGTGGCTTAGCATGTCGGCCGGACTCTTGGTCGAAGACGCGTCCGTAGTCGAGTCCTCTTCGCTGGACACGTTTATATCGGACAATTTCTGCGAGAGTCCCGCAGCCTCGACGGAGGAGTTCGCATCGGGGTTTGCAGATGCGTCCAGACCCGAGGCGCGGCTGGAAGACTGCAGGAGTTCGGTGGGAGTCGTCCCGCCCGATCGGTTCAACTGCATGAATTTTTGCTCCATCTTCAAGATCCCGTCCAGGGTTATATACGCCTTGCGGAGCTTGTAGAAACCTTTGATACTCTCCGTGAGACTTTCGTTGAGAACACCCACCACGGCACTCATCAGTTGCGCCATGGCCTGGCAGAGCGCAAACTCGGTGCCGGGCGCATAGATCTGCGAGTGGTACGAGTTCGGCGCATGCGAGTTGTGCTGCGCTTTTTGCTGATCATTGTAGGCACTATTCTCGGCTGCATTGAGTCGTTCCGACGCTACGAGGGGGCAAGCAGATCAGTCATCGACCACGAGGGAGAGAAGCCCACACAACGTGAGAAAGGATCCGCGAACCTTGGCGCATCACCTCCTGCTCGAAACCTAACGTCGCCCGGATAAATGCGACCACGCCTCTGCCCAGCTAGAAGATCGGACATCCACCACGGTCAGTTTCCCAAGCCACCAATGAGCGCGCGAGTCAAATACACACATTGTGAAAGGACGAAACTCCCTCCGAGAGACCATCTTCAGCCCCGTCAACATCGTCATTCAGGATAAGCGTCGCGGCTGTGCTCGGGATCGGTTAGAACGTGACGTCTTGGCTCCCAAAGCGAAGGGCACGCGAGCTTCCAGCTTACCCTTCATCGCATCCTCGACTGCGCCCCCACCCACGATGTCAGTTAGAACGTCCCAGCTTAATGGAGTAACCATCCGGAATACTCACGATCTCGCAACTCAGTCAGCGAGTCCAGCGACTGTGTGTTGGCGACTGGCTTTTTGCCATAGAGCCAGGAGCCTACTCGAAGCATATTGCACTCGGAACCACCGGATGACCGTGACTACAGAGTGAATAGCAACAGGGGAAAAAAAGAGAATAGAGAAAGGAAACGACAGTAAATAGAAAGAGAGAATCGATGTGTATATTGAATCGATCGAATCGACCGAAGTTCCTTGGTTTAGAGCAGGAGCCGCAGGGGTCCGAACCCCGAGAGAAATCGGAATGCGAGAAAGGCAGCGTTTCCCATCCAGTGGCGACCTTCCGAGGACGGGGCACCAAGGGAAAGACACAGGAACGAGAGAGTGAGAGAAAGAGGGAGGGGGAGGAATGTGCAGAGAACAGGAATAAATACGAATAAAGGGAACGTCCAGAGAGTATCCGTGGTCCACCGAGTCGGCGAGGCGGAGCATAACCGCACCGGGCGTGAGATATGCAGTCTTAGGCCTTAGGCAGTTGGAGGGCAATACATCATCGTGGCTCCGGTAGGGCAGAAGCGCCGCATCTCGCCCCTTTCAGCTTGTTCCTGAAACACACGAATCACTCTGTTTCTGGGACAGTCTATCCAGTATGTAGTTAGAAGATAGAAGATAAACCTAAGTCAGATATATCTACAAATCCCCTCTGACCATCCCGCCGCAAACGCCTCAGGCCGGCAACTGCCTTTGTCCGCGGGCGGTGAAGCCAACATCGTCGCCACTTCTCCAGCTCAGCTCAACCGGCAGTTCTCGTCATCAATCGCTGCTTACTGAGTATATACTTCGCTCAGCTACTCTTGCGCTCCTTCTAGCTTACTCCTACCGACCTCCTCAACAACTCCCTCACCTAACCACCCACACACTTCCCGCCCACCATGTCGAATACAGCGCAGCCCCAAGATAAGGCCGAGCCCTCGCAGCAGCCGCAGCAACAGAAGCCCGCCGTGCTCGAGGAAGACGACGAGTTTGAGGATTTCCCCGTTGAAGGTGAGTCAGGCAGATAGATGAACCCGCGACGTCATCCATCACTATCCTCTCGATGCTCCCAGCTCTCCTACCTACCCGTCGAGATCACTGGAACGCTCCCAAACAGCTATCAGGATCGATTGCGCTGACCCATCTACTCTCCATCACGTCTAGACTGGCCTCAAGAAGAAACCGAGCAAGCGGCCAACGGGGCCAATTCCCATCTGTGGGAGGAAAGCTGGGATGACGACGATGCGGCCGAGGACTTTTCGAAGCAGTTGCAGTACGTTCTTTATCCTTTGTCTTCCCTGGTCTATCGATCGATCTTTGTTTCCATCTGGTCTTGGCTGGAATACATACCCCGCCTATCATCTTTCTTCATAAGCATGAGCTTGAACTCGATCTGTCGACCTTGCTAGATGCTCATCCCCCTCCTTTCTCACTCTTCCCTAGCCCATTCAACCGAAAGACACAACAATATACTAACAACCTTACTCCGCCCAAACAGAGAAGAATTAAAGAAAGTCGAAGCATCTCGTTAAGATACCCGATTGACCGTGTGGGGGCTTCTCATGTCGGAACAAAACACAAAAGACCTTGCCTAGTATAGTCCTAGTCTAGGTAGATTCTATCTTCTCGATGAAAGCGCCCATCGATCGATCAGCAAATTCAATTATATGATGAACCAATTCAATACGACGAATATCCAATATCAAATACCGAAGCAACGGGGGTTGTCTACACCATAGATCCTGAAACAATTGGGGATGGAAGAGAGATAAAAGGGAAAGCCTTGGTTGGGTCGATCTGTATGTCTCCCGAAGAGATGGCGGCAGCTAGTTACATAGTTATCATTGCTGGCTAGCTGGTGTAGCTGTTTCTTTCTGTGAGCTAGATGGAGGAGGATGAGGCAGCTACATAGCTACTAGATGCTGCGGTGTGCTCTTTCTCTTGACCTGAATGTGATATTTCCTTGACGATAGATAATCTCTACCTACCTTACTCTTCATTTACCGCCCTCGTTATCTAATGTCACGTATGGCTGGATGTGTGGTTGAAGATGGAGCTTTTCATAGTTGTTTCCTCTCTGCTATACTTCCTACACTATCTTTCATAAGTAGACATATTTACAGTTATACATTGAATACCTACTCTCAACTTCCCCACTCGTCATGGCCACGATAGGTTATTTCGCGGCTATCTCATAGTTTAGGACCCGTAGCTGTGTTCGCTCAATCATTAGAAACGAGATCATGGAAATAGAACAGAATATATATTTCAATTTTTTTTTATTAAATTCAATGTCGTACATTACATTCGTCTCAAGGGGTTGCAAATGAATAACAGGTTCCGCCATAAAAAAGCATCATGGAAGGCTTTACACATGCCAATTACATCCAAGCCTTTTCATTGGACAATTTGATCCTGTTTCCCAACGGAATATTTGCTAGGTTGTTTTGTTTACTTACTCGACAGGGCAGCAACACCGGGCAGCTCCTTGCCCTCCAACAGCTCCAGAGAGGCACCACCGCCGGTCGAGACGTGGCTGAGCTTCTCCTCGGCGCCGAACTTGGCGGCGACGGTGGCGGTGTCACCACCGCCGATGATGACGATGCTGCCGGACTGGGCGGCCTGGACGGCGGCGTCGAGGGTCTTCTTGGTGGCGTTGGCGAAGGGCTCCATCTCGAAGACACCGGGGGGTCCGTTCCACAGGATGGTCTTGGACTCGGCGATGGTCTGCTGGTACAGCTTGACACTCTCCTCGCCGACGTCCAGACCCATGTAGCCGTCGGGAATGCCCTCGGCATCAGTGGCCTTGCCGGTCTTGGCGTCAGCCGCGAACTTGTCGGCAGTGATGTAGTCAACGGGCAGGACGATCTTGACGTTGTTCTTCTTGGCCTTCTCGACGATCTCGCCGACGATCTTGCTGCCGGCCTCGTCGAACAGACTGTTGCCGATCTTGACGTTCTCCAGGGTCTTCTTGAAGGTGAAGGCCATTCCACCAGTGATGATCAGGCTGTTGACCTTGGACAGGAGGTTGTCGATGAGCTGGATCTTGTCAGAGACCTTGGCGCCGCCGAGGATGGCCAGGAAGGGGCGCTTGGGCTCCTCCAGGGCCTGAGCGAAGTAGTCAAGCTCCTTCTTCACCAGGAAGCCGGAAGCCTTCTGGGGCAGGTCAACGCCAACCATGGAGCTGTGAGCACGGTGAGCAGTTCCGAAAGCATCATCTGTAGAGGACATAATTCGTTAGAAAATGGATCTCATGGATGCACCTCTGGCGAGTGTGCAAGGCCATTGGTAGGAAGGGGAAGGAAGCTTACTGATGTAGATATCGCCCAGGGCAGTCAGTCCCTTGCGGAACTCGGCGACCTGGTCCTTGTCGGCCTTGACCTTCTTGCCCTCCTCATCCTTGTAGCTGCCCTCCTCTTCGGCGTGGAAACGCAGGTTCTCGAGGAGGACGATCTGGCCACCGGTGGCCTTGTTGACGGTCTCCTCGACCTCCTTGCCAACGCAGTCTTCCGTGAAGATAACGCTCTTGCCGAGCAGCTTCTCGAGCTCGGCAACGACGGGCTTCAGGCTGTACTTGGGGTTCTTCTTGCCATCAGGACGGCCGAGGTGGGACATGAGGACAACAGCCTTGGCGCCATTCTCGACGGCGTACTTGATGGTGGGCAGAGCACCGACGATACGCTGGTTGTTGGTGATGTTCTTGTTGGCATCGAGAGGGACGTTGAAGTCGACCTGTTTGATTCGTCAGCGTTAGCACAAAGCGCTCCTTCGTACGGGAACAGTCCCCTGAACTGAGGAAAACTTGGATAAGAACATACCCGGATCAGGACACGCTTGTCCTTGAGGTCGACGTCACTGATAGCGAGCTTGTTGGAGAGAGACATTGCGAGGGTAAAGATCAATCAATCAATCAATCAAACTATGTCAGGAGTCAAATCAGCGGGAGAAGGAGGGGAAACAAGTCAAAGGACAGGACTGGAGGGGAAAGAAAAAGGCGGTACCGCTAACTACTAACATCCTTCTTATTACGTTCACGGTGAGTTCTGGCGGGGTTGTCGCACTGGTGGGGCTTCCGGTGAGAGATTCGCTGACGCATCGGGCTGTTGCGGGTGTGATGTCAGTCCGCCGTGAATCGACGACGGAAGCAGCCGGGCCGCCGACAACACGATAACTCATGCTACTTAATAGCCTCGGGTCTGTCCAACCGTGTCGGGTTGTTGGTCTTTTTCTTGTTTCTCGTGCTTTCGCTGCTCTTGGCCTCGTCCGAGGATTGCCTGAGGAATGGATACCTTACGAGCTGTGTGGCCTGAGGACTTCCGGACTTAGGGGTTCTATCCCCTGCACGTTCTGTACTTAACCGTCGTGCATATGGATACTCTTGTTTTGCTTTCTGTCTGTCCTGTGTAGCGAAAGTTTGAAGAGAACGCCTGTTGAAACATGGTCGACACCGGTAATTAAACCTATACACCGTCCATAAGAGCCCGATCAGAACACCCCTCCGTGCCAACGTCCAACGCCGGGTAAGTAGAGAAACATGAAGAACGCAAAAAAAATACCGGCGAGCGAGAACTACCAAAGAGAAGAATCAAGCGCAGAAAGGTGTGAATGCATCTTGAATTACTCCTCCTCAGAAGAGTTGGTCAAGGAGAGGTATGCAGTCCAGGCAATACCGACGGTGGATACAAAAGGCTACAAAGAAAATACAAAGTCAGCCCATGTCCTTGTAGCGCGCTCGGAAGCGCAACGATTCATACTTACAATCTGGAACTGGATGGGCACAACGCGGAAGTTGAGGATCTGCACCGCAGGCCAGAGAACGAAGTTGGCCTTGAGAGTCGGCAGGAAGACGTCTCGGAACTTGCGGCCCAGCGCTCTTCTTCCACCACCCTCGGCGACCGTCATAAAAGTGAAAAAGCATGTCAGACCTACACATCGACGGTTAACAACAGGGCCTCTCTCGGTGCAAGGACGGGGCACTCCGTACCAAAAGGGGCGAAGATGAACTGATCAACGGCAACCCGCTTCAAGGCCGGAAGAGTAGGGCTCGCCTTGGTGAGCGGGAATGCTCTCGACAAGAAACCATACCATTGGAATTGGATCGGCGCCATGAAGAAACCGTAGGACATGAAACGAGTTAAGCGCTCGAAATCGAAAGGCTGTGGCGAATTCCGTGAGAGACTGAGCTCTCCAAGCGCCGGTGGCTTTTCTTTATCCAAATCATGAATTTCAATGGAGATGAAGTCGCTGCCATCGGTCCGGCCACTAGTGGGGCGAGATCTAAAGGCCGTGATAAGTTGTGCAGTAGTGTCCGCGATGCCACCGAGGATCTAAAGTCATCACAATTTAATTAATCTCTGTCATCGTCGAAACGGCAATGTGGGGTGCGCATTGCTCTTACCGCGTTGGTCACCATAGTAGTCAATACTGTAGATGATATCTATGTTAGCGGTCGCTTATATCCCTTGATGGGGGCGAGCAGAGGCTTACCCGGCTTTTCCGCATAGTAGGAGTTGAATTTGGCAGCCAGCCGCATAGCCGCCGCCATTTCGATTATGAAGATGATTGTATGAAGGAGAGGCTATATGAATGGAAACAATCAGCGAGACGTTGTCAATTAATTCAGTGGCGAGGAAACGAGGTTGGTGTTGAGACAAGAAGGGAGTGTGCGACGTGCAAGGCAGAAAGGATGAGCGCATCATTGAAATGACATACCAAGCGACCGTAAATGTACCTCCTATTAAGTCCATCCAGTATTCTGCGGCGCGCCACGGTGAACATCGTGAAGTTAGGTGAGACACAAGTCTCTTAAGAATTATATGAAAGGAAAGGTGTCGATGACAAAAAAAGATGGCAAAGCAGGGTTCCCGGCCGGCGGTATTGAGCAAAGTATGACGCAAAAGAGAGTATGGAAAAAGGAGGGCGAAATGACAAAAGGAAATCCACAGGACGGGCGGTAAGAATGATCGATAGTAGAGTTTAACTGTAGAAGGAAGAAGTCAGTGGGTAAGATCTCCACAATAACGGCAGGGAACAGAATGGATCTACCTTGGAGAACCGGATGCTCCGTATAGTTGATAATTGATATGGGGGGATGGAGAGGAGGGGAACTTTTGATGGGAGAATCCAGGCTGTCCAGACGGGAAGAAATGAGTTATCGCCGATCACGCCCGATCAGCTGCCCGCTTCGTCCGCCCGCCTGGTTCGGCGCGGGTAAACCCCACGGCCGCGCGTTTGTGGCTGTCAAGTCATACTCATACACTTACAAAGTATCCACAACAACCGAACTACACCGTGTACTGTTCCTTTTGCAGTCCCTGAAAGTTAAGTTACTCATAAGTACAATTACCTAAGCTTATATATTCTCATTGCCTCTGTATTCGAGTACGTTACATGCTCATTCCATCCGTCAGTTCTTTAACGTGATAATGTCATCAGCCTTTCGCCCAATGACAGACACCCTCATCCGTAGGCAGTACTTATGCAGTAGATGGTTTCACCTTTCTATCCAGGGAGAATGCTTGTATATCGGGCAGGTCCCGAATGTCTGTCGTTTCGTTTGTGTTGACTTCCACAAGGCGCACAGATTCCATGCGGAGCGAGCCAACCGCCAACGGGAGTAGTTTCAGCTCTGTAGCGAAACAAGTTCCGGGAAGGAGAGGTCTACGGCAATCAGCACTATTGTCTTCGCATAGGATGTGCAGTGTAACTTACCCAACTCGAACATCGGTGCTCAAGCACACGAGTTCAACCTCCTGTCCAGCCACGTTCTTCTGCATTGCATGTACGATATTATCGTCGGTCACAGCCTCGGCTACCTGGTCTTCCTTGCGACTGGAGAGTGACGAAGATGATGGTCGCGCGGTATGTCCCCGAGGGTCAGCACGCTTTCTCCGAGGGATCCCCACCATGGCAAACTTCCGGGGATGCGTTGATCGATTCACAATGAAGACATTCCAAGAGAAAGGTTTACCAACTTCCACGTTAGACGGCCCCGAGAATGAGACTGTCACTCCTAGACCTGTGGTGGAGTATGCCCTATCTCTGAGCGAACTCCTGTTCGCCGGTCCATTTAAAGAGTTGGATTGATTTGGTGTCATAGGAAGGCTCGCAGGTCGGTTGTTCCGTTGCAACGCTTGACTCGGGCCTCCGAATGTCGGGTTAAGAGCCATGGAGAAGTCGACATTTGTCCGCCATTGCATCAATATCCGGGGGTTACAGTCCTCTGACAGTTTCACCGTTGCCTCCAAGGAAATATCCAAAACGCTAATCATAACGGTGGTTGAAGGATTTGGGTCCGGCCCATATTCCGGAGTCAGTTTGTATATCAGAGTGATGTCGTCGCGTGGACGGCATGTTACCGGCGGAAGAAGCCCTGGTGTATCTGAAAGTGTTTCTATCGTTCCGTCTGAGATGCGAAGGTCCGCTTTCTCGAACACGACGTCACAGTTCAGGAAGGGAGTTACTTCGAAATCAAGGCTGGCAATGGTAGTGGGCCGCCCACAGAACGAATTGAGCCGGGAGTATCGTATCCGCGCACTAGCTGCAGGAACCACCCGAATAGGATGGCCTGATTCTTGTTCCACGTTGTATATGGGGTCTTCGCTATATTTCGCAGGTACAACTCGCAGCAGCCTGGAGGCTGGAAGGAAGGGGTCCTTCTGGGGAAATGCTTTATCGCTAGCCAATGGTTGAAGGATATTCGTCGACGCAGGAACTAAGGATGGCAAATAGTCGTCCTCGCGGGACTCCCCCTGTCGAGCTTCCGATGGGTTGAGGCTTGCCGATGCAATGAAGAGAAATGACGGGTGTTGGATGCGAATACGAGGGCGCTCTGCGAATGTCAGTAAGAAACATAGCAAATCAAGTAATCGGGAGTTTTACTCAGAAAGGTCTCGACGCTCCAGATCACGTATACATGGTTGCCAGAACCCGACTCCCCCTCGAATTCGTTTACTACAACCAGCGGTTCCTCCTCTGGGCTGACAACCCCTGAAAAGATCAGGTCTCTGGTGGGAGTAGGGTTTTCACCAACTGTCTCCGCGGGATCGATGGCAAATGCGTCAAGTTTGACTTCGAGGTTTTGAAGGTAGTGTTTTAGGCTCGCTTGCGAACAATTGGACAGCCGCAGGACAACGCGAACCGTGCAGAACTCATCTGTAGCACACTATACATGAGTAAGAGATAGAGCTCGTGATGGACGCAAAGCTTTCGCCTACCGAAAAATAGAAGCGATCGTTGGGGGATCAAGGAGAGCACAGAAGACAGATCGTCAGCTCCCCCCTCTAACGCGGAGGTCAACGCCGCCTCCAGATCTGTTCCTGGGGCATGCGGGACAAATGTGTCTAGAACAGCATGCCTTAGGAATTCCCCCGGCACATCGAAGCTAGGCATGTCGGAGACAACAATCGCATACTTCCCCGCCAGTATTTGGCAGGAATAAAGCACTCAAAAAATGAGTAAATCAGTCCAAAGGATATTGAGTAGTAGCAGTAAGACCATCATGAAGGGGGAGGACAGCCGGAGATGCTGCGGTGTTCGGGGAAGGTGCAAACGTGACAAACATATGCCTAGCGCGAGCGCAAAGCTTCCTCCGGGCGCGACATTTTCCCATCGGAGCTGCAGCCCAAGCCCATCGTCAAGGCATCAACACTCGAGGGTGCAACGACACTCGCACAATGAATCCGATGAATGGCCCTCCCGCGACGCCCTCCTTGTGGCAGGAGGCTCGCAATGCGGACGGAAGACCGTACTACTACAATGTTCAAACCAAGGCCACGCAATGGCAAAAGCCCTTGGAGATGATGACACCCGTCGAGGTTTGTAGCGTCACTTCTCCTTTTCTCTTTCTTGTGTTCTTCGGTCGCTGATGTTTACATTCTGTAGCGAGCTCTGTCGAATCAACCATGGAAAGAATATACCGCTGAAGGTGGACGGAAATACTGGTACAATACGGAGTCCAAGCAAAGCACTTGGGAAATGCCCGATGTTTACAAAACCGCTTTGGCACAGGCACAACCCCCTCAGGCCCCAGCAGCAGCGTAAGTCCCGACTTCAATATGCGTGATCACGTCTTTTGATCGGGTATTAACTCTTTCTTGCAGGGCCCCGACGTTTGTCGCAGGTGGCGGCAGTTCGTTTCCTTCCTACCCTCAACAACGTGAGCGCGACGACTATGACCGAGGCTACGGCGATCGACGGGGTGGCTACGGATCAGCCGATGTCAACGGATTCGTTGCTGCATCTATACCGGGAACCGCGCAAACGGAGCCCGAATATGGCTCGCTTGAGGAGGCTGAAAGCGCGTTCATGAAAATGCTCAAGCGCCACAACGTGCAGGCCGACTCGACTTGGGAACAGACAATGCGTACTGTGATCAAGGATCCTCAGTACCGGGCTTTGAAAGATCCCAGAGACCGCAAAGCAGCTTTTGAAAAATATGCGGTCGAGGTTCGCATGCAGGAAAAGGACCGAGCGAAAGAAAGATTCGCTAAGCTGAGAGCAGATTTCAATACAATGCTGAAGCGCCATCCTGAAATCAAGCATTACAGTCGCTGGAAGACCATTCGACCAATCATCGAGGGCGAGACGATCTTCCGGTCTACAAGCGACGAAAGCGAGAGGCGCCAGCTCTTCGAGGAGTACATTCTCGAGCTCAAGAAAGAGCACCTCGAGCAGGAGTCTGCTAGTCGCAAGGCTGCCATGGATGAGCTCGTGAGTATCTTGAACTCATTGGACTTGGAACCCTATACGCGCTGGTCCGAGGCGCAGGCCATTATCCAGTCCAACGACAAGGTCCAAAATGACGCTAAGTTCAAGTCCTTGAGCAAATCTGACATTTTGACGGCATTTGAGAATCACATCAAGTCTCTTGAGCGAGCGTTCAACGACGCGCGCCAGCAGCAAAAGGCCGCCAAGGCCAGAAAAGAACGGCATGCTCGTGAACAGTTTGTCGAGCTGTTGAAGGAATTGCGATCACAGGGTAAGATCAAGGCTGGCAGCAAATGGAGCAACCTCTACCCGGTGATTCGTGAGGATCCCCGTTATCAGGGCATTCTTGGTAACTCCGGCTCTTCTCCACTGGATCTCTTCTGGGACGTGGTCGAAGAGGAAGAACGAACGCTGCGAGGACCTCGAAATGATGTTTTGGATGTTCTTGACGTAAGTACTACTCGGCATTTTTCTTCATTTATTGTTCTAACGACTGTCTTCAGGATAAACGGTACGAGGTCACCGCCAAAACCACTTTTGAGGAGTTCAGCTCTGTTGTCTCCGGTGATCGCCGAACAGCCAACATGGACCCCGAAATCCTGGAACTGCTGTTCCAGCGCATTCAAGACAAGGCAATTCGAAGAACTGAGGAGGAAAAGCACGCGGCGGATCGTCATCAGCGACGCGCTGTCGATGCTTTGCGTTCCCGAATTAAGCGTCTAGACCCCCCTGTCCGGGCCACGGATACTTGGGACCAAGTACGACCTCGCGTTGAAAAGTTCGAGGAATACAAGACCATCGAATCCGATGAGGCCCGCCAATCCGCCTTTGACAAGGTTATTCGCCGTCTGAAAGAAAAGGAAGAAGACGCCGACCGTGACCGGGACTCACGCGACAAAGATCGCGGAAGCCGCCGTGACTACGACCGCAGCGACCGGGATTACCGGAGCGGAGCATCCTACAGAGGCGAAAGACGGGGAGCTTCCAGTCGGCACAGCCGCACCCCCGAGCCAGATGCTTACGAAGCAGATCGCCGCAAAGCCCAGGCAGACCGGGAACGATCGTACCGCAAGGCGAGTGGCTTATCTCCAGTCCGCGAGCGACGGGAGGAACGCGATCGCGAGAGAGACCGCGACAGGGACCGTTATCGTGAGCGCGAGCGTGATCGGGATTGGGATCGGGAACGAAGCTCCCGCTCTCTCAGCCACTTCGGACGCGACCGTCGGGATCGAGAAGACGAGCGCGAGCGGCTGTATCGTGCCCGCGGCGATCCGCGTGGCAATCGCGACGAGCTGGACTACGGCGCCGACACTAGAAGCACCGTCAGCAACGACCGTCGGCGCAGACGGGACAGCGATGCTGAGAGCGTGGCCAGTCGCTCTGCCAAGCGGTATCGCCGCGACAGCCGAGAGCGAGAGCGCAGTCGGGGCGCCAGGAGAGACCGGGAACGTCGCGAACGAACCCCGGCTGCTGCTAGCACTGATGATGCGAAGAAGGAAGAGAAGGCCGTGCACTCTGGTAGCGAAGAGGGAGAAATTGAGGAGGATTAGGACATGTCAATTAATGGCAGTTGTTGTACGAAGCGGGACATATCCATATACGAATCAACTTGAACTATGTGCAGACTGAAAAAATACATTAGTAGGAGTATCCCTTGATGCATCTAATTGCCAGATCTTGGGACAGAATAGCAAATCCCTCCGTGCCTCAGTTGGCGTAGGGGGCCTCTCGGCCAAAAGTATGAGCCTGAGCGTAGTCAGATGTAAACTCAGTCCATATGAAAGTGATGGGGTTTCTCTTGAGATAAGAGAGAACACTAAATGAGAGATTCTCTGACTTCTCAACACAGAACACGGGATAGGTGAGTGTTTTACGATTTCTCACCATTGAATATATATCGCTACGGAAAGGGTGTTGCTCCTAGGAATGCCTCTACAGTAGGTTCAGAACCATGATAGGCAAGCAACGACAAAGAAAATTACAGTATTCTCTGCCAATATATATCCATGCCCATTTCTTCAAGCGAAACTGAATTTACAGAAAATGTGTTGTACCGTGCTGTAACTCAACCAAAACGGTACAACACAAGCATATTCAACGAACCAAGAAGTCAATATATAGAAGATAAAATTCAAAATTCAAGGTAGATCAACTATAAAATCCCGTGTATACACACGCAAGTATCTATAGACAGTGAAAAAAAAAAGTAGCTAACCTAGTTCCAGCCATCAGTGCTGAATCCTTAAAACATGCAGGCCGATGAGACCATTCATATCATAGAATCATTCAAACTTTTGACAGACACAACTCCGGCATGATCACGCCAACCAGAAACCGTAACCCAAGCAAAGCCCTCATGGATCGGGGTCCTATGTCCCCAGCATTCTTGGAAAGACCAAAAAATCCTGGAGACGGAGTATCTTTAACCGATAGAAGAGCAGGGGGTGCACACAAGAGGAGGCGACGAGATCCGGACGCAGCAAAGCGTGGACAGGAACAGGGAGTTTGTTTAAAAAACCACTGTCTTTAGTCGAGATCGTCGTCATCGTCACCATCTTCCTCATCAGTAGCACCATCCATATCATCGGTGAGGCGCACACCACGGCGACCCCGTCGCCTATGTTGAGCTGAAGCCTTCATAACGCCGAAAAACGCCATTAAATGAAGGTTTCTCCATTCCCCGCGACGTTTGTATTGCCGACGGCGGGAGTCGCGATCATCGCGCCTGTGATGATCGCGGTCATGCTTTCCAGGAACAACCTCTTCAACTCTCTTCTTCCAGGAAGAACTGTTGATGACAAATGTTAGCATAGTCCGGGCGCCACCAGACTAAGGTAGGTACGGCGAAAGAACCGTCCTATTTGGGGTACTTACATAGTTGCCAGCCAACTTTTGTTCTTGGTCCATTTGACTGTCGTACTTGTTGATACGAGGGCGGTAACTGTTGGGATCCCGACGGAAGGTGACATCCAGGTTCCTCAGGAAACTGTTGCAACCAGTAACCAAGGATTCGGGGGCGTTGGCGTGGGCATCAACGGACGGCTTACCGTCGAAGACAATCACTCGGTCGGCGAGATAGGTAGCCATGATGAAATCGTGCTCGACGATGAAGGCGGTCTTCTTGGAGTGCATAATGAAACGCTTGATGACTCTCGCGGCAATAACACGCTGTTCAGAGTCAAGGTAGGCACTAGGCTCGTCAATCAAGTAGATGTCGGCAGGGAGACCAAGGGCCAAGACAATGGCGACACGCTGCAATTCACCACCAGACAGGTTCTGAACCTCCTGATCAATGAAGTCGTCAATGCGAAGCGGCTTGTAAACATCGGTCTGGAACTGCGGCGACAGGAAAGCAGCCTTGATACGCTTGAAGAACAGTTGACGAACGGTGCCCTGGAACTTGGGGGTGATCTTCTGGGGCTTCATGCTGATGTTCATGCGAGGGACCGACTTGCCGTCGTCGGGCTTCTCGGCGCCAGCAAGCATCTTACAGAAAGTGGTCTTTCCGGTTCCGTTCTCTCCCATCATGACCACGATTTCAGAGTCTGTGAATCTACCAGCGTCGATCTTCAGGTGGAAGTTACCCAGGGTCTTCTCCATGCTAGGATAAGCGAAAGCACGGCCCTTGTCGGCCATGAAATCATCGCCAGCCTCCGTAAGACGGAAAGTGAGGGACTCCTCACGGAATCGCAGGTTCTCCGTCGGAATGTGACCATCCAAGAAGATGTTGATACCTTCACGAACAGAAGCAGGCAGCGTAACAACACCATATAGAGCAGGCTTTCCGTAAAGCACACAGACGAAATCAGAAAGATAATCAAGGACGGACAAATCGTGCTCGACAACGATGACGTAGTCGTCGGGTCGCAGAAGCTCCCGGATAACACGGGCAGCGGCCAAACGCTGCTTGACATCAAGGTAAGAGGACGGCTCGTCGAACATGTAACTGTATCGCATTAGTACTTGGACCGGAGGGGACATGTATTGATAGATGCTTACACATCAGCCTTCTGAACACAGACCAAACCGATGGCGAAACGCTGAAGCTCTCCTCCGGAAAGATGGTCGATATCACGGTCACGGACCTGCTTGAGCTCTACAGAAGGGTTAGTATGTACAAGGGAGGATCTCAACTGTGGAAAAAGACCACGTACCGAGGCTCTCCAGGATGTGCTCCATGTTGTCCAATTGAGAACGGGCTTTAATGAGCTCGCCGACGTTCTTGACAGGGCCCTTCACTGCCCTGGGGATCTGGTCGACATACTGAGGCTTCACGACAGCCTTCAGGTTATCCTCGAGGACCTTGGTGAAGTAGTCTGCGCTGGTTAGAACCCATTGAATCGTGTTCTGCAGGCGACTTGCTGGGTTGACATACTCTGCAATTCGGATCCACGGAAGTACTTCAAGATTTCCTCCCAGTCGGGGGGGTTGTCATAACGTCCAAGGTTAGGCTTCAGCTTGCCGCTGAGAATCTTCAAAGCAGTACTCTTTCCGATACCGTTTGTTCCAACCAGACCGAGAACCTGACCGGGACGGGGCATCGGGAGACGGTGAAGCTTGAAGCTGTTGGCGGAATAACGGTGGGTGACCTGGGTTTCCAGGTTGGTTGGCAAGTTGATGATGTGGATCGCACCGAAAGGACACTTCTTGGGACAGATACCGCAACCGATACATAGGCGCTCGGAGATGAAGGCGATCTTTGATTCCGGAGAAACTTCGATACACAGCTTACCCGTACGGACGACAGGGCAAGACTTTTTACATTCTTGACGACATTTCTGGGAATATGAGTATCATGGACGAGGGAACAACCGGCGGATGCTGCTAAGAGAGTCTCGTACCTTCGGTTTGCACTATAAAGAATAGAAAAGGATCTGTGTGAGCAAAAGGATTGCGCTCCTGACGGCAGGCAGCGGGGTAGTATATACTAACCTTGTCACTGTTGACAATGGCAATACTATTGAGAGAGAAAAAAGATCGATTAGCACCAGGCGCCGAGTTGCAGAAGGGTTGCAAGGTCGTAACGAAGGCTTACCGAGTAAGCTTGTCAGACATGATGCCTATTCAACTGGGAATCGACCCGCAAAGGGAAACCGGAAGATCGATGTCTTGAAGGAAATTAGTGAAAGAGTTGCAAAATTGAGGTAGAACGAGGGCTCTACCGGACACAAAAAGATGGCACTGCACTCGTGGGACTAGCCAGAAGCAGGAGATGCCCGAGAACCGCGTAAACAGGGAGCCACCAGGTCGCGAGCAGGGAGAAACGATGCTTGAAAGAGGGGCTCTGGAGCGATGGAAAACTATGTCGGGCATTGTGGGCAGTGCCTCAGGCAGCATCCCGCGCTGCATTATTTCGGGCGGCGCTGATTGGCCCCTCGCGCCGCCACCAGAATCTTCTCGGAGAAACGGTTCCGCCGATGCCGTAGACCACGTGAGGGGGCGACCCGCCCGACCTATGGGAGGCTCGCTTGTTAGGGCGCTAAACCCCACGGAGCATGGCGGCTTGTGGCCGCCTGAAGGCTCAGGCAGCCCAGCCAATGCGTCCCGGCGACTCGCTCACCTCCAGCCGACGTACAACTCTCTTCCTACTCTCTCATCATATTCCTTCCATCGCCTCGCTGTTCCTCCACACCCTTCCAGCCCACCCCCTCCCCCACCTTTTCCCTTATTTTGACCACCATTATTCCCCTCATTCTCACCTCCTTCGGGGTCACCAAGCTATGGACTGTGAGTTTTTTATTTTGCTTTTCTAGTTTTTCCCCAACGTGTCCAGGTTCTGTCGCCTGGGGTACTTCTCCACGGCCTCGACCCACCGAAGAATACCAGGATTTCTCTCCAGATCGTACCTGGAGGTTTTCTTGAGTCCATTAAGGTCAAGGTCTGGATGATTTCCTTCCCTAGACACTATTTTGGGCTCGTTTCCCCTCGTGCTGCTGTCATCTGCCCACCGACTCTTTCCGTCGCGTTTCATCAAACCATCCATCGAGATCATCCTCAATCTTTATGCCCCATCTCCTACCTTCTTGTCCTGGTCGATCGAGCTTGTATTGGGCAAATTTCGGGTCGCGTAACACTGATTTAGCCCTGACTGCGTCTTGCTTCCACCCCCGAGCTTGTCCTGAGCTTCAATGCTGATGTCCTGCTCCTTCAATAGCGACTGGCGTGGTGATCCCATCCTCCTCCGAACCCTCGATGACGACAATGGCATTTACCAATGGCTATTCGGCCTCTCCTACCTCCGAGCCCGCTAGCATTAAGGATCAACTAGCCTCCAGTGACAGCGAGAGCGAATCCGCCGCTTCACCGGTGCACCATGTCGCTCGCGACTCCTCACCCGAAGCGGATGCTGCGGACGAGTCATACCATACCGGTTTCTTCGATGCCGAGGGTGACGACGATGACTTTCCGATGGAGAACAGCTTGAATGGCAGCAGCCACTCCAGCGCTGAAGATTCATCACCCGATGCCAAACGCGGCTCGAAACGGAAGTCACCGTCGGTTAATGAATCGGACTACATGAGACAGAACCCCGATCTGTATGGGTTACGGCGAAGCGGACGAGCACGCACGACGCGTCAGTTGGCCGAGTCGCCTTCTGACTCCGAGTCAGATGCAGTGGCACCTCGCTCCAAGCGTCGGCGCCCCGTGGCCTCGCAGCCGTCGTCAAAGCGCCCCTCGCGTTCCGCTACTCAGTCGCCCTACTCAGAAGAGTCAGATAGCGATGAGTATGGGGGAAGCCGCGCTCGCACAAGTAAAGCGAAGCGTCGGCGACTTCTTCAAGCCTCTGCGAACCAACCTTCTCACGCCGAAGTCCGCTTTTCCACCAGAAATGCTTCTAAGGTCTCCAACTACAACGAGGATGATGATGACTCCATGTTCGAGGATGATCCCGAGGACCTCACACAAAATTACTGGGTCAACACCGTGGAGGATGATCGCCCGGCGATTGATGTCGTGCTCAATCATCGCCTCAAGGAAGGTGTCGAACTGACTGATCCCAACCTTGGGCGCCATGATTTCGAGTACTACATTAAATGGCAAGACAAGTCCCACTATCATGCTACGTGGGAAACTACCGATTCTCTCGCAAATTGCCGGAGTGTGCGCCGGCTTGACAACTACATTCGCAGAGCTGTTTACGAAGATATTCGGCTGAACCAGGAAGAAGGCGTGCCCCCCGAGGACAGAGAAAAGTGGAATCTTGATCGAGAAAGAGACGTAGACGCTATTGAGGACTACAAACAAGTTGAGAGAGTGATCGGTATGCGAGACGGGGACGAAGAAACCGAGTACTTCGTGAAGTGGAAGCGCCTATTGTACGACTCGTGTACATGGGAGGCCGAAGACCTCGTCAGTAAGATCGCTCAACGCGAAATAGACCGTTTTCTAGATCGCTCCTCCCGTCCTCCCGTCTCGGACAAGACAGAATCAAACCCTGCCACACGGAAGTCCTTTGAGACCATCAAGGGCACGCCTAGTTTCTTACAGAATGGGGAGTTGAAAGAGTTCCAGGTAAAGGGAGTCAACTTCATGGCTTTCAACTGGGTGAAGAACCGCAACGTTGTCCTTGCCGACGAGATGGGTCTGGGTAAAACTGTGCAGACCGTCGCGTTCATCAATTGGCTTCGCCACGTTCGGCGTCAGCAGGGCCCTTTCGTCGTTGTCGTTCCCCTGTCCACTATGCCCTCATGGGCGGAGACGTTTGATAATTGGACTCCCGACTTGAACTACGTTGTCTATAACGGCAACGAAGCTGCTCGCGCCGTTCTTCGAGAGCATGAGCTTATGGTGGATGATAATCCCAAGCGGCCGAAGTTCAACGTTCTCCTCACGACGTATGAATATGTACTGCAAGATTCGGCTTTCCTCAGCCAGTTCAAGTGGCAGTTCATGGCTGTCGACGAGGCCCATCGTCTCAAGAACCGGGAGTCTCAGTTATACCAGAAATTGCTAGAATTCAGGGCCCCTTCTCGCCTTCTTATCACGGGAACCCCCATTCAGAACAACCTTGCTGAACTATCTGCTCTGCTGGATTTCTTGAACCCTGGCCTTGTAGAGATCGACGTGGACATGGACTTGAACGCCGAGGCGGCTTCCGAGAAGCTCGCAGAATTGACGAAGGCCATTCAACCTTTCATGTTGCGTCGCACGAAATCTAAAGTGGAATCAGACCTGCCTCCTAAGACTGAAAAGATTATCCGAGTGGAACTCTCGGATATACAGCTGGAATACTACAAGAACATTTTGACCAAAAATTATGCTGCCTTGAACGAGGGCGCCAAGGGGCAAAAGCAATCTTTGCTGAACATCATGATGGAACTCAAGAAAGCAAGTAACCATCCGTTCATGTTCCCCAATGCCGAGGCAAGGATCTTGGAAGGTAGCACACGACGAGAGGATTTATTGCGAGCTATGATCACGAGTAGCGGAAAAATGATGCTTCTTGACCAGCTTCTTGCGAAGCTCAAACGAGACGGCCACCGAGTTCTGATCTTCAGCCAAATGGTGAAAATGCTCGATCTACTTGGTGAATACATGGACTACCGGGGCTATACCTACCAACGTCTTGATGGAACAATTGCCGCGTCATCTCGTCGTCTCGCCATCGAACATTACAACGCCCCTGGAAGTAGCGATTTTGCCTTCATTCTCTCCACTAGGGCCGGTGGTCTTGGAATCAACCTTATGACCGCGGATACTGTGGTCTTGTTCGACTCGGACTGGAATCCCCAAGCCGATCTTCAGGCTATGGCTCGAGCACATCGGATCGGTCAAACTCGACCCGTCAGCGTGTATCGTTTGGTTTCCAAGGATACCGTGGAAGAGGAGGTGATTGAGCGTGCCCGGAACAAACTACTTCTTGAGTTCATCACCATTCAGCGTGGTGTCACCGACAAGGAAGCTACTGAAATCCAGAACAAGATGGCCCGTTCTATGGGTGAACCCAATTCGACAGATGACATCTCTCGCATCCTCAAGCGTCGTGGACAAAGAATGTTTGAGCAAACGGGTAATCAAGAAAAGCTCGAGCAGCTCGACATTGACTCGGTTCTTGCAAACGCCGAATTGCACCAGACTGAACAAGCCGAGGAAATCCAAGCAGATGGAGGTGAAGAGTTCCTCAAAGCTTTTGATTATGTTGATATCAAAGTGGATGATCTCACGTGGGATGATATCATTCCGAAAGACCAGCTGGAGGAAATCAAGGCCGAGGAAAAGAAGAAAGCCGATGAGCGCTATCTCGCGGAAGTCATTGAACAAAACCGACCGCGAAAACGCGTTGTCCCCACAGAGGAACGGGACATTCGTGAAGAGCGGAAGGCTAAGAGACGAGCAAGAGCCCAGGTCAGCATGGATGGTATTGGTGACGACTCCGATTCAGCGCCCCAGTCTGATCCGAAACGTCCTCTCGTTGAAAAAGAGTACCGTAATCTGTTGAAAGCGTACTTGCGCTACTGCGACATCGATAATCGGGAAGATGACATTATCCGCGAAGCGCGTTTGCTTGACCGCGACAAAGAAACTGTTTTATCAGCTCTTCGGGAGATCACGGAGAAGGCGGCTACCCTTGTACGAGAGGATGTTGAGCGAATGGAGGCTCTTGAGAATGCGGGCAAGATGCCAACGAAGAAGGAAAAGAAGGCCGTTCTCTTCGACCACAATGGTGTGAAGCGTCTAAATGCCTACACCATTGTTGAACGACCCAATGAGATGCGCATTCTTAAAGAGACAGTCACCTCGGTCACGGACCCTAAAAGCTTCCGTGTACCAGAAGCCACCAAGGCAGCTGATTACACGTGTTCATGGGGGGCACGGGAAGATGGCATGCTGTGCATCGGCATTGCACGACACGGCTATGGCGCATGGACGCAAATCCGAGACGATCCAGATCTCGCTCTTGGCGATAAATTCTTCCTTGAAGAGCATCGCGTTGAACGAAAGACAGAACGTATGAATGCCGAGGATAAGTCTACCAAATCTCCCGGAGCCGTGCATCTTGTTCGGCGTGCGGATTACCTCTTGTCTGTCTTGAGAGATAAAGCCACCAATGGCGCGAATGTCAATGTCAAGCGGGCCGTCGAAAACCACCATCGAAACAACCGGAAAGGGTCTCGTAACAATGCAAGCATCAGTGTATCGGCGTCACCGGCGCCTTCTATCTCGCGCAAAGGCCACCGTGAATTCGACCGGTCCAGGCACCGTTCCAATACCCGTGGTATCCGCGATAGTTCTGAGCGCCATAACACACCGAGCCATGACTCCCGACCCAGGTCGGTGCATGATAGCGATCGTCCCCGTCATAGGACATCTGATGTTTCGAGTGAGGATGTGCGCCGCCGCAAAAACAGCGAGAACGGGCACTCGACCGCGAAGGAAGACGTTGCTCGCTTGTTCTTCAGACCTATCCGCGATGACTTGAAACGCGTCTCAGGGGTCACGAAGGAGAATTTCGCCAACAAGACTGAGCGTGCCCTTGAGCTTCGGAGTCTGCTCCAAAAGATTGGCGATTTTATAGACCGCAACTTGCAAGGGGACAGCTCCATTTCTTCCCTTGATACTCGTCTATGGTATGTTTATTCTGGATAAATTCGGCATATTGTTCCGGACTTAACCACTGACATTCGAATCAGGCATTTCGTTGCTGTCAATTATTGGCCTAATAAGGAGGCAGGAGGAAACAAACTTCAAGAAATGTATCAAAAACTCAGGGCTGTTAAAAAGGAACCGACCGCAGCCAAGCCCACGTCAAATGGGAACTAGACTCGGGCGTGTCCAACGTGCAGCAAAAGCGTCTTGTGGATTTCTGCTTGCTTCTACGGAGTCTTTTTTTGATTTTCGAGGTACATATGCATCATTGGGAAAGCATGGCGACGGCGTCCGGTATGATCTACGAAGGAGTGTTGAGCATGAGTGGATTTGTTATGATTTATTTTCTTTATTCTCTGCATGACTTTGGTCTTTCCATCTAACTATCTTACATACAGCATTGTCCCCCCCGATTGGCGCGTTGGGCTTTGCATCATGTTTTTGACTCGTGTTTTTCTAGCGATATGGTCCCCCCATACTTGCCGTGGGCGCGATGGATCTCGCTCCTGTTATTTTCTTCTCTTCTCTCTTTCTTCATGTGGTTGACCAAACATCCCGACACTGGGACGCCCTTCATTGGCGCTGGCCCTGTGGGTGGATGTTTCCCACATTGTTTTATTCATGTAACTTACCGACTTACTGGAAAGGTCTGTGGGCTCCTGGTTGATTTCCACCGTTTGGGGTTCAGGCATTTTGTGTTGGGACACTGTTGTGTCTTATATGTGGCACTTTCCTAGACTTCTGTTCGATGTTTGATGTTCGATCCTTTTTGCAAAATTTCCCAATGGACGGACTGGAATTCCCTGTGCATTATATTATACTATGTTATATCATTTTACACCGGCAGTGTTTGTCTGCTTGATCCTGTGTTCATAGTCGGGTAACCCTATCGGGTTAATGAAAAGTATCCAAGGATCTTCACACTAAGGACAGAATGATATGATTAATCTACATGATCATATGGAAAGGAGAAAGTAAACTGTTACCAGCGAAATAATTCGAATTATTTTTGAAGACGCTTCAGTAGGAAAGAATCAAGATAGAATACACATCAGCAGATACAGATAATATAACTCTCGTAGGCCTAAGAAAAGATGAAGAAAAGGAAAGGAAGGGGAAAAGAGAGGACGGAAGTGTGCTCTGGAGGCTGAAACCGAAGGAGGGAGGAAGGACAAGACCAAGGGGAGATTAGACGTAGTAAGGTAGATTCGGAGGTGTCGGAGAGTAGATGGAGTAAAAGTATATGGGTATAGGGTTTGTCTTGCTTTGATAGCACTTTAGAGAGGTAAACAAGGAATATAGAAGTGTTGAAGGTGGGTGTAACAAGGCGGACGGTAATGGAGGGGACAAGAGGATATAGCAAAGATGGATGAAGAAAGAAAGAGGACGGAGGGCAAAGCCTCACGAAGGAACAGAGCCCGCGTCTACATTATTAGACGGTGCCTCCTTCTCCGCGGCATCTGACGGGTTATGGACCTTTTCGGCACCATTTGTGACAACGGATGCGACAGGTCCAGTATCGCTGCCCACCAGGGCCGTGAACAATCGAAGCTGAGCATCGATGACATCGTCAAAGACGGCATCTTTCTCCAACCAAGCCTGCTTCCGCTTTGGTTTGATCTTCTCCCACTCGGCCCGTATCTTGACGCCTTCTTTCTCGGCCCAGTGGATCTGTCGCCGCAGAACGCGATACAGTTGCGTCGGGGGCAGCGCGAGCTCGTGTTCGTCGAAGCCCAGGTCCGGGTTCAACTCGGGATCCTCGAGCTCATCGAGGTCTGTGTTTGCCGTCTCGTCGGCGGCGCTTTCGCTGTACCGGTCTGGGTCTTCCTTCGGGGGTTGCGATAGCTTGAGTTTGATGCGTTGGAGCTTGCTGGCTGGCGTTCCGGCAGGGGTGCCGGCCGCGGACGCGGGGACGTTGTGATGCTTGGGGACCGGGTCGGACGGGCGGAGGGCCTCGGTCTCATGGACGGTTCTCATGTGTTTGGCGAGGGCGTCGGATCGGGTGAAGCTGCGATCACATTCTGCGATGAAGATTGGACAGGTTAGTTGCGCCATTTCTTTGATCGAGAGGGGACGAATGATTCTAAAGTGAGATAATTTCTTTGTTGGGATGAAGGGAATGAAAAGGAAGAAGGGGGGTAAACGGGAAAGCAAGACAAAAAGTCATGTGTGTTTGACTCACCTGGTAGCGCACAATAGAACGGTTTCTCTCTGGTGTGGCTTCTCATGTGGGCGCGCAGTGCGTAGCCGCTGGCGTGCGTTTGACCCTTTCGAGTGCAATCGGACCATTCACAGGAGTACTTCTTTTGTCGGCTGCCGACATGGTCGTTGTGGATGTGCTGGACGAGATCGTCCATATTCCCTAGATCTCCGACATCGCATCCATCCCAGCGACACACGGTGACCTGGTCGTTACCTTGGCCGCTATAGTCGTCATCCTGGCTGCCGCCGATGAGGGCCCAGGTGCCGGGAGAGTTGGGGATGTCGCCCGAGGTGTCGGACGAGATGGTGCTCGAGGGAGACGGCGGCGGCATGTCATCCTGGAAGGTCGTTGAGACGGGGGTGTTGCGATCCCAGGTCGCGACGCCGGTGCGACGACGTTTGGAGGGAGGTAAGTTGGACGCCGAGGGCGAGAAGGGCTGCTTTTCAGTCTCGCGGTCCGACATGTCGTCGGAAACGATGGAGGAGAGGGGAGAGCCCGGAGATTCAGCCATTGGGGGTGATCGGAAGTGGTAGAGCTTTAGGGAGTCGGTCGAGAGGAACGAGGGAGTGAAACGGGAGGCAGCACGCCAAGGGTGAAGGGGCGACGAGGCATCTAGACGGATCGCCGGTTGGAGTTGAGGCTGGGCGCCGCTCGAGTATACCGCGGGCACGTGATGAGGCCATTGCGGCGGAAAAACGCGCACAGAATTTCTCGGCTTTTCTTCTTCTCTTTCTCTCTCGCACCTCAAGAACCACAATGTCATCGATCTACCAGGTCATTGTATCGTCGATTTGTACTAATAACTGTTTTCCCATTGACTAGTATTCAAGTCCAACAGCATTCACTCGGTACGTTATGGTTTTCTACTCTTCTGCTTATTTTGTGTTTGCTCGTTCCTCCACTTTATGATGAATTATCAAGAATTCTGCAAATCAGACAATCTCCTAACTCTTACGGGTCTGTGAGATTGCTTGTTGACTATTCTACACTTGATCTGACTTTGTTGTTTGCTTCTTATCGAACTTGTTGATGGTCTCATGTGAATACCAAGCTGACAGCAATAGACTTTACAGGTACTAGAAGAGCTTAAACAATGCAATCAATTATCTCTATTGAATTTCAATCCCTCTAATAACTTTACTCGAACCATATACCCACGGTATTTATACCGCATAATCTAAACCGTCTCCATTTCGTATCACGTTCTTAATATCTGGCCCCCACGAGCTCATTCTGCTTCAAAATGGCATCAATCTCCGCCATCTCCGCATCAGAGAAGCGAGGAACTCCCTGCATATTCTGCGTAATCTTGTCGATCGTCGTGCCGCCAGGAATCGGGATGATGGTGGGCATTCCCGGCCGACCACTCAGGCTGAGCACCCACGCCAATGCGATCTGAACAGGGGCCACGCCTTTCTGGACAGCCAGGTCATTGACCGCATGCACGAGCTTGATGTTCTGTTTCATCGCCTCGTCCTGGAACCTGGGGAGACCTCTGCGGTAGTCGCCCTCGGGGATCTCGGATAGGCTCGTAAACGCGCCGGCCAACACACCTCGTCCTAGGGGCGAGTACGCCACAACGGGGATGTCGAGCTCCGCGCAGACCTTGGCAACGCCGTTCTCGAGGATGGCGGTGTCCCAGAGAGATAGCTCGACCTCGACTGCCGCGATCGGATGGACCTTGTGTCTGCATTCCAGTTAGCCAGTCCAGTCCCGTAGTCACCCCCTTCCCATCAACCGGAAGGAATCAATCTCCCGTAGACAACACCAACACCAACAAACAGAAAGAAAGAGAGAAAGAAAAAAGAAGGGAAAACTTACGCCCTCCTAACCGTCTCCGCATCCACCTCACTCAACCCAATCCCCCCAATCTTCCCCTCCTCCACCAACGCCTTCAACACGCCCACCGTCTGCTCAACACTCGTCCCCGGATCCTGCCTTGCGCACTGAAACAAATCGATCTTCTTCGTCCCCCCAAGAACCCTCAAACACTCATCCACACTGCGCCGGATATTCTCTTCCGAGCCGTCCGGCCGCAACGTCCCCGGCACCAACCCGCCCTTGACGCTGAGCACCACCTGCGTCGCTTTCTCCGGGTACGCCGAGAAGTAGGCGTGCAGGAGGTGCAGGGAGTTGTAATCGGGCGTGCCGTAGAGTTCGCCGGCGTTCCAGAAGTTGGCGCCCAGTGTGAGGGTTTCGTTGAGGGCGGGAAAGTAGGTGGTTGGTGGGGGTGGGGAGGGGACCCATGTCATTCCTTGGGGGGTGTTAATTTGTTGCGTATAGATGTATGGGGTAGGGCAGGGTGAATGAGCTCAATGCAGTTGGAAGTCACTCATTCGTATGAATTGGAATCAAGGAGGGTGAAGAGAACATACTCATCATTCCATAGCCTGTATGGCCGACATCTTGTCCAACGAGGGTAGGCATTCTCAATTCGGTCTATTCTAGAAGTCTCTTTCTCAAGTAGAATAGCAAATGCAGAGAACAAATTCAATTGAGATACTAAGGAAGGTAGATGATCAATTCCCCACTGGACGAGAGAAACAGAAGCTGTTCGAGCAAGAGAGGGAGGGGGGCTCAAGACTAAAAAAGAACTCAGAAACGGAGAAGCTTCTTCCACCGATAGAGTTACTTCTACCTACGCTCCTCACTCCCCGCATCCCACGTCATTTTCTTGGGTCGACGCTTTCCGAAGGAGGAAGAAGATAATCACCACCCACTGATCATTACTATTACTATTCTCTTCGCTTCGCTATTTTGCGCATTTTTTCTCGGAATCCGAAAGACAAGTCCATTATGGATCGGAATTAAGCTGGTCTAATGTCGGGGTTAAGGGCGAGACAGAAAAAAGCTTGACGGAATTTAAACGTTTATGTCCGGTGCATAACAGCTGGAAAGAATATGAATGGATCATAGAGTATTGTATTGTATTAAGTTAAGCTAATGTAACCACCATTCTCGCACCATTTTTGTCGTCAATTCATAAACGCCGCTGGAAAATTCTGTTCAAGGAAGGACATGGTCGGACTCCAGACGAGGAGTGTTCAGAGAGGAAGAGGTAAGGAGGGAGACAGCAAGAAACAAGAAAAGGAAAGACATAAGACATCAAGATAAAGCCCAGTATACACCATCATCATCACCTTTTCAACACGATACAACCCTAATGCAACGTATGCTCATCCCTGCTGTTCATGGCCTCCGAGAACCGATGCGACAGGAGGCCGAAGACGCTGCTCATAAAGCCGAGGGGGTCCTTCGCAGGGTTGACCAGGTCCGACTGCTTTTGCTTGTTCACATCCTTGGTGTTGCTGTTTTGGTTTTCGTGCTCCGTGCTGGTGGGCGTGGTGGAATTGCTATCGTCAATCACGTCCGGGTCTTGCCAGCTCTTCCAGTGGTTGAGCTTGGCTAGGTTTTCGAAGCCGAGCCCAGAGAGAATGTCGCTCACGATGTCGTCGCTGCCGGGGTAGTTTGCCTATAGAGTTAGGTGGTTAGCAGTCTGTCTGTTTGTAGGGATGACTGGGGTTATGTAGGGTCAGGGCGACATACAGGACTGGGAGATCGTCGAAGAAGAGGGTGTGAGTTGCTGACAGACGACAAGACCAAGCAGGTCAAGACAAGGAGGCCAATAAATGACGACGGCCTGATAAACGAAACCATTGTGACGGAAAGTGGGATATCTTCACGATAACCAAGTAATCAAGTATCTTCTGTAGATCAAAGTATCCAGACGAGAAATTCTCGACTTATAACTGCCAAAGGAAAGTTAAAGTAGCAATAGAGTTAACCGATGGATTGAATGAAGATCAACAGAGGACAGAGCCTGAAGGCCCTTAATATACCCTCGAAGAGCCTCCTTGTCCCCTTGTGCAATGTGCAGATACTCTGCCGCAGCGTGGAATGGAAGTCGGCTGGGGTGATCGCGCCTGCAGATACCACACGTCTCGACACCATGGACATAGACCCTAGCTTGGCTCGAATGCAGCGGCCTCTGCATTCTACATACCAGATCAGCCCAATGGCGGGCCGGCTAGACAACCAGCCAGAGGCATCATATACCAGCCTCAGCGGTGCAACCAAGCAAGACGCTTAGTCCACGACTATACCCGGATCAATCACCCATATGCTAGAGGACAATAGCGACCGAATCTCTAAGGAGTCACTCCATTACATCCCTCGATCAGTCACGTCGCGAGAGAACCTAGGTAGGGTTTCCCTCCCACGAGGGAGAAGGATGGGGAGCGACGCCCCTAGAAAGGAATGACACCGCTACATTCCTCAGATGTCAAACCATGTAGGGCGGGGGACGACCGCCTCTTCGTGTCGCGAATTGGCATTGTTCTTGCCACCGTTGATGATTTCCTCGACAGCGCGATGGAATGCATAATGAGTGTGCTGCAGTCCATCGCAACGAAACGAACAATGTTGTGGGCCAGCCCATGGGTAGTATGGGATAGTATGGCGTGGCGTGGGAAAAGTAGCCACGGTCGCGTTGGAGACTCGTGGATGCGATATTCGCTAGCCACTAGAAAGATCAAATCTCAGGGGTGACTGCATCGAGCATCTGGGTTTGGCGATACGCATCGCGAGGGATAACGAGAAAGGAGCAAGCATGAAAGATCGGAAGGGAGAGAGGGAGAGCGAGGGAAGTATAGGTACTCCGGGGGAGTTGACGCCTCAGGCCTAAGTGTCCGTAACGCGCTAACCAGATTGGGGGAACGTATCATGGTGCAGCGATGGGCGTGTCAAACATCCCAAGGAGCAGATTGAATCATTGATAATCCTATCCTATCGAACGAACAATTTAGGGTTTTTAGCAGAGATCTACATGGAACTGAGTTTTGGGTAGTGTGGTGTGATCGGGGCTGAGGCCAGACATGACCGACTGATTCCATTCGGAGTATCTGCCGAGCATCAACATTATGTCGACTACCTACACCGTACCTATATACTCTGCTGCCTGATATACCTACCGCGTGCATTGTATAAAGTAAACATCCGATGACGTCGAAGCGCATCTCGCAAACTGCCGGTACGGACCGTGTTGTACGGTAAGCGGCCAATCAAGCCAGCGTGTCGGCAAATGCAATTCGGCTAGAGAGACCTTTGGAAAACCTCACATTGGAAGCTTCTGCTTCGTCTGAGAGTCTAACCCCTCCCTCAATTGTCCCCGTCATATATCCTCTTCTTCCTATCCACCCGTCAGTATGGTCACAGCTCCGGCCGACTCCTGGCATGTGGGAATGCAATTCAACTCCATGAAAGAGGCCCGCGATGCGCTGGTGCGACATACCCTCGACCTGCACGCCTCGTTTCGGGTGGAGAAGGCCAATTCGGAAAAGTACTTCACCGCGTGTCGCAGCGGATCCGACTGTCCGTATAAGGTCCGCATGTATACGAGTCGGAAGACCGGCCTCGTGCGCATTCAGACGTATGAACCCCTGCACACTTGCAGTTCCGATACGCATGACAACTGGAGACCGCCGGGGCCGACGGCGCCGGAAGCTGAAGGGTCGTCGCCAGTGCAGCCTAAATGTTCAGAACAAGTCAGAAATGGTAGTATAGATATCTCTTCATATACCCCACACGAAAGGAATTAAAGAAACGAAGAGAATGTGAAAACAAGAGCGTACCAATCTGTCTGTCGAGTACTGTGGCGGCGGAATGCCAAGACTGTATTTGGGCCATCCAGGATGTCTCAATTGGGCAGTTTTGGGCCATCGGTGCAAATTCAATAAGCTCTGTTTCCCCGAGCATAATATCTCTAACTGCAGCTTACCTCTCATACCCCGTACCCATCGCTGATGATCCAATACAATATAGAAACCGAGCAGCCCGACCCTGCAGCCTCGTCCGAGTCATCACCCAGGAAGACAGGCAAGCCATCAAAATCTCCCAGCGCGCTCTTCCAAACGGGCCTGCAAACCCGACGTGCCGTGCTAGGCGACGAGCACGTTGACCGAACGCTCGCAAACAACGCGAGCGCCTTCTCCAGCCCCATGCAAGAGATGGTCACCGAGTGGGCCTGGGGGAATATCTGGAACCGACCGGGCCTGGACCGCAAGCAGCGCAGCCTCATGAATATCGGGCTGTTGATGGCGCTGAATCGCACGCCGGAACTGGCGATGCATATTCGAGGCGCTATCAACAACGGTCTGAGCGAGGTGGAGATCCGCGAGGCTATTTTGCACTCGACGGTGTACTGCGGTGCGCCGGCGGGGATGGAGGCGACGAGGACGGCGGAGAGGGTGCTGCAGGAGATGGCGGAGAAGGGGGAGCTTGAGCGGGTGCTAACTTGATCTTTGGCTGTGGACAGGAGTCTGGAATCATCGAGAGAGGGTGAGCATATTGTCTGTCACTTGATGATATGGGGAGGGAAGTGAGAAGGTGAGAGATTGCAGAAGAGCGAAGTCGGCAAACCTGGAGAGAAGCTTGTTGTTAGTTGCTCATTGGCTCTGCGTATCAGCCAGCGTTGGGCATCGCTTCCTTCAGAACATGGATTTCCAGCAACCGGAATGGCGCCTGCTCGCTGGGACAAAACGAATCATCAAAGAAATCATTGTGGTTAGTCAATCAAACAATATCACATTCAGCATTCAAGAAGAAACTCCACTACATGACCGTTCACCCAAGGGCAAGGAAAGCTAGAACGAAAGACAGTCGACTACAGGGTCGGAGTGGGTAGTGAGCAAGTTGGCTACAGTCCCTGCAGGGTGATTCGATTACAACCCACGAGCGAAAACCCTCGGAGGGGTCCTTCTACAACATTCTTTCCCACAAATCCACCGAAAAAACAAGTTCATTGCATCGTGGCTACGGGGTAGTTCGTTTACGCCGTCAAGTCCAAAGGGGAATCCTCGAACTAGGGGCCAGAATCCCTCGAGTCCCATCACGACTCCATCCATCTCAAGCAACCGACTTCGTGTCCACGCAATGCTGATGCAGCTGGTCAAGCTACTTTCACTCTAGCGCAAGGACAAAGTTCCCCCTCTCAAGAGGCCGAGGGTGATAATTTCCTTCCCCTCTAATCCGTACGGAGAACGGAGCACACCGTAGATAGTGCGAGCGATTAGTTAGTCTAGTTCCCCGAGGTTGGTCGCATGTTAGTCTGCTACACTAATGCCTTGGTATTTAGCATGTGCTAGTCCTGATGTATTAGACAAAGGACAGTGTAGCACTTCTAACATAACGAAGTCCGGTACCATAGTCCGTCTAGGGACTAGGGAGGTAAGTGGAAGTAGGTATTCGTAGACGCTTGAGAGCCTGCTGTCGTTGATGCATACGCAATGGGGTCGAAATGTCATGGCCACGCAAGCGATTCGGACATGAGATCAAGAAATAGTCAGTAACAAAATAACCAATAATCAAAAATCAAAATAAAATAAGATACTAAAAAATAATGATGGGGTCAAAACTCAGCATCATCCATGCGAATGGCTTCATACCACCGTCAGGATTAGGGCTCAATCATCGGCGCGGGAATGCCGGGCAGATCAGCCAATTGACACGATGAAAGGGCCAGAGAGGGGCGAGGGCACATCCACCGGGAACAAAAAAGCCCACGAGCTAATGAATCATGAAAGTCCCATGCCAAGACCCTGTTTTCGTGACCATCGTCAAACCCTGGGCCAAATAGAGACAGTCAGTGTATGGACTATGGAGTATGGACCACGAGTTTAAAGTCCCGCGATGGCAGCCCGGGAAACCAACCCTAAGCCTAGGAGGAAGTCTGATTCGCCCCGGCCCCACTCCGAAGGGGAGCATTCGTATGCATCTACGTAAGTTGGGAGGGCATTTATTAGGAAAAGGTGAAGGGGTGCCAGGAATGGATTCTCATGAATAAAGTTATCAATTTAGCGACGCCGCAATCTCTGGAGAAAAAGAGACCGTCGTGAGAAATCCCATCCCATTCAGGACAAGACCCGGGGAAAAGAATGTGTCTGCCTTATGCTCTGGCCCACTACATACCCAAACCCACTGGTTTCCTACGGAGTCAAGCCTAAGTCTACTGCTGGAAAGTGTCCACTTTGAAATTATATCTTGCCTTAAAGGGTGTTTAGCATCCTCCATACGGGTGTGGCTCGCTGGCTTACGTACGGTCGTATGACCAGCCACAGCGCGAAAACGCTTAGCTCGACACTAACGACGAGCCTAGATAGACGTACGGAGAGAAAACTCCCGATGGCGTATCCTAGCTAGAAAGTGCTAAGGCGTCCCCCCGGGTCCGGCGTCTAACGCTAATCTTGCTGGCCATTTCCAGTTTCCCTTACCCGGTGACCCTCTCAAATCTCCGGTTAGACTTAGAGTATCTTAGCTTTCACGGAGCACTCTGCACCTGGCACCTGGCACCTGCAGCTTCGATGCTTCTTTCCCTCCCCTTGTTATCTACGCGTGGCTTGTTTAATCTTGGACCCCACTAAGTGACGTCTCTTGCTTACGTAGCTTAGCGTTGTATACTGCCTTTCTGATGGTGATTTTGCTTCAAGCGTCAAAATCATTATGTGATCCCCGAGAGAAGAGATCCCGATGACAGCTTGGCAGTTCCTCGATCATCTTTGCTCTTTTTATTTATTTATTGATAATTTTTTTTACGGCGTCAACTCCGGAGTACGTATGCTTCCATCCATCTCAATGATCGCGTCGTAAAGCGTCATGACCTTGCATATCGAATGAACCAGCCAATGAGCTCCTAGCCCGGATGTGACGGGCGAGTGCCCTTAGAATGAGGTGCCTTGTTATCAACATCAGCGCATCACCGATCCACACTCTGCATAATTATCAATCAACTAGTTCGACCAGGACGACGCAACGAAGACGACAATGAGTCTCCATATCTGTAGGCATCAAGAATCTTGTAAACGAATCACTAAACCAAAAAGGACAAGAAAACCAAAACGAAAATAGAAGAAAAAAGAAACGTGAGCTCCAGTCCAGTCCACTGCTACTCCGTATGCTATGCTAAATGCACCAAATCTAGACACTAACCAAGAGGTAAACTGGTAACGCAGTCGCTAAACTCGAACCATTAGAAAATCTCCTCGGAACTGGATAACTCTACTGCCCTTAGTCTCGTCAACTCTCCGAGTCCGGGACCACCTAGAAGTTGCATAATTTGAGCAAACGAAAATTAAACACCTTAATTATGGCTTATGCCCAGCTAGACCAGCCGAGAGAATGGCTCGGATTTACCGGTATCGACGGCGTATGATACAGGATGCTCCGTTACGCTAAACTTACGGGTTTTTTTAGGCCTAGGTAGGATTTAGTAGTTAGTTACCTTAGGAAGACCCGGAAGTTTTGCGAAAGTTTGGAACCGACGGGAACCCTAAAATCTTGGTGTCCTTCCTTGAGACCAGATGGAAAAAACCAGGACGGGCCGGGAATAACGCTCGGGTTAACCCCCATCTCGGTGAACATTGAATACTGGATACTGGACACCAGTTTGCTATTCGGACTCCGTACATACCCCGAATGCAGGTAACCATGTAAGGTACACACTACAGAATACAGATGGAGTCTGGCAAGTTGTAGTAGTCGGTTTTTAAGATTTTTGTTCCTGACGAGCCCACAAAATCTGAGGTCGGGCTCGGGCTCATGATTGTCTCGGTCGAGAAATCTGATGCTTTACTGTGTAGGGGTCCGGTAAGGTGTCTGGTACGAGTGGCTCTAAAAATTTTCCCCTGGGTTACACTTACAGACTACAGTGAGGTATCCGTATGCACAAGGTTCAGCTCCCTTCCCGTTCCAAACCTTCTTTTCGGGACCCTGAAGATCTCGACGGGTTGATGATATTTGAGTCAGCAGAGAGATTTTTTAGGTATTGATTAGGACGGGATCGACCATGTCCACACCCCATACCGGAGTGGACGGCAGGATAGATTCTTCAAGAACAATTGACAAGAAAAAAGAAGGACGAATCAGAAAAGCTATTACTGAATACTACGCTGCTAGACAAGGTAGGGCATGTAGGGTTACTTCTGCAACTGCGACTACGACTACGACTACGACTACAACCCCGACACTCCCTGCAGGATAGCAAATAAACAAGGCTGCACCCCTCTCGAATATTCAATCCCTGGCCCGCCAGACCTGGCTGGACCTGACTCTACCCGGTGTGGCTTGTTTCAGGTCCCTTTTTAGGGTTCGTGATTCCGGGTTCCCCTATCTCCGGGCCTTTGCCTGTGGACTAGTTACTTACGGAGTCATCACGGAATCTCTCCGTTGGAGTAGAAATACCACTTTGCCGGTGTACTTCCTTTCGATACCATTGTTAGTTATCTATACGAGCTGAACAGAGTTAGTATACCAACTTACGGAGTAGCTATATCATCAGGAGGGAGGGGAACGACTAACGAGACGGGAAAGGCAAGCAAGCAAAGAAAGGCAAACATCGACCGGGATAGGAAAAAACAAGGTAAAGATGGAACACGAGTCAGAGAACCCTATATTTGTGCCTGATCACCTGTCAAGGCGAGAATCACGATTCAAGAAAGACATTTCTAATATAGTAAATGATTGATAGTCAAGTTTTACCTTGCGACCATTGTTTCAGTTTGCAAATCGATCTCCATGCTAACTTGCTCGATGAGCACTGGAGAGAACTTGAAATAGAGACAAGTCAAAAGCCTGAAACTTTTATCATGGGTCTTTCTCTCCTACCACAACCCCTGTCTGGATGGGTATCATCGTGCGACGAGGTGCATGATTGCTACGCTATAGTTCCTTATCCCTGCTATAGGTGGATGAAGTATGCATCCAGGCCCCGACACAGCATGGTAGTCATTCTTCAGTATTCAGCCACGGGAGACCCAAGAGGGACGGGGAAGCAGCAAGAACCGGGTGTCCTTGATAGGTGAGGAATACGAGACTACGAGTAAGAACCAAGATATGCGTACCCTTGGAGTCCTAACTAACGAATAAGCTATCCAACTTCACACCCGGATTGGTTATTAACGTGGCATGATTTAGTGAAATACGGAGGATTTCTAGGGGATTCTTGGCAGGGTTGATGAGGCGCTAATTCACTAGCCTTGAACTGGGTCTTGGAACTTGTCTGGTCATGGGTACGGATATCGGCCCTTGGCTACTTTTTTCGTTCTATTTTTTTTTTTTTTTGGGTCTAACCCTGGCTTACTCACTTTTTAGGGTTCTGGATTGGATTACCCGACGGCCTATGAGATTAGGGTGGATGGGGAATGCATTCTGCGCCGAGGAGAAAAGAAAAAAAAACTGAGCAGGGTACCTGCCCCGTAAGACATCTATCTTAAACAAACCAATTGTTAAGACCCTTTTTATTTCC